ATGCTGCTCGCCGTCGGGAACTACCGCTCGCCGATGACCTACGTGACCGAGAGGGGCCGCAACCTCGCGACGGCGATCGAGGAAGCGGCCAGGGCCAATGCAGACTGCGTCGCCGTCGAGAAGGCTGCGGCCAAGCTAACATACGCGGAGCTGATGGCGGCCGCGAACAAGGTAGCAGCCGTGACCGAGAAGATCACACAGCCCGGCGACGTCGTCTGCGTCGTGGCCGACCGCTCCATCAACTGGATCGTCGGCGCCGTGGCCGCATTTATGGCTGGATGCTGCTACTGCCCGCTGGACGCGGCGCACAGTGTCGAGTACCGCGCGGAGCTGCTGCGCATGAGCGGCGCGAAGCTGCTCCTGTGCCCCGACAGCGCGCGACTATGCGAGCCCATGCCTGACGGGCCCGTCGCTCTGGCTGTCGACCAGATCCTGGCAGACGGCACCGAGCCGAAGCGCACGCCGCCGCGGCTGCAGAGCTCCCTGGCGCCTGCCTACATGTGTTTTACTTCCGGGTCGACCGGCAAGCCGAAAGGTGGTTTCTCTTCCGTCCTTCTCCCTTTCACGTCCAACTGACTGATTGCTCCAGGCGTCATCTGCAACCACGGAGGCCTGACGGCCCTGCACTCGAAGCTAGAATGCCGTCTCCACGCCGCCCCCGGTGTCCGCATTGCGCAATTCCTCGCGACGGGCTTCGACTGCTGCGTGCAGGAAATAACGGCAGCCCTCTCGCACGGCGCGACCCTCGTCCTCCGAAAGGACCCGGACGACCCTTTCTCGCATCTCGGAGACGTCGACGTCGCTCTGGTGACGCCCTCTGTTGCTGCGGAACTCGACCCGGCCGAGTACGGTAACATCAAATACGTCCGTCCCTCCCGCCCTGTGCAGCGATGCGCGAAGTGCTGACATTTTTCTCTGCAGTTCTACATGCTGGGCGAGCCGCTGCAGCAGGTGACGCTGGACAAGTGGGCGCAAGGCCGCACCGCATACAACCTGTACGGACCGACTGAGGGAACCGTTGGCAACACACTGAAGCGACTGACGCCGGGCGAACCGGTGAGTGTGGGCCGCCCGATGCCGGGCACGCGCGTGTACGTGCTGGACGACCACATGGCGCTGCAGCCGCCGGGCGTGATGGGCAACGTCTTCGTCGCGGGCGCCCAGGTCAGCCGCGGCTACGTCAACATGGCCGACGCCACGGCGCGTGAGTTCGTGCCCGACCCCTTCTGCCCGGGCCGTACCGACGAGCGCATGTACCGCACCGGCGACCTGGGTTACTGGGGGCCCGGCGGCGACCTGTACGTGTGCGGCCGCCGCGACCGCCAGGTCAAGCTGCGCGGGTTCCGCGTCAACCTGGACGACGTGGCCGCGGTCGCGCTGCGCGAGATGCCCGCCGTCCGGAAGGCCTTCGTCACCAAGCACCGCGGCCGGCTGGTGCTGTGGATCGAGCCCGCGCGCGTCGACACGGCCGAGCTCGCGCGCCGGCTAGGTGCCGCGCTGCCCGCCCACGCACAGCCCAAGACCATCACGGCGCTGGAGCGGCTGCCCGTGTCGGCCAACGGCAAGCTGGACGCGGTGGCGCTCGCTGCGGCGCAACCCGCGGGGGCGGAGTGGACGGGCGGTGGTCGGACACGGGCGCCGTGGGCCCCGACGCGCTTCGAGGCGCTGGTAGCGCAGCAATGGCGGCAGTTGCTGGACCTCGGGCCCGACGTGGCCGTGGCACCCGACGACGACTTCACCGCGCTGGGCGGCCACTCGGTACTGCAACTCAGCCTGGCTGCGCGCTTGCGCCGCGTGTGCCGAGTGCCCATCAGCGTGCGCGACGTCATCCATGCCCCGAGCCTGCAGGAACTGGCTCGTGTCGTGCAGGCCCGTTGCCAGCAGCCGGATGCCCCCCGTCAGCCGGCGCGGCCCGAGCCGCTGGGGGACGCAGGCGCGCTGTCGCCGCCCGAGCACGAGTGGTGGCTACGCTACACCCACGCCTCGGTGCGCAGCGCCTTCAACGTCCCCTTCACCGCGGCGCTGGCGCCCAGCGTCGACGGCCGCCGCCTCTCCTTCGCCCTCGCCATCGTGCTCAACCGTCACCGCGTCCTGCGCTCGCGCTTCGTCCAGCCCGCCGGCGCTCCCGTGCGCCGCGAGTTCGCTAACGAGCCCATCGCCGTCGCCGTCGTCGACTCGATCGACACGGCCGCTTTTGTCAACGAGCCCTTTGACCTCACCCGCGGCCCGCTCGTCCGCGCCGCCGTCTCCCCCACGCTGCTGGCCGTCAGCGTTGCCCACATCGTCTGCGACCTAACAGCCCTGGACACGCTGCTGGCCGAGACGGCGACGCTGTACAACGGCGGCACGCTGCACCCGCTGCAGCGCGAGTACTTTGACGCGACGGCCTGGACGCAGCAGCCGTCGCCCGACGATGACTTGGAGAGCACTTCGTGGTGGACCGCCAACCTGAGCGGCCTGCAGCTGCACCGCCCGGACGACGAGCAGCCGCCGCGCTCTGGCCGCGGCACCTCGCTGCTCCAGGTTCTGCCCGCCTACCTGTATGCCGCCATCGCCGACCTGACGACTGGCACTGGCGGCAGTGGTGGTGGCTTCTCCCTGCACGGCCTCACGCTGCACCAGCTCGGCCTCGCCGTCTCGGGCGCCGTGCTGCACACGCTCTGTCGCCGCAACGACGTGGTGCTGGGCGCCCCCTACCACAACCGCGCCGCCGCCGACGACGCGGACCTCGTCGGCCTGTTCCTGCAGCCGCTGCCGGTGCGCGTGCGGCCGCCGACAAGTTCGCCGTGTACGTCGACCGACGTGCTACGGACCGTTCAGCGCGCCTCGCAGGGCTCGCTCGCCCACGCCCTGCCGTGGCCGCGGCTGCTCGACCGCCTCGGCCTGCCCTTCGAGTCGTCGGCCCGCCAGCAGCTGTTCGACTGCGTCGTCACCTTCCACGACGACCGCCGTGCCGCCGCCGCGTTTGCCGTGCCCGGCGCCCACCCGCTGCGCGACGTCTGGGCCGAAGGCGCCAAGTTCGCCTTGCTGTTCGAGTGGCACGCCTTGCCCGACCGGCTGTCGCTGCGGCTGGAGTACGACTCGGACGTGCTGCCCGAGGCGCTGGTGCGGATCGTCCAGGTGCTCGTCCAGCGCGCGGCCGAGGGGCTGGTGCTCGATCTGGAGGGCGGGTATGAGGCGTTGTTGGCGGAGTTGGGGGAGCTGTTGAGCCGCGAGTGCGGGGAGCGCGGGATCCGGGTGGATGAGGTGCGTGAGATTGCGGTTAGGTTTCTTAGGGGCGTGTAGGCTTTGTGTTTTTTTTTTCTTTCTCTTAAGCGCATGGGAGTTCGGGTATATGGGGCTCAATTTTTGTCTCAAAAGGGTAGGCGTGCTGGTTTTGTTTTCTCCTATTTCTAAGTGTAGCTTAGGCACTGGCGTGATTGCATCTGAATTGAAAGTTTCTCTCCCTTGCCGCCGCCGCCGCCGTTGTCGCTTCTTCATACCCCCCGCTTCATGCTTTGCGTGTTTGGCAGATGGAAGGCCAAGGTCCCGTGCGTTTGTCTTCAGCCAAGTATTTACACCATGTGCTTCGGTCTCCGGGATACAGCCGGCCATTAAGTAAAGGAGTGGTGAAACTCCTGCTTCTTCGCCTGCCTCCGACTACCTTGCCACCATCTTAGGAACTAATCGGGCCATGCCTTGAAGTGAACATGTCTCATCATCCATCGCCGACGTATTCCCCGCCAGGTAGCGAACAGTATATGGACCTTTACGATTTTCTCCAGCTGTGCGAAAGCATCGTCGAATCCGAAGAAAAGCTCATCACTGAGGCCGAAGATGGCTCCTCCACCACCCGTCTTGACGATGAGTTTGCCACGTTCTTCAATCTCGACCCCGACCCCGAACCCAGCGGCTTTGGCAGTGGAACGGCGGAATGTTTTGACTCTACCGACCTCTTTTGCTGTGAGCCATTGCTTTCAGGCAAACTGTGTTCAGCCGGTGAAATCGTCACAACTGCGCCTGCATGTACGTTGGAGGAGGATGAGGTCCAAAGCGCCACAAGTTTCAGTGGTGAGTCCGTTGTGATCCTCGCAAAAACAGCCTAGGGACGTCATCGCATTCTGCGCGGCCCCGGTGCTCCCATAGTAGGAGCATGTCGTCCAGACCTCCTCCGGCTCCAGCATTCGCCGTATACCATATACTTACACAGCTCGAGGCATGCTAGAATTCCAACTGTGTCTGGATCCAGACCTCCGGACGAGCGAAGCAAGCGCGCCTCAGCCGTCACCGTCCTTGTCACCGTCGCCGCCAAGACCATCGGCATTCTCTTACGTTTTCCCACTTCAACAGTGGCCGACCCACACAGGACATCCGCCTCAAGGCACAGCTGGAAACCATGCGATGGGCGTTGACGAAATGGAGGACAAACGCCGTCGCAGCAACGAGGCCTCGGCGCGTTTCCGGGCCAAGAAGAAACAGCGGGATAAGGAGTTGGAAAGGCGCGTCGCGGATATGAAGGGGAAAGTAAAGAGCTTGTCGGACCGGGTTCTCGTGCTCGAGACGGAGAATAGGGCGCTGAAGGATAACCTGCTGTCTAGGCGGCCTGAAAATGGCGATAAGGTAGACGGAGAAAAGAGCACGTGAAAAATGTGGCTGTTACTTACGAATGTTTCTTGTAAGTTTTTTATGACTATTGGTGGTGTAGAACAGTGGAGTCTCCGCATTCACAAGGTCTCGGGGATTTGTTTTATTTTTCTTTGGCTTATCAGAGAGCCGGGGACTTTAATATCAAGCTCGACACGCCGCTGAAAAAAACACTACTCCTCGTCACCGGGTTATGGACTTCTCAATCACGCCCAAATTGCATGACCCACAGTCCGTCGGTTTTGCCCAGAGATCGGATGTCTTCAACGTACGGAGCCATCGGAGCAAACGATGTCGAACGACGACATGTTCCGGAACGTCGCCCCCGTTCTGTCGGCGGCCTATACATGATGCTGCCCGTGCCACTCTTCTGTTCCATGGGCATGGCAGCTACAAGCTCGACTACCATTTTTGCCTACGAAATGCTCGTGTGCAAGGATCCGAGCAATTGCTCATCCAGCGAGAAAAAACGATATTCAGCAACCGTGGCCACGTCTGTGGTCATTGCAAACTTCTGTGCCGTCTTGGTGCTTTGGGTACTTCCGCTGCTCCCTCGGGCAAACCCGAAAAACGGCCTCTACTTTTGGATCTTGGCGCGCGCTTCTAGCGTGCTGGTTCTGGCTGCTGGAGGTTCGTGTGCTGCCACGCGTACGATTCAGTGTATACAGCTAACCGCGTTTGCCAGTCCATTACAGCAGCATCTGGCTGGCTTTGAGCGGCCGCGTGCTCGAAGGATGTGCGACAGACAACGTCCTCCAGCTAGTGCTGAACACGCTGTATCTCCGCGCGTCAGAGCAAACGCAGATTTCGCGTCTCTTCGGCCTCTCCCTGGCGCTGTTCATGGTCGGTCAAGGCCTGAGCCCGATCATAAGCGGCTTGTTCGCCGACTTCCGCGCCAGCTTCGCCATGGCCACGCTTCTGTTCGGGCTGTGCTTCTCGTACATCTGGATCCTGCCGACGGCCTGCATTCCGGAGGAGCAGGCAGCTCAAGCGGGGGGCATGGACGACGAGGATCGCCCGCAAAGAAAACCCACGTCGACGGCCATCCTCCTCCTCCACCTCCTGCTACAGCCACTACGAGCAGCCGTGCGCACCCGCGCCCTCTGGGCCCCCGAGGCCGCCCTCCTGCTCTTCCTCGCAGCAACCTCGTACCTCTACCCGGCCATCCTGGTCTTCGCCTCGACGCGGCACGGCTTCACGGCCGCGCAGAACGGGTGGATCGTCTCGCTCACCGCGGCCAGCTGCAGCTGCTCTCTCCTGGCTGTGCACGTCGTGTGGCCGAGGCTTCTGCGGAGACGACGACCAGCACCAGCAGCGGACCCGGACAAGCTAAGGTCCCGCGCTGCTCAAGTTGCGTTCGACGCCAACTTCCGCAACGCAGCAGCCTCGATGCTGCTGCTCGCCGCCGTCTGCCCGGCAATCGGCCTGACGACGCGCGCGTGGCAGGTCTACGTGCTCGCCGCGGTGGCGGCGCTGGGCCTGTCGGCGCCGGCGTTCGTCAAGAGCTACGCGGTGGGCCTCCTGGCCTCTTCCTCATCCTCCTCCTCATCTTCCTCCTCCTCCTCCTCCGACGTCGACGACAACGACGACGAGGAAGGGAGGAAGAAGACGCAGGCGTTGACGGCGCTGGCGCTGATGGAGACGTGCGGCGCGCTGCTGTCGCCCGTCGTGCTTGGCGGCGTCGCCGCCCAGAGCGGGCGGGGAGAGGACGGGGAGTCACGGGTCTTCTTCGTGGCCGCTGCGCTCGTCGTGGCTGCGCTCGCCGTCCTGACGGGAGGCGCGGTTGACGTAGCGTCTGGTGGTGGTCGCCGGGTGATACGGCTGTGGAGTGCTGGTGTGTTTTGTCGGTGACCGACGACGCCTCGGCTCGGCTCGGCACTCGAGCTGATGTTTTGCTTGAGCCTGAGGCTTCAGGCAGAGTCCGTGCGGGATGACTATCAAGCTAGAATCTGCTAGACTGGAGCCGGCAATGCAATTTTGCTCTCTGCTGCAATTACTGGCGCTTATATTGTGCTATTTGTGCCCTGACAGTAATCCACCGATCAGGACTCTTAGAAAAGATCAATGATTGCCACTTCCCGTTCGAGCGACACACCACTCACGCACGCAGCTAAGCCCACGACTGTAGGAATTGGCTTCTAGTCATTGTATTTCCAGCCATTACAGTCTACATACTGGTTGATACGTCTATGTGCCTCTCGGACGTAGTCAAGAGTGGTAGATTCATGATAAGATGTTCAACCCTTCTCGTGACACTAGAGGATTCTTCTTCTTCATGTGTCGGGACCCGAGAAATTGATTGTGCGAAAGTTTTGCCACCGGTCATCGAAGACTTGCTCCGTCTGATAGGTGTAAATTACAACACCTGGTGGCAATATCAATACTATTTGCAGTGAAGAGACAAGATTAACAGGTTTGCCATTTTCCGTTCTTGTCTCGACATAGGAAGAATGCTGCCGGTCTTGGTTATTGCCCTCCTAGTAGGCGTCTTGTACGCCACCGGGTTTATCGAATCCAGTCTGTCCTTCGTCGTCAATGTAAGATAAACCGCATGCAGCATTTTCAATCCGAGATGAACACACATGGCTAATTGTTGTAGCTCATTCTACAACACCAGCACAGGGTTCCGCACAGCGCAGGACAAAAGCCCATCCCAACGGTCCCCTTTACCTGGCCCAACGGCCAGGGCACCGAGAAGTTTTTCGAGGGCCGTAAGGCCGCACTACGATGGCGAGACGAGTTTGGGCCAATATACCGCATCTGGTCCGGGTTCCAAGCAGAGATGTAAGCTCACTCCACCACAGCTATCTCCAACGTGCTGCGCCCAGCTCACCCCACCTCCACAAGCGTTCTCTCCAAGCCGGAGCAGGCGCAGCGTTTCTACCGCGACTCCCACCTGCACATCAAAGCCAAAGACAACAACTCGGGCTGGCTCTTCGGCGAGCTGCTCGGCCAATGCGTCGGCCTCGTCAGCCTCGACCGCTGGCGCACCCTCCGCGAGCAAGTCGACCCTCCCTTCTCGCGGCCCGCCGCCATCGGGCACACGGCCATGCTGGTGCGCCAGGCCCGTGACTTCGTCGCCGAACGCTTTCTCTCCCCGCTTCCCACAGATGGCCGCACAACGCTGGCGATCCGTCCAGCCGCCGACCTCAAACTCTGCCCCTTCTTCATGGTCGCCGACATCTTCTTCGGCGCCCTGGACGCGCCGCAGCGGGCGGCGCTGGTCGCGCTCGCCCCGCTGCGTGAGGACCTGTTCAAGGACGCTTTCCGCGGCGGCGTCAGCCGCTTCGCTTTCGGCAAGTACCTGCCTGGCGGTGGCTCGCGCGTGCGCGCCCGCCTGCGCGAGTTCCAGGACGGGTGGCATGCGTTTGTGCGGGAGGCGTATGGCAAGGCGGTGGCCGCGCAAGGGCAACAGCAGAAGGGGGAGCTGCCTCCTGTCGTGCAGCTGTGGGAGGCGGTCGAGCGGGGGGATATCCCTATGGTCGAGGTACGTGTCATCAGTAAATGTTGGACTGTCTCATGGTGTTGACGGCGGGAAACAGTTCATGCAGACGCTGGACGAGTCGCTGTACGCGAACCTGGACGTCACCACGCATGCCGTGGCCTGGAATGTGATCCTCCTCGCACAGCACCCGGTTGTTCAGGACGAAGTGCTGGCGGAAATCCGGGCCGTGACCCGTGGAGGAGAGGAATCGGCCTATATTCGCTATCTCAACAGCGACGATACGTTGCTCGCGGCGTGCGTGGTCGAGGCTGCCCGCCTGCGTCCGATCTTGCGTATGTTACCAACACAGGGAGGACGGCTAGTAAATGTGACAGAGGGCTGATGCAAAGTTTACTCCTCGCAGCATTTTCGAATCCCGAGTCGGCAACAGATGACAAGATTATCGATGGTTACGTCATTCCTCGCGGCGTGAGTTCTCAGAGCATCGGCCGTGCTGATCGTTGTGCTGATTCTAAGCAGACCGCTGTTATTGTCGACACACACGCCATCAACGTGGCAAACCACTTCTGGAAAGACGGAGAGAAGTACATACCGCGTAGACACATGGGCTTGAGCAAGCAGCAAGTAAGCAACCAATCATGCACTAGTACCATCAGGATGAGTTCTCACCATGCCGAAATCAGATCCGCTACAATATGTGGAGGTACGGGTTCGGTCCGAGACAGTGCCTGGGAAAGAACGTCGCGGACCGCTTGATTCGCGCAATCATTGCGGAGCTTTTGCAACACTTCCAGCTTCGTCTCTCTGTCGTGGCTAAGACTGGCGACCAGGAGTTTTTGCTCGAGGATGAAAGCTGGGTGGGACTACCTACCACCGAGGTCATCATGACGAAGCTAGAATAGACCGTCTCGCTATCCATTAATGTCTAGCTTTACTTTAATACCTCTTGTAAAAGGAATCGGTTGATTGTCTGGTAAATGCAGTACATTTTAGTTTGGCATAGGAGAACGGGAGGTTGGCCCGCCACGCTCTTGCCCACTGACTTCGTGGGTGTTGATCCGTGGTACAGTCATACACCATTTTTCCCCCAACTTATATGAACTCTACTTGAGCTGATAGTACGTTTCAGTGGAGACATTGAGCGAAGAATATAATAAATCCACGGCGAAATTATTAATTAGACTTTAAACGATGAACAAAAATTCTCACCACATGGGGATTCTGCGGAAAAGGGGCAGGGAAGCATATCACAGATCAAGAAGATGATACGGAAAGATTCTAGTTGAATATCCCATTTCGAGCATGTTTTACTACTTAGTCTTTCTTCACCCCAGCATTTTCCCTCAATTTCCTCATGTCCAATCCCTCCCTCTGCGCCTCAGCCCACGTCTTCTCAACGATGTCGGCGTGCTGCTGGCTGCGGATCTCAAAGTGGCAGGGGAACTTGACCGGAGTCAGGAGGAAGCCCGGCTCGGCGTTCAGCGGCGGCTCGAGCACATTCCCGTTGCCATCGACAGACTTCCGAATGTTGTAAGCCCACAGGATGCGGGCGATGTTGATGAAGAGCGAGTTGTGCGCAACGTGGATGCCCGGGCAGTACCGGCGACCGGCGCCAAAAGTGAAGTGGCCGCGCGCCATCGGGTCGGGGGAGTTCATGGCCTCGGCCGGCGTGAGCGGGTCGTCGATGTAGCGGGATGGATCAAAGCGGTCGGGATCTTCGAAACGCTCCGTGTCGTAGTGAAGGGCCCTGACAGGAGGTTGTTTGCATTAGCTCGAGTACGGAGGGGAAGGGGAGGGACTGCATCACTTACCACCAGTTCAGAACCACCACCGCTCCTTTTGGAATAAAGTATCCCTTGTACCAGTCATCCTTTGTCGTGGCGTGGCAGGTGCCAACCTTGGTGGTGGCACGCCAACGCAGCGTCTCCTTTGCGAAACCTCGGATGTAGGGGAGATTGGGCTCATCATCAAAGGTGGGCATCCTGTCCTTGCCAACCACCCGGTCAAGTTCCTCGTGAGCCTTTTCCACGACTTCCGGATACAGCAGACATGCCAGAATGACGTTATTTAGTGCAGTGGTTGTCGCATCGCTGCCCGCTTCGATGAGAGCGCCGGCCGTGTATGCAGCCAACTCAGGCCCGACGTTGTTCTTGCGGGTCCCGATGGTTTCGATGTCCTTGATGAAGCAGTCAGGTGCGGTGCCGTCCTTGATCTTCTCCAAGCAGTCGTTGTACAGCCGCATGTAGACTTTGGCGTCCTCCTCATGCCACTTTCTGCCAATGTTCTTCCAGTTCTGCAGCAACCGCGACGGAATGTACTTGGCGAGTGACGGCACGGTATCGGCGATCCAGACGCCGGGAGCGGACGCGAGGGTAAAGTGCCGGATGATGGTGAAGATCTCGTCGTAGAGCGGATCAGCCCAGCTGGTAATGCGGCGTCCGTACGTGACGAGCATGATGACGCTGGCCGAGTACCGGCGGTTGATGTTGTAGAACTCGTGGTCGTCCTTGACGTGGAGCAGTTCCCAAAGGACCGACTTCGTCTCAAAGTCCTGCACCGGCTTGTACATGACGGATGTCTCAAGGTTCAGAGCAGCATGCAGCAGGTTGCGGACCTTGCGCCATTTGTCGTTGTAGGGCATGAAGTTGACCCTGTTCTCGTTGGAAACAAGGTTGATCATGGGTGCATGAGCACGTGATGAGTAGATATTGCCGCGCTTATCCATGAGGTCCTTGACGGCCTGAGGCGAAGAGAGCCAGATGTAGTGCTCAAGGCCAACTTTGGTGTGGAAAATCTCGCCGTATTCGCGTGCCCATTCGGCCGCACGCTTGGGCATGCTGTCGATATCAGACATCTCAAGCATCGAGCCAATTAATGGGAGACCCTTTGGGCCCGGCGGGAGGTGCTTGAGGCGGCTGTCGCGCGCCAGCAGCCAGTAGGCAAGGGCGACGAACTGCAACAACATATTAGCAATGGCTCATCGCTTGGAGCTCAGGGCGCACCGTCACAGCCAACGCCAGGTAGGCCGACGGCGGAGCCGTGCCAGCGAGAATATTTGACGACATGGTGCAAGGGTCAGAGGTGGATCCTGGACGACTCTGATGCGGAATTTACGACGTTCAGCAAATATGATATATTTGTCTCGGCTTTTACGCATGCGGTGCTCGATAATACCATGCAGGTGGTGCTCGGCTGCCGGCAGGGATAAGAAGTTTCCGCGAATGTCTCCGGAGCGACCAGGGGCCGCTCCCACTCTTCCACGCTCCCATCGGGCAGTTTCACGCACAATCGCGGATGCAAAGCGCATAGGTTGATGCCACTCTTTCAGTCCCTCACACCGTCGCCTTCAATTGCCGCAGTCACAACGATGACCACGAAACCAGGCAGTTCAGCCCACAACAGGCAAGCCAAGAGACTTGGAGTATCTTGGGAAGATCTCACAGTCAAGGTCAGGGGAGCCACCAAGCAACATGTCAGGACGTTTCCAGACGCCGTTGTTGGCAGCTTCGGCCCTGACCTGTACCGCCTCGTACGCAGCTGGTTCCCATCAACTGCCGGTGCCGACACCAGAACGATTCTCCATGGCTTTTCCGGCAGTATTCGCAGCGGCGAGATGCTCCTCGTGCTTGGTCGCCCTGGCTCGGGGTGCACAACTTTTCTGAGAGCCATTGCAAACCACCGCCACCACTTTCTGGAAGTCTCGGGCGACGTCAGCTACGGCTGCATCTCGGCCCGTGAACAAGCAGAGCATTACCGCGGCGAGATCACCTACTGCCCCGAGGATGACGTTCATTTTCCTCGGCTGCGCGTCTGGGACACTCTCCTCTTTGCTTTGCAGTGCAAGGCTGGAAAGCAGAATGCCAGCACAATATCCGAGACGGCTCACGGCCTTCTCGAGGCATTGAGGCTAGAAGGAGTCAGAGAAACTCGCGTCGGCGATGCCTTCATCAGGGGTGTTAGCGGCGGCGAGCGGAAGAGGGCAAGTCTCCCAGACTCGGCGGCCACACGAGCCTTACTGACGGCTGCCAGATATCCATAGCCGAGATTCTTGCGGCTGATTCTGCGCTAACTTGCTGGGATAACAGCACTCGTGGCCTGGACAGCGCAACCGCCCTAGAGTACGCCAAAACCCTGCGCAACGTCACCGATTCGGGGAACAGGAGCACTGCTGTGACGCTCTACCAGGCGGGAGAGGGCATTTACGCCCTCATGGACAAAGTCTTGCTCATTGATGACGGTCGATGCGTCTTCTTTGGCCCGGCGGCAGAGGCCAAACAGTAGGTGCCTACATAGCCTTGCAACACTCCAACGGAGAGCTGATACGAACACAAGATATTTCATTGACCTCGGCTTCGAGTGCCCACCGCGCATGACCACGGCCGACTTTCTAGTCTCGGTGACGGATCCCATAGCACGCCGGATCCGCGCCGGATACGAGGACCGTGTGCCACGCACTGCCGAGAGCCTTGAGGCCGCGTACAACCGCTCGTCGCATCATCGGGCCATGATGCAGGACACGCAGGCCTACCGAGCGGAGCTCCAGGACAGCCAGTGTGCCGAGACAGAGGACTTCAAGCGGCTCGTTGCCGAATCCAGGGGCAGTCGCATCCGGAAGGGCTCCGTCTACAATGCCAGTTTCCCGAAGCAGGTGTTCGCCTGTGCCCGGCGTGAGGTGTGGCTGCTCGTCAACGAGCCGATGATCTCTGCAACGAAGTGCTGGAACATCCTGGTCAACGCTCTGGTTGTCGGCTCGCTTTTCTACGGCCAGGGCCTGGACACGTCGGGAGCCTTCAGCCGCGGCGGCAGCCTTTTCTTCTCTGCGCTGTTCATCTGTTGGGTCCAGCTGCCTGAGCTCAATATCGTACTTGCCGGCCGACCCGTCGTCCAGCGACAACACGGCTACGCCTTCTACAGGCCTGCGGCCCTGGCACTAGCCAAGGCGCTGGTCGACGGTCTGGTTCTGGCTGTTGCATCGATCCTGCTTTCCATCATCTTCTACTTCATGGCCAATCTCGACACTGAGCCTGGCAAGTTCTTCGTATACCTGCTATTCGTATTCATGGTCTCGTACAGCATGACGGAGCTTTACAGGATGTTCGGCTCGGTGTCTTCTACCCTGGACACGGCCATTCGCTTCAGCAGCACCGCCCAGAACCTGCTTGTGCGCCGCCTCCCCACCCCGCTCCAGGGCCATTGCTAACACCGCATTCAGATCATCTTCTCCGGTTACATCGTGCCCAGAGCGGATATGAGCAGCTCCGCGCCGTGGTTTGCCTGGGTATGTGACTATCTCATGCTTCCGCGCTGCTCCTTCTGACATGTCTAGTTATATTGGATCAACCCTGTTGCCTACGGGTTCGAGGCTGTGTTTGCGAATGACTTCAGAGGCAGGACCATGACTTGTTCAGGCGACCTTATCGTGCCTCGCGGATCCAACGCGGTTTCCGGCTTCCAAAGCTGTGCCATTGAAGGCTCTGAATCCAACAGCCTGCTGGTCAGCGGCGAACAGTATCTGGACACGGCATACCAGTATCGCCCTCGAAACATCTGGCGCAACTTTGGAGTGCTGATTGCGCTGACGATCCTTTACGTCCTTCTCACTGCGCTCTTCTCCGAGCTCATCGAGTTCCCCGATGCCCGGGCTGGCGGGCTCATGTTCAAGAGAAAGGCCCGCAGCTTGTTGAAAGTGCGTCCGCACGACGAGGAGGCCGCACCCGCTGCGAAAAAGGATGCAGGGATCCACACGCGCGTGTCCGACAGCGCCGACGTCTTCATGTGGAAAAACCTGAACATCACCGTTCCCTACGGTTCTGGGGGCGAGAAGCACCTTCTGAGGGACGTCTGCGGCTATGCCAAGCCAGGCAGTTTGGTGGCTCTAATGGGCGCCTCTGGAGCGGGGAAGACGACGCTGCTCAGCCTCCTCGCGCAGCGTGACACGCCAGGCACCACGTCGGGCGAGATTCTGGCCAGCGGCAAGCCCGTCGATGCCTCTTTCCGCAGGGACACGGCCTTCTGCGAGCAGTTCGACATGCACGATGGGAGCGCAACGGTTCGCGAAGCCCTCGAGTTTTCCGCTCTCCTCCGCCAGAACGGCGGCACGCGGCGCGAGAAGTTGGAGTACGTCGACACCGTCATCGACATCCTGAATCTGGCCGACGTGCAGGATGCCGTCATCTCGAGCCTCGGTGAGTTTCCCACGCGCTCCGAAACCTTGCGTGTTACTCTGTGCTGACTGCCATTCTAGGGCTGGAGTTGATGAAGAGGACCACGATCGCGGTTGAACTCGTGGCCAAGCCGTCGAAGGTGCTGTTTCTCGATGAGCCGACGACCGGATTGGACAGCCAGTCGGCCCTATCCATCGTGTATTTCCTCAAGAAGCTAGCTCGCGCGGGGCAGGCAATCGTCTGTACCGTGCACCAGCCGAGCTCCGAGCTTTTTGAACTGTTTGACACCATCCTCGGCCTCGGCCCCGGGGGCAGGACCTTTTACTTTGGCGAGATTGGTCCGCAGGGCCAGGCCGTGCTGGACTACTTCTCCGCCCGCGGCGTCCACGTGCCAGAGGAGACGAATATCGCCGAGTTCATCCTCGAGGCATCCATAAAGTCGGGACAGACCGGGACCATCGACTGGGCTGCGGAGTGGGAGCATTCCGAGGAGCGTGCGGCTCTCATGGCACAGCTGGACGGTTTCAACAGCGTGCAGAAGACCGAAGGGCCTGAGCTGTCTTCTCGTCCGCGCCGCAGCGAGTACAACGCGCCCGTCAGCCTCCAGACGTGGCTCCTCACCAAGCGCGCCCTCGTGCAATACTGGCGGGACCCGCCGTACGTCTACGCCAAGATCTTCGTCGCCGTCGTCATCGGCATCGCCAACGGCTTCATCTTCTGGCGGGCGGGCGAAGGCAGCTCGCCGACCGACCTGCAAAACGTCATGTTTTCCTGCTTCGTGCTGGTCATCATCCCGGCCGCCATCGTCAACGGCATCCTTCCCAAGTTCCACTCCAACATGGCCCTCTGGGAAGCCCGCGAGCTGCCGTCGCGCGTCTACGGCTGCTTCGCCTTCTGCACCGCCCAGATACTCGCCGAGATCCCCTACGCCGCCCTCACTGCCGTCGTCTACTTCCTGCTCTGGTACTACCCCGTCGGGCTGCCTGCCGATTCGAGCACCGCCGGCTACGTCTTCTTCATGACGCTGCTCTACATCTTCCACATCACCACCATGGGCCAGTGGTTCTGCGCCTGGGCCCCCAACTTCACCGTCATCAGCTACGTAAGTCCCCAGCCGTGCCCCGCCAGTCCCCCCCGTCTGCCGCCCAATTAGCTAACACATCAGCCCCCAACAAGACGCTCCCCACCGTGCTCGGCGTCTTCTCACTCTTCAACGGCATCATCATCCCCTACGAGGGCATGTCGGTCGTCTGGCGCTACACGATATACTGGATCAACCCGACGACGTACTGGATGGGCGGCGTGCTGGGCGCCACGCTGCGCGACAAGCCGGTGCGCTGCTCGCTCGCCGACGCGACGCGTTTCGCGCTCCCTGCGAACGCTTCTACGTGCGCCGACTACGCGGGCGAGTTCGTTGCCCGCGCTGGCGGCTACTTGCTCTCCGCCGACGACGACGACGGCGTGCCGGATGGCGAGTGCGCGTACTGCAAGTTCCGCGTCGGAGACGACTACCTGCGTACGCTGCACGTTGACGCGGCTGACAGGTGGCGGAACTGCGGTATCTTTGCTGCTTTCTGCGTGGCGAATGTGTTGTTGCTGTTTTTCTTTGTTTACACGTAAGTCAAATGGTGGTGGTGATTCTCTGCTGGGTTGTTTTTGGCTGACTGACGATTTTTCATGTTTAGGACTCGGGTTCGTAAATTGTCGCTGGGATTCGGCAGCATTGGGAAGGTGATTGGAATGGTCTCTAAGAAGGTTGGAGGATCTTAATGGGAGGATGATGACACGGGGGGTGGAGGTGCACAACAAAGGTAATGGCGATGTTATATGGATACAAATATTTAATACAAGTCCCTCGTCATCGAATGGCTTCTTGTCGAATTTGGACGAAGTTGAGCTTCCCTCCGTCGCCACTACCCCAGATGTAGCGGTGGATGCAGTCATGATACTTCCACATCAGCTTGTAAAGGAAAACGCAGGTGAAGGCAACCCATGCGGGGCAGTTCCCCTCGCTGTCGACGTTCCACGTTGTAAGACGGACAACGCGTCTCAGGAACGGCCTCCACGTGTACTCGAAGATGAGTGCTCCCACAGTCGGCCTCGCAGGCTTCTGGTAGCGGGGAAGAGACTCGAGATAATCGACGTACGTCTGAGGGAGGCCATTACCTTTTGCTCCGCTGATGAAAAGGTCCTTCGGAGCCGCCGTTAGACAATGTGCTGTCCGCCACCAGCAGTGGGCCGTACTCACCAGGTATCGTGCACTCGGAGCACCGTTCGGGCGTATCGGGTGCTTGGCCTTCAACGTGACGGCGTCGATCGTCTCGCCCAAGTCCAGCAGCAGAGCCTGTACGGCAACGACTTCGTACACGACACCGCTGCCTTCAGTCACGAGAAGGCGGTGGAAGTCGTCGGGCGTCAGCAGGTACGCGACGCCGCAGACGGGCGGCACGGCGAAGCGCTGCGTGCCCCAGACCAGCTCGACGCCGGAGGAGCGTCCGTCAGCGGGAAAAGCCTCGACGCTGGCGTATGAAGGCTCGGAGTAAGGGATGCCGAATATGTCGAAGGTGAGGTAGTGCGTCGTCGCCTGAACGGTTGCGCAGCGCAGCGGCTGGACAGAACGTTTGGCCATGGAGGCCTGGCTCATGTTGGATCCATACGCGAGATACCAGATCGGCTTCGATTCCATCGGAAAAGCTGTCGATTGCATTGCTACATGAAGTTCAGCAACGATGAAAGGTTGGAGCGAGCACTGGATGGCGAGTGCAAGGACAGCCGCTAGGCAGCCGAAGAAGCTTCTTCGGTGTCCGAGAGCCGGCTGTCGATTCCCGAAGCCGATGCTCAGGAGTCGGTGCCCTTCTTAAGCTGGCTGTGGTAGTGCTCTGTCTAGACCAAAGACGAAGCTCACCATGATCGACATCACGTCCTCGCGTTCGCTCACCTCGGACATTCCAGACATCCCCTGCCTTCTGATCGTGGAAGGCCGGTACCAGAACTGGATCAAGCCTGTGATCTTGTTCGAGGCCCTGGGTGTGCCGTGGGACCCCGTCGTGCTCGATCGCGAAGCTGCGGCTGCTGATTGGTTCCGCAAGATCCATCCGCAGCTGTACGTGCCTGCGCTCATTGACAAGGCCGATGGCGGACGGGTTCAGCTCTGGGACAGCACGACCATCTTGATGTACTTGGGTCAGCACTACGACACTGCGAAGCAATTCGTTGGGAAGTCGGCCCAGGAGGACGTCGAGATCGGCAACTGGCTAATGTTTGAGACGGCTTCGCTTGGGTAAGCCGGCTGAGACCAACTTCGGCAGGATCCGCTGACAAGATACAGACCGACGGCCAAGTACTGGGTGTGGTACGACATGCGCACAGGAGCCGACGTCAACCAGAAGGCCCAACAAAAGTACGTGTCCGCGTCCGACTGATCCCTGCGCGTCGTTGCTGATGATGAGACTCAGGATGATGACGGATCTGAAAAAGCAGTACTCGATTCTCAACCAGAGGCTCTCGGAGCCCGGCCAGAACTGGATTGCGCTCAAAGACAGACCGACCATTGCCGACATATCGATCCTACCCTTCACGGACCACAACACGCTTGGGAGGATGCAGGTTGACATACAAGAGTGGCCCGCCCTGGCCGGCTGGTACAAGAGGATGATGGAGCTCCCATACGTGAAGAAGGCGTACGATGAATTAGAGTCACGGCCGGCGAAGAAAATTGTGTAGTGGTAGATGTTGCTGTCATTGGTCTACAACTTAGGTAGAAATCTGGTAGAAGCAAACAAATTGCCTTTGTCACGGGCACACATGTGGCGCTATTGCGACTCCTTGCTCGCCTCCAGCGCAGCCGCACCCTCTTCGTTGCACAGCTGCATCGAGACTACGGCACCAGCGCGGCAGCCTGGTGATTGATTAGCCGGGTAGCCACATGGGCGGGTGGCGCAAACGTACCTGCTCCCAGGGCCAGAGAGGCCTGCTTGACGACTTCGGAGGTGTCGCCAGCAACAATGCAGCCGGGGACGCTGGACTCGGTAAACAGCGCGTCGACGGCCACGTCGCCCGAGGGAGTCGTCTTGAGGCCGAGCTGGTCGATGAGGTGCTGGCCGCGGTTGCGCGTGGGCGGCTTGTGCATCAGCAGGCCCAGGGTGGCGCTGGGCCCGTCGTCGAACTCGAGCGTGATGCCGCGCTCCGGGCCTTTGCCGTTGTTGACCAGACGGCGGATGCGGCGCGTGTCGAGCGTGGCGCCGCTGGCCAGGGCCACGCGCAGGGCGTGCTGCACGGGAGCGGCGTCGGACACGGGCCCGTTGCTGTAGATGGTGACTTTCGGATTGAGGTGCAGGGCCATGACCGACAGGTGGCCGTAGGCGGGCGAGTCGAAGGCCAGCACGCCCATGGGGTAGGCGCGCTCGTCGAAGCCGTCGCAGAAAAGGCACTGCACAATGTGGTCGGGCCAGTTTTGGCGGTAGCCGTCAATGTCGTCGGGCAGCACGTCCTCGGTGCCTGTAGCCAAGACCAGCTTGCGGCCGCGGAACACGGCGCCGGCGTCGTCGGTCAGCTGGAAGCCCTTGCGGCCCGGCTCGAGGTCGATGTGGGCGGCGTGCGTGACGTGGGAGGCGTGAAAGGAGACGGTCGGGTAGCGCTCAATCTGGCGGCGGGCGACGGCGCGGAACTCGCTCGGATCCATGCCGTCGCGCGAGAGCACCGTGTGCATGGCCGTGACGCCGGCGTTGCGGTACACGCCCGTGTCGAAGACCAGCGCGGTGCGGCACACGCGGCCGAGGGCGAGGGCAGCCGCGAGCCCCGCGGGGCCGCCGCCGACAATGAGAGCGTCGTAGAGCATTATTGCTATTGATGTGCCGCTGCATGCGCGTTGTCGGCCGGGCATAAATACGAACAAAATGTGTCCGGAAACTCTCCGGCGGCTCGCTACCCGACGCAGGATATACCTGCCTATTGTAAGAGCCGCCAGCACGCATGCATGTTCCACCGCGATGCCGCCCGCCGCCCTCTCCGCCCGCATCCAGGCCGACATGGCCTGGTTCAGCGACGCCTTCCGCCGCCATGTCGCCAAGGAGAACAGCGTCGGCCCGGCTCCCATCGACCTGGGCACGGCCGAGAACCGCCTGGCACACGGTGACATGGTCGAGCTGCTGCAGCGCGCCGCCGCCGACTTCCCTGCGCACCTGCTCTGCTACGCCAAAGGGCTCGGCGCTAACCAAGAGCTGCTGCACGCCGCCGCCGCCTTCTTCAACAGCTTCTTCCGCCCGCGCGTGCCCGTATGCCCCGAGCACATCGTCGCTGGCCCGGGTGCCAGCGCCCTGCTGGAGACGCTCGCCTACTCGCTCTGCGCCGACGGCGACGCCATCCTCGTCGAGGCGCCCTACTGGAGTGCGTGCTGCCGGCCAGCCGCACCGCTGACACCGCTGACGCCGCCGCAGGCAGCTTCAACGTCTACTCGACCGTGCGCAACCATGTCCAAATGGTGCCCGTCCACTGCCCGCCGCCGCCGTGCAGCCCAGCCGAGTACGTCGCCTGCTTCCGCAACGCCCTGCGCAGCTCGCGCCGCCGCGTCCGCGCCATCCTGCTCTGCAACCCGCAGAACCCCCAAGCCCACATTCATGCGCGCGGCACCATCGAAGCGCTCCTGCAGTTCTGCGAGGAGGCCGACCTGCATTTCGTCTCGGACGAGATCTACGCCCTCTCCGCCTTCGGCCCGCTGCCGGGCTGCGGCGGGCTGCAGTCGCCGTCCCTGTCCTTCGATTCCGTCCTGGCCATGGACTTGGAGCGGCTGCGTGTCGACGCCTCCCGCGTGCATCTACTCTACAGCATCAGCAAGGATTTCGGGAGCAGCGGGCTCAGAATGGTAAACCAAAAAAAAATAACAGCTCTGCCGCCCGTGCGCTGACTTCGGGCACCCGCAGGGCTTCGTCGTCACACAAGCACACCCAGAGTTGCGGTACAGCCTGTCAGTCTTGAACTTCGCCAGGTTCTCCAACGCCGCGTCGTGGGTGGCGACGCGTCTGCTGGGCGACCTGCCCGAGGTGCAGCGCCTGGTCGACGTCAACCGCTCGCGCCTCCGCACCGCCGCGACCCTGGCCGTGCGCTTCCTGGACTTCCACGACCTCCCATTCTACCAGCCCGCCGCAGGGCTGTACGTCTGGGCGCGGCTCGGCCCGCCCGGTTGCTCCTGGGAAGACGAGGCCCGCCTGCTTGCCGAGTTTGCGGCTGCGGGCGTGTTTGTGGGCGCGGGCGGCGAGTATTCGAGCCCGGAGCCGGGCTGGTTCAGGCTGACGTTTGCCATCCCGCGCGACGAGCTGGTGGAGGCTCTGCGGCGCATCGAGCGCGTCTTGGGCGTCGTCAAGCACTGGCGGCCTGACGCGTGATGCCATTGGTCGTGTCGGCTGCCGATATTGCCTATTTTGGTTAGAGCATCGCCGGGGACCGACGGATCGTGGCGCTGGCGTTTTTAGTCCCCGTCATGTCGCAACGTCAAGACTGTTCGTAAATAAGGGAAATTTTTATGGAGACTGGTTTCTCGGTCCCCGCGTAGCTTTAACGGCCAAGGTCATAAATAAGGAGTCGACGCCCCTTGACGCTGGAAAACCGGGTGCGCAAATGGAGCAGCAATGCGGAGAGCAGCCCGTTGCCGGGCGCGAGTTCCTGCCAAGAGCCCAGCAACTTCTACGTGAAACCCCTCTCATAGGTCAGCTGCCCCTTGCCGCCGATCTTGACCCGTCCACACCACTGATGTAGACCATGGCCAAAGACGGTCACAACGATTTTCCGTACATGATCCGAGCATGGTACTCGAACCAGTTCGACCGCCCCGACTTCAACGTGCATGACATGCCCGTCGGCCACACCGACATCCGACGCCTCCGGGAAGGCATGCTGGGCGGCCAATTCTGGAGCGCCTATGTCCCGTGGTGGGTATTCAATATCGGAATCCGGTCCAGGGGAGGAGGACGACGACGACGACGATGCGAGCTAACGTCCCCCGTCCTACTTATATAGCCCGAAGGTCGGTGACGTCGACACCGACGTCGTCCCGCAAAGCAGCTACCTGGAGAGTTTTCGGCAAACAATCGAGCAGGTGGACGTCATCCACAGCCTGTGTCGGCGCTATCCCGAGACCTTTGGCTTCGCCGATTCGTCGTCGTCCGTATGGAGCGCCTTTCGCGCGGGACGCATAGCCAGCCTGATCGGCGTGGAGGGCCTGCATCAGACCGCCAACAGCCTCAGCGCGCTGCGCATGCTGCACCGGCTCCGTGTGCGTTACGTGACCCTCTCGCACAACTGCAACAATGAGCACGCCGATGCTGCTGTGCGTGATAGACTCCCGCCCGCTTGCCCCATATGCCCCCCGTTTGATGCCCGAGCAAAAAAAGCTGACATGTCAGCCGTAGACGACGAAGGCGAAGCGCCACCGAGGTCTCTCCGTGCTCGGGGAAAAGGTGCTCCGTGAGATGAACGCAATCGGAATGTGCGTGCTCCCCATTCCTAGAGCTCCTGGAAACGAGCAAAAAATTGACCATCGTTCAGGATTATCGATCTGTCCCACACCTCCGACGAGGTTCAGAAGCACGCCATCCGGCTTTCCACAGCTCCTGTCATCTTCTCCCACTCGTCAAGGCACGTTCCTCGATGCCGCCGCCCAAGCTCGATAGAGAGAGAGACTGACGCGCCAGAAAGCTATACGCTGTGTCCGCACCCGCGGAACGTCACGGACGAGGTTTTGGACATGCTCCGGGAGAACAACGGTGTCATCATGGTCTGCTTTTTGAGAGAGCTGACGGACGCGAACCAAGAGAAAGCAACACTGTCGAGAGTGGCGGACCACATTGAATACATCGGCCGGAGAATCGGCTATGCTCACGTTGGCATAGGATCGGATTTCGACGGCATGCTTCGTGGGCCGGACGGTCTGGAGGACACGGCCAAGTACCCGTATCTCATTTGTGAGTTGCTGAGACGGGGGATAGGAGAAGAGGATGTGAGGAAGATTATGGGGTTGAATGTCATTCGAGTGCTGGAGGACGTAGAGAAGACTGCTCGCATAGCACAGCAGGGGCATTCTCCCATCCCCTTTGATGAGGTCGAACAGATATTTGATAGCAAGCTTCGAGATCAGATACTCCAGGAAAGGGCGCGAGGAAAAGAGGTTACTGTAAGGCGTAGGTGCATTGAGGCGGAACAGGGGGCTCACTGCTGATGAAAACAAGAGGATTAGATTGTTACGCAACGTAGTGAATAAGAATTCTATTAGATTGTATATACAAAAAGAAGCTGCTAAGGAAGAGAAAGCCCTAAGAAAAATTGAGCTCAAGTAGAAAGAGAAATGCGCCAGTAGAGTTAGGTTATTTTTAAAGCTTAACAGTATTTATTTTCGCTAAAAGTAATTCTAAAAGAGTGTCTAATACTCTAGTATACACACCCCGATACACCGCCTCAACACTCGACACAACAGCAGCACCCTGCAGCCTCTCAACCATCTCCCTAATCTCGTCCATCCGCCTCACCGCCAAAATCCGCAGCACCTCCTTACTATCGCCATCATTCACAGCATACCCACCGCACCGCAGCATCGGAGTCTCGGCGGCGCCGATGGTGGCGTCGCTGCTGCTGCTACTACAGCAGTAGTCCGCAATCCCGAGCGTGATGTCGAGCGCGCGCTCGAGCGCCAGGCACAGCAGCATCACCGTCGAAACGCGCGCCAGGCAGTGCCCGCAGCGCGCCATGCGCGCGCAGTGCTCGACGTAGCTGCGCGACCGCTGCACCGCGCACAGCACCGCCGCGCCGGCCGACCGCCGTATGCCGCTGCACGGCGGGCGGGACAGCAGCTTCAGCAGCTCGGGGCCCGAGGCGCAGCACGGAGATGCAGACGCCGGGAGGGGGAGCAGCAGCGACGACGATGACGATGACGATGACGAAGAGGAGGAGGACGAGGATGAGGATGAGGATGAGGAGGACGATGGTGGCGGTGTGCTGAGGGACGTCGTCGAGTGCGACGAGAGGGAGAGGGAGGAGGCGGCGGCGGAGCAGGGATTGGGCGCAGCCTGCTCGCCCAACGATGGCAGCAGCCCCGGAGAGTGCAACAGCGCTGCTCCGGAGAAAAGCGCCACGTCCGTCCCGCCCCCTTCCGCTTCACCCAACGGGCCGCTGCTGAGAGATGGGACGCAGGAAAGTAGCTGCTCCAATGGCGTCAGGGGCGTGCTGAGTGCCGTTAACGTTCCGGTTGCCATCGGGTCGTAGCTGTCAAAACTCAGGAGCGTGCTGGTTGAATCGTCGGGTCCCGCTAGGGCGAACATGCTGTCGAAATCGCAGGTTGTGGATGCTGATTCCGCAAAGGTGGCCGGTAGCATCCAATCATGTTGGTGTTGGTGTTCTTGTTCTTGCTCTTGTCCTTGATGGTGTCCTCGTTCTTGACCTTGTTGGAGTCCCTGCTCTTGTTCTTGGTCTTGCACTTGTCCTTGTCCTTGTCCTTGTCCTTGTCCTTGTCCTTGTCCTTGTTCCTGGTCTTGGCCTTGGCCTTGGTCTTGGTCTTGGTCTTGGTCGTGGTCTTGGTCGTGGTCTTGTCGTTGCCCTTGTCGTTGCCCTTGTCCTTGTCCTTGACCTTGTGCTTGTTCTTCCGGCAGCTGCAGGTCCTGCGGCTTTGGCGTCAGGGCAGGGGCTGAAGAGACGATGGTGGTGGCGGTGGCGGTGCTGTGGGTTCGTGGGCGGCCCATGCGTCGAGATGGACTGTACACGCAATTAATGTGGTGCTTCTCACAGCGTGCACATGTCGGGCGCCGCTGATCGCAGCGAACCTTGCTTCGCTGGCAGCTGTCGCATGATTGGCGTATCTTGGGCGCTTTGGGATGCTTCATTAAAGAGCGATGATGTGAATTCAAGTGGTGATGGCGACATCGGCTACTTTGAGTGGCTGAGATATATATATGTATAGATGGCTTCCTTAGTCAGGCTTCCTTCCCAGGAATCTGTGCTGACCATGGAGGATCATACCCCCTGGAGAGTGGCGCATATGCTACTGATCTATTCTCTACCGAATTTCATCCTGGTGAGTAACGTTTTGGGAAACTCGCTCCGTGGCCACCGCGGCTAATCATCCTAGTACCCGTCCGGACACCGACGGATCCTGTTTGCATAATCCCAGTCCCTAACGCTTATCTAGTCTGGTACTTGTCTCGGAGGGCGCCGAGTTGACTGAGGGTGCAGCGTACCAAGTCATGGCACGCTGAGAAGTCACCGCCTCTTTCGGAAAGAGTCCGCTCGAGCGAGGCTACGGTAGAGGAGAGGCGAGCTAGCCGCAGCTCTATGAGGCCGTGGCTGAGGATCTTGGCGTCGGCGGGATCGAGAGCGTAGTTGTCAAGCGACATGGTGGCTTGCGAGCACCCCCGGGTCTTGGCATCAGAGTCCCACAGCTGCTCCAGCCACCGAACCACAGACAAGCTGAGCATGGCTACGGCGGCGAGAGAGCTCTGCTGTTGACAGCATTTAATGCAGTCTAGCAGCGCCAGACAATCGTTCTCGGCGCGTTTGGCCACCTCCAGCGCAGTCTCGAACGGCACCGTCGTGCTAGCGAGCTGTTCACTGCGGAGTAGGGCTCGTAGAGCTTCCAGAGTGCAGTGGCAGCCGCCGTCGGGTCGCATTGCCATGATTAAAGATGTCTGCAGCGCTCTGATTAGTGGTCAGGGGGGGCTGGAGAAAGGGGTCCCTCTTACTTGTTTGCGTGTCTTGAAGGATTGAGGCGGAACGGGTAGAGGTGAGTCAAGAAGCATACTAAGACTCATTCATGAGTAGCTACAACGCTAATACATAGTGGCTAGTCGGCTACACAGACTCCGATGCCGCATACGGTCGGTGTACGACAGTACCATCAGCGCGGATCGTGTGGCAGGGGGACGCGAAGCTGAATCCAAACTTCTGGTTCAATCGGTTTTGCAAAGACCACATCCCCCTCTGCTATTGAAACCGCGCTAGCGCTTGGGCCACAGTACGGGATATAGGCCTGTACTGAGGTCCAAGCGTGGCTTTTGTCAGCGTGTTGCTGAAAATCAGCAAATTACGGTAGCCACATTTCCGAGATTCGCGACCAATCTGCGACCTTTTAGGAAAGCGGGCAAGCGGAGCAGCGAATCTAGGTGAAGGATTACCTATCTTGTGCCGATCCGGACCAACCCCTCAAGAGACTGCGACCCACTGCGGCCACACCAACACTACAGTCTGGCCAGGCCAACGATAGTACATAGGCACACACGTAGATAGAGACGTTAGTTGTCAATTCCAATCATTGATTTACCTTCCCTGCTGCCATTCTCTACATTTTCGTCCAGTGATAGCCTGATAGCGAACCGTGAGCCGCTGCACACGTCCCTTCCTCCGATGCGCAGCGTAACAACCGAGGTAGCGGAATTTCAGCGCAAAAAGTCCGTGTCAACCATGGAGCGCATCCCCAATGCAATACGCTCTTCTTAGAAATAGTCGCTACCCTCTGGGACGGGGTACCGGTCCAGACGGGGTAGTGGGACAATCAATCAAAGAGCCACATTCAGTCGCTGAAGATGCCTTGATGAGCGATCCGAGGAAAATGCACCCGTATCATCACAGCATATCGTTGGCTGTCCCATTTCTCCGTCTGTCCCGGTAACCCGTCCCAGGTGTTAGGTTTTATAACCATGGTTCCAGGCGTAAATCATATTAGCTCAGCGCTATGCTTAAATAATTACCAGGCTTATTCACTATAAAACATATACTATCTGGCCAATCTCTACATCTGGTTACCGAAGTCTGTCCTCAAATAAACAAAAATTACGTGTCCCACACGGATACCACGCTAACACGATTGATAGCTCAACCATAGTACCCGGCGCGCGGGTTCATACACCTTGTTGTCCACCGCTGGTTCGGATTCGGAAACCTGTCAGCTCGCAATATTGCTCCTAGATTCCTTTTGGAATCTACAAGCGGGGGCCCCACAGTATATTGCGGTCGGGCGGGGAAATGTTTTGCCTCCCCCACTTGGGCGTCAACCGTCGTTTCCAGGATAGTTGCAGCATTCTGTTGGCTTCTTTGGCTCCTGATTAACAGACCCACAGTAGAAAAGAACGCCCTCCGACCACGGTAATAGGCGGACGCTGGCGGATGTCTACGGATACCTCGGATTATGCATTCACGCTAGCATCGGAAAATCGGGTCGTGTTGCGCAATCTGGATGCGTGCATTAGACAGGTTTAGTAATACGAATAGTAGCTGTTTTGGCGCGATAGAGGGGCCATTTGCGCGCTCGATTCGGCGCTTTGCACTAATGCACTCGAATCTGCTCACAAAGCCTAAAAGTCGGATGCCGTTCTTGACTGCTTTCAGAATCGAAGCATGGCTTTGCGTGAAATGCGATGCTAAACCTCTCTATTTGCCCGTCTCTATAATCGGGTGTCTATGGCGGTGACTGAGATGCCTTACACCTTACAAAGAACTGTGCGTCAATCAAACGGCGCAATCTGGCACATCTAACTGGGGTAGACAGGGTTGTATTGCAGCGGTGTCATGACTACCATCGAAGCAAGCCAAAGAAGGTGGCTGACGTGCTTGGCATTTATCCGTTCGGGTATATAACGGAACATGAGCCCAATTGCCTGGACCATGCTTCAAGCTGCCCCACGTGGGAAGGCGAGCAACTTTATGCGCTTCCAAGTTACAAGATGTGCATGAAATGGCCAGTCGCCGACGGACATACCGGTGGCCGATATGTCGGCAACCGAAAAAAGACGCGGCCATAAGAGAGGCAAAGATAGAAAAAAAGACGGCAGGACGAGACGTTCACAACAACGACAATGCTGGCAGAAACAGTAGTGCGAGAGCTAGAGGACCTACGGCAGCACGCCGAGCGCGTGGCCGAGTTCCTCGCAAGGCCTGACCAAGCCGCGCTCCTGGCCGAGCAGCTGCACAACCCGGACGAGCTGCCGCGGAAGGACCTGTGGCAGACGTGCGCCAGCGTAGTCGACAGCCTGGACCGCGTGCAGCTGATCATCTCCCCATCCGTCTCGCTGCTAGCCGACTGCTTCTTCGGTAAGGCCCGTCCCGCCGCCGCCGCCCATCATCCCTGCTCCTCATCCCCCGCTGACTGACTGGACCGTCTAGGATACCTGCCAACCAAAGCGCTCTGGACCGCCGTCGACGCCCGCGTCCCTGATCTGCTGGCGGCACACGGCCCGCAGACGGTGGAGCAGCTGGCACAGCGCGCGGGGCTGCAGCCGCAGCGCCTGCAGCAGCTGCTCGACACGCTGGCTCCCCTAGGCATCTTCGCGCATACCACCGACGCCACCATCACCAACAGCCGCGCGTCGGCGCTGCTGACGCGCGACCACTGGGCGCAGTGGCACCGCTGGGCCGACCTGTACGGCACCGACTTCTTCGACGCCTCGCGCTGTATGCCTTTGGCGGTGCGCGCGGGCGAGCGCCGCAGCGCCGCGCAGCTCTCGTTCGACACGGAGCTCAGCCTGTTCGACTACATGGCGCAGACGGGGCTGGCATCCAAGTTCCACGCCACGCTGGGCGCCGGCCAGGTCGCCATGGCGAAAGGCTTTACCGTCGACTACCCGTGGGCCGAGATCGAGAGCAGCACTAGCGAGCAGCAGCCGTTCATCGACCTGGGCGGCGGGTCGGGCGCGCTGCTGGCGTCGGTGCTGCGCGCGCACCCGCGCCTGCGCGGCGCGCTGATGGACCTCGGCCACGTCGTCGACATGGTCGAGCCGGACTTTAGAAGCAGCGACGGCAAGTTCGCCGACGTCGCCGACCGCGTCGTCGCGCTGCATCGTGGGAACTTCCTCGAGAGCGTGCCGCCCGCCGCCGTCTACACGATGAAGTGGTGCCTGCACGACTGGTCCGACGACGACGTCGTCAAGGTCTTCCGCGTCGTGCGGCGCTGCATCGACGTCGAGTCCGCCGTCAGCCGCCTCGTCGTCTTCGAGGCTGTGAAGACGCCGAAGCGCAGCGGCCGCATATCCCGCTACGGCGACCTGGTTATGATGGTGACGGCAAATGGTCAGGAGCGCGCTGAGGAGGACTGGCGGAGGCTGGCTGGAGCGGCTGGCTGGCGTCTTGCGAACGTGTATCCGCTGCGGGATGCTTGGGCCGCGGGAATAGAACTCAGGCCGATTTAGCTTTCTCCTTTTTCTATTTCCATCATGTAGCAAATGTCAAAGCAGAATATTCCTTGTATCTAGCAGCTGAAGCCTTCGCTATCCGGGCATACCGGCATCGGGTGCCGATTGTGGTAGCAGTTATATATTCAAACGCGGATTGAGACATGCACTTGTAATTCCGCTGGACGCATTTCAACGAGAATTCATTTCCCAGCATGCAGCCTCTCACTCTATACACCCATCGATCCGTGAGTGGTTGCTCGTGCCACCTTCTCCCTAGACTGATAACCAAAGGGGCCCAATCCGTGGAAAGTGGCCTTCTACCTGACCGAGCTTGGGATACCGTACACCGAGGTATTTCTTGACTTCGACCAAGTCAAGAAGCCAAGCTTCACGAGTATCAACCCCAATGGGCGTGTCCCGGCTCTCCACGATCCCAACAACGAAACCACCGTCTTCGAGTCGGGTGCCATCCTCGAGTACATCGCCGAAAACTTCGACAAAGACGGCAAGCTGTGCTACTCAAGCGGCAAGGAAAAGTACCAGCAGCTCAGCTGGCTCCACTTCCAGATGTCCGGTCAGGGGCCGTACTTCGGCCAGTGCGCCTGGTTTTTGCTGTACCACGGGGAAAAGGTGCAGTCGGCCATCGACCGGTACGCTGGCGAAATCAAGCGCATGCTTGCCGTCATCGACGCCCATCTCGCCGCGACCAAGTCCGATTACCTGGTCGGCGGCAAATGCACTTACGCTGACCTGGCCTGGGTTCCGTGGAACATCGTGGCGCACGAACGCTTGGTCCCAGACTGGGATGCGAGTGTGCAGCTTCCACACTACTGGGCGTGGCACCAAAGGTTGCTTCAAAGGGAGGCCGTGCGCAAGGTCTGGGAGCAGAGGCGGTTAGCGATCGAGTCTTGATTTCCTGTCCTCCTTTCCAATCTCCACTTTTTTCCGTAGGAAGAAGGAATAATACATTTGAATTCACCTATGTGAACCAAATTGCACTAGATGACGCTTTGCACATCCTCTTGTTTGCCCTTGTTCTGGCTTCCGTCATCGCCAAAGTGTACTGTCGGCCACCGGCCGATGTCCATCCTACGTTCGGGTGCCGAGCTTGGAACCACGCGAGCTAGGCAGAAGCAGCATGTTATAATCGTACGTGAAGACGCAGCAACCTTTTCCCTTTTCCATTAACTTCACCATCACTGCTTCGAGGAACACCCAAGAATAATGTCCGCACCTAAAGACCATGCTGCCGCGGAGTCAGCGAGGGATCGGTACCCGCTGCCATTCCACTTTGCAGAAATGGATCGGCTGAGGATCCAGCACGAGTGGGTCAAGGGAACATGCGGCGGTTTGATCAAGGCACCCATCGACTACAAGGCATCCGGGCTCCGCGTGCTCGATTCTGCCACGGCTGACGGTAAAATACGCCCAGTTTCTTCTTGTTCCAATTGCAAGCTGACCGTCCGTCTCAGGATTTTGGATCACCGACGTCAGATCGATTCTCCCAGCCGATGCAGAATTTGTCGGATTTGACATTGCGTAAGATAATCCCCCCAACCTCCTCACGCATGCATGCCCCCCCGCCGCAGCCGTTGACGAGAACGAAACTTTGCCCCCAACAAGGCCAGAACTATTCCCACCAAAAGGCTGGACGCCTCCGAAAGTGTCGCTCGTAACGCAGAGCCTGCTCGACGACTTCCCCGCCGAATGGACCGCGTCGTTCGACCTGGTCCACCAGCGCTTCGTCCTGCCCATCTTCGCGCCGGCGGAGGCCGAGAAGGTCGTCGCGCGGCTGGTGCGCTGCGTCAAGCCCGGCGGGTGGATCCAGCACTTCGAGCCGAACGCCACCGTCGTCGAGTGCCATCCGGATGCGAAGGCGTTGAGCCTGCTGCCGAAGCTGTTTGCCGTCTACATGCTCGATACGAATCCGTCGAGTAGCCTGGTGGCGACGCTCGAGAAGAACGGCGTCAGGAATATACGGCAGCAGGACGTCGAGCTTGGTATCGGGAAGGCGCATGAGAACGTTGAGTTGGGGCTGAGGGGAAGGAAGGACGTGCTGCATATGTATGAGACGTTCGTGACGAGCTTCAGGTAGGTATCGTTGGTGTTCGTTTCTGCGAGCGGCGTGCTGACACTTGAGTAAAGCGCGGACAAGTTGGGGATATCGCAGGAACGGTTTGACAACCTCTATGCAGATGCGGTGGATGAGATTGACCGTTTTGGTATGTCCGTGCGGTTTACAATTACCTGGGGTCAGAAGGAGTAATACCTCAATGGTGGTTATTGTCAAGACCACGGGCGGGTAGAAAAGGCGGAGGGGGTAGGAACGAAACGTGGCCCGAAAGAAGCCGAAGATACAGGACGGACTCGTGCAGCCGGTCGGCGACACCTATTATATTTGAGAATTTGTACCCATTCGCATGAATAGTGCCTTTTTGTGAGCATATTAAAGATGGCTTTCATGCCCAAATGATAAAGAGTATTGCGGCAAGTATTGTCGTATTACAGTTTGCACAGATCAACGGGCTACAGGCAACCCGAGTGCTATCTGGTACAGATGGGTCACTTGAGGGAGATATCGTTGTCCTATTGATGGCTAGTATCGCTGTTAGCCCTTATAACGCCAATAGTTAGCCCAAAGACGTTCCGAGATGAACGATGTATGAACAGGTCAGTCGAAGATCAATGCCAACTGTTTCAACTGGTCAAGGATGGGTGGACAGATGCCATCTTCCGTCTTGAACCCTGGGTACAATTCAAGACTCCCACTCCTGTCAATCCTTTTGCGAACATCCCGGCGTGCACCTGCATATCTGCTGCAAAGGAAGACGGTCGGAATGGCCGTCCGTTCTGACTTTCCAACCATGTACAAGCACCACAAAATCGTTCCGTTGACAGCCTCCCGCTAGAGATGATGTCTGATTTTTTCTGCAAGTTGGAGGAATGCGGAAAGCGCTGGATCTTTTGCTTCCCAGTAACTGAGCTTTCCAATCTTTCAATGGAACCTCCTAATAGACTGCTCTGGATTTTGCCATGCGGGTCGGTGAAGTTCACGAAGCTTGTCCCAAACCCTAGATCCGTCGCTCAGGTGAGCATCGTTAGGTGTCACCTTAGTCGATGACTTTTCCATCGGTAGACCACAATGATCACCGCAGGTGATGGTGCGCACAGTACTGTGTACGTCCAAGCTGTCGAATGTCACTTGGAGTTGATGATTGAGCATGGACGTAGAGGATTCCAAGGAAGACTGGCTCTTAGAAAGTTGAAAATGAGCGGGGTAGCTGCGGCTGTGAGAAGTCCCCAAGGTAGTAGAGTAGTGCTGGCACAGCTGAGCTCCAAGGCCCCCACATGCATGTCCACCAGTTGCACCTCCATGCTTAGCTCTCGCCATGTCACCTGTACGCCATCGAATGCAGGGCACTGTTTAGCCAAGATAAAATAAAACAAGCCGACCCTCCGCGGGCGTCTTGCCAAAACAAGACGCCCGCGGAGGGTCGGCTTGAACGTCTTAGCTTGTTTTAGCTTATTTCAGTAATCTTATAAGACGTCTTACCAAAACAGAGCCCTGATCGGAAGCTGTTGTAGAACAGCATTACGCAATTCCCAGTCCTGTGTGAAGTCAGCCTGGATAATATTGCCCGTTCAGCCCCCCAGTGATTCAACAGCAATCGAGCGAGAATGCCAGATGCGACATGCTGCAAAGGCCCATCACGAGTTGCTACTCCTCCCTGGCAGACCATAAGGTCTTGCTACAGTTCCCTGGGGGATCAGGCTCCTTCTTCCAGTAGCTTTACTCCGGGAGCCTCAACGCTGAGCCTTACTTGGAATACTACTACAACCAATGTCACGTTTTCAGTACCGAGCAGAGAACACATTTTTCTGACACCAGCAAGCCGGACTTTCATCTAATAGAGACCCACAAATGCATCGTCGAAGTTGCTCAATTTCTGATAACCGATGCTCCGACCCGAGAAGACATCCCGATCGCCCGCATTACCTCTGGGCACTCGCCAAGCGAATAAAGTGAAGAGCAGGATCAGATAAAAATGCTGCTTGAGAATTTCATCGATTTTGCAGCACGATGACTAACGATGATGGAGATTGGAGCGCCTTTCTACGTCATCTCATCCCAGCAACCATTGACGTGGAAAAGGGGCACGCTACGCTCTCTTGTAGCCGATCAAGTGGCACCAGGAGAGGTTTCGGGGACTAGCGTCAGGCTGCAAAATATTTCACTGCGCGCAACCTTGAGCTTCTGTGCAACATGCGGATTGTTGGGACGTCGAATCTCGCAGATTATCTGCGATTAAAAGATGACGATACGGTGTTGATGATTTTCCAACATGCGACATTCTTGTAGAACTGTCAGAAGTAAGGAATGCCCTTCCGCTCCGTGAATAGATCTACTAACAGACCACCCAGAGGTATCTTCCTTGCCGGGTTCTGCAGAGAAACTCTACACACATTGTCTCTTATATTATCATATTTAGACAAAGAGACTGTGAGATGGTACAATAAACAATGGGAAACGTGGGGGCTTGATCTCAAAGCTCTTCGGTGCCCACCATTGCGAGTAGATGATCGGCACATTGAGAGATTTCATTTGTGGAAGGAACATTTATCATCTTAAAGAGGGTCTTTGATGCAGCAGAGCCGAATACAATAACACAGTGGTGGTATGATAAGCGAAAAGAACCCCTCCGGTCTCGTACAGTCTCCCAGACCCGACCAACACCCACTACTTGAGGTCACATTCTACCATCACTTACATTATCTCAACGCCCTAATAAGCAAGTATAGGACAAGCGAGACAGGGAAAATTCATTATATCACTTCTCCGCACGCCTCGAGGCTGAGACGGAAGCAACCCACAGCGCTTACGATTGCCACAGCCAATTGTGGCCTTAAGCCACAGGTTTCAGCTACATGATAAACGATGCCAATGCAGTGAATTCCTCATAAACCTTCGGCATTTTTCATTTGGCAGGTGGAATACTAGATTACCGACCGAAAAGAGCAGTAGCCTAATCTCCAAAAACTATGGCCAGTGTTATCCGATCTACCGCTAGGCAACCATTCGAGCTATCCAAATCTCACCGATTATACAAGCGTTCGAATATTCCCCCGTCTTGTGTGCTGTGATATCTTGCTAAGCTAGCAATGATGATCTGGTTTCGCGGTTTTCTTTTCCTTTTTCGAATGGCATGTAGTTCAACTTTCAAACGTTTTCTTTCTTGAGGCTCGCAACCGCTCGTGATAATTCGGCAACAAGTTTTGCTATTAGTCTGCCACACAGCCACAGTATTTCAGCCTCGTATGCTGACACGAGAAAGAATGAGGCTGGGCCATAAATTGACATAGCCCATTGCTCTTTTATGACCGATGCCTAAAAAAAGCCAACATATTCAGGGGATCAGAACAAGGGGTATCTTCCCTTACGGATGATGTGACAGATCAAATGTGCTAGCGCCAGCTATGTTCGGGGTCTGAAAGGCCTCTCATGCATGGAAAAATGGATACGCGCCAGCCACCGGCGGCAACAAGGATTTGTGATTCAGCCTTGCAACTTGTCATTTGACACCCACCTCGCCGCAGCACCATCAGCCCTCTGATCATTCGATTCAAAATTAGCCCCGCTTGCTTGGGACTGCTATTTATTTTCCACGACTCTCCGTTAAGTTCAGCGATGCAACAAGCTTCAGGCTTTCCCTTCTACTTCTTCTTCTCAGACTCTTCCAATCATGGCATGCTCTGACAACGAAGAACTCGTTTCGATAACTCTTCAGACATTGACAGAGAACGGATGGTGTCCTCGACAAGTCGACTACCTAAGAAACACATTCGGCCCACCTGTCCTTTCGTACCTCAGCACCCTCAACCGATCGAAGTTCCGCAATGTCTCCCACGCGGCCTGTAAGAAAAGCAAGCATTGCTCTGCGTACAATGTAGATCGCAAAAAGTATAAGCCCGCCCATACAAGCAATTGTTCCACAACACCTGGAAGCTGTACCTTGGTGAAAGTCGACACCGGAAAACTGATAGACACCATTCAAAAGGAAGAGCACCGCTTATATCCATCAACCTCAAAGACGATCACAACGTATCCCTGCAAATCACTCCTCGGAACCATGAAACCCAGTATATCGCGATATCTCATGTCTGGTCAGACGGCCTTGGGAACCCGAAAGGCAATGCTCTGCCGTCTTGCCAACTGAAGCAGCTGAAACTGCAGGTAGCCAAACTGAAGCTTCTCGGAAATGCTGCTCCTCCTCCATTGATTTGGATCGATACCCTATGCGTTCCTGTCGAGTCGCAACATTCCCGTTACAGGAAACAGGAGATCAAGCGAATGTCATCCATATATGCCGGGGCCACGGCCATTCTTGTCCTGGACTCTGAACTCCAGAAAATCAACGCGAGCGCAATACGTGAAGAAGAGGTCCTCGCTCGCATTATCTGCAGCGTGTGGATGCAGCGTTGCTGGACACTTGAAGAAGGAATCGTCTCACGCCTGTGCTTTTTCCAGTTCCAGAATAAACCGATCGACCCACCAGTATTTTTTCCGGAGCTTACCGGCAATTTGATACCAGAGCAGCCGTATATCTATGGCATGCTCAAATTACATCTATGGGATAGGCTCCACTACGGTCGAGCTACTGGTGTCCGGCAGAGCATCTACTGTAAAGAATCACTTCAAAGAAGACGTTGCTTTCAGTCCCACGGCCCGTTGACCAAAGCCCTTTGGCCGCTCGTTGGTTCAAAGGTTGATTCAACATACGCTGCGTTGGACCGAAACGACGGCGCAACTCCGTCGTACCTTGCCCTTCAGCTAGTCCGTACATGGAATGAGCTGGCACATCGCTCTACATCAAGACCTGAGGATATCTATGCTATTATGGCTAGTGTCTTAGGCTTTTCGCCTGAGAGAATCATGAACCTTCAGGAGAATTCAGAGCGGCTTCATGCATTGATTTTCAGCTTTCCGTACCTTCCGGTGTCTCTCTTCTTCAACACTGGACCAAGATACAAGCAAGCAGAGATACATAACAATAGATGGGTACCAGAAGAGATCGGCCATTACATGCTGCAGGAGGGTGGCATAATGAGGTTCACTGACGAAGGACTACACTTGCATATCCAGAAAAGCCAGGATATCTACCTCATCGGTGGCGTTCTGAGTGACGAGATCTCATTCCGCATCTCAACGCAGTCGGAGGCTGTATACCATGTCACGCTTTCCCACGAGGATTCAAACGGAAACAATGCGTTGAGATCTAGATACAAATCCGTTTGCCTTTTGCTTCAGCATCCGCTTTCAGCAGACACTCAACACACACGGGGAGCGTTATTTCGAATACATACAACGGAAGGAGACGGAGTCCCGCCTGTGGAATCACATGAAGACTTGGACCTTATTTTCGACTGCCCAATCGATATCTATCGTACTACGCCAACACCCCGTGAGCTGGACGTCAAGCATACAACAAAGGTTGACCATACTAGGAAAGTTTTAGTCCTATACGGTAAACACTATAGTCTCTTTCAACTCCTTAATTTGCATATTGCTGACTTTCATTAGACAAGACCCCAAATTTCGAGGTCCTCCCGCGGCGACCCACTTCTCATATATCTCTGATGTTTTCCCCGGTAGTATACTCCATCTTGTTCTTTTTTCTCGTTATCATTGCCATCGTCGAGAGGAAGCTGATTTTTGCTTTGCCAAAACGTGCACCGGGAGTGAATTTCCACTTATTTTTTCCCTTCTGCGTGTGGTGCCTCAATGTCGCTCACAGAGAGCTAAGTAAATGGCTCGAGAGTTTAGCATACCGGACCTGGCTCGAATTATTCGACCATGATGTGCCTGAAGAACAGCGGAGTCTGCAGTGGAAGCTTTGGTGGAATATTATGGACGAAGGGAAGTATGCCGACATAAGATGGGAGCAGTGGGGCGCGTCTTGGCAAGTTACAAAGAGAGTATGGACGAGGTTCTGGGATGTGGTTTGGACCGATGTAGCATTGCGTAGGTCAGGGATCGATATTTAGAGCGTTTTGGCTGCCTCTTGGGAAGGCGTCGCGTGTTCACACCGCCCTAATCAAGTGACAGCTCTGTGATGGGGCTTCCAGGCCTTTAGTACCATGTAGGGTTTCTAGAGCAGCGAATAAAAGTACATCCAGCCGGCAGTATACCTTACCCTATCACCACGTTGTCTGAGAGCCTCCACCTTTTCATTGCGTTGGTTCGTTCTGCGTCTGGGTCTGGTTGATTTGTGCGGGTAGAGCCGGCCTTGCCTACGTCAAGCTTGCAAAGGTCTTGCATTATCTGATCCCAGATAAATTTCTGGAGCTCAGCCTGCTCAGCCCTGTCTTCCAGCATCAAGCGCTGTTGCTGCTCCGCAGACATATCCTTCTGTTTTGCACTACGGATTTCTCCCAGGGTGTGGATGAGCTCAGCCTCAGATGCTCGCTTCCTTTCGAGTGCAAACCGCTGGCCACGGACATAACGCTTAGTCACATCCGTGGCGCCGTCTTTGGAGAAGGCGATACAGTATGACAATCTTTTGCCCCACCCTTTGCGCTATCAGTACTGTACATTTGAAAAGTAACTCAAGAACACGACTTACCTTCACAATAGATCCTGGGTTCATCCCAAGCTTCTGCATGAGCATCCACGTGTATCCATCTCTTCTGGTGCTTCGAGTACACCTCGGTCCAAACGTGGTCTTCCGCATTCCACACCAATCTCACCCTGGCTCCAAGCGCGTGGCAAAGCATTGAGAAGCATTGAGTCCATTCTCCCGACCGCCCCCGTCTGGTACGCATGAGCACAAACGGGTCGTTATACCGCGGAAACCGTTCGAAGTTGCCACAGTATCTGTTCTCGCAGCGGTAAGCCTCGACGGCTCTTGCACCGCCAGCCAGCTCCTCAGCCTGTGGTACAGCCATTCCGATCCCGGTGGTTTTACTGCGGCAGATCGAACAGGTAGGATTGTCGACCCACTGGAAGAAAGATCTCTTGAACCACCTCAGCAACGCTTTGATGACACAATCCTCGAAACCCAGAATGGGGCGCCGGGCTGGTGAATGTGCTTTGGCGTCGGAGCGGACGACCTCGAACTCCTTCTCTGCTTGTCGGTGGAGCATCTCCAGTGGCAATTGGGAGAGCGCCTCGTCGAGTAGATCCGGGTTGTTCCACTGAAACGGTTTGCTCGAGAGTGACCACAACAGGTCCTTGAATCTGATCGACTTTTGACTCTGTGGTTGCTGTGGGCTGATTGGTATATTATGGATGATGGGAGGTTGAGATTGCAGCGGTGACAGTGGTGAGGTTCGGCGTGCCTTAGTCAACTTCGCCTTCCGCGCTTCACTCAGGTTTTCGCGGAAAGTTCTCGTCAACGCAGAAGCTTCACTGCCGCTTATGGCTGTCGTCGGTACCCTCGGTGTGCAACGGGAAAAGCGGTTCCAGATTTGAAGTCGTGATGAAAGCCTCCTCCGTATATCCTGCAGGACGCCATGCGCCGGTATGATGTAGGCATTACCAGAGCCTGGACTTCCGGCAACAATGTGGCCTTCAAGGTTGCCGGTCTCCTCGTTGACGACGATGGAGCCGCAGTCCCCCTCGGACACGATGCCGTCCAACTTTACTGACCAGAGCTCTTGCGTCTTCTTACCTCCGGGGAGAGTCATGATGGTGGGCGTACCCGAGAGTATCCCGCGTGTAGCTGTTCCGAATCCGGTGTAGGCCACAACTGGGGTGTCTCGAGGGGTTACGCTGGTACGCATCCGCGGCTGAATGGTATGGTAGTCGCAATGACGATGGACATGTGGTAGTCCTCGAGCTGACGACTGGCTTCCCTTCAGCATGACCAGGCAATAGTCTAGCGTAGGGTTGGGACCGTCTTTTGACGAAAGTACTACATCATCTGGAGTATACGTGAACGCTGGTAATGCTCCGGATACCTCAGGGTTCCGCACCCCAGCATGTCCATCGAACGTAACTACGCTTTGGGCGGTAGCTTCGTTACTGGGCTGCTGATGAAAGCTACCACTGGCTTTGTCTTCGTCGCTGCCATCGGGAACTTCGTCATGTCCTGCGTCCAGGGTGTCTTCGTCGAGGCTCAACTCAAAGTCGTTTTCATCGTCGTCGTCGAAGTTCAACGTCAACTCATGCGGGAAAAAGGCATGCGAAGCTGTTATGAAGAGAAGGAGGCCGTCCCAATTGAAAACAGCACCGACTGTAGCATTCACCCGCCGGTCAAAGCCTCGTTGTATCTCAATCCGGCGTCCGACTGGGTTACCGCATTCCATATTCTGGATTCCTGAGGGTCTGGATACTTGCATCCTGCCGGCTGCAAGCGGTTTCAGCTCGTCAAACTCTAGCGGCCGGGTGCAGTCCCCTGTTTTGAATCCCGGAAAGTTTGCGAGGATATTGCTCTCCTCTATCTGCTTCCGGACCGTCTTCCGTGCATCGGACTCTTTGCTGCAGAAGAAGATGACTGGATACGCGCTCTTTCTGGATTTTCCGATCATGTACACCTGCCAAATGACTGGTGTTGACACAGCGTCGCCATGCTCTTCCAAATGCTCCTTGATATGGTCTTTCAAAACAAGAAAGCTTCGTCGGACTGCTCCCTTGGCTTGCCAGCAATGCAACCTCCCGATCTTTCGATATTCCACTCCAATAGATTCCTCGAAATTATGGGTTTCATCTGAACTTTTGTTGTCTTTTGACTCCAGCCTGTGAAGAAAACGCGTAAATGGGTTCGTGGGTGTAGTCGTCATGTTTGCTGCCACATACGTCTTTGAGCCTTCCACGTGCCAATAGTACCGTCTGGGCGCTATGACACAGAGGGCTTGGCTTGCGGAAGCCTAAAGTTGAATCCAAAAGTGGACGGGGGAATAAGAAGGTGAATAAACTGGACTATTGGGCCAAAATGTCAACTTGAAAGTTCAGAATCGTGAGAAGAACGGTAGAAGGAATTGGTGGGCAACCAGCAGTGGCTGAGTTCGCGGGGTGCGGCGAAAAGGTCGACGTACGCTGCCGAGGCTCAGCTGCATGAAGGTGCAGATCTGCCTCGCGCGTGCTTACTTGTCCACGCGTCGAGGACGCGCAGCACGATGGGCGCAGACGGGAGCACTGTTGAATTTTCAGAACCCTCTAAAAGCATCGCATGTTTATTGTTTTCTTGACGATTACCCGCCACATTCATTGCAACCGCGAGTAGTCGAAATGCCGGATACCGACTGCTTGAAGCGATCCATCACCACGTGCCATCCCTCGCTAGAGGAGAAATCGATCCTCCTCAACATCATCTGGAACACTACAATAAACCCGAAGACTTCAAAGACGCCAGTACTCGACATCGACCCTTACCTGGAATACTACGCTGAACAATGTCACATCTTCAGCCTAGAACAGAGTGGCTTATCAGCGGACGGGCCATCTGGATTTGAAATCTCGGCCCACGAAGACATCCTCCAAGTCGTACAAAAACTAGCAACAGAGCCGCAATCGAGACAAGACGTGGTGCAAAGCCTCAAAGCATTACGACTACACCCCTCAGAAAAGGCGGAAAGCGAAAGGGAATGTACCGGTCAAGATTCAGCCCCCAACGTCGACGTCATCAACAACGCAATCGATTGGGCGGCAAGGCTGCTGACCATGATGGACATCGGCCAACCACATTGCGCCTATTCCGCCCAGCGGCCGCTCAGCTGGGAACAAGGCTCCCTGCGCGCATTCGTGTCCAATCGCCTAGAGCCCGAAAGGCAAAGCGCAGGAGGCTACGTACGCCTGCCCAAGCTGTTCAACGCGCGTAACCTCGAGCTCCTTGCCGGAATCAAAGTTTCTTGGACCAATAATCTCTCTGACCATCTGCGGATGAGGGATGATGACAAAGAGGTTCTGATTTTCCACCACGCAACGTTCCTCGAGAACGGCCGCACGTAAGCTACAACCCCCACACCCAACGATAGCCCCCACACCAAAACTTATCGTTTCCCGTAGGGACATCTTTCCACCGGGCTTCTGCAAAGAGACATTGCGCACGCTCTCGCTTCTTCTGCCAGCTTCTGACAAAGACACAGCAAAATGGTATAAGAAGTACCGCTCCGTGGAGAAGCTGGACCGCAGAGCAGTCAAACTGCCGAACCTCCGCACGGACGACCGCCAGATTGAGAATTTCCACTTCTGGCGAGAACGTCTCGTGATCCTGAAGCAGGTCTTCGACGAGGCTGAACCCAGCACGCTCTCGCAGTGGTGGTACGACAGGCGGAAGGGTCCACAGTGGTACACCTTTTGGGTCGCCGTTGCGGTTCTCGCGCTGACGGTATTCTTCGGTATCGTACAGTCTGTCGAGGGCGCGATGCAGGTGTATCGTGCTTATCATCCCGGAGGGCCCGAGGAGCATTGAAACAAAGTCTGATTGGTCATTTTGGAATTCACCCCGCCGTGGTTCGCGTTTCATGCCCGTAATCTGGTGCCTCAAGTATCTGAAACATTGGCCCTACCCGGCACAAGGCCCACACGCTCGATCCTGACAAACAAACGTTACCATTAGGTTGCACTGTGGACATCGACTCCTCGATAACCCATCGGCCGGTTGAATGGTATCGCCAACGACATCGATGCAGTCGACGTACTTCCGCCCCGTACTTGCCAGTCACGGTAGCTCCGCGCATCTGTGAAGGATCTCGATTCCTCGATATGACCCTAAGGGTGATAGCTCCTCTCGGGGCTTCGAGCTTTCTGGGAATACCCTTTCAAGGTCTCCCTTGTGGGCGCTCTAACCGTTCCCGTGTACACTTGCAGATGGTGGAATGTACCGAGGATTTTAATTGGCCGTAATTGAATTGCTTAAAAAAGCAGGATGGTGAAGGAAAGGGAGAGCTGATAAGGATAGTGGTAAAGCAGCTAAAAAAAATAGTCAGTGCTTAATTATACCCTAATTAGTATTCTAACCCGTATCTGGCTAGTGATATCTATGTATTCACTTTTGTCATTGTAGTAGGGGCAATTGGTCGTGTTATATGAACCCCGTCATCGACCACAACCCGTCGGCCCACCTGTGCTCCGTTAGTCAGCTTGTTCCACGACGCTTGAAACGTCTAATTAGAGCTTTTCCTTGAAAGAAACGTGAACAATTGAAGACTTCTCGTCTGAAGCCAGTCAGCTGATCGTAGATAATTCATCCTCTTCTACCAGCTGTATCTGGGAATTGATCAGCGTCTCGGTGTTTCGTCAAGCCCTCTTGTCCTGGTTCTCCTTCTTCATAGTGTCTTCAATTCCCTCAGTATAATCCCTCACCCTCTCCGCATACTTTCCCAATCCCCAGAGATGGATCTCATTAATCCAGTTCACAATTGTCTCCACGCCATCGGGTTGCTGGAGGTTTCCACGGTCTATGTGTTGAATGAATGTTCCCACCCATTCCCCTTGCTTCTTAACTCAAGGCTCGGCAAGGTATACCTCATACTTGTAACCGCAGATGATCATGGCATAGTGGCGTATGTCTTTCCGGTCATTTTCAGTCCACCCAAGATTGCCAGCATTCTTCTTGAACATTTCCCCTAGTCTGTAGCGGTTGTACTGGCTCACAAGAGCTGTTCTCTAAAAATAAAAAATAACACATGCGGAACAGGTACATTCCGGGTCCCAGCAACCTTGAACCCTGCGATCGATATCGATGTAGTCGATGGCAGTGTGTTCGACAACTACTGCTTCTCCAAGCCGTTTCCAGGGGGGACGGGGAAGTCGCAACGGTTTAGGAAGTTCCGGCAGGGAAGATCCGCTGGATCGTTGCCGACTCTGCATATTATCATTAGTAAAAAAGTTCCTGTTTCACGAACCGGCGGCCAAGAACTTACTTCATCAGTGCGACATAATTGGGTCCGAAACCAGTATTGATCTATAGTTTCGCACCCATCGTTAGCATCGAGACTGACTTATGTTACGAGGGGTGTGTGATAGAGCATACGTTGATGCATCCACCCTCGTGGTGATCTTCGTGGTTGTTGCTACAGTAGGAGCAAGTCTTCGAGTCGAACTTGCTGCTCGTCGCGATGATCATGTTGAAGTAACCGGAGTACGAGAAGGAGAGCGCCTCGTGGAGATCGGGTCCGCTGACCCGTTGGTCGGTGCCCTTGCCGACTTTACCCTCCCACATGTTCGTGCCCTTGCAGTCGCGGTCGCGGAAGAAAGTGACCGTGCCGTCGGCAGCATATGCAAGCTGGAAGGCGCTGAGGCCGAGGAGGATGGTGGAGATAAAGTTGACCATGGTTGCAAAATGTTGAGTGAAGATGAGCTTGGTGATTGTAGGAGTGGATGAGTGCTTGTGTTTGAGCTGGATAACGTAGAGCATGTCTCCTTTAAATACCGTCTCTCTTACTTCATTTCCATGATTTGGCCCCCAGCAAGTCTCTTTCACTGGTGATGTGGGTTGCTATTTTTCACGAAAGTCTCGAGATCTTCACTCGGCCTGAGAACGCACTGAGCATGTTGGAAGTCTCAGAAGCCAATGGTATCGTGGTGAAACGGCCCCCATGGGGTGCCTGGATGAACGGGGGTGTGCGGCGCCACCCGCGTCTGCCCTGTGCGCTGCCGCAACTCCGACTTGTCCCATGGGGTACCGATTTGGAAATTCCGAGCTCCACAATACATAGGGGACAATTCGAATCCTTCTCGTGTACACTTGCTTCAATCCTACATCTCTCGTGATTCAACTCCCTCGAGCCCTCATGAACGGGCCAGTCGTTCACACCAGCACCGACCGTGCTGCATGACGTATTTTCGTATGAGCGAGAGACTCTAAATCCCTAAAGCGACAGGAATGGTAGTTGTGCAGTGTACGTGCCCCATGTTTCGATCCTTGGTGAAAATACACTTTCCGCACTGTAATACTCTACATCTCCAGCGTCAGTCCCGCGCGTTCATACCAGAGAGTTTAGACAGTACGTAATTTTGATATACCGCTCCTTCTAAGGGCCCACACAAACGCTATGTACAAAAGGTGGCAGACGAGATCCACTGAGTCCATTTTGGACCCCAGTCAGACCACATGTAGTGGTGCTGACAGTAGATACGGCGTGCTTTTCTCCGGATGTCATTGTTGCATCACTTGAGGAACTAAACTTGGTCGAATCCTGCAATTTGTCTCCCAAAATTTGCAGTCCCCTTTGGCAGCGGAATGCGAGCGCGGGAATCGTCACAAGGCAGCCTGTCCTGGATCCAGTGATATGATAGGTCAGAATTGCAGATTTCATTACAAAAAAAAAAACTTCCGCACTAGCGACAGATACAGAATCTCTCTGCGGGTTAGAATGTAAACGCCTTTCTGTTGTGCCTCTTCTCTATCTTTTTGGAATTAAGGCAGTTTTCCGAATGTTGAGTACAAAAACGACCGAATCCCCGGGCAAAAGGTCAGTGCGCAGCACGGGCAAAAAGAAAAACGTACAACAGCCGGGATTCCCCAATGGTCACCCACTTGAGTACTAATCGACTGGTTCGCAGCTTAAGTACGGCGTAGCGTTGGGCGAAGTGTTTTGTTCTTGAAGGTCTCCTTGACTTTAGCCTACTTCGTTGCTGATGGTAATGCGCGCAGATACAGCTTATGGGGCTTTAAGTAGTCTGCATAGTTTGTATATCTCCATGTCGGACTAGAGTATGATCTGGGTTCCACATTAAATGTAGGTTCTTCTGGGTGAGGAGCGGGCTTCTCGAGAACAATACCTTCTAAGGGCTCCTCAGGAACAGCATCTTCTGCGGGTTGCTCGAAAGCATCCGGTGACGATGGAACGTCCGACAGAGCTGGAGTGGGTGGTATATCCTTGGAAACCTCCTCAACAGTGGGAAATGGTGTCGTGTAGTCCCCTGTGTACGCGAATTGGCAGAAGCGTATGAAGTCTTCTTCGTCAACTTCGCCCCAGATAGCAGACCTGTTTGACCCCTCAATCATGTTGCCGTTCATGAGACGATCTAACGCCTTTGATTGAAGCGCAAAGGCAGCTGAGTCGACAACGAACTTCTTGCCGTGTCCGCCAATGCGAAAGGTGAATTGGTCGGAACGCATGATCCTGCATGCGAACACAAAAATTTTTGTCGACGTCCATCGCTTCGCTCGAAAGGGGCATATTAACTGGCAATTACACGTACTGATCATAGAACTCTCGAGGATTCCCGCGCATTCCTGTGCTTTCACCTCTTCTGGATGAGAATCGGCCATTCTGAGCTGTGTTCTCGAGCTGGTCAATACCTTGGTATGAGCATTCGAATCTGGAAAGGAAATATTGAGAGGCAACGCTCCCGCAGGTAGATCAGGCGGCGCGGGAGGTCTTCTCTTGACTACGAAGCGTGGTGGGCTCGTTGTTTCTACCGAGATCACAGCTGAGCTCTGGTTGGCGAATTGGGTGCATGATGTTGGGACAGCGCACACAGCAGTGACGCCATGCAGCATTGCCACGCCGTTCGACAGAGACGTCTCATTGCATGAAATGAACACTGAGCTAAGCATTGTAGCACAAAGCATGAGCCTGAGCGGGGTAGAGATTCCTTTCGTAAAGTCTCAACTGCAACGTGCAGACGTAGGCGGCCGACTTGAGTTGACGTTGGCAAGATCTTCAACCTGCTGTTGATCGCCACGTTTTTGATATCCCAGCACTTCCTAGTCCTGTGTTTAGGCTCGGCCGCAGTAGTGGTATTATTTTTAGAAGGCAATCAAGTTGAGCGGGGTAGACGAGATGCAAGGCATGAATCGAGCAAGCCCGATAGGTCCATCGCACGAAATGCATAGGTAGCGGAAGAGAGATTGCGAACGATTTTATTGCAATTGTACATCTCATCTCTGATATTTCTCATGTCGTCATTCCCTATTCCGTAGTCTCAGGGCAGGCCTTGAAGCCCCTGCCCTTGTCGCCATCACGGTCGCAGCATTGATCCTGATTCCAAGTCAATCGTATCTGTAATGTGAAGCAAAAAAAAGACGATTCTACTTACGGGATCAACGATGTAGGCGCAGCACAGGTAGATCTGAGTGGAGACCTGGTGAGGCATGTCGGCCGGGCATCCAGGGTCGACGCGAGGCTGGAGGGCGGCAGCGTGGATGCCGGCGGCGAAAAGAATGGCAGCGAGCGAGAACTTCATTGTGTATTTTAAAGTGATTGACTGGAGAGTAAAGAAGGTGGGGATGCCACTCCATAACTCTACTTTTGCCCTCTTATATAGGCGTATAGCCAAGTTAATGTGCTTAGAACGGGGCCCGGTCAATTGGCTCCTGAGGCGAACGTGTTTCGGGTCCAGTCGCTTGCGCGTGTTGTTTCCCCGTAGGTAACTCCGGGCGTAACTTAAGCTTAACTAGCATATTCCTGGTAAAGGATTGATAGAGAGTCGCCCGGTGCGTACAGATACGAGGTGTGCACGGATATGAGCGAGGAACACCAAGACCCTCCCCCCGACTGATAAATAGCACTAATGTAACAAGAAGCGATGGGCTAGCAGACGCAGAGAGGACGGTAAACGCTGCAACATACATTGATTTAAGCTTAATTAATAGAGTGTTTGAAGCGATGATGCAATGCACTAGAAGAAAATCAACATAAAGCAAGCGCCCAGCTGGCTCTAGGGCCTCTTTCTTAGACTCTCGTCCAAGTTTCAACTATTATTCCCCGCATTAAGAGAATAAGACAACGTTCCTTCACGAAGACGTTCGAAGGGGCATGGAAGCCAGGTGGAACCTTGGTTTGACACGAGATGAAGAGCGGGGAAACGGGTGTTTAGGGGCCCAACGATTTATTGGCCGGTTAAGGCGCGCATGGGCTGATGACACGACTCAGGAGCTATCTCTGCATCAAAGCACCGCCGCAAAACGTCTCGAGGGCGGAATGTTCTCTCTAAACTCCAACACATCGCCAACCGTCCAACAAAGGTATGTGGGCTTTGGAAAATCTGTCGGCGGAGCGCAATCACAGTAGTGACTACTCAGCTTGCCGGTACCGTGGACCAGATGCCCAGATGCCCACTCGTTTATCCAGCCGAGTTCGCGAAACTCGGGGTTGCGGACCGAGCTGTCGCGGTATTGCATGACAGTGGATGCCGATCACTCTTCTTCGATGGTCAATCTTGAAACGACCTTCCCCCACTTCGAAGGAGCCTCAGAGTATATGTAGGGATAGCGTCCCGTCTCTTCGCGCAGCGTGACAAACTCCAACACATCGCCAGCCGTCCAATAAAGGTACAGGTCTTCCAAAATTCAGTTTATGCGAGTCCCAGCGGATCCTCCACATCAGAAGACCAAGAATGTCCCGGATAAGCGTGCACGACCGTGCGCGGCTGTAGTCAAGGAACACTAAATTCCCCGTTAACATCTACACACCTCTAGCATGGTCCTTCTCCGGACTTGGCTGTACATTGCAGCAACGCATTGGCAAACAAAACTTCTTCAAACGCATCGGGTACTGGCCCTGCTTCTCATTGTTGCATAGCTTGCGCATTACTACGCCCAGTTCCGACCCCGAACACCCGAACACCCGAACCAACGAAAAAAAAAATAAAATAGAAAGAAAGAAAAGAAAAGGCGTCGAGATTATAGTAACAGAGCCATGCCATCGGTCAAGCTCGTGCCTTCACTTGCCTGAGCGCCGTATTCATCCTCATCTGTGGATCTGGTAGGGACCCAAACAGCGAAAACCCTATATTAGGGTATTTGGTGCCCGTCATGAACTCTGCTGCCAACGAGCTCCGCTTCGAAAAGCAGTGTCCCACATCAAGTAGGGTCCGCACTCCTAAGTATATTTTTTCTAATTCTTAATCTCTAAGGGCATAATTTACTTACTCGTGATTCTATAAATGGACTTAAAGATCTAAGAATTGGTTAATACGTTATTGATATTTTTCGAGGGAGCGGATAAGATATCCTACATTCTGCGACCTATGGACGTACGTGAAAGATGGGTTGAACAAGAAGTATTAAGATGACAATCAGTCAACAGGCAGTTACGGTCGCGTACTGATGCTGAACAACATAGGCAATATGTCTTTGCCTTTAAGTTAACAGGCAGGAATGTAAGGTGGCTGAGTTAGGGAAGAACATTGAGCACGATAGATAGTCAGAATGAAACGGTGAAGAACAGATTCGTCTTAGTGGTTGCATTCTTTATATAGATCTATAAATGCTGTGTAACGTGACCCATAGCAGTGACTTTGCGCTTAACAGACTTTGTTAGGCTAGGTGGGTCCTCATTTGGTATCATTGGGTGCTGGCCAACGGGTATGAAGCGAACCGTCACAAGCAGCGCTACAATTACCCTTATCGCCAGCTGGAATTTGGACGCGGAACATAAGGCATGCAGGCGAATTTTTCATCTTACTTATCATCTCAGCCTCCGAAAGCAAGGACTCTGGGATGTCTGAATAGTCAACTCGTTTTTTATTTGCAGTCGCTTTATCAAGTGTCCGTTCGTATCACCGCTTTGTCCACAGAATCCGGGTCTGGTCACACTCTTGACGTGGCCCTCAGTTCCGGTGATAGTGGCTGAGCGTTTCGCAATGGATTCTAGATTCGGCATCTTTTCTTTAGGAGAGTCCAGCGTCCGACCCGCGGCCAAGTACGCCAAGCCCTCGCGCAGCATACTTCATCCAGACAGAGCAGCTAATTATAGAACTGCAGTGCCGCAGCCTCTCTGGCATAGATATTTCCAATTCTGCGGGGCCATCCACGAGAGTATCTTTTGCTTTTAAAAAGGGTACTCTCGCCGTCAGTTGTGCTGCTCTTTAAACTCTTTGACTTTCTCCAATCGGGGTCGCGACGTTTCAACTTTCACCACGACACACTCTTATCCTGCATTTTTGGTCTATCCGTTTCTTGCACCTTAGCTTCTCTAAAATCGCCTGTGAGACATGGCGTCTTACGGCTACTACAGATACCAGCCAAACACAGCCGCCGCCGGCATCTTCGCCGTGCTCTTCGCCATCCCGACATTCTACCACTGCTTCCAATGTTTCCGCACGCGGACTTGGTACTTCATACCACTGATAGTCGGTGGTTTCTGTGCGTTCCCTCTCCAATACGTTTCTCCCCCTCTGTCCCCCTTTCAACCCTCAGCCCAAGCTTACCCAACAACTGACCTACCATCACAACAACGCTGACCCACAACCACAGTCGAAACAATCGGCTACGTCGCCCGCGCCATCTCCTCCACCAAAGTCGACGACCTTGGCTCCTACATCGTGCAGATGCTCACCATCCTCATCGCGCCCTCCCTCTTCGCCGCCTCCATGTACATGCTTCTGGGGCGCCTGATGCAAGTAGCCGGCGGCGAGCGGCACGCGCTCATCCCGCGCCGCTTCTTGACCAAGGTATTCGTCGTCGGCGACGTAGTCGCATTCCTCCTTCAGTGCGGTGGCGGCGGCATCGTGGCGGCCGCCATCTTCGACACGTCCGGGGCACGCGACGCGGACAAGATGAAGCTCGGGGAGAAGGTGATCGAAGCGGGTCTGTTCGTGCAGCTGATCTTCTTCGGATTCTTCCTGGTCATCGGGTCGTGGTGGAAGAGAGGCGTCGAGAAAGACAACGAGCCGGCGGCCGGAAGCAGCAATGAGCCCGGGGTTGCGTGGCGCAAGCACTTCTGGGTTTTGATGGGGGCGAGTTCGTTGGTCTTTTTGCGTTGTGTGTTTAGGGTTGTGGAGTATATGAGTGGCAGGGAGGCGGAGTTTCAAAACCAAGAGTGGTTCGTGTATGTGTTCGATGCGGTACTGATGCTGGGTGTGGTGGTTCTGTTTAACGTGGTGCACCCGAGTGAGGTGACGCGCATGTTGAAACAGGAAGATGCGAGCGTTCGTGGGACGGAGTTAGCGTGATCTTTTAACGGTTTGCTCATTTCTGTATGCCTAGACTTTGTTGGGTATATCGAAACTACGCACGCACTCATTCCCTCATTAACTGTTCTGTAAGTAAATTAACACTATGGATGCGTGTACCTTCGTAGCAGTGAAGTTTAGTCTACGAGACAACAGCTGCGTGCCTAAGCTGAACATGCGGTTATCGTGAGAGACGGCGATAATTGTGTGTGTGGCTGGCAAGGAAAGATACGGCGAAATAGTAGGGCTCAGGGGCAATCCTTCGGAAGCTGGCTGATAACGCCAAAACGTCTGCCATGCGCAGGCCACACAAGCCGTCGTATCTGACGCTTGAAATGTGATAAATCTGCTACTCAAGCTAAGGTGTAGGACTAAAATTGAGCACATTCTCCTCAGCCCGGAAAGCTTTTGCGGGCAAATTCGCAATGACTGAGGGTCTTTTTGCTTGCCAAGCTCCCGATTGGTTATACAGTGCGAACCAATCAGAGCGCCGAGTAGGAGTTGGGCAAGTCGGTCAGAGTCGCCCGTTGAATTATATATGTATTCTCCGAACGCACATCAGCTCTCAAAATAAGCACAAAATAGAGAGAAATTTACCGGACTATAGAGAGCCGCCAGGGGACGTGCTAGTGGAAGGCGCCGAACAAAGAGATACATGATACCTGAGGAATGAACACAGCCGGATCTACGACGGGGAAAGGAAAGTTCTACATAGCAAGCTGCTACCTGCTGCGCCTCCTACTAATCGACGTCGGTTGGGGTTTTTGCGAGCAGTCGCGTACTGTCCGGAATCTCGCACTGCTTTCCCAATCGGGTTAGCAGCGCGAGCCCCATTGCCCCCCGCGAATGCCAAGGGCTTCCATATCTTGCTGGCCGTGTGATATGCACGCCCCCAATCCCATCAATACACAGCCACATTGCAGCATTCGGCGAACGACTCGCATTGCCGTTATCTCGAATCTCCGGTCACTCTCTTTGTTTCCGTTCTCTACCACCTGGAACTAAAATGATGAAAGGCCGAGCATGTAGGAACAATAGCGCAATACTCTCCTTTTTTTTTTTTTTACCTCAACTGCAAATTAACGAATGAGTCCAGAAGAGGACGAGAACAACAACATAGGAAACCTTTTCACGAGTCCAGACTCTTTCAACGATCCCTCATCTCCAGCAAGCCGCTGCTCCCACAACCACCTCACTGCGCCCCCTTCTTAAACGGCTCAATCGCCTCCGCCGTCACCATCGCATCAAAAGCCTTCGTCCCCTCAAGCTTAGGCAACCACGCGTACTTCTCGCGACAGTACACCTCCATCTTCGGCGCCCACTTCTGATTGAGGGTCAGATCGTCCAGCGTGCCGATGCGAACGTTGAGCATGCCGACCGAGTCGGCGAGGGTGCCGGTCAGCCAGCACGTGGTGCCGCAGTCGCCGCAGAAGTGGTTGTGCACGTCGGCGCCCGCGTCGCTCTTGCGCGAGTAGACCTTCGGCGCGGCGCCCGTCGAGGTGAACGACTGCTGCGCGACGGTGAGCGAGGCCGTGTTGGTCGAGCCTGTTTGACGCTGGCAGTTGGTGCAGTAGCAGAGGGCCTTGGCGTGGGGAGATGCGCGTTAGTATGGAGTCGTCTCGAGTGGAGTGGGGTAGTTACGGTATGGATTGGCTCGCTGGTGAAGGTGTACTTGACCTTGCCGCACTGGCAGCCGCCTGTGTAAGACATGTTTGGGGTTGTTGGGTAGTTGAGGTTTGGTGGGGTTGTGATGCTGTGGTTTGTCTTGGGCAGAGGCGATATCGTCGAGTTTATATACTCAACGGAGCTTGGAGACGCAGTCAGCAAGGAGTTGTTTACGCGGCCGTCCGGATTGAAGGAATACGCGTATACGGAGTCGGATGCAAGTTAGCGCTCAAGTGATTGGCTGGAGTGCAAAGGAATACAGCTGATGTCTTGGCCCTTCATTGGCGAGCCTCGGCCGACGTCTGCTTTTCTGCTGACATTGTACGACAATGCAGCTGTGGTTCCTCCATCTCATTCAAAAAAAGCTAGGATGATGTCGCTCCAACTCGGCCGAGCCTTTCGGCCTTTGAACATTGAATTTGTTCACAAACTGGTCGATGATGCGCTGCCAGATCGTGGGGGAGGACGGCATGATGGGACGTATGCGGGGGATCGAGTACTCTGTAGCAAGGCTACGCTATTGGGCTATTTCTGGACGTAAATAAGTGCAAAGAATAGATATGATGACTGCTTGACTTGAGCCAGGCCGATGTAAATACAGCAGCAATAGCACAGGAACATTGTCCTCGGAAAGACTCGATTTCTCATGATACAGAAGGTAATTCGAGTTCGTGAAACCCTACATAGAACAACGGTAATCCAAGATATGACAGCCTTCAGGGCATTGGCGCGTCTAGTGTTTAATAGTCAGGTCATAAATTTCGACGCCCTTTGAATACGTTTTTGAGAAGGCCTACCTTTGAGCCGACTTTCCGGAACATCCCTGGCTACAACGTGCCGGAAGTCTTCTATGTCGCAGAGAACATAAAGCCACTCTTTTTCAACAAATTTTGCACCCGCAACGCGGTACGGGCCTTTCGAATCCGCAGGTTTGTCCTGGCTGATAAATTGAACTTCGTCGGCTATGCAGAACCCTGCGCATGGAGGATTGGAGATCCATTGACCAACGCGAGACATGATGGGTGTTTTTCTGGTTGCCACTTTGCCTCCGACCCGCCCGGCATAAATCCTTTTTTGATTCTCAGTGGATGTGGGAAGCTATTGGCCGAGAATAATAAACTTTTGGCTAACCATGCCAACTAGGCCACGCCATTGCTTATCAATCACTACCCCGCTCTTAGGGATATCCATTGCCTTTAGGATGACCGTACAATAAATTAATCAATGATGACTATGTATGGGGTCCTGTCGCATATTTCGAAGGCGCAACCACTTGGTCACAACTGACTGTCAGACCCACGAGTACCCTTAGTAACCTTCACCTAGCCAAAATAATGGGAAACGAAGGATGTGCTATAAATTCGGATACAGCTTCGAAACTCTTGCACCCTCCGTTGGCAACTGCATGCACATTGGAAGAAGAGCAGCACCCGGAAGAAGAACTGCATCCATGGAAACTCAACCGCTTTTCACCCTTCAAGGTTCCGTTCCTCAGGGTATGGGACTACTTTTCAGGTAGTCAGCCGGATGACACAAACCGCATGATTTCCAGAGCACCGCGTCGACGCCTTGACACTTTCGAGTCTCGAAAAAACTCATTGACCGTACACGTGGATCACAAAATCTGGAGACCAACACCTTATATTTCGTTCACCACATCAAAAGAAGCTGCTCAGCTGTTGGCTGAGAGCAGATCAGAAAGGCGGAGATGCCAGCAGACTCTCACGGTCGTCAATCCCAATGTCCGAATCAAGAAGGGTCTACCTATACTCGACATTTCTGCCGAGATGGATTACTATGAAGTGCAAGATCCATACGGGATGTCGAACCAATATTACAAAGACCACTTTCTTTGCATTTGGGAAGTTCTGGAGGACGAGATCGTTGGTCACTGGAAGTGGAAGGATCTTGATGAAAATCCGCAATGGTACGAGGAGATCATCATGCCAGCTTTCAAAGCACATGAGGAACGAATGAAGATGAAGTCCTTGGACGATGAGATACTGGGATTATCAAGTGCTATGAGCAAGACTTCCCGTATGTTCTTCACCTCTTACTTGAAGGTCCAGCTAATTTGAGTAGTTGCCGATGTTTCGACCAACGCACAACAACTTCTCCGGAGCGAATCGGATACGCCGAGCAATGATTTTAAGTACTATTGCAAACACGAATCTTGCCGGAACGATAGCGAATCGGATACGTGGAGCGAGAAATTCAGGTACTATTGCGGACGGGACTCTTGCTCGAGCGACAGCGACGAGGAAGTGGACCCGGGGAAGGGGCGAATGTACCCGATGATGTGATCAAGAATCTGAAAGGCAGCTTTCTTATCAATGCTGCCGACTACAACTCCAACTCTATGGAGGCTCTATGGAAGTAACCCATGGTTAAAAATAGCCAGTCAATGCAAGCAATTTATTGGATCACAGAAAACTCATCATGTCCGTAGTCTTATCCAAGAACTATTCAATATTTTTTTTGGTCTACATGTAAAGAAATGCGAGTACGCTCAACTAAATACAAACGCCAATTCAAGCCATCCTAAGTCCCAAGCCCCAACCATAACCCCTAAAAACCAATCATGTCCAATCTAATCCCACCACCAACACCCCTTTTCGACCCATCGACCCTAACAAATCAATCAATCAATCACCTCCTTATCGCCAACCCCTCGCCATTCGCCGCGATACTCGCATCCAGCGCCGCAAAATGCCAGCCAAACCCCACCTTCTTCGCCTTCCCCGCCCACTCATGCGGGGGCATCCTGGTCCACTCCTCCTCCTTGCCTTCCTCTTGTTCCTTCTCAACCAGCCCCGCCACATCCCTCATGCTCAACCGCACGGTGCTCGGGTACCGACACTCCACCACCGTAGCACCCGCCTCATCATCATCATCTCCCACAACCGCCAGCCCAATCTCCCGTGCCAAATCCTCAACGCGAACCAGGTCGAAACTACCCGCCCACGCACCAGCCTCCGTCTCATCATCCTCCTTAAACGTCTCCGGCAGCGCGCGCAGCTCCTTGGCAACTTGACGAAGCTCGTTCAGCAGCTCCTCCGGAGCTTCTCCTTCTCCCTCGGCAGGCATAGCCCTGTGCACGCGCACCGGCAAGCCCAGCCGGGCCGCGGCGTCAGCGAGGAGGCGCTCGCTCGCCCACTTCGACAAGACGTAACCGCTACCAGCGTCCGCCGGCGAGCTCAGGGCAACCGCGCCGGCGCTCGACACGAAATGCAGCGGCACGCCGCGCGGGGCCGCGAGGCGGACGAGTTCGCGGGTCGACGCGACGTTCGTAGCGCGGAGGTGCTCGTAGTGGTCCCAGAAAGAGCGGTTAGCGGCGCTGTGCACGACGGCGTCGGCCGACGCAGCGAGGTTGGCGAAAGCCGCTTCCGACAGGCCGAGACGGGGCGCGGTGAGGTCGCCGGTGTGGACGACGACCTTGGGGTTGGCGGCGTGCTGCTCGACGAGCGAGGAAGGCTGGCGGACGGCGAGACAGTGCACCTCGGCGACCCGCTCGTCAGCGACGAGCTGGCTTAGGATCCTGCGACCGAGGTAGCCGGTAGCACCCGTCAACAGCACCCTCAGCGCCTCCGGCTTAGCCCGCGGCGCCGCAGTGCTCACAGCACCGCCCAAGTCCAGCGGCTCCGGCGCAACCGTGTCCTCCCTCACCCACTCCTCGACCGACGCTGGAGCACTACGCTTGACAGCCGCAGCCATGGCGCCGAGCGTGTTGTCCTCGAGCAGCTGGCGCAGCGGGACCGCGGCGCCGAACTCGTCGCGGATGAGCTGGGCGAGCTTGACGAGCAGCAGCGAATTGCCGCCGACGTCGAAGAAGCTGGTGTCGGCGGAGGTGGCGTGGGGGGCGTCAGCCGAGACGACGGCGCGCCAGAGGCGTTCGAGGGCGATTTGGTCGGGGGTGAGCGTAGTCGTGGTGGTAGTAGTGGCGGACGATTGATCCTCCTCAGCAGTAAGCGGGAGCGAGGCAGCGGCGCGACGATCAAGCTTGCCGTGTGCGGTCAAGGGCAGGCGGTCGACGGGGACGAGGGTGGCCGGGACCATGTACTGGGGGAGGGCCTGGGCGAGACGAGGCTTGAGGGTAGCGGCTAGGAAGTCGTTCTTGTTCTCATCTTCTTTACCACCATCGGCGGCAAACTCAACGTGAGCGACCAGGAAAGGCGGGTTACCTCTCACCGACGCGACGGCAGCGGCGACGGCGCCATCAGAAGCCTTGACGACGGCGCTCTCGACGTCGCCGAGCTCGATGCGGATGCCGCGCAGCTTGACCTGCGCGTCGTCGGCGACGCGGCCGTGGAAGAAGAGCGTGCCGTCGGGGCCGAGGTGGCCGACGTCACCGGTGCGGAAGGCCTTGACTGCCGCGTTATCCAGGTCCGGGATGAACTTGGCCGCGTTGAGTGCCGTGTCGACGTAGCCGGCGGCGACGCTGGGCCCGCCGACGACGATTTCACCAGCGACGCCGGCAGGGAGCGGGCGCAGGTTCTCGTCGACGATGCGGATGGTGTAGTTGGGCAGCGGGCGGCCGAGGGAGATGGCGCCGTCGTTAATACGAGCGGCGTCGGGGGTGGACGGGATCTCGGCCTCGGCGCAGGAGAAGGTGATTTCGCTGGGGCCGTAGGCGTTGAAGACGCGCAGCAGCGGGTTGGCGAGGGCGACGAAGTCGTCGCGCAGAGCGCGCGTGAAGGCCTCGCCGCCCGAAGTGGCGAAGCGCCAGTTGGTGGCGCGGGCGATGTCCTTCGCGCCATAGGCCAGCCAGGCCTGGTACTCGGACGGGGTGGCGACGGTCCACGAGATGCCCTCGGAGGCGAGCAGCGAGGTCAGTTGAGCCGGGTCGCGGCGCGCCTCGGCGGACGCGACGTAGAGGGTGCCGCCGTGCGTGAGGGCGGTCAGAAGCTGGCGGAGAGACATGTCAAAGGTGCAGGCGCTCTGCTGGAGGACGGTCTCACGGCCGACGCCCCAGTGCCTGTCGGTGCCCTCGATGTTGTTGCGGATGCCGCTGTGGCGCAGCATGATGCCCTTGGGCACGCCAGTGGAACCGCTGGTGTAGAGAATGGCGGCCGGCTCCTCGGGGCGGGCGCGGCTAGCACGTGGGGTTGCATCTTCGGCGAGCATGTCGACGTTGATGACGGCCATGTCAGGTGTAGACAGTGTCATGGCACGGGTGAAGGTGCGAGCGTCGCAAAGGATGGCGCTGGCGCGGCAGTCGCTCAGCACGGCGGCGATGCGCTGAGGCGTGTGGCGGGTATCCAGAGGCACGTAGGCGCATCCAGCCCTCCACACACCCAGCACGGAGCAAGCCCAATTGGCCGTGGGCTCCTGGAGCAGCGCGACGGAAGAGCCCTCAGTGACGCCGTGTTCCTCGAGAGCCGCAGAGATGGCGTTGCAGCGCGCATCCATGGTCGAGTACGTCAGATTGGCGCCGTGCCCGTCGCGGATGGCAGTGCGCTCCGGGTTCTGCGCAGCCATCACGTCGATGCGCTGCGACACGGTCGCCGGCCAAGCCAACTCCATGGCCGGCCCACGGCCCGCATCGAGCGCCTCTTGCACCGCAGCGTCGTCGAACAGGGCGGGCTCGCTCTCGCGGGCGTCAGGACGAGCAGCGAACACCTCCAGCATGCGGATGTAGCTGCGCAGCAGGAGCTCGGCGGCGCGCTGGGGGTAGAGGTACTTCTGCGTCTTCATCGACACGGAGACCTCGCCGCCGGCGTAGTCGGTGATGTCGAGGGTGACGTCGTAGGCCGTGTTGCCCAGCGTGGCGTCGCCCTCGAGCTCGGCGCCCAGGGCCTTCTCGGTGCGGATGGCGAGCTGGCGGTAGTCGAAGAAGACCTGGAAGAGCGGGCTGTGCGTCGACGAGCGCTGGATGGCGAGCTCCTCGAGCAGCACGTCGAACGGCACCGCCGAGTGGGCCAGGGCGGCGTAGGCCTTGGTGCGCGCCTCGGTCAGAACGTCAGCGAAGGAGCTGTCCTTGGATGAGCGGCGCATGCGCAGCGGGAGCAGGTTCAGCAGGAAGCCGATGGTGCCGGCGGTGTCGCCATCGGTGCGGTTGGCGTCGGCGAGGCCGATGCTGACGTCGTCCGTGTCCTCAAGCCAGCGGAAGAGGAGGACCTTGAGCGCGGCGAGGAAGAAGTGGAACGAAGTAGCGCGGTGGCGGCGGGCCTGGTCCTTGATGCGCTTGGCCAGGTCGGCTCCCAGCGTAACGGTCGCCTCGGCACACTCATAGCGCGTCAAGGCCTGGCGGGTGCGGCGTTGAGCGAGGGGGAAGAGCGGCAGCGGCTGCGGGCAGTCCGGGTACTCATTCTTCCAGAAGTCGAGATGAGTCTTGAGCTGGCCGCTCTCGACGGCGCGCCTCTGGCGGGTAGCGAAGTCGCCGAACTGGACGGCGACGGGCGGCAGAGACTGGCGGCGGTACGCGCGGTCGAGCTCATAAAGGAAGACGTTGAAGCTGAAGCCGTCGATGGCGATGTGGTGGAAGCCGAAGAGCAGGTGGTGCGTCGTCGGGCCGTTCGACAGCAGCATCAGCCGAGCCGTCTCGCCGCGCTCAATGTCGTAGCGGTGGCTCGAGAGGGTGCGGCACGCGTCGAGGACTTGCTGCTCATCGATGATGTTGGAAGTTTCGAGGCGCAGCGATGAGAAAGGCAGCACACCCTGCATAGGCGCGCCGTCGTCGCCCGAGAAGAAGGCGGTGCGGAAGGCCTCGTGGCGTTCGGCCACGGCGCTAGCGGCCCGCTGCAGATCGTGCACACGGAGCGGGCCGGTGATGCGGGCCCGGAAGACCAGGTTGAAAGCGGTCGGGTCGTCCAGGTACTGCTGCAGGAACCAAAACCGTGTCGACGCATACGCCATAGGTACCGTCTTCTCGAAAGTAGGCAGCGGCACCAGCTCCTCCACCTTGGCGCCGCTGCAGTCCTCATCCTCCTCGGCCTCGTGCTCAGAGAGCGCGGGAATCTCCTCCGAGAGCACCGACGAATTGTCGTCATCGGAGCTCACGTCCTCGGAACCGGAGCCCGCGTTTTCAGGCGCCGATTCCTCCTCGCTGGTAGAATCAGAACCAGCATTCTCTTCAACCGCCGCTGCCGGCGCGGCCTTGGGGACCAGCTCGGGCGACATGCGAGCAACAGCGTCCTCAACAAGCTCAGCGACGGTGGCGCCGCCCAGGATCTTGAGCACGGGCATATCGAGGTCGAGCTCATTGGCGAACCACGAGCGCATGTCGACGGCAACGAGCGAGTCGACGCCGAGCGAGACGACCGGGGTATCCGCCGTCAGCGAGCCGTCGTTGGGCAGCTTGAGCGTCTGCTGCAGGGTGGCAAGGAACGCCTCCTGCAGCACCTGCTCGGCCTCCTCCATGCTCTCCACCTCGAGGAGCTGCTTCTTAACGGGGTCCTTGGGGCGGCCCGCGGCGTCGACGGCGGCGGCGGCGCTGTTGCGCTGCGACTGGCGGTAGTGTGCGAACTTGGGGTTGTCGATCCAGGCCGGAGCGTGGGCGTAGGTGGGGTCGAACGACTGCAGGCCGGCCGACAGCTCGGGGTTGCGGCCCGACTCGGGGCGGCCGGCCTCGACGCACTCGGCGAAGAAGGTCAGGAAGTCGCGCTCCGACACGGTCGCGTAGCCCATCGTGTCGAGGCGGTCGAGGATCGTCTCGTCGGTGCGGTGGATGTAGCCGAGGCCCTTGATGCCGGCCAGGTTCATGACGCTGGCCACGAGGCCCCTCTTGCGGCGGCCGTGGGCCAGGGCGCACATGTACGAGTTGGCCGCCGCGTACGGCGACTGTCCGTAGTTGCCAGTGACCGAAGCCAGCGACGAGAACAGGATGAAGAAGTCCAGGTCGTTGGTCGGGAAGAGCTCGTCCAGGATCCGGCTGCCGTCGACCTTGGGCCGCAAGACCTTGTTCATCGTCTCGTAGTCCATGTTCGAGAACAGCAGGTCTTCCAGCACCATGGCAGCGTTGGCCACACCCGCAATCGGCGGCATGGTCCGGCAGATTTCGCGGTGCGCGGACAGCACCGAGTCCTTACTCGTGACGTCCCTGGAAAAAAACTATTGTCAGCTCGGTGTCTCGCCAGCAACAGTACTCACTTACACGGCAAACATATTGAGAACGACTCCCGCAGCCCTCATCATCTTGACCCACGCCTGATCCTCGTTGGGCCTGCGGCTGCAGAGAGCAAAGTGCTTGGCACCCCTCTCCACCATCCAGCGGCAGAGCGACCTGCCGAGATCGCCCGTCATTCCGAGCAGGAAGTACGTCCTGTCGGACCTGAATCGGACCGTCGATTCAACCGGGCGCACGCTGACCGTGACCGAGGCAGTGGCAGTCCAATCGACGACCTCGAGCGTGGCGTTGTTGGCAGCATCGCGACGGCCGGCGAGAGAGCCAACCGGGACTTCTGTAGCGTCAGTGGACGACAGCAGCTCGGGCTGCTGAGCCTGGGCGCAGGCCGTCGAGAGGCAAGCCGCCAGCTCATCAGCAGGCCAGGCGGCACGCGTGCTGGCATGCGAGCTCAGGAGGCTCGAAGCATCCATCAACGTGCATCCTCTCGGCGCGAACTTGCCGAGGTGCACTGCGTCCTCGCTCGCAGCCAAGTCGACGAGGAGAGAAATGTCCTGCGGGACGCACTGGCGCGCAGCACGCTCCGGGGCCCACGGGTGGATGATCGTGGGCTGCTGGCCATTGAGGTCGTACCTCTCGTCGCTGGAAGTAGTCAGCGCGAGCTTGATCTGCTTCTCAGCCGCCTGCTTCTCAAGCAGCGCCGCGAGCAGCGGGGCGGGCTGGTGGACGAGCAGGGAGCCGCCCTGCTCGACGCCGGCGAGGATAGCGGCGGCCGTGATGCTGGAAGCGGCCGCGACAAGTAGCTGGCTGGTCTTGTCTTCGGGCACATTGTCGCAGGCCGCAGTCCAGGCCTTGGGGACGCGGACGGCCGACGAGCAGCTGGGGGCCAGGGCGAGCAGCGTCTGGCCCGAGGCGCGGTCGACGCCCACGACCAGGAACAGGAAGCCCATGCGGCCGATCTGCAGGGCGGACGCGGTCGAGCGGAGCACGCGAATGTCAACGTACTCGCTGCTACCGGCAGTCTCATCGGCGCCGGGGAAGCGGCCCTCGCGAAGCTCGAGGGTGTCGTCGTCGGCGCGAACGACGTCGACGACAGACTCCTCCAGGGACACTTCGGCGGTGATGGGGCGGCGCGTAGAGTTGAAGCGGTCGTTGGGCCCCTGGCTGGGGCGGTAGCGGGGAACCTCGATGGCGCCGCTGCTGGTGACCGAGAGCTCGTGCTCGATGGACCACAGCGTGGAGCTGGCCCGCTGAGAGGCCGAGTCGCCGATCTGGAGGCGCAGCAGCGACGCCGCGATGAGCTGGGCGTCGGGCTTGACGGTGGTGTCGAAGTCGAGCATCTGCATGCGCAGCGTGCGCTTCATCTCCGACGCGAGGCAGCGCGCCACGCCGTACATCATGTTGGCGTACGGGTCGTCGGCGCGATTGCCCTGCGTGACCCAGAGCACGAGGCGAGCCGAGTCGAAAATGTACTTGGCAGACTCCAGCTTGCGGGCCGTGAAGGGATTGAAGAAGGCGGTCTCCAGCTCCGACACGTTCAGCACCGTGGCCTTGGGCGGGACGTAGTCGACGGCCTCGAGGCTGTCGAACGCGGTGATGTTCCTGCAGTAGGGCGCGACGGTGTTGCCGATGGCTTGGACGAGGCGCGAGGTGGCGAAGGTGGCGCCGCCCACGATGACGAGGTTGTCGATGATGGGCTTTGCGCTGGCAGGGTGGGCCAGCGGCTCCCTCAGCAGGCTGATGTGCGAGTCGACAGCCTGGGCAGCCATGACCGAGAAGGGGATGAGGTCGTTCTTGGAGCTGGGCGTCGTGGTGTCCACGCCCGCGAAGCCGGCGCGGCGGAGTACCGCGTCCCACTCCCGGCGCGTCACCAGCGGCGTGAGGCGGCGTCCCTCTTCCTCACCGACCCACCAGCCGGGCAGTCCGCTGAAGATGAAGCTAATGCGCAGCGGCCTATTGTTCGTGATCTCGAGCAGCAGGAGGTGGCCACCAGGCTTCAACAGGCGGCGAGCGTTGCGGAGCGTGTTCTCCAGCGAACGCGTGGCGTGGAGGACGTTGGATGCCACGATCACATCGTACGCATGCTCCGGGAAGCCCTGGTCAGTGGGGTCCTGCTCAACGTCAAGCGTCTTGTAAGTGAACCGGTCGTTGTGGTCTGCGAAGAGCCGCTGGGCGTCTTCGAAGAAGGCGGCCGAGATATCGGTGTAAGTGTATGAGCCGTAGCGGCGGCCGATGCGCTTCAGGATCGCGTTCGCCGCACTTCCAGTGCCGGCACCGATTTCAAGGAAATCCATGCTGGGGTAGCGGTGCGCGAGCTGGTCAGCAACCTGTCCGAGGTAGGTGTTGTACTCGGGCAGGCCGATGGAATCCCTGTAGAAGTGGTCCAGGAGATTGTTCGAACGGAACTGCTCGAGGATGGTCGTCTCGCCGCGCACAAACGGCACCAGCGTCTCTCCGACGAGCAGCACAATCTGGAAGTCCTGGAAGCGGTCCATCATCTTCTGCACCTCAGCCTGGATAAACTCGTACGAGTCATCCAACCACTCCTTCTTGCACGTCGGGTGCTGGCCAGCCGCGGCGAGCGCGACGGCGTGGGCAGCCCACTCCAGCACCCTCGCCTGGTGCCAGTTGCAGCGCTCGCGCTCTTCGGGCGTGATAGTCTCGTGGAGCCTGCGCAGGTAGAAGAGACAAGTGCGCTCACAAAGAGCCGACGCGGCGGCCTCGTCGTCGGTGAGCACCCAGGGCTGGTAGATGCCCTCCAAATCGAGCGACAGCGGGCCCCAGAGGGTCTCGGCCACCAGCTGGCGGTCGTCCTTGGCCGTGGGCGTGGCGAGGGGCGACACATGCAGGCCTTCGATCTGGACGATGGTATTGTTCTTACTGCTGCTGCCATCCCGCACGACGACGTCGCCGCGGATGCCGTCCGCGAGCGCCAAGTCGGCCTCGAAGGCGAGCGGCAGCTCGAGGCAGCCGGTGCCCATGCAGGCCGACGGGTTGAGGCGGATGCGCTCGATCAGGGTCGGGATGTGCAGCGTCCACAGGTCGCCATCGCCGGGGGAAGCCAGCGCCGCGAAGATGGCTTGGAAAGCCACGTCCAGCGGAGCGGGGTGGAGTACCAGTGTCGACTCCTCGTCGCCCTCGCGGGGAACGAAGATGGTGCCGCGGGCGGCGTCGCGCGTGCGCTCCAGGCTCGTGATGGCCTGGAACATGCCCGAGTAGTTGTAGCCCGTGTTGCGGAGGCTGGCGTAGAAGGTGTCGACGTCGACGCCGGCCATGTCGGCGAGCTGAGCGGGCCTTGCCGGCAGGCAGTCGGGCGCAGGGCTGCCGAGGGTGACCCTCAGCTTGCCGTTGGCCACCGAGGTGAAACCCGAGTCCTTGGTGAGGGAGGCATCGCAGCTGAAATCGGCGACGACGTGGCCCGCCTCGGTGCGGACGTTGGTGAGGCAGAAGAGCGTCTCCACGCCGGTGCTGTCGTCGAAGAAGCTGAGGGCGCGGTGAATGCTGAAGTCGGTGATCTCAATCAGGCGCGTCTCCTCGGGAGTGGCGAGAGCCCTGCAAGCCTCAAGGGCCATGCACGCGAAGCCGGCAGCCGGGAACAGCGTCTGGCCCTGGATCTGGTGACCACGCAGCCACGGGAGCTCCGTAGGCTTCAGGTAGTTGCGCCAGCGGTGCTGACCCTCGGCGTCACTGGGGCAGCGGGTGCCGAGGAGGGCGTGGACGGGGTCGTCGCGCAGACGCACCATGCGGGACTCGCGCGACTCACTCCAGAAAGTCCTGTCGTGGTCCCAGGGGTATTGAGGCAGGCCCTTGGGTACCATGCGGGGGGCTGGGCCGGAGAAGGCCTCGTCGAAGCGCTCCAAGTCCACAGCAGCCGAACCCAGGTGGGACCAGATGAAGCCCACGCAGTCGGCCAGGGCCTCGACATCGTTGCTGCCACGCTTGATAGTGCCGGTGTACGGGCAGCCACCCTTGACCATCTCCTCGATGGTGAGGCTGGCCGGGCCGCGCAGTGCTGGGTGCGGTCCGACCTCGATGGCGACGGCGGGGGCGCCCGTGGCGGAAACAGCAGCGGTCAGTGCCTGCGAGAACAGCACCGGCCGGGCCATGTTGTCGGCCCAGTACTGAGCAACGTCGACGTCGGCCACATTCATCTCACGGCCATCCAGCACGCTGGAGAACCACCGAGGGGCATTAGCCGGCGGGGTGCGCAGCTGGATGCCGGCGCGGCGCATCGAGGCGATGTAGCCGGGCAGGCAGGGCAGCATGTGGTGCGAGTGGTAGGCCGTGTCGACGACCAGTCTGCGCGCGAACTTTGACTCATCCTCCATGACCAGCTGTGCGCGGTCGACGGCGGAGGCGTCACCGGAGAGGGTGACGCTGGCCGACGAGTTGCTGGCCGCCACGCAGAGGCGCCCACGGAAGAAGGGCAGAGCGCACAGCTCGCTGGCGTCGGCCATGGATGTGCCTGCCGCGAGCATGGCGCCGCCGCGAGCACCCGTGGCGTGAAGACCACGCAGGTAGGCGATGCGGATGGCGTCGCGGGCGGAAAGGAAGCCTGCCGCGTAGGCTGCGCCAATCTCACCGCTGGAGTGACCGACAACGGCCTCGAAGGAGATGCCGCATGCGTATAGAAGGTCGACCAACAGCACCTGGACGGCGGTGCACAGCGGCTGTGACAAAGCCGCCTCGCGCACGCGCGAGGTCTCAGCCGGCGCGAGGAGCTGCTCGCGGAGCGACCACTCCGGCCTCTCGCTCTCGGGCAGCTCTGCGAGCGCCTGCTCGAGCTCAGCAAGTGTCTGAGACGCTGCCTTTGACGCCAGCACCAGACCACGGCCCATGGCGGCCCACTGCGCGCCCTGACCGGTGAAGATGCCGACGATGCGGCGCGACTTGGTGGCGGCGCGCACGAAGCTAGCCTCCTCACGCTGAGCATCCAGCCGCTCACACAGCTCCTCGACCGACTGCGCCGCCACCGACGTCCGCACGGGGAATGCAGACCGGCGGTGGTGCAGCGTCCAGGCGAGCGTGCGGAGGTCGACCTCGGCACCGGAGCGGAGGAAGTCGGCATGTGCGGCCAGCACGTCCTTGAGAGAGCGCACCGAATTGGCCGAGAAGACAAACGGCCCTGACGATGCGAGCGGGAGTGCGGGCTCCGCAGTGACCGCTGGCTTCTCGTAGCTCTCGACGATGGCGTGGGCGTTGGTGCCTCCGAAGCCTATACAGGGTCAGTGAGATGATACCAGGAAGGACTTAGACTAGACTTACCGAAACTGTTGACACTGACACGGCGCGGAGTGCCAGCCGGCAGCGCCGGCCAAGTCTGCAGCTCCGTCGGGATGCGCAGGTTGGAGTAGTAAGGAGCGACGTCTGGGTTCAGGCGGTTGAAGTGCATGTTGGGCGGGATCATTTTGTTTTGCACCGCCAACGACGCCTTGAGCAAGCCTGCGATGCCCGCAGTGCCCTCGGTGTGGCCGATGACGGTCTTGATCGAGCCGACCCACAGCGGCACCTCCCCAGCAGGCGTCTCGGCCCCGCCAAAGAAGGCTTCGCAGATGGCCGAGGCCTCCTGCGGGTCGCCCGCCTTGGTACCGGTGCCGTGAGCCTCGAAGTACTGACACCTGTCTGTCTCCTTGCGGGGATCCAGGCCCGCACGGGCGTATGTCTGCGCGATGAGATCTGCCTGGGCGGAGGCACTAGGCATGGTGATGCCTGGCGTGCGTCCGTCCTGGTTAACGCCCGTCTCGCGGATGATGCATTCGATGTCGTCACCGTCCGCGAGCGCGGCGCTCAGCGTCTTCAACACGACCGCTCCGATACCTTCACCGCGTGCGTATCCGTCTGCGTTCGCATCCCACATGCGCGATCGCCCCGTCGGCGACAGCATGTTAAGGTTGCTCTCGGCGATATACATCTCTGCAAGTGGCTGTTAGCGAGGACGAGGAAGAGGATCGGATGGCTTACTTGGGCCGAAGATGAGGTTGGCGCCGGCTGCCACAGCGACGTTGGACTCGCCGCTGCGGAGCACCTGCACCGCCTGGTGCACTGCCACCAAACTGGACGAACATGCTGTGTCGATTGTCATCGAGGGACCGTGCCAGTCGAAAAAGTATGAGATGCGGTTGCTCATGATACTCCTGGCCGAGCCAGTAGCGGCGTACTTTGGAATCGACTCGACGTCGTGGTACACGATCTCGGCATAGTCGTCGCACATGACACCGACGTAGACGGCGGTACGTGAGCCTTGAAGGTCTTCAAGCTTCAGGCCAGCGCTCTCGATCGACTCGTACACGCTTTCGAGCAGCAGGCGCTGTTGAGGGTCGATCGAGTCTGCCTCGGCCGCTTGGATATTGAAGAATTGTGCGTCGAACGCACAGGGGTCGTCATTCAGGAGGTACGACTGGCGCACGTTGCTCGCTCCGTGATAGTGTCCGTTTTGGTGGTAGAAGCTCTTCGCCTTGAACCTGTCAATGTTGGACAGGACGTCTCGTGGCTGCTTGAGAAGTTCCCATAGCTTCGACGGCGAGGTCGAGGATCCAGGAAAGCGACATGCGCTGCCTACGATGGCAATGGGCTCAGGGTTGCGCTGCATGGCGGGCTAATGTGGGGTGGTAAAAGATGAGTGAAAGCTCGTGTCTGTCAAAAAGATCAACGGAGATGGAGCGGAGGAGGGCTTTTAGATGGAGCTGAAGAGGGCGTTCAGATGGAGCTGAGGAGGACGTTAAGATGGAGCTGAGGAGGACGTGAAGATGTAGCTGAGGAAGGCTTTTGGATGAAGCTGAAGAGGGCGTTAAGATGAAGCGTACTCCACTGCTTTGCGTAAGTAATGTGATGGAGAGGTTCTGGCTGGCATTTATGTGTATGTATCACAGTCGGGCGTCGTTCAGGTGGATAGGTCAGCAATTGTTGCTCCCACGCGTTCCTGAAGCGAGTTGGGACCTGAGCACCGCCTAAACGAATCCAGAAGGTGGAGGTCTCAGCATACTGTGCCTCGTTGGTGGTGTTCGCGGTACCACTGACTTGGCACCGGCCAGAAGGGTGGGTATTGGAAGAGCAAGGGTAGGATGCTGGCTAAGCACCGGTAGGCTTGGCATAAGCAATCCAGTTTCCCGAAGTAGCTAGCGACGTTGCTTACCTAGAGAGAGGCTCTCCACGACCAGAATCGAGTTCCCTATCCAGAACACCATCTATTGTTGTTGCTAGTTTTGGGGGCTGCGTGGCTTGCGGTACGAGCCGAATCATGTCCAAACATGGAACCTGACAGTGCATAATCCTCCCGCATGGGGTGCCAGCCACAAACGGCCCCGGTCGATGCACGGTCAGCAGCTTGTATTCAGGCCCCATCGTGAGGCTCAGCCAATCCTTACAGCAACAACGGTTCCTGGGCCCTGAACGCCACAGTTCTTTTCTTACATTGGTGCATGGTGTTGGATGCGGGGCGAATGCTCAGCACCAAAAGCTGAACTTCGTCTTCATTTTGGTTTTATAAACACCGACACCACAGAAACTTGAGAAAGGCGACGATTTTTCTCTTTCTTTATTCAAGACCTCGACGCAAGCAGACACGATGTCGCAGACGATCCCAACGACTCAGAAGGCAATCATTGTGGACGACAGCGGCAATTTTGTCGAGTCCAGCAATGTGCCCGTCATGCAGCTCGAGCCAGACGCCGTCATTATCAAGGTGGCGGCCGTGGCCCTGAACCCCGTCGACACGAAGATGCTCGGCGATTTCGCCACGCCCGGTGCGATTCTCGGCTTCGACTGCGCCGGCACCGTCGTTGCCGTCGGGCGCGACGTCGGAGCAAGGCTGAAGCCGGGCGATCGTGTCTGCGGCAGCGCCGACGGCATGAACCGCTTCAGGCCCTTGAGCGGCGGGTTTGCCGAGTACGTGTCGCTGCCGGGCGATTTGGCGCTCAAGATCCCAGAGGGCATGTCGTTCGAAGCGGCGGCGCCCTTGGGAACGGCGCTGGCGTCGGCGGGCATGGCGCTGTTCGCGTCGCTGAAGCTGCCCGCCACGCTGACGGAGCCCGCCAGCGCACCGTTCTGGGTGCTCGTCAACGGCGGCAGCACATCGACCGGAACGATGATGATCCAGCTGCTGAAGCTGTAGGTACTCCTCCCGCCGCGGTTAATGCGGTCTGCTGACGGCAAAAAACAGGTGCAACCTTCGTGTGGTCACGACGTGCTCGCCTCGGAACTTCGCCTTGGTCAAGTCTTACGGGGCGGACGCCGTGTTCGACTACAACTCGCCAACCTGCGCCCAGGACATCCGGAAATTCACCGAGGACGCGCTTGAGTACGCGGTCGACTGCGTGACGCTGGAATCATCCATGAAGCTCTGCTACGCCGCCATTGGGCGTGCGGGCGGCAGCTATACGGCGCTGGACCCCTTCCCCGAGACGCAGCGCACCCGCAAGGCCATCACTCCAGACTGGATTCTGGCAACCCAGGTGACGGGCAACGCCTGCTCCTGGCCAGCGCCGTACGGCAGAGACGGGTCGCCCGAGCTGAGAGCGTGGGCAAATACCTTCTTCGAACAGGTGCAGAAAGCCCTCAACGAGCGTAGAATCCGCGGTCACCCCGCCAAGGTTTCGCCCGACGGCTTCGCCGGGGTGCTCGAGGGCGTGGGGATCATCAGACGCGGCGAGGTCAGCGGCCAGAAGCTTGTCTACAGCGTGGCTTGATCGTGGGTTTGGTGTTTCATAGCAGGGGAGCGGCGTTGAGGGACGGGCGCATGGAGTAGCATAGATGATATGATTATTGAAATGGATGAGTTTTGGCCACTGAATGAAGGGTTGTGGGTGACGCGTGCGACGGCAGTCGGTGACGCTAGGCTCCAACGCTAAGCCCCGGCGCTAAGCCGTGTGCTAAGCTCTAATACGAAGCCCTGGCGCTAGGCCTAATACGCCACTGACATCACTGAAAAAACGACAACCCAACACGCGCAGACTTCAACCATCCGCCAACGACCTTCCCAACCATCTATCCAGACATCTAGCATTCATCTAAACGTTTGCCATCCTGCATTTCAAAAATTTCTTATCTCCAGGCATCTGCATCAAAAAGACATCAATGGTAGTGCCACTTCTCACCATCATCGTGAGCCCGTAAGCGGAGCCAATGTTCCACAAAGCAGCTCGATCTCACAAAGGATCTTGTACTATGGCTCAGACTGATCCCATACGTCTCTTTTCAAGCTGGGCTTTTGGTCGTTGGCGTGCGGAAGCTCCGGAAGGCGGAGCTGGTTCCTGCTCGTTGGCTTGCAAAAGTCGTGGCCTACGTTTATCGCGGTCTTTCTCCAGATCCTCTCAAAAAAGCTGAAACAAGAAAAGGAAGAGATATCTAGGTCTTTCTAGGATGTGGTTTCAGTCATTGCTTGCCTCATGTTGCTTCTATCTTCAGCAGTGTTAGAGAAGGCCCCAGGCCTCAGGCTCATCCTGATCACTCCACGATACCCGGTGAGCTTCGATGAACCTCGGTTGATAGGACAGACATGCTGACCTTGCAGCTCGCACTGCTTTCCCATAGCGACACCACGGCGGACTGCGCCGGCGCAGCGACGCCCATATGAGTGGCAGTCGAGCAGCTCACTTTTGCGGTAAAACAAACCACAACCATGCAATTCGCCGCACTCATCTTCCTGTGCGCGCCCATCCTCATCGCGCTCCTCTCCCGGCGGCTCGCCACTGAGTGGCGGCTGCGCAAGCTGGCTAAGGCCAACGGGTGCAAGCCCGTCCGGCAGCTACGCAGCCGTCTACCATTCGCACTAGACCTCAAGTGGCGCGTCTTCCAGCACCGCGGCAGCATCCTCGACGACGTCATCTTCCAGGTGTACCGCGACCAGGGCACGTGGATCTTCAGCAGTGACAGCACGCTGGACCGGTCCATCTCAGCCGCCGATCCGCGCGTCATCCAAGCCATCCTAGCAACCCACTTCCGCGACTGGGGGCTGGGCCAGAGCCGCGCGCGCGCGGTGGGCCCGCTGCTGGGGCGCGGCGTCTTCACCAGCGACGGCGAAGTCTGGCAGCACGCGCGGGGCGTCCTCCGCCCGCAATTCACCAAGGCCCAAGTCAGCGACGTCGCGACGGTCGAGCGCCACGTGCAAGCCCTCTTCGCCGCCATGGGCGGCGCCTCGCCCAACGGCTGGACGCGCACGCGCAACCTCATGCCTCTCCTCCTCCGCTTCACGCTCGACAACACGACCGACTTCCTGTACGGCCAGAGCCTGCACTCGCAGACGCACATGGCCGGCGCGCATGAGGGCTCACCCGAAGCCCTGCACGCCGCCTCGTTCGAAAAGGCCTTCACCGACGCCAACAGCGGCGCGCAGCTGCGCCTCAAGGCCGGCCCCTTCTACTGGCTCTTCCGCTCGCGCGCCTTCGTCGCGGCCTGCGCGACGTGGCAGGAGCACGGCACGCGCCTCGTCGACGCCGCGCTGGGCCGCGAGAAGCAAGAAAACCGCTACTGCTTCGTCGACGGCCTCGCCGAGAGCACCGACGACCGCGCGCTGATGCGCGACCTCAGCATCCAGCTGCTGTTCGCGGGCGAGGACACGTCGGCCAGCCTGCTCGCCTTCACGCTGCGCTGCCTCGCCCTGCACCCGGGGGCGTGGAGCCGCCTGCGCCGCGAGGTGCTCGAGTTCTTTGGGACACAGGCGCAGCCGGTGCGTGAGGTCACGTTCGCGTCGCTCAAGGAGTGCGCACCGCTGCAGAACGTGCTCAAGGAGACGCTGCGGCTGTACCCGCCCGTCCCGATGAACGCGCGCGAGGCGCTGCGCGACACGGTGCTGCCTGTTGGCGGTGGGCCCGACGGGAACGCGCCGGTTGCGGTGGCGAAGGGGACGGTGGTCAAGTACAGCCCCTACGTCATGCAGCGCCGCGAGGATATCTGGGGCCCGGACGCGCTCGAGTGGAAGCCGGATCGCTGGGTCGGGCGCCGCGTCGGGTGGGAGTACCTGCCTTTCAACGGCGGGCCGCGCATCTGTATCGGACGTAAGGACCCCCCTGTAACCCGAGTATGGAACTTGCTGAAAGTTTGCAGAACAATTTGCCTTGACCGAGATCGCCTACGCTGTCGTGCGCATCTTGCAGCACTTCGACGACATCCAGGGCGGCGACTTCGAGCCCGCTATTTCGACGACGTGGAGCACTGCCTTGTTTCCCAAGCATGGCGTTCCGCTGTCGTTCCACGTGGCTGCGGAGTAGGGGTGTTGTGGGTGTTTCAACATTCGTTTAGTTTTCGTTTGTCACAGCATGGTGGGAGTTGGGTAGATTCATTTTTTTTAGCAATTTGAGAGATTTATTTGTGAGCGAAAGGTCAATATGTGTGGTGACTAACTATCGGAGGGTGATATGAAATAATCGCCATATTAATTTGCATTACACTTCACCATAGCATGGACGCCTTTCAGCTTCTAAACAGAAACATGAAAACTTCAGCTTTTCGGTGGATGTATATGCATACAATCTCCACATGCCACGCCAGTGGAAATAGAAGAAAGAAAACGAACAACTTGGAGAAATTGAACAACAGCAAGGGGTAGTGGTCACGGCATCCTCCATGAGTGTACAAAAAGACTCATGGAGGAATTATGAGATGGCGCTGAAGAGGTGATTTCAGGCAGGCGTTTTCTCGGCCTCGTCCTTCTTGCGCCTGACACGGAGGGAGAAGCCCATGACCAGACAGATGATGACGGCAATGAACTCCATCACGACAGACATGCACACGTAGATTGCGATGCTACCAGTGATGGAGTTGAAGTCCTGATCGCCACTAAAGTCATAGATCATGGCGTAGAGCAGACGGACGAAGACAAAGGGGAATGAAGCACCGACGCCGGGCAAGATGCGGCGCTCGCTGACTTCGATGCGCGACATGCTCACGGCCAGGTAGCCGAGAATGAGCACGTCGAAGACGAAAATAGCCAAGAAGATGGCGACGGCGGCTTTAGACTTGGGGTCCACGGTGGTGAGGCGGTCGGTGGATTTGCTGGCCTGGATACCACCGACGGTGCCTATAACGAGACCAACTAGCGAAAGTAGGTCGAGGGACTTGAATACAAGGCCCGGCAGGCGTGGCTTGGCCATGAAGTCGTTCCTGTGGGGCGCCTTGTCAGCAACAAAGGAAAAAAGAAAAGAGGCTAGGGGGCCAAGGTGCTTACGCTCGCGAAAGGAGTCCAAGACACAACAACACGAGAGGGGATAGGCCGACTGACGTGCATACGGCTAGGGCCGTTGCGACACGTCTGGAGGGATTGTGGGAGAAAATGAGCTGACAGATGGCGGCAACTATCCTTAGCAGCGAAAATGCAACTAGAAAGTACCAACTGGCGGATTTCTTGAAGCCATGTTTGAAGCAGAGGAAAGTCGCCGCCCCGCCCGCGGGAATGTAGAAGACGAGTTGGGCGATGGCAATGTCGTCGCGGTCGGTAAGTGTCATGTTGGACTACTCTTGGAGACGGTAGCAATAGAGTCTTTCGCAGACCAAGCAGCATTTTAGAAGCAGACAGCTCGCACTGGTTACCCAATGCGGACATGAAGTCACAGAGACATGCCGAGGTTGAAACCGTTCTACGAAGAAAACTCGCACTGGTGACCAGATGCGGACGAGGACTCACATAGCCACGCTTCGCCTGAGACTGTGCCACGAAGAAAAGAGCCTCGGCTGCACGGTCAGCAGCAACTATTCCTGCAGGGCAAGCTGGATGGATCACCATGTTGATCGCTCCGCCAGCAGCCGGAGAGTGCATCCAGCATCGCGCATCTAAATACACAGCAGCATCACGATGAGCAATAAAGTTAAGAGCAACAGACATGTTTCCCCTCCAAGACAACTGGCCAGAACCGTCCCAAGCAGACTTCGCCATAACCGACGCCGGGCCAGCCAGCATCCTGTTGCACGAAATGATCAGCTCAAAGACTACCGGGGGTCGCGAGATCGACCGGCTCGACCAGCCCCCCGCACGCCAGAAGCCGATGCAGGTCCTCTGCCTGGGCCTTTCCCGCACCGGCACCACCTGTAAGTTGCATGCACCGCCCCCCTCTCCGATCACCTGATTTTAACAGGCAGCGAAAAATCAGCAATGGTGCACGCGCTGGAAAGACTTGGCTACCGCAGCTACCATTTCAACGAGACGGTCGAAATGCAGAGAAAAGGCAAGATGCACCTTCTCTGCTGGCGTGAGGCGCTCGAAGCCAAGCTCTACGGCCGTGGCGCAGCATTCGGCTTGGCCGAGCTTGAGAAGCTTTTGCACGAGTACACGGTAAGCATCCCCCCAGCACCTTGGCGCCCAGGCGGCGCGGAAATACCCCACATATGATTGCTGACTGGCGTTTGCGGCGCAGGCTGTGACGGATGCCCCGTGCGCCAACTTCGTCGACGAGCTCATCGCGGCGTATCCCGACGCCAAGGTCGTCCTGACCACCAGGGACGACGAGCCGTGGCTGCGGTCCATGGAAGCCTCCTACTACGACATCCTAGGCGTTTCAGCATGGCCGTTCGTGCGCTGGCTGGACCCTGTAAGTAACTGCTCTTTCTCTCGGCTCTTGCTTGATAGCCGCGCTAGTGAACAGGGATGCTGATCCGCCCATGCGCACAGCCGGGACTGGGGGCCCTCTACGACGTCCTCCGCCTAATTCTGGTCGACTGGACGGGCGGGCCCTGGCGCGACCGCGCGGCCCTCCGCGACGGCGCTCGCCGCCACAACGAGCACATTCGCGCCCTGGTGCCGAAAGAGCGGCTGCTCGAATTCCGCGTGCAGCAGGGCTGGGAGCCGCTCTGCAAGTTCCTTGGCAAGGACGTGCCCGACGAGCCGTTCCCGCGCAAGAACGAGGGCAAGCATACGCTGACGAAGCTGCGCGTCGGCATGGCGCTTAAGACGTTGAAGGTGGTGGTGTTGGTGGCGGTTTCGCTGCTGCGCATGGCTGCGCTGCCCGCCTTGTTGGTTGGTGCGACTGCTTTGTTCCTGAGCAGCAGGCGCTAGATCTATTTTTTTTAAAACGTAGGATGAGGATTCGTGGGGTGTTGGTGGGGCTTATCGGGTGTTTTTCCGCGTGTTTCGGCTGCTATCGTGTGCATTTTTCTGTTCTGGCGTGGGGCCAAATATCTCAGACTAACTCATACCCCCAATTGAAGATCACTTGCCCTAAAACATTCACCCGTCGGCTTAAATTGGAATCACGCGTATTTGTTAGCATGAACTGCAACCCTTGCACCAAAGTAACAACGCTAGCAGATGATTTGCTCGACAAATTTCCTACCAACTCGTATCCATACTCAGCTCCCTTCAGGACCCAGCATTGGCAAGACAAGACAAGATAAGCCGTCTTAAACTAGACAAGACATCTTGGTAAGATGCGTCCCGTCTTGTCGTGTCTTGAAAGCTTGGCAAGCCATCGCGCCGTCTTAGTTAGCAATAATTCGCATAGTATTGATGCAGTAGAATATTGGCAAGACGCTGCCGAGGGTAGCTCAAACGAATCATCTTCCCGAAATTTGGAATTACAATACCGAGCTTTAACTATATCGGTAGCAGATGTTTCAGAGTTTCCGAGTTATGGTTGTCCGGCGACCGAAGATAAAATTCCCCAATCCGGTTAGATGGCAGATGAGTCGCAGGAATCCAGTGACAAGCCACGGATCTAACAGTTTACATAAGTATCAATGCTCTATTCGGCCAAGCCACAGCCCTGGGGCCCAATAAGTAGCAATACGTAGCGCCTGCCCTGAGCACCCCATAAGTTCAGCTTGAACCCTCGGTAGCCTAACCCCGAGTCAAGATGCCGCAGCCATTCACCATTTGCTTTGAAGACGCATCTACGAAAAGGCAGAGGCAGAACCGCATCGCGCAACGCAAGCACCGTATGATAGATCCTCTGGGCTGCCCGTCTGCGACAGGCTAACACGAATCCAGGGAGTCGAGACAGAGCGCGGCAAATGAAAGGCGGCCGGGACGTCCCGGAAAACCCAAGTCTTATGCAGCACGATAGCCCTCCACGAAATTACGTGCTCTCCTCCGGCAGCATGCCGCTCGAAACACAACCTCAGACAGCAGCCGAAGGGGTCGATGCCACCACCGGCATTGCTGACGCAGCGCCGGGTAAGAACTCTAGAGCGACCCCGTCCACTCTTATATCGCTGACGCACGACGAAACAGAACAAACAGGAGTGTTGACACCATCGAGCGATCCATTCGGCCCGGTATGCGCAAACACGGGGGCAGTGCAGTACGGCGGCGTGCCCGCCGACTGGTTCCCGCCGACGACGCAGACGACATCATACATGCAGCTCGATCAGCAGCATCCTCCTTCCGGCGCCGCGGCCCCGTACGATGACAATACCTACATACTCCCGTACTCACTACAGCCGGATCCGCCAGCGGTCCCGCTGCAGCAGCTGGCCGGCCACTGCCAGTCCGTTGAAGAACGCATGGAGGCGCTAGTCGAGTTCTCGCGCAGCATGGGCTTCACGACGTTCGACGACGCCGTTACAACGTACTATACCGCACAATTCAAAGCGCGCACCCGCATCGAGATGGAGCAGCGCTGCAGCCGCAGCCGGCAGCTGCCCGGCGTGCTGGCCCTCCTCACAGCTAGCGCGCAGCGCTGGACGAGCCTGCAGTCGCACGCCTACCGCTGCGAGATCGTCAAGGCGGCAGAGAATATATACGCCGATGAGATGGCCCGCCTGGAGGGCCTGATCGGCCCACTGCAGATGCACGGAGGCGGGACGGGCCTTGCGGCACTGCGCAACTGCCCGGATGAGCTGCAGGGGATTCTGGAGGACCACGTAAGGAGGCGGCCCGGCTCCCCACGGATTAAAGTTTAGTGTTTTGCTGATCGTGCATTAGGCTCCGAATTTGTGGCTCCTGCTGGTGGAGCTGGCTAAGTCGAGGACCCTGGAGAGCAATTGCACCGTGCTCAGCATTGCTGCGTCATTGTTGAATCTACGGCTGCTGCAGCGAGATACTGGTACGAAGAGTCGTAGTAGGTGAAACTACGGATCGAGCAGCGGAGGGAGAGGGGAAAGAGAGTACATAAGTCGGGATGAGTGGAAGGCGGTTTCTCGATTTTAACATATACGAATTCAATGCATTGGTAGGAGTATAATCGGAGGAATACATCATTCAATGAGCTTCAAAGATGAATATTGATTGCAGTACAGTGGATTTTGTCACATGATTCTGGGGAATGGCGCGCATCCGGCGGGCGCGGCGAGTGCGGGAGTACCCGGGACCGTTATGGCGCGGCCGAGGCCGGGCGCTACGTTTAATGCAACGTCAATCATATCTGCATACACTCCCGCACGCGGCTTGACATTATTCTGAGACTTTCATCATGCTGTGTTGTCTCTCGTGGGTTTCTGAGCCCTGCATCAGTTCGCGCTGGCAGAAAGCGCTGGCACGACAGGGGCCTGAGTAAAATGGCCCGCTCAATCCTACAGCCGCAGCCAGCCAATAGCATGCCTATCTCAAGTGTGCGTCACCCATGCACTGTCAGCGTCGTCTAGCCGCATGTAGAAGCCGAGGATCGTGCCGGATTCGGAATGCAGTGCGAGCTGTGACCACGCCCAACAATGCGACCGTCTCGCAGCTGCTCCGCCGTGTTGCTGCCTGGCGCACCTTCCGCTCAGCCACCAGCCACCTGCGTGTCCGGCCCCAAGAACCTCGGCTGGCCCCTTTGTCTCCACGATGATAATACTTCCCTAAACCTCCGCGCTGGACGCCTCCCTAAACAACAGCCATGGGTTCTTTCACTGAGCGCTCGTGCCCCAAGCCCATATCGCGCGTCCCCGCGAAAGACCTGTCAATTGGCGTCACCCTGCACGAGCTCCTCATCTACATTGCTGCACCCTGCACAATTATTACTGGCTTTTTTTCCCTCGTCCTGGTCTTCAAACACCTCTGCCGCTACACAAAGCCGACTGAGCAGCGTCAGATTGTTCGCTTGATCATTACCCCCGCCATTTTTGCTGTTTTTTCTCTCCTTGCCCTCATCTTCTACGACGAAAATGAGTACATTACCCCACTCCCGGACCTCTACGAAGCCTTCGCCCTAGCCTGCTTGTTCATTCTCTTCACCCATTACGCTCAGGAACCGACCACCATCCACCATAATGGAAACGTCGAGACGACTAAAAATCTCGACTCCGGACACGTAGAAGGCCTTCAAAAGGCGTGGGTTGCTGTCTTCCAGTACCCCGTCGTCAAGACCATTCTCACCATCGCCACCGAGGCCTCACTTGCCACTGGGAAATATTGTGCCAGCTCGCGTAGCGTTCACTTCGCGCACATCTGGGTATGCACATCCGCCATCCACCGACTCATCCACACTAACCTCTCCAGATCGTCGTCATCGGCGACATCTCCCTGGTCGTCTGCTTCCTCGCCATCCTAGAATTCTACAAGACGCAAAAGGCCCACATGACCGTGCACAAGCCGCTCCTCAAGCTCCTCTCCTTCAAGCTCATCGTCTTCATCATCTTCGTCCAGAACCTCGTCTTCAACTTCATCAGCATCCCCGACGGCCTCAGCGCCGACGACACCGTCGCGCCCCGCGACATCAAGTACGGCCTGCCCGCCTTCCTCGTCTGCGTCGAGATGGTCTTCTTCTCGCTCTTCTTCTTCTTCAGCTTCGGCAGCCGCATCTACCACCCCTCCAAGCGCCATCCCGAGCCCCGCGAGCACTTCCTCGTTGCTCTCTTCCACGTCCTCAATCCTGCTGATGTGATCCGCGATATCGCGAAGATGTTTTCGATGGCCTTGTCCGGTCAGAAGAAGTCTTCAGGGGGGTTTGGGGGGTCGTCCTCGCGCCACGGCGGCCACCGGTCGTCGAGACACGGCCACCACCCGCGTTATGAACATCGCTCAGGCCATGGACATCGCATGCGCCAATATGAAGCCCCGCGGTATTAGCACCGCCTGAGGCGCTTGTTTGCGCACGCGCATTGTGAGCCTTCTTCGCAATCTGTTTGGTAAGGTTCCGCCCCCAATGCGTCAATCAGGTTTCTAATTCATTGAACAGGTAGCGAGAATGAATAAAACATTTCTGCTCTTCTAAGTGAGCAGCAAATTAGCTGGATTGTATGACTTATGGCTGAATGAATCATGTACCGAGTGGGGTGCTCGGTTGGGTGTTGAAAGGGGGAACGATGATGTAGACCACTAGTTTGACGATTTCCCTCTTGCATACTTAGCGCTCTCGTTGAGTTTCTTTATCGTTAGAGGATTAGGGTCTTCTTTCAAATTATACCACTGTTGTTTGCTGTTCTTGCTCAACCTCGAACTCTTGGTCCACAGCGGGTAAATCTTATGCTAGCAATTTTTTGTTCGGTGTTGACTTGAATTGTTTCATTGCTGTGAAACTGTGTCGCGAAATGATGTGTGTAAGAAGAAATAGGAGGTTCATCGGTAGCTTGACTCCTTGGGAGGTTTTCGTTGGGAGAGCAAATAAGCATTCTGGGCATTGAAGCTTGGCTCTTGTCGCATGCAATGATGCAATTGTCTCTTGGTATTACTCATACCATTTCCTACCTCTTTGAGCCGACAACCTGCTTCCTCCAGGAAATTCTTAGGGCGATTCAATCAGCAATGCCTAAACCAAAGTGTTCTACGGTAATTCTTTTTTATTATTTATCTATATTGTTGAACGCGGATACCAACACCATTTCTTTTTCCGAAAAAAAAAACTCAACCATCGCTTCAAGCCCAGATCTTGGACCGTGCCGGTAAAGATTGTCTTAAAAAAAATATCGGACCACAAAAACACGAAGCCGTATTGATTTTAGTACTTAATGGTAGCCATGATATTGTCTGACTAAAAAGAAAAACCATTTATTTTTTAAACTTGCACATTTATATAGCAATACAACAAATTAATTTTTAATTCCGTCAATTCTACTTAAGGTGTAATATGGTAAGTTTTGGTGGAGAGTTGAGTTTAGAGGCTTTTACGAAAAGAAAGAAAAAAGGAGCGGGGTTTAGCAATTGCTTTTTGCTAAAGTCCATAGATTAGGATTCCTCTCAGACTTGCCCTGCTGCAGATGCTCGACGCCCGGCAGCAAGCTGAGACAGAAATGCCGACTTGTCAGGGTTCCTGACAGTGCAGCACCCCACTTTTGCGCCGCACAACACCTGACAAGGCGGAGCTTCAGCCCCCAAGTTTAAAAATAGGGCACGAACATACAAGTGGAGCCGCCACAACTCCAAGAAAGTGTACAAAGTGCGGAAGTTGTCTCTTCTATACCATACCTACTTAGTGACGAAGGCTGGGATTACTTTTGTGCCTGAACAAGATCTCTCCTCAGCGAAGCCGAAGAGGAGTGCCGAGTGTGCGACAACGTAGCGTGGCTGGGGATCGCGGTGGAGACTTGGGGTTTGGGGGCGCTTTAGGTGGACCTTCGAGCTCCTATTGGTCAACTCGGAAGGAAGCATCTGGCGTCGCCTTCCTGAATCCTCGGCGCTATTCTTGTCGTTGCTTATCCTCATAGCCGTACTCGCTGACCGTACTTTCTGGCGGCTGGGGTTGGCGTTTCGGGTATCTTGGGATCGTCGCTCTCGGCTTCGCCCCTCTTCCTAATCGTCGTTTGCAATAGCCTCAGATGCCACGCCCTTCACACATTCCTTCTCAGACTGAATCCTGATGTAGCCTCCTGCCTTCTAGAATTTTTCAGCCTCTTTCTCTGCCTGGCTCAGCGGGGTCCCCTGCATTATGCATTTGCATCTTTATCGCCGGTGATGGTATTTGTATGAAAACTGGACCTAAGAAAACTTGCAGAGCTCTGTCTCTGCCCAAATGACCATGACTATTTCCCAGAACTAAAAAGCACCTATAAAAAGAAAAGGATGGAAAGGAAAAGGGATAATTACCAAACCCAACCTCTTCCGTGACTAATAATCCAAACCCAACTCTCACCGAAACTTGCCTTCTTTATAGTGCTGTAAAACTTTAATGAAATTAAACTGTAAAAACATTTTTCTATCTTGAAACTACCAGACAGGTATGTAAATGTTTGTTAGAGTAAAAAATAAACATTTTTAACTTGATAACGTTAACTTACACGGACTAAGTGCCAGATTTGGGCCACGATGGTTTGATTTAGGTCTTTTGTCGCGGAGGAGGTCTGGTTTGGTAATTTCTCCAAAGGAAACGCCATTTCGAAGGGAAGCCAAGATCGGTGGATGCCGCGGATCCTAAGGCGTGAGCATCGCTGTCTATTCCGCTTCGCCGCCGGAGTCGGACGTCTCCCTATCATCAGAGATCTAGATGACTGGCGACCTCTTATTCCGAGGGGAGATGAATGGAGCCGAGACCTGCCGTTTCTTCGGCGTTGCCGGTTTAACTTTTTCGGGACTTCGAAAATTCGGCCGTCCTCGTGGTCGTCTTCGCAGCCGTCTACCCATCCATCTCCCGTATTCGCAGCTGTATTTGCAAGCTCTTTCTCAAAGACAGTATAGCTAACGGTAAGAAGCTCCCCAGACCCACGCGAGAAACCGAAGCGAAGCGTTGTGAAGCGTGGATATTTTGCCTCGCAATCCACGCGCCGATCATTTAAGGCGACTGAAGCATTTATAGCATGGACAGATACCCATCTTGCATGATCCCAGCCCATAACGGTAGGTGGTGTTTCCAGCCGATTTTTAAGCGGACTGGGCGAGAGGCTGAAAGGAGCTCTGGAGTTCGGGTCGCAGGAACCGAGAAGTTCGACACAATAGGACGCCTTGCCGGCTGGGCAATATTCCGCCCCCCGGAAACTCCAGTGGTGAAACAAGCTGCATCAACTAGAACAGTGGCGTCACTACTTGGTTCAACACCCTTACCGGCTATCACCGGGATGGACTTGGCTTTCTCGACAACGAAATCCTTAACTGACTCGTTTTCATCAAAATACGAGTTTATGCACAATCGAGCCAATCATGTCAAATGCTTTCCGAAACAGTTGCGAGACCAGGCATCCACTCTCTCCCTCCGCAGTACACTCGCCAGAATAAAAGAGGTGGTAGTCAGGCAGCCTGAACACGCTGCACCTCCGAATCAATCTTTTTCCCACTTAGTCGCTCTTTTGCAGGAAATCTGCTCCCACTAAAGTATGCGGGGCCCGACGGTTTTTCTGGCCTGTGCCTTGTCATCGTCCCTCCTTGCCGTAGCTGCTCCGTTGGAGGTTCGTCAAGACTCAAATGATTCGTCATGTACTGCCGAGACCTTGTCGCCCGACACCTGGAATAATCTCGACATCGACACTTTCATGAACGACTGGGCTGCACAAAATGTCACTCCGGCAGCTTCAAACAATATTCAGGCGCTTGCCAGCTCTTTTGGAGCGCCCAACTTCTTCTGGTCCGCTCGCTCCCCTTGGCTTCCCCCCCATTATGCTAATAAGCATCAGTGGTCTTGATAACTTTTGCAATGCCGGCCAGCCGTGCCTTCCGATCACGCTCCCTGCTTGGTAAGTCTTCATCCTCACCACAAAGCACCAGACTAACAGTAATGCAGGTACCTCATGGTCGCTATCCAGAACTGGAACAGCTACATGAACTCGCTAAACACAGCCATCATCTTTGCGTCGAGCATCCTCAGCATGAAGCTCCCCAGCATCGTATCCGACTTCTACCCGGACCCAGACGACAACGTCACACCCCTGCAGAACATAGTGCGCATGTTCAGCACGGTGCTCAGCATCGTGCCCTTCACCGGACCCGTCAGCACGGCGGCCGGGGCAGCCTCGACCGGCCTGTCCTTCCTCGCCGGCCAGATGCACGCCCCCGAGCCGACCGACAAGTTCATGGCATGGTCCAACGTCGGCAACTCGCTATCCGAAGTAGTGCAGCTGTACCAGCAAGCCGTGTCCGACTCGATCCAGGCCACCATCGACGCCCAGCTCAACGCCACCAACGGCGTCAACTCCGTCGTCGCCGGCGGCCGCTTCCTCGGCGTCAGCCAGAACTTCACGCAGGCGGACCTGCAGGACCAGGTGACGAGCGTCATCGAGACATTCGCCATCGGCCTGACGCTGCAGGCCAGGAAGGTCTTCATCTACCGCGACTCGTACAGCGGCGACAGCGAGTGCCGCACGCCCTACCTCGGCGGCTGGACCGAGTACTGCGTCATCGACGCCGGCGGCGGCGGCGCCGTCTACTACACGCTGCTGTCTATCGACAGCAACGGCAACTCCAACCCCGAGCTCGACGCCGCGGACATCATGGTCAACAAGTACGGACTCGTGCAGTCGCAGTTCCTTGAGATTCCGACGCATTGCTTCGATCAGAATAATAAGACGCAGCTGGCTTTCCCGTTCCAGGGCGACGCACTGCCGCTGAGTGCCTGGGATCCGTGCGTCTTTAACTTGCAGGTCTGCGATGCGCCGAACCATGATGTGTATGATAAGGGTATTTCGGATATCTGTAGGGATCAGGGCCTTGATATTTAAAGGGTCTGTAGATAGCTCTTGTAAGACCTTGTATCTTTATAAATGTAGAATGAGATACGTCAAAGATCCGTTATGAAGAGGAAAGTTATCTGTGCAGTAATCTATTCTGCCAAATAAAATTCACATACGTTAATCTACTGCTAAGCTCAGAGAATAAAGATGAAGTAAGGGCAATTAAGTCTGGTGAGAAAACTTGAGGTGATGCATATACGCACAGCCGGCCCGTCATGTGTTTTGACTGTAGGCAGAGAATATCCACGACTATTTAGTCTCATAGAAGCTGTTCTTAAGAGAACATGAGCATGCTTGGAAGACTTCGGGATTATGAGCATCTACGCCGAAACTACCGCCGAATCGGGGAAAGCGGCACGGCGTATCCGTCCACCGTCGCCGCTCTAACAAAACCTACAAGCCGAGGCCACTCAAGCTCGGAATCTCCTCTTGTTTTCCCGTCATCAGTCACTGAAACAGCCGTATACCCACGCTGCGTGACAATATGCCGACAGTACCTAGGGCTACAAGCACGGAAGCTGAGGCTCCAAACACCGAGGGTGAGGCACCAAGCACCGAGACTGTGGCGCGGCAGGGCCGACGTGCCGGGCCAGGGAGCAAGTCAATCGCGTGAGGCTATCCTCCATCAGTGTTAGCAAATTCTCAAGTCCGGCAAACTGACAGCACGTACGCAGTTGCCAGCGTTGCCATGCGAGAAAAGTCAAGTGCTCTGGAGGTCTGCCTTGCCAAAACTGTCGGCAAGCTCACCGAGAGCCCGAATGCTCATATCCTCAGCGGAACAGAAAAGTGAAGGTTGCACAGAGGTCGTATAATTATAGCTGCGTCTAGTGAAACGTGACGCAGGCTGACAATTGGCAGGTTCATTGATGGATTGCTCGAGGAAATTGAGCGGCTCAAGCGCCAAAATGCCTCCGTCACACCGCAAAGCCATGCAACGGCCCCAAGTCTCGTCCCCGAGACAGTGCTGCCACCTGGCACAACTGAACACGATGGCATTGCATTAAACCCAACGCTCAACGCCAAGCCGTGGTTCGATAGTGTCAATGTGTTCCGCACCCCAATCCTCATTGGGGAAGCAGCCGACAATGCATTTGCCACCCGATTCCGCCAAGCCATCTCCGACCCTCAGGCTCCTGAGCCCACTCACCTGCTACGGATCAACTACATCACCGACGAACCGCTGATGAATCTGGCAGGGTTCGAGGTCGCGTGGCCCAGCCCGTCGCGGGCGAGGTTCTTGATCGGAGCCGCTCTGAATTACGTCAGCCGCTGTTATTGCCTTGTTCGCCGGAGTTCGATCATGGAGGACCTGGAACAGAGTATTCGTGATCCAACGTGGGGTAACCCTCTACTCCACTGCAAGTTCTGGGCCTTGTTCGCCGTCGGCGAGCTGTGCTCGACAAGGTCTGTCGGAACCCAGGGCTTCCCCGGTATCGCCTTCTTTTCACAGTCCTTGAAAGTGCTCGGCCTTCTCGATGAACTCCCGGGGCTGGATTCTATTGAGCTTCTTCTCCTCATCGTAAGAGACTCCTCTGACTGAAGTTAAATTTTTGCTAACAGCTCTTGCCCAGTCCTTTTACTCCATGGCTCTCCATCGGCGATACAGCGCATATATCCTGGCAGGAACAGCCATGCGCTCCGCAATTGTAGCAGGTCTCCATCTGAACGTTCCAGAATCCCAACTCCCTGACCCGGGCGTTCGAGAGCACCGAAAGCGATTGTTTTGGACGGCATACATCTTCGACCGGATGTGGGCGTCCAAGCTGGGCCATCCACCCGCAACACAAGATGACGATATCGGAGTAGACCTGCCTTCAGAATCGCCAGTTGGCAGCAAATCTTCCAACGACTTCACCGACTCAGCTTATCATGTCGCCAACATCAGACTAACAAGCCTACTCACAAAGGTCATCCGCTCCGTCTACAGCCTGCGCAAACAAAACCACGGCGAAAGTCTATCAACCCGCATCCACCAATCCCTGAAAGATCTCCAAGCCTGGGTCGAATCGCTCCCGCCACAGCTCCAGATCGACCAATCATCCGAAGCGACCCACGATCTAAAGACAATCTCACTCCACCTCGCATTCAACCAGGTCCGCCCCCACCACGCGCGCCTCCCCGCCCCCAACTAACCAACCAACACCCCTTAGTGCGTCATCCTCGCCACCCGCCCCGTCCTCCTCCACACCCTGCGCTCGCACATCGCCTGCGTGCCCTCCTCCGCCCCTCTTCCTCCTCCCCCTGTCCCACCCACCGCCTCCACCCTCGCCGAAGCATCCATCCGTTGCGCCCGCCACTCCTTCCGCCTGCTCACGCAGTCCTGGATCGACGGCTCGTTCGCGACTTTCGACGCGCATTTCACGCAGTACCTCTTTTCCGCGCTGACCATCCTCGCTGTGTCGAGCTTGCTGGAGACGAAGGACAGCGGCGGCGACTGCGACGCCTTCGAGGAGGCGGCAAGGCTGCTAGACCAGCTGCGCGTGGCGGGGAGCTGTGTGGCGCAGGAGTATGGGAATCATGTTGAGGCGATGAGGGGGGGCGGTGGGGGCGTATGTCAAGAGGACGACGGGGGAAGCCGCGGGGGTGCAGCAACAGCAAGAGGCTGTGGTGACTGGTGGAAGGACGACGGAGACGGTGGGCATGACGTCGGCGGAGCCGTCGTTGAGGGAGTTGTTGGAGCAGCCGTTTATTGATTTGCAGTTTTTGGAGGATGCGGTTGATTATGAGGGGTTGTATTGGCCGGATCTGAGTGCCGGGACTTGAGATACTGTTGATATGGGGGCATGGAAGTTCAATTCAAATAATCGAATTTGTGCTTGACCTAGATCTGCAGTTTCGTGATGGCGAAAATGATTGGAGGACGATAAAGGAGAGCAAAAACCAGAAAAGACAAACATCCCAGTACCGACTCTAGACTTGTCTGGGACTGTCCTGTTCCCAGATCCGACGAGCTGCCAAGTACATATTCAAAGCTGAATTTGAACCATCACCTCCGAGATAGCTGCGTTGAATTTTCAAACGACACAGCATCGGAGGAGGCCGCGGAAAGCTTTTGGCAGAACGGGCTTCATTTTCGAAGAGTCTTCCCATAAACAATAAACACAAATGGGACGCTACTCATGAGGAGCGCAACGAAGCCTAAAAGAGAACACGCCCACTGTACTCCCAGCCGTGTATACATGGGAACTGCAGCGAAGGGAAGGCAGACGGCCGCAAGGGATCTGGTGGTGCTTGCAGCGGCATTGGCCGATGCTGAGAAGGTTTAATATGCGTCAGTGAGGTAGTTCAGCATGGCCATGAAAATGAGAAGATAGCCCGCTCCGAAGCAGAATCCCGACATGATTGGCACGGCTGGGTGAATTGACGGGACAGATGTCCAGCCCAACCAGAAGAGGGCAACGACAACACTAAAGTTGCTTGGGTCAGTAATTGCAGAGAGGTTGAGGCAGGAGGGGTACACTCACCCAGGTCCTCCTATGCAGGCGAGTGGTAGGCGGCGGTATTCGTCGTCGAATGTCCATAAGGCTTCTGTGCTTTTGAACTTGGCATACCTTGCTTCGTACCAAAAGAAGATGCCGAGAGCGGCTACGCAGCCTCCTGCCACTTTGAATGGTACTTCGCGTTAGACTTGGAAGGTATCAACAGTAAATGGAGACTTTGTACCAACCTGGCAGGAATGCGAGACCACTGGTGCTCGGAGACATGCCATAGACGCCTTGCGTACGGATTAGCATCATGCACAATCAGCAGCAGATACGAGTTACCAACCATGAAAAATGATAGGGTATGCCTGGAAAAATAGATAAAGGATTGAGTAAACAAGGGCAAGATAAAGTGAGGTGAATAGGACCACGGGCTCCTGAAACATCATGCTGAATGGCCTTGCAAACACAACCTTTAACTCTGAGGTCAATCGATGATGATCTTTACCATAAAGCTCCGTGGCTGGAGTATTCTCCATCCGGGTGGATGCGTCAAGCCGTCTTCGCAGGACTGGAAGAAACGTCTCGGGAAGAAGCAGAACGAGCGGCAGCCCTACGCCCCCAATCGCCAAACCAATCCAGAAGCTCCACCTCCAAGAAAGCTTCTCGACAAGCCCAGAGATTATGGGGCCGATCGGTGAACCCAGTGATCCAGCTAGAAGGAACGCTGCCATGACCTTGCCCCGTTCTTCATGATTGTCGTAAATGTCTGCGAACAAACCGCCAACGACGGCGTTAGGGGCAGCAGCGACAAGTCCGGCGAGGAATCGAAAGAGCAAGAGCAGGCTGAAGCGGTTGCTGAGTGCGCAAGCCATGGTGAAAATCAGATAGCTGATGTACGTGACAATGAGCACCGGCCGACGGCCAATATGTTCGCTCAAGGGGCCGAACATGGGCGGCCCGATGGTGTACCCAAGCATGTACAACGAATTGAGACAGACAAGGTTTGTGGCACTGTGGATCGAGAAGTCAGTTCGTATGGCGTCGACAGCCCCAGATGGGAGCGATGAGCCAAGGTTGCTGTTCCATGAAATCCATATGCCCGTCCATACAATTCGGCACTTTTGAAGCTGTCAAGGTGGGTCAGCGTGATATGCTTCTTACAGGACGGACCAGTTGAGCTTACCCTGGAAAACGAGGTAGGGACATGAGGCTCTTCAAGCTGCTGCAGTGCACCGCTTGATTGAGGATGCACATGATCAAGGGAAGCCATGGCTGCCATGGAGGAATTGCAACAGAGACGGTCTTCTCTTGGGCCTGCATCCAGGAAGTGCTGGGAACAAATCTTACCTTTTCTCCATAGAACACGTTCTGGTTTTCTGCCGATGGTCCTGGCGCTTGAAGACGGCGTTCGCGTAGCTTCGGCCTTGAACTGTAGAGTTGGCCGAGATGCGCTCTCGGCGAAAAGCATCAAGTCGCCGCGCAATTACTTGGCTCTTCACTTGCAAGCCATTAGTTCAACACAGAGCTAAATTTTACACTGGCAACAAACCCTGTCACTATATAACCCGCAAATACTCCTGGCACTTGATAGCCAAAATCACCACCTCCAATCACCTTGGTCCCCCAGCGAGTCACAGCGCCATCCACCGTCACTCCCACGGCCAACATGGCTTCCTTCACCTCTCCAACATCTACAGATGGTCCGCCACTACCCATCGCCAACCAAAAGAACGCCATCCCCACTCCCCTCGATGCCACCCACCTCACCCACACCCTCACGGCCCACCCTCGCCCCGTCCCCTCCGCCACAGCCATCGCCTCCTCCCCCACCACCATCTGCACCGACCACATGATCCTCGCTTCCTGGAACCACACAACCGGCTGGTCCGCCCCAGCCCTCCAACCCTACGCCCCGCTCAGCCTGCCCCCCACCGCCTCCTGCCTCCACTACGCTACGACCTGCTTCGAAGGCCTCAAAACCTACCGCGGCGACGACAGCCGCCTGCGCCTGTTCCGCCTCCCCCGCAACTGCGCGCGCCTGGGCCGTTCCGCCGCCCGCGTAGCGCTTCCCGTCCCGGACCCTACCGCACTCGCGGCGCTGGTCCGCGCGCTGCTGGCTGTTGATGCGGGGCGCTGGCTGCCCGCGGATTCTGCCTCTTGCTCTCCCTACAGCGGCGACGGCGACCGCTTCCTGTATGTGCGGCCGACACTGATCGGCACACAAGCCCAGATCGGCCTGTAACAGCCCACCTCCGCCCTCCTCTTCATCGTCGCGTCGTACATGCCGCGCCCCGACACTCCTGGCGGGCTGCGCCTGCAGACCTCACCCGCCGACGCCATCCGCGCGTGGCCGGGCGGCTTCAGGCATGCCAAGGTGGGGGCCAATTACGGGCCGACGGTCGGCGTGGGGCAGGAGGCGGCGGCGGCGGGGTTTGGGCAGGTGTTGTGGCTATACGGTGAGGAGGACTGGTGTACAGAGGCTGGTGGGAGCAACCTTTTTGTTGTGTGGAGGCGGAAGGGGGATGGGAAGACGGAGGTTGTTACGGCGCCGTTGGGGGATGGGTTGATTTTGGATGGGGTGACGAGGGGGAGTTGTTTGGAGTTGGTTAGGGAGAGGTTGGGTGGGGAGGTGGATGTTGTGGAGAGGAGGTTTGGGATTAAGGAGGTGATGGAGGCGGGGGAGGAGGGGAGGCTGATGGAGTGTTTTGTTGCGGGGACGGCGGTAAGTGAGTCTCGGGGGGAGGTGGGGATGGTTGCTAATTGGTTACAGTGGTTCATCTGTGCGGTTTCGCAGATTCGGCATCGTGGTCAGGATATCCACATCGGCATGGGGCCGCACGGCAATGGCGGCGAAATTACGACCAATTTTAAAGGCTGGCTGAGTGATATAATGTACGGGCGGGTTGAACACGAGTGGGCTGAAGTGGTACCTGAGGCTGCGAAGCGAGAAGAGTAGACTTGTATCATTTACATTCAGACTCGAGCAATAGATTGGACTGATCAGATCAGTGCATTAAAAAAACGATTTCTTCTGTTCAGTACACAGCCCCGCCTTTTCCATTTCCGATTCTTAGTCTAACGCCATTCGGTAATTTTCCATTGGCTGCTGGACCCTTACCCCGACTGGAGAGCCACTGTTGTGAAGACCTGTACGCCTGGGGTCTTAAACTCACCCGTCAGTTTTATTTTGCTCTCTAAGTCTATATACAAGACGTGTCTATCATTTTCCCTCATACTACTGGATAGCTCGCTTCAAAGGAATTCTGATTTTTTTTTTAAAGGGCCGCAGTTGTTGAAACGCCCACAACTGTCGACATCTCATGGTGTCCCATCACTCTCACCCTCAGCTTCCAGCTTCTCCTCAATCGTCGCCTCCTTCATAAACGGACTCCGCGCTCTGATACTCCTCCCCCAAATGATGAGCACAATCGGCATGCACGACAACAGCAAGGACAAGAACCCCAACAGAGTACTCGCCCAGTGATACCCCAAATCCGTATACAAACTCTGCGCCGCCAACGGCAAGAACCCCGCACAAAAGTTCTCCCCCAACGCCACCGCCGCCATCGCACTGCCCGCAAACCTCGCATACGCATCAACCGCATAATCCGCAAACGCGATGATCACCACCGTATTACCCGCCCCAATCATCGCCAGCCCAATCGCCGCCGCGATCCACGGCAATTGGGCATACGCCGTCCAACCATACACGAACATGCCCCCCGTCATGAACAGAAACCCGGCCGGCACACTGACATACAACCGCGCCTCCGGAATCGGGGACCCGGGGACCTCAGTATTCCGCCTCGCCGACGCGAAGTACAGCCGCGCCGACAACAGCGCGCCAGGCAGGCCCAGCAGCTCGCCCACCACGATCGCCGCCTGCACGTAGCCGGCCTGGACGGCGTCCCAGCCGTACAACCCGGCAAAGACCTGCTCGACGGACTGCGTGAAGAGGTAGACGTTGCCGATGATCAGCGCCGCCGCGAACGTCACGGCCATGACGACCGGCTCCGTGCACAGCATGACCAGCGGCCGCTTCAGGCTCGTCGCGACGAGCTCCGGCAGCGGCGTGTGGTTCAGTTCCAGGCGGCTGTACACCTTCTGCCCCGTGGTCCGCCGCAGCCGCGCCGCGCGCTGCGCGAGCAGCACGTCGCCGCGGTTCTCGGGCAGGAGCAGCAGGTAGAGCGGGAAGAAGACGGCGTACCAGATGAGCTGGCAGTAGAAGATCCAGCGCCAGCTCGGCAGCCGCGCGAAGATGGCGGCGCCGATGACGGGGCCCGTGCTGCTGCCGGCGAGGTACAACACGATCCAGAGGGTCATGGGGATGGTGCGCGCGTGGTCGCCGGCCCAGATGTTGCCGATGACGGAGGAGGTGCTGTTGGCGAGGATGGCGACGCAGCCGCCGCTGAAGAAGCGGGTGATGACGAGCGTGGCGAAGTTGCGAGCGACGGCTTGCGGGATGAGGGAGAGGATGAGGATGAAGTAGGTCGCGAGGAACACGCGGCGCAGGCCGAAGTCTTCCATTAGTGGGAGGACGACGAATGAGCATAGGGCGCCGCCGACGGCCCAGGATGTGACGGGCCAGTAGGAGTGCGGGAAGGTGGCGTCGGAGATGGAGAATTGCTCGTTGATGGCTTCGTGGGCGACGGTCATGATGGTGCCGTTGAGCATGGTGGTGAAGGTGGCGAAGAGGGCGACGGCTGTGATGACGGTTTTCTTGGACGTCGGCCAGTTGTATGGGTTCTCGGGGTCCGAAGGGCCGGTCCAGTCGAGGATTTGTGTGTCGGCGTCATAGTCTGGGGGTTGGTTAGATTGTGGTGCGATATGTTCTCTCTTGGGATAGCCTACTTGAGTCTTCAGCAGCCTTTGGAACGGCGACTTCATCCTGCTGGATATGTGCCATGGAGAAGAAAGTGATTCGAGGCTCTGGGGAACTTGGCGCCGAGAGAACCAATGGGGAAGAAGGCCAAATAAAAGCTTGGAGAGAAGGCTTCCGTCGGTTCGATCATCAGGAGAAAAGGCAGTTTAGTGGGTCCGTGGCCTGTTCGGCATGCAAGTTTTTGTATACAGCAATTGTGGCGAGCCGGAGGATGCAAGACGAGTGGTGTTGGGGCCAGGCTATGACTAAGCGAAACGTTCAAATATTCCGTAATGGCCGCATTATTTTGCCCTTTCAGGCCATTTCGGTGGAGAAAATTACCGCCCGCCAATGAAAATTGCCGGACACGCCATTGTGGTATGACAGCACGAAAGGCCCTCATGTATTGATGCCTTGTAGGGAAACGTAAGGGCCGCCGTCTGTAACCTCTCTGATTGGTGCATTGAGTTACCGCTCCGGTTGGTAGGCTTGCCGTGTCCGCTGCAAACCCCCGCCGGCACTCTTCACTTTATTTCAACACACATCCGGGTCCAATTCGTGATCCATTTTCAAGTGTAATCCGGCCGCCGCCCCTCAACTCTTAATTCACGCCAAAACTCGGAAAACAGGATACTCGTCTCCCGCCTCGACCGGAATAATGTTGAAGGCGGCAAACGAATCAATGTTCTCGGGCTCGAGGGCGACAAAGGCCAGGGCAGCATTCCTCTGCTTCGCACTTACCCTGAAACTTCCAGCCGGCAGCTCGATTTCCTTCTCGAACGCCTCCGTGGTCAATTCCGCCCGAACAACACCTTCGTAGTAGGACTTTTCAAGCACCGCCGACGTCACGTTGAGAACCTCGACCGTGCCCTTAAAGCCTTCCGCCAGCTCTTCGACCTCGAGGCCGAAAACCTCCAGGCGAGCAACGACGTCAGCCCATGACCGAGGAATGAGGTACGCCTCGGGGCGCGCGCGGGTAAGGTTAGCCGTCGTCGGCGTGGCCCTGCAGAAAGAAAAATCAGCATCACCCCCTCCCCTTCCATCCCCCCACACAGGCACAACTTACGAAGAAAACTTAACCGGCTGCTGCACAATCACGCCATCACTTGCCCTAATCATCTCAAACGTGCTATCCTCCGCCACCGTATAATCCGTCACGACAATCTCCCCGCCTTCCTCTAACCGCTTGACACCCCCCTCCACCGCCTCCACCACCTCCGCCGCGTACTCCGCCGCCGTCCGCACAATCGCCTCCGCCATCGCCAGCCCCGTCGCCGTGCGCCGCGCAAAGTGCTGATCCGCAATCCCGATCCCGCGCATCTCGCATAGAAACACAACTGCCTGCGTCAACCCCATCGCGTTGCGGCCGATCTTCGCATCGCTGCCCGCCTCGTCCAACGCAAGCACCCCATTACTACTCCCACTCGAATCGCTCGTCACGTACGGCGCCCACCGGAAGCCCTGCGCATCGAGCTCGGCCGCGATGGCGGGCGCGAAGACGTCTTCCGACAGCGTCCGGATAGCAGCGTCGATGTTGAGGTTCTTGGCGGCGCTGAAGAGCGCGTCGGCGGCCCAGACGAGGTCGGAGCCCTCGGAGCCGTTGTAGCGGCGGGTGGCGGTGAACTCGTGCATGTCGGCGGCGACGTGCGGGGCGAAGGTGGTGAAGAGGCGCTTGATGTCGCGCGTTTGTTGGCGGGCCAGCTTGACGTGGTCGCGGTTCGGGTCGTAGTTGGTGGCCAATGCGCGCTGGAAGTAGGCGACGCCGTCCGGGTTGTAGCGTGGGAGGACGAGGATGTCGAGGTGGGTGAGGAGGGAAGAAGCGTAGGTCTGGTTGGAGGAGAGGAGGCCGAGGAAGGCGAGGAGCGATTGGTCGCCGGCTGGCTCGTTGCCGTGGACGCCGCCTTGGAGCCAGACGCGGACTTTGGGGGTGGAAGTAGTGGTGTTGGGGGTGGACAGGAGGACGTAGGGGAAGGATCGGCCTTCTTCTGAGACGAAGTCTGCGGCGGTGTAGGTCATCCAGGGGTTGCGGGAGGCGAGGGTGCGGAGGTAGGTGTCTGCGGGGGGTTAGAAAGCAATTGGTTGGAGGGGTGGTGGTGGGGAGACGTACCCAGCTCATCATCGTCCGTGGGGCCTTCGGTGCCATTGGTGAAGGCGGCGGGGATGGTTTCGGGGGAGAGGAAGGCGGGAGAGAGGAGAGTGGTGTTGGGGCTGGGGAATTGAGCCGCCAACGCAGCAGGGTCTTTCCGCGTCGTCACCCAGTTGTTGCCGTATGTCGCGGCATTGACGGTGGTGAGGGCGGAGATCCCTACCAAAAGCACAGACTTCAACATTTTGAGAGCTGGTGTTGCTCTGCAATTGCACTAAAAGTCTGGGCGAAACACCAGATATTTGAGCCTCGGCGGAGATGCAGGTCCGACATGGTGCAGGGTGTAAAAAAAAGCTATATTTTATACACGGGTCCCCGCACTTGGAAAGTGGGATGTAGGTGCAATTACCGAAATGAATATAGATAAAGTCTGAGGCTCGAGCGAAAACCAAGTCGCGGCGTTCTTGGTACCTACCGGAAGCAGCAAGGATGCCAAGCGGTCAAGAGTTGGAGAAGTCGGGTCAGATTCAATCAGCCGAGGGGACTGATTGTTATAAATGTGCTTGACTGCATCTCAGTAGTAGAAAGAGATGGCAAGCGATGACCATGGTACCAACAACCGTTTGAGCCCAATGTTTGTTGATGTTTAGCGTTCGAGGCCGCCTACCCCGCAAAGCCTATTCCTCGTACGATGGCGGACAGAATTGCGGCGCAGGGAGACTTGTCGCACAGTAATTGAACGCGTAAGTCAACATCATTTGCTCATTGTCTGACGAGCTTCGAACGACGTGTAAAATGTCAGACCTGCATCCGGTCTAGAATGGAAGAGCAAGGAAGGCACGACGATCGAGCGGCAATGACTTCCAGCGCCATGCCCCGCAATTGGGCCGTTTGGCCGTCAGGGCGGCCGGATTGGCACAGCCACAGGTGCCGCTATTCCGAGCGCACAGGGGTGCGGTGGATCCGGGCGTACGAATGGCGCGAGGCTGCCCCGCCTCAGCCACAGCTAGCGGCCCTTAGTTTCAGGTGAGCTGGCGACAAACCACGGGAGACGCTGAGAGCTTGCGCTCGGACAGGCGCCCTGAGGCCATTGGAATACGTGCTGGTCCAGTATTCGTCAAGCCATCCCGCCCGCCCGTGTTGCCGGCTTCCGCGGGTTGCTGGCGTGGCCTCGCATATAAAGTCAGCTCTAGCTGCCCCTCCCCCGCTCACCTCACCGAGACCCTTAAACACATCACTCCCACCACCCCACCACTCATCCACTCATCCTACTATCCATCCTACAGCTCAATCACTACACTCTCCTTCCAACCGCCAACATGGGCAACCACCCCTCCGCCGTGGTCGACGATGGCCAGAGCTCCATCCACCGCCAGAGCTACACCGTCCGCGGCGACCTGTACGCCCGCTCCGTAACGGCCTCGACCATCAACGCCCGCGTCATCTACGCCCGCCGCGTCACCTGCCAGCGTGCCCAAATCTCGCGCCAGGAGACGCTCCTCCCGCAAAACTACCCGCAGTCCCCCCACCGAGCCATCACGGCGCACACGGTCAACGCCGACGCCATCTACGCCGACGAGATCAACTGCAAGACGCTGCGCTGCTACGACGTGTGCGTCGGCGAGGGCGAGCAGTTCCGCGTCAAGCGCGTCGAGCGCTTCGACCGCGACCAGGTCGGCTGGGACGGCAAGGAGGACGACAAGAGCGACGAGTCGGACAACGAGAGCGACGAGGAGACGACGCGCGACGCCGATCGCGCGCGCAGGAAGAAGATGCTCGGATACGGCGCCGCCGGTGCCCTCGGCCTCGCGCTCGGTGGTGCCGCGCTCGGATACGCCCATCACCGCAAGCACGAGAAGGAAGAGGAGGAGGAGAAGAAGAAGAAGGAGGAAGAGGAGCAGCGCCGCCGGGAGGAAGAGGAGCGCCGTCGTCGTGAGGAGGACGAGAAGAACCGTCACCGCCACGACGACGAGGAGCGGCGTCGCCGTGAAGACGAGGATCGCCGCAGGCGTGAGGAGGAAGATCGTCGTCGCAGGGAGCAGCAGCAGCACCATGCGCCGCCCCCTCAGCAGCCCATGGGCGGCGGTGACTCGCATGCTGGCCACCACCAGAAGATGCACGGGGGCAACTACCACCTGTCGTCCCGCAGCCCCCGTTTGTGGTCTGATGGTAACCACTGCTTCCTGGTCGCCGAATGCGACGCCGGCGGTGGCCGCTTCCAGGAGAGCCGCATCGACCTCGATGAGATCATCACCAACCGCGATGGCGAGTTCCAGTGGGTCCACCGCGGCCAGACGGGCAACTTCTCTGGCACCGCCGAGCGCTGGGAGATTGTTGACACCGGTAACGTCATGGTTGCCGACCTGCGCAAGGTTGATGGCACCATGCACCGCCGCCGCTTCGTCTTGTCCGAGAAGATTACCAACGAGGGTGGTCACCTGAAGTACCTTGACTAGAGTGCTGTGCTCATGGGTCTTGCCTTTCATTTCTCTCCTGTATGACTTCTAAATAGTTCACAAAAAAACAACGTCGGTCATGGTTTAGCGGTTCAGCATCTCTTAAAAGCCTAGCAAATCAAAACAAATCTTTTTTGTTAGCACCAAAAAATATTGTTCTGCATATTATTGTGTCTTGTGATCCCATCATCCGCGAGTCTGAAGATATAACCAGCAGCACTGATTGGGTAAGAGAAAGCCTCATGCAAAGATTCCCTATCTCAACAGTGTTCTAACAGCCCAAGGTGTAGAGAAAGTCGCGCTACCTAGCCGAACTAGGAGTAGTACATGGGACTCAAGCCATGTGCGCTGGCAGGCAGCAGCCCAAGCTGTCGTATTCAACAGCTCTTAAGCTGATTATGCGCTCGTATCGCAAACGCTTGACGCATTGCGCCGACCATCAGGGCACATTCCAGGCAGATGCAGAAACCTTTACAGTGAGTCGTACTTCAGTCTGCGCGCAGAGCAATTATATAGTTTCAACTACTTAGCCTTGCTAAGAAGAGTTTATCCCGCGCTTTCTCGCCATTATTCAAGTCTCGACATTTTAACCAGATGCGTAAACAGGGGGACATCTTCTATTTTGTTTGAAGAAGGAGGCTTCGAATACTGTTCCAAACTCATTTGAGTATCCCGCTAGCGTCTTAAAAAGGTCTTGTTCCAATTTCTTGTTCGAATTCTTTCCAGGCCTGGAATCTGCGTAGCTAACAGCACGGGACAGGGCTCACTCAGCTTTGTTAAAGGTGTCACGACAGAATGTCGACAACACTTTGCGAGCTGTGCACTGACTTTTTATCCCAGTGGCGCAATAGTGGCTTCAGTAATGGGATACCTCCAGCCCAGAGTTCCCATGCCACCCGTTGGATGACCATCATGACAGAATCAGTCAAGTGGAATCCATCTTCCAGGGAGCCCGAGCAAAGACAAGTCGCTGTCTTCAAGCACCAAGAACTTTGCATCACGCAACAAAATGCAGCGAATCAAAGCTGCAGCCTTTGTGCGGCGATAACATCTGTGGCGCGCAACTCTCAAATGTCCTCGGATCACTTGATTTCATTTCAAGTCAATGAAAAGGAATTCCACATACTTACGGCAGAATCTTCAGAGGAATCCTTCGAGGATATTGGGAGGTCTTTTCTCCTCCGAGACATCTCCATGAGCAATGAAGATTCCGGTACCCAGTCCAGTGGGATGGCCAATATAGCTGTAGCTATACGTCGAGATTCCGAGGTCTACTATGAGACGGTCGATGGATCTGTACTTATGCTCCGAGGTCCTGAAGTCAACTCCAATGAGCTGATCAACATAGCTCGATGGCAACGCAAAAGAATAGCTTCAAGGGACGATATTGGTGCCATTGCCTCCCACGCCAAGAGCATGATTGAGTTATGCGTCCACAATCATTGCTGCGACCCTGAACCACCATCCAATTTCCTGCCTACAAGGCTCCTCGACATCGGCACACTTGCAGATCCAATCCTCCGGCTGGCTCTGAGAGAGGAGGTACGATCGGATAAATACGCTACCCTAAGCTATTGTTGGGGCGAAGGCGACGAGAAGCATTTTCTATTGAAACATAGGGTCGAGGCCTACCGGATTGGTATTGACATCAATATTTTGCCCAGAACCCTTGCGGATACTGTGTTGCTCGTCAGGCATTTGGGTATTCGCTTTCTTTGGATAGATTCACTCTGCATCATACAGAAAGGCCCGGAAGACTGGAGAAGAGAAGCAGATGCCATGAGACTGGTATACCAATCAGCCTTTGTCTGCATTTCGGCACTTAAAGCACCACACAGTAACTACGGGTTATTTGAGCGTTCTGTGCACAGTATTCGCATTCCGATTCCAGGAGAGAATTCCACATCTTATCTTCAGGCCAAACTCCCAGCTGGATCGGCTGGTGCATTCACTGAAGCTTATTTGTCTTCCATTTTGGCAACGCGCGGGTGGACTCTGCAGGAACGTCTCTTGTCGCCGAGAGTACTCCACATTGGCCACGATGAGGTTTTTTTTGAATGCCGACAACATGCGTTCTCCGAGCATAGCTGGATCTGGAACAAACCCGGAAGCTGCGGCGCTTTTCTGAACTTGTCTGATTTTGCAAAAGTTTCTCATGATGACCTTTCGCAATCAGAACTCCTCAAAATATGGGATATGCTCATCGTCGATTACTGTCTGAGAAAGTTCTCATACGAAACCGACCGATTCATCGCATTTCAAGGACTAAGCGACCTTTTCCAACCATTGTTCCAATGTCAATACATATTTCGCTTATGGGAACACTATTTCTACAATGGACTTACCTGGTACAACTCGCTTCGGGATAATTCCCGGGGATCTATTACAGGTCGTTCCGTCATCAACCTTTCGAGTCCATCTGGAGGCCGGAGTGTCCCTATCCGGACAGGCATTGCTTGGGAAGAGCCCGATGAGCCCGGGGATCATGAGCGTCAGCTTGACACCGAGAGATCTATCAGGATTGATCCGGGGGCACTCTCCGCCATGAGAAAAAGCCTCGCATTCTGCGAAATCAAACCGTCCTGGAGCTGGGCAGCGTCTGGCCATCCGATCAATTTCTGCCGCCTTGGACGCGGTAAGATCGCTCATCATGAACAGGGGACAGTCTCGAGGTGGAAGCTCAGTGCTCTTCAGGTGATGTTTGTGACAATCTCAGGGTTGTCAAGACCATGTCTGGTAGTGCAAGGCACTATTGCAAGAGTTGGAGTTCGCCGGAACAGATGCATGCCACACATTGAGTATTATACCAAGCGAAATGAAAAGCTTGTTTGCGTTCGCATTGAAGGCTCCAGCAACATTTTCCTGTATGGAATTAGTGAGACTGAGGACTTTGATTCCTGGGCGATTATCGTTTATCAGTCCGGATTTTCCGAATTTTTTGGTAAAAGGTCCCATCTCACCGTTCTTCTTCTTAGGGAGGTTCCCACGCTCGAAAGCGAAAGACTTGCCGCTGATATCAAAATCGGTCACATTTTTGAAAGAATCGGAATGGGCTTCATCATGGAGGAGCAGGAATCACTTTTGGAACATGAACCTCCCACTCCAGGACACAGCACAGTCTATATTGTTTAGTTCTTTATCTGACGTGAGCTTGCAATTTACTTTCTTCAATCTGTCCACAAAACCTTCTGCAATGAGACTTGAGTGATCACACGGCAGTGATTAGCGCTAAGGGTAGTTCATCAAGCTACCTTGATTATTTGGTACCACCTCCGTTGTGCCTATTTCTTTCACATGTGTATGAATTATACACAGTAAAGGAAGCAACAACTATTGGTGGCCAAGCGGCACAGCGTCTCCTCGTAGGTTAGCATACCACAAATCACTTACTGGTAGGCATCACCAGGACTTGGCTTCATCGATACTAACGTGATTCTTGTAATACTGGTTCCAGAATGTACACGAAACGTAATTTAAACCCGTATCAGCGTTTCTTCAACGTAATTGGAATTCCCCGTCTCTACTACCGGTAGTGTCCGATAAAGTCTCATGCAGGAATCTCTCCGCATGACCGATACCGAGTGATGGTGAAACATGGGCAGAGATTGGTGGTTCATTAGTGAAACATCTGCAATGATGAAACGTTTCGCATCATGTCCAGATGGATGTCAGAATTCTCCAACCGGCATGAAGACCGGTCCGAATGCCAACAGACGCTTTATGGCTGCTATTGATGTAAAGACAGGGCCAAACTTTGGAACCGAACCGCGATCGAACGTTCTAGTGAAGAAGTAGGATTTCGCACCGGTAGATCACACTGCGTCAGTAAAACTTCCTGCCTACTAACTAGCAGCAGCTAATAGTAGCAGCTAGAGCTGGGCGTATAAGCAAAAAAGCAATTCGAGTTGCCGCTAGAGCCTCCAGAGCCGCCACCGCCGGCCGGCCGGGAGACGCCGGACTCAGCCCTACGCACCCCAACATCGATCAAATGCAGCCGCCAACGCCTCCTGCGCCGCTAGTATAGTTAGAATGGTCTAGTACAATCAGTAAAGTTCGTGCGCGCATAACGAAAAATTATATGCCGGTATGAATGCCGGCATAGAAATTTGATGAAATGCGTCAGTCTCGATGTACTTTTCAATAGTGTTTCTCTCAGTAGAGCTGTCGCTCTATTGCGTTCTCTATATATTCAATAGATTTAACTGAATCTCCGGGTTCTATATATAGAATTGTCTAGAAGTGCGAAACTTGCTAAATGTGCTCGAGGCGTTGGAGGCGTTAGAGGCGTTGAAGCCGCTCGGGGCGCTAGAGGCGCCGATTGTGCTAGATGCGCCGAACACCCGCGCCCGCGAATCGCCCTTGGCTCACAGCAGCTAGCTGCAGCTGTATGCGGGATTCGGCTATTCATTTGTCTTGGCGCCTGGGAACCTCCCTGATATATGCCCTTGCAGTGAAAGTGCCGATCACTGATCAGCCGGGACCGTTATTGACAGGAGGCTATCTGGCCAGAATGGCTCCCAAAACCTTTGCCGATGGGATTCGGATCACAGGAAAGCTGAAACTCCAAGACTCATCGATCGACGTTTTTTATACGTACATACAACAAGACTCACTAGCCCACTGGGATACTTTATCAAAACGCGGATGTGTTTTACAGCTATTCATTTTGCAATATCGCAGTATCGTCGATAAAGGACTCTCCGAGGGACGAACTTTGATGCATGACCCAAGAGTAGTCCAAACTTTCGAAATAACCATCTTGTGGAATATGACGACAAGTATACCGGAATCGCTTTCGGTCGAGAAGGTTTGCGGGGTTCTTTCCTCCTCCAAGATCTATTGTCCAAGCGCAATTAGGGGGTTTAAGCGTCTGCTCTATCTCTGCGCCTCGCCTTGCCTACACTAGCGTTTTCTGGGCATGCAGGCACCTGAAAGCTCCCGAATTGATGTCTCGCAGAATCAAGCTACCCGTTTCTTAGAACCATCAGAATGGCTTTGCTGGAATACTAGAGCAAAGAAATCAGAATAGCTGAGTGTTCATGCTGCATATGACGAGTGGGATAAACAGGTTGCGGCCTACTCAGCCGCAAAACTGGCGAATGTAAGGGATTGACTTGTCGCAACGTCGAGGGTGCCCAGACCAATACAAATGACAGTAGGAAACGTCCATCGAGTTGATCTATGGAAGAGGCTGCTGCTGAAGGATCTGTGATGAAAGGTTGACCTCGGTAGGATCTTAGGTCCCGCGGCCAACCCACAACTTACAATCACACAATTCTTGAGGGAGCAGACTTGTCGCATACCTCTGCAGCCACTTAATACGTTCTAGATAGACTTTATATTTCTTTTTTACCTATCTTTTGTCCTTGATTTCAACTATACAGAGCCTACCAGGTGGCCTTGAAGCCTAGTAGTTATTGCGGCTGGTTGCTAGTAGGCAGTAGTCGGCGTTGGATCTGTAAGCACTAGTCTTTGACAACATGCGCTACCATGCGTGGCGTTGCGCCCGGTGAGCCTTTCATGGATTCTAGCTCGGTTCCTGTACCAAAGAATTAGGATAGGATTCCTCCATCACTTGCCAAGACATGCGCGTCAGCTGCCAATCAAACCGCACATACTCTCGATTCGTAACTCTCGATGATATGATGAGTTACATAATGTTTGGGGAAGGATCTGCTTACAATCAGTCTGCCTCGGCCACCCTCCCTGTCCTGGGATCAGGAATGGTAGTGGCTTTAACAACAAGTAGCCGAGCTTTCATGACTCGGCTTATATACCATGGCAAATAGATAAGGCCCTCTCTTGGGTTTCAATATCTCCCATCTTTCCTTCTCCGCTTTGATACCCAATCCGGAAGCATCAGAACTTCCCAATCATTCCTACAATGTTCAATTCAATTCAAACATCGATACCCCCGAGCCTCGTCTTGGCTTTTGCAGTTTCAGCGGCTGGAGAAACACTGCCTTTTTCAATGCCGTTCTCTGAGAGTAGTGGTACGAAGCACTGCCCCCGTGGTTATGATACTCTGCTTACATGCTGTAGTGAACCTAGATGGACCGTGGAACTCCTTAAACGTGTCCACAGGATTTCCTGAGCAATACGTACCCATGTACCCCGCCCTCTCAGAGTTCTCGGTCATCATCAACGCCACAAATTACGAGTCGGGCGCAGCAAGCTGCTCGACATGGAACAATAGCCCGCAGGCGGGCTCCAACAACCATAGCCTCGACAACGGCAGAGATAGTGCACCGATGACGACTTCGTCGTTGTTGACTTTCGAGGGTGGATACATCTACAATCTGACAGGATTGAAAGGAAGCCTACGGTTTATACGAGAGCGGTTCACATTGCACTCAAAACATGGGACGCCGAAGCATCTGGACGGGACAGCGGTCGCAGTTGCTGACAACGTCAGCGTGACGTTGGCAAACGACAACCACTACCCCCTCGATGCCGGACTGGTGAGTGCTTAATGATGAAATCCCCCTGATCCTTGAGCTGACTTCGCAGTATTCACTCCACGGCTCTTCAGGGCTGTTCAACTACAACACGACAAACGGCACCGTCTCGTCGCAATACGCACTCTCCAACGGATACAAGCAACACGCATACCCGTCATTGAGTTTCGGGTTACACATGGGATCGGCGATGCACAACGTCCCCGGCAGCCTCATCCTCGGCGGCTACGACGCTTCACGCACCATCTCGAGCCCGATAGCCGTCCAAGACGACTACTTCTGGCTCGCCGACATCTACCTCGGCGTCGCCAACGGCAGCTCCGCCTTCCTCAACTCCTCCTCCTCCTCCTCCTCCTCCACCTCCCCCATCCCGCACCTCCTCCAACCCGGCGACGTGAAAGCGAAGCCCCCCCTCTCCGCGCAACCCGACCCCGCCGTCCCCTACCTCTACCTCCCCCGCACCACCTGCGACGCCATCGCCGCGCACCTGCCCGTCACCTTCGACGCCAACATCCAGCTCTACCTATGGAACACGTCTTCCCCCGCCTACCACGCCATCACCTCCTCCCCGCACTACCTCGCCTTCACCTTCAAGAACGGGTCCGCTGCTGCGACGCCCGTCGACATCGTCGTCCCCTTCGCCCTGCTCAACCTCACCCTCAATATCCCCAAGATCCGCACCGATACCCCGTACTTCCCGTGCCGCCCGTCGAACGCGAATAGCGACGGCCGCAACAGCCCGCAGACGGTGCTGGGCCGCGCGTTCTTGCAGGCTGCGTTCTTCGCGCGGCAGTGGCAGACGGGGTACGCCTGGCTGGCGCAGGCGCCGGGCCCGGGGTTCGCGAGTGAGGATGTCAGGACGATTGCGGAGGGCGCGACGAGCCTTAGTGACGTTGGCGAGACGGAGGCGTGGCATGAGAGTTGGGCGGAGGTGTTGCGGCCGCTGGAGGCGGTTGGTGAGGCATCTGATTCTTCTTCCTCGTCTTCTTCGTCTTCTTCTTCTTCTTGTAATCTCGTCGCGGATTCAAAGTGTTTCTCGACGGAGGCGAAGGTGGCGATCGGCCTCGCTGCTGTCGTTTTTGTGCTTGTCATTGTTGCGGTCGGCTGCGTACTCCGGTGCCGGTGGCGGTGGACAAGGGCGGGGCTTGGAGAGGCGCCGGAGAATCGGGTTGAGGATGCAGACGAGCTGCTGCAGTCGCAGCTGGAGTCGCCCATCAGGCTGGAGTTGGAAGTGCCGGCGTTGGTTCATGAGGCCGAGGGGCGGATGGATTCGTACCGTGCGCGGGACGTGGAGTTGCCGGGCGAGGGTGCTCGTAGATGAGTACTCGGCAAAGTATATACCCGCTCAAATGCTAGAAATTACATATAAATCGTGTGAATGTGAGAGTGAATCTAAACTTTCTGATATCGCTGGTTTCTTTGTCAGCAATGTTGATGTACTCATCAGAGCTCACGAACCTAGCCTCATTATTTCGCATGACTACTGGAAGGCTTGGAAAGTCACACGCACTTGGAAGAGACAATAGCTGCGCTATTGATGATCGTTCAGCCGGTTTCTTTTTTTTTTTTTTCAGTCAACAGCGTTACGCCCTAATCTTACTGCACCCCTCGGGACAGGTAGGCAAAAGTACAGCCAATTAACAATTCTGCGTTCAACCAACGGAGAATCCAGTCGCAAAAGAAAGAACAATTGAAGCATAGTCAGAGGTCATACATTTGCTATCGAGGGTTCCGCGCGGTCGCTCTTGCCCACACAGCAGAAATGGAGCAACAGTCGCAATGCAGCACCGCCTCCAATGTTGACCCAGAGATTTCTGACTCCGATCCTATACAAACAAACGAGCTTTGGCTCTCGGTCAACATGTCGAAACCCGGTGGTCCAGGGAGCCTAGCGAACGACCCAACAGCCTCCGGCGCCCAGCTAGTTGCTAAGAGAGCCAGGACCGCAGCAGCCACAGCCAAAAGCACCGGCAAAACCGCGTCGATCGATGGTCCTGATTTTGAGACCACAGTCCTAAAGCCGCGTGGTGTTGACTTTTTTCAGGATCCCAGCTAGGCATACAACCAAGTCCCCTTCCAGCACCTCGGCACAGAAATCGCCCCAGACTTCGGCAAAGCAGCTCACTACCAGAACCGTCTAAGCTACGAGATTGAGCTATTCATTGATGGAGGTTCCTCATTCAACAGCAAAATAGAAGATGAATTCACTACTGCTGAATTATGGAGTTACATCGAGCGCCGATACGCTAACCTTGTGATAACGTTTCTGCTTCGCCAAGATCGCATGAGCACCAAAAGAAAGAAGACCGGATTGTTTATAGCGGAAAGGCGTGATGAGGAGTCTATACTCCTATCCCGAAACTGTTCTGGTACCTTCGTCCTATTGTACATGAGGACACAACAAGCGCTTTGACTTCAATTTGTTCATCAATGCCGGTTACTAGCTATCGCTCTGCAACACGTGTAGGGGATATTGCAGCCCGACAGTTACCGTGAATTTCTTTTTTTCGCTCATGCCATGGGTACTTGAAGCCATCGTCCGGACATGAATGTATAATTATTCATTCTACATTTACATCCGGATAATAGCCTCAACTACCCATGTATGTTTTTTTTATTCCTTTTTTTTTAAAAAAAAAATAAGATTAAAGATCTGAGGCTTACTTCCGTTATGTTTTATGGCTATGCTAGCAATCGGCTGCAGTACCCCTCTATGTGTGGGGTAATCCCGACGTGGACCCCACAGTCGTTGTTTGCTTGCATAATCGATAAGTACTTGATTGGTAGCTGCCCGGCCTGACTAAAGTCGGGCGCTGACAACTCACCGGGTTACAGCAGATACAGCACGTCGATGTTGATCAGGACAGTTGAATCCCCTCTGATCACACTTCATCACTCAGTAAGACACGCCGTCGCATCTGTTCGAAAGTATGAACACTCTCATCTGAATTTCCTGTCGCTAACGTCTGAGGATAGGCGTAGTCTCAGCTTTTGGGCGCAGGTCGCCCCGCCCTGCAAGGCTTCGAGAACAGCGCAAGGCCACGCTATCACTCTTTTACTCTCCCCCTCTCATGTGCCAAGGCCCGGCATCCTTGGAGCCCGACGCAGATTGGGACCGGCGCTTGTTCCTCCCCCAACGAGGCTTACTAGCCCATGATAAACTTCCGAGGACGTTAAAATGGTATCCGACAAGGACAAGTGCTTCAGGCTTCGGGGTATACCGAGAGACTTTGGAGAGGCGAAAATCCGAGATGTTCTTGTCGGAGAATTTTCTCTCCATGAAAACGTGGACGTCGAAATCCACTCCCTCGCATGCAATCCTTTACGAGAAAAAGAGTGCATTGCGACACTAGGGTTCTCGGAGATTCCTGCGTCGCTGGCTCGACAGCCAGATTACTTCATCGACATCCCAAAATCCCGACGCCAACTTCACCTTGATGCGCATTTCGAAGGGTTTACGCCCCTACATACTACTGCAGACGACGAATGCAAGATTGACGTCGTAGCGATCAGTGGACTCAACGGCCATGCATTTGGGTCATTCAAGCAAACTGGGAGGATGCGTATGTGGTTGCGAGACGACCTGCCGTCAGACTTTCCGCAAGCTCGTGTATTCATCTACGGCTATGACACCTCTCCCGAGCAGCACGCATTCCAAAACATTCTTGATATTGCAGACACTTTTCGAAAGACCCTTGCCACACTTAGAGAGGCGCATCGCGAAAGACCACTCGTATTCATTGCGCATAGCCTTGGTGGCATCGTAGTGAAAGCCGTAAGTCTTACCCCTTGGCACATCAGGATTCAGCTAACCCATGTCACGGAAGGCTCTCAATGCTATGATTGAGTCTCAAGATGACCAAGATAAACGGAACATTTCAAATCTGCGTGGGCTATTCTTCTTCGGCGTCCCCAACCAAGGAATGAAGATCGGATCGCTCATTGATATGAATCCTGATATTACGAATCGAAGGATCATATACCCACTAGACGACGAAAACTCAGCAGACCTTCGATCTATCAACAAGATATTTGCTCAGAACTTCGCAAGTACAACCACGGTCAATTTCTATGAGACTCTGAAATCTCCAACCGCACAACAACAGGTAAGTTCACCTGACCAGTTTTCGATGTGGGCGACATCAAGGACATATGTTCTCTTTCAACAGAGGTGAAGTTAAGCGTTTTAAGTGTTGGCGGAAATGCTGACTGAGGGAGTAGGCCGACGGGTCATGGTCGATGTCTGGACCCCACGAAATCCTAGTCAGCACACATTCAGCCACGGATGGAAGACCCTACGACTGTGGGGTTTATCTTGTTCTTCCAATAAATCGAACTCATAGTAATATGGTGAAATTTAATGGAGTGCATGATCCCATTTATGGGCACATTCGCTATCAGCTCACGGGAATTGTTCAGGAAGTGGAAAAGAGGGGCGCTGATTTTGCGTCGCAACTGACTCAAGATGAGAAAGGTTAGTGGCTTTAATCTCCATATATTTCTATACCACTGACATTAACATAGATTGTCTTCAATCCTTATGGTTTCCAGAGCAGAACGATCGTCAACTCCAGGCAACCGGCCCTGCTCAAGGTACCTGCAGCTGGATTTTTGAGAACCCTAATTTCAAAACGTGGAATGAGTCACCTTCAAACCTCCTCTGGATTCTTGGACCCCCTGGATCTGGGAAATCCATACTCATGAAATCGATGCTCCAATGGAAAATCAACCAACATAAGGATGAAGAGGTCGTAGCCGCATTTTTTATTCATGGCCAGGGGAAGTCGGAAATGCAGCACAGTCTCTTGGGACTATATCGCGCTCTTCTACACCAGGTTCTTCCATATTTCCCCAAGAATTTGACCCATTTGGCACAAAAATACAAGAGCTATCAAAATTCACGAGGAAATCACGGGGTTACCTGGACCTGGTCAGAGCAGGAGTTGCGAGATTGTTTCTCCAATATCCTTACCAAGGAAACCCCGACACATCCAGTTACCCTGCTTGTGGATGCTCTTGATGAGCTATCGAGTAGCCGGGCTGATGTGGCCACTCTCGGAAGAGAACTTATTGCCGCATTGAAGAAGCTCACGGATGGGCATGCCCCTAACTATACTGGAGGAGAGCTAAAGGTCGTTGTTTCCTGTCGATACTATCCCATGATATACGACAACAGCGGCCTCTCGATTCTCATCGAAAAAGAGAACGACCGGGACATTACCACTCTAATCGAAAACCATCCGGTAATGAACAACATCAGGGGAGAAGAAAGGTCTCTCGAAAAAATCATTCAGAACCGATCCAATGGCGTCTTCCAGTGGGTTGCGGTTGTACTCGACGAAGTCGACCGCCTCTACAACAAAGGAATGTCCTTCAAGACTATCAAAAAAGCTGTTGAAACAGTACCGGTGAAGCTACAAGATCTATACGAGTCTCTCGTATTGAGCGGTGATTTAGACGATCGAAAGCTAGCCCTTAAGCTGTTCACATGGAAAGTTTTTGCTGTTCAGCCACTTTCCTTAGTCGAGTTCCGGGACGCATTAGCTGTGGACGCTACCATGGAGTACACCTCATTTGCTGAGCTTTCTGAGAGCAAGGAGTTTCGCAACCTGAAAGCCATGGAGAAAGTTATTAACGATGTCTCTCGAGGTCTTGTTCAGGTCCAGAGAAATCAATCTCTGACGGATCCCAGGTTCAGCACTCGACGGTTTCCAAGTGATGAGATGCGGCAGTTCGATCCAATTTACAATGGCGAATTGACATTGCAATTCATACATCAGTCTGTGCTAGATTACCTAAGAGCAGAAGGTCTTGATAAACTGGCGGCTTCCATTGGAAAGTCAGAATTTAACGCACAATGGGAACTGTCGAGATCATGCATCAAGTACCTGCTGCTGGAAGAGATTATCAACACGCCATTTGAGAGGAAAGAATCACAACAAAGTGATGAAGATTTCAAGAAATTCAGTACAGTTCCTTTGAGCTTTGAATATGCACTCACAGAATATGCACATTCATTTTGGCTGCTTCATGTCATGAAGGCCGAGGAGGAGAATGTCGATCAACAAGATCTATTACGATTGTCTGTCTTAGAAGGACGAAATGGGTACTTACCTGAATCAAGTAACATTCGAATGGCTGACATGACATGGGACTCAGCGCTCTTGCAGTATCGAACACGAGTAAGACACGTCGACGATAGGCTTCAATTCTGGGACAGCCGCGGCTTCAAGTTGGGTGACCAGTTCCAACGTGCGTTATTCAAGCATCCATACAAACTAGCTCTTGTAGAGCTTCTTTCCTTGACTGGAGTAAAGGCTGCAGTGTTGCGCATGCAACAGATGCGGCCAGGTTCCTCCAAGTGGAAACGCACCACTGTCCTACTTCAATACGCACTTTTAGGCCGGCATCAAGATACCATCGATTGGATCTTGGATAACTTGGAGAAACACCACCTTCGGCGCTTATTGAACACAGATACAGAGTCCTCTTTATATCTACCCCTTACCATCGCTGTTGCCCAGGGCGATCCAAAACTCGTACGACGGCTCCTGGATGCAGGCGCAAATGTCAATGCAAAGAACCGCCGTAGTTTGTGGTGTGAACCATGTACAGCACTTGGTATGGCGGCGGAGCAAGGAAACACTACAATGGTCAAAATACTGCTCAACGCCAAAGCGGATCCAATGCAAGAAACACGGGTTGCAGGATTATATAATGGACTGGAAATCAGCACGCCACATTTCGCAGCTGCCGCACAGGGCCACGATGATGTGGTCAAACTGTTGCTCAAACAAAGCTGTGAAAATGTATCAGCCCAAAAAATCGCCTCAATGAGTACCTTTTACGGGAGATTCACGCTTCTTCATTTGTGTCATAGCGGAACAGTTATCAAAACTCTCCTTGATCATGGGGCTGATCCGAATGCTCAGGATCATGAAGGGCGGACACCCCTACACAGACAGTGTGGATACTCCTCAGTAGTACGACTACTCCTCGACCACGGCGGCGATCCCACCAAACGTGACGGATTCGGAATGACCTCTCTGGAGTGCGCAGTGGATGGCTCGGAGACACAAAATCTTATGTTCAACTGGACCGACCCCTGCGGTCGCACTGCCCCCATGTTGCATGTTATAACATGTAGGGAGGCAGAAGAGCACAAGGTGCACATGTTAAGATTCCAACCAGCTCTGACAAGTACTATCGAACTTATCAGAAGTGCACTTGACCGAAGCGACTCCAACTTTCATCATGATTGGAACCAACAAGATCAAGACGGATGCACATTGCTTGCAGTAGCGGTGCAACAGAATATTCCAGACATTGTCGGGATGTTGTTAGATTCTGCGAAGGTGAATCCAAGGATCGCAGACAAGCAAGGCATTACTCCACTACAAATATCAAGGAGATATGGCTACGACGCAATCACAAGTCTACTTCAGAGGTATCAAGAGATCGATTCGAAGTCAATTTCAAAGGAAGGTATGTAGATTCAGTACTTATATATTGTTCATCAGCCTGTAAAAACGTACTAGCTAACAGATACCACAGAGCATACATCTTCTGTCTTAGATGGAGAGAGACCAAGAAAGAAAACGCGAATTTGTCGTCGCATACGAGGCCTGTGACCAGGGAATAACTAAAACTCTTATTGGAGCCTCGGCGCCGAGGAATAAGAGAGCCAGGAGAGGCATACAAGCGTATATTTCCAGGTGGAAGTATGTGTCCTCAGAACTAGGTTCTGGTCAGTGTGAAGATTATGTAAACAGAATTTCATTACGCATTTCACTTGGCTAGATTTGGCATGCAGCTGTCAAATAAAGTGTAATGTTTCAACGGTTGCAATTATACACGCTACAAGGCTCCTCAAACACGACTGATTGAAAATTTAGAGCTGATTCTCCCCACCTTTTGAATTAAACGTTCCCAACTCGTTCTCTGCGGGCAACTACTCACCTACGTTCAATATTTGGCTCACCAAATGAGTTGTATTTCATGAGATACCTCCCGGGACTACCTCTCCCTGTTGTGTTGAATCAATTCCTCCCGGGCGTCAGGCGAATGCGCAGAGACTCCCGTGTGTATGCGTTTCGCCCGCGTGTACGCGAAGAAAAATGAAAGGAAGTAGCAGAAGAATGCAAAGACAGCGATGGCAGAAAATATAATGGCAATCTTTGGAAAAGCGTCAGCTAACATTGCACCCATCAAAGATTGTCACAAAATACCTTCCAATCTGATGATGACCAGTCTCCCTGGTTATAGGCTGCGTTCCAAAGAAGGATGGACATGCCTATGAGGAACATGTAGACTCCGAATCGCAGCATCATGATGGGAATCTGCCAAATAAATAGCTGGGCGAGTCTTGGGTGCCAGTGGTTCGGCTTGTGACATTGATAGCCTAGCATGTCCTTCAAGCGCTCTGTTGGATCCTCATGGCTGTGAAAGCGATGCAGAATGATGCTCTGCTGTGTCGCGGTAGCAATACTTGCGATGATGAACATCAGGCCACCGTACCAGCAAGCCAGCGTCGGCCAAGTAGCGCTCTCAGCGGCTGGCCAAGTGAATGCACTTCCGAATAAGCCTGCGATGATGGCGGACTGTTTCTCCGAGTGAGCAGGAGAATCAAGACAGCAGAAAGGAATAGAAGTAGCGTACGGTAACTCCGACATATGCCAACTCATCAGATTTTGACTTGTACCATTTTTCCGCCAGCTCCGTTTGGCTGTATCCGGAGGCTCTAAGAAAAGCTTCCAGTGGCTCTCGACTGATACTGATAGGGACAAGGATCTCGAGTCCAATGCCTACGAGCTTGCGGTCTGTCTCAAGTGGCATCCTGAAGCTGCACATCAGTATCTGATGGGATTTTCGAGGGGCACAAGAGGGAATACCCGGGAGTCTCTATCAGTGAGTATCAAATCGAGCAGAAGGTAACGTCGTTAAAGATTTTGAATCGAACCTAACGAGCAGTGAAGGAGCGCGCATAAATGGCGTCGCACTTCGTTTCTCTGGATAGCGCTTTTTCCACGTCACGGCGATCACTTCTATACCAGAGCGTCATCAACTTTTTTTCGATCGCATGCATGCCGGAAACGAGTTGTTGGGTGGAGAGTGTCGCTTACTATACCCCTTGTAGGGTGTTTTCCCGTTCCAGATTCGGTACAGAGGGGCTCCACGCCCGGCCGCAAGAGAGAAGTTGCTTTTTCACAAAACGCCGATTCCGGCCTATCATATCACAAAAACAATCTCAACCACCCCTGTACTATAGTTAAAGGTATATTTTTTGTTAGTGCGTCCACTTCGGCAAGGGTCAAATCCAGGCTTTGTCAAGCCTTCAGTCAATAGGATATTCCGAATACCCCTCCGACCACAGTATTCAAGGGCTCTCAATTTTCGTTCCAGCAATCCGCTGCAAGAAGGTGATTGCATTATCATCCGTCTGAAAAAAAGTACTAACTCTACCTAGTTGCCTCCCGTGGGGCTTTAAGCGAGTGGGGTGTCTGTTCCACCTCGAGTCAGACGTTTGGCAGTGTGTAATCAAAGGCTCGTGGACCCGCCACGACCGTCCGCCCCACACTGACGGTCAAATACGCCTTATCAAAGATTGGAAGCGGGCGCTTAGGCCAGCTAGCAGAGGTCATCAGGTGTATTAAGTGAATCAATAAGCTTTGTATGCAATGGCCTCACATCCCTCTTTAAGTATTGATATCGCCGCTATTTCGCAGTAGATAATTTTTATGAGATAGTAAATGTACCATGATATTGATTTTTCTAATCAATCCCCTAGCGTTCTGACACTGTGTATTTGATCGTCCATGTGGGGCGGAGGGCCGCGGCGTGTATTCGAATGTTTGGCGGGAGCGGACGCTCCTCGGGTGGAACAGTGTCCACCTTTTTGCAGAACAAAAGAAATCCTTCACTTCGCAATCTAGTAGCTGCTGTTGCGTCAGATTCCGCCCTCACGTCTTGGTGACCTTGCCAATTCCTTAACCGATCAGCGTTCTGGTTCCGCGATTTTGCCAACCGCCCGGAAACCCCCCGTTATCTCGACGCTGCAAGAGGATGCAACATAGCTCGTATTCGTCGACTTGTTCAGCTAATACATAGCGCTTTCCACCGCCCCAACAGTCGTTTCGCTCCGGCGGGCGTGCATATCGATTTTCTTCTTCCCACGAGAAGAGCCGTTAGCGCAGCGCATTACGCATTCATACTCCTCGCGCGCTTCGTGATACGCAGATTTTACACCCCGTTTCTCGCTAAAATAGACTGTTTGTGTCGCCCGGACCTGCCTCTCAAGTTACTCGATCCCTTGCCATGGAGCTACGAAGCTACGTGGCATGAAAAGCTTCTCCACAGAGCCCAACGAATGGGGATCAGGGCATACGGGATCCTTTGTTGGGGACACGTCTGTGAATACATCAGTTCTGTGATGTGGCGAATTTCAGCCTTCACAAAGCAACGGTGAAGGGCTGCTAAATGGACATTGTTCCAAACTTTCCCCTCCATCGCCCCGTTTCTTGGCTATGCTACATCGGATCTACGGACACTGTAATTGTTCCTCCCCTATAACCTTCCACCTACAAGACAGTCTATACTAACTTTTTAGGAGGCTAAATATATAGCCGAGGCTGTGTAGTGACGAATTGTAAGGTCCGTCGGTTATTAGAAGCCCCATTGGCTCTTCAAAGTTAATCCATACCAGAGCCAAAGATAGGCAGCCTAGCAACGGAAACGAGTCCACAGTCTTTCTAGACTCCATAGCCATGGCCGAGAAAGAAGATACGGATACGACTGCACTCCTTACGCGGAAGTGGCCTACCGAACCCGAATCCTATCTGTACCACGACGAAATGATATCGAGACCTTTGGATAACTGGTTGATGGGAATCGAAAAACATGAAAAGGAGCTTGGCGGATGGTTCATTACCAAAGTCGAACACATGAAGAGCTTTCACTTCTCTAGCGTCATGCACGAGTACCTCCGGGTCACGGTTGAGCGCCTTACGCCCGATCCCGAGCCCTCCTCCAAACGCAAAGCTCTGCTTTTTGCTGAGCGGGAGTATGAAGACGATGAAATCACTGTTGGCTGGGAGAAGGTCAGGCACCCCGAGCTGACCGGCTGGTGGATCGTCAGGTTGTTCCGCGGATACTTCAGCGGGCCGAACGGAGGAGGCGTCCCGTTCACGGCCAGCTCGTCGGCCATAGACAGCTGGAGGGCAGTCGGATACTCGGCCTCGGATTTCCTATGCGAGCTCGTTGCTAAAGAGAACAGCCAGGGGCTGCCTCTGAAAGCTTTTGCCGAAGTCTTACGCGAAACGAATGCCCAAAAGCCGGTCTATCACGCCCAGGATGCCAATTGCTTCTGGTTTGCTGAAACCGTGTATAAAGGGCTACAGCGCAGGACGGGCGACGGGACTGTGGACCCGGGAGTAGCCAATTCAGCCGCCTCTCAGGGTCTGAGTTCCTGGTGGACGGAAAATCGAGGAGGCTACTACCATCACAAGGGCAAGTTTGGTGGAGTTCGTTGGCTTCCGTTCCAATTCCGTTTGATTCCAGCCATCCGGGATTACGAGCGATTCTCATTGGAAAAGGGCAGTAATCTCCCAAATTCTTACGTTGAACGCTTTCGGGTATTCAGAGAATGGCGTAACAAGCGGGTCACCAAAGCCAGGGATGAGAAAGATATCGAAAAGCAGAAGTGAAACGTATCAGTAAATTGAACAATACCTAATCTATGAAAGACTATTAGGCTTGAATGGACGTGATTGTCAGCAAACCGGGTGTTAAAAGATGTCTATTTACTTTTTTAGAATTCCTGTTCCTTCATTTGACCTCATACGCCGATTAATTTGGAATTAAATACGGACTGATATCTTATTCATTGCATGTTACTCTATCCACTGCGGTCTTAGTTCATTGTCGTCCTGGGGCTTCTGCATTTCCTATCAAGTGCATCCTCCCGGGCGGTCTGCGGTTCGGCCCGCTCCGTCGCCGATTCACAACGCCCTGCGTAAGCAAACTCACGTTAATATGCCATTGTAGTCTATCCCGCCTTTGAGCACTTCAACCTTTCTACAATATGTCTCTTGCTCTTAGCTGAAAGACCTAAAATGGTTGCCGTGGCTCAGAGTTCCTTGCGCTATGTTGTGATATCAAAGTTTGTTCAAACAGACTTATTCGAATGAATTAAGAATTCGCCCCTTTAATGAAAACAACCGTCCGTACTGTTTTGCCGCTGCCAACCTAGATAGAGATCAATAGTGAGTCGCTGTGTCAGTGCATGTAGGTAGAGTGGATTTGAATGTGCGTGTGCAGCCACATGAAACCCAAACCGTACAAGGTTCACGGGGAGGCGGCAAGGATACATCCGCGGCGGTAGCATATCTGATTTAGGCCTGTTTCAGAACAGCAAGGGTTGCTCAGCCATTCCCCAGCCAACGATAAAACACAACGCGGCTCACATGTTTCGCCCGCCTCGCTCACGCTCCCCGACCGCGCAATTCGTGTCTTTTGGAGTCCCACACCAACGCGCCATGGCAGCAACAGCCCTCCGCACGCGCGTGCGCTCCGTGTGGCAGCCTTCGTTCCGTCGAACCCTCTACACCAAACGAGCGCAGTTCACAAGACCCAATGAATCCGGTGACGAAGGAAGTCAGCGTGTGGATGGGCGATCCCGATGAGGCCTACGTCATCGTCCCCCGGGACGTCGGCAAGGCATTCGTGCAAGCCAAGCACCTCAGTCCCGCTGAAGGAGAGCTACGTCTAAAGTTTGATCACCATACGCGGCGCTTTCTTTGCAGTAGGTGCGCCCCCCGAACGAAAGACTGGCTCCCGGTTGACCAAGCCCTAATTTCCACCGTGCTTTCAGGATCGGAATCGCGTCTGCAACTCGAGATTCCTCAGCAAATGCCGTTCAAGTCTACGTATGCTTCTAATACAGGCATTAGCGATGCGATCTTGTTCCATACGCCGTGGTCGCCGACGCATACAATCGCGATCGAGAATACGCCAGACTGTAAGTCGCTGTTTATCCCCTGGAGACGGGGCATTCCCCTCTTGCTCACGCCTGTACAGATTGGTTTGCAAGACGAGCGTTTGAAAGCTACCGTATACTAAGGCCTGTGCTCCAACATCTCCAGCGCAGATGAGCGCAGCGCCTTGCGATGATTGTACAAAAGGAAAGGAGAGCCCGGCACGTCCGCGTTCCACCTTTCTAATTTTTTATAATCGAGGAACCCCCCGAAGAGGATGACACTGATCCCTTTTCATCCACACCTTATCCATCGTCTCCATTAGCGGAGGATCGGGAGTATGGATGTACTCTTGTTCTTCTTCGTTCCATTCCGGCTCGTACGCTCTGACCGAGATAGGGTCTTCCGCTGCTTTCTTGTAATACCAGCCCAGCTCTCTAGCTGACCGTTCGCCTCTCGCAACTTTGACATGTGCATTGGCGAGACTCTTGGTGCGGTCAGGTCCCAGCGGTTTTGGTGTCATAAGCCACATGCCCCATCTGTAGGCGTGCATATATCCGTTCAATATGATAAACGTGTTGGCTGCGAGGAGCGCCGTGCTCTTGTTGCCGTCGGCGAAGGCGCGGCTCTCCATCATCTGCTTGGCGAGAATCGCTGCCAGTTGGAATGGATCTCGCTGCTTCTCGTGCTCCTTCGAGTGCGCGGTTTTGATGAACGTTGAGATGGTTGATTCCAGCAGCGCCGGTCGGCTCGGCGGCGCGTTTGCGACAAACATGATGTGCAGCCGCTTGATTTGGGCGGCGGTGGGGAAACGGCGGGGCGGAGGAGCCATTCTGGTCTTGGTGCTAGAGAGTAATGGGATGGGTCCAAGGTGGAGTACTCGCGCGAATGCTCTAGTGGAGGTTGGGCGACGGCGGGAACGGGGTGGTTGGGAGGAGGCGTGGGGGTAGCTTAGCGAATACTCATTCACCTATCTATTTAAACGAGAATACCTCTTACACGCAACATATAACGGCGCCAAACTATATCTAAGAGGGGAAAAAAAAGCTCTGCTTCTAACAACTCACTACAACTCTACAAAGTTGCTGCAGAAGATTTCAGAAAGAACCAAAAAAAAAAAAAAAAACTATCAGCATCTCGATACCAGCTAAAATTCCAAAAGCAAGAAAGCCATTCAACGAAAGCTCACTCCCAATATTTCATACGTCCCCATTGGCTGCCCGAATCCGGTTCTCCACTCAGACCAGCCTGGCGAAATAGCTGGACAATAAGTTTTTGCTGGGGGTGAGCATATTGCAACGCATTTTTCCCGAGATCATCCACCGCAGTCGGAGCCGCACCATATGACAGGAGCAAGCTTAGAAGTTCCACGGTTTGTAGTTCTTCCCTTTCTCGGCTCTGAGAAAATTCAGAACGGCTAAAAGTCCCACCGAATCGAGACCTTAAGCCAATGACTGCATACATCAAAGCAGTCCTTCTCATTTCATCTTCAACGTTGACCTCAGCTCCTCCGTTCAGCAGAAGCTCACATATCTGAAGTGACTTAAAGAAAACTGCCTTCATGAGTGATGTTCTCCCCCTGCGACTCTTGATGTTCACATCTGCACCAGATTTGATCAATGCTTTGACCAGTTCGGCGCTGATGTTCTCGTCATTCCAACCATTTGGTATGGCGTTACATAGGGCAGTATCCCCTGTTGATGTCACCGCGTTCACATTCTGAAAGCCGTTTTCCAGTAGGAACCTGACCACCTCCACTTTCCCTGCCTCGCATGCCATCATGAGGCACGTGACATTGTCCCGTCCGCGGACGTTAACATCTGCTCCTGCGTCAAGAAGAAACCTGGCCACCGAGACGTCCCGAAATTTGCATGCTAACAGCAAAGGCGTTAAATCATCCTTGTCACGGATTTCCACCTCTGATCCTGCCTTGAAAAGGACTTGCATTGCTTCGAAGTTATTCCACCGTACAGCAGTGGTAAATGGAGTCCATCCTCTCATGTCTGTGGTGTTGATCAATTCCGATTTCGATCTTTCCATTTTCTCGCTTTTCGTATTACGTCCTGTCCAGAAAAACGCAGGCTTCTCTCGTACTCTTTGGTATAAAGAAATATGCCTAAGGATCGTGTTGATCACCGGTATATTGTTGTTCCGCGCGGCTACATGCAGAGGAGTCTCTTGATCACAATTTTGAGAGCTCACATCCGCGCCTTCCTGTATGAGGTGGTCGGCAATATGGGGACTGGTATGAACCCGGGCCATTGCGTGGAGAACTGTGTTTCCCATCAAGTCTCTGGCGTTGATCTTTGCCCCGTCACGAAGAAGAGCGTCGATAACCATAATATGGCCAGCAAAGGCAGCACGGCCAAGGGGGGTCCTGTGTGCAAGCGAGGAGGACTTGAGATGCGACTTCCAGCCTCCTTTGAGGAGCATTGAGACAAAATCTTCCTCTCCCAACTCGCAAGCCAACTCAAGTTGCGAAGAAAAGCGAGATTCCTTATCCAAGCCGACCTTTCTCTGGATTAATAGTTCGGCAATTGCTTTTTGTCGGCCACAGATAGCGTAAGTCAACGGGGAGTACTGAAGACTTGATTTGCGTAGTTCCTTAAGTCGTGCTTCTAGCAGTTTTTGGACTTGAAATCGAAGTCCACAGAAAGCAAATATGCACGGAAGTAGATTGTTTGTAGCCCATGCAGGTGGTAAGTTGATGTCCTTCGGGAAATGTATTTTAGAAAGACCGGGAGTGTTGAGGTATCCGTAAATTTTTTGTATCTGCTTCTCTTGATCGTCTGACTTTTTCTTTTGAGATAGTTCAAATAAGTCTACTTTATCAAGGTCGTCGAAGTCATTGAGTGAATTCTTCTGAGCATAGTAGTGATGAAACAGCCAATGCTGCCATGCATACAGTAAGAATGGAAGCTCGGACAAGCAGTGAAGTGTGGTTATACGTCGATCTTTCACTAATCTTGGACTTTTCACCCCCGCTTCGACAGACCACTTTTTCATTTTGGTTTTGTCATGGAGTATATCGCAAACATCTTCCATGAAAAGATATCTGAGGCATGACCGCGAAATCTGGAAGTGGGCAAGCCTTGCCGGGGGCAATCCTGAATCTCCAGACAGAAAGCTCAACGATTTCTCCGAATTCAACAGAAAGTCGATAACAGACTGATGAATGAATTGAACGACCCCTGTCTTAAAATCTCCTTTAACTTCGATGAGGCCTTGAGACAAGCTCTTGATCTTGAGATGTAGATCTTTCCCGTCAATATAGTCATCTCCACTTCTGTATTCGGCTGTTGACCTTGATTCCACGTTGTAGTCAAGTGCTAGCGCCTGCTGCAGCTCCCATGCGGACAAAGGGCATCTAGCGTACAACACCCACTGGAAGAGCTTGAGCGCTAGCTTTCTGTCTCGCGTCTCACGTGTTGACTCGTGGCAATGGGGTCTAGTGGTTGCTGGTAATAAAGACACATAAAGCTCGTATAGGCCCTCTGGTACCTCTCGAACTAGCTTCAAAGCATCTTCGAAGGCATTGCCGTGCGTCCGGTTACCAATAATTTTACTGACGACCAAAGTCGCCCATTGGATGATGCCTTGTGATCTAGTGCAGACAACTTCCTTCAGCCGAGCTTTTTCCCCTTCTTCGAAGCCAGAGTATTGAAGCTGATGATCCACAATACGGTTGACGTCGACGTAATTATGGTGTTCCATCACGATGGTGATTCCCCCATCAAGGGTGATTTGCGGGTAGTGTCTGCATGAAAAGCAAATTTTGAGATGTGATTGTTCATTAGCGACTGCCAGTGTTGACTTGAAGGCATTCACAATCGCCACTGCAGCTGTTTCTCCAGCTTCATCTAGTGCATCGACGAAGATGACGACCGAGCAGCGTCGGGAGATTGTGTCAAGTGCGCGCGAGAGATTCTCGAGTAAAATTTGCGGCACCCATGCCCATTTTCCCGAGTCAGGATCTCCACAATCATCAACCTTCTCCTTGAAGAAAGCCGTCAAGCTTGAGAATTCTGCTGGAAATCGTTGGTACAGTTGGTGGGTAAGTGAACGGTACAATCCTAGCTCTGATTTTTGGAGGGGGTTGCCTCTGCCGTGTATGAAGAAGGAAGTGATCATGTCCTCAGGTGCCGAAGCTGCTCGCGCATGCTGGAGCAATGATTTCATAGCCATCGATTTTCCTGTGCCGGGACTTCCGCGAATCCAGAGAAGGCCACATAAGTTTTGTAGCCAGGTTTTGTAGGCAGGGTGATCCACGAGCCATTCGCAGGTGCCCTCGGTTGGCTGGATTTCTACTTCGCGTGTAGCCTGATCAGGAAAGGAAAGAGAGCGAAGGCATGCTTCAGTAACGTTAGACTATAAAATGATCCTAAATAGCTCATGGCTGGGCTCTACCTTTCTTTGTTCCTTCCAATTCTCGCCAAGATTGCGGCTCGAATCGAAGCATTCCCCCGAGTTCCCTCAGGACAATCCTATATGTCGCGTCCGCTTGATCCTCAAACTTGACAACGTCTCCATGGTTTGAGGGCACAGGATGGACACGATGCTTCTTTGTACCGTAGACCTGCCCTTGCGTGGCCGAATGACGATCGACTAAGAAGGCAAAAGGACCAGTCATGCTCCATTGCTTCGTAAATTCCTGTAGCTCAAGTCAGTCCAACATATGTTGGGTCACAGTAGGGACACTTACATCTTGCTTCGCAGTTTGAGACATTTTGGTCTCGTAGAAACTGACAATGTCGAAATTCACGAAGGGTAGAGTGAGCGTCTTCAGAAACATCTCCGACTGGTTCTGTAAGAATGCCGAGTCGACACTCAAAGACTCCAACAGTTGCCGATTTGGACCATCTCCCACCATCGGCTGCAAGGACTCGATCGCCATCCCTTGACTTGGAACTCCAAACAGCAAGATACCTGCAAGGTTACGCAGAAATTCTCGGTCCTCTTCATTTTTTTTGCTTCCTTTTCTCATCAAGTTCACAGCCTAACAGGCATCAGCCAAGCTAATAGAAGCGTCGTGGAAGTTTCATATACCTCTCTTAGTATGATACCACCCAAGCTGTGACCTACGAGGACCAAAGGCTTGTTTGTCGCACTCGAAATTGAGAACAGTGCCTCACGGCACTGTCTACCAAGATCAATAATGTTTTGGGATGACTTGCTATCAATAAGCTCGGTGTCTAAGCCATAGGTGAGTACCCTTGATACTGGAACATCTTGGCTGAGACCATCTCGGAGCCACATCCAGTTGCCTCCCCGAGTCTTGAACGATCCGAAAGGATGGCCATTGAGGCCGGAAACTGCAACAACACTGTACAAAAGTCAGGAAAGCTTATGCCAAGAACAATAATGGACATGCAACACACTCAATGGCCCACTTTTCTTCCGGGTCCGTAAGGACTGTGAGCCCGAAAAAGTGCTTATCGAAGACAATATCGCAGCCTTGGACACAAAACTTTTGCTTGGATTCCTTCGGGAGCCGAGAAAGGCTCTCAGGGATGGTATTGAACTCCAGAGTGGCCATCATTCCCCCCGGCACCACAGGGTGCTTAGCGATCGAGCGGACGTTGATTTGCTCATCAGAACATCCGAGCGCGCTCCCCACTAGCTCCTTAACCCGCTGCTCATTCGGCTTCGCCGGAAGACCGCTGATGCTGAGCCTGAAGGTTTTGTATGCATCCGTTGCCTTCACTTTGGTGGGAGGCTGCGGCTCTGGCGGCGGCGGTGTAATCTCGCTCGCTTGAGGAAGCGGCGCGCTTATCGCGCCCTCCTCTAAAGGTGGCATGTTTCATGTGGAATGTGTAAGGATGAAGAGATGAAAGCGAGATCGGACAGAGACTTGTACTCCGTAGCAGGGCGAGGAAAGGCTGAAATTGAAAGACCAAGACAACGACGTGGGGGCCTCGCTGCTGCCTGCTCGTTAATGTACTCTGCAAAGCCTTGACCGGTTCGGATTTTCCGCCAGCCACTCTGGGAATAGTGCATTACAGGGGTTCCGATAAGGGTAATTGCGATGGGGATGTCTCATTGCCCACGTATATATGTATATACTCGAGGCCGGGGATGCTTAAATTTTGACGGATATTGGGCGAAGGCCGTTGGGGTTACTTTTATAGTACCAGGGCGAAGTTGCCTATAGGGAGATGCCGCATCCAGCTGCGGGCTCGTGATTCTTTTTTAACTATCAGGGCTCTGTCTACTACCCGAATACGGCTGCACCTACTTCGAGTATCAGACCTCTTCGCAATGAATTTTTTTTCCTCTGGAATTTTTAACACAAGCGCCATACCCTTCAGCCTCTTCATTATCGTGCATCCACTTTTCATGGGAAAGACGCTTATGTGCCTCTGCTATTGGGGGCCGTTGAGCATTTCTGGTGGGGCTTTTTGCCAAAGATGGGGGCCGAAACGCTTGTCACCGGCCTTGTGTCCCCTCTCAAAGGAAAATTTAAATGTTGTCATTGGTAGACAACAACGATCGGACTTACTCAGATACCAACTCGGATCCGATAGTAGCTCGGAGAAAAAAGAATTGGGTAGATGCTTACAAGCCCGGCAGGTGCCTAAGTGTATGTCTCTTCAGGCAGTGTTGATAGTGCCTGCCGTTGGCCCATTTCGGTAGTTGAGATCGACGAATGCGACACCATATATTACACCCACGTTAAAACTCTATTCTTCCGGTGGGCCAATGTTGCGTTGTTCTCCACCAACCTTGTTCGAACGTGCGGGGTAAATATTGGCGAGACATGGGTCTTTATTCTAGTACAAGAGCGAGAAGTAGAAGCAAAGGACAAGAGCGTGCGATCACCATTCGCATTTAAAAATCGGCACCCAAGAGTAACCGACTACTCCACAACCAAAACCATGGACGCCGCCAAAAGCGCAGAGGCCCGCGCGCACCTCAAAGAGCACGGCTGGGTGCGCATCCCCTCCGTCCTTTCCCCCACCGAAGCATCGGACGTCCTCGCACGCCTCTGGAAAGCCAAAGAATCCGCCGAAACACGCGGCGACGACACGTTCCTCCCCTGGCTCGACCCGAACGCCAGCAACGTGCGCATCTTCTACCTGCTCGAGCTGGACGCCATCTTCCGCGACCTGATCGCGCATCCCACCGCCGTCGACATGGTGCAGTCGGTGCTCGGCGACAACTTCCTCATCTCGAACTTCACGGCCAATATCGCGCGGCCGGGGTCGCAGAGCATGGCGCTGCACTCGGATATGAGTATCGTGTTTCCCGACCCGTGGAAGGAGGTGTGGGCCATCAATGCTATTTGGTGCCTGACGGATGTTTACGCTGAGAACGGTGCGACGCGGTATATCCCTGGCTCGAACAAGTGGGTTACTCGGGGTGATGTGCCGCCGAATGCACCTGAGCTGCTCACGCCGTTTGAGGCGAAGGCGGGGGATGTTATTTTCATGGATGGCCGTGTGTGGCATACCAGCGGCGCGAATGTGACAATGGACCAGGACCGCGCGCTGTTGTTTGGGTACTATACCGCGCCGTTCATGAGGCAGCAGGTTAATTGGACGGCGAAGCTGCCGAAGGAGATGCAGGAGAAATTGAGTCCGGAGTTGAGGGAGTGGTTGGGATTGAATCCGAATGCGAATATCGGCGCTACCGGAGACCTGAGGTTTATGTCAGTGCAGTATCCGGAGTATGCGGAGAAGGAGAAGGCTGCTGTTGCTTAGGTGGCATTCATTTTGATATTTCAGCACTGATTTACAACCGCAATGAATATGAATTTTTCAAGTGATAGAAGCAAACTACTTGAAAGACAGCCCCGACCTTACATATCAATCAAAATTGCATCACGTCGGACCTGGAATAAGGAACCAACAGTATCAGCCTACCGTTTATCTGAGCCCTTAGAGTGAAATAATGGCTTGTGATATGGACTCAGACGTACAGGATCTCGGAAAGATTGCATTACATCAGAACACTGCACGGCAATTCTAACATCCATAAGACCACTACTTAATTAGAAAAACATCCCACTGAATGGCTATAAAGCTTTGCGGGAAATTTGGCATAGGGATAAAGCCGGAGCAACGCTGATGTTCCATCAATGGTTGTATGGAAGTATTATGCTGACTGTAGGAATTCCAACATTGCTGATAAGGATATTGAGCATTACGATCATTTCGAGGACCTTTCTCTATCTACTATAGATCTTAATCAACGGTCTACAAATCAACATCCACGCCCTCACAACCCCTTAATCCCCTCTGGAATCGCCGCCTCATCCGCCTCCAACACACTCATCGTCTCAACCGTCCACTTCTGAAACGCCTCCTTCGTCTCCAAATACGGCTTCCTGGGCGCAAACGCCTTCGCATCCTCCAACCCGATCTTCCTTCCAACAAACCACCACGCGCCAAACTTGGTCGCAGCCAAGCTCTTCTTGCACGCCCACTCGGCATTCGCCACCACCTGCTGCAGGCGCGCCGCCTCCTCTTTCTTCCCCGCCTGCCACAGGTCGAAGATGCGCGCCGTTGCGCGCGGGAAGACGTTCGCGAGGCCGGTCACGCAGCCCACGCCGCCGGCCTCCAGCGTCGGCACCAGGTAGTCCGAGGACCCGCCGTAGACGCCGAATTGCGCGGGAGAGAATTTGCTGGCCAGCCGCACGACTTTGCCGACGTTGCCGCAGGTGAGCTTGACGCCGACGATGTTGGGGTGCGCGGCCAGGGCGGAGAGCTGGTCCGAGTCGAGGTCAACGCCGGATGTTACGCCGGGGAACTGTTTTGCGTGTTAGCATCAACTCCGTTTGTATCGTCTCAGCACAATTCCAAGCTCCGGCTAGCTAGAAAATTGTGCTTTCTCTCTCTTTCTCTGTCTCTCTCTCTCTCTTTTTTTTTTATTGCAACAGAGGGAGCCCAAGTTAAAGACGTGGAAGAAAGCGGCAAGCAACTTACATTATAACACACCACCGGCAACGGACTCCGATCCGCAACATCGCGATAGTACCCCAACAGCGCCTCCTCAGTCACGGACTTCGCCCAATAGCTCGGCGGCAGCAGCAGCGCAAAACTCGCCCCCGCATCGGCCGCGTCCTGCGCCAGCTGCACCGTCTCCTTGGTGCCCTGCGCCGAAATGCCGGCCACGAGCGGGTAGTTTGGCACGCCCAAGTCCGTCACGGCGCGCCGCGCTGTGACGAGGATCTGCTTGCGTTCCTCGCGGTCCAGCAGTGCCAGCTCGCCGTTCGTGCCGAGGTACACGAGGCCGTGCTGGCCGCCGCGGACGAGGTATTGGCAGTGTTTGTACTGTGGATGTTTAGTTTTTTGCGGGTGGAAGCTGAGGGGTGAGGTGCGGCGTACCATGGCGTCCAGGTCAATTTCTTGGAGAGGCGTGTTTTTGTAGAGGGTTATGACGGGGCAGTAGACGCCGGCGGGCAGCGGCCGCGCCTTGGCGGCGATGGTTGAAGTGGGCATGGTTGGAGAACAGAGGGTTGGTGTTGAATAGTACTCAGACGCGGACGGGGTCTGGAATCAGTGGCGGAAAATGCGTGGGGGAGCTTGGCTGAATGCCATTTTGTATGCTGAGAGCAGTGCTCTCGGCAATTGAGCTTGTTTGCCGCATATCAGCGGCCGAGCATACCGACGAGCAGCAGGGTTCAGTTGCAGAGCTACCTGGATCGGGGTGTTGTTCGTGGTCAGTAGGACCGCTGACCCGAACCCCGCATTGCATTGTCCAATGATGGTGAACTCGGATTTAAATCCGACGTGGGGCTTTTCCGTACTAAGTGAGCGCTTAGAGATTACCCGGCGTACCACTCGAGCATGTTCCCAAGTGCTTCGCAGATGGGCGGGAATAGAAAAACATTCAAGGTATGAGCTGTCATTGATGGTCTACTCTATGAAATCTCATTACTGAAGATCTATTGCGATGCCGCCTCAAACGCGCGAGTGTTGACCGGCGTCAGAGGCTTTCCAGCAAACTCCCCATCCGGACCAACAACAGTGACAATGTTCTTCATGGCCAGCAACTCAAAGTTGACTCTGGTATCCAACGCCCCTCCGCCAATATGCGTGGTCAAAGTGACGTTCTCCATCTCAAGGAGCTCCTTGGGGATATTCGGCTCGTTGTAGAAAACATCCAAACCAGCCGCAGAAAGATGGCCCTTCTTCAACGCATCAATCAACGCCTTCTCCTCAATAATGGGCCCTCTCGCAGTATTGATCAGCCTCGCACCCTTCTTCATCAAGAAGATGTTGTCCGCATTGATCAAGTCCCGAGTATGCGGATTCAGCGGCGTATGCAGCGAAACACAGTCCGAGATCTTCAACAGCTCTTCCAACGACGCATGATACGTCGCCCCCAACCTCTCCTCCTCCTCCGCGCTCGCACGAACAACATCATAGTAATGCACCTCCATGCCCAGCCCCGCGCGCGCCTTCACGGCCAGCTTCTTGCTGATGTTGCCCAGCCCGACGATGCCGAGCGTGTGCCCGCGCGGGTTGGCCGAGATGTCGGCGATCAGGCCGTGCGTGTAGGTGAAGCGGTCCGGGTCGCCCGACCGCGCGGCCAGCTGCGCGCGCGTGAAGTTGCGGAACACGGACAGGATCATGTAGAGCGCGGTGTCGGACACGGCTTCGTCAGACGCGCCCGCCCCGTTCGCGTACCAGATCTTGCGCGCGCCGAAGACGTCGACGTCGGCCCAGTTGAAGCCGGCGCCGGCCGAGGCGTAGATGCGGACGGAGGGTGGGAGGAGGGAGATGAGTTCTTCGTCCCATTGACCCATTTCGCCGCCCGTTTGGAAGTGCGGGCGGAAGATGGCGGAGAAGTCGCCGTATCTGTGGTATGGTTAGCAGCTGGAATGAGAAAGTCTTTGTAGCTTAGACGTACTTTTTCTCCTTCAAGGCCTTCTTGAATGACTCTCTGTCCAAGTCCTCATTGCGGACGACATTGAACCTTGGTAGGAACTCCTTCTCGTAGTATTCGGTGCTGTACTTGACAGCATTGCCCAGGTGCAGAACGGTGGGTTTCGACATTTTTGCTCGTGAAGAGAATAAAATTGAAAAATTGAAATGATGCTCGAGTTGCAAAACACCCCGCAATTATGGTCGGCCAGATGTACAGTGATTCCGACATCAACTGCGGGGCAAACGCCGACGCGTAGCCGAATGCTCCACTATTCCTACACTTTTCCCCTCTATTGCACAATCATCCTGCCGATCTCGCTCCCCGCAATGCAACTTATCCGACGGCGAGGTAAGCTGCTATACAGAAAATCCGTCTGTCTTCAGCAGCTCAAATTATGGGAAAGATCATCAGATTTAGATATTGAATCCCCCCACTTTCTAAGCTGGCATAAGCACTTCTCATCCACTCTAAGCCATGCATGTACTTTTTCTGATACAAAGGTATTAGATTACATTATCATAGCCACCAGCGACTAGTCTGAAATCAGTACTGTGGCGCTCTTTTCTTTATTTCGACAGAAGGATATTTGTATGGCAGAGTGACTAGGTTGGGCGAGGCAGGTCTTTCTCTGCCACAGTTCCGTATCGGGTTAATCCATGTGGTACAGAGAGACCCCACGTTCACGGCTGTAGGCACAGCCACGCAATTCCCCCTTACCTACTGAAAATCACCATTCGATTGGGTAGAATGGCCCTCTTATCTGGCTCCAACCGCGGATACCATAAGTCCAAGACCCTTTAAACATCGAAGATCCAGCACTGCTTTGTACGGCAACCTCGGACCGGGATAGGGACGAATTGGAATGCGTTCTGCATTCCAACGTCTCCACGTTTCTCTAGTCATGCAATCTGGAATGTTCGACGTGACGCATCGAAACGGTGTCAGCTTCTTCAATGTTCTACCGTCAGAGCCAAGATTGCTTAACGATCGCGGATGTCTGCATGCGGAAAGAGTTCATACTACCGTTTCTCGCTAACCGATGCGCTATGCTTCTTTGCGCCGAATTCTTCAGCCCTATCACGTCAAATTCCTCGAGGGATGGCAGGCTAGACCTGAAACGGCGTTAAGAGTGGTCTGTCCGGCTCCCGAGCACGCTGACGAGTATTGGACCAGTCGATCTTTGAGACCTGGCTTTGGATGCAAGGGAGAGTTTAACTAGGGAAAAGACTCAACACGGAAATTGCCACGGCTGCGGAAATCCAGAGCACGCCATCGCTCTCAAAAGAAAACCCTCGGTTCTCGCACGCACGTACGTATAGACTGCTGCAATACTCGTCCTCACAATGGACGTTCTCTTACTATGGACCAGAAACGAGATTCCGCAGGGACAACCGAGAACCGGGCCAGCACAAGGCTCTTCGCCAAGCCGTGCTCATGAGGTCATTGGCACATCGGTGTCTGTCTTCGCCGTATGCGTGCTCGTTGTTGGCTTACGCCTCTTCACACGTCTGCATCTCCTTCGAAGTTTTTCTTTGGATGACATTTTGATAATCATAGCAACGGTTCGTGGAAACAGTTCACACTCAATCTTGATTCTGACACTTTCAAAGCTATGTGCAGCAGCTCTAACCGGGCTACTTATACACGCCACCGGTAAGCTCGAGCCATACCCGAAGACTTGCACATCTGACATGTGGCAGAGATCGGATTGGGGAAGCATGTTTATGACCTCGAGATGTCCGAGTTGTCAAGCACAACACTGGTTGGTGTGCTCTCTCTTGAATATGATGCAGGAAACCGCTAATGGAGCCAAGCACTTATGGATCGCTTATATTCTACTCAACTTCACGCTCGGAATCACCAAGATCTCGATAGTCCTCTCGTACCTGCGGCTCTTCGCCTCTCAGAGGTGGACGAGAATAGCGTGCATTGCATTTTTGTGCGTCCTGATAGCCAACACGATAATTTCGGTGGCGTGCTGCATCTTGACCTGTCACCCGATAGGGCTATTCTGGCATCTCGAACTGGTCACTTCGCCCCAAGTGCTCACTGACAACTGCGTCAATTTTAAGGCTATGTGGTACACTCAAGGCTACATCTATGTTCTCTTCGACATTATCCTCATCATACTTCCGATACCGGTGGTAAAGTGCCTTCGGATTTCTCGGCGGGAGAAGGTGGCGCTGGCGAGCATCTTTGCTCTTGGAGGATTGTAAGTGCAGTAAACCTCCTCGCTGACAACTGAGATACTAATTCAAATGCAGTGGCTGTATATGCTCCTTCCTCCGTCTGCGCTCCCTCGGCCACGCGTTTGGTTCCAAGGACCCCGGATGGGACAACGTCGACTCGGCCCGCTGGACAGTCATCGAAGTGGCAGTCGGCATCATCTGTGCCTCGCTGCCTCAATGCAAGGCGATCCTCACGCGGCTGTTCCCGCGCTTCCTCAACCCCAACCGTCCGAGGAGCAAAGGCGTGACGATGGCGGTTTCCGAGTTCGAGAAAGGGCACGGCTGGCACTCACAACTGGAGCGGGGGATAAGGATGGACGCGACGCAGAGAAACCAGATGAGCCGGAAGGGAGGGCTCGTGCAATCGATGGTGGAGAAGGGCGGCGGGGTGGACTGGCCGCAGAAACTCATACCAGGCGGCGCGGCGACGGGCGCTTCAGCCATCCTGGTCACGACGACCATGACGCAGCGGCGGGAGTCGCGCTGCTCGAGTCTGGAGATCACGCACGACGCGCCGCGGAACAACAGCATCACCCCGAGCGAAGTGTCGCTGCCGCTCTTCCTCACCGACGACACTCCCCGAGCGCGAACCATGAACTCCACGTAGATAAAAACTCCGCAGTACATAAATAATTCGACGAACGCCATGACCCAAACCCAACTCTCAGAGCTTATAGTGCGGCCGCGGCACGTTATCGTAATACGGCACCACAACCACCCTCTCATCCTCCACCATACTCACCATCGCCTCCGTCCCGGGATGCGTCGGCTTCGCACTAACCCTCAAATCCAAGCACGCCGCCCCCACCCCGCCCTTCAACAACGCCCTTACCTTCGCCGGCACGTCCTCCAACCTCTCGCACTTCTCCCCCGCGCACCCCAGCCCCCTCGCCACAGCCGCGTAGTCCACCGCCGCACTCAACCCGCTGATCGGCCTCGCCGGCGTCTTCCCTCCGTACACGAGATCCTGTCCGTTCCGACTCATGCCCCAGCACGCGTTATTCACAACCACCGTCAGCACGCGCAATCCGTGCCGCGCGAACGAGTCCAGCTCCATGAAGTGGAACCCGGCCGCGCCGTCGCCTGTGATCAGGATGACGAGCGGCTTGCTGCTCTTCTCCCCCTCCGTCTCCCCCTCAGCAGCCACAGCGCTCCCCAACGCGTACCCGAACCCATTCCCCAGGAACCCCAGATACCCGGTCGACGACATCAGCGCCGCAGGCCTGCACCCCTCGCCCCCCGCCGCCGCCGCGGCAGCAGCAGCACCGGCGACCGAGCCCGCCCACAGCGCTGCCTCCCCGCCGTCCAGCACGACGATCGGCCGCGAGTCGCGCGGCAGCGCCGCGAAGAAGGCCGTCAGCGCGTGGTGCGGGTGCGGCATGCCCGTTTCCTGGACGACCTTGGGGGCCGCGTCGAAGGGGCTAGGCGCGGTGCGGAGGGCGAGGAGGGACTGAAGCCATGCGTCATCCCCCTTCTTCCCCCCAGAGGCGGAGGACGTCGACGAGAGGGCAGCAGCCAGCGCCCCCAGCGCCTCTGCCGCATCCGACACCATCCCCACCGCAACGGGAAACGTCCTTCCTATCTCCCCGCCATCCGTGTCGATCTGGATGATGCGGCACCCCGCGTCTTTCGCGGGCACGATGCCGCCGCTCTGCCCGCCCAGATACATCCCCGTCCGCGCGCCCAGCAGCACGACGCAGTCCGGCGCCGCCTTTCCGGCCTGCTGCACCGCGGCCAGACTGCTCGCCGCGCCTGCGTACGTCGGCACAGCGTACAGCGCGTCCAGCCGCGCGAACTTGCCGCTCGTCACGATCGCCACGCCCGGCGCCGCCGCCGCGAAGCTGCGCAGGGCCGACGCGGCGGTGGGAGAGGTCGCGGCGCCCGTGCCGAGGATGAGGACGGGCCTGGCGGCAGCGCGGATGAGGCTGGCTGCTTCGGCGATGGCGCCGCGGGATGGACCGGGCAGGTGGGCGGGTGGGTTGGTGATGGAGCCCCAGGAGATGAGCGGCGTGTGGATGGGGGAGAAGAGGACGTCGATTGGGATGTCGAGGAGGACGGGCCCCGGTGCTCCTGCCGTCGAGACGTGCACGGCGTGGGCGGCCAGGCGGGGCAGGTCTTCGGCGGAGGTGACGCGATGGGCGAATTTGGTGAGGGGCCGCGCGGCGACGATCTGGTCGATTTGGCCCTGCAGCGAGTTGTTTTCTTGGTCGCGCAGCGGCACCGACGAGGTGATGCAGAGGATGGGACTGCGGTCGGCGAAGGCGGTGGCGAGGCCCGGGAGGCCGTTGGAGAAGCTGGGAATTATTGCTTAGTGGATTGGCTTTTTGATGTAGGGTTGGAGTGAGAGAGGCTTACCCGCTGTTCGCGGTGATGAAGCATACGCCTGTCTTGCCTGTCATTTTTGCGTAGCTCTCCGCGGCCTGTACGGCCACCGTCTCGTGCCGCGTGTCGACGAGACGGATGCCAATGGTCTCGCAGCCCACGAGGAAGGCATCGAGATGGCCGCCGTGCAGTCCAAATGCCACTTCGGTGCCAAGCTGCTTCAGTGATTGGGCGAGGAGATCTCCTCCAGTCAGCTCCCTACTTTTCGGGAAGGTCAATGGAAACGCCATTTTTTTTTGTACGAGGACGGTATGGACTGTCAATGCTGCAAAATTGGTTTGAAAACACCCAAAGCACAACAGTTCCGCAACACAGAGTCGTATAAATAGAGAAACATCATGACGTCGTAAGCAGCCGCGGGGTTCGGCTAACCCCCCCTGGCATTCCCCTCTCAGCCAAGACAGTCCACCACCACCCACCAATAACCTTTCCCCACGCCCGTACAACGCCAACATGCAGCCAGCGGATCCGCAACGCATCCGCCTTCCGTGATCATCACCTCCTCCCAGCGCATGTAGCCCCGTCACAATTTTCTGACACCCCCCGCACCCACCTCCAACCCCTCCACCTCGGCTGCTGCCTTCTCCCTCTTCCCCTTCATCTCCACAATCTTCTCCATCGTCTCGCTCAAGCTCGGCCCCCGCCCCGCACACATCACCTTCGTCGCCGCTAGCAGCCCCTCGTCCAGTTCTCTATACACGACGCCCTCCCCATCCGCCCCGTCTCCACTCGCGTCGACCAGCGCCTGCGAGAAGGCTAGCGCCTGGTTGTAGCGCTCATCCGCCATGAGTGCTAACGCGGACCGTGCGGGCCCGGCAGGCGTCATGCAGATGGCACCGCTGGCGCGGAGGAGGGCGCCCGGCGCCAGACCCGTGTCGGTCCAGTGCGGGGCGATGGCGTTGACGCGGATGGCGGGCGGCGAGGGCTGTTTGCTCAGGGTGGGCACGATGGAGCGCATGAGGCCGAGGACGCCGTGTTTGGCGGTTGCTGGGTGGGTGGGATGGTTAGTTGTGGTGGGGGGAGGGGAGGGGATGGGGGGACGTACTGTAGTCGACGGCGGCGAAGCGTTGGAAGCCTGTTGGCGAGGATTGGAGTTAGTGGGGTGGTAGATGGGAGGAGGAGGGGGGAGAGGTGGACGGACTGGATGCCGATGCGGTCAGCACGATGCTGCCGCCGGGCGGCTGCTGCTTGCGCATGTAGTGCAGGGCCAGGGCGGTGGTGTTGAGCACGCTCTTGAGGTTGACTTCGATGACGGTGTAGTCGGGTTCTTGGAGCTTGCCGTTGTCGTCGAGCTTGTCTTCGAGCAGTGTGGTGCGGGGAGGGATACCTAGGGTTGGATGGGTTAATGGGGGGCTTTGAGTGCGGAGCGTGCGTAGACGTATACCGGCGTTGGCGAAGACGTGGTCGATTCGGCCGTGCTGCAAGAATGCTTTCTCGAAGATGTCGGATAGCGCCGTCCAGGATGTCACGTTGAGCGGGACGTAAGTGAAGCTTGCGTGCTCCGTGATATTCGCTGGAGGTGGGTTCAGGTCTCCCATGACGACTTTTGCTCCATATTCGAGGGCCATGGACACGGCCGCTAGTCCAATGCCCGAGGAGCCACCTGCGACGTAAACTGTTAATTGATTTTGATATGTTGGGAAAGCGAGGGCACTTGCCGGTAATGAGGATGACTTTGTCCTTCAAGGCATGGAGATCCTGGTCTCGGAATTTGATTTCGGCCATGGTTGATTGCGATTACGGCAAAGTAGAAGTTTTGAAAGTTTGGAAATTTGATGCAGCCTGCAGGAGACGTTCCTCATATATAAGTGGTGCAGGCAGCAGCCGAAGTTGACCGAGATGCCTCATAGACAGTTTCCCCGCATCTGAAAATCCTCGGGAAAAGGACAGGACTGCAGCTCCCTTGGCGCATCCTCACGACATCCTGCGCTGCCTATGTATCTCAGCATGGCGTCGAAAGCTTACTTCTTTGCGAAACAAGCGCGGCTGAAAGCGGAAATGCTTATGCGAGGCTCCTCAAGATGCGATTGGATAATGTTGCATTGGGCTGGGAACACGCCTACGTAGGCATAAGTTTATTTTGCTGCTAGACATGACAGCCCGCCACTATTGCACTCTATGCTTAAATGTTTATTCAGCACCTTTCCACTCCGTTATCGCTCGACAGGTACGTACGCGTATTCGCATCTTGAAATAAGCTTTACACAAGTTTGCTAAGGAGATTAAGACGACGCTAGGCATTCAACCGAAAAGTCACGAAAATACACCGACAAGCGTTCAATGTAGCATCGAAACATCAAGTGTTGGTTTGCGAAAGAAAAGGGAGAAAGCGGGTGAAACCAAGCAAGCGGGGAGCAGCAGCGGGCCGCCCGCAGCCGACGTCCCCCGGGCTCTCTCCAGTCCAATACGTCATCCATCCTCTCCACACTTCTAAATATTCCGCGGCATATTTAGAGGTCCACCTCCGGTGGATGCTGTTGTAGTGTATCTTTAGCGTCACACGAGGATCACACCTTCTTGTTCCCTTCGTATTCCCAGTCCTCTCTCCGGCGGCTATAGACATGGGGATGGCGCACGAAACGGCATGATCGGCAGCGGTATGCCCCTCGAATTGCAGATCGACTCGTACCCGAGCCGGTCGGGGACGGGAAACTTCCTGAAACTCGATCCGTCCCCGCTTTTGTCGAACAGGAGAAACACCAAACCACCAATCCGGCCGCGGCCAGAACCCGCGCTCCGGCGGGCGACGGGGGTGCTGCAAAACACGCTTTGAAACATCATGCCAGGCACACACACAAGGCGAGCAAGATGCGCAGATGCAAGGCCGCCCATCATGTCTGTTCTGGCTATATAAATGCCACATTGTCTCTCTCCGCTCAATTCGATCAAGCAACCCAGGCCTGCAGAACTCTGCGTCCACAACCACCATGAAATCCGCCATCCTCCACGCCCTCATCATCGCCGGCGCCTCGGCCGCTGCGGTGCAGAAGCACAAGCCCAACACCACACCCAAACGCCAATCCGGCACGACGCTCATCCCCAACACGTGTTTTGATGATTACTCGAGCCTGGAGGAGTACTTCAACTACTTGTACCCGTGGGGCAGCGACCACAACGGGTCGGCGCGCATGCAGGGCGACAGCGACGACCACGAGTACATCGCCATCGACCCGGCGGGCCAGCTGACCATCACGGCGAAACCCGTCTCCGGCCAGCCCGACACCAGCGGCGGCCTCGCCATCAACTACCTGTCCGGCGCCGTGCACGCCAAGCAGCATTTTGTTGTTGAGGCGGGTGGTGGGCTCGACTTCTCGGCGTCTTTCCTGGCGACGACGGATCGTGGCACCTGGCCCGCGTTCTGGTTGACGGCGACGGAGGGCTGGCCGCCGGAGATTGATATGGCTGAGTGGAAGGGTGAGTGAACAAGCTATTTGTAGTAGTTGTTGTTATTGACACAGGTGCAGGCTCGGGCGACATCTCGTTCAACACGTTCAACACCAGCTCCGAGGTCACGGCCAAGGACGTCGAGTACCCCTCCCCGACCGAGTTCCACGACATCAAGGCCGAGCTGCGCGACGAGAACGGCAGCGACGTGTCCATCAACTTTTACATGGACGGCCAGCTCATCACCACCCAGGTCGGCAAGGGCTACGTCGGCGCCGGTTTCTGGCTGTAAGTGATACTTTGCCTGATATCCATTTCTTCTCACTGACGTCGACAGCATCATCAACTTGCAGATGGAGGGCTCTTCGGGCTCCCCGGGACCGACGACCGGTAAGTTGTCCAGTTGTGCTTAGTTGACTGGTGCTAACGAGATGCAGACACGGTGTACGCAGTGAAGAACCTTGAGGTTATCAGCTACAACCCGTAGAAGGAATTATGATGGAATGATTGTATATATTTGATAGCTTCTGGTACCTACTTGGAATCCACGATATTCTGGGACATACTCACTTGACCTACCCGGCGATTGCGATGTCGTGATGAAACACATGTAGTTTCCCATGAATTGATGAAAAGTGCGGATCCATGACGAGAGTCAAATGAAATCATTTTGTGGTTCACGATGATGTCACTCGGCGCGCATTCAGCTGACTTCGCGATAGATTGTGTCACACAAATGGACCCCAGTCGGTTGCTCGGCTGTACCACAATGCAGCAAGCACGTCAAACTCATCCAACCTCGACGCCCTCCCCTCGAGCACGCGGCTGGAAGCGCCGTATCGCCAAAGTCCGTACTCGTCCGAACGCCTGCACAAAGCCACTGCTGACGTCGTCAAGGCCTGCGACTCGTGTCGTCAGAAGCGAACAAAATGCAGTGGAACGCGTCCCACCTGCTCGCAATGTACTCAGATCGGAGCTGGCTGCCACTACTCAGACGCCATCGAGAGACCGACGCGTCATCGGGTTGAGAAGTGTGTGAAGAGTTCCAGGACACGTAGCAGCTGGGTTAACGCGCCTGTCAGAGCGAGTCATTCCCAGCACCTCGAGGCACGCATCCACGAGCTGGAAGCAACTCTCCGCCAGTACCAATCGCCCCAGCATGCCTCAGCGGCTGAAACCTCAGGGAATGTATCCCAGCAAGAGCCCGATAATGACAGTCAACGGCCGTCAGCAGCATCGGAAGTCAGCGGAGGCCGCGGAACAATCGTTCTCGAAAACACAGGCGAGATGAGATACTTCGGTGTGCAGCCTACGGGCAGGAAACACGAGAGACGGCGGCGCTGACAGGTCAAGAGGCCCCTCCTCGAGCATCTCAATCCTATCACCGGACGGCCTGCAGTGGCTGGAATCCCGCACCTCCGACGCCTCGCTGCGTCACCGGCTCGAGCAGCCGCTGCGCGGAGGCGGCAGCTGGGCGAAATGGACCCATCCGCTACTACAATCACTCTGGCCAGCCAACACGTCGACGGCCCTCCCACCCTGGGACGAAGCATTAGCGCTGGTCACCGAATTCTTCGACAACTACAACACCGTCGTCCCCATCTTCCACCCGCCCACCTTCATGGCCCTGCTCGGCCGCCAGTACCAGCCCGGCGGCTCCACCACCAGCAACGCAACAACCCACGACGACCCCGCCTGGACCGCCGCCCTCAACGCCGTCCTAGCCCTCTCCCAACGCCGGCGCGCCGAGCAACAACCGCAGCCGCAAAACCGCGCCCACGCCCTCGCCGACCGCGCCTGGGCCTACGCCAAGAACGCGCTGGAAGTCCTCCTCGCCCTCCTCATGCGCAGCACGAGCCTGCTCTCCGTGCAAGCCCTCCTCGCCCTCGCCAGCTTCTTCCGCGGCACGCCGAACCCGCAGCCCTTCTTCTTCCTCACCGCCGCCGCCGTGCGCCTCTCGCACTCCGCCGGCCTGCACCGCGACCACCTCGCACCACTCACCCCCGCCGACCGCGAGCAGCGCCTGCGCGTCTTCTGGATCGCGCTGGTCCTGGATGCCGGCGCGTCATTCCGCACGGGGCGGCCGTGCACGCATAGTGTTGATGATATTGGCGTGCCGCTGCCATCCGCCGCGCCGAATGACAACCTCGGTATCGTCGTCGACCGCCGCGGCGCCGCCGTGCTGAGCTACCTGCGCGCGCAGGCAAGGTTCGCTGTGCTTGAGGGTAGGGTGTACGGCCGCATCTTTGCGGCGTGCGCGGCGGCGGCGAAGGACACGGAGGTGCTGGACGAAGACGTGCGGGAGCTGGGGCGGGAGTTGGAGGAGTGGAGTTGCATGGTGCCGGGGGGGACGACGGTGGAGTGTAGCGATGGGAGGAGGAGGAGGCTGGAGGAGGAGTGGGGGGGCCAGTGGTTGCATGTGGCTGGTCTGCTGCTCGCGTATCACAGTTGTGTTATTACGGTGCATAGTGCGACGTGGCAGCGGCACTTCAGTTCGCTGCGGAGCAGGCGGTGCGGCGGTGCGAGGGACGCTGCTGCGTCTTCGGCCAGCAGCAGCTTTCCTGGCGCCGAGGTGTGTCTGAGCGCTGCGCATGAGATTGTGAGGTTGCTCGCTCACGTTCCGAGGGAATGCACGAGCTTTATCTGGTATGTAGGGACTCTCCATCCTCCATTTCATTGTAAGGAGAGAGCTAACACTGCCTAGGGAGCAGGTCCACCGCCCCGTCCAGGCGATGATGCTGTTCTTCGTCTGCATCCTGCAGCAACCCGACGATGCGGACGCTGAGACGCATCTCCAGGCTATCCATGACGCTGTCGCCTTCATGTCCAGGGCCATGACGAACCAAGAGGACTCGTTTGTCCAGCCCATGGTGACTGTCGGTCACGAGCTTATCCGCATCGCGCGCGCTGCCATCCAGAAGGGCAGGGTCAGACCGGAAGCTGATCAACCAGATGGAAGCAGCGGCATGAGGGTTGGTGGTGCTCAGCCACCGGATGGCGTCCAATTTTCTGCTGTCCCTGGGCTTGGGACTGGAATGCATCAAAGCGTTCTTCCGTCTACACCCAGCCGCATGGGCGGCGTGGGCCAAGGAGCGGGAGGTCCGACCTCTACCCCGGCGGAACAGTCGATGTCCGGTTTGGCCTTTCCGGACCCTTGGAGCGTGGACTCGGGGTTTGCTGGGATCGATCAGCTCTCCGACATACCTCTTCCGTTTACGTGGAACTGGCAGGATTTGTCGACTAGTCTGTTAGAAGACTTCAACTTGTTTTAGCACGGTCATGTCAAAAAAGAATTTTATTGTGCCGTTCATGATTCACAGGCCTGGTAGATTCTCGCTTGCTAACTCTGCTTTAAATGTCCCCGTTCTCGCCTTAGGAACCTCCATCCAAAAAGGTCCCCGCACTACACACACCCCCTACCACTCCGGCTTCGACCTCCCCCTCGACCCCGACGGCACCTTATAGCCCAACTTCGACTTCTCAAACTTGAACGCGGGCGCCAATATCTCAATCTCCTCATCGATGCCCCACTCGCTCCCACTCATCTTCCAGAACCACTCGGGGTGCTGGAACAGGTCCGGGCGGGCCTTCTTGATGGCGGCGTGGCTCTTCCACAGCAGCGTCTGCATCTCGTCGTAGTGCCGCACGTGGAAGCCTTCGTTGCGGGCGCGCAGGGCGGCGCTTTGCGCTTCGTCGTACTGGCCCAGCCGGTAGTACCAGATGTTGTACTGCGTCAGGCTGACGTCGATGTCGAAGGTGACGGCGCGCTTGCTGCGCTCGAGCAGTGCGTGCAGGATGGCGGCGGCGCCGATGAGGCCGGTTTGGTAGTCAGAGTTTGCTAGGAGGGAGATCAATCAGTCAGCAGAGATATTGATGATAGAGGGGGGGGGAAGGGCAACTCACGCAGCAGCGGCACGACCGGCTCATCCAACCCCAAAAACTTGCCCTGCAACCACGAAATGCCCACCAAACAATCGCTGATCTGCTGCCACCCGGACCGATGCGCCAGCGGGCCCTTAAACCCATAGCAATTCTCCCTCGCGTACACCAACCGCGGATTGATCTCGCGCAGCCCTGCGCTCGTGAACCCCAGCCTCTCCAACACACCGGGGCGGTACCCGTCGACCAGGACGTCCGCGCCGCGGACCAGCTCGGCAAACGCCTTCTTGCCTTCCTCCGTCTTCAGATCGACGTGCGCGTCGCGCTTCCCCGTGCTCAGGTCCATCCACAGGATCGACAGGTCGGGCAGGTTCCTGTTCGTCACCTTGACGACGTCGGCGCCCAGCACCGCCAGCACCTTCGATATGACCGGCGCCGCGATGACGCGCGAGAAGTCGATGATGCGGATGCCGGCCAGCGGCTTGAATCCATCCTCCGCGCCGACCTCCGGCCACGGGCTGGGCGCGGGCGTGGGCACCTCCCGCCTACTCCACAGCGGCTCCTTCCCCATGACCTGCCCCTGCTCCGACGCGAAGAACTCGTCCGGCGTCAGGCACGTCACGCCGGCCTGGCGGAAGTCGTCGTTGGCGCGGCGCTCCAGCTCGGCCGCGTCCCACTTGGCGACAACGTCGGCGTAGATGGCGATGGCCTCGTCGCGCGTGACGTCCTGCTCGGGGACGCCGACCATGGTCATCGTCGGCGTCGCGTTCATCGAGCCGTGCAGGTGGTACCAGCGGCCGTCGCGCGTGCGGTAGACGTTGGTGGCTTCTTGGTGGATGGGCTTGGAGGTGTTGTGGAGGTCGCCGGCGGCGAATTGGGCGGTTAGCGTGGGGTGGGTGAGGAAGGATTGTTTGTCGTGGGGCCCGCCGGAGATGGTGGGGAGGAGGACGGATTCGAGGAAGAGGGTGGAGAGGTCGCTGGTGGTGGTGTTAGTTGTGGTGTTTTTTTTGTGTTGCGAGACGTCGTCGTTTGTGGTCCATCTTGCAGATGCTCCAAACGGCCGTTATCCAGGGGTTATGCTTTTTCCATCCCTTCTCTTGTCCTTTTTTCTTCATTCGATTCTCCAGAGCAACCGAGGAAAAAAATAGGGAAAAAAAAAACATAAGAGAATGGGCTTCCTTACGTATTAACCTCAACATCCTGATACCCGATTCCATACCGTTCCGCCGCCACCGCGCTGGCCGCCGCGGCCACGAGCGCCGTCAACGCCGCCGCCGACTCGGTCATCTTGCACGGCGTCGGTATGAATGGCTTGGGGTCGTCGCCAACGATGCGCACCTTGCGCGCCGCATCCGTGAACGACTGAGGCAACGCCAGCTGTGCGTCGTTCAGCAGACGCTCGTGCAGGATGCGCGTGGCTTCGGCCTGGACGGAGTAGTTATCTTCTGCCGTCATTGTTGCTCCTTTCGTTTTTAAATATTTTTTTTAAAAGAAGGAAGGTCAGGGGGAAATGAACTGCATCTAACGTGAGTTCCGGCGATGGGCCACGCGTTTTTATACATTTTATCCCCGCAGTCGTACTCTATTCTGACGCACGGATAATAGCTCATGATGGGTGACCAGTTCTCTCACCGACGGGCCGAACGTCGAATGACCGCTGCCCCGCCGTCGGTCGGCCGAGGCGCGGGCCTAGTTCTGGATACGTCGGGCGTCAGGCCCCTCCTGACTACTGATGGAGTGGTTTCTGGCGGTTCCGGAGTTTCGACATGCAGATCACTGCCGTTTGGCTGCGGTGGAGAACCTCGGGCGGAGTTTTGGATCAAAAAGCCTCGCAAAACTCCGGTGCCGGGGTTTCGACGCCAAATTGCAACAGCGAGCCAATCAGAGCCGTGAATGCATGTATAGTGCGATGGTACGTACTGTGTACATTTACCTTACCCCTCATCGTCGTCCGTGCCCCTCACGTTGGCTGTATCCGGCTTTGCCGCTAAGGAGGGGAAAAGTCGGAGATGGTGGACTGGTGATGGTGGTCACAGGGCGACGCAAGTGATGGGCGGTGTCTTTGCCCGCATCGACGATAGCCATGACTCGGGATTTTCGTCATTATTGGGCGCTTTTTTGCAAGGGGCCAGCTTGCTATATAGCGTCCGCGTCCTCAGTCGCGAACGTACAACATTCGGTCGATGCGAGATTGTAGAGCTCTCAAGTTCTTCAATCGGAGGCAATTTGGCTGATCTCGCTCCTCCTTTTCTGCACTACACACTTCATAATCTTCAAGAAACAATTCGGCTCTCAGCCAGTCCTCAGTCATGGCGTCTTCATGGCGTGAAGGCGAATTCGGCAAGCGGCCAGTCCGCATCGCCAATTGCTCAGGATACTGCGGTAGGAGCTCCCAAACGCCTTTCCAATATCAGTCCACAGTTCCCAGCTAACTCTCTCAATAGGAGATCCGTCAATCGAGATGTACAAACAAGCCACCCTCGGCCAAGTGGACTTCATCACGGGAGACTACTTAGCTGGTCAGTATATCCCGCGCAAACACAACCACCACCACAAATGCCCCCCAGCAAACCATCACCAACTCCATCCCTCTCACCAAAACGCCGTTTCCATTTCAAACAAAAAAAAAATAAAACCTACACTAACTACTACCCCAGAAATCAACCTCGCAGCCAACGCCACAGCCTACGCATCCGGCCAACACCCCGGCTACGAACCCTCGGCCCTCAACGGCCTGGCCGCCGCCCTCGACGCCCTCGCCACCAACCGCATCAAAGTCGCCATCAACGGCGGCGCCCTCAACCCGCGCGGCCTCGCTCAGCGCGTCGCCGCCCTCGCCCGCGAAAAGGGCCTCGACCACGTCCTCCGCGTCGCCTACGTCGACGGCGACGACCTGCGCGAGCAGATCGGCCGCAGCACCATGCCGCGGACGAAGGAGGAGGCGGTGGGGTGGTTGCCGCATTTGGACGCTGCTTCTGCGGGGGAGGGTGGTAAGGAGGAGGCGTTTGCGTTCTTGCGGGGAGGGGACGGGGAGGGGGTGGCAGAGGGGGAGAACGCAGGAGGAGGCGGCCAGCCCATCGTCTCGGCCAACGCCTACCTCGGCGCGCGCGGCATCGCGACCGCGCTACGCAACGGCGCCGACATCGTCATCGCGGGGCGCGTCGCCGACGCCAGTCCCGTCGTCGCGGCGGCGTGGTACTGGTGGGGGTGGGATGATGGCGCGTATGACGCGCTGGCTGGCGCGCTCGTCGCGGGGCATCTGATTGAGTGCTCGGCGTATGTGAGTGGCGGGAACTTTGCGGGGTTTAATGAGGCGGAGAGGTATGGCGGGGTGGACACGTTTTTGGAGCCCGGGTTCCCGATTGCGGAGGTGGATAAGGATGGCGCGTGTGTGGTGACGAAGCATGAGGGGACGGGGGGTGTGGTGGATGTGGAGACGGTGAGGTGTCAGTTGTTGTATGAGTTGCAGGGGAATGTGTATTTGCATAGTGATGTGAAGGCTGTGTTGGATGGGGTGGAGGTTGAGGAGGTGGGGAAGGATCGGTGGGTGTTCTTTGTTTTCTTGTCTTTTGGTTCTGATGCTGACGGGTCTTTGCAGTGTTCGTGTGAGCGGGATCAAGGGGTTGCCTCCGCCGCCGACTACGAAGTTGGCCGTCTTCTACAAGGGCGGATACGAGTGCCAGATTCTCGTCAATGCCACAGGGTACGGCTGGCGGGAGAAGTGCGAGTTGTTTGAGAAGCAGGTCCGGAAGCAGATGGGAGAGGATCTGATACGGAACCTCGACATCCTGGAATTCCAGCGGTAAGCAATCATCATTTCCCACCGACCATCCAGGTACTGATGGAAATACAACAGCATCGGCGTCCCAGCCGAAAATCCCTGGGACCAAAACAGCAGCACCATGTACATCCGCATCGTAGCCCAATCCCGTTCCGAAGCCGCTCTCAAAAAGCTAGCACCAGCAGTCAACAGCATCTCCCTCAGACACTTCCACGGTAAACCCCCAATGCCCTCCCTCTCAGCCTCCAAATCTGCACCACCCCACACACAACTAACCTTCCCCAGGCTACCACTGCTCCCTCGACTGGCGCACCGCGTCCCCCAAACCCTACCTCGCCTTCTACCCAGCCCTCTGGCCGCAATCCCGCCTCGCCGAAACCGCCCACTTCGTCTCCCCCACCACCGGCGAAACCACCTCCTCCCACCCCGCCGGCCACCCGCCCACCTACGCACCCCTCGGTCCCCGGGACACCTATGACACTTCCTCCCCCGTTTCCCTCACCACCACCGCCACCCAGCGCATCCGCCTCGGCGACATCGCGCTCGCGCGCTCCGGCGACAAGGGCGGCAACCTGAACGTCGGCATCTTCGTGCGCAGCTCGCCCGACAACACACAGCAGGAACAGAAGCAGTGGGACTGGCTGCGGAGCTACCTGTCGCGAAAGCGTATGTGGGAGCTGCTGGGCGGGGATGCGGCGAAGGGGGTGTACAGGATCGAGCGGGTCGAGTTTGCGCGGATCAAGGCGGTGCATTTTGTTGTGTATGGGTTGCTGGGCAGGGGCGTGAGTAGCGCGACGAGGTTGGATGCGTTTGGGAAGGGGTTCGCGGATTATTTTAGGGATAAGGTGGTTGAGGTGCCGGTGGAGGTGCTTGGGATGGGTGTGGGGGTGGGGGAGAAGGCGAGGATGTAGAGGTGGTACTAATCTGGCTTCAGTACGTAGGTCCTGGAAAATTGCCAGCTAATTGCTTCTCGGTTCGGTCAGAGCTGGTTCTATGACAGCCTTTTTGAGATCGCTTTGAGCCATCCTTCTTAGCACACTTAAAGTGTGTCTATAGACATGGTCATAAGGCCCGTCAAACTTGACCAAGTTCGAATGATCACGGTTGATGGGATGGGCTTGGCCTGCGCCGTAAGTGGCTGATCGCACGCTCACAAGTTTCGCTGGTGGTCCGCGCATCGACCACACTTCCTTGGTGCTGCCGTCCATTTCTTTCTGTGTCTACAAAATTAATGTATTGCGTAACAACCATATAAGATATAGTCAAGAACTCACCCTGGTGGCCGTTGGTGACTCCACTGTTTCATGGAACGACCTTATCGAAGCACTTCCGTGCACAAGCGATCCCTCAAACTCCGTACCAAGCCTTGACAATTCAGTAGAGCCGACTTTCAGGCTATTGAGTAAAACGGTATTTGGGTTGTCTCCCACAAGGGGGATTAGGGAGCTTATGTCCATTCCAAGGTGAGGTGTGCCGAAGAATAAGATGCCCTGGACTGAGCGCAGGAACTCAATATCAAGGGGCGTGGAATATTGATTCATAACGGCCATTGCCTAATATGTTAGTGTTTTATCTGAATCAGCAGAGCCTATAGACATACTTGCTTTGTTACGAGTCCTCCAAGGCTATGCCCAAGCAAGATTGTGGGTTTCGGCTATTTCAAGAGTGTGCAGTCAGAATCTACATACATGGATAAATTATTCTATTTCACTTACCGTTTCAATCATGTGAAGAGTATCTCGAAGGCTCACACCAAGGTCCTGCAACGTCTGAAACGATCTACTTCCAACAAGCTGGGTATCGTACCCGTAGATCAGGATTCGTGTTCCGGGAAGCTTCGCTGGAAGTGAGTCTCGGAGCCACATGAATGAGTCACCTTTGACTTTGAAGGACCCAAATGCGTGGCTATTGAGACCCGAAAGAGCAACCAGGCTATGAATAGTCAGCGCTATCCGGGCGGGAAAAGAAAGGGACTTACTCCGTCCCACATTTATCATCTGGGCATGAATGCAGAGGCGTAAGGCCGCGAAAGTGTTTGTCTAGCACAAGATAGACATTTTCAAATCTTCCAACCTTCAACTGGTGAAAGTGCCACTCGTCGCCAGAACCATGTCTACTAAGCTTCTTCGAAAACTTAATCGGTACTCTCGAGAAGGATAACGTCGCAGCCAGCTCAGTGCTATCAATTGGGTTTGTTGCCATCGAACCGAGATGAATACTTGTAGCTTCCGGGACGCCAAGGCATTCTCTTATGAGCAGTGGCAGCTCATTGATGGAGCAGTCAGGCGGGATTCCTCGAAGCCTGAACACCGTGTCAGGACCGAGTTCTGGCTTTGCTTCTCCTACCGAATTCATTAGCAAAGGAAGTATATCTGGCGTCGGTTTGCATTTACCTCTCTTCCGATACGACTGTAACTTTGGTAGCACCTTATTGACGAAAACGGAATCGTAAGGCTTGAATTTGATCATTTCGGTATGAGTTTTGTCAACGGGAAATCCCCCGAAAGAGACGTTCTCTTGAGGCTTGCAATCCAATGATGAACGGAATTCGACAACCATGGCTGGCGGCCCAGTCATTCTCCAACAACCATTGATCTACGGATCACATCACATAAATGTCAAAATCTTGATAATTCAGTCAAGTTCCACAAAGAAATTTTACCTTCTCCGGCGTTGGACTCGGTTGGGTTGCATAGAAGCAGATTATTTCGCAGCCATCCACAGCGAAGACGTGCTTGAACTTTGTTGCATGCGAAAAATTCGACGCGGGACTCAATAGAGAGACCCAAGACTCCTCGTTCGAGGTTCCTTCGACAATTTGTGCCAAAAACGGGAGATTCATACCGTAGTGCGGTGTGTTAAAGAAGAATATACCAGCAATCGAGTTGACAATGGCCGAGAGTTCGCTTTCTTCCCGCCTCAGCATTTGCATGATGGCCTGCATGCTGGTCAGGATTAAACGGAAAATTGTTTGCGGGACAAAAACCTCTTCTATGACCACTCCTCCAATGCTATGGCCAATGAGTACCAATGGCTTTCCAGGTGCGAGAAACTACATGGAGGTTAGCATTGCTCAAACGACTGTTCTATTGACAAGCCCATAATCACCATTCCCGATCGAATGCATTGAAGCGCTGCAACAAGACAAAATGCCAATTGACGATGGTCCTGAGTGGTCAATTTGGTATCATAACCATAAGTGAAAATTCTGGCAGTGGGTATGTGTTTCGGCAACTCGTCTCTTAACCACAGGAAGCTTTCCCTTTTTTGCTGAAACGACCTTATCGCATGCCCTTTCAGGCCCGGAAGTGCAATAATGCTATGATCATAGTAAGAATTTACAGCTATATGGCTTAATACAGGCTATAACTTACTCCATCTCCCAGCCCATATCGTACTCAGCAGGCGAATGAAGGCTCGTCAAGCCATCGAATTCAGCGTCTATGACCATTAGGGGGCCAACGCTCATTTCATCAGGATTGCAGACTGCGCAGGAGCACTGAATTATCTTCCCGTTCATTTGATTGGAATCCACTTGGATACCGGCGAACGCCCAGGTGGCTGTGTTTTCGCTCGTGTTCCCAGGAGAATGAGCAAGAGAGAAAATATGTACTTCGATGCTTTTCTCGGGTATAAGCAGTCTTATGCTAGGGTCATTTGTGATATGAGCTCGAATTTCAGCCTTGCTAAGAGACACGGGAATTCCTTGAAGGCGGAACAGCGGGGATGACATAGCTGGCGAATATCCCAAGCCTCGGTGTTCAGGCAAAAGGGTTTAAGAACCATCAAAAGAGTTCCAAAGATTTATTGGAGCAACCGCATAGAGGACAGTTATTTTTCTTTTCTCTCTCTTATATGTATGCCATAGTGCGAAATCCTACTTGGCAGAAATCCTAAATTTAGCAACTAATGCAGATGCCCACTTTTGACAGCTCGGCTCAGGCTGATTACAGGATGATCAACCTTGAACACGTCACGACATATCTCCAGCTTAGTTTCTTTGACAAATTCCCGATTCAACAAGATTCGTCGAAAGCATCGCCCTTCGCAAACACAGCTCCCGCATTTCCCTCATACCCCAGCTGCACCAGCGACTCGGTCTCAGCCTCATACGTCGGCCAAGCATACTGATCCTTCAGCCCATTCTCAGGGTCTTTCGCGAAAGCCACCCAGGCACCCTGCATGTACTCAGACGTTTGCTTCTCCAGCGCCGTGTTCGAGCCCAGCAGATCACTCGTCCCAAAAACCATCGGAATGTCGCCTGTGGCTCCGTCAGTCTCCCCCACCTCCGACACAATCCACCACACAATCCACTTACTAGAATGATACGCCCCCAGCCACTCCAGCGGATTCAAATTCGGCCACTCGCCAAAATACCTTGCGCGCCAAACCGGCACCCCAGCCTTGACCCTCGCCCTGCACACAACACACATCGTCAGTCACCAAAGTCCTTTATCTCTCTTTCTTCAAAACAGAAACACAAAGGAAATACTCACGCAGCCCCCCTCGCCCCCGGACACGTCGCCAAATTCCGCGTAATCGCATCCACCGCGCTCTGGTTGGGCGCCGCGTCGCCCTCCGGCAACGACACGAGCGTCGCGCCCTCGTTGTCGACCTGCGCGATGAGCGTCGGCACGTGCGCGAACAAGCCCTGTTCCTGCCTCTCTTCGTAATCGGCAAAGTTCGTCAAGCCGTCGGCGGCCGGCGTGAAGGACAGGGCGCGGCCGCCGTTGGCGGTGGCGTTGTACGTGTTGAGCACGGCGATGATGTCTGCGGCGTCGGCTTGCTGCATGCACGCGAGGACTTCGTCATCGGATGCCGTGGTGGTGGAGCAGCCGATCTGCTCGGCGACGTAGGTGAAGTTTGTGCCGGCGGCGTCGATTTTGGTGAGGCCCGAGTCGGCGAGGCCGGATTGCGCGATGAGGCCGCTGACGAGCGGGTCGGTGGGGTAGGCGTAGGCGTATTTGTCGACGGACATGCCGCTGGGTACATACGGGTCAGTGGATCTAGGGACGGTTGGGGCGTGGGAAAAAGAAAAACTTACCCGGCAGATTGGCCGAACAGAATCATGCGGTCAGGGTCGCCGCCGAACGCGCGGATGTTCTGCGACACCCACTCGACGGCCTTGCGCTGGTCTTCGAGGCCGGGGTTGAGGTGCTCGCCGTTCAGGGCTGCGGCGTTGGGGAAGCCGAAGATGGTGATGCGGTAGCTGCCCGGGATGTGGTGAGCAACATACGTGCGCGTGGTCGAGGATCGGGGAGGAGCAAGGGAGAAAAAAAAAAGAACTCACTTCAAAGCCACCACGATGACATCCTGGTGGTCCCTGACGATGTTCGTTCCGTACTTGTACGGCGACGCGGAGCCTCCTCCAGTGAAGCCGCCTCCGTGGATCCAGATCATGACCGGCAGCAGCTCACTTGATGCATTGAGCGCCCGCGGCGCCCAAATGTTAAGCGACAGGCAATCCTCGCTCTGCGTCTGTCCGGGGGTCAGGAGGAAGCCGGGGAGGTACTCCGTGTAGACGGTCTCCGTGCCGGTGTCGAGCTGGATGCATGACGAGCCGAACTTGGTGGCATCGATGACGTCTGTCTCGGGCAGCTTGGTGACTGGGGGACGGAAGCGCGCAGTACCGACGGGCGGCTCGGCGTAGGGGATGCCGCCGAAAAAGCGGACGGTAGTGGTGTTGTCTGCGAGCTTGCCTTGGACTTTGAAGAGGTTTGTATCCACCAACAGATCCGAATTGGCTACCCGAGTGTGCGCTGAAGGGAGCGCTGCGGCCAGGGACTGAGCCAGGAACAGGCCAGCGAGGGAACGCATTTTGGGAAACATGAGGATTGACAGGGGCAACAAGGACGCGGGATGTCTGGCTCCAAGCACCCACTTTTAAATGGAGCCGGGTAATGGTAGAGGCTGATTGCATCGAGTAGATGTCGGAAGATACGAGGAAGAACGCTTTGCCCGCATCGAACCCGCATGCATAGTTCCTCGGTACCTGACTTAATGTCGGGGAATTCGGCACTTCGGTCTGGGGTAATTAAACAAGATCCGAAATGTGGGGGGCAGCTTGCGGGGAAACAATTGCATTGAGGTAGGAGTGGCGATCATCTGGTAAATGCTTACCCGGAATCCGATTCCTCGATACAGGATTGACGTTTGTTTTGGGTGCCGACTTGGCATTGCTTGACCATGTGGGACATCGCGCTAAATAACGTTTAACGAAGGATTCGTCCGGTTATCTCAGGCAGAAAAAATTCGCAAACATGATGCAAAGAATACAACATGAAGAATGCACCATATGTTTGGATAGTACAAGTATTCAATGGCCTATTGAACTTCAGCTTGTCTTTCTTTCATCTACACGTCGCTTACCTCTCTGAAAACCCCTGCGTATAGACCAAACGAAAGGAATAGAAAAATGAGAAAGAGTAGAGAGTATTTCGCACGCCTCGACCTTCCCAAACCAGCCAAAGTCACCCCCTACTTCTTCACACAAACCAAAAACAGCCTCGGAAACCTCAATAACACACTCCCATCCTTCAACGGCGGATACGCCTCCCTCACCTTCTCCAAATACACCCGCTCAAACCTCTTCCGCTCCTCCCCCTCCTCCAAACCCTCCAAATACGGCCTAAGCCCACTCTCCCTAAACCAATCCAACACCCCCTCCGCCCCCTTCTCCAACCGATGATTATACACCGTATGCCACACATCCACCCGCTCACAAAGCGGCAGCAACTCCTCCACCAACACCCTCGGCTCCGGGAACGGCGACCTCCCGACCTCCGCCACCCCCAGCTCCTTCGCCGTCTCCGCCATCAGCATGTGGCTCGGCTCGCGCACGTTGTCCGGGACCTGCATGGCAAAAACCCCACCACTACTCTTCAGATGGCCGCCGACCCAGCGCTTGATCGCCGGCAGCAATTCGGCGTCGGGCAGCCAGTGCAGCGCCGCGTTAGTAAAAAACAAATCGACGGGCCCGTCGTCGGCAGCGGGCTCGTACGTGCGCAGGTCGCCCTCGACGAAGGTGGCGCTGGGCAGCACTTTGCGCGCTTTCTCGAGCATGTTCGGGCTGGAGTCGACGCCGGTGATGCGCGCGCCGCCGGCGCCGGTGCCGTAGCGCTCGGCGAGGAGCGCGGTAGAGTTGGCCGGGCCGCAGCCGAGGTCGATGATGCGCGAGGAAGAAGAAGAAGAAGAAGAAGAAGAAGAAGAAGAAGAAGAAGAGGGGAGAGGCGGGATGGCGGCGAGCAGGTCGCGGGCGGGCCGCGTGCGCTCGTCGGCGAAGCGCAGGTAGTTGGCGGCGTTCCAGTCCAGTGTGGGGGCCGAGGATGATGACGACATCGTGGCTCGTGGGGCGGTTGACAGTAGGAGGGTTTTGGAGATGGTGTGGATGATGCGAGGGCGGGCGGAAGTGGTCGGGCGGAGGAGGAGGGGTATCATTGGACGAGGGGCAATGGTGGAAAGATGCTTCCTTACTTTATGGCTCTTGGGATGTGGATTGGCGGGGTGCAAAAGAAAGCTTGTGTTCAGGTACGAATGTGGGGATGACGCGGGGTTTTAAGCTAGGATGTTTCGACGCGAGTAAGGTACCCTTGCAGGCGCATCCTTCCGACGTAAAAGCTTGCGAGGTCTGCAGGTCTGGTCTGCAGGTTTGCAGACTCCACCGTAAGAGTCATCTCGGGAAGATATGACGTCTCTCCGAACGCTTATGATTGTGAGCAATCAGGAAGGTGATTTCAGTAGCTGTAATACTTCTTTTTTTTTAAAAAAAAAAAAAGAAAAGAAAAGAGCTCGGAAAAATTGATTGGTTGCTACCACTCTATCCTTGTTCATGACACCGCTTTTAGAAAGTGGGATAGATGGCGCGGAAATAAAATAAATGCTACAAAAGGGGGTGAACATCTGAACTCATTGTCGGATACATCCGAGTCAGTCGGATCCTACCGGCCGCCAACATTCGGCTTACCAAGCTCCCTTGCCGTCACTTCTTGATAGACGGAGATTCTTTTCCGTGAACTATGATTTCCTTGATATTTCGGATATCTAAATTAGACGCCGTCATGATGAGAAGCGAGCACCTCATGTCCATACGTGGAGTTTCTATTGTTTTCCCTTTCGAGTGCTACACATAACACCTGCAGCCTCCAGGGGGGTTTCCGTAGCTAAGGAAATGGGCTGTAGATGATCCAGCCTCAAACTCAGCCTAAGACCTGGATGTTTAGCCTGAGGTACACTACGGATGGCATTGAAGACTGTCACAAGTGTTTTCACTCTATAGACTCCTTCGAGATGTGCCCACTGTACAGACTTCGTACGCTACAGCACAACGAAGCTCATCCTGATTCCGGTCAGCGGGAGCAGCTTTTCACATGGCCGTTGCAAGAGATCATGCAAGCGCGCATTCTCAGAGCCTGTCAATTTGAATACTGCTACTAGGGTGCGGGTCAATGATAGGACGCTGAGGGATGTAACGGGAGTTTACAGCCGAAGGCTGGTGTGAGGAATAGAGAACAATTTTCTTTACACACACACACACACACACACACACAAAAAAAAAAAAAAAATACAATATGTAGATAGTTGAAGCTATCGTCCGGACACGAATGTATTATTTTTAATTCGATATTTGCGTCCGGGCGATGGCTTCAACTACCCCCGACATGAACAAAACCTGGACTTTTGACACCCACAAACAGAAAAAAAAAAAAAAAAACGAGTGATCGACATCCGCGCCGGCCTGTCCCTGCAGCGGAACATAATGGCCGGTGGATCACTTCAGAAGCTTCATGCACCCCATAGCATACCGCAATTCCCATCACACGATGGTGGATGCTGAGAGGATTTCGCATGACCGAGCTGCGTATCATCAAGCAGGTAGACATCACACCTCAAACCACCCACCTACCCAATCCATCACAACGGGCGATCACAGCATCTTGCAGATATGATATTTTCATTCCGCTCCACTACCAGAAGACGAGTATCGCAACCAAATAAACAACAAAAAAAAAAGGACAAACAATCTTAATGGATCTCTTATCTCAACCGTCATAATGAATCCTCACTCCATGATGGATATGAATGTGAATTCAATCAGTTGCAGAAAAGAGGACGACAAGGAGTCCCACATCTCATCATCAATGTCCCACGACCCACCACCACACAAGCCAACAACCACAGCCGGAGCTTTTTTCCAGATCCCTTTTTTCAGCAGAATGAAGAATCAAACTCAATGTAAAAAGACACACTTTCTTTTTCTCCTACCCATTCTTCACACCAATCTCTCTTTTTACTCCTCCTCAGTTCTTATCCTTAACAAGCTCCAAAATAATGTCCCTCGCCTGCTCGACGCCCTCGCGCGAGCCGACAATCTCAATCGCCTCGTTGCCATCGCCGCCGCGTGGAACCTGGACCCTGGTGCCCGTCTTCTTGCGGATGCTGTTGATCTGGCTACCACCAGGACCGACGACGTACCTGTAGAGCTTGGGGTCGGGGAGGATGAGGTAACCGGTGCACGACGGCTTGCTCTTCTCTTCCATGGCCTTCTCCAGCAGGGCCTTCGCCTTGGCGACGTTCTCGGGGTTGCTCGAGCGGAGGATCCACGGGATGTTGCCGTCCTCACTGTCGTCCGAGGCAGGCAGGTTGTCGACGATGTCCCAGGCGTGCGCGTCCTTGGTCGACGACGGGTCGTCGGTGATAAGGGGCGCGTTGCTGCCGGCGTTGGCGCGGATGTTGCTGGCGCCGGCGGTCGTGGGCTTGGGCGGGGGCTGCTGGCCGGCGTGGTCGACAGTGACGCGGAGGTCGTTACGGAGGCGGCGGAAGAACTGGCCGTTGTCGGAAACAGCGTGGTGGAGACGCCTGGGGACCTGGACGGTCTCGCCCTCCTGCTCCTTGATCATGCTGGCGATGTGCTCCTTGGCCTTCTCGACATCCTGAGGCTGACCGACGATCTTGACCTGGCTGCGAGCAGCACCAGTGGCAGTCTGCTTGGGAACATCGACGGTAACCTTGAACTGGGACTCCAAGTTGCGACGAGTCTCACCGCCACGGCCGATGAGCATACGGTGCTTCTCAGGAGCAACCTCGATGAACTCGGTGACCTGGCTGTCGCGCGTGCTGACGAGGCCTTCGATAGCAGCGACGATCTTGTCAACGACAGCAGCGTTGCCCTCGACGCGGATCGTGTTCTCCTCAGACTCGGCACGGGGGAAGCGAACCATGCGGGCAAGCTCACGGCGGTCATCGGGGCCACCAGCGTTGATGACGATGTCGCGGATGTTGGCACCTAGACCTTTGATTAATATCGGAGGATACCCTCAACATAATAGTCTGAAACTTACCGCCAGCACCAATCAGAGCCTTGTGGTGCTTCTTGTCAACCTCGATCGTGCGCACCACAGTTTCGTCGAATGTCTTGGCCTTCTGCTCAAGGAGCTTCTTAGCATCCTCGACCTGCTTCTTGGTACCCTTGATCTTGATGTCAGCGCGTCCCGAGGCATCGGCGACTTCACGAGCGTTAGGAACGTCGATCTGAGCACCAGTGCTGGCACGCAGAGCATCCATCTCGCGACCGCCAGCACCAATAAGGGAAGGAATCTGGCTTTGGGCAACGGAAACGGTAGCGGTGTGAGAGTTGTCAATCGTATACTGGTACAGCTCGAGAAGCTCGTCACGGGCGGCATCAGCACCCCTCTTGGGACCCCTGATGATGACCTCATCGGCAGCTTGACGACGGTTGTGGTGCGAAGCCTCAGTACCAGCGTCGGCATCGTCGGCGGCGGCGGCAGCAGAGCGAGGGAAGTTGATTCGGACGTTGTAGCGGTCCTGAAGACGGTTGACCTGGTTACCCTTGCCACCGATGAGATCACGGTGGTACTGGGGCTTTATCTTGAGGACGTAAGTAGCTTCGTCCTCAAGCTTCTTGCCAAGAGCGATGATGTGAGCCTTGGCAGCGTGAGCCTTGGCCTGGGGACCCTTGATCTCGACCTTGCCATCCTGGACCTGGATGTCGACGTCAAACTCGTCGCGAAGCTTCTTGATGTTCTCGCCACGCTTGCCAATCAGAATGTTGGCAAACTTCTGAGGGTAGTCGAAGGTGATGGTGTAACCACGCTCGAGCTCATCCTTCTTCTCCTGCTCAATGAACTCCAGGATCTTCTGGGCAAGCTCGTCAACGTTCTTGTTAGGTCCACGGATGTAAACATTGTCCCTGTTGGCACGGGAAGCCTGGGGCCTGGCATCACCGAAAAGCACTTGCAGGGGAATCTGGTCCTGGGGAAGACCCTGTTGCTCGCGGTCGACGTAGCGGCGAATCTTGTCGTGGAACCTATACGAGCTGCATAAGTCAGTCAATTGACGGGGTTCAAGTTCGCTAAACTTACTTCTGCGGAGCCTCAACATCACGGCCGACAATCTGCTCCTCGGAGTTGATGAGGGAAAGGAGCTGCTTCTGAGCCTCTTGCAGAGCACGCTGGAACGCCTGGACGTCCTGCGCAGAGGGCTGACCACGAGGGAACTGGTACTCGGAGGGAGAGCTGGGGCCCTCGTACACAAGGACAAGATGAGGCGACTCGGCACCCTCGGGGAAAAGCAGGTGCACGCCCTGGTCCTTCCTCAGGTTCTGAGCAGCGCGCTGGCGCAGATGCTGGTGGTAGAAGGGGTCGACGTTCACGTTGCTGAACCTGCTCGGCGGGTGGCTGCTGATCAAGTTCATGATATCCATACGGGCCTTCATGCCGTTCTTAGCGTCGCGCGAGTAAATCTCCCATGCGGTAGGGCCATCCTGCGAGGTGGGGAGCACAATGCTGGCATCGTGCATACGCTCAAGCTCAGCAATAGCCTGGCGCTGTCTCAGGTAGCGGGTAAGATCGCGAGCGTGGGCTTGCGAGTTAGCGTGTTGACGGGCGATATCGACGTTCGTGCTCTGCATGGAAGTAGCCAGGTCCATAACCTTGTTGATACCGCTCTCAAGCTTATCAGCAGGACCGACAATGGTGAGCATTTCGGTGTCATCGTGGCTCGGAGGCAGAATGACGGCACATCCGGTCTCAGCGAGGAAGTCGTGGAGAGAACCGCCGCGCTCGCCAATAATGAACTGATGCCTGCCACGCTCAATGGGCATCTGGTTGATAGAGAGCTGACGACGGAGTTCCTCGACCTGGCGCTCGATCTCAGCACGAGCTTCGTTGGCAGCGGCGCGGTCACCAGAGATGGAAATCGGGTAAGCGGCCTGGGGAGCGAACGGCACGGGCTGGCCGGCAGGAGTAGGCTGCGGGGGAGCCTGCTCGGCCCAGGTCGTGTAGTGCGGAATCTGGACGCGGACATCGCGACCGCCCTCGTACGAATCGATGCGCGAGTTGTGCGGGCCGGCCAAGAAGGGGTAGTACTCGGCGGGAATATCCTTGAGGCGGAGGTTGACGGTAGACGTGCGCTCATCGACGATACGCTCGATCTCCTGCTTGGCCAGAGCCGCAGCGACGGTGTCACCCTCAATGACAACGTCAATGGTCGCGCTGTCGTCCTCCTCGAAAGAACCAGTCTCCTCCTGCTTGGGAACCTGTATGCGGGCGCCGGTGCGCTTGCTAATACCCTGGATGGTGGCACCCTGGCGGCCAATGACGTGAGCGCGTATCGAGGCGGGGATGGTGACCTTGGTGGTTTGCTAATACTTTGTCAGCACATGACCGCTTCCCGTAATTGCGGCGGCTTACCTTGGAACCAAGCTCCTTGGCAACCTCCCTCAGAGCAGAGCGGACAGCATCAACGGGACCAGTGCCCTGGAAGACAATGTTGCCCATGTTACCGGGCTTCATCTCAACCTTGGCCTTGGACCTCCTGTTGATGTCGCGGATGACGTCGGCCATGGGCTTCTTCTGCAGCTGGCGCGGGATCATTTGAGAGGGGGCGAGCGAGATGGACTCGACATAACGGCCGGGCAAAGTCATGGTCTGAGGGCCCGGGCCGCGAACCGAAGGCGTGGTAGGAGTCGCAATCCCAGAGGCGGGGGTGGACGCGCGCGAGGTACCATTGCTAGCAGCGGCGCCATTGACACCGTTGGCGCTGACCGAGGCAGGCTTGCGGCCCCAAGCAGAAGACACGGCAGCGGGAGTGTGAGCCTTGGGAGCGCCCAAGCCCGGGAACATCTCCTCAGAAGCAATGTTTATGGGCGGGTTGGCGGGCGACTTCTTGGGAGTCTCAACATCCTGGGCCTTCTGCTTGCCCTTCTCAGAGGGAGCGACAGAGGGCGCAGGATGAGCGAGGTCATCCTCATCGGGGACGTCCTCAACGGTCGGGCGGTGGGATTCCTCCTGGGCCAGACGGGCCTCCAGCTTCTGGGCCGGGGTCTGGCTATCTCCGTTGGTGGAAGCCTCAGCAGCCATAGTGAACCAGATCCGATGCCGGGTGTACGACGACAGTGACGACGGGACGGGGGAGGAGGGCGACGAGCAGGCTTGTCAGAGCGGTGGTGGAGGTCTGGGATGTTAGCGAGGAAAAAAAAAGAGTGGGAGCGTGGCACGTACATTTGACTGGAAAGGGTGGGCGAGGGCGGAGGACTCGAGGTGGCGGAGGAGCGGGCGGAAGTAAGGCACGGGCGGGCAGGAGATTGGCGTGATAGTGTTGCGGGCTATGCGGTTGCCATGCTCCGTCGGGGTGCGGACTGGGAGAGCGAAGGGTTGCACACGAGGCTGATGGCGCGATGGTCGGTGAGGGCGAGCGGGCGAGGTGAGCGACGAAAGTTCGAGCTCAGGTGGCTTCTTGCCCGCCATTGGCTGGACCCTCGAGATCCCCAGATTCCGCCCCCGGTCGCGCCAAACACGGCCTTCGACCGCACCAATGGGTGCGCCGCCGCTGCGGCAAGAGCCTCGTGCCTGCAATTGAAACCGCGCACACCTGGCATCTGTGCAATTTACCTCGAGAGCGCCCTCGTGCTGTGCGACGCGCTGGGGAATTTCCGCACACGGGCCACAGGAGTCGCTGCGCGCTGGGTTGCTGCAGCCGGCCGCACATGGACCGCGGCCCCGCCCGCCAACGAACGCCTCGCTGCCCTCACCTCACCTCTCGCGACCGCCGACATGCTTCCGGACCCCGCCACCGCCTCCAAACCAGATTGCACTTGTGAAATCGGCTAATAGATGTTGCCCCTGAACACTTGAATCCACCTCTTGATGCTGCTCGGAGCCGGCAGCTATGCTCGGCCGCAATCTTCCGCGGGAATTTTTTCCCAACATCTCGTTGCCGCTGAATGCCTCGAGACGAGACCGGCGGTAATGATGGCGATGTGCTGTCTAGCTCGCATCGGCAAAGCTACAGCCACAGCGAATGCAAAAGAGCGCACGTGGTCTCAGCTCTGTCCCGCTGAACTTCATGGAGCCCACTTATGGGTGACTGAAGTGCCCGTGTGGATGTGTTGGTGCAATATCAAGGTCTACATCTATACATGAATGTTTTGATTTCGGTGCCAATGCAGAGAAATTCCATTCGTCTTGAGGACATGAACGAGGACGGAGACCGATCGAGCTCTGCCAACACAATGACAGGCGTTCCCAAGAAGCAACCTCCGTCTCGAGCCGCCAATCGCAAGGACTCGCTATAACGTCCACATACGGACATCTTCAGCCTCATTTCGCGGCCTCGTAGTGGATTTAGAAATTTTGAATCTTCTATCCCACGAAAGGCGTTGCACTTTTTATGTAGGCAGCTGCAGCAAATATCCGGACATAGATGTGAGGCTAACCACTAATTCTGACCTTGGATACCCATGCGCTGGCGTCATTTTGCTTGCGAGAAAGTTTCATAGATGTCAAATGCTGGAGTACCAGGAGTAATCCATGACATTCGCCTCTCTTCTGCCAGTCATTTCCTGTTTGCAAATTACCAGTTCATCACTTTGCAGCATATCCGCGCTGCCTGCGGGTGTTCCCCTGCGCACTTCATAAAATTTCTGTCACATGCGGTGGCCTCTGGCCGTGCCTGCCTTATTGCGCAGTCATCCTTCCGCGCTTTCCCGTTTTGGTGCCCCATCGGAGGCGGCAGATATTTCTGCTACACCTTGTCGCTGTCTTCCTCGCCTCCACACCCTCCTTCGTTGCGACGCACCTCAATCTAACCGCAGCGGAACACCATGGCCGGCGGAAGAAGTACGAGGAGAGCCAAGGCGGACCAGGCGTCCGACCCGCCTGCTGGAAACACCACAATCGATGGCCACGAGCAAACCGTAAGTGAAGCAACCCGTAAGTGAGACGCCGCCTCAGCTAACGCGTCGGACGAAGAAGCAACACGCCGCGGGCTCCTCCAATCACTCGGTGGACGCCCATGCCTCTGCGAAGCTGGACTCTCTTCAGAATGACGGCATCCGTTCTCTTCTCAACGTTGTTGATAAGCTGCGCCATGTTGGTCTTACTGGTGTCCTTTCACTTCCACAACTCGTCGTTTGCGGCGATCAGTCTTCCGGGAAAAGCTCAGTCCTTGAGGCCATCACTCGAATTCCTTTTCCGCGCAACGCAATGCTCTGCACTCGTTTCGCCACCGAGATTGTCCTTCGCCGTGAGGCCAAACGATCCATTACCGCCAAAATCATTCCTGGCGATGCTCAGTCTTCTGCGCGCTCCGACGAGCTCTCGCGCTTTGAGAAGTCGATTACAGACTTTTCGAAGCTTCCGGATCTCATAAGCGAAGCCACAACGCTCATGGAACGCGCTGGCTCTGGCGATTCTTCGCACTTGAAAGCTTTCTTCGCCGACATGCTCAGCATTACAGTCTCGGGACCCGACTCGCCTCCACTCGCTCTTGTGGATCTCCCTGGACTTATCCACTCTGAGACGAAGACCCAGAGCAAGAGAGATGTGGAATTCATCAATGCCCTTGTCTGGAAGTACATCAGCAACCCACGCTCGATTATCTTAGCCGTTGTCTCCGCCAAGCATGACTATGCGAACCAAATCATCTTACAGAAGGCTCGCGGTGTCGACCCCAAAGGATTCAGAACCCTTGGAATCATCACCAAGCCCGATTGCCTTGAGGAAGGCTCTACTGATGAGCAGGTCTGGACTGCGCTTGCTCAGAACAAGGACATCCAATTTGAGCTGGGTTGGCACATGCTCAGGAATCGGACGCAGGCGGAATCTATTTCAACCTTTGAAGAGCGTGATATCATGGAGAAGGTATTCTTCGAAGGCAGGCCCATCTACAAGAACATGGACAAGAAGACTCTCGGTATCAGTGCTCTATGTGAGCGCCTCTCACACTTGCTCTTCGCTCACCTCAAGAGCGAGATCCCCAAACTGAACAAGGAACTGAACGAAGAGCTGGTCAAGACTTCGAATCGTTTGGTCACCCTGGGAGAGCAGAGGTACAGAATGTCTGACATCCGAGCATTCCTAATGAAGTCCAGCACGAAGTACAACACCATTCTCGCTAACGCTCTGAGTGGTAACTACAACGACGACTTTTTCCGTAACGACACCAACCATGTTTCCACGTCGGAGGCTGTCAGTTACACGAAGCTCCGTGCCGCTATCCAGTACCATAATTCGCAGTTTGCGAAGCTGATGCTAGTGTTTGGCTCAAAATACAAGTTCAAAGGCGTTCCCTCCGAAGTCCTGGACATTATTGGCAACGAGGATAACATGGACATCGACGGCGAACTTGAGTACTTGCCATATGCGAAGAGGCTCCAGAAGTCCAAGACACACAGCGAAGCCGTCGTCTGGGTTCGTGGTAAGATGCAGTCATCTCGCGGCGAGGAGCTCCCTGGTAGTATCAGCGCGACTGTTCTGAAGGAGCTCTACTGGGAGCAGACGGCCAACTGGGAGATCATTACGGTGAAGTACATTGAGGTCATTGCGAAGCATGTTCAGGACTTTCTAAAGAGCCTAACTCAGCATGTTATGCCCGCCGATGTTGTAGAGCGGATTTTGGAACGAAAGATCTCACCGAACGCAGCTTCGCACAAGCGCAATGCCATCGACGAACTGAAACGCATGGCTACCGACAACCGTCGCGCACCAATGACGTACAATCATTACTTTACTGACACTATCCAAAAGCTACGTCACCAGAAGATGATGGGTAGGGCCAAGGGCATCGTCAACTCCATGAACTTCGGCACGTACGGTCAAAGCAAGGTCGACACTGACGTTTTCCTCAAAACCCTCGAGCAGGAACTCGTTGAGCCGGACATGGAGAAGTTCACGGCGGAGGAGGCTCTCAACTGCCTCATGGCGCTGTACAAGGACAAGCTCAAGAACTTCATTGCCGAAGTCACCGAGCAGGTCATCGAGCGTCACCTCGTGGCGCCCCTACTCGACTCGCCCATCTCTCAAGTCGCCCTCGTAAAGCTCTCGGAGGACGAGGCTCGTCAGCTTGCTGCTGAGCCCAAGCATGTCAGCAACGAACGTACCCGGCTGTCGACGATCAAGCGCAGCCTGGAGACGGGCAAAGACGCCTTTGAGCGTGCGCTGGTCCAGTTTGACTAGCCAGATACAGATATCCCAGTCCCACGTTTGGGTCAGGTCATTCACAAATGGGACCGTTTCAGGTCACCAGATGGATTGAGAGGTTTCAGACACCTACAAGAGATCGGGAGATTCTAGAATCTTAGATAGATTTTCTCCATCTGGATAGATGTGTCCAATTCCAGTCCTCACATCTACAAGCCTACATTTGCCTCAGTGAAACAAGAGTGTAGCATCTTTCTCAAGAAGATAAAAAAAACAATCTCCCTGCAATCCGCCGTGACCACCATGCCGTGCCATACAACCACAAACCCCCTGCCTCCCCCCTCCGCCCGCCAACCGAGGGCGGTGAGTGCGTGAACCAACCCCATCCCACGCCCAGCACCTCCCCTAGTCCCAAAACACGCCACCACCAGCACCACCATCCCCCTTTCCGGCATTCCCCAGATCTAGATCCACCCCCTTCCCCCTACCTCCCCACAATCACGTAAAACGGCAACCTTAGCGCCTCCCGTCCTTCTAGACCCGGGTTCTATTCTGCACCGCCACGATCCATAATATTGACTCGGCTAAATATAGCCCCATGTCCTTCCCACGACCCCCGTTTCGAAACCCTGTCGATCCCACAAGGGTCCTTCCGCTGCCAGGCAATGACCCGCATGAAATGATGAACGCGAGACGAAAGGGCAAAGAGAACCGATATTGGGTGGTGGCTGCACGGACAACAGGGTCCCCGTGGAGGTCATAGCTCCCAGCTCTCGAATCTCGTTCTGCTGGATGTTGTTGATGCTCCTGCTTTTGCATTGCTTGCTACCGAGCTCGGTAGGCTATTGGCCCTATTTACGGTGGAGAGAAATGGGGTCCCGCTGAGGAATTCAATTGTGGCTTTATGCCGTTTGCAGCCGGGCTCTGCGATCCCCATAGTGACTGGATTGGGCGCCTGCAACGCTGCTGTATTGCAATCCACAGCGCCAACGTCCAAAACGGCGCGAACGGCCCATAGTTTCGAATTGAGATGAGCGCAACAAAACACCAAGTCTGGTCAACAAACACACAAATGTCCAAAACGCGTTTCTTCTTTCCCATTTCGCGGAGAGGAGGGGTATCTCGCCGTTCTACGTACATACAACATACCAAAACAGAGCGCATTAGCCATGCTGCTACTTACAAAGGGAAGTTTGATTGTACGTTGCGGCACACGCGCGATGATAAACGCGAAAAGGAAAAACGCACAACATAACCGGTGACGGACTATGCAATGCAATGGTAAAAGGAAACAAGAAACACAGAGAGACGGCGATGGCCACACGCAGACGATGGCGCTGGAAAAGGAAATGTAAATGCAAAAACAAAAAGACAAAACCAAACAAATACAAAATAACACAACAGCGAATAAAAAAACCACCGCGATCTAGTTCCTGCCAGAACGCCGCGCCAAATGAGAGACGAGAAAAGAAACGAGGTAAAAGTGAGAATCAGTCGCTGGAAGACCGAGACATAATGCAAACGGAAGCACAATGTGCCGCCTGATCCCATGCGCCGTTCTGATGCAAAAATGTACAAATGCAGTGGAAGACGGAAAGATTCTAATGAGTGACTGACCCGATTGGCTAACCTGGATTTTGCTGACTGGCATGTACGAGAAGCATATGTACGATATATGTATAATCGCCTGGCTTCTTTATATATGATGTTGTGGCCCTGGCATTGGCTTTATTGGTATCTTTTTCTGGTCGGAGGTAATCAATCTCCGATTAACCTCTCAGAACGTCCTCAAGGTTATCCCAGAATCCCAGATCGTAAATATTCTCGATATCGGCAAGACGCCACACGCGCTGCCAGCTATCCGGGTCGACCATGCCGACGAACTGCGGCGGGCATTCGCGGGGCGGCTCGCCGTCGGCGGTGCGGACGAGGACCTGGCACGGGCTGTTGGGCCAGCGCGTCGTGTTGGTGTGGGAGTGGAAGCAGCTGTCATCGGAGCTGTATCCGCTGTCCGAGGCGGGGGCGTTGCCGGTGGTGGGGGAGCCGTTGGCGGCGGCGCTCTTTTCCTGGTTGTGCTCGCGCGCGATGCGCCGGCCGACTTCGCCGGAGGTAAAGCCGAACTCGGCAAAGCTGTTGGAGGTGGCGCGGGCGCGCGAGTGGGCGTAGCGACCGCCGCGGGTGCTGGGTCGGCCGCGCTGGCCGCTGCCGGGCGAGGAGTCGCTGTTGCGCTCGCCGCCCCACAGCTTGCCAGCGTAGATGTGGCCGTCGCGCATCTGGTCGCGCAGATCCGCCCACTTGCTCGCCTCGTTGGTCGTCATGCCGGCCCAGATCAGGTAGACGTGGTACGCCAGTAAGCCGAGGGGAAGGGGCCAGGTAAGCCCAGCCAGGAGTCCGACGCCCATGACGCTCAAGCCGCCCACTTTGATGCTCTCAACCAGCACCGTGTTCAAGTCCTCGCGGAAGCCCTTGAGGCGCAGCGGCCACGGCGCCCAGCCGCTGAGGAGGCCTGCCGGGAAAGCGTGGTCGTAGTGCGTGAAGCGGTCGTAGACGCGGGGGTAGAGGTAGACGATCAGGGCCAGGTAGGCGCCGTACAGGAGGAGCAAAGTAGTGCTCACTAGTAGCGCGAGGAACCAGCGGTAGTTTTCGCGACCGACGCAATTGTTCACCCAGATGCAGTGGTGATCCATACGAGCCACGCACGTCTTGCAAATCGGGCAGTGCTTGCTACGTGCCGGCTTCGGCAAGCGGCATGTGCGACACGTCATGTTGGGTTGGTATAGGATGTGGTCGTACGGATACGCTTGCATCTGGGCGCTGTGGTTCGCGGCATTGATGATGGTGTTCGGTTTAGTCGTCGCGGCGAGGTAGGTGAAGACATAGGGCCACGGGAGGACGAGCGGGATGAGCAGGCGGTGGTATGCGGGGAGCGAGGTGTAGGTTTGGAAGAGGAACAGGCCAGAGGCGCCGGTGAGAAGGCCGAGGAAGAAAATCTGAAGTTGACTGGGTGTCAGCTGGCGCCCGGAGGCTTGCACTCTCTGGGCAGGCGACTGCACGGCAGTGGACACGTACGATGACCAGGGGATGCTTCTCGTAGAGTAGATAATGCCAGGTGCGGGTAGTGTACTTGTAGATCCGGCCGCCGGTTACGAGGCCGTCCAGACGGCGCAACAGCGCGGGGAAATGCACCCAGATCAAGCGGTGCAGGAAGCCTATGGGGGTTTTGCTGCAGACGGAAAATTAGAGAGGCAGACGAGGTGTTGACGTTGCACGCACCGGAAGACGGGAAGACGGCCAAAGAAGACGGTGAAGACTAGGAAAGAGAGAGCCGCAACGGCGATGACGATATGCTGCAGCGGACCCTCCATGATAGCGGCATGGAGCGGGGAGCTGCTGCGCGCTGTGGGGTTCAAAGCATGCGCATGACGGGGAGTCGTCCGGGATGGTCAGCAGCGAGTTGATGAGGCTCAGGAGAGGCTGCGCAACGGAAACGCGCGGCTCATTTTCTGGTCGGCTAGTCCGGGAGATGGGCGCGCCTGGTGGAGCAGAAAGCGCCTGCACCGCCGCAACCAGCCCGGCTCGCAAGGAGGAGCACTAAGCTTGGTCGCCGCACGGAGCCTGCCCGGCGCCGTCTCGGCAAATCGCAATGAAGTCCGTCGCGTCATTTCCCGACGCGTCCCCCGCATCCACACCATCGCGTTTTGACCACCGCGGCGCCATGCTCGTCATAACCGATGTCAGCCGCGAGCCGCCAGTCTACGGCGACCTGTTTGCGGGCAAGAAGTTCTGGATTGCCCAACGCGTGCCCTCGCGCAACGACTTTGTCAACCGCGTCAAGTACAACGGCGGCCAGCTCGTCGCGCTCGAGAAACACGCCGACTACCTGATTGTCGATCACCTCCGCTCCGAGTTGCCCTCCGGCGGCATCTCCTACCGCTTTATCGAGAGGTCAATTCAGCACTCAGAACTCCAGGACCCTAGCGAGTTCCATTGCGGACCGCCTGCCAATTCTGTCCGCGAAGTTGGCTCTTCGCGGCCGGCCCATCGTGGACGCATCCCCTTCACCGCGGAAGATGACAATGAGCTCTACGCTTGGGTCAAAGGCTGCGAGGCTCGCGGCTGTGCAGTCAAGGGCAATGAGATCTACAAGGACTTCGAGCAGAGGGTGCGCCCATGCCAACACCTCACTCTGAGTTGGCTGCACCACTAACACGCGCAGAATAACCGTCACACCTGGCAATCATGGCGCGACCGCTGGGTGAAAGTCCTCAGCACAAAGCCTCCTCGAACCGTTGCCGCCAATCCTCCGCCGTCGCCGCCCTCCGATGTCCAGCCCGTTCAATCCTCCCGCCGGGCTCTCAGGAACACTGCATTATCTCCATCCAAATTGGCAGCGCTCAAACTCGCCGAATTCGACGTCATCTTCAGTTCCGCAGAAACGGTCATGGAGGTTCCGTACGGACGTCTGGAGGAGGCTTGGGCACAGTTTAGCAATAAAAACCCAGCACATTCGGGCGAGGACTGGGCAAGATACTTTGACGCATTAGTCAAACCAATCTATGCGGACCTGGTCAAGAATCCAGCTCGTGGGGAAGCTTACGATGAGGCTTGGACAGAGTGGGAAGAGGTGAATGGTGAAACTGCGACTGTCACCGACTGGATTGAGTATTACAGAAATCATGTTCTTCCGAACTTCCCTCCGCCCATCTCAGATGCCCCGGAAATCAAGAGGGAACCCGAGGGAGAGGAGCAAGAGAATAAGATTAAAGAAGAAGAGCCCAAGGAAGTCAATATGCATGGACAAGAGCAGTTGCATGCAGATGTCGATCCAGCAGAGCTAGGAACCAGAATTTCTGGGGCTGCAGAGGAAACCCTTGCAACTCCACAAGAACCCTCGTCTGTTGCCCTAGGCAAAAGGCGACGAGAGGATACTAGCCCAGCCCAAGACGGGAGCGCTGTGGCCACACCCTCGCCAAAGCGGCGTCATACCAATGTTCAAGATTCATTGGGTTCTATTCAGGAGAGCATTGAGGCGTCACCGAACAAGAAATCCCCAACCAAAGCTGCCCCAGAGACTCGTTCCAACGCGTCCTCGAGTCCACGCTCATCACGATCGGCATCGCACACCCCTCCCGCAAAACCACAGCAAGATTCATCTCATCCAGAGTTTACGGTCTATGACGAAGGCCAGGATGGCTCGGGAAGTCAGCCGGATGAGCTCCGCGTTCGGGAAGCTTTGGAACATCTGACTGAGGGACAATTGTCCGATTTACTAGATGACTACAGAGCTCTTCCTAACGCACTACAAGAGCAAGACGGCGTGGCTCTGCAGGATGCTGTTGTAATGCATACAATGCATGCTATCAATATGAGTCAAATCGAGGAGAGTCAGGGCGTGCAAGCTGTTATGGATGTGTTTAAGAAGCTCGAAGACCTTGGTGTTATGGAGAAGCTTCAAAATGGTGAGGATGAGAGTGAAGGCGAGAACGATGAGAACGAAGAGCAAGAAGAGCTAGAGGAATCAGAGGAAGAGGAATCGGAGGAAGAAGGACAATGGCAATCGGAGGAAGATGAGGCAGAAGAGGAAGAGGAAGAAGAGCGAGACGAGTCACAAGAAGAGGAGCAGGAAGAATCACAGGAAATAGATCAAGAAGGAAAAGTGGAGCGAGAACAGGAAGACGTGTGGCTAGAGGTTGCTCAGGGAAGCGCTGAGACGGAGAGACTAACAGAAGATGGCACTGCGTCGAGCCCTGCATATACAAGACGGCGGCGTACCGTATCATCCTCCTACAATGACCATGAAAATCAGCGACGATCCACATCCAACTATACCCCTCGACGATCCAGCAAGTTCACGCATAGTCCTCAGCAACAGCACACCCGCCCCACAAGCTCATCTGGTGGCACCGGCTTCACTTCTTTCGAAATGGCCACTGAGCCCACTTATGACCTGACCAACGAAGCTGAGGCTGAAGCCTACATTTCCTCACGCCTTGCGCCTCCCTACAACTTTTCTGAAGAGCACATCATAACCGCTCTTCATGCCACGTGTGCTGTGAGTACGGCCATGGCGGACTCGGTACTCAGGTGGATGCGTGTCAACTCTACGAGCAATTCGAAAAAGGGACGAAGGAGCAGTGTGGGTCTGGCCATGCTGCCCGATGAGCGGGGCGTGTGGACGGAAGAAGATGATTTGGCGTTATTGGAAAACACTCCTTCGGAGAGAAAGCGGTTGGAGGCGAAGCATGGCAGGCAGAGGTGCGTGCGGAGGCATGAGTTCCTTACCGGACTTGAAGAATGAAAAAAAGGATGGGTTGGGGTAGGGGTTTGCATGATCCCTTGATATTTTCGGTTCTTCTTTTTTTGGGGTTTCTTTTTTTCAGCCCGTATAGTCACTGGGCATTGACAGGTGTTCACGGCGTTCAAAAACTTCATCTCTTGGAGAAGCATAAGCTGAGGCGCCTTTTCCTGCATCGATAGATGCTTACCAGTTAATATACCACAAACAGCTATTAGTACAGAATGAATTCGCCGTACCTTGCACAATGTGGGAACGTAGATTTATGTGTGATGCGGATGCTACATCTTCATCGTTGGACGAATGCATTAGGTTCAATGAGGCGCAGCATCCGTCCCATCATTGGTGGTCGATCAAACCCCATGATTTGGGTTGTTCGAAGATGCAGCTGAAACGAAAAATGAAGTCTTTCTACAGCCAAATGTCGATTAACATACGAGTACGCACAAGGAGAGCAGTCAAAATCTCAATGGGATTTCAAAGAACAGTCAAAGCGCAATTTCGTCATAATAGAAGTACTTGCAATCAGTCTTGTTCATAGTCACTTAGTCTGCTGACTACCGTTCTCTTTCGCGATTAGCCCAACATCAGTTCAGGCGTTGACTAAACATCTCGATAAAATGACTCCTCCCAAGGACTGTTCTAGCCCCAGCGAAGATGCAGTCAGCCTAGACTGGGCACCTCGCTTCGGTAAGGTGGCTGCAACATGTGATGCTTTCAGGCGCCCGAGTGGATCAGCCGGCAGCTATAGGTGGCCGCACAGCGATTGCCACATTTCACTCCTGCTTATTGGTGCAGCGTAACAGCCACCGGAACAGATAAATAACCGAGGGCTTTCGAGCTGGCAGACATCTTGGTTTTCACACCTTGGCCCCCACGTCACTTCGATATATGCCTTATCAGCGAGTTACTGTGACTCAAATCAACCTCAAATGTCTAATGTACGTTATCCCAAAAAAAAAAAAAAATAAGGCTTCACAAGAATTTTTTCGATAACATGAATTAGGTCATGCGATGGGGTCCGTCTGATGTGAGTAGATACCAGAGTTAAGGAATGAATGGAATACTAATGAGCTATTAAAGCCGTGGCCACAAGAGTTTATGGAGGAAGATCTAGTCCAGAAGCTTGATGGGCCAAGAAAGAGACTCATTAAGCTCAGAGTCTCAACAGCAAGGTATGAGAATGGCCATTGGGAGTACCAGTTGGTCGATGATGCGGGGAAACTTCATACGGAAAAGGATGGTGGGACAGTGAAGGAATGGTTTAAGGAAATGGAATTAAGACTCGCCTGATGCTCTGCTACGGCACAGGGTCATCAAATGTCGGATTCGTATACGGAAAAGATTGAGCGCTTATTCACGCTCCGCATTCGATCAGGTTACACAGCTTAACGACTCTTCATGCAAGCCGCCAATTTTGATCACTTAGCTCGTGAAAGATACGAGAATTATCAGGGTGAGCGTCATTTGTAAGCCACTTAGAAGCTTCACATAAGAAACATGATCTCAGCCTTGTAAGAAAGCAGTCTTTTCTTGAGAGTCTCCCGTCAACTTTCATTCTCGTAGCTTCTTCAGAGCTTGCTTTGTCTTCAGAACTCCCGTGCAACACAACTCGAAATGAACGGTATTATTGGTAATCCCAGCAAAAATACCAACAGTAAGATAGACCTAATCATACTCTGCGAGGTAAGCCTAAATAGCTGACAACATCCTCAGAGCCATGGATGAGGCATTTTAATTTCAGTTCGGGCCGACCGAAGGAACACCGGAAGACTGAAACGAGAAGTTGTAAGTCATCGATAATCTTATTTCAAACTTCATTTCTAAAACAAAACAGTAGAAAGCTTGGCTGGATATGCAAAGCTTGCCGCGTTCCAGACAGGCCAACCGAACTTTTCCATATACCGAGGTTTCAACTATCTATATGGAAGAGTACTCCTTGAGCTACAGTATGAAATCACCAGCTTGGAGCAGAAACTCGATGATTGCGACAGTTTTGATATGATGGACGAGCATCGAAAACTCCTCCTCTCGTCGATCAATCGGGATACTCGAAACGATCTTCAAAGCACCCACCCAATTCTTGCAGACTTACCTCATCCACAGGATACTGCAAGGTCATCACTTTCAGATCCATCTGAAATTTCATCACTTCCACAGCATCCTGAAAGTTCATCACTTCCACAGCCACCTAAAAGTTCTAGTCTCAGTGCCTCCGCGCAGTCCACTCCTCAAGAGGACTACGAGCCTCCTTACCAGAGGCGGGAGATTTTAGAACAGCTGAAGAAGAAGCTGAAGGATTATGGTACGTATTACGTCTTTACCTGTGGCTTTTCGGACTGATACAGATCAACCTCAGGTGATCTTTTGATAGTTGCTCGAGATGTAGCCGCATTCCGAAGACCGTCCGATCGGGACTACAAAAGTGTGCGAAGATTTATGGACGGTAATCATCCCCTCATACAAAGGGAGGCTATGCTCTTCCAAAAGAAGGAAGACTTTGTCACACTCCATCAAGGAAGAGAATGGGCATTGTTCGATGGCTATTTTGTGCTATTAGCCACTAAAATCCCCCTTCTGAAGGTACGCTGTTCACTCATGGCCTGTATTCCTTTTAATAAAAAGAAAAAAAAAAACGCTTCATGTCTCTATCTGAGTATATCTCTCATAGATTGAACAAAGAGCCTTTAGTCTTCCACGATAGAAAGGTTATAACACGCTAATAATACTGCAGAGGTGGTTGCAGACACCGGAACTCCGAGTCAAGACAAGTAATCCCAAAATCGGCTTCTACGACAATGATCGCGTGGAGCAAATAGCAAGTTACCTCGTGACGCCAGTCCTGTGTTCCCTGCTCGTCCTTCCTATCATTGCGATGTATGAGCTCAATGTGTCAAATACACAGTCGGCGCTTATGAGGGCTATTGTCGTTTTGGTAGCGTTCGTTCTGCTGTTCACGCTCGCCATGCCACTCTTCACGAAAGCTGGTCGCAATGAAATGTTCGCAGCGTCTGCGGCGTATTGCGCTGTTCTCGTGGTTTTCATATCGAACTTCTCAACCAATGCGGCTTCAAAGGCGAAGACAGAGTCATCGGGGTGATGCAGCCTTGGCTTGGGTGCGGTGGTTCGTTGACGGACTAGGTATATATTGAAATGCCAATAGTTCGTACTACTACTGCCATAGTGTCCCAGGAATCAGCATACAGCCTGCACTACGAGGACGACGCATTGATCGTTGCAGACGAAGGCTCTGCGCACAAGAGGCGAAGTAGGGCTATGTCAAGGGAAAGCAGCTCCGACCAGCCCATATTGACTATGCATATTTCGGAGCATATGGCAGCATTTGGCAAAACTTTTATCAAAATCGGGCGCCAAATATGTCAGAAATGGGGATGTTGGGGATGGAAGCGGAGATGGCGTCAAGTTGATGGAGGTAGAGAAATGGTGGCCGCATGGCGCTATCCCTTGTAAAGCTAGCGCGATCACGACGCGTCTTCCCGCTCGCGGCGCGTCTTTGCCGCTGTTGCTACACTCGATTTGCACCTACATCAATAATCGCACCCTCAATCATGTCTGCAAGAGTCCGGCAATCAACCGCTGGGCCGAGCGCCACTGCTGCCAGAGATCTGCCACCGTATGAACCGCCTGAGAACCCTCTCAACATTCTAGGCCAGCGCAGCTTGTACAACATTCTGAAAGACCACAACCACCAGAAGCTGGAACAGCACCTCCGCCAGGCCACGCAGGCTCTGAGCGACAATGCCAACACCATCAATTACCGGTTGACCGACCGCAAGGCCAGGGATCTCAAGCGCAAGCAAAGGCACGCCGACTCATTGACCGACGTGGACGAACAGCGCGCCCAGCACCTAGAAGGTTTCGACACGCGCGTCACCGCCATGACGAAGCGCATGGAAGAAACCGTGCGCAAGACCATCGACTGCCAGCAGTTCGCCGGCACTCTGCAGGAAGAGATCGAGCACCTCCAGGCCCAAGCCGCCCGCAACGCCTCCGCATCCCAGCGCCCGACGCAATCCCAGCGACGACGCGATGACGACAACGACATGACCGACTACGACCCCACCCTCCCCGGCGAGACACAAAACGAGCCGGTCCTCGTCCCCAGAGACCTCTTCGAGGAGCGCTACCAGGCGCAGAAGGACAAGTACCACTCCCTACCGCTGCCGACGCGCTACTCGGAGCACCCCGAGTACGTCGGCTTCAAGCAGGCCGTCCACGACGGCACCTATCCGAACGGCGAGGGCCCGCCTCTAGCGCCGAAAACTGCGTGGTTCACGAGCGCCGGCGCCCCGGCGCCCGGCGTCACGCAGGCTGGAGACGACGATTCGGACGACGACATTGCTGTTGCATTCGAGCGCATCAGCACAAAGTGTCCGCTCACGCTACAGGAGCTACAAGATCCCATAACAAGTACGAAGTGTCCGCATACGTTTGAGAGGGAGGCTGTTATGGAGCTACTCCTGCAGAGCAACTCTTTCACTGGCGGTAGCAACCGACGAGGTGCAAGGGACGGTTTGAGGACAGTGCAGTGTCCAGTGCCGGGATGCGACCAAGTAAGTGCTCTCCAAGGCTTGCTCGTGTTGGACTGTAGCTAACATTGGCTTCCGCAGATGCTCACCCAGAACGATCTACGGCCCAACCCCTCCCTCATCCGCAAGATTCAGCGCATACAGAAAAGGCGGGAAGAGATGGAGGACTCGGACGACGAGAATGTCGAAAACTCTCGACTACAGGTCATACCTTCTGACGACTCCAACGAGTACGACGATATCGACGAGCCTGCGAGCCAGCGGATCGTGCCCAAGATCGAACGAGCCAGTGGCATGTCGCAAGGTCCTGGTGTTGGGTCTAGCAGTTCGAATCATATGGGTTATGATGGGACAATGGACAGCAGTCATATTCAGAGCAGTAATATTGTGGACTTGGGGAGCGACAGCGAAGAAGAAGACGAAGAATGAAAACAGATGCATGGTTGCCGAGAGTGGAGGTGGATGCGAAGGGGGCTGCGTGCTTTGCATATTTCTCTCGTATGCAGTCTCAAGAGCAGTTTGTAAATAGCCCATCAGCTATGATGACTTCGCGTGGATCTTGCAGCAAGGTGCGGAGTACTAAAGGAACGGCGTTGATGGTTAGCGGACGCTAGTCTGTCCGCACAACGGGACTAACTCCGTCGACCATGGAGTTGAGCAAAACACTCGAGCGAAGGATGCAGCAGATTTGTACTCCAGTGGCTACCAGGCAGATGAAGACGTGCAAGGGAAACGGGGCGGGGTTGCCGCTGATGGCGGCGACATCAGATGTTATCGAGATACCCAGATAAAATACTTTCATCTTCCCTGAATACATGCTTGTCCGTTATCGTTTGAGTTCACCCTCTTCAACCAACCTGGCCTCATCCTCTCCCTCTCCTTTCAACGAGTACATCCAAACGCGTTCACCCTTGTTGATATACGCATCGGTAATCTCGTAAGTCTGCGTCTGCGGCTCGGACTTGATTTGAACGCGGTCCCCGACTGCGAATTCTTGAGCAGGCTGTTTACATTCTCCGTGATCAGTTTTTCTTGTTCGATGTGGCTCTCGCGGTGAATTTATTGGCTCTTTAAATGCTGCAATCAACGTACAAGTCTGGGGTTGGAGTGCCGCGTGAGGCGGGCAGCGGAATCACCACCGGGCTGAACAAATACAAGATAGTATTAGTAAACTTAATTGTAGACAGTTATTCCGTATGTTCGAGATGAGCAAAATATTTGGGCTAGGTCTTAGTCTTACATTGGCCATATTGCGGGTCGTGTAATTAATCAGAGCAGAAACAAGTTTGTTCAAGAAGCTCGAGATAAATTTTGAAAACAATCAACAGATCTAGATGAATTCCAAAGATTTCACGAATACCAAACAAGCTCAAAAGCCAAGAAATATTAGACCCTGCAGTTTCGTTTTATCTTATGATGCCCCTTTGTCACGTCATATCTGCATGAGTGGATTTCTGTCATGGAGTGTTGTGGCCCACGCAAGGATACATGCACCTGCCAATCTGGGCTTAGCTTGCTCACACAATACATCACACATCCTGATCTCGCGCTATCAGACGAGGCATAGGGCACGAATCAAATGTTCGTGCGGAAATCCCTTGCGGAGAAGCCGCGTCATGCTAAGATAATGGGCGATTTTCCACCAGAACGGTGAGTTATTCGTACAGGGATAAAGCTTGCTTGCCTGACACTTCACTTCTCGCTACTACACGACGCATCCGATAGCTACAACAGCCTCATATACATGGCTATTGCCGGACTTTAAATTTCATTCGTATTGCGGTATACTCGCTTTCCCCCCTTAAACTATACATCTACACCTGATGAGGTTGAGATATCGCACACTGCCTCTCGCCTGACGTGGAGACCTCGGCTTTCCGCGGGCTGAGTCACCAAGAAGTTCTCTCCAAGTAAAGATTTGCCACTTCACATGTCGATCGATGATCATCGTGAAGCATCCACCAGCTACCTCGGTGGGACACACCTGGCAGCCAGCCATGGCCAATCAACAATGGTCTTCACCAATAGATGCACTTCACTCATGGATCGTGACCCTGACTGTGCACGTAATTGTCCCAATTCTTTAGGTGACAAAGCTGTGACTGCAAACGGAGTGAAAACAAACCTCGAATGCGGGCATGCTGGCCCGCCCACGTGGTATGACCTTGAACATTTCCGAGACTAAGGACAGTTCGACAGGTGATGCCTTTCTTCAAGGGATAACTCTAGCAGAAGCTTACCCAGGATGCTTGCTCAACGGGCCAACCAAGACTGCGAGCGAACCTTTAGCTTGCATTCCTGTTGCCGAAGAAATTTCCGGCTCCATCTCGGGGTGCGCAAAGATCTTTTCACGCAATCGAGCTTATGTGAAAGCAGTAGTACTGATACGCTTTAGGTTGGCGAGGCGGAATGGAGGCTCGCGCTTTACCCCATAGGTGGCCGTATCTGCTGCCCGCGGGGCTTTAATGCTCTAAATTGCGGTAGTCTCGCCGCACTAGTACTCTGCTTTCGGCTTCTTCACTCTACGGCTCAACAACACCAGATCTCTTGCGGTAGACACGGCGGCTATGGCTAGTCAACCTTTTGTGATCTACGACGGCGGCGAAAGCTTCTTGATTTCTATAAATCCAATCTTCCGCCGGTCTTCGATTCAGACTCATCAGCAAGCATCTCTTCTCATCAACAGCTTCAAGCACTTCATTCGCTTCGATCACACTCGCTCCACAATCGAGTCGCATCCGCTGATTCATCAAGTCCTTCAAGATGAAGCACTTCATCGCCCCCGCGTTCGCTGCTCAGCTGGCCCTTGTCGCCGCTGTCGCTCAGGGCCAATTTGGTGGCAATGATCCCAATGACTTTGAGGAGGGACTTGGAGAGGCCGGCTTCAGTTCTTGGCCTAGCTCGTGGTCGACTACGGGCTCGTGGCCCTCTACCTGGACCGATTCGTCTTGGACGGGTTCTTGGCCCTCCTCCTGGACGGATTCGTCCTGGACGGGCTCGTGGCCATCGACTTGGACGGATTCGTCCTGGACGAGCTCGTGGCCATCGTCGACTTGGACCAGCACCACCAGCACCAGTAGCAGCTCTTACAGCAGCTCATCCAGCACGGAGACTAGCACCAGCACCAGCAGCAGCTCCAGCTACACCTCGTCAAGCTCCACGTCCTCGCCCACCAGCGAATCTACTTCGTCCTCTTACTCGACCTCGTCGAGCAGCTCCGAGAGCTCTTCTGCTTTGCCTACGTCCGAGTCTACCTCCTCTTCTTCCTACAGCACCTCGACTACCAGCTCGGAGAGCTCGTCTGAATCCGCCTCGCCCACTTCTGAGTCTTCCTCCTCATCCTACTCTACTTCCACCAGCTCCGAGAGCTCGTCCGAATCTGCTTCGCCCACTTCCGAGTCTTCCTCCTCGTCCTACTCCACTTACACCACCAGCTCGGAGAGCTCATCTGAATCTGAGGAGAGCACCTCCACCTACAGCTCCGAGAGTTCTTCGGAATCTGAGGAGGGCACCTCGACCACCAGCTCCGAGAGCTCGTCGGAATCCGAAGAGAGCACCTCCACTTCCGAGCCCTCCAGCGCCGAGGCCTCTGCCACCGACTCGTCTACCGCCTCCTACTCCAACACCACCACCAGCGGCTCATCTTCCCACTCGCGCTCCCGCACCAGCTCCGCCACCGCATCGGCCACGTCCTCGTCCGACAGCGATGACGAGGGCGACGACACGACCGGCAAGGCCTCCGGCAACGGCCGTGGTGGCGGCAACAACAACAACAAGGGCAACAACAACGAGGAGGAGAACGAGAACAACAACGAAGGCGGCAGCTCCGAGAAGACTGGCATCAAGGGCGACGCGGCCATCGACGGCGGCGACGGCAACGACGACGAGAGCAGCAGCAGCGAGGACAAGACCGGCGACGACCACGAGGAGGAGGAGCACAAGAGCAGCAGCGCCGGTGCCGCTCCCAGCGTCGGCACTCCCATTGCCACGCCCCCGGCCGAGTACACGGGTGGTGCCTTTGCGAACAGCATCGACTTCGGCATGCTTGGTGTCGCTGCTCTCGCTGCTGCGCGCTTCATGGCCTAAGCGGGTCGAGAAAGCAATTCCTAATCACTTCACAGGGAGAAGGATATAGCTGAACCAGATTGTACCAAAACATGCACATGGATTAGGGTGATGGAAAAGATTGGTAATTGGGAACTAGATTGAATAAATAGTAATAGGAGGATAATGGTGGGAAAAAAAGCCATATGTATCGGGTAGTCATCTTAATCCATATCATTCAAGCCAAGACATCTGCAGAAGACAAGTGACCGTGTATATACAGACCCCACTGCAAAATCATTCCCGACATTTCCACATCATCTCACTCATCAAACATCAGCCCTCAACCCCGCACCCCTCAGCTCGGGCACTCAAACACCGCCGGGCCAGGCGTGACATAATCCGCGGGACTCTGCTTATTCGTATCCCACAAAATGCCCTGCCCATCCGTCTTATACCCTCCGGGCAAGGCAATCACGCTGTCCCCACTCGGCACCTCCGCGCCGTCCCCCTCAACCGTGACCTGCGCACAGCTCGGATAGAACTGGCACTTCCCCTCCGTCTTGCAGTCGCTCAGCGCGATGATCTCGTGGCGCACGAGGTACTCGCCGGGCGCCAGGCACGCCGGCACCGTCGACGTCCAGACGTTGCCGTCGTCGACCAGCTTCTGCGACCCCCACGTCTCGTCCTGGTACCCCCACTCGTCGATCTTGAACCAGACGGCGCCTTCGGTGCCCGTGAAGGAACCGCAGTCCGGATCGCACTTGGCCATGTAGGTGAGCACGGGGCCGCTGTGCGGCCACTCGTTCCAGAGGAAGGTGATGTTGGTGCCGGCGGTGACGGCGCCGGTGAGGGAGGAGCCGGACGAGTCCGTGATGGGGGCGGCGCCGATGTTGCACTGGTGGTGGGAGTGTCAGAGTTTATGCGGTTTATGCGGTTTCTGAGAAATTGAGTTGTTTCAACTTACGGTGATGTTGACGGTGCCGATGTCCAGGACGGGCCCGTTGCCGCCGATCTTGCGCACGATGCTGGGCGGGTCGGCGGTGAAGTCGGGGGTTTTGACGGGGAGGAAGCCGGTGTAGGTGGCTGAGTTCATGACGTGGTACTGGACATGGCTGGGGATGTCGTCAGCAATGCTATACAAAAGATCACCCATTGGACATTGCGGCTGAGAGGCTCTGCTGCTACGCACCCGTGAGCAAGCACAGTGGTGCTCAGGCTAGCCAGAACAGGCAAGATGCTAGCGCCGACGTTTGCGGAACGCATGTTTTCTCTGGTTCGATGGGGAGGGAAAGAGAAGAAGATAAAAACGGAACTTCAGTCCTGGAAACACGACAAACGGCAACTCTGACCGGGTCCTTCGAAACTACTTATCTACTCCCCATACGCAACACTATACCGCCAAGCTTGCAGCGAAAACAAGCCAGTCCGAAAAGCAGCGGCACATCAAACGATGCCAAGACTGGACTCGCGGCCCGTGTGTCCCGGTGTGAGAAACAGCTTTTTCTCCGCTCGCTGCACCCCGTTTTGAAACGCACTGCGCGCCGTGTGATTGGTGGGATGCTTTGACAGGTGGATACACCATTCTCCGCTCGCTCTCATCTATTTCGGACAGGGGATTACTGTTTTTGTAGGGGAGACGTATTGTCTGACCACTCGTTTTGCCAGGCTTGTCGCCTCGAGCGCCGAACACCCGCGTCCCGATAGCAGCCAGGTGGGATGCATGTCATTTGCGGCTTGCATGGCCGACGGAAAGGCGGATATAGATATGAAGACGGACCTGGTTTGGGGCTTGCTGAGGGTTAAGCGATGCTCGCCTACTTCGTTGGGTGATGAAACAGTTGCCTGTTCAGGGGGCGATCGCCATTTGAAGGGAACGCTGGATCGAAAAAATATGAGAGACCGGGCTTGTATAAGCCGCATCGCTTTCAATACTAGCCTACGGGATGTCGTTCGTGGGATTATTTGCACTCTGCAGCTTTGGTACTATTCGAAAGTAAGACCGAGTGCAACTGTGCGTGCTGTACAAGTTGCCCCGGCCTTTCTATTCCATTTGAAATGAACGGAACTGAACACGTCAGAAGACAGGCGGATGAATGTCCCACTAAGAAGTCGCAGGAATGCCAAGGTTGTGCCGGGATTCCGAGTGAAACGCGGTGGGCGGCTCGACTATTTTGCATAAGCGACTCTTGTCTTCACGTTCAATGTTCTTCAAAACTTTTGCAATGTGCATCTGCCGTTCGGATTTACTACTGACTGCCTCGTCGATGTCCAAACGACACACCAGATGGCCAGCTCTCTATCATGAACATGATTACGAGTATGCAAGCGTCAGATATGTCTTCATGCCTGCCCGTCTGATGCGCTGTGCTATTTGGACTCCTATTTTTCTGCCACGGCGGTAAGCCTTTCTACTTCAACTGCCCCCAAACTACTGCCAACTGTTGGCATTGGCCAAAAGGTACCAAAAGAGAATCTCTACTTCTCGATACTGATGCTTACTCTTTGTTCATTAGGATATGAGCTTTAGCACAATTCGTCGTCATCAGCTCCCCTGCCGAGCCTCCGAAGCCGTCCCGGACCCACTCCTTGAAGCCAGGTCTACTGCTGCTGCCGCCATTCAGGAGAAGTCGAGGCCATGACAATGGAGTGTTTGTCATGCGGGGATCAGCTATCGTGCCTGACCCAACAAACCAACGCACCGGAGAAGGCTTTGGAAAAGAGCGCGGAAAAAAATGGGACGAGTGCGGGGAAGCCCGCCGCAGTACCGGCAAAACGGGATGCCGAATTGACTACAACGCATGCCACCACTCTTCTGGACCGGAGCGAAATCAAATCACAGCAGCCCTGACCAGCATGTGCTCCCTCGACACGTGCTTCAAGGTGTTGATGACGTTGATCCAGACATGCTGTTCCGAAGTCCGGAACCCGATTCCAACCAAATGGAAACTGTCTATTTCGAGCGGCCGTTTAGCCTGGGACCAACAAAGGGGTACACGGACTTAGGATGGCCATTTAAACGAGCTCCTATGCAGTTTATGGAAGAGGCTGCTTTATGCGATGCGTTGTCAAAGGGAGCCTTTTAACAGCGCAGCACTGTGCGTGCAGATCCCTTCCTGCCCACGCCTTTGCACGCTCAGGACAAATGCATGAACGCTTAGGTAATTGGACCTCGGGAAAGGATTGAGGGGCTTTTCAGCTCGATTGGAAAGCTGTGAGTATTTACATTGAAGTTCCAGCGAAGGACGCGATCGCATACAACGTCATAACGTAGATCTGATATTGCAGCTGACTAACGCGCATCAATTCCACAAACGCTCGCTGACAGCAGAAGATCTAGTGGCAGGGTCTTAGTCGTCGCAGGCTTACTGGCTGGCCGCCGGCAGGAGATTTCTGTGTCGGGCGCAAAACGGCGATCAGGACGAGAGGGAGATCAGTGCGCGAATTGCGGTGAAAATCGGGGAACGTGGTCTGACCAACGGTTATCGCGGCGGGGCTCTCAGGGATAGCGATGGGGCTAATATGTCAGAAAGTCACGGCACGAGGTCCCAACGATGTGGTTACCGGCGCCGAGCTGAGCCATGGTCTGGATGGTGTCTTAACTTCCAGCCGCGACAAAGACGTCTTACAATTCGCGCTCCCGCGCACCGTTCGAACGCTTTATACCCCGCTTCCCGGAGCCTGTTAGACGTTATTCAATTTTCCCTGGAGCTGTCTTCTTTTGTTGCTGCATGAAAGTCACGACAATATCGACAGTTGGAGCCGCGGCACACCACTACACTTCCGCCTGAGCATGCGCAACCGCCACCACCATGGACGCAAACACGCAATCGCAACAAACCGAAACATCCAAATCCGCACAAATACTCTCCCAGGATAACTCCTCCCGCACAACAGCAACATGCACGAAAACCGAAACCCTACCCACCCCCCGGGCCCGCGACACCGAATTATTCCACCCCACCCCCACCAGCACCCTCACAGCCCTCCCGCGCGCACCCCCACCCTGGCGCGCCCGCAAAAAACGCCAACAAGTAAGCAGCTGCACATGGCGCAAGCAGCTCTGGTGCTCGTCCTGCGAAACCCTCCACCCAAAGAGCTATTTCACCCCCACCGAACGCCTCGTCCCCGACCACATCCGGCAGTGCACCGGGACAGTCTCGCACATCCGCCTGTGCGACCACCTGCAGCGCCTGAACCACTGGGAGATGCAGCGCGCCGCCGCGCCGTGCTTCCTCGACGCGTCTCCCTCGTCCCCCTCGGCCAGCCGGATGCTCTGCCCCGAGTCGTGCGTCGCCGTCGAGCAGTACTACCCGCGCTCATCACCCGCCGCACGGCCACGCGGTCGCGGCTGTGGCGGGGGACAGCAGCACCATGGGGCAAGGAGGCGCTCGTCGTCGATGCAGTTGGTGAGGAAGCACGTGAGGCTGGATGTCGATGACAGGGCGCGGCTGGGGGTCGATGATCACGAGTTGCTGGCGGGCGTTTTCGCGGCGGATGCGCAGCTGTGCCCGCATTTGCGCGTTGCGGACTGTTTAAACGACTTTCGCTTTTGCGGGGCGCCGACGGCGCATTTCCATCCGAAGGGGCAGGACGAGTGTGGGAAGAAGTGTAGCGAGTTTTTTTGGTGCCCGAGGGCGTATGAGGGGTGTAATACGTCACTGTACCTTTACAGTCGTAGGGTGCATTATCCGTCGCTTAGGAGGGGGAGTGAGATTGCTGTTGTGAGTGGTGGTGCTGGGGAGGAGGGCGAGACTACGGGGGAGGATGTGGCGAGGGAGAAGGTGGAGAAGGATAATGGAGGGTCGTTCGACCAGATCCATTTGCTGTCGTTCCGGAATCTGGGGCCGATGGACGATCCGAACGATACGGCATGGTTGATGCAGTTGGACGATGGATGGAGAGGATGTGTGAAGCGGAACAAGGCCAAGTTCTGGTCGAGAATACGTAGGAAAGCCCGCAAGCTATTGCGGCACTGATGAATGTGGCTTTGCACTGCTGTATAGCGGGAAGACATGATTGGCTGAACTGAGTTTGCTCAGGATGAATCATCGAGGCGGTGGCTCTACACGTTGCCGCATCCGGAAAGGCCGGATATACCCGACTACACGCGATATGTGCATATATAAATACTGAAATGATCTTCTGGAATATACCTCTACAATCCCACCATTTTTTCCCTTTTTTCAGACCTCCCTTCCAAAATGTCCGGGAATCACGCATTGGTATTCGGTGCCTCCGGTCTGGCCGGTTGGGCCGTTGTCGACGAGCTACTTTCCAATTACCCCGCACACGGCACCTTCAGGAAAGTCACAGCATTGGTGAATCGCCCTCTGAAGCTTGAAGATTCCTGGTGGCCGGCACCGTCTCCAGATCGGCCGGAACTGGAGCTGATTGCCGGAGTCAATCTGCTCAACGGATCCGTGGAGGAATTCACCGCATTCTTGAAAGATAAGGTCAAGGATGTCGGCGCTGTCACGCACGTTTTCTATTTCGGTCAGTATCGGAACATTCTTTGTTAAACGTCTTCTTCTGACTCCGGTCCACAGCATACAAGCAGGAAGATGACTGGAGCGTCGAGACCCGCGTCAACACTGGCATGTTTGAGCGTGTTGTCGGCGCCGTCGACACACTCGCCCGAGGATTGAAGTTCTTCGTCTTCCCAAGCGGAACCAGGGTAAGCTTTTTTCGTCTTTCTTGTCACTAAATTCACTTTGCAGCATTTTATTTCCTACCGTCCCCCATTTAAACGAAAGCCAAACGCTCACTCTCACTTCCAGGGCTACGGCATCCACGTTCCCGGCGGCCTGCACAAAGCGCCCCTCGTCGAAACCATGGACCCGCTACCCGAGCCCTACCGCAACAACGTCTTCTACTACAACTACCAGTCCATCCTGCGCACTGCCAGCGCTGACAAGCCCTGGACCTGGGCCGAAATCCGGCCCGACGCCATCGTAAGCATCATCACTGCCCACTTCCTCTTCTTCTTCTTCTTCCATTCCCCCCTCTCATCGTCTCAGCCTCAGGGAAACCCCTGAAGAACCTACCGTCTCTCCCCACCACCACCCACCAACACCCCGCTAACCACACACACAAACAGATCGGCTTCTCCCCCACCGGCAGCACCTACAACCTGACCGCGCACTGGGCGTCCTACCTCAGCACCTACGCCCTCATCCACGGGCGCGGCGCGCGCGTGCCCTTCCCAGGCACTGTGGCCGGCTGGGCCGACGCGCCCTCCAACGACGCGTCGTCTGCCATCATCGCCCGCGCCGCTATCTGGGCCAGCCTGAACCCAGCCGTGTCCTCTGGACAACTCTTCAACATCGCTGATGAGGAAAAGGCGCTGGCGATGAGTGAGCGGTGGCCGCGGTTGGCGGCTTGGTTTGGGTTGGAGGGGGTGGGGCCGGAGGAAGGAGAGGGGGAGGAAGGGGAGGAGGTGTTGAGGCCGGGGAAGTTTGTGGAGAGGCATCGGGGGGTGTTGGAGAGGGCGGGGGTGAAGGGGGGCGCGAGGGTGTGGCAGCGGGAGGCGCTGGATACGGTGGGGGAGTGCTATGGGTTTGATCGGAGGTTGGGGTTGGGGAAGATTCGGGCGGCGGGGTTTACGGAGGAGAGGGATGCGGTGGGGTCGTGGTGGAGGGCGTTTGAGCGGTTTAGGGAGGCGGGGATGATTGTTTGATGGGGTTGAGGTTTGAGGTGGGAGTGGGAGGAGGTGGGGGCCGAATTTCAGAATTGAGTCGAACGAATGAGGAGAAAGCGGTTGTAGATGTATGCTGATTTGCTGGCGTACGCCATGCTCATGCACATTGATATTTAAGCACGAGAGCCAGCCTCCAGAGCCAAGTCGCTGCCTAATTGTTTTCTCCAGCCTGAAAATAGAACCTACCTTTGCACAACGCGTCCTTTCAGCAACAATGGCTCCCCGTAGTATACTCGGTGATATGCGCCACAAGATACTCCTTTCGAATCGTTCATCTGCCTCTCAAACTCGCGACACAAGGACGAATCATGGCGACTGGCCAACCAAGAAGTCCGAGGTTCCGGCCTTTGGAGACCCGCTTCTTTGCGACAAGCCAGGCCCGACGGCCAACTCGACCTGTCCAAACCGCTGGATCGAAAGGGCTTCCGACCGCGAATCGATGGGCTTAGACAAGAGAGACCCAAAAGGTTTCAGTTTTCGAGAGCTGGTTGCCGGACTTTGCAAAACTGCTGGCGTTTCGAAATGCCGAAACTCTACTCGATGTCAGACCGAAAGACAAAAGCTCGACAAAAGCCTGCCAAAGTGCCAATGGAAGAGTTTCCGAGATTGGATGCTGGAGATTCTGGCATGCTGCAGCATCCGTGACAGCTCCCTCGACCTACCGAAGCCCGTTTTCTGGTGCATCTGCACCGCCCTGAATCCAAGAGTACGCGAGCAGATACGACCCAGTGGAGATCTGGACGTCGAATTCGAGGTCTTTAGGATGCTTTTCTGGATCGGCAAATCCAGAGACATCATTATGGTTACCGATTCTCATGAATTCGCACCCAGATTTTTCCTACCTCGCACAGTGGAATCCGCAAGCTTCCATGCCGCGCATAAAGCCAACGAGTTGAAAATATGCCCAAACAGGCTGTGGAACATCGCATCAGCCAGTCCTGCTAGAGAGGCAGACATTCCAACACTGTTGGAAGCCATATCACAGGCAGACCACAAGGGAAGCTTTCAGCAAGTCGGGCATATGGATTGCACTCCGGATTTCTGCGAGATTGCATGCGAGAACACTACATTCAAAAAGCAATTGCACAAGTGTACTTCTACTCTCGACAAGGGTGGAAATATCAAGCCAAATACCGAAAAACTCAGAACATTCCCACAAGACATAATTCTGACAGCCATCAATGAGAATAAGCCCGCCATATGGAAGATCAGAGAGGAGGCGAGTTTGTGTGACTATTGGGATTCATACATCGCCATATCTCACGTGTGGTCAGATGGAACCGGAGTTGGTGTTCAAGAAGCAGGCAAGGTAAATCCTTGCTTGTTTAACTACTTCGCAGATATCGCCGACCAATTGGGCTGTCGTGGTATCTGGTGGGACACTATCAGCATACCGACTGATCGAAAAGCACGTGGGAAAGCCTTGAACGGCATACAGGGAAGCTTCAAAAATGCGAACTGGACAGTTGTACACGACGAGTTTCTGGTTCAATTTCCCTGGTCTGATGACGGCCTCCCGTGCATAGCTGTCCTACTGTCGAGTTGGTTCACACGCGGATGGACTGCATTGGAGCTATTTTTCTCAGAACGCGTCAAAATCATTTTTAAAGACGGCGAAACTGGCTCATGCGTCCTCAAAGATCTTGATAAAGAGGTCATGGCACCAGGCACAAAACCATCTCCAAGTGTAAGCTACGAACACTGGGTTGCGACTGTCGTAATATTCCAGCTGCGGCATCATTTCGTCACTCAGTTTTCTCATGGGACATTCTTACGCTCTCTGGCACTCCGGACTACTTCTTGGCCAAGGGATCGAGCAATCATCGCTGCTTTGATGGCCGGGGTAGAAAATCTTGAGCCTGGCATGACGCAAGCGGAAATAACTCGAAGGACAGTCACACAACTTGACTTCCTCTCTGGCAATTTCCTGTTCCACGGATTTCCGACTATGACCGACCAAGGAAGCTTTTCGTGGTGCCCACACATTTTGTTCAATGGGCAAAGTTTTATTGGATCGGCACGAGTTGCTGGATCAGAGTCTACTCCATTGAACGTTAGAAAAGGAGGCGAGATCCAAGGACGCTTGCGTGCGTTCGTTCTGAGTGAGGAAATCGCCAACCGTATAAAACCGCGGTCGTTTCACTTCTCGGTAGACCTAAGGATCAAGCATGCGCTTCAACAGTGGGAGAGTTGTCTTCTGATGGACCTAGGTCCCTCATCTGACGAGGAAGCTTGGGAAGGAGAAAAGCTTTGCATCCTCGTTGTCGTTCTGGGCTGTGAGGAATCTACGCCTGATGGCAAACCGATACTCGACTGCCAGTACGTTGGGAGCGTCCATGAACCAAACGGTCTGGTGGAAAAAGACATGATTGGAGTACGCTTTGGGAAGGTGGCTGGAAGGTCAGGAGTTAATGCAGCCGAGATGCTCAGAGATTATGGGTCTTCTCGTGGTCGTAAGACCAAGCACATTCCTCTCCACAACTCATATCCCCCCTCAAACTGTTGACCTCCAAGATTTACTGAATGTTGTCATCGTCTCCATTTTCTTTCTTCTTTCCTTTTTTCCTTCCTTTCTTCTTAGTTACTCATTTCTTGCATTTACTCTTGCATATTTTTCTTCTTTTCTACCTTCCAGCACATTTCCGAGATCTTTACACTTTTGTATCACGGAATGTTCCATTTGAGATCAGGTAATCAAAGCTGTTTCAATATTATTAGGATAAACTTATGTCTTATTTCAACTCCACCTCACAGTCGGGTGAACTGCAGTGATGAAATTCTTCGAGAAGACGGAAAACACGAAGACGGCAGAAAATTCAGGAAAGAATAGTAGTCTACCTATAACAACATGGATGCTAGAGGCGTAGCTTCCGAAATGTGAAGCTATTATGAAAACTAATCTGATGGATGAAGTTCTTCAGGATTATGTTCAGCGCTGCAGCGCCAAAGCAAGGCGACAAGCCCTAATGCATATGCTATCTTCCCCAACTAACGCAGAGCCGCTGGTGAACAACATGAAAGCATTTCGATACAAGCCCGCGCGCAGCTCCGGAGCGCCCACCAAACCCACCAAAGACGCAAGCCCACATATAGCCTACACCCCGGCCTAGCCCCTGTCTGTCTGCCGACCAAACGCCCCCATCCAAAAAAAGAAAACACCAAAACATCAGATCAGATCTTACGCGTCGGCAGCACGCGCGCCATGCAGTGGCTTGACGTCAGATCCACCCGCACCCCTACCCCAGCCGTCTCCACCACGACGTCAGTCCAGCAGAAAGTACAATGCAAGATGATCTCGACAAACAGATTCGATCTCCCCAACAACGTCCATTACTCCTTGCTGTTGCGTTTCCTTCCCCACAGAATACGCACGTGTCCCGCATATGCGTGGTACCAGCATCTAGCAAGCATCTGGCAGGGAACGTGACTGGGATAAATTAAAAAAAAGGAGCAACCAACCAGAAGCGACAAAAGCCCGCATAAATCTAACCCAACCAGATCGCCCGTCACTTTCTGCGTGCTTTGCAGGAATCGGCGGGAACTACCCGTCGCGCACATCCGCCGAACCCCGAATCGACATTCCTACACACCCACCCCTGGTGATCTTCGATCAACAGACGTGCGTCCTCTCAATACTTAAGATCGTCGGTAGAGCAGGGAGATGAAAAAGCCACAATGCTCGGCGTGCGTGTGCGTCATCGGGGGGAAGAAGCCGTTCAGCCCCCCGGTGGATGCCTGTCGACTCCCCCCAGCAGCGACAGCGGGTAGGGCAGAGCCGCAATCCTTTCATCGTTTGCATTTTCCTTTTTGCGGGAGACGCGCATGCTGATGCCGTCAGTGTGCTGACTTTGCTTGAGAGAGATTAACTGCAAAGGAAAGCGGAAAAGGAGAGTTGCAGAAGCGGCTGGCACAAGGAAGATCCGGGTAGAGAGTTTACGCAAGCGGACGGTAAGGCTGTGAGACAAGGTGGTGTAAAGTGGGGTGTGGTGATTATGGTGATGTAGGTCGCAAGGCTCACTGCGTGCGCGCATGTGGTGATCCTATCAAGTGTAACCGGAGAAGAATTCATGATGATGGTCGAAGTGTTCGAGACTGTGCGATCGCCCCCAAGGCTCAATTGGCCGGTGAACGCAACGAGAGATCGCGCAAAGTTTAACTCTCTGCACAAGGCACCGAAGCAAACGATGAGAAGAGGCATACGATCGCGGTGCGCGAACCGCCGAACCGCCAAAGCAGGCAGGAATTGTGGCTCTACGACGTAGTCCCAGTTCTGCTCACCGGCCAGCCGTCCCGTAATGGGAAGCTTTGACCATTCCGAATACGGCAATCGGTACTTGCCTGTATAGCATAATGGTTTATGGGCCAGGATGACGCTAAAGAAAGTACGCGAGAAGAGAGGGAGGCCGGCCGAAAAGGAACTGGGGGGAACAGGGGGGCCCAACTCCCCGGTGGCGAAAATCAGGCACCCTGTTTCTTTTCTTGTCCTACATCATCACGACCACCACCACTGCAAAGCAAAAAAACTTCACTTTCACAAAAAAATCCCAACAACAATAAACGGACTGCATGCAGAGAAGGATTTGGAAAGGATATCGCCTTCGCATAACGCCATCCCGCCGTCCGCCCTGCTCACCCCATGCCACGCTGGCTAGCCTGTCCGGTCAGCTCAGCTTGGCTCGACAGATACATTGTTGTTGTCTACTGCTTGCTGCAAGCAAGCAAGGAAAAAAAGATAGCGCGTGCGTGAGATCGTCAATCACCCCAGATGCACGCAACAAGAACATTAGCAGAGTGTAACCACCCCGACGAGGCGTGGACGCGGCAGCAGCCCCCCACGTCGCCCTGCAGCTGTCCGTCGCGCAGAGTGCAGTGCATAGACGCAGCAAAGCAGCAGCAGCAGCCGTAGGGAACCGCCGACCAGAGCCTTTTCCCGTCGGCATGCCTTTTGCTTTTCGATCCGCAGCAAGGCCCCTTCGCGGCCCTGCTGCCGTGCTCACCTGCGATCGGCGGGTAGGTGAGTAATGGTGCATGAAGCCGCCGTCGTGTCCGGCATATTGGGAAGAAGGAAAGAAGACGAGAAAGGGTGTTGCCTGGGGGAGCTGCCGGAGGAGAAATCCGGGCCCACTCGCCCACTCGCGGGAATATTCAAAACGCCTCGCAGGCTCACTACAGTCAACGGGTGTACAACCGTCCAAAATGCCATCGATCGGGGTTTTGGTGCGACGCTGGCGTCGGTCTCGACACACGGCCGGCGGTACCGGGTATGCGGGAGAGACGGCGATCAAGAGGAGGTAAATCCGGCGCGAGGCGAGAGGCGAAAAAACGTGGAGAGATTGACACGGAGAGCACATGATGGTGGAGGGTGAGTTAGTAGTGAAGATCGCAGTCGGTGGTGGATCGTCGGCTCACGCTTCCTACTTCGGTCGCCCACCCCGTATCTCGCCTCGTTATTTTCGTCGTCGACACCCCGGCGTCCACAGCGTCGGTACCTCATGTGTTATGCCCCAATCCGCCACTATTGCGTGTGTAGATACGAGCCTCTCCTTTTCCCACATCGGCTGTCAAAGCGGACAAGCGCGCATGAACGAGCAGGCACCCCAGCTGGACCCTTTCGACAGCCACACGTCGCTATCAGCAGGGGCGGCACGCGATAACGCCTGCGGGTTCGCTCGACCGGCGTGGTGGGCGAACGCAAGCAATTGGGCGGCGGGCGTCAGCAGCGGTGGTGCGCGTCACCCAAGCATTGCGCCTGCGGCCTGCGGCCTCGGGGCAAGGCTGTCCTCTGCTCTGCTCTCCCCCGGCGGCGAGATAGCCCAAAAAGTAAAGAGGGGCAGCAGCATCGCAGCGCCGATCGGGGCCCCTGGCAGCGAGGGGAACCCTGGGTTGCGATGATGACCAGATGCTCGGTTGGCTTGGCCGCTAAACTGCCAAAAGTCAGGCCGCAGGGAGCTGTACCGGGGAGAGCGTGGTTGGCGCCTCGCGGGTTGACGTCGTTCTTTTTTGCCGAGCGAAAGAAGAAAAAACGCCCAAGACAAATCGAAACTTCGATTTGCCGTGCTGTTTTTGGTGCCGTGCCGGGGTCGCTTGCATGGTGTTGCGATCGTGAGGACGGGAATTCCGTCCGGACTTCTTACGTTAACTGCTGCAAACAAAAAAAGAAGCATGCGAAACGAGAGGTCCAACCACCTTGACCCGGTTGCTATGGTAAGGTAAGCAAACCGACCTCTTTATTTTTGTTTTCTGGTTGGTCTACCTCTGGTCCGGCGGCGCGATACGTAGCCTCACTGCGCTACGGAACGGGCGACGGACGAGACGGCGTTGCCGGAATGGCGTGAGGGCGGCCTGCCGGCTCCTGCGTGGTGCTAGTGATGCGAACGGGGAGGTGGTGCTGGCATCGGGGGCTCGCAGCCTTGGCGTAGGCACTGGGTGCAGATTTCGGCCGAGCCTCCGATGCTGCCTGTAGAGAAAGGAGTTCGAGCTGCTTATTTTCCTCGATCAGGTGCAGAAACTTGCTGCGGGAGAAGAGAGGGAGAAGGTGGTGGGTGGGGGCGGGTGAGATGGTGGTGGCAGAGCTCGAGGCAGAAAAAGTTCGGAAGCGAGACGCGCCACGGCAGCCTGCAGCAGCAACCAGCTCATGCTCTCGAGAAGAGCTGCGTTTGTCTCAGGATTTCTGTGCGAGCGGACGGCAACCTTCTCGCTGATGGCGCAAGGCAGACCTATGCAAGCCAGAAACTCTATCTTCGCAGTCATCCGGGGCCGTGCATGGCAAGCAGGCAACCAGGCTAATGTTTGCGAGCAATCACCACCAAGTCTGGTCACAGAGGCGGCGGCGCAGGCCTGCTTACTGCGCGGGGGAGGGTGGCCACGCCGGGGGAATGCCAGTCATGCGAACAAACGCCCACTGCCACTTTGGGCTGAGTCGAAGCACCACGAGGGCCACACACGCTGGAAACTGAGTATTTTCGATGACTTTCATTTGCTATCTGAATCCAAAGCAGCGAAGCCATGGCTGAAACCCCGTCATTCCTCCGCCGCGCTCCCGCCCGTCCCGAGCGACCGGGCCAACCCCGGTCTGCGTCATTCCTGTGACCCTCCTCTGCTCAACACCCGAGTTTGGTGGAGCTTCCAAATTTGACAAAGGAAAAAATTTTGTGATGCGATCGCTGCTTCGATGAAAACAGTGCGATGATGGTGATGAGGCGCACAGAGCCCCTCAGACAATTTCCTGAGAATCGTCGGGCGCGTTGTTGCTGCCCTGTCTCGCCCGGGCACCCCGGTTGCTGGTTGGGCCGCCGCTGCTCGTTGTCGGCTGGCCCGTGGCACCGGCCACTGTGCGCAACGGCGTCGCCGGTGGTGCCGGTGCCTGACCCCTCAAGTCGAAAATGTTTTGGGAGGTTCAAGGAATACCCCGTCGTTCGCCCCGCGCCTTGGCTCGTCCGGTGACGTAGTCGTGATCATCGTGAATGGTGATAGATGTGGTAAGAGGAAAGAAAAGACGTATCAAAGACATCTCTCGTGCGTGTGATTCGTTCATCGGTAGTAGCCGGAGTGACGGTGCTCGCGCATGTCCCGGTGCGAGGGCTCGCGCACCTCGATGTTGTACTTGGCGAAGTTGCGGCGCTGCTCCTCCATGTCGGACTCGTACAGGGAGCCACGCTTCGCGACGTTGATCACCGCCTGACGCGGCGAGGCGGGCCACTCGTACTGCTCGTGGTTGCCCTTCGGCCTCGGCGGGAGAGCAGGAGCCTGCTCAACCTGCACGGGCTGCACGGGCTTCTGGTTCTTGGTGCGCAGCGGGAGGCGCGGCGCGATGTGGTAGGAGCGGTCCATGCTGACGAACTGCCGGCGGTGCCTGATGCCGCGCTCGATGGCGCGCAGCAGGCCACGGGCCTCCTCGTACGTGGGCTGGATCTCGACGCGGACGACCTGGCGGTCCTCCTCCTCGGTGCTGTAGGCCTCGCCGTCGCGCTTCATGTAGAGGAAGTGCGCGACCTGCTGGGCCAGACGGTGGCCCTCGTCGCAGAGCTGGCGGCCGGAACGGTGGACGTCGTAGGGGTTGCGGCACTCGGCGCAGGCACGGGCGTGCATCTCGAAGTCGTAGAGAGCCCAGGACTCGGCGATGTTGGCGGGGCGCGAGATGCCAGTGACCTCGCCCTTGACGAAGCCGACCACACGCTCCTTGCGTGGGCCCGCCGGCTTGGTGACGACGGTAGGCATTGCGGATTGGCGGTGGATGGAAGGCATGGTGGTGAAGTTGGACTTCAGGCTGGGTTTAAGTAGCGGAGCCAAGGAGACTCGCATGGAGGTGGAGGGGTGTCGATGCAAAATGGGCCGGCCCGCTTGGTAGTGTTGGACCGGGTGTGAGTGTGAGTGTGATGGTGCTCTCGGGCCAGTGGCTGTTGGTGGGTCTGACTCGAGGAAATGAGGAGGGTCGTTTGGGCTTTTGTAGACGCGACTGATGGTGTGATAGTTCGGGACCCTTGGGCGCGGTCGTCCGGGAAATATATGTAGTAGGCGTAGGCATGTTTCTGAGGAGCATGGGTCTGGATGCCTGGCATGGCGTACGTATAGATTGACCAGGGTGCCTGGGGCGCACTACTGCACGGACTTGCATCGCCCTGTCCCCAGCCCTCGGCGCCGATCAGGCCTCTGCGCACCAAGCCTGCCGACCTGCTTGCTGCGCGCGCATGATGAAGCAGTGCGCCTCCCCCCTCCCCCCGAGCGCGCGCCACCAGCGCACGCGTTTGCCAGTCTACGCCTTGGCCAGCGCGCGCCCGTGATTGGCCCGCGCGGTGAGCAACGCCGTGACTGGTGCGCGGCGGCGACGTGACGATGACTGCGACACCGGCACCGGGCGCTGGAAGCAGCCGGCGGCCGCACGCGCCACGGGCAGCTGGTGGCCCGCACCGCCATCAAACGCAACCTTCTTGGGAAGTTTCGCCTCGGGTTTGGTCTGCTGGCGGCGTGGCGCGGTGGTGTTTGGAGATGGCAGCACGGCAGACGGTGTACGAGAGGTGCACCGGACGAGGCCTAGGGCTTACTGTGCCTGAAGCGGCATGGGCGGGGGTGCTAGCGCGTCGCGGGGGCGCTGGGTGGGCGATGAGTGGCTGCGGGCGAAGTTTTTCAAGAGCCAAGCTGACCGATGTGCTCAGCCTCTGCTTGTCGACGTCCAAGCCGGCTAGGGCTGCGGCCGAAGGCGTCCAGGCCTCAAGTTGCATGTTGAGACGCGAGACATTCCGCTCTGCGCCTGCTGTTGGGCTGTCGTTCGCACCAATCCTCCCGCCATGCTGGCAGGCACGGCAGCGCAGTCATTCGACAATTACTGACCGGCTGCAATGGACAGCGTGTTTCTGTGCGCCCGCAGGAGCCCGAGCTGCCGCTGCACCCCAGGGCCAGGGCCGGTCCGTCGTCAAACTCCACACGACCGTTCTGGAATTCGACCTCCCTGTGGCTGCAGCTACATGCTGCATCAGCTTGACCGGTTGCATCAGGGGTCCGCTCGATCGCAATCGGGGGCTGCAGACAGCCGGCATGCCGACCTGAGCATCATCATGGAATTTGCGCTTCTGGCAGCCTGTGGATGCGTGCTGCTGCACTGGCTGTGCGACCCGCGGCCGCGCTCGAGCAGTTGACTCAGCTCCGCCGTGTGCGCGTCCAATATCGCCATTCGCCGCGCCAAACTTAGTCCGCAATGCACACGAAAAGCAAGTCACGCAAAAATTTCCACGCATCTCACGCAGGTGCCCTGATCATCTATGGGGACGCTCTGGCCGCTGCAGCGCGGGAGCCGAGCGGATCCGTCTGCACGAGATGCGGGAGCGTTCGACGCGGTCCACGTATGTTTGCACAGCGCGTCGGTACATCTGAGAGGTCACTTTTCTGCTTAGTAGCCCTATGGCTCTCCCTTGACTCACCGGTGGGTATTGGCTTCTGCAGCCGCCATTCGCCTCTGCTCGACGAACCGGAAGCGCGGCTGGCTTCGCTCGGCCATCCCCGACTGACGCGACGAACACGTCTACGCGCCGCGTTCCCCAGCCTGCACGGGCCATGCACAGCCATGGCTCGCTAGCACCTGACGGCTGCGCCATCGCTTCAGCGAGCGTGCGGCTCAACTGACGTCAACCCGCTCATCTAAGCCTTACGCCGTTTCGTCGCTTCCAAGCTTGCCGTCCGCGCCCGGCGTTTCTGCCATTGCAACACCACCGCGGCCCATCGTCAGCCGTGGATCCACCCGCCAAGGTCACGCCCGTCCGCGTTGCCCGGGCGCAGTGTCTTCTGACGAGGCTTCTCGTTCGTGCAGCGCGTCTCCACAGTGTTTCTCGATCCAGCCTGCCAGCCTCCCTCTTCGTTCTAGCGACGTCACCCTTGCTCAAGCGTGTCGCTTCATCTGGAAGCGTCATCCCAACCCTCACCCCATTTCGCTGCGTCACCCGGAAATGACAATTCCATCCGCCCCGGCTCCATTTCTAATTTTCGAGGATTGCCCGTCTCCACTCGGCCTTCGTTCTGGAACTTCGCGAGGCGTGGCTCCAATCAATCCGATAAGGTTGCATCTCCACACTTCTCCACATTGTTCCGGCCGGTTCTCTGCCTAGTCCGCGGCCCGTCGCATCATCGACGACGCGATCGAGCCAGTGTGAAAATCTCCCGCGTTGAAACAAGCACCCTGCAAAACACTGACGGTTCCGCCGGCGCGGGTTGCCTCAGGCTGAGAGAACGTGGGCAGCACGCCGTGCAACCACTCAGCTAGGCCCGTATTCTCGCTTCATCCCGCCGTCACAACATCGTCTGCTGAAGACCGTGTAACGGCGACCGCGCCCGGTTTCGAGAGCGCCCGGTTTCAGACGGCGGCTTTCGTGCAACTTTGGGTTTTGTCAGCCTTTGCCTGCTGTCTGAGTCCCCGCAGCCCGACGCGTCTCGCGTGCGGCGTGTCACCCTCGCCAACACCTGGCCGGAGGGGGGGATGCAAACAGTCACAACCGGTCAGTAAGGCTCTGCGACGAAACCGGTCAGGACTTTGCGGCGGCTGATGAATCCAGCGAGGAGGATTCTGAGCATGCATGAGGAGGGGAAGTTGGGCGCCAGATGGCATGTTTGATGAAGTGGCAGCCCAACCACCCCGCGCCGTCTCCGGAACCACAACATTGCAATTTTTTCGGCCCTCGCTATGTCTTGCCCTGCTCCAAAGAATTTCCTTACGTCCGCTCCGTAGGCAGCAGCTTTCCTCTACGCGATCGGAGCGGGGTAGGCCGAATGCAATTCACATGCCTCGCCTCCTGGGCTCTTCGCACTGCAACACTGACATGGCAACAGAAACCAAGGAACCAGCGTGTAACCGCGGCCTTCGAGACCGTTGCTACCCCGCGTCCGAAATAAGCGATAATGGCTGTCGTCAGAGGAAGCTTCCATGACTGCTTCGATGGCAGCACGCGCGCTAAACGCCACGGCCTCATTGGGTGATGCATACTGCTGAGCGCAAGGCTGAAGCAACCCACATGGGCAGGACAAAACCCACATGGGTAGGCTGCAAGGTACGGGACGGTCCGTCAGGGCTGTGTTCTTTCCTTGTGCTCGACTCATAGGTTCGCACTCCTAGAAGATGACGCATCCCTTCGTATCCCGTGAGTTCGTTGGTTGGTCGGCGTGGTGACTGGCACGTTGGCTGGTTTGTTCGCGAACACAATCTTGCAGCATCCAGGGGCCGAGACTCGACACGCGAGATACCCGGGCAACGCACCACAAACATTGCTGCCTTCCTGAACGGAAACGTCTTCGGTCCCGTGACCTCGCCCGAGGTGCCGTCAATCACCACCCAATCCGTTCCGTTAGAGCTGAACGACTTTCCATCGCCGTGATTGGACAACGGTCCAGCACTGAACAGCTGGCCAGCCAACACAGTCTCGTGCCACATCTTTTCCTATTCCTGCTGTCCCGCTGTGCTCTTGGGTTCCATCTCGAGGTTCACTGACATCACGCTTTGTCCATCAGTGCAGTTTCAAGATTTGAGAGTCGGATGGTAGAAAGTTCTGTGGTTGGGTGATGATCATCACCGCGTTGCTGCTGGATGTAACCACGTGCCTTCGTGCCACACCCATGCCTTCCAGGCCTGTTTCGATAAGCGCCGCACCGCCGCACCGCCAACCACATCCAAGACCGCAATGCCCTGATGTCATTCGTCGATTCGTGTCACCCAATCCCAACCCTCCGACGACCAGTCCGCCAGCGAATAGAACGCTTTGACCAACGTTCGAGAACGCATTTTTTTTTCTTCATGTCGAAAAGGCGTGAGAGGACAGCGCAGCTCTGTAGTCACGTTTTTTTTTTCTCCGTCATCGGGGCCGTCGAAGAGGACAGCGTAGCTCTCTCGTCATCGTGGTCACGATTTTCGTTCCTCCGCCGCTCACTTTCTATTTTGGCGAATTCTCAGGGTCTCATGGCCTCCCCACCCAACTGTGCCCACACCGTCCCCGTCTGCCGGCTCCTCCCTCCTCAGGACCCCACAAGAAAATCAGATCAGTTCCCACACCTGTCCGCTCGCGCATCTGATGGAATCGTGATCCTCTGCTACTGACATCATGCCCCCCAGCCACACATCACGACTCGTCAATCATGAGGGTTTTCGACACCGATAGTCGAGCGGTGTGCGCGCGAGTCAGATGTATCCACTCGACGAAGCTTAACTGGCCCTCGGGAACCCTCAAAGGGCCATGGAAGGGCGAGGGCAGACGTCATTTGTTGTTTGCTTTTTTTTCTTTTCTTTGCTGTTTTTGTTTTGGTGGTTGCGTCATGGTTGTTGCGTTGGTTTCCGGGTGGTTGGAGTCGTGGTTGAGTTAGCAGCTTGCAGGCGGGTAAGTTGCGTTGGGCGTGACCGTTGCGTCAGAGAGAGAAAGGTGGAGGCTTCGCGCGCGGTTACAGTCGTCATCGTTGGTGCTGGATTGTTCCAGCGTTGTCGAGAGATGTGGGTGGGGACGCTGTTGTTTGTTGTTGTTGGTGCGTTGGGGCCGTTGCGATGCGGGTGCCGAGGGCGAGACAAAGCGCCTGCCCGTGCGTTTTTGGTCGGCTTGCTTATTTTTACGTATGGTCCTGCTTGGGTCGATGCTACAACTGTCCTTCTCTACGTTTGCGTTGATGGTTGCAATGTTGGGTGTGAAGAGCTCGATCATTTACTTGTGTGCTTTTGCCTAGTGATAGTAAGTGCTACAGTAGGTATGGGGAGGGTGCAGCAAACATTTTAAGACGTGAAAGCATTGCACCAACGGCTTCGATATCAAAGTGCGCCCTCAATGATTTTTGAGAGAAAAGAGTGCCGACATGGATTCTGATGCGAGTTCATGTACGGTATACATGTTATATTTGATGCCTGGCAATCAATCAGAGCATTTCACAATAGGACATACGAAGAACTAAGCGATGGGCTACCAAACCAACTCAGTATGAGCCCGTGTTGAACATTGTATTTTGATTTGATTTGAAACTTCAAACTTTCGCAATTGGCTATCCCTTCCGAGTTCCTGTAGACTACCACCCAAGGGTCTGGCCGAAAGCCTGGCCAGAGATGTTGCATGTTTGAATCTTGCTTTGAGGCTAATGCCAAGTGGTTGATATTTTGCAAATTGCATCTTTTCAACCAGCCTCATTGATCAGTGTCCATAAGGCCGGACCGCGAGTGAACGAAAAGCCGACTAAAGAGTATCCCTAAACGCCCATTGAGACTCCGATAAATTGCTGGGTGCTCTCGAAGGTCGGGCAGAACCGACGAGGCCCCGGAAACCGGCTAATTTGCCTTGGGTATCGAACATCTTTCTTCTTTGAATCACGCAAATTGCTCAGGTAGTCTCTCGACAGTATATCTTCCCTTCCCGACCGCGAGGAGAGGAACACCTGGTATCTTCCTTAGGCGCCGTCGTAGGTCCCTATCGTTAGTACCGACCAAATAGCAGCGATGCTTCTTGACAGTCTCAACAATGCAATCATCCGCATACGTCCCGGAATGCGAGCACTTCAATCTCTCCCACCGTTCATCCTTGGCCAGGCGCAGCGCCAGCCGGTACTTGTCACCCAACTTCTCAAGTTCTGCAATGGAGCATTCGGTAACGACGGGGACGCACTTGGCGAACAGCAGATCCATCAGGCCCGGCAGGACCTCGATCTTGGAGCGGACGGTGTGCGAGAAGAAGTTCGTGTCGAGCAGGACGTGGTACGGCGGGCCGAGCGCTTGGTTTGCTTGGAAGAACATGGCGGAGGGGGCTTGGGGGATGCGGCACACCACGGCGGCGCGGTCCGCGTCTTCTTGCTGCTGCTTGCTGGCCGCCGCCGACTTTGCCTGCAGCCGGCTGTCGCGAGCGCTTAGAACCCGTTTCACCTGGAATTGCGTCAGCTTGAGGCGGATTTTCTCGCGGCGGTGCGTGAAATGGTCACGGACCTGGGCGAACTTTCTTGTCTTCTTGACTTTACCCATCTTGTTATGTTGGAGGGGGGTGGGGAGTGAAGAGCGATAGGCCAAAGTCGCGAGGTTTCGGTGTTGCAGCTGGATAAATTTTTATGACTAAGCCGGGAATGTTCGGGGAATGGCTGCGGCGCGTCGACTACACCTCCGTGTCTACAATTGTACGACTCAAATGTTTCGGACATCATTTTTTCAGGAGGGCCGTACGCTCTGCCTTTTGATCGCTCGGAGATGGCGACAACCAAAACATTCGTTCGTCGCCAATTGACGTACAGCAACGCCACCTCCATTACGGCGTGTGAAGCAGCACCGCCATTCCCAAAGAACTTTGGTCTCACCTTACGCGCGCGTTTCGTGGCGGAACTCGCGACATCACGCCCGCGAACGCGTCTATCCACGCCACGTCCTGTTGGTGGCGCAATCACTCATGGTAGCCAGTCGAGTTGGTTTCTGCGCGCGAGCTCGCCATCCCATCACTCGTTTCGGCAACGCTCTACCGCGACGCAGGAGAACGTCCAACGTGAACCAAGTCAGGAAGACATCGAACTCGCAAATCACCCGGAGCCCTCTCCGCGGCTAGACCCAGCGTGGCAGCTGGTGCTCGATTTGGCGATACATCAGGAACAAAACGTGTTCATCACGGGTCCAGCGAGGTCCGGCAAGTCATGTCTCCTGCGGGAGTTCGTCCAGTTGCTGGATGCCAAGTACAGCCAGGAGAAGGTTGTTGTGGCTGCATCTACAGGCCTTGCACACAGCATCGGCGGCACAAACATCCATGACTTCACCAGCAGCGGTATCAAAGGGCTGATTGCGCACATCCACAAACACCCAACAAAACTTGAACGCTGGCGGACAGTCAAAGCCCTCGTCGTCGACGACATCTCCATGATCCCTGCCAAGCTTCTCGACGCGCTCGACGAAATTGCCAGGAAGGTGCGGATGGACGACCGGCCGTTCGGAGGAATCCAGCTCATCCTCGGCGGAGACTTTTGCCAGATCCCACCAGAATTGCGGGACGAGTATAGCGGCAAGCCGCAGTTCTGCTTCCAAGCCGAGTCGTGGAGGAAAGCCATGATACATACGGTTGGCTTGACTGAGGTTTTCGGAGAGGACCCATCATTCGCCAACATGCTGAGAGATATATGGCAGGGCGTCGTCTCAAAAAAGATGAGCTCCAGGCTTAAACAGCTGGACAGGCCTCTAAAGTCACCCGACGACGATGACGGCCCAGAGCCTGTCTCGCTGTTAATTCAACGCAATAAAGCAGACCGTGAGAACACAAGGCGACTAGACCTGATCGAAAGCACAGCCCACACGTACGTTGCCGAGGAAGGCGGGAAGGTCGCGGATTCAGACACGCGCGCAAAGCTGCTGTCCTCCTGCCCACCCCCGGGGGTTCTTGACCTGAAGGAAGGCGCACAAGTCATGCTCATCAAGGATCTTGACTACGGGCTCGTGAGCGGCTCCGTGGGCCGCGTCGTCGGTTTCGCGGACGAGCAAGCCTTCTCGCAGCAATGGAGCGGCGACGAAGGCAAACAGCGTTTCAAGTGAGTAAATATAAACAGTTTAAGCCATTCTGAATCTCGGTTTGCAATTTCTAGATCTCAAATTGATTTAACACTAGTTTAACCAAATGATTTACACGTAACTAACAACGATTTAATAAGGATTTAGTAAGGATTATTATTAGATGGGTCGATTTTCGGGTGGCGTATATAGTGACGCATACTATATATACTTAATATAAGATACTCTTTCTAGCTCTCTTATTTGCTCTTTTATAAGTATTCTTAGTTAGATAGGTCTTTATTACTTATAGAAAGAGACTACTACGCGCTTTAATACTATTACTTTCTTTTTATAAATACGTAAAGAACTTATTTTACTTACTTATAAACCTGACGATTTAGTAAATCGAGGATTAATGTGGTTTGAATTGCGAAATTATTTCAGATTGAAATTTTGATTTACTCACTGGAAACCCTGAAGGCAAAGGCAATGGCGCCCAGAAATCACGCCACCACAAGAAGGAAAAAGACAGGTCGCAGCTCTACCCAGTCGTCCGCTTCTTCCAGAAGCCCGCAAAAAGCGACGGCACGACGGCGACGCGGGTGGTGCTGTGCCGGCCTGCGCAGTGGACTATCAACGAGAAAGCGAAGTTGTCGACGCGCATACAGGTGCCGCTCGTGCTGGCGTATGCGCTCGCCGTCGAGCAGACAGTGGGCCGCACGATCGAGCCGGTGAATTTGAACCTGCTTCAAGGCTGGAGCGAAAACCGGCGAGGCATCGCGTACTGCGCGCTGTCGCGGGCGACCGGGTTTAAAGCGCTGCGGTTGCGGAACTTCGAGGCGACCAAGATCAGAGCGCACCCGGATGTGAGGGCGTTCTATGACGGTCTGAACCTGCCGAAGGAGACTATCAGCCACCGGCCCCCAAGACTATTGATAGGTGAGTCTGTCTCATTAGAACTCTTTGCTGCTGCCTTATTAACAGCCTTCATTAGCTTCCGAGTGGAGGCCCTCGGCATTACAGGTGGTTGAGAGCTATGACACGTTCCAGCGCACCAATTTACTCCGTCGGATTCGCGAACTGTTCGCAAGAGAGCTCAAGACAAACCCTCAGCTCACCAAGCCTTACTATAGAATCCAAACTAGCTTATCAGACGTGGTTCGGAAGGCTCAAAAGAGCCTTTGGGTGGAATACATCAGCTCACAACTGACTGTCACGGACCTAGATGAGTCAGGTACTCAGCAGAACTCTCCAACAAACGAGGCAGCATCCGGAATCAGGCCACGGACAGAGTCTCCGATATCTGCTTCCCCGACTGGAGAAATTTCTGATCCGTTTACTTTTAAGGCTCCACGGAATATAGACGATGATAGCGCAACCCGGAACGAGATGAAATAGGGTCGCAGCCTCTCGGATCGATAGCGGAATAGAAACGGTTCTAGCTAAAGATTCCGTTTTAGTTTATTTTTGTTGCACAATGTACTGTAGCAGCGCCGTAGTTAGCTTAGTCACCTGAGCAGGGTATAAAGGCGCCACCCACTCAGTCCTCATGCCACTCATCCAGTGACGACAATACTACCTCGTTTTCCATCACCCAGTGCAACATTAGTTTAACAAAAGTTATAAAAAGTTTTATATATTATTATACTAAATAATAAAGAAATAAAGAGTAACTTTAAAGCTTCGTAAAAAAGTTTACTATTATACTAACTATCTCAAAGATATTTCTAGAAGGTAGAGCTGTAATAGTAATATAGTACAGTGGTAGAAAGAGACGTGTTTTAAACTTATACTCTATACCATTAAGTTTGAGTCGTAATCAACTTTACGGGAGACATAGATGCCGTTTTCGGGGACCATGTGGCGCTGACTCTCCGAGTCGCTGATGCTGGGCTCGGAGTGGTTGCCCTTCACGCGATGCTCGCAGGTAGTAGAGACGGTTCCGCCTTTAATGTTGCGCATCTCAAAGTTGTCGTTATCGTCATCGTCGTCGTCGTCGATTGTGTTGTGGCGGCTGCGCTTGCTGTCGCCGAACCGCTCAGAGTCGGGGGTCTGGTACGCGGCGACAGTCCAGGTGGCCTTGGCTTCCTTGTCGTCCTTCTGGAGGGTACGCGTCATCTGGAGAGTGTAAGTGGAAGAAGTATAGGCAAAAAAGCACAGATAGAGACATACGTAAAAGAGAAGCATCGCATTGGCGAAGATATCGACGCCGCAGGATGCTAGGCAGAGCCAGCCGGGGGCGTCGATCATGATCAACATCACCAGGTTGGAGATGGTGGCGATGACGGAGCCAACAGAGGTCCACATGGACTTGATGGCGAGCGTGCGGAGCTTGGGATTTGTGAACTGGTTCCTGAAGAGGGGAACGACGAACATAGCGAGGAGATAGACTAGGGAGTGTCAGAATTTGACGGAGCTGAAAAGAGCAGGAGAGCGTACAGTTGACGAAGACGTCGAGGGACATGAGAGGGATCAGGGCCCACCACTGCCATCCAAATATACAGACACCATCCCCTCGAAGATCATAGATGCGACCAGTCTCCAGCAGGATGAAGACGGTGAGCCAGCACGCCATCAGGAGGAAATTGAAGCGGTAGTGCCAAGACTTAAGGCGGATTCCACCGCCGCGGACGATGAAGGCACGTTCCATAAGACTGTAGTCAAGTCAGCTGTCGAACGATTCAATAAGGGGCGAGTATCCTACAAAAGGTAGACGCCAAGCTTAGTCGTGGTGTAGAACCAGGTGCAGAGGAAGATGCCGCGCGAACACTCGCTGATGCCTTGGCTCAAGCCAACTCCGAGGTTGAGCACACCTCCGACAAAGATGTAGCACCAGCTGGCAGCGAGAGCGATGAGGATGGTGATCTTAGAGTAGGACATTTCCCACTATAGACGCGTGTCAGCAGAGAGCCTCGAGCAGATGGATCACGAAACGTACTCTGCTCATGGCGCGGATGGTTTTGACAAGCGGGAAGCGAGAAGACACCATGACGGACATCAGCGACAGGGCAATCAGATATCCAACGGTGACGCCGATCTGGACATCGTGGTTCGGAAACCAGGGCACGTCGTTTAGTCTCTCGTAGACCATGGTGGGTAATGCTTGTCGAGGGTCTCTGTAGGGGTTATTAGAGGGCGAGGAGCTGTAAGGGCGATGAAGCTGAAAGAAGTGCCTGCGCAACACAGGTTAAATAAGAGGTAACAACTTCTAGGGGCTTGCGGCTAACGGAGTTAGTGTTGTAGAAGCTGGTGGAAGCTGGGGAAGGTTCCTCCCCGGGATGGCCCCAGCCGGAGGATCTGAATCCCATTGTGAATAGTCGATCCAGCGGGGACGGGACGTAGCGCACTCGTTCCTACACGGCTGGTGGCCGCTACGTTGATGGGCGGAGTTGCGAAGAGGCTTAGGTAGTTCAGGGGGAAGGTGACATCGACTTAGTAGTGCTGTAGCCGGTGCAGCACGATCAAGCCACGGCCTTCTGAAGCATCTTATCGGTGCCGGCTATGTTTTTCCGATCACTGCACCTACTGCAAAGTGTTTGCTCAGCTAACGAATCTAACTGAATTCAATCCTCCCGCATAAGACGAGGACGGTCCAACTCGAGCCGGGCTATTATCGTCGCCGCCGCCATATATCGAATGCATGTACTGTGACATCAACCCGACAACTGTGTAGCTGTTGTAGTGGGTGACAGCCAATGGGCGGCACTAACAGCTTGGAATCATGTCGCTCAGAACGGTTGAGAAGTCGAAAAACAACGCGGACAGCTAGAGAGCACTGGACATGCTGCGGAACCATGAACAGGGGAGACTAGAATCCTGTGACCGACGATGCTGAGGTGCGGGAGGAAATCCAGATCTAAGGAAGCGCTAAGCTTCTTGCTAACCTAGATCACCACGTAAGCCGCTGGCCACAGGTCCGTGCGAAGGTCATCCGTGGGACTCGGGAAATCGAGATTCGCCGCAGAAGGATCGTAATCTTTACTAGGGGTATAGCTTTGCATCGCACTGTATAGTAGGGGCTGTCGTAGAGTGCTGATATACTGATGTTGCGATGCCTAAGGCTAAATGAAACGAAAATAGAGCGCTAGACTTTCCTGCGGGTAGCTAAGGGCTAGGTCTCGGCTTATAGAGATGGCTGCGAGGCTTATCTCCGGATGCAGCCTGGGCTCTGCTATATAACTATACAAGATGGGGCCTAGTATCTTGACGGGCGGGCGTTTAGCGTTTCCGGCAGACGCTATGGCGTTGTATACTAGCTCCTGGACTAGACTCCGCCCGGCAGGTCGGGCCGTCGTGCTCTAGCTTGCGGTAGCTCTTCACATGCCGGTGACATTTTAAGTAATTGACACTCACCGTAATAGAAATAAATGGCGCTGGCTTTGCTTTAATTGAGACCAATTTCTTATCAGCGCTCCACAGTGCGCGTCGTTATGCGACATATAGGGGAGCCAGGAGCCTTCACTACAGGCCCAGAACGTTCCCGGAGAATAATTCTGCCCACGCGGGGTGAGGTTCAGCGGCGTGTCACCAGATCGCGGCGGGCCCGACGTGGGCAAGATAGCTTCAGACTAGACTAAGCAGCCTCCGTCTACGTTCTTTATCGTCTCGACGAAGCACGCCGTGTTAATAATTAACGTCGTGACCCGTACAATCTCTTGATAGTAATCCAACCTCTTGCTCTGAACCCGCTTTGGACCGTATCAGATAGCGGGAAATAGTCAGGTAGTAGAAGATCTGAATATCTTGACGCAAGACTGCCCTCTACGAAGCAGCTGCCATCTTCTTCCTAAGCATCAAATCCTCCCTCTCCCGCACAACGGCCGCCATTCCCTCATTTCCGATCCCTTCAAACCCCTCAGCAACACCCTTCCGATCCCCTTCGCCCATCTCCTGGCTCATCTTCCACTTCCCCGCCACGCTCGTAATCTCCACCTCAATACCCACAATGGCCTTTTTCTTCATGTTAACAAACGCCTCCGGCGCATCATCCACCTCCCAAGGCCGCGCGAACCCCATGATGCTCGTCTCGCACATGCGCGACAGATCCGCCATCTGCGTGTCCAGAAACGCCTGCGTCACGTCGCTCTTGGCGTCGAGGTATAGCTTGAGCTTGCCGTAGACTTGCACTGCGCTGTAGTTCCACGTCGGCACCACCTTGCCAGTTGTTGGCTTCGTCGCCGTGTAGAACTTCGGCGTGACGTAGTGCTGCGATGGCCCGTTGAAGAGGATCAGCACGTCCTGCTCCAGCACCTGCGGCTGTCCGCCAGCAGGCTGCATTGTCTCTGTCATGGCTTTGACTTGTGGGTTCGCTCGCGCCATGTGGGCGCGCAGTATGCCCAGGGGCTTGTCGGAGGGGGAGGACGATGAGTCATCGGGAACGTCGAGGACGAACGGGAGGTGGCTGGCCTGGAGGACGGGGAAGGCTTGCGTCGGCGAGTGGATGGCTGTGGTGAGGAGGCCGAGGGGGTTGGCGCGGATGAAGGCGTGGAGGGTGGGGAGGTCGTGTTCGGCGTGGATGGCTGGGAGGAACATGGTGGCGACGGACGGGTCGAGTGGGACTGCGGCGGTGCGTTCGTGTCGCTTTGAGGGGGTGTTCAGGGCTGAGTTGACCGCTGGGCAGCTCGTTGTGTCAATGGGACGTGGCTGTACAAGGGGAAGAATGTAGTTCCTTACGTTGCAATGCTGATGGGTCTGCCTGATGAAAAGAGGCATTCGGGAGCATGGGGGGTTCGCAATATATGCACTCTGAAAACAATTGTATGACTCCCACGGGCCGAGCAGCTTTTTGCCCTGTCCTTGAGCTAGAGGATTCTGGACCCAATCAAGTCAACAGTATTAGCTAAGAACCATAACACGGTCCACCATTGAGACTTCTGCCGTGGTCGGCAGTGATGTCTTAGGACCTTTGAAGTGTATCTCCGCGGAAATGGAATTGACAGTTAGCTGGAACGCTTTTCATTGGATCCGGGCGTCAATGGCGGCGTTTAGGGGTTGCACAAGGATGGGTAAGCTAGATGCGTGAGGTCTGCCTTAGCGCCGGTAGAGCTTCTCGGTACAATGATGGTCTCCAGTCGGTTGGCCTGTGCAAAAGAGTCTGATGAAGGATTCGGGGGCTTGAAAGAGGGGATCATTTTGTTCGATATTGTGAAGAATGAAACAATCTGCGCGTTTACGTGTCGGCCAGTCTGATCTCCGGCGTTGATCCAAGTGGCTCTAGATGCCACGGCCACGTAGCCTGCTTTCCTTGCTTTGTTACGGTATTGCATACCTTGCTACTTTCTTGAAGATCGTAAGTTTCAGCTGAGTTGCGAAGGAAACTGGAGTCTACCTACACGGTGTTGCTTCACATTCCCTGTTGGCTGTCGCAATTGATAACCCTCTTATGTCCCCAGCTTGTCACCGTATCTCACAACCCTTATTTCCTTCTATTCTCTGCTCTGAGCATTGACGACGCAACTTCTTCCCTGACTGGGCCTCACACCAACGCCATTCCGTCATAACTTATGTACGCTACATGGGCTGCTACTCTACCAGCCAGTCGGCCTACGAAGAGAAGAGAGAGGGATACATGATGGTCACCCTTCGATGGGCTCTCCGTTCTCGGATCGGCTTAGCCTACCTTTGGTCTAGTGCTTGTCCCGCCGCTTTACGCAACCAAATCTGCCTATTGGTATGCCTTGCTTGCCTTCCTGTGTTTGTACCCGCTGCGCCTTTTTCTGTGCGGGGGTTCAGTCCTTCCGGTGGCAAAGTTAATATGCTCTCCTGTTTGATGACTCATGGCCGCACCTAGATCACTCGTCGAACCCTAAACGATCATGCGGAGCTCTAAATAGGGACTTTCCGTTAAAAGAAAGTCCATCCGAAGGGCGGATCATGAATCTCGGATCATTAAGCTCGGCGCCATCGACGGACGCTTGGCTTTATTCCTACGCGCTCCCAGCCGATGACCTACGAATGCATAAGTCCTAAGTCCTAAGTCCGATACCGAGCTCTTCAGCACGTAACAATCGTAACTATCATCACCACATCTTCCCTCGAACCAGCCCAGCTTCCTTTAGGATATTGAGAAATCTGCTTGTAAAGGATTCTTAGAGAAGGAAACCTGCTTAATGTATGTCATTTATGAAGGACACATAATCGTCTAGACTCATGACTTAGTTTTGTACAGGTTTACTTTCTTAACAAAAGTGCCACCGCCGCGTGCCTACTTCCTCAAGAGTGCATTAGATGGCTAGCTTCATCATGTCTGCTATCACTGTGTGATGCAAGAGCTCCTGGCGAGACGGTTGTGTCAAGCGCTAAAATTATCAATGGTTCGGCTCGGAGTTCAAGAGATAATTAATGACGCGAGCGGATCGTATTCTATTAAGCACATGGACAAAAAACTTGGTAGTCCGGATGTGGCGTTGAGGCTTTAGCACACACCGAATCTGTGACTCATCTAAAGTCGCCTTCATGGCGTAAGCGATGTGTCACGCACGCACTCGTTCTATTTCAATTCTAGAAGAAATGCACGTTAGCTGTAGGGTCGAGCTCTGGCGCCGTTGACGCCGGCTCCTGTATTTTGCGGTTATATCCGGGGTTAAGCAGATGCTACAAAATCCTATGGATGCCAATTCTCCGCGGAGATACCTTGTGGTACGCCAGCACTATGGATGTCTCCTGGCGTAGTTAGTTTCCACGCAAAACGTGCTATTTAACCTACCAGCCATTGCAAGCATCCAGCCTTCCAAACAACAAAGTTCCGAGAAAGTCACCCAGATCAACACAATCCGAACCCCCTCTCACCATCCTCTCCCACAACCAAACAACTTCAAACCCCCTCCCCCAGAACTATGGGATCCCTCCCCCCCACCACCGACCTCATCCTCACCGACCGCGGCGGCATCATCGAAAACACACACGCCATCCACGCCGCCATCGTCTCCAGCAGCGGTACGCTCCTCTACTCCGTCGGCAACCCCCATCGCCTCACCCTCGCCCGCTCCGCCGCCAAACCCGCCCAGGCCCTCGCCATCCTCGAGACGGGCGCCTTCGACCAGTACAACTTCTCCGCCGCCGACCTCGCCCTCGTTTGTTCCTCGCACAGCAGCGAGGAGCGGCACATCTCCCGCGCCCGAGACATGCTGGAGCGCGTTGGTGGAGGCAGTATAAGCGAGAGCGATCTGCGCTGCGGCGGGCACCCCGCGCTGTCGGAGGCGGTGAACAGGGAGTGGGTTAAGAAGGACTTCGTGCCGGGGCCGCTGTGCAATAACTGCTCGGGGAAGCACGTCGGGATGCTGGCGGGGGCGAAGGCCCTCGCTGGCGGTGCTGGCGACTGGGCGGCTACGTACCATCTGCCTGACAGCCCGATGCAGCTGCGCGTCAGGGAGTGCGTCGCGGACATGTGTGGCTTGCCGGCGGAGCAGGTCGCGTGGGCGGTCGATGGGTGTAACTTGCCGGCGCTGGCGTGCCCGCTGCGGTGCTTGGCGCGGAACTATGCCCTTGTTGCGGAGGCGGCGGATGTGGTGAGGAGAGAGGGTCCCGAGGAGGAGGAGGATGAGGAGGAGAAGGCGTCTTCCCGGGCGAAGGCTATGGGGCGCATTTTCGACGCTATGGTCAAGCATCCGGAGATGGTTGCCGGGGAAGGAAGGTTCTGCACCGTTCTGATGGAGGCGTTTGGGGATACTGTGATTGGCAAGCTTGGGGCTGATGCGTGTTATGGGGTTGGCGTACGGGCTTCGGGGCGGAGAGGTGCTCTTGGCATTGCGGTCAAGATAGAGGATGGGAATGAGGAGATTCTTTATGCTGCGGCGGCTGAAATTCTTGAGCAACTGCAGATTGGCACCGTAGATATGCGCCAGAAGTTGGCGAGCTTTCATCATCTAGAACGAGTGAATACTGCGGGTGCTGTTACCGGTAAAGTCTCCTTTCAATTCAAGGTACGAGCTGTCAGTGATGGGTAGCCATTTACACGATTAGACCAATTAGACCACTTAGCTGTTATTATAGCAATAAGAGAAAGTCTTAATTTATAGTTTCGTTGAAGTTTTACTACGCTTTAAACACGGTGGTTCTGGTGCAGAGGTTGGGTGGGGTTGAGTCCTCAGAGTTGGACTTGGGGCGATTAACGAAAAATAGTTGGGTCTGGTGATTTCCCCCTTTGACAGCTGTAGCGCGAAAGTGTTCCGACGGCTGCTTGGCCTCTCCTTGTTCTCGGGCCCAAGGCGTCATGTTAGTGAGACGGCACTACTATCGTCCCCCCAATGGCGCCGCCGCCTCGCTAATACGAGAACTCTGGTGTCCAGGCCAAGCCTAAGCTAGCAGGCAATTGCTACCTTACTCCCAGATATCGTATGAGCAGCTAGTCTTGGCCACCACCGCTGAACTTCAGCTCCGTGCGCGCCATGTCTGATGAAGGTAATAATGGCAACATGGCCTGCTGTGCTTACAGACGGGCCCGCCCGACTGTTGCCGTCCTTGGGCTGCTGCGCTGTCTCATGTGGGGCTAAAACATGTTTTTGGATCATGACAAGGGGAGAAAAACAGACAGCGGACCACCGAAGATAGCAAATGCTCTGCGAGGTTCGCAGGGTTCGACGAGCTGAGGTGCTGACAGCCAGGGTTTCCCCCACTTCATGACTCCGATTGGTGACCCACCCTGGACTGCGATACAGGTTTGTCATCATCGGAAAGCCAATCGATAGTCTGCACCTCCGAGCTGAATGGGTTTTTATAGACAAGGTCATATCTCGTGTTACACGGATGTATTGCATGTGGGGTCCAAGACCGTGCCAGGCTTCAAGGCCCAGATCATGCACTATATTTTCTGCGCTTTCCATCATATCGGAATGGAATTGCACCGTCAATTTCAACATCTACCATTGTCGATCTCATTGCCAGCTCAGAATCCCTCTACACTGTCCGGACGGGAGTCTGGACAGACTGGAGTCATGGCTCTGTGTTCGGGGCGACACTCACCCTGAGACGTGACGACACCAACCTGCTCATCGCTTTTATTGCATTATTTGTCACTGTCGTGGGTACCCGTGCCTGGCGAATCTGTTGTTTTGGTCTCCATCAAGCCCTTTCGTCTGCGCAGCCTCGAGATGGTCTTTACCATCAGCTTCAGGCCACACTCCGGAACGCTTCCAACGTTACCTCTGCACTCGTCACCCTCTTTCAACTCTCCTGGGCGTGGCGCGGCCTTGCGCAAGGTTGGAAACGGCGACTACTACCCGTTCTAGCCTTCGCAGTTCTGTTCTTTGCCGCTTTTGCGCTCGCCAGCGGCTTCTCTTCCCGGATAGCTGCCAATAGTGAGGCTCTGATCTCGAGCCCTCATTGCGGCTGGCTTGACTATAGCCTCAACACGAACAGCTCGGACCTCCAGAGCATTTTCATACCGTACACCTATCGAGACGTTTTCACATCAGCAAACTACGCTCAGCAGTGTTACGCATCGAACTCAACAGGCGTCTTAGCTTGCAGCACCTTCGTCAAGAAGAGACTGCCCGTGAAGGTCGTGACGAACGCTAGCTGCCCTTTCGAACAAGAAATTTGCAAGAGCAATGACAGAAACCTGCTCCTCGATACCGGCTACTTGGACAGCCATGAAGACTTTGGTCTCAATTCTCCGCCTGATCAGAGGTTTGAATACAGAAACGTGCTGCACTGCGCACCTTTAGTGACAGCCGGCCGCACCAGTACTTGGAACCTTTCCAGTGACAGGTCTTACACGAGATACGACTACGGTCCAGCAGTACTCCAACCTGGCAATTTTACTTATCAATACTCAAACGACTTTTTCTGGGAATCCACTCAAACACGTTTCACGGCGGCAGCAACAGACTACGATATAGGGTCAGTTTTTCCCAGAGAGATCAAAAGACATTCGCTGACATATATCAAGTTCTGCAAGAGCACTTCAAGTGAACGGCTCAATACTGACAAACATTTCAACCTTCGAACCGACGCCTGCCCTCCACCGAAAAGACGCAAACATCTACATCTTCTTCCTCTCCGCCAACCGCATCATCTTCAGCGCGCCCACCACCGACGACTGGTACAGCGCGACGACGCTTCAGGGCTACATCCAACACGCATCCGTAGTCGGAAAGGAAGCAGTCTACCGCCAAGACGAAGTCGCGTCCCCGCTAGCCTGCACCGACCAAGAGCAGTTCTGCGACACGAGCCTCCCCGCCGACCGTCAGCAATGCACGCCGCTGACGAGCTCCAACGACGCGCGGACGCAGGCTGGAGCTCTTCTCGACGGCGGCGACACGGCGTCGGCCAACCGCTTCGACTGGTTCAAGTCCACCATCTTGAACAAGCCCAGCCCGTACGGCATCGTGCAGAACCTGGGCACCGCCGCGCTGCTGTCCAGGAGCAGCCTCGGCGTCGGCATACAGCGGCCGCTGCCGACGAACCAGTGGCAGCTGGACGTGACGCGTTGGTTCGAGACGAGCTTGGCGTCCATCCAAGGGCTCTTCCTCGACACGGCGACGGGGCCGTCGGACAGCAGGATGCTGCAGTGGGTGCACAGCCCGGCGAACGCAGAAGAACGGACCCTGTGTCACAGCCAGGTACGTCCTTCCCCTCCCCCTCCCCCAGCCCACCACCCACCACTAACACCCCCACAGAAAATCCTCAGCACAGCATACATATCCTTCTCCCTCTTCGGCCTCAGCCTCATCCTCGTCCTCGGCACGCTCACCATCATCGCCTCCGCCGTCCTCGAGCCCGTCGCCGGCTACGTCCAGCGCCGCCGCGGCTGGAAGGATTACGCAAGGCTAGAGTGGTGCACCAACGAGACGCTCCAGCTGCAGCGCCTCGCCCACGAGGAGCTCGGCGTCGGGACGTGGTCGCACGCGCTCGACGCCGTGCCGCGGACGGCCAAGGGCGAAGTGCTTGCTGTGCTGGATTGGGAGGGGGGTGATAGGGAGCATCCGCGCTTGCTGGCGGTTGAGAAGGGTGAGGATGCTGCGGTGGTGGTGGTGGTCGAGGGGGAGGAGGGGGAGGGGGAGGCGAAGACACCTGCGGTCAATGAGGAGGAGCGGCGTGGGTCGGAGGAGGGCGGTAGTCAGGGGAGTGACGGAGCATCATCGGTGTCTTCTGTGGAAAGTTCGCAGGTTTGAATTAGTGGTTGCATTATTTCAGTGTTTAAGGACCTAAAGGCTAACTGCTCGGAAGGCTCGGGTACGGGGCGCGCCGAGGGGACAGAGGACACATGGGAAATAGTCACTCACCCGCTGAATACGGCTCCGGGAGCTGAGGCCTTACGAGTCATGATCGGCGTGCGGGAGACGCTATGTAGAACCGAGATAGGAATTGAATAACTTGAATACGCCACCAAACCCGGAATAATACCAGAGAAAGCTCTTATTTGAGTCTATCTCATGACCTTGGCAGGAATCCGAGTAGGGGAGGGGGGAGTGAGTGTAATCGATCTTTCATAGCCAGGTGGTTAATTGGTCGACGGCTGCAGCCTATGTCAACGCTTAACCCCCACATTTCGCGCGCCTGCGTGTTATCTCAGCTTGGGAAAAACCGGAGCGGACTCGCGGGTTGTTGAAAACCATGACAGATTGACCCTCTAAGGGGCTGGCGACTAGCAGAGACTATGTACAGTTCAGAGGTGGGACTGAGCCTAAACAGGCTACTCTGGGTAAATACTACATGCGGCTCTTCGTACTTCAACATTGGGTTTGGTCCGTTTAGCGAAAAAAGAAAAGTTGGGGTTGGTAGCGAAACAAATGTTGGTTTGGTAATTACCCAAATAAAAAAATTCTCCTGCCATATAAATTGGTGCTGACCCGACCTTTCGACACGACACACGCTCAGCATCCCCACCCAGCGGATCCATGAATACTTCTGCCACTGCTTCAAACAGTATGGATGCCAATGACTCAGTGAAAGGAGTCCAGGACAAGACCGACAAGCCAAAGGCGACTGTCCAACTGCAGGCACGCCTCGGCGCTCCCCAAGAAACTCCGGCCGACCTTTTACATGCGAACGATGGATCTACTACTGAATCACGATCGCTTCATGCGGAAACCACTACTAATATGGCAACACAAAGTCATGGCTTCGACCTGAGGAGATTCATCATCGATATGCTGATGAAGGAAGCCAATGAATTACTTGGATACACAACCTCTGACTCTTCCTCAAGTTGTTCCACGTCAGATACAAGCTCTGATGATACTTCGAGCGATGGGGGTCTTCAAAGCAGCCGCAATGTCTCTCCCGTTGGTGAAGAGGTAGAAACAGGGGTTCTTCCCTCTCCATCAGACGGTTCACACGAAGGTAAAAGGCGCGACCGTGACGGAGGTAGCATCACGACAAGCTCAGTCGGCATTTCTGAAGGGCCACCTCCCAGGTCTGAGAACAAGAGACGCAGAGGCGTTGAAGATGACGGAGAGGATGGTCAGGGACTCAGGATGAAGAGAACTGTGACAAGCGGCAGAAGAGCTTCAAACCCTCCGGAGACCCTCAACGAAAACGGCGATTTGCTTGGCACGGATTGGAGACTATAGCTCGTACGAAGTAAGTATTCTGACAAGATAGAGCAGAACTGTGTTTATGTCACTGACATATCTTCAGGGAGCATATCTATCGCAACCACCGCGAAAACCACGTCCGTGAGATCTGCCACGAGACTTTCGAGAGCAACAGGGAGCTCTTGAATCATTTGATGCAACCTGAACTGTGTACTGCCGTTGGTGAGCCAATATCAGCGAGCTCAAACCTTCTTGTCTTTTCTGCATCAGCTCGACAACAAAAAGCTCGTAAATAAGATGGCTAGGATCAAAGACTGGGTCAACGATGACGGGAAGGGATTCAGCTTCAATAGGCGTCACAGTTGTAACGTATTTTTAACAGCTATGGGACTCACACGTGACGAAGAGCCTCAGGAACCAAATTGAAGGAGCTGGCAGAACAGGAGGGAACTTAGCGCTCACTTCAAATTCACATTTTGTCGGGAATCTCAGGAGGGTTCTTGGTTCTGTCGGTGGTCTTTCTCTTTTTTTTTTGCTGCAACTGCAGTGAGAATATTTATTGCAAGTGTCCAAAATTGATTGACGGCTTTGGCTTTACTTTTGCTTCGAAATTGATGTTACCAGAGCATATGCGCGCTTCTACTGTCGTGGTTGTGTAGATAAACCCCGATAAATCCTCCAAGGGCAGACGGCGTGTAAACTGCCAGCAATTCTTATCTGGCTCTGTCTACTCATGAGAAAGGAATCATTCGCACGTAGTCGACTGGATGGACATGCTTAAATATTTTGATTCTGTGCGTGCAGGAAAACGAGGGTTACCCGAATGATTTGCACTCTCGTCCATAGACGTGGCTCCCATTTTCGTTGATGCAAACCAACTCGCCCGCGCAGCGCCTGAAGAAACTGCATCATCCGCGCGCGCACCGCTGCGTCCTCTCAAGGATTGGTGAATACGCACCGGAATATTCTACACCAGGCAGTTGATCCTGTTGCTTTCTTCGATAGTTCTCGCATACCGTATCAAGTTTTTGGTGTTGGAAAAGTAATTTCGGTGTTGTGCATTGGTGCGGGAAAGTTGGTGCGGGAAAACTGGTGCGCTGAACAACGCTTTTGCGGGGCAAGATCAATGTTTCAGCTCGTGTTCCGGAGCGAAGCGACGTCATGGCCAAAGCACCGCACATCCAGACTCTTTGGGTGGGGTTTTGGGGGCTAAAAACCAACAAGTGCTGCCTGGCGGCGGCTTACTCAGCTTGCATGTGTCACCCGCCGCGTGCGGAGTTTCCTCTCCAATCCTGCAAATCTCCACGTCCAATAAATAAAATATAAGGAGAGGAAACAACATCAAGTCAAGAGCAATCTTATCCATCTCAACACGCTAGTCTTGCTCATCTACCATGCCGCTCCCCTTTTACGACACTACCGTTGCCGTCTTTATCAGACAGCTCAAGAATCTCTCGGCCATCCTCCAAAAGGTACGAATACCATCCCATTGTGCCAGAATGAGCCCCTGATGCCAATTACGGCAGGCCGAGAAATGGTGCGACGACAACGGAAAGCCGCACTCGGAGGTGCTCGAGGCCCGACTGGCCCCGGACATGTACTCGCTGCCCTCGCAGATCCGGCTCAGCGTGCGGTGGGCCCGCAACGGCGTGCTTTTGAACAAGAATTACCACTTCAAGTCTTCGCAGACGAAGCCCGACGTTGAGCATGTGTTTGCCGAGCTGCAGGCCATCATCCAGGAAGAGCTGGACTTCCTGCAGGCGGTCAAGCCCGAGGATATTGAGGGGGCCGAGAACAGGCCGCTTTCAGTCTGGACTTCTGGTATGTCTCGGTTTACCACATCTTTTACCCCCAGAACACGTGCGCTAATTTTTTTGTAGGCGAGGAAGGCAAGGGTATAGGCATGAAGTTTGACGCTGGCCATAAATTGCTCACCCAGATCGTCTTTCCCAACTTTTGGTTCCATATTTCGACTGCCTACGCCATTTGCAGGATGGCGGGTGTCCCCTTGGGCAAGCAGGACTTCGTCATGGCTGCTGGTCCTATTGACTGTGAGTTGGTGATGCCTTAGTGTCAGCAATAGAATGAGAGGCCGAATATACCGTTACTCAGAGAGGATTTTCCACCGCGCATCATCTTAACCTGTAAGCGGCAAGTTTTCTTCCATGCTTAAAAAGGAGGTGTATCATGGGGTTGAGAATCCCGAATCACGGGACGGCATTAAAAACTGCTATCTTCATCGATTCGCTTTTCCACTAATCCCCAGTAAGTATCTCTATGCGGGCGCATACGCGCCACTGCCGCCAGGTCCGCGTGCTACGTAAGCTTGGCTTACCTTAACCACGACATCGGAGGTAGCCCCTCACTCACCCCTCGCTCATGCGCCACCATTAGCCGCGGTACCAAGATCCAACATCCGGCATCGCCGCGGAGAAACGGCTTTCAACGGTCATGTTACTCCGCATTCGGAACGGTCCACCAAAACCCCTCCTCAAGCAAGGGTGACTCACATATAAGTAGGCTCCGATCATCAATGCTAATGCATTGACATATAACCAACTACAACCGCCTTTAATCTACAAATCCATCAGTTCCTATCAAAAGAAAACACACCTAAATAAACACGGACACACCACCATGGCTTCCACCAGCTCCTCACCCATCGATGCCCCGCCCCACATCCACAACCTCTTAAGCAGACTCCACGCCCTGTCCATCAACCAAGAAAAAGAACTGAAGAGCCAAAAAGACGGCGCCCGCTTCGTATCCTCGACGTCCGATGCCTCCGACTTCGACACGCTCATGCGCGACAAATTCATTGCCCTCGACGAGGACAAATGCCACTTCGTGTACCAACTCATCCGCGCCAAGGGCGCTCTGAACATCATCGAGGCGGGCACGAGCTTCGGCGTCAGCACGATCTATCTCGCGCTCGCCGCCGGGCGGAACGCGGGCGCGCTCGGCCGGCCCGCGACCGTCATCGCGACCGAGTTTGAGGTCGAGAAGGCGCAGAAGGCGCGGGCGCACTGGAAGGAGTGCGGGGAGAGCGTTGAGAAGTGGATCGATTTGCGCGTCGGCGATATCCGCGAGACGCTCAAGGAGGGGGTCGAGGATGTTGATCTGTTGCTGCTGGACAGTAAGTTGCAGTGTGGTAAGGAGATGGTTGTGTTTGAATGCTGATCAGGGTGATAGTTTGGTCAGCGCTGGCGTTGCCCACGCTGAAGTTGGTGCAGCCGAGATTGCGGCCGGGTGCTGTCGTTCTTGTGGATAACACCATCACGGCTGCCGGTGGCTATAAGGAATTGCTGGAGTATATGAAGGCCCCCGGAAGCGGCTTCACAAGCATTGTGGTGCCTTATTCTGGAGGATTTGAGTTGTGTGTCTACTATCCGCCCAAGTAGGAACTTGTCAGCCCTGGTGAGACTACCGGCTTAAGTTTAGAGAAATTACTACTCAAGTTTCAGTAGAACCCTCTGCTCTTTCATCTCATCTCTCGAACTAACGTCACGGATAGCTGAAAGAGTTAGAGTTTAAAGAATATAAGATGTTGACTAGTGCAAAAATTTAAATCAATCAACAGCCATTCACATGGGCGTCATTCACATGCCTTACCTCTTATTGCTATATAAAGAATGTATGTATTTCAGTTTAGCATTGATTGTATTTGAAAAACGGATGTATAAACCTGCATTAGGTAGCAAATACAGAGGGGTGGCAGTGTTTATTCTAGTCTCACCCACATTGTTCAACAGGAAAGAAGTGGAAAGGAAATAAGGGCTGAGGCATCTGTGGCGTACTGTCCTGATAGAATTGATCGATTTCGGTGTCGCCCCACATTGCCAGACTCGCCGCCGTAAGTTCGTCCCACAAATCTGAATGCGCCACAATAGTAGGAGCCCTCTCGTCATGAGCACCATCGCTTGAAGCAATAGGTTGTGGGTCAGAGGGGTTGTTTTCTGCGGTGTCCTCAGATTGAGTATCAACCAAGGCAGAACCATGTCGTTGACTTGACAGGGCGTGAGCCTGCTGCATCTCATTCAGGGTCATGCTGTCATCTGTGTTTGGCGGTGCTTCAAAGGTTGCAGGGGATCCGATCACATTCACGTCCGGTGATGCGAGTCGCGAAGGTTCCGTCTCTGGCCGAACGCCGAGTATTGTCGTGTTTGCTGGAGAATTCTGCCGATTTCTTTGCTGATTGAGCCATGTGACAGTCCGTTGAGAGTTGTAGATCTCGTAAAGGTCTCTTTGTGCCTCACGGATCACGTCAGGTAAGCGTTCGAGAAGGCTACTGTAGAGTTCGGTGAAATGAGAGTTTCTCTCGGCTTCCGTTTCTAAAATTTCGCGAATCCGACCTGGTAAGTGGTTACGCAGAAACTGATCATATCCCTCAGTAGCTTGTGATACCAATGAGTCTTGATTGCAGTCTATTGGACATAATTAGTACAATGGGAGCCTGGAGTCTTCGTAACCGACTCACATGGCGACGGTGTTGGAGCATCATCAGGGAGATGGTGGCAGATACGGTAAATGTTTCTCCACTTCTCTTCATCAACTCGTCCACGCAGTCTAACTTTCAGCCTCTGTACTTGACTCTCGTCAATCCCTACTTGCTGAAAGGGCTCATCGACAGCGTCACATCTTTCAGTCCGTGCCAGATGGTGCAAGAGCACGTCACTGCTCTCAAATTCCACATGGCATCTCGGGCAGAAATGGTTTACGTGCTTGCGGTATATATGCTCTCTTTCAGTAGATTAGTAACTTAGACTTATAAACAAATAGTTGTCAGCATCTACTCACTTCGTACGAGCTATTGTGTCGAAACCTGGCCATACACAAGATGTGCATCTTGCGTGAAGTTCCGGATTCCTCTTGTAAAAAGGGCATGCGAATCGGCGCCTATGCTGAGGATCCCCGGAAGGTTGCGATGCTTTTCTGCGTTTTTTGGGCATTTCTCCGTCACTGTCCTCTGCTCCTTCATCTCCACCGTCTTTTTTTCTCTTATGGCCGCGGTTGAAAGAGGAGGCCTCATTATGGCTTGTCAAATTCGGAACAGTCCCGCTTCCATATTGAACGTGTGTTTGATCTCCATCTGGCGCATCCGAATGAGCGAGAAAGAGCGTTGATACCCCATGACGGGAATTTTGAGAAACATTGGGGTGGCTTTCACATTCTTCATCACTCAAGGTGTGATCTGAGCTCGTGTCCGACCAAGCGCAGCTCTGAGAGGCTTCCGAGTGCGTGTATCCAAGTAGCTCATGAGCTTTCCGCATCAAATCATTGATGAGACAATCTTTAAGCTCCGCATCGTGGCCCTGCCTTGGCTCTTCTGGAGTCAGTGATGGCGTAGCAAAAACGTTTCTTTCGTATCTAAAGTCGCGTAAGCATTGACCCATGCGTGTTTGATAACAATGAAGACTTCACCATACTTTTCTGCGGTCTCATATGGCTCATTATGCATGCCAAGTCTATAGTGATTGAGTTCCCGGAGCTGCTGTGTCTCCGCAAGTCTTATAGACCACACACTTTCCGCGTCTGCTAGTTCACTCCAGTCTCCAGCATAGCCAGCTATGCTGTCATCTGAAGCAGAGCATGGCCAACGTCTTGATTGAGCTTCCTTGGGTGGATAGTTGATGCTTTCTTCAGAAGAGTCGGGTGATTCTTCCTCGGTGCTCGAAATGAGCGATGGTGTTGGGTAGGACTTGTGCCCTTCGGGAAGATTTTCGCAAGCGGAATTAGGCAGGTCGTCTTGTTTTTCCTCGTCCCGGCAGTGGACTCGAGTGTGGAGTTCACGAAATTCCCTGTGAGACATCCTATTTAGCTTTGCGGCTCTAGTGAAGCTATCGAGATACATCCATCTCCCGAACTCAATATTCCGAAGGATAAAGGGGAGCGCTTATGGAAAGGAGATGCTGCTAGGCTCGGGGAGATTACCGACGAGAGAAAGACATGTGACATGTGAAACATTTGAAAGGTGCTTCGTTAATGTCTATGACGGGGGAGATCAGTAACACGAGGGATGTAGCAGCAATATCAGCGGTGTTAGCGACGTACGTCTGTGAATATGCCTCTCAAGATCTTCGTCCTGGGTGAAGGACTTGCCGCAATAGGTGCAGAAGACCATGGTTGTGGAGACCTGAGGTCAGGAGTCGAGTTGAGATCGCAGAAAGGCGAAGCAAGGCCTGAGTGGACGAACGTTGGTTGCAAAACTAAGTGACGACAAGTAGTAGAATACTAAGCAAGAGAAGCTCATGTAAAGCTACGCTGTTCTAATCATGGAATGAGAGAGACTGTTGAAAACGTGAGAGCAGAAATCTTTTACTTTTAAGGCTGTTATAACGCGCAAACTCGCAAAAGCTGAGCGTAAGCGAAATGTCAAGCGGGGCTGCGCGCCCGTATAACCTGTAAGCTGCACCGACGCCCTGCAATTATGGACCAATCGCTATCGGACTCGCCAGCCCCGCATCCCAGCCTTGCATCCTTCCAAGTTTTAGAGTTCAGCGGTGGCAACAGTGGCAGTGTCGAAGTTGAACAACTTTACAGCGATGAGCCGCTTCGTAGATTCAATTGGACGTAGTAACTCAGCATCCCTGATTACAGGCTTTGATATTCTCGTTTTGGCCTATATGTACAAGGTCCTAGCATCTTCGTCACGATCCCGAACATTAAAGACACTTCAATCTATACATCAGAAATTAACTGCTACAGCTTCTATCCTTCTCGCAATAGTGCGCGTCCCAGAGACTAGCGGTGTGCGAAGTGTAGTGGTGAGGACGCTTGAGTGTGATGAATACGGAGCAGCTTTGCGATCGGCAAGTATCAGCCTTGCATACAGGGTCTAAAAAATTGACACCGCTTATCTAATTAGGCACAAAGACGCTATTTCGCAAGTCATTCACACTAAACATCGCAAATTCCTTGCACGTAAACCCATGTCTCATCAATTAGTCAATGCGGTACGTGTGGAAACGGAGGCAGTATAACCCCTCCAAACTTGGCATGGCGATGGTGTGAGCCTCTTACAGTCCTACAATTTTAGAATCGAGGCTCCTAGACTTCCTGAGTCATTTCTTTGCTACTAGACTATGGTGCTGTAATGGAGATGTCGGTGTTGTAATGCTAGGACTGAGAAAGGGGAAGTAGCGTGCGGAATTTCTACTAGCTAGACGGTGGATCGTTCAACTCAAGAAGAATTTATCTTCGAGTCATTCTTGTACAAAAATATACAAAAGAGCCATCTAGAAGTAATAAATGCGTTTATGTTAGCGACAGAATGTTAAATAAAACTAAAAAAAAGAAACAAATGCTTTTGTCAGCTCTATTAGAAATGTTAAAACTGTGGGAAAATGCCCTTTCTGTAACCTGACACCATCCCAGCCTAGGAAAATTACCGCTTAAATCCATTTCCACCGAGACTAAAGTCTAGCTCACGTTTATCAACATCCCCCATGCCCCTCCCCTCAATGATCGGAAATCACTTGTCGCTTGAAACTTCTTCATTGAAGTGGATCGTCGGTTGATGGTACCATACTGGACCCAAGGTTGTCACCCTGAGACCAATCAAAGGAATCCAGCCAAGACTCTCCGTTTGTCCCGTTTTCCAAATTATCATTCTGCGCCACAAAACGTTGGATGTTGGGATTGAGATCGAATGCAAGCTGGGTCCGGTTTGGCATCTGGGCACCGTGCATATGGAGAATTAGAGCGTCCCCACCGCTTCCATGCACACCTTGATCTTTTAAAAGATCATCGACACTCACGCTTTGCCAACCACTAGAGTCTTGTGAAGAGTGTGACTGGCGAGGGAAGGCTTGTGGTTGAGGAACATCTTCGGTAGGAATTGGTTGGGACCCAGAATCCCCATAAAGGTCACTGGGTTTGTGTGGCTCAAGCACGCCGGAGCCGTATGCGGAATCACTGTTGCGATTACCCCTCCGGCCAGACAAGTTAAGAACCTGCTGAACCTCGCTTGGGTTCATGCCATTGTCAGTGTTAGGTGGTGCTTCGAAAGCCACGGGCACGTTGGTAGAGTGCTGATGAGGTGCAGGCTCCACTGCTCCTTCACCTGAACGATGTGCTGTGAGTGCCGCATTATCCGGAGAGAAATCTTTTTCATATGATGGTGTCGCATTTGCTCGAGGGCCGGTAAATCTCTGATATAGATCGTTTTGACAATCACGGATGATAGCCGGTAGCTGATCTGTGGCATTTTCAAGAAGCTGCCTGATATTTGGCTGCCGTTGAAGGCGTTCCTGAATCATGTTGGGTAGATGCTCGCGCTGATACCAGTCATATCCTTCGACTGCCTGATCGGCTGGAGAGTTATGGTCGCAGTCTGTCACTGACTTTAGTGTAAAGCATTCAGCATGGTATATTGTGACTTACAAGGCCAAGGCGTGTCTGCATCGTCAGGAAGGTTATGGCAAATCCTGTATATAGTTCTCCACTTGTTCACAGGGTCGGTTCCGCGGTCTCTGCTTCTCAGCCTCTTCAGTTGATCTCCATTAAGCCCATCCCCTGGCTGTGGTCCCACAGTCTGGAGGCATCTTTCAATCATGGCTAGGTGTCTGACCAATTCCGAGCTGCTTTCAAACGTTTCGCGGCATCTGGGACACGTCGTGTCCCCATCATCATGGCTCACATGAACACGGTAGAGATGTTCCCTACAAGTTTGTAAGAATTACGACAGTATTCTATTCCTTTTCGGAGAGTACTTACTTCAAACGTGATATGCCACCAAAACCAGGCCAGAGGCATGATGCATTTTTACCATGGACTTCCGGGCTCTTCTTATAGAAAGGGCAAGAAAACCTGGGCCCGTTTCGGATGCTTTTGAGAGGCCTGGGATTCTCTTTCCTCTTTTTGCCGTTTTCATCATCCTCACCTTCTGACGTAGAGCCACCCGTGCCCCTCTTTCGCTTGTTTCCGAAGCTAGACAACGAACGATCGGCAGTGTTGCTGATATCTTGGGATCCAGGTCTTGTGGTCTGGCTTCGCGATTGGTCTCCAGAAGGTTGGGTGGATCCGCCTTGGCAGTGATAAAACCCCACTTCTGTCGAGTCATCAAGGTCCACCGCGGGGTTATGCCTGTATTGCTCGTCGTAATCGTCCAAGTTGCTTCCCGGTGATAGGCTACTTTTGGGGGAACCAGAAGGCGTGGAGCCAAGAAGCTCGTAGACCTTCCGCATAAGCTCGTCTAAGATAAATCCTTTGACCTTTTGGTTAGCATTTCTTTCCTCAGCTAGGAAATCAGCCCAGTCCTTCCAGATAACCCACTCGGGGCTGTACGGGTTGAGGCTGCGGAGCATGGCGTCGATCTTTTCAGGATCTTCGTTCCAGGTGAAGGTGGCCCCGGAGGAAGTTTTAGTGGCGGAGGAGCTGCTGGTATTACTGCTGGAGGCAGTGGACTCTCCTCCAGCGCTTCCGCAGCTCGTGGATAGAGAGGTGCTCGAGGATGAGGGTGGGCTTACCGCGGACGACGAGCAGGCACTGGCCCTGTCGCCCTCATCATCAGGCGAAAGGATACTGGAAATGCTCATGTTGTGATTTCGACGCGGCGGTACCGATGAAGAGACAGGCGGCGGGGATGTGCAACCGGAGGTGTATTCCTGAGGCGATGTGGCTGGGGTGGGCAGACTAGTTGCTATTGCTGGCGAGTAAGCGAGGTGGTGATGGACAGTTTTCCTGCCCGCTCCAGATCGGGAGCCTCCTCTGGCTACATCCATGACTTGGTTCCAGAAGCTAGTTTCCATGCTCTGTTGGTGTTCCGTCATAAGTAGGGCTTAAAGCATGATTAGCCGAGCTACAACACCAGTGAGAGGATAGTTTGCTGGATTAAACGCTCTGTTACATTGAATTCTTTATACTCTCGGAGTGCAGTCGAAAAATGTATGCACTTCTCGTCTAGAAAAGAGAATGCAGTAATACCTACGGATTTCCGGAAATACTCGCAGTCTCAGAGCGATGTAAGTGAGGCTGTCATTTCAGACCATGGGTCCCCGGAACAGTTCTTATGGGGCTTGCCGCAATTTTCAAGGATTTTGAGCTGTTTGCGGGTGCTACGAATGGTGGTAAGAAGTGTCGAGGAATAGATATGGAACTTTCAAGGCAAAGAGGTGTTGCACAGTGCATCAAACGCTAGAAGGCGAGGAACCGAGTAAATCAATTGCACAAATTGGAAAAGACGAAACTGAGTTAACGCGCACGTTCGTAGAATGTGGGGGATGTCAGCGCTAAATATTCCGAATTCGCTGTGTCTGTGTAACACATCGAGCAGCCATGTCAACCAATTAAACCCCTGTCATCTACGCGCTGCCCCTCTCCTTGAACACCAACTTCAGCTCAGGCAGGGTCATGGTCCAACAATCGCCACTGCCGTTGATAAACTTCTGTCCATCCTCGCCCTCAGCAAAGGTAACCTTGTACTTCGCCATGGTCCTAGCCAAAACGCTCCTCAGCTCCCACATGGCGAGCTTCTGGCCGACGCAGTAGTAGGTGCCGACCTGGAAGGGGAACCAAGCGGAGCGGTCGTGCAGGAGAGGAGCCTCGGGGGTGCCGGGGATCCAGCGGGTGGGCAGGAACTCGGTGGGGCGGCCGAAGTAGCGCTCGTCGCGCTGGATGCACCACTGGGGCATCATGACGATGGTGTTGCCGGGGATGTTGATGTCGCCGTACTTGGCGTCGCGCACGTACAGGCCCTCGGGAGGGGTGACGCGGGGGTTGCCGGACGGGATCGGGGGCTGCAGGCGGAGCGTCTCGTTGATGATGGCTTCCAGGAGGGGCACGCGGTCGAGCATCTCCGGGGTCAGGGTGGCGGGGTCGGCGAGGGCGCTGGCGGGGACGTGCTCGACGATGGCGTCGTAGAGCTCCTGCTGGATCTCGGGGTACAGGCTGAGGTAGTAGAGGAAGTTGGTCATGGTGGCGGTGGCGGTGTCACTGTGGTGGTGGTTAGCATGAGGGGGGTTTTGTAGAGAGGAGAAAGCAGGATACGTACGCTCCGGCCATGACAAGACTGCGGGTATCATCGTCGAGAGCCTCAATGGTCTGGGCGCCCCACGGCTTCTTCTCCTCGTAGGCTTGGATGAGCCAGGCCAAGACGTCAGTGGGAGCCTCAGGCTTCTCCTCGGAGTTGTGGACAGCCTATTCGAAACAGATTAGAATCCCGCTTTGTGCTTGCTTAGCCAAAAACTCTTACCTTCATCTTCTCCCTAACCAAATCCCTGCAGTAGCGCGCATAGGGCTCCATAGCGGCTTGGCCGCCAGGCATGCGTTGCAAGACGTTGCCCAACCACGGAACGTGCTTCAAAAGACCAAGAGCGAAACCAAAGTCGTGCATTTGCTTGATGGCAGCGTGGTCGGTAGCCTTGCGCAGGCAGTCGAAGTCCTTGCCGAAGCCAACAACACCCATGATGTCGTAACCGAGCCAAGAGATCCAGTCGGTGACATTGACGGGCTTACCGAGGTACTGGGGCTCGCCGAGGCGGTTGAGAAAGAGCGAGATGGTCTCCTGCATGGCAGGGTTGTACCTGGCAACCTCTGAAAAAGGGTCAGTGGAGAAAACAATGGCGGGCTCGGGGCGTCTAACGTTGCGGGGTCATGGAGATTTCCCACGCCCTCCTTCCTCTGCGGTGGTCCTCGGGATCCATCTTGAAGGGAAGACCCTGGCACTCGATTCTGGTCTCGGCCATGCCATAGAAGTTGCCCTTTCCGCAGGTGATGATCTGGCTGAGCGGCGAGATGCGGTTAATGGAGAGCTCGCGGGGACCTGCATGCGCTGTTAGTATCGAATTCAGAAAATGATGAGAAGGCTGCATTACCAGTGCGCACGACATCGCCATATTTCTTGTGCAGCTTCTCGACTTCGAAATGGTACTGAAGGTTACGCGACATGTACCAGCCGTAGAACTTGGAAACCTTGGCTCCGAGCGGGCCGGGGAACTTGCGCAGCCGGTGGAAGAAGAGGCGGTACACAACCGTGGACACTGCCAAGCTCGCGACAAAGATGACGGCAGCAACGGCGAGGGATGATGCGGATTCGGCAATCGGTTTTTGGAAGACGCTAACGTCGACGTACAGACCGGCAAGCCAGACGGCGGCGAGACCTGCAATAGTCTGAGGAACAACAAAGTCAAGTTCGAATGTCTGGATTGCGGCGTGGAAAGCCACGCCGAGGACGGCGGACGTAGCCCACGTGGAGGCTCCCATGCTTCTAGATTAGTAATTTAGAACGGCGGGAGGATGTTTGCACAAGAGGGGACGTTCCTCGCAGTTAATATACGCCCTCTTGCGGCGTCGTGCGGCGTCGTGCTTCGCACGCGGCGCCCACATGGCGAGCGGGTCGGTACTCCACACCTCCCCCTTGACAGGGGTGGTCAAACGGTACCCCGCTCCCTTACTCGCTCAGCGCTTCTGATCTCCCTAAACGAATCCCTTTCATGGTGTTCTCCGAGACGGGATGCACGGTCGGGATCCAAAGCGGCATAGTAACCACGGGCTTTAGGAGGCTGGCCCACCTAGCGAAACACTCAGTGCCGCCGATTGGATGGAATACGAAAGCAATCCGTCAGCTTCTCCACTATCGAAAGATAAGGCAATGGCGTGAACTGTGGAAAGGATGCGGAATGACTCGAGGACTCGCCGCTAGAACGGATATTCTAAAGGGGCAAGCAAAGATTGGGGTGGACGCCCTAAACGGCTTTCCAATCGATGTGATTGGTCAGTCGCTCTCGTCAAAATGACAGGGACGTTTTATTACCACCATTCTGGCCGTTGGTGATGAATATCTGCGACATCTTATCACGACCGGCGCAAGACGCACGATGACGGACTGTTTCAGCGAGTCATATACGCTGTCGCGTGCGAACACTCGCATTATTTAAGGAGATTGCTGATTGCCGAACGCCCACGTGGCGCACGTGGTGAACAGCAAGCGACCACGCGACGTGGGACGATGCGGCGGCCCGCCCCGCAGTAAAACGGTGGACTGAAGAGAGATTGCAAGGGTCCTGAAGAATCGATTAGGCTGGGCTCTAGAGCGCTGCATAGGAAGCCGGCATCTGCACATTTAGAGCCGCGGCAATTCCCGGCACCTTACTTTTTATCTTTTCTGTTTTTAGAAGCTATGGCATTCCTCGGCGATAAGCAATCGCAATGCATAATGCCGAAGAGGCCGACCTTGTCGCAAGTCGAACCGCGATCGCCCAACGCTCTTTGTTGTTCATTCGCAACATTATTCCCAGGATGGATAGCAGCGGGTAGTTGCCGCCGTCAGAGCTAAAATAGCGCAGGATCTAGACGCGTACGGTTAACGGCAAATCAAGTTGCCGCTAGCGCTACCAGCGGCTCCAGCGGTTCTAGCCCCTCCCCTCCCCCTCCTCCACCTCCAGTTCCTCCAGCTCCTTCAGTTCCTTCAGTTCCTGCAGCCCCTGTAGCTCATCCAGCACTGCCAGCGCTACTACCAGCAATACATTTAGTATACATTCTTTTAGAAATAAGAGTACGAAGGTACGAACAAACGAAAACAATAACGAATAAGTAGTTGCCGCTATACGAACGGTTCGGATTTTTACGAACTGCGTAAATTTCGGCTTACCTTTTGACCAGCATTACCGCCTATAGAGCGAGAGACCTAACGTGTAGAAGACGCTTTGGCCAGGTCAAAAGGGACTCTAAAAAGGAGTACTGCTAATTTTAACCCACGGCACTGACAGTGCGGGTGGCGCTTGAGGAGCTGGAGGATCTGGAGAAATCGAATTGCTACCACCCGTGCCTGCGAATTGCCCGTGCTTCAAGCATCGCTTGCGCCTACAAGCAAAACCTTAACCCTAATGTGGGAAATTCGCTCATGGTTGCTCACCGGTTGATAGCATTGCTCTCCTATATCGTATTAGAGGGTGGAGTCACGCGTCATCGATGGGCCGATCTTTCGACGACGACTGCATCAGTTTGAACTCTAGCAAAGCATACTCTTACTTTGCATTCACCCAGAGCTTTTTCTGAGGTTTACCCGTTGTTACACTGCATCGTGCAAAGGACTCTCGTTCTACTACCATTGAGCAGTCCCTTGTCACATAACACCATCTAATGCTTGCCATCGAACGAATTCCAGGGGCTCCTCACCCGGATGTTCCTTGCTGCTTTAGGCGACAATGACGATACAAGTAGTGCGCTCAGGGTCCAGTTGCGGTGAACATTGAGTCTTGGCAGATCCTTCAGTTGTGCGAGAGCCATAGCTTTGTCCATCAAGCACCATATGCGGAAGGTTCTCAAAGGGTTCCCAGCAAGCACGGTCGATTCCGTCGCGATATCTTAATTGAATGATACGGAATCGAAAGATATAGAGAAGTTTCTCGTCTAACTTTTGGGCGTAGACAATAGAATATTGTCCATCGTATCCGTCATCACCATTGCTGCTGCCGAGGCACTGCGGGCGGCTAAGCTGAATGTTTGTTTTAACGGCACTCCTTTGCATGAAGGTCAGCCTTGCGTAGAGTTATCAAGGGGTAGGATTCTGAATCAACAATGGTTGTCCGGAGGGTTGAGCTGTATGGTTCTCCATATTTCCTGGTCATGGGTTACGTACCCCCCTGTCAATGATCGACACGCTCGGCGCCGATCAAGATCTAGAAAGCAAATTGGCAGAGCTTTGGGCATGTGGTGTGAACGCGGTTGCCAGCATTAGGCCGGTCGCGAAAGCGGGGTTACCATTTGGAGAGGCCTAAGAAATCTTCTATAACCTGGAACATTCCCACCTTCGCTTTAACCAGCCAGAAGTTCGCACCTCGGACTGGCCTATTGGATGAGCAAGATTACCCAGCAGATACACAGAAGACTTACGAGGCAATTGGGCTACTACTGAAGAATACATCCCAAGAACAGCTGGAATCGCTCCACAGTCATGTTGCTCAATATTATTTGTTGCGGACGAGAGTATGCGGAAGGTTGCTGACGCCAAGGGCACGGAACTACTACCAGGCTCTTGTGTTCGGTCTCCCCTATAGCCTCCTGGATCAGCCTCTTTTCTTCAGCGAGGTTGAAAGCGCCGCATTCTTCCATGATATATGGGGTAAAGGAAGTACCACTTTGCTGGCAATGTGCACTGAATTCGGGAGCTGCTTGCGAAGCACGAACATGATCAGCAGGTCGCATGTTCTCTACTCGCTTTCATCCATGTATAATGGGTGTTGCAAGCTTTTCAACGTCAACTCATCGCTTCCTCGTCTCGCCGATATTCTTAGCCCAATCTCGGTGCTGACAATGCCTCTCATCCGTACCACAGACATTCCCGAGGAAATCTGGACAAAAGCGCTTGTCGACCTGCCCGTTGTTGACCTCATAACAGACAAAAGTGACGGTGAATTGTTGGCAGGCGATGACGACGGTCTAGTGTTCGCGCAAAGTCCGAAGACGAAGCAATTACAACTGCGGCCAGACCTATGAAACCTACCTAAACCTGGGTTGTCGATCCAAGCATGTGCACGCTGCTCGGAAGTGGATGATATGGCGGGATGGTGATGATTGCCTCGGGCGGTGAAAGGCTTATCGGTGGATTCAACCCTTTGGCGGCTGACATCTCATTCCTCAGCACTGCCTACGTATGTCCGGGGGTTGGCGAAGATGATGACCCCAATAAAAGGTTTGAAGTGTTCGAAGTGAGAGATGAACATTGGCTGAAGGCGCGAGCGAGGCGGCCGGGAGAGGGTTCCCGTGGATTCGAAGTAGAAATCGTCCATTAATATGGGTGTGCATGGCTCCGGTATGCTGCGGCTGGCTTTTACGCGGAAAATGGAGGGGAGGTAAACATTGCAAGGGCTGCGGGTCAGCTACTCACGGCTTATGGGAGAGCTCGGGGACAAGATCAGGGTATCGTCATCTCTTGATGTTTTTAGTGGGGCTCATGCTGCAAATTGAGATTGGCTGTCGTACCAATACTGCATCTGCAATGTCCTATCACAGCTAGGCGACTTAAGCAAGGCTGCATGCAAGACGCACGCCGACAAACTTGGATGACAAGCCCTATGCGCTGTTGCCTACACCTCTCGTATTAGAAAAAGCGAGGCGCATCGTGCGGGGCTCAAAATGACACACCTGGGCTCCGAACCTCAAAACACGCTCCTCTATGGATCCACTTACTCAGTCTCGACTGGGGTCCGTGTGGGCGAACGTGAGCCGACGAGATTTTGAGAGAAACGTCGATGAGCTTTACAACAAGGAAGTCGTTCCAGAGCCTAATGACTATACCGGTGATGACCAAACGGTCAATGGAGACGCGCACGACCCATTGCCTATTGACATAGAACGTAAACTGGCGGATTACTTCGCCTACATCTCGGCATACGATGCTGGGGTTCATCCCGTGACGGCTGCAACGATCGAGTACTCGCTCGGGTCTCCAGGAATCACGGTCCGGCTTGCCGCAAACAGCGGTGTCAAAGATCATGTCCGAAAGGCCATAATCGATGTTCTAATTGCACTCAAAGAGTGTAACAACAGAGGTTAGCCAAGCAGTTGCTGGACGAAATGATTCGAAACTGATCCGCGTTAGCCTCGCATCGTAGGAAATGTGAAGAGAACATTTTCGATATCGTCGTTCGGCTCAACCGGAACAAGATATATTCACGACTCGGGTCAAAACATTTTCGCAAACCAACGAATGGCTACCCCCAAAAGAAGAAGAAAAGGGTGATGAAGAAGAAAAAGAAGCAGAGTAGGGAGAAGGTGAACGGGCCTTTGAGCGTCTGCTTGAAGGAGGTGCTGAGGGATGAGTTGCTGAAGGAGCAGACTCTCAACCGTCGGCGTGCTTTGACGGCACTGGCGGACGAAGTCAATGAGTTCCACAATGCTTTCGAGGTACTAGAAACGTCCGAGGATCCAGAATTGGTGGAAGCCATTAAGAAACTCATTAAGGAGGCCTGGTCGATTTCAGGGAAAGATACCAATTTCCATCGCCGGCTCGAAGAACTAGGATTTCCAGAACAGGAGCTGCGTAAAATAAGGGAGGTTCGAGAATTGGACAAGACCGCACACTATTGGAGAATAAGTCGTGATCTGGTCAATATACGTGTGGCTCCCAGTTATCGTCATTTGTTCGACAACCCGCGGCTAGAGGCGATCGACCATTACGAACCTGTTCTTAGCAGTCAACAGCTTGCTCCCAGTCAACAATCTGCCCTTGGTCAACGACCTCGACCAGAAAAAAGATTCGTCCATGCCGAGATCCAATTGATCGTCTATTATGAGATCAGTGGCGCCAAAGCATCTCCGCGAGTATTAGGAGCCTCAAAAGAAGCATGCTTTCTGTGTGATGCTTTCATCAAAGCGCACAATCGTTTCTCTGTCTCGAAAGCCCATCGGAAAGTTGAGAACCAATGGACTGTGCCTGAGAGACGAGAGTACAACGCCGAAAGTCTAGAGAGGATGCAAAGAGCCATAAAAGCTGTAAACGATGAGGTGCTTACCCAAACGAGAACTACGCATGGATGGAGACCATGGGCAGCTCAAAGCTCGATCAACTTGAATAGTTTTGCGGAGAAATCGCCTCCAGTATCTATCATTAGTTCAGTTCCGACGAAGCAGTCAAGCACGATGTCCATTCGAGAGCCGACTAGAAGGACGAGCACTTCAATGGTGAGGCCCGGCGAGAGGCAAGGAATCTTGACGGATAATGGGTCAATTTCATCGAAAATATCATCTTCACTAAGAAGCTCTTCAGCGTCAACCGTCAAGCCAGAGAAAAACGGATCCAGTTGTTCTGCAGAACAGGCGATCGCACATCAAGAGACGATAACGGAGAACACGCTTACAGCATCCGGCTCTACACAAGCAACCGCGAAGCAATCAGAAAGTGCACAGACAAACGGTAACGGTTCGGGTACGGCAATTCAGCAGACGAATGAGACGGGCCGGCAATTTCCGCAGAGAGGTGCTGATACGGATGCGACCGGAAGCAACACAACAATTCAGCCGCCCCGGGGGCCAGTCGAGCCAAATGGAGATGAGCACGGCCAGAACGGGCGGCAACACAGCCGATTGTCGGCTAGGGAGCGGCACGAAATTGCACGGCGGAATGCTTCTCCAATCCGATTGGGAGGGCTTGAATTGTTCGAAGATCTGGAACAGTTCTCGGATTGCGATAAGGCGAGCATCAGCCTCGTTTCTTTCAGCGATTGTCCGTCCAAAGAAGCCGACCGGGTGGTTGATGCCCGAAGCCTGGCGGCAGACGAAGAGACGGTGATCGGAAAAGCAAGCGGAGCGGATGGCGGGGACCTAACAGTGCGGCTTCATGTAGAGGGTTACGAGGATGCCATGCTTATGTGTAGCTGGCTTGCGTCGGAAATTGAAGGGCATGGCCAGTCACGGGGTTAGTTGGAGAGCCGGCTGACAGCGATTGTCGAGGCTCAACAGCGGGCGATGAATGGCGTTGAGGCTTAGGTCCATATTTGTATAGAGCCGGGCTGGATTGGAGGTTAGGTTTGTTGAGGTGGAGTGAGATAGGGCGGGCCATGCCGCCCTTGCATGCGGGCGATAAGCTTGATGATGTGAAGGGTGCGCGATTTGTTCCGAGGAGACGGAGTGCAACGTGCGCTGAGTGCGAGTGAATACCGTGTGGTGCAGCCGGGGAGCGAAATTCCGAGCTTGTTGCGGCGCGGAGCGAGGTATGGGTGAAGATTGGGTGATGGAGGCAGCGCCAGTCCCGCGCGCTTCAGCCGGCCAGCGGAAGGGGACCAGCGACGCTCCCCGACAGCCGCCCGCCTTGGCCTGTGCACGTGGCGCCCGCTGCGGTCGATGGCGGTGGGCGAGCAGCGATACTGGCCCAATGCATTCTGTCGAGCGCAATCGCGCCACGCTCGCTGCAGCTCGTTCATATGGGTTTTCCACGACCTCAATGTTGGGCGCTGGTGATACGTTTCACGTGTGATGGAGCGCTGGGGGATGCGCGCAGGGCGGCGCTGGCCAATCACAAGCGGGGCTTAGTTAGCGGGGAGGGGAGCTCTGGCATGACGTACCGCAACACACCTCCCACAACGGCTGAAGCTTCCCGTCAGGAGCGTGCCATCCCGACCAGCCGACAACAAAGACGCGGGAATTTCAGGAGCAATGCCTCGCCGGACCGAGGATGCGCGAATGGGCTACGCGCAGCCCCAGCGACGCCCACCACCTGTCATTGGTCTATTGACGTGACTGATCAAGCTTCCTGCTGTTACGTCGACCCAGCAGCGCTGCTTCCCCGCATTCTTGGGAGCCTTGCAACCACCTGTCAAGCGGAGAAGGAGGGGGCTGCACAGCCTGCACTCTTCCGTCCGTCCTGCTCTGCCCCTCTCCCAGCTCCCTCAAAGAACCAACAAGTACCTTTGAAGCTTGCGCGCCTTTCACCTCGCCAGAATTACCGACTGCTGTTTATTCTCAACGCGTCGAGCCCGCTTAGCAGCGTTCTGAAGCGGCCTTGGCACTGCACGCCTTCACTGGTACGCTCTCTCCAGCTGTGATGCACCACCACCTACCTCTCCTGCACTCCGCGGGTGTATTCGGAGCTCCCAATCTCTGTCGCAATAGCACTGCCTGATTAGTCGTCTGCATCGCGCGGCGCTATCCGACATGGGCGAAGCTCTTAAATCCCAACACTGTCCCTGCGTCCACACATGCCTGCTTACCCAAGCTCAACCCACGCTACCAGAGTGTACCTACTTCAGCTGCCGTGCTGATCGCTCCTAGCAGCCACTCCTCCCGTCCGAGCACTTCGGTAAACCCTCAACAGCATATCTTACCTCCGACTACCTCGCTTCTATCTTACTTCTCCCCGGCTCATCTTCCAGCCCGTCCGCCGACTATTTCTACCGGCTCTTCTTTCACCCACCCCTCAACCTTCCTCGCCCACCATGTCCTCCAGCACATCTCTCCTCGAAGCTGCCAAGCGCCAGACGTCTGCCGCCATGAACAGCGCAAAAGAAGCTGCCTCCGAAGGCTCCGCCGCCATGAAGAACGCCGCCGAGAACCCCTCCAAGGCCACCACCGACTTCCTCCACACTCCTGCCATGCGCGCAGCTCTGCCCTTCATCAATGGCGGTCTTGCCGGCATGACTGCCACCACAGTCATCCAGCCAGTCGACATGATCAAGGTCCGCTTGCAGCTGGCAGGTGAGGGTGTGAAGACGGGTCCCAAGCCTACTCCTCTCTCAGTCACCCGGGACGTGATAGCAGCAGGCAAGGTGCTCGACCTCTACACTGGCCTCTCAGCCGGCCTCCTCCGCCAAGCTGTCTACACCACCGCCCGCCTCGGCTTCTTCGACACCTTCATGAAGACCCTGACAAAACGGGCGGAGGCGCAAGGCACCAAGATCGGCTTCACCGAGCGCGCTGGCGCCGGTCTGACGGCCGGCGGCCTGGCAGCCATGGTGGGCAACCCGGCCGACCTGGCGCTCATCCGCATGCAGAGCGATGGGCTCAAGCCGCCGGCCGAGCGCGCCAACTACCGGTCCGTCATCGACGCCCTCGCCCGCATCTCCAAGAACGAGGGCGTGACGGCGCTGTGGGCCGGCTGCTTCCCGACGGTGGTGCGCGCCATGGCGCTCAACTTCGGCCAGCTCGCCTTCTTCTCCGAGGCAAAGAACCAGCTCAAGGACACGAGCTTGTCGTCGCGCTCGCAGACGCTGACGGCCTCGGCCATCGCCGGCTTCTTCGCCTCCTTCTTCAGCTTGCCCTTCGACTTTGTCAAGACGCGCTTGCAGAAGCAGACGAGGAGGCCTGACGGTTCTCTGCCTTACCGCGGTATGGCGGACTGCTTCAAGAAGGTCGCGCGCGATGAGGGCCTCCTGAGGTTCTACCGTGGCTTCGGTACCTACTATGTGCGCATTGCGCCTCACGCGTAAGTCTCCTTTTTCTTTTTTTTTTTTCTATTCTCACATCGCCCCTTTGATGTTGTGTCCGCGCATTTGATGTGCGGACTCTCCCTTTTCGGTAATTCGGTAAACAAGACTTGGCGGGCTGACGGAATCGTTCCGATGTGCACAACAGGATGGTAACGCTGATCGTGGCCGACTACCTCGGGTTCATCACCAAGTAAAAAAGTTGCCGGCGACGGGAGAGCGGCGTGCGTGCGTGCGTGCGGCGGTGACGATGATGGCAGCGGTGACGGGCGCGACGGAGTGTGGCTTGCCCGGCCCCACGGTAATAGCGCGCGAGCTTATGCCAACAACTCCGAGCCCCGTTGGGGGTAGGTGGGTTTTGTCTCGGCTTTTCGGTTCATGGACGGCGCATGGACGAATTGCTAAACGGACGGATTGGGAAAATGGTGACGTTTTTCCGAGGTGATGACTACATGATGGCATCGTTTTGCTTGTAAAACGGCCCGAGTCGACCTCGGGCGGGCGAGGGGAGGATAGGGGACGGCAGGTACGTGGGGGTTGGGTGGGGGAAAGTAGGATAGTTGATGACGGGGAGATGACGGTGTTGCATGGTTGCTCCGTAGAGCGTTGTCCATTTTTTATGTTCATTGTTTGGTTGTTTGGATTGGTTTTTTTTTTTGTTGTTGTTCCCGTGTATAAGGCAGTACGATCGACAACCCCCTTGCGAATCATTGAGCGTCCATTGCTTTTCTCTTTCCCTTTTGCGGTCTGGTTTGGGAAGAACGTTTCCGAGAGAAGATATGCAAAGTTGTTTAATTGGTTAAAGCACAAAACCCCCCCTTCATGAATCAGTGGTATCGTGGATCTTCTGTTGGACATTGTTGCTCTCCACATCCCCTCCAGCAATGCTATTCTCCCTTTCTGATCCGTGCTCTCGAGCGTGTTTCCTTTTTCTTTTCTCCTTATCGCATCTACGCATTCCACACATCGCTCCGTGCCCGCGATGTGGTAGCATCCTCGGCCCGATCTACTACGTCACATGAGTTGGTACTTCAGGACCGGTTTGCCTTTCGTAGCAATACGCTCGCTTCCATGCTGCAAGGAGTAGCAGTGCCAAGGCATGCGCGGCAACGACTTTGTGTCCCCCTCCTTGGTTTGGTTCTCAGACCTTTCGTGCTGACCCCTGGAGGGGTAGAGGGTAGCCGCGCTTCATCTTTCTGCCGGGCCACCACAATGTCGTCCACGCACGCACATCCTTTTCGAGATGGCTTTCAGGTCAACAAAATCGCAGTGGCTGGCGGGTGAATTTTGTTGCGGATGCGTAATAGTTGAAGAGGAGGGTTGAGAGGGGTCTGGATTGCTGGTGGCTTTTTTTGTGGTGGCTTTTTCCGGGCTGAGAACGACTTCAGATCCCGAGGGAATGGTCGACATCTGTGATAGAGAGGGGCGCGTGATGCGGTTTGATGCATCTCTGCTGATTGTTCCTAGCTTTCCCCCCCTTTCCCCTTTGGTGACGCGGATCGTGGGTTGCTCGTGCTACGCTTCTACCGAGGAGTAGTTGCGAGCATATGCCAAGGTATGACTCGCGCCCTTCTTTTTGTTCCCCTCTCTTGTGGCTTAGAGAAAGGCCATGGTGGAGGGGGGTCACACTGAGCAGCGGAAGAACCCTTGGAATACAGAGCCCGTAGCGTAGGCTGATTGCTTGCTGACGCTGGTGGCTGGTGAGAGATCGGCTAGTCGGTGGTATAATCACTTGCAAGTACCTCACAGTCAAACAAAGGCAAAGAGACAATTTAACGTGCATTTTGCAGCCATTGATACAGATATACAAGTCAGACTATACCCTCACATATTTTTCCATCCGCCCAGTCATAAATATTTACATCGTGAAAAAGAAACAATCATCATTAACCCCTCTCATTTCGGACACGCCAACGCCTTAACCGCACTCGATCCCTTCACAGGCGTAATCTTGGGCTTGCAGTACCCCCTGCCCACATTCCGATTAAACTCCTTCGCCAGACTACTACCAGTCGACCCGCTATTCGACGTCGACGTGAGGCGGTTGTTGCGGCCGGAATCGAGTCCCGTGCAGCCCGTCCCGCTGGCGCTGCAGTCGGCGCCCCGATTGACGCTCGAGCAGCGCGTCATGCACACGTTGCGCGTGACGGCCGTCTTCGCGCCGGGGCACTGGATCTGGATCTCCTCGCAGGTGCCGGTCAGCCCCGCCGGGCACTTGCCGGCGCTGGTGCAGAGTTGCAGCGTCGTGGACGAGACGGCGGCGGTGCCGGCGGTGAGCTCGTGGTTGCCTGCGTCTTCGCCGTCAGCGTCGGCGGAGGAGATGACGTAGTCGGCCGTGTTGGACAGGAAGTCGTCGTTGATGGTCGGGACGGAGATGTTAAGCGGCGGGGGCGGCTGGGCGGTCGAGACGGAGCTGGTCGAGCTGTATCCCGTCGAGTTGGCCACACAACTACCACCGGAGATGTCGTCCCACGTCGCGGCCGCGGCGTCGAGCCAGAGGCGCGTCATGTTCCACACGTTGTCGAGCGTGTAGTACATGCGGCAGTTGGCGGCCTCGTACTTGAACTGCAGGGGCACCGTGTCGTTCTCGCGGATCTGGTCGCGCAGGTTGAAGCCCGCGTACGACACCCACATGCCGCTGTCGCGCTCGCGCAGGGGGCGGAGGTTGCCGTAGGCGGATTCGTTGCCCGCGTTGTCGTTCAGGTCCATGCGGCCGTTGACCCAGTCGATGTCGATGTCGATGTCGTTGGCCGTGTACTCGAGCGCGCCGCGCGAGCCGCTGGCGGTTTGCATGGGCCCCGCGCCGGGGCGGCCGCCGACGGCGAGGGTGCGCACGCCGATCTGTTGCGTCATGAGCTCGACGAAGAGGGCGCAGGTCGAGGAGCAGGTGCCGTCGGTCAGGAGGAGGATCTGGTCGGGCCGCCAGGGTGCGGTGCCCCACTGCTCCGGGTCGAGGAACCAGCCGTTGAAGGCCGTGTCGGCGAAGACGGGGCTGGACAGGTTGTACTGCTCGGTGAGCGAGAAGTCGTCGTCGTTGTAGTGGCGCGGGCCGTAGAAGGCGGACCACGACGTGAAGTTGAGCCCCGTGTCGGCGTCCAGCCGGTCCGTCACCACCCACTCGTCCGACGCGAGACTGTCGTACCAGTCGTCATAGTCGTCCGTGCCCGGCTGCAGCGAGCTCCAGAAGTCCGTCGTGAAGCTGCCGAGGGAGTTGGCCAGGTCGAACGAACGGCGGCGGCTGCCGTGGAAGGGTGTGGTTTGCGGGAAGAACCAGGCGAAGGTGATGAAGGCGAGGAGTGTGAGGCCGCCCGAGTTCTGCTGCAGGTCGATCACGCACCGCGTAAGGTTGCGAGCGGTGGCGTTGTTGACGAAGTGGCCCACCGTCTCGTCGAAGAGCCCAATGTTGTCGTCGTACTGGTCGAAGCTGGGGATGCTGAGAACGGCGGTTGAGGACTCGTTGAAGAAGTAGCCAGTCAGGACACCGCCGCTCTCGATGGACAGGTTGGGCTGGACGATGTCGGGGTTGTCGGGGTATGCGCCATAGCTGTCGTAATTCCAGTTACCAGACGTGTCGTCGGAAGAGGTATCGTCTGAAGTTGTGTCATCCGAAGAAGTGTCATCTGAAGTGGAATCGTCCGAAGTATCATCAGAGCTGGAGTCGTCCGTAGAAGTGGAGTTCGCGGCGGCCTCGAGCGCGTCGTAGTAAGCCTGGGGATACTGCCTCAGGACGAAGTAGTTGTAGAAATCACCACCCGTGGTCAGTGGGCCGGTGTCGTAGGGGTTGTTGTAGATGGCAATCCAGTTAGTAGTAATGTTGCTGCCATCTTTGAACCTAAACTCAAGCTCGTCACCAGGGTAGAATGTTGCGCCACCGCTGAAGACGTTCAGTGTACCCTGGATATCCTGAGCAGGGCTAGAGAACAGCTGGTTCCAGTCGGCATGAGGCTCGAGCGTTCCCTGCGAGTTGAGGGCAGCGAACTCAGTCAGAACCTCGATCACGTCACGCCCGTTGATGGTGGCAATTGCGCTTGGCTCAGGGTCTCCGGGGGCGCGCTCCCACACGTCATCTATTTATTGGTTAGACTAAACCCCATGCTGATTGGCCAAAAACTTACTCCAAAGATAGATCTGCGGGTCCTGCTTTCCATCAACCGAGGCCGAGGTGATGTAGTAAGGGCTGGCAAAGGAGAAGGCTGAAAGCACCCCCGAGTTGAGATCGACGTGCATGTCGTGCATCGAATACACCAGAGCCTGCATCTCCGCCTCGAAGGCATACTGGTTCTTGTACTTTCCGTTGTCGATGTTGTCCTGGATTTGCTGCAATCCTGCGACAACATCGATGGCCGGCTGCTGGTAGCCTTCCGGCGGGTTCTTCAGGTATGCTAATGTGCTCTGAAACTGTATCGTGGTGTTGTAGTACTCAATAAACCGGCTGGCGACTGCGGCATTGAAGGGAACACTGGTCAAGCACCGGATCGCATCGCGGGCGTAGAAAATGTATTGGCCCTCTGCAGCTGACGTTAGCTTGAGCATGAGAGTCCTAGTGTGGTTCCGAGCTTACCATTTGCGGCGCTTACGATTCTACCGCAGATGTCCCACGGGGCATCTGATGCATCCTCGTTCGTTTGGATTTCCACCGGAGCAGGGCGAGGGGTCGGCTTCGCCAGAGCACCGAGGGAGAGGCACGACAGAGCCGCGACAGATGCGAATGACCTCATGGTTGTCTGAGATGAGAGGCTACAATAGCGTGCTGGATCAAGCTATCCGGTCGGGGAGAAAGCAACCTTTTACACATGAGGCTTGAGGTACGGGCCGCCTCAGGGAGCTAAGACTTCTGGGGCTGCATCATGCAGTTCCACCTACGCAAGGCACCTGCCATGGAGGCGGTAAGACGTCTATTCGAAAATAGACCTATCATAAGGCTGTGTGGAGATCCGCTATACCCGCTACATGATGTGTGCATCACGGCATGCCGCCACATCGGACTTAGGAGCCTATTCTAGGCCGTGGCTGAGCCTCCACCAACTAGTGGATAAATCGCTGGGCTCCGCATTGCTAGTGCTTTGGGGGCGGAAAAGCGGGCGGAGCGGCCCCCATGGTCCTAGCTCTGCTTACGCCAAGCCCGGCGATATAAAGGCTTGGATCCCGCAAATAATACCATGCCGTTGGGAGCTCGGACGTGTTGCGCTTTTTTTCCTTCGATGCGAACGTGAACTTGAGCCTCATAATGTGGAGATTAGCCCGGAGGGAGCGAGTGTGATGCAAAAAAGAAAATCCACACTTAACTTAAAACGGCATCTGGGGGCCTAAAGCCACACCACTTAGTACTTAGTCACCCACCTAGTCTATCTATAGACACTGTCACGAGCACGGGAAATAATTTGCATTTTAGCATCCCGTCCCAGCAACGGGACGGAGCGTGTTGCCGATGGATTTGCACCCTGGAAAAATGCACCCTGCATTACGCGAGAGATGCGCGTTACCCGTCGACCTCTACGAGAAGGCCCTCTCCTGGTATTTCGACAGCGAGGAATTCAACTGTTGGTTGAAGAAGGATCGAACATGGCACTTGCGGTGTCCTGGTGGGCCCGGATCGGGTAAGGTCTGTTCATGTCGACTCCAAAACCAGAAGCAAAAGCCGTTCTAATTCGGTTACCAGACTACGCTAGCAGCACTGGCCTCTGACTTTCTAAGCAAGCGATTTGAGAGCAAGCCTGACGTTGCAGTCGCTTCGGTCTTTGTCGTTGCCGACGTCGATGACAGCGGTGAAGACGCAGCGGCGTTTGTGGAGAGCGTCCTGGCCAGCCTCTGCCGCCAATTTCGCAGGGATACCGGTGCCAATGCTTGCGCGGCGGACGAAATTTACCGTGCATACGTGGCGGCGTGCGAACGCGGTGACAGGTTCTCCCGCCGCATCAAACTCCTGCGGAAGGCTTTGTACGCTCGCCTATTGAGCCTCGATCAGGCTTTCCTAATCGTTGACGATTTTGACCGTTGCGGCGATGCTATCGAGATTTTCTTCGAGGACGAATTCGCCAGACTTCGCAGGCACGGCCTGAAGATTTTCGTTACCTCACGCATCGTGTTCCAGCGGACCGAGCATAACGCCTGGTGTGATACCGTCGATGCAGATGAAGAACCATGCCCCAGCCGTGGAATCAGTGTCTACTGGAAATGCAAGAAATGTTACTTGAACGGGGTTGATGATGATTATGTCATCTGCGAACAATGCATGTTGCGAGGTGAGGGCTGCAAGACTTGGTACGTCAGACAGCCTTCCGGCGGAGATGAGTACACCAAAAACCTTGCTAACAAACATGAACAAAGCGGACCGGGATCCGAGCTCTACGAGCCATACTCCTACCTCGAACTAGACCTCTCCATCGACCAGGACATCGCCACAGACTTCACCTGCTGGAGCCTCGAAGCCGAGCACGGCGACCTCGGCCTCGACACCGACAACGACAACAAGCCCCCCCTCTCCGCCCTCGGGCGCGTGCTGGTCAACCGCGGCGGGCCCGCCGTGATACGGGACCTGGTCGAGTCGATCGCGAACGACGCGATGAACAACCTGACCTTCGCCAAGCTGCGGCTCGACACGATCCGCGCCGCGCAGTCCATCGACACGGTGCTCAGGGTCGGCGATCGCCTGCCTGCGAACCGCATCGCCATGTTCGGCGCCGCCATCAAGCGCATTGCGGGGCAGCCGCAGCCGCAGAGCCGGCTGGGCTTGACGGCCATCTCGGCGGCGGCGAATCACTTCAACGGCAAGTCGTTCAGGGAGCTGGAACGCGAGCTGCAACGGGTCGTTCCACGAAGCGGTGGCGATCACGGCTCACGGCATTACACGGTGCAGGAGGTGCTGAAGGCGGCAGGAGGATTCCTGATGCTCGACAATTCGACGGATCAGGTTGTGGCGCCGTACCATGAGTCATTTTTCTTGTACGTGATGGAAAAGTACGACGAGCTGCTCGTGTGGACGCACGGAGACTTGCGGTATGCCATGCCGCCGAGGTCGAAGACGATGGCGCAGTTGGGCGCGCAGAACCACGTCAAACGAGCGCCGAAGGGCCGTGGAGCTCCAGCTGCGAGGAAAGACTTCAAGGGCGTGGCTCCGCGTGTGCCGCTTGACTTCAGCAACAAGATGAAGCTGCGCAGGCAAGGGACAAGCATATTCTGAGTGCCTGACATAAATTATTATTCGATGACTGCATAGACTGTTTGAGGTTTAGACGAAAGGAGCGTACCTATTTTTACTTTCGGCCCCCATTTGGGCGATCAGATGAGTTCCGGCCCCCAACGTGGCTACACATGCGGTCAGCTTTTAACGTCTGTGCAGCCGCCTCCCGCGTGACTACATTTGCTCGACTGACACCCCAATTTGTATTTGGGCATCTGTAGATTGATTTTGCAGGAACTTCCCAGAAGAAATTCCATCAAGTGTGCACTGTTACTATTAGCTTGACTCTCGATGTTTTGCAAGTACTGCAGGGAATCCGTCCTCGAGTCGACGCAAAGATGGGCTTATCACCACAAAACCTACCAAAACCTTAAGGCGAGTGCTGTCGCAGAAGAGCCATGTGCATTCTGCCGTGTGCTGTATGAGGACGTGCGTTTGGCCGCCGAGGCCTTCGACGAACCGCTCTATCGATGGAGCATCACCAGGCCAGCGGCCATTCGGGAAAGCCAAGAACCCGTGGTCATCACCTTCAGGCCGACCCGGCCTATCAAAATCGCGACGCCGACCGACAACATACGTGAGGAATTCCCGCCGGAGAGGGAATTCTACATGTACCCTGAGACTGGTGAGCCGAATTAAACAAACGAGAAGAAGAAAAAACAAAACAGAAACATGCAACTCACGCACCCCTCCAGACCTCACCACCCTCCTCCCCTCCTCGCCCCTCGGTCCAAGCACAAACTCCCCCCAATCATGGACCCAAGTCTCCCACTGGCTGCAAACCTGCCTCTCGTCCCACCCACGCTGCAACAAACCCCGCGGGCCAGACAGCTTCGTCCCGACCCGCCTCCTCGACGTCCAGCACCCGCTCCCCGGCTACATCGGCCTCGTCGAAACCAAATCGCACCCAGCCTTCACCAACCCCTCCACCCCCTCCTCCCCACCCCCCGTCTACTGCACCCTCAGCCACTGCTGGGGCCCCTCCCCCTCCTTCCTCCGGCTGCGCGCCAGCAACCTCACGTCCTTCCTGCGCCACGGCATCCGCATCGGCGAGCTCGGCAACCTGAACTTCGCGCACGCGGTCGAGGCGTGCCGGCAGCTGGGCGTGCGCTGGCTCTGGATAGACTCGCTGTGCATCGTGCAGCACTGGGTGGATGGCGACGAGGCGCCGCCCGACGACGCGGCGCACCGCGCGCTCGAGGAGGCGGATTGGCACCACGAGGCGCCGTTTATGCACCAGGTGTATCGGAATTCGTATTGTAATATTGCGGCGGCGGATTCGGCGGATGCGGAAGGGGGGTTGTTTAGGGAGAGGGGGGAGAAGGTGGGGAGGGACGGTGGTGGGAGTGTGACGTATAAGGCGGCGAGGGGGGAGGAGGCGGATGCCGTGTTTGGGGATAGGACGTGGCGGGTTGTGTCGGGGGATATATGGCAGACGGAGCTGCTGGGGACGCCGTTGTATGCGAGGGCGTGGGTGTTCCAAGGTACGTGAAGCTCTCTCGTCGACTTCCCAGAGCGGTTGAAGGAGAAGAGAAAGAGATAAGACCCAACACCAAACCGCCAACCCACTAACGCCCCCCTCCCCACCACCAGAACGCATGCTCTCCCCCCGCCTCCTCCACTTCACCGCCCACCAACTCTTCTGGGACTGCGCCACCCTCAGCGCCTGCGAGTCCTTCCCCTCCGGCCTCCCGCAACCCCTCGACGCCCCCGCCGTCACCGACCGACACTGGCGCGCCCGCCTCCTGCAGGCCTCCTCCAGCACCACCAACGCCGACCACCAAAAGATGCGCGACACCATCAACGCCCCCCTCGCCACCGCCACCGACATCTCCCTCGAGCAATTCTGGCACACGGCCGTCTCGTCCTACACGCGCTGCGCGCTGACGCGCTCGTCCGACCGCGCCGTCGCCGTCTGGGGCGTCGCCAAGCCCTTCCGCGACAGCATGCTGCGCGAGCGGTATGCCTACGGCTTGTGGGAGCGCGGGCTGGAGGAGCAGTTGGCGTGGAAGTTGGAGAATGTGCCGCTGCCACATCAAACCCCCATGACAACGACGAACGCTAATAAACTGAGACCGACGCACGCGGGCCCCGCCTCCGCACAGCCGCCGAATCCGTTTCCGTCTTGGTCGTGGATGGCGGCGGCGGATGTTGGTGGGCCCGTCGTGCTGGCGGACAGACTGCCGGGGCGGCGGTCGTACATGGTTAAGGCGCATGATGGGGAGAGTGTCGTTGCGTTCGAGTTGGCGGCTGGGTTTCGCAAGCAGCGGGTAAAGGCCGAGACGAAGTTTGGGACGTGGGAGGAGCAGTTTGGGGAGTGGGATAAGCGGATGGCGGAGATAGAGAAGCATGAAGAGCGGAGGCGGAGGATGGTGGTGGTAGCTAAAGATCCGACGGCAGCAGCAGGAGCAGGGCGGAAGTTGGGGAGGATTGGGGAAGAGGAGGAGGAGGATGAGGGGGGCGAGGGAGAGAGGGAGGTAGATGAGGAAGAGGAGGCGGAGAAGCTGAGGGACGAGCATCCGCAGCTGGCGTCGAACTCGATTGCGTTGTATGGCTACGTTAGCCGCGCCAGGTGCGTGTATGATGCGGAGAGGGAGGATTACAGGCTTGAGATCGAGGGGTGGGAAGAGGATCAGTACCGGGTAGAGGCCTTTCCTGACATGGTCCTCGAGCACGGTGCCGTGGTCTATTTTATGATCCTGGCTGCCACTGCTGAAGTCTTCGAGGAGGAGGGCTGGGGGGATGACTACGACGAGGAGAATGAGTATGATGAAGATGAGGACAATCAAGACGACGAAGATGAGGACGTCGAGGACGTCGATGCCGTCGAGGCCGTTGAGAATGGCGATGATGCTGTGGAGGATGACAGCGACGGTGCTGCTGAAGAATTAGACCCTTTGTGCGATGGGGTCGGTATCATACTACAGCCCGCTGAAGGAGAAAACCACTTCCGCCGTATAGGCGCTTTGCGTTTCGAAGCGACGCAAAAAATAATGGAGTCGACCTATCTCCAAGTAGACACGGAGGATCTCAAAGGCTGTGATGGAGAAAGGAAATATAAGATCTGGTTGGATTGACGATAAAATTGGAAATGTAGACGATAGATGTTAGAGATAGAGAAATGAAGCCACCTGTACAGAAAGAGACTTACTAGCCCATCACTCTAATGCGCCAGAAAGGTGACGTAGTGCTGCACGTATATCAGCCCTTTACCCAGGATCATCTGTGAAAAAAAAACCTTGCCACTGTCCCGAAATGTGAAAAGCAAACAGTGTCTGAAGAACTTTCTCTTTCCTCCTCATTACTATTCTCTTGCTCCTTTTCGAAACTACCGGCGCTATCTTCCCTTGTTGATTCTATTCTTTGCAGCCGGCCTTCCAAACACGATTCTTTTTAATTTTTTTTGTTCTTTCGCTCCCGTGTTGCCCTTTTTCCCTCCTTACTTCCTAACCCAAAAGTAATACGGTCCCGCATCCTTCAAATTCTTCTCCTTCGCCTCCAGCAGAGCCATGAGCGTGTTATCCGAAACGCGGCGGAAGTGGTCGATGATTGGATAGCAGTCGAAAATGAGACTGGTCGAGACGACGCCATTGAACTTGAGTTCGCGGAGCTGTGGATGTCCACGGTCACTATGGCTGCGAGTGTAGTAGAGAATGAAATGATTATGAAAGTAAAGAGATGAATATTGAATGATTGGCCGAGAACTGAAATGTAGAAAATGGATCATGAAATCGTGCTCCTCATGCAGAGTATATGGAAGATACCACGACGAGAAAGCCGAAGCATAGCACGGAGAAGAAGTCCTGTCCGACAACACATAGAACCAAAATAACAACGCCTTAAAATGAAGATAAAAGAAGAGACCCAAGACAAAAAAAAGAAAGGAAAGAGCAATTCACATACCTGCGCACCCCCCCAATAAGTACTCACAACCCTCTTCCCATCATCCGTCCAACTCATAACCGGCAACACCTCATCCACACTCTTCACCACCATCCCCGCCCACCGATAATTCTCGAGCATAGCGTGGCACGGGTGCATGGGCTTCGGCTCGGCGCGCGGGTCGTCCGTATCGGACGGGCTGTAAAAGTCACCGCCGGACCAGTCGCCGAGCAGGTCTTCCGGGGCGATCGGCTCCAGCGCGTCGAACAGCGACGACAGCTCGCGCACCGACGGCGCGCCGCCCTCTTCGATCAGCTGGAGTATGCGCATTTCCGGGCTGTTGGTAGGAGCGCGCGCTTCCCGGCGCGAGCCTTTTTTTGCTTTCTCCGCCTTGTTGTCCGTTTCCTGGGAAAGGAACGGGCGGAGAAGGCAAAAAAAGGGGCCGGGGTGCATTTGATGGTTAGCCGGGGTGTGCCTTGCTGGGGTGGTGGTTTGGAGAAACGAAGGGGAGGGGGAAAAAAAGAAGGGGAGTACGGGTGGTGGGGAGTACGAGTGGGGCACGCGGAGTGTTATTTTGGGTTACGCGGGGGGGAGATGATGTGTTCGGGGAAGACGGGAATGAAGGGAACAGAGTCAGGGGTGCGATGGGGCACGAGTGATTCATGTGGTGGGTTTAAGGTGTGGAGGTAGTTCCGGGGATGGTGGGCGGGTGCTCGAGGAAGGGAAAAAATAACCAAAAAAGCAAAAAAGTAAAAAATAAAAACAAAAACACGGGCAAGCTACAAGGTGTTTGGGTCGACCCACGAATCCATGGCTGGTGTGGTAAACAATTGAATGACACACGGCAGCGCTTTTTTGACAATAGCAATTGCTTTCTCTCTCGCTCTCCGTCTAGTGGTAGTAGCGGGGGTTCTCGAAGTTCAGCCCTGCGGTGTCGTGGCTTCGGTTCGGCGCGAGCTGAAGCAACAGGCGTGCAGCGAGCGGCGGCGACAGCGGGAGTTCGGCTCGTGTAGCGTGTGTGGGCTGTATGTAGATTGTATGCAGGCGCAGGCCCCGCTTACGTGCATAAAGTCTGGGGAAGAGGGGAAAAAAGTAGCAGGCAGAAAAAGAAAACAAAAAATGGGCAGTGCGGAAGAAAGTTCCTCTCAAAACCCTGTCGACCAGTGGGAAGTGTGCGAAAAACAGAAGTTGCTGGAGCTGGCGCGATCTCCTCTCTTTTCTACTCGTGACCCCTCTAAGAAAAAAAGGATGAAAAGGTTCCGCTGGGTTGGTAACTGGAGGCTTTTCCGGGCGGATACCGTTTCAGGGTCACGTTTCTCTCTTGGTGGAAGAGCGAATGAAGCCCGGTCCCGGGGCGTGTGGCGGGTTGGTCCTGGTGCCTGGCTGCCGGGCGAGGGAGGCACACGAACAAATGGGCCGGGTGGGGTGGGGGGGAAGGGAGGAGAGTTGGTTGCGCGGACCCCCCGGCGGCACGGGTTGGCGCGGCCGTTGTGACTTCGTCGCGTGGTAAATTCGCCGATGCATAGCCGATTGCGTTAGCTACGGTTGACTAGCCCGGGCCCTGCCAATAGCATCCCCAAGCTTCCTCCTTGCTGGTCGAACAATGGCGTCGTATTGACTCCTCCCCTTCTACCTCTCCCTGCGCCGTAAGGAACCGGCCGGCCAGCCACCTGGCGAGTCAGGATTGGACGGCCGGCCGGCAGGCGATATCGGCCCGGCGGAGCTCGCTCCTTAGCGAAGGTGGAGAACTTAGCCACTGCTCCGGGAATGTGGCATGTTTTTCGACTCGGGCCTGTGGCGCAGGTGTTGAAGCTCCTCGCGGAATCATGTCGAATAAGGCCAGCCAGACGTCCATCCATCCATTTCCCAAACCGGCATATGCCCCCAGCACCACCACCAGGTGCCTGAGGTTTCCCGTTTCGAGCAAGCGGGGTTGCTCGGGAAGCGCGCCCATTCGCCCATTCGACTCCCGAAAGGGGCGGTTCCTGCCGTGCCAGACGCGCCTCATCCCGCCCGTTCCCCCCGTGCCGCGTCTGCCATCATTTCGACGGGTCGATCCTGCGGCTGTTCGCCGTCTTGAATCGAGATCGTATCTGCCGGCCGGCGAAAAGCCGCGCTTATCATTTGACCAGCAATCAAATGAGCGTGATTCAAAACAGCGGTCCACTGACAGGGTCCCTTTTGGGCGTGCTGCATATACGTACGCTTAGGGAGGCATGCGGCAGAGCATTAAGCGCGCGCAACTAGCGGTGAAAAGCAAAAGGATGGTGGGGAATAGCAAAGCGCATAATAAAGTCCTCTCGATTGGAAAAGCGGTTGTCCTAATTGAGTCAGGTGGAGAGAAATTTGTAGGTGTAGCTGACTTCTGAGCGGATGCAGTTTCTGCTCTATTCAGCTGACATGTTCTCTGCATTCTGGGCCCGCGTTCGTATTCGGACCGTGAAGAGAATCCAGACCTTGGCAGAAATGGACCATGAGTGTATGTCAAGGTTAGGATAGAGCTGCTATCAGGAGGTGGTCCAAGAACCTCGGGCGGAGCTATTTCCGAGACACTAGGGTTTGGTGGACCATGCTCTGTATACGCAAAGAGGCATTCGTCCAGGCAGCGAACAGTTCTGAGACCGAAGGTGCACATGAGGACCAATGCAGATCTTTGCTCGGGCAGCAATTGATACCGACAGTGCGTCCTGAGTCCTGAGTTCCATTAAGGTGTAGCACTTATCCTGAGTTTCCACTGCGGCGCAGCACATCCCCGGCAAGCAAGTCCACATTCATCAAGGTTCGGGGAAGCTCCGGAAGAGGATTGCGTCAGAGCGTGGGACGTCGGGGACACTGCGGTTATGTCTATAAAGCACTTCTTATTTCCGTTGGATCGCACGTTGTAGATGACTAACTGGAGTTAATGATTAGTAGTTCAGTTCGATGGTGTAGCACGGACACTGACTTCAGAGCAATCGTGCGGCTGGATCTCTGCTCTCGGCAAATCGAGCAAGGGCAGCAAGGGTTCCTTGCAGATGCAACGCTACCGTGCTTGCTTGCCACGGACGCGGCGCTGCTGATCGTTTGGATTGGCGGGGGACACGGACGCATCTGCATCAGGTGATGTTTTAGTGGAGAGAGAACAGGGAATGCAGATAGGCCGACTACATAGTGGTAGCAACTGCGGCGCAGAACGATGCCTGTCTCCTGAGAGCGATCACTGACCAGGCGGCATGTAGGTGGTGTCGGAGGTCGCCGCCCTATTTCTGCAGCTCAAGTGACCAGGCGGTGGTAAGAGGTGTAATGTCTTTCGGAGCGTCGCCTCTGAACATGGTCAAGCCTGAGCGCATGCTCAACAACTTCAGACGTCTAGCAAAAATCCCCGCGGGTATGCGGGAGCGGAGACGGCTCTTTGCGGGTTGTGGCTGAAATTTCGGCCGATTGTCAGATGATGGAACATGTGAAAACTTCTGGAAGTGCGGAGCAACGGAGACTCCATATGGGGTTCGGCCGAGGAAGAAACGTCCAAAAGCTATTTGAATGAGAGCGTGCTGATGCGATGAACAGATGTGGGTTGATAGTGATGGTCAAACAAGGCATAGGCGTTCCATCACATCCAGGAGCGGTAGCAACCTTGGCGATCAAACCTTATTGGCCAAAAGTCGTATCGCGTGCAAGCATGTGCCCTACCAAGACTTTAGCCATGCCTATAAGAGATCCCTCTGGATGATTCCTTCAACGGTTGTCAAGCTGTAGCGCGGCCTTGGAGGCGCTGTGAAACCCAGGACGCGGAAAAGCTCGGCTACATCCGGCAACGATCCGAAGCGAAGGGTGGTCGATCGCTGAGGGGCGGGGTCGTTAATTAATGGGCGACCGGGGACGGTTCCAGCGACGAATGGTCGTGCAGCGAGTCGGTCTGACGTTGGGTGTTGAGCGTTGCGCTTCCCTTGGAGCGCCGCTATTGCTAGCCGATGCTGAGTCAGCACTATTCCGTCACTATCAACATGCGTCAACACGCTTTTCATCCACAACCAGAGAAAATCAGGACATCACCAAACCAAGCAAACGTGAGGACAATTATATATAGATTGCGGACACCCGGTCCAATATCTACAGAAAAAATGGGGAAATTTTCCAGTCGGAGATTTTTTGCCAAACCCTACATGATTCCATAAGGCAGAAAAGGTGCCTGAAGGGCTTCGAAACTTGGAGTGAAAGCGCTTAGCAAGCCTGGGCGTCAGCCTCGGTGTACTTGCAAGCATCGCTGGGGCCGGAGCCGGCCTCCTCGGGCTCGCTGCCGTCGGTGACACCGGTGTACTCCTGGCAGACGGTGTCGACGCTGGTGGCGCAGGTGTTGGAGATGGTGGCAGTGTCGCCCATGTTGGAGTTGATGCCGACAAGAACCTTGCCGGACGTGGCGGTGACACTGTCGACGGTGATGTGACGCTCGGGCATGTCGTCGCAGTTGCCGCAGCTGCGGTAGAACTTGCCGAAGTCCTCGACGAGGAAGCCCGAGACGGCGAGGGTACCGCCACCGTTGTGCTGGAGGACCTTGTCCTCGGCACCGCGGGCACCACCGCCGATGATGTGGGTGGTGTCGGAGGCGCCCTGCTCCTTGATGGTGAAGGCGTCCTCGCAGACGGCGGTCCACCAGACGTTCTTGAGCGTGCAGCCACCGAAGCAGTGGACACCCTCGATCTGGTCGGCAGCGATGATGACGTTGGAGAGGGTGGCGCCCTCCTCGAGCATGAAGACGGCGTCACTGTCGCCACCCTCAGACTGGCCGGTGCAGTCGACACCACGGCCGAAGGCCTTCATGCCACCGTCGAAGTTGCCAGTGACGGTCATGGGCTCGGAGAGCTGGCTGGTGCCAGAAGAGGCAGGGAAGCCAGAGGCGGCGGCAGTGGCGCCAGGGGTGACGACCGGGGTGGAGCCAGAGCCGGGAGTAGTGACGGGAGTGGCAGCGGCCGCGGCCAGACGAGCGTTCTGGCGGGCGTTGGGGAAGCCCCAGGCCATGCTAGGGTCGCGGGGGACCATGAAGGCGTTGGTGGAGGCAGCCATGGCGGCGAGGCCGAGAGCGATGGAGTACTGCATTTTGATTGATTGGTTTGTTTGTTTGTTTGGTTTGGCAAAGTTGGATTGGCTTTCAAAGATTGAAGTGTGGAATGTCCGTCTGGATGGTCTTGCACAGCAAGGAACGAATGAAGTAGAGAACTGTTGAGGTGAACCTGTCGAGGAAAGCTTCAAACGAGCGAAGTCACAGCTCTTTAAACACCATCAGGAGCCCAGCCATGACAAGCATTTTTGCAAACACGAAAAGTACAGGCGATTCTAGGTGGAGAGTTCCGTGAAACGCTCAAGTGGAGATCAAACAGAGTCAGCATCTATTGCGTAGCCGGCGGGCTGCCAAGACAACGAGCGACTAGGTGTCGAGGGCGTCGGTAGGTGGAATAACACGGGAAACAGTGAAGAAACGCCGGGAGATTTGCGGTTGACGGCTTGGCGCTTCGGGTTCATGGACGGAGCAGGGTGTTGAAGCATGGGCATGCAGTCTTGGCACGGCTTGCCGCTGTTAAACAGCTGTTTAGGCGGGCTAGGCATTCATCAGTTCGAAACATCGGGACGTGATATTGGAGAAGATCACAGCAGTTTCAGGAAGCATTGTGGTGGCACAGGCAGAACCTGGCCCGCGGCAAGGATCTACCCACACCCAACGCGGACAATTAGGCGTAGCCACCAGCACGCGGCCTTCATTTATCGTGGGACAGACATCAATATAGATCGGACCCACCCTTAGGTCCCCGGGCGGAGCGTTGGGAGACGGTGAGGAGGGCGGAGAAGCTATCGGAGCTCGCAGTCCGTCATTCCACCGTCAGGCCGTCAGCGAAGTGCGGCGCGTAGCGACATGAGGAGCGTCAGGGGCGTTGCCAGCAGGGTGTTTCAAGGCCCTGGGATGGCTGGCAGATGCAGCTGAAAGCGTTAGTGATCTGAGGGCGGGAGCTGGAAGCGAGCGGTTTTCCCAGGGCGGAGCGGAGTCTGGGCCTGCGCCCGACACGGCAGAGCTGCGAAACGGCGAAGCATGAACTGCCGAGAAGAGCGGCACAGCGCTGGTGTTTCTGCACCAGACGCCTTGAAACGCCCGCAACGGACGAGAAGCTCGCCACTCCGTTCCGCGGGCGTCGGAGCCCAGCGTCCCGAGACGGCAGCCGCGCGGTGCACGTGACGTAATTCGGACGACTCGCTCGGATTTGCAGCCTCTCCGCCCCCCAACCACTCAGAGCCTCTATTTCCGCCCACGTCAACCCGCGTCGGTGCGATAACGCGTCGGCCCCTAACCCGATCGACAGCGCAATGTTGCATCCAGGTCATTGCTGTGGAGCGCGGCACTCCTCGAATGACGCGCTTTTATCGCCTGAGGTGACGGTACCTGCAGCTGCGCCTACTCGTACACCGTAAACGCCGTGAGCGGTTAGCCTCAGGCACCCTCTCACGCCCTCCTTTGTCGCCCGCCCACTGCGCGCCTGTCGCTCACTCACCACACTCCAGCCTGCCCGCTGTCTCGTCCAAACTGCAACACCATCGCTTTGCCATCATGTATACACCCACTCTTGCGCGGCCATTGCTGTTCAGCGCCGTCCCCGCCCGGCTAAAGCGAAGTGCGGAGTCATGTCAATCGCTAGCCTTCCCCGCGCAGAGATATGGCCGTAGCAGGTGAAGGTTACAGTCGGCAAACCAGGTAAAGTGGGAGGCGAAGTAGATATCAAAATGCTACCATCACGTCCCTTTGCTGTTCAATTGCGCGTCTCTTGTTTTTCTGCAGCCATGGTGCTCCCGACATTTGGTGCTGCTTACCTTCTAGTGGCCGCCGTGGGCTGTGCGGCTGCCCCTTCACCACTACATGGCCGCAGCGCAAACACCAGCCAAGTGAGCATTGCAGATCTCTGCTTCACGCTGCAAAACTGATATTCAGCAGGCCGTTTCCATTCCGCTCACCCAGTACCTCAACAACAGAGCGTTCGGCAGCTTCCCTGGAGATGCCGACTTCGACGGCTCCCTGCAATCCTACCCGGCCGCCGAGCTGAAGTATTCTGGTTCCTTCATCTCCAGCGCTACTGGAGTCGACTACTTGTTTCCTGCTGCTGCGCTCTCCAATTCCAGCGACAATGTGCTTTGTCTCGGACAGACTGTCCCTGTACCGCCAGCGAATTACCTCAGCGCTCAGCTGTTGGTCGCCAGTGACAAAAGAGACACCATCGTCTCTGACAACATCACTTTCATCTATGCCGACAACACAACATCTGTCCTTGAGATTCGCGCAGAGCCGTGGTGGGCTTTCCTGACCATGTACAAGGGCGAGATCATCCTGCCTTACCGCTTCCTTTCCAATGACACCAATTTCAACACCACCCACGTCTACGAGTGGACCGGCGCCTTGGACCCTACCAAGCAGCTAACTGCCATCTCTTTGCCCTCTACCTCCAATACTACAACCGGCCGTATGCATGTCTTTGCTTTGTCGCTGCGAGGCGCCTCAGGCGTTCAGGTTCACCACATCCGCCCTACCCAAAAGCAGGACGAGAGCGGCGCCGGTGTGCAGATCGTCGAAGTGACGGTTGGTAATTCCGGTCCATCCTGGATACACGGTGATGGCGTTGAAGTGTCTATCGAAGCCCCTGGCGTTGAAACGGTCAGGCCAGCCCAAATCAAACGCCTCCGAGTCGGTGACCAAAAGAAGGTCAACGTCGGGGTCGTTGGATCCACCAATGGGACTGCAGTGGTGAAGCTCTCGAGCAGAAATGAGACGATCACTTTTACTTTCCCTGACACCGAATTTGGCCTAAAGGACTACACCGAGTCCCTTGACAGTCTCACATTGCATGAATCCCCTGAATGGTTCAACAACGCCAAATTTGGTATTTTTATCCACTGGGGGCCTTACTCCGTGCCCGGCTGGGGCAACTCAACCCCCTACGAGGTGTACGCGGAATGGTACTGGTGGTACTCGCACCACCTGGCCGCCGACAAGGCCGACACGTACGACTACCACCTACGCACCTTCGGGCCCGACGTCAACTACGACGACTTCTTCGCCAACTTCACCGCCGCGAACTACGACCCTAAGGCCTGGGTCGACCTCTTCGCCGACGCGGGCGCGCAGTATTTCGTCTTCACGACCAAGCACCACGATGGTTTCGCCGGCTTCGACACCAAGGAAACCTCAAACAGGAACTCCCTCAAGTACGGCCCTAAGCGCGATCTCCTGAGGGAGCTGTTCGACGCCGCCAAAACCTACCAGCCGCACCTGCACCGCGGCACCTACTTCTCCCTGCCCGAATGGTACAACCCAGACTTCGGGTAAGTATACGCGCGCCGATCCCCCCGCCCCACCCCTATGGTGTTTTAGAAAACTAACGCACACGTGACAAGACCCTACGGCTTCGCGCAAAACGAAGGCAACGCATCAACATCCTGGCCCGGCATCCTCGCGACGAACCAGTACACGGGCGAGACCGAACCCTACACGGGCCACGTCCCCGTGGCCGACTTCATCGCCGACGTCATGGTGCCGCAGCAGGAGATCCTGGCCTATGACTACGAGACGGAGATCATGTGGTGCGACTGCGGCGCCGCCAACGGCTCGGCCGCCTTCGCCGCCGCCTGGTTCAATAGGTATCCGTCGGCCACGATGAACAGCCGCTGCGGCATCGCGCAGGGCAGCGACTTCGACACGCCTGAGTACACGACCTTCAGCAGCGTCTCGCCCCGCAAGTGGGAGAGCAACCAGGGCATGGATCCGTACAGCTACGGCTTCAACCGTGCCACGGCTGATGACGCGTACATGAATGCGTCGACGGTCGTAAAGTCGCTGGTTGATATGGTGTCGAAGAATGGGAATCTGCTGCTCGATATCGGACCTCGCGCGGACGGCTCGATCGTCGAGGTTGAGGCGGAGAATTTGCGGAGGGCGGGGACGTGGATTAAGAAGCATGACGAGGCCATCTTTAATACTACTTACTGGTTCGTCACGCCGGAGGTGGGGGATGTCAGGTTCACGCAGAATGATGAAGCGTTCTATGTGCTGTTCTTGGAGGAGCCGGTTGCTGGGGCGGATGTCCTGATTGAGGCGCCGTTGCCGGTGCTGCCGGGTGATAGTGTCACGGTGCTGGGTGAGGGACTGGAAGTGGAATGGGAGGCGGTTGATGGTGGGGTCAGCTTCACTTGGCCGGCGGAGATGGAGGGGAAGGGTGAGTACTGTTGGGTTGTGAAGATTGGATACACCGCTTGAACTCAGTATTCCGTTCAAAGCCGCCGGATCAGGGTTGATATTTGGCACTGATTTTACGTATCTGACGATAAAATGAAACCACTCTTTTAATTTTCCCAACACCATAACATTACTTAAATTTTCATTTTTTACATTTAAGAGTCGTTCGCAACGACAGTGACCCCGTTTTCCGTTAATAGGCATTCAATAGCTGTAGATAAGCAGTACAACTCACGATGACACACTAAAATAGTTCAAAGAGAATCGAGTGTTTTCCTTTTAAGAAAAAAAAACCGTTGCTGGGTCAGTTTTCTAAGGGGTATGCTAAGGTAAGTTAAAACTTCCAGCTTTCTGTAAGAGTTAAGATGCCTGGTATTGACTGTATATACTCGTGGCAACTTTTCCAAGTAGGCTGCTTCTTAAATATCGAAAAACTTGTGAGCCTATGTCTGCCAAATATCTAAATTTGTACATATTACCATCACTTCAGCCCATCTGGAAAATAGACATTGCAGTGACGAGGAATGAACATCACTTTACGCGTGGCTGATTTAGCTACTTTCAAGGTCGATGTCATGCAAAAGAGTTTTATTCAAACTGGCGATGGTCTATTGTCGCCAATTGAGGCCTGGTGTTGCTTGATTCAATTGGAGACTGTGGGATCTTCCATCCGATTTCACCAGCAGATCCCAAAGTTCGACAAGTTTGCACCAACCATTCAGTGCGGGGTTCATGCTTATGCAGCAACGAACGCGAGTAAGCACAGGCATCAACATCTAGCCGTCCAATAGTTTCAGCACGCCGCTTTGAATCCGCTGCCTCGTCGGCGTAGGTCGCGCACAAGCCTATGTAAAACAGCGAAAAGAAAAAACAAGGCATCCTTCTGCCTTGCCTTATCTTACGCAGATCACTCGGTCAGCCGCGGGTCCAGGGCAGTCGCAATCATAAATACAGGTGGATGTCTCATTTCCGATCGTATTTGCCCGACTGTGTTGCATCTTGATCAGACGCCACACCATTTCTCATTCAGTAAAACTGGATCCTTTTCCAGAAACTCTTGTCTCTTCTAGCCCCAGCAAGTCGTGGTAGTGTATGCGTCCTCTTAATAAAAGTCCTCAAGCAATGCTAATATCTCATGGAACATAACAGACAAAAACCACCAAACTTCAGTCAAAGCTCGAATCGCTTGTATTATACTGTCACGGTCTTTTCTCCCAGCATGTATGAAGCTCGAAAATACACTGTTGGTGTGCTTTGTGCTGGAGACCCTACGTATACCGCCGCACGATTTTATTTCAATGAGAAATTCGAAGATCCAGAAGAAGTATCCATGAGCGACGGAAAAAGCTACACAGTCGGTCGTGTTGGCCGTCAAAACGTTGTCCTCGCACGCTTCCTGGAAGGTGAGGACATAACGTACTCGGCAACCGTCCGCGCGAGGTACATGCTCAAAAGCTTTCCAAACATCTCATACTTCCTTATTCTTGGGCTCAGTGGATTCGATAAGCCCGTCCCTCTTGGAGCTCGTCTTATCTCTGAGAAAGATGTGGAAGCTATTCAATCTCGTGGTGAGAGGGGCGATACTTCGAGAGATTATGAGAGAACACTTCGGATCTCTGATGTTCCACAACAAGCGCCTCCAGGGTTGCGAAAGAACGGATTCGCGATCTTGAATGTGCTTCAAAATGGACAGACTCTAGACGAGCTCGTCCGTGGGAATCAAACGGTGGTGAAGATTTACCACCAGTGGCTTGATATAGCCCTTGGTCGATGGCAGTTGCGCATTCCTCCATCAATCAGCAATATTCCGGCTCAATCAAGCGATCCAGAAGAGAATGACGAAGTAAAACAGGCAAGAGAAAGCGAGAAAAAGAAAGGCAAAGGGAAACAGGAAGAAAAAGAGGAAGTCCTAAGCCTGGAATTTAGTGGGTCCTCAACCGGCATTTCACGGTATGTCTCCAGAAGAACCTCATAACGCCCCACATCATCAAAGGCCTGAACCTACAGCTCACTTGGACCTCTTCTAGTGATGAAACTGTTCAAGACTTGAGCCTCCGATCTCGACGACCGCCGGCGCAAGGGCCCGAGTCTGAATCGCATCTGCTATCAGTGCCAACATCCATACCTGAACACAGATCAGCGTGGACGGGTGGGGCTGGATTCAGTCCACCGATTGAAAATCAAGACGCTCTGCAGAATTTTGGCCTCGCACCAATGGGGCTGATAGTACCGAGAGCCCCTCAAACATCAGTTCTGTCCCTTATCTTTCACCGTTCAACACTCGTCGCCGTCCTCCTGCTTTTCGAGTGCCTTAGCGCGTTCATGATCGCTACAGCTGTTCAGAAAACGCGCGAACCTTCTTGCACTCCACGCATTGAGGCGATCACCACCGATGATGGTTTCTGGGTGCTGCTCAGTCAGCTATCTGTACTGGTGATTTCTACTTATTGCACACTCTACGTGGTTTACACTAGCGAAGAGATGTTTTGGCTTGACAGATTCTGGTTCGAGATTTTATTACTTGTCAGCATCTCAGCAGCGGTCTCAGCGGTGGTGATTTATCCATGGAGTTGGAAAATCTCAACGATACTAGGCTTTGTCTCCGGATCGGCCCAAGTCGTATCTCTGGGCCAGGTTGCAGCAAGCTTACGTCCACTTGACGATAGTCTCGTTTGAGTGCAATCAAGTGTGCTAGACTGAATCTTCAAAAAGTAACAAACCAAAAACTTGCCCTTTATATTTTTTCATTCGTGCTTGCTCAAATCCTGATGAATCATGAAAGGGGGCGTAATGTATCTTATTAAGATTGATTTTTCGACAAATTTTTCTACGTATGGTGTTGTCACTAATTGTCTTGTACGTCATAACGTGTTTAGATGTACTGCTAAAAGGATTTACGGTTTAATCAGGCACTGTCCAACTACGGCTGGCAAATCATATTGCATGATCGACTGGTTTTGAGGCTTGACTCTATAGGCAGCTCGTTAAATATGGCATGGAAGTGAGACTGTATGAATACGACTTTGATGGCTGGTAGCAGAGGAACTCAATGGCTTCATTGCCGATAGTTGATTCTGCAGTAACTTGACGACTATCCAGCGGAAAGCCCGCCCAGCAGCGGCACCTTCATCCTTTGGGTTATATTGATCAGAGACATCGCCGTAACGTGATCTTGAACGTTGCCTTAATTTTGAATGTAGCCCTTTTCTACATGCTGGCCTTTGCTTTCCCTTCTTTCCTGAGGGCAAATTGTCCGAGAAAGAAACAAACCAATAAATTGGCCCCGCAATGAGCTGAGATTCGCATCCCGTTCTATGTGCAACCATACGATGACGTGGGCGAATGAGGGCTTCCCACTCCCCTTCGGGGCGGCCCCCACAACAAACCCTCTCGGACGACCCCGGAGCCCGCTCCACGACTCCGAGAACAGCAAAAACAAGATCTCCAATCAATGACCCTTGCGAAAAACCGGATTCACCCATCACCTGACGTTGCAGCAAAATTTTGCCTGCCATCCAATCATTTCGAGCCAAGCAGCGAACGAATGGATTAACGAAAACGCATTTGAAAAGAAGGAAGCAAAAAGGGCAAATCATTGCTGCGCCCCCTCTCCCGGTTGACAAATCGATAAAACGGTCTTACGTGGGCTGCGTAGTGGTACCACCGCATATGCGAGGCTCACCAACCAGCAGCAAGCTAGCACCGCCGTAATCAAAATGGCGTGCAATTCGTCACGCACGCTGCACCTGCCGCCGTTGTGGCAAGGCATCGTGACGTTATCGACAACAAAAAGGAAAAAAGCAGAAGCAAAAGTCGCAATCAAGGCTATAATCGCGAAAATGCGGTTTCATCGTTATCTAGAGGGATAGACTCACCTCTTTTTCTATTTATTCCGTAAGTTAATAAAGTCTCCCGATGATAAGCAAACGCAGGGCTGAGTAAGTAGCAACATGTAGCCCGTGCCGCAGGATCGGGAAGGCCGGCAAGCAGCAGCAAGCAGGGCAAAGCAAGGGTCGGGTCGGTGGGGGCTGGACGGGGAGGAAAGTGTCACGCAAAGACGCTACCCCACACAGGCAGGCAGGCCTGTTGGATCGGAAGTGTGTGCGTCATCTCCCCTTGTCTGGTTTGGGGCCCAGTGAAACAGGGATAAGGTATCCTTCTGACGCCGCCAGCAACCGTCGTCGTCCAACCGATACTACAATAATGTCGCGCAGCTAGAGAAAGGACAGGGAAAAGAGAAAGAAACGAAATTGTCCACTTTTATTAATCGTTGGGTGTAAAATCCCTGCACTACCCTGCATTTTCGCTGGGAATTAGTGTTGCAAAAAGTTAGTTGCACCCTGCTGGCTGGGGTTGGAAAGTCACGCGTTCTTGTTGCCGTTGTTGATGCCGTCTGTCTCGTGCACCGGGTGTCTCTTGTCCAACTGTTGTTTCTCAACAACCCAGCCGTTGAAGTTCTACAGCACGAAAGTCGACGATGACGTCCCCAGCAAAAGCAAAAAAAAAAAAAAAAAGAGAGAGAGAAGCGCACAGAAACAAGCAGACACGACTTCGGAGACCGACGATGCTGGCGGACACACCACCCCCCCAGGTAAAAAAAACAGGGCACCCGGTCCGTCTTAGACAAAAACCCCCTCATCGGGACGGCCCGGAAATGGATGTGCGTCAACCCAGCCCATACCATCGCGCATAAACCTCGTATTCTTCCTCCACCCCCTGTTGCTATACAGCGTAACAGAAAGCAAAGGAATGAAAAAACACCGAGGTGAAAGGTGAGTAGCACCGAGAGGCAAGACAAGAAACGGTTCGTGTGGGGAATAAAGTCGTCAGCGGCAGCAGAAATGGCCCGATCCTACACCGACGTCATAACCCCCGTCTACGCCTTCCTTTCGCTGCTCTGACGTGGGCGCTTAGCCAACTGCCTACCGCTTGTTGCAACAGCTCGCCTCGCTTCTCGCCTTTCGTCTCGTCTCGTTTCGAGAGAGAGCAATAGTAAGTAGTTAGTGGGTGGGCGCTTATCAGAGAAGCTCCGTTTTGTTCGCTTGGCCATTGATTGGGTCGTCGCTTGGGGTAACGCTATTCATCCCGCCTGGCGCGCGCGCGACGGGTGGTTGGACGAATGGGAATTCGAACAGCTGTCTCATCAGCAATCCCTCCCCCCATCCTTTCTCGACCAGAGTTTGTTCGAAAAGTAACAAACCCCACATCACGACCGGTGATTCGTCTGTTTCGTGATGACTGTTCTTATTAAAGCATATAACGAACGAAGCTCATGCGTGTCTGTGTTTTTACTCGGGGTCTATCCCGGTCGGGGACCTGCCGCATCAAAGGGGACGTGTCATTCTCAGATAAGATGATGGGGGGGGTTTGGGCTGGACCCGTTGTTGTCGCACATGGCCCATGCCCGGATTGGGGATGAAAGGCATGGGTATGGGCGAGGTTGTGAGAGAGAGAAGAACAGCTGGCATCAATGGGTCCCAGTCAGACTCGTGCCACGACGTGATGCGATGCCAGCCATGCCCCAGTTGCCAGCCCCGCGGGAAAGAAATGCCTCGAGGAGCAACGGGCGAAGACACTCTGAAAGAAAAACAACCAAGAAGCGTAAGGCATCAATGCAGTCGCGATGAGTAGTAGTCAATCCTACCAGCCATGGTTCTAGATAGACACGATGAGATGAGCTGAGGCTAATATGAGGTAAGCGCAGCGATCTGACAAGAAGAAAGACAAAACGCGGCACGCACATAGAGCACGGGAAAAAAGCGCCGGCCGCCGTCTGTCTACCTTTCTGCGCTACCTACAGACAGTTCTAGAACCAAATGCATTAGCAGAAATGTGCGCAGCAATTAACGTTAGCGCTGCAGAAGTGCGATCTGCACATGCTGGCGTGGCGCAGGTATGGTGCCCAGTTTTTGATGACGATGATCATCTGGAGAGCCGCACGGACAGGGCAGCCTCTCCCCTTTGTGTGTCTGTGTGGCACCAATTCATCGAGTGTGGGGAGAGAGGGGGGTTAGGCGGCAACCTGCAGGAAAAAAGCAGGCAGCAGCAGCATCTCCAAGGACGGAAGAGAAGACTGTCGCACAGCAAGGCGGCCTCACAGCTTGCAGCCTCGGTATCAAAGCTCAGCAGCAGGCAGCCACTTTTCACCAATCGACGGTAGCACGTGTTTACACAAACCCGCAAAGTCTTTTTGAGATAGATGAGAAACAAGTAGAGCCTATTCTTCTCCAGAAATCTACTGCTACATCTGCCTGATTTTTGCGCCTACAAAGGAAACCAAAGATAAATCTCCCCCCCAAACAAGACTCCAAAGCTAAACATGTTGGAAATAAGAGAGAAAACCCCCACAAATATTTGTTTAGCCTTGAGGCAACCTTGTTTGACCAGTCTTCTTTCTGTGATACCGCGTCCCCCGTGTGAGTACAACAAAGGAAAGAAAAATAAATCGCCAGCCGCCAGAAAGTCAGCCGTAGCAAACGAAAGTGAGACAAAGGACTCCAAGAAACGAGTGCAGGACCCCGTAGCGCCTTGTTTGTTGTTGCTGTAAATAAAAGCCGGATCGCAAATTCTTATAGTTTATTCGCCATTGGTGGATATCGTTGTTTTTGTCGAATGTCGAGAAGAAAAAGAAAAACCAGAAAACAAGAGAAAAGGGAAGAAACAGGCGGAGACCGACAATCTGCAGTGCTAAGAAGGAAAAGAAAAGCCTCTCTTTCTTGAAAGCAGTCTGACGGAAGGAGGAATCCAAAACACCCTGCAAATCCTCCAAAACTTCTGTTTCTCTCCACTTTTTTCCGCATTCTTTGTGTGCCCCTCCAAAGCTCCCCGCTGGTGGATACTTAGACAAGTCCGTCGAAGAAAAGCCGACTCTTTCCCCTGATCAAAATCAAATAGAGGACCAACTGCGCACGCTAGAATCCAATGCCATCTCGATGTCGTCGTAAAAACAGTAGTGTCGTCCTCGTCAGCTTTCGCGCTCTCCTCGAATCTTTTGCATTTGTCCTCCAAAATTTTCTTCCTTCCACCATTCCACGCCTAATCCCCATCCATCAAATCGTCCGACGACACCTTCCTCTTGCGTCCGCCCTTCCCGTGACCCTTTCCTGCGCCCTTCGACGATCCCTTCCTCTCGGCCTCAATCTCGTCGTTAAGTTCCCGCAGTCTCTTCAGAACTTCAATTACGCGCGGATTATCCAGCATCCGCTCGACAACTTCCTGGTCGCGTTCCTGCCACGCCGCCTCAGCGGCGCATGCGGCGCGGTACTCGCGCAGCGTGGGAAAATTAGCGGGGCCGCCGGCGATGCCGCGGTGGGTGATTTCCTCCAGCTGCTCGGCGAGCTGTGCACGCGTGGGTGGGTACGCGTAGCGATACGCGTGCTTGGAAAGGGCTTTGCTGTTACTGTGAGTGGGCGCGTAGTTTTGGGTGGCTGTGCTGGTCCACGGCAGGGCTTGGGCGTAGACGTCTTCCTGGAGGAGCGAGTCGCGCTTTTGGGCGGCTGCGGCCTTTGCCGATTTTGCCGCCGCAGCAGCGTTATCGGTCGTGGCAGTGCCGCCAGTTTTGGGCTTCTTCAGCTTCGGCGCCATCTTTTCTGGCGGTGGTGAGAGCTTGCGCTTGCGGTTTTCAGATGAGTCGGGAGCGGGGGAGGGCTTGGAGTCTAGCTTTTTGTTGGCCTTGGTTTTGTTGGTCGCGTCGTCGAAGACAGTCGACTTGCGCTTGGCCGATTCCTTGGCTTGGCCGTCGGGTGCACGTGATGTCAAGGCAGAAGACTTGTCCTGATGGACGGATTGGGCAGGCTGGACAGCGGGGGCTGGGTGAGGCTCAGGCGATGCGGCGTGTGAAGTCGCTGCTGCTGAAGTAGCGTAGGCCGCAGTCGCGCCGCTGGAGGCTGGGTCGGAAGTAGCGGGAGCAGCTGAAGTCGAAGTTTTTGATTTTTTCCTAGTCGAATCTGACGTGGGAGCGGCAGAATCCTTTCGCTTGCGGCTGGCATTCGGCGCTGACGGCGGCGCAGGTGAGCTTGCAGGCGAGGCCTGAGTGTTGGTGGTAGTGGTGGAAAAAGCGCTCTCCGAGGCCGGGTGAGAATGCGAGGACTCGCTGCCGGAATGGTCGTGGAAATGTTGACTAGCATTTAGGGCGGCAGCTCTTGTGCGACGTCCTTGGCCGGCAAGGAAGTTGTTGGTGAAGGAACTAAAGAGCTCTTTTTCCAGCCTGCTTGCGTTTGGAGGTGGCGCCTCGTCCTCGGCGGGATCGACGGCGACATACTCCCAGCTGTGCTTTGCGCGCGAGCCCTTGCGGGCCTTGCGGCCGTGCTCGTCGGCGCCCTGGGTGCTGACGGAGTAGACGGAGCTGGCGCGAGGCTTTGGCTCGCGCTCTGGGGCAGGCTCGGTCGACATGGTGTCGGATGCTGTGGAATGCGGGTGCTGCGGAAGCGGATGCGTAGGAGAGAGAGGGGAGTGAAGGGAGTGGAAGTAGCTATGAAGCGTGTTCTGATGGGAAACCATGGCTCGCAGATGGAGTGGGCATGAGGTGAGGTTGCGTGTGTCAGGTGGCGGGCTGTGTTCACTCTTCACTGGGCCAGAATGCCAAGCCGAAAACACACAACGCGACGCGTCGAACGCCGTCACAGCCGGGCGGCGCAGGAGGCGGGTGCGGCGCGCGCGACGTCGAGATGCGAGGCGACCTGGCTGCGCTGCTTGGGGAATTGTTTGCTTGAGTCAAGATGCGGCGCGGGGTGTTGGGTTGGGAGTGTGGTGGTTGATGGAAGGCGCTGATGAAGCTTGGCCCATTCAGGGTGCAGCCGGCGCTGACTAAGGCGTAAAGGGGCTTAGGGGCAGCAGCTGGCCCTGCGGATGCTGAAGCGAAAGACCGTGACGTCGCAATCTCAGCATCAAGGGCGCTCAGTGCCACCTGCCATGTCCGCTCCGCCGCGTCCGCTGGAGTACCTCTCGGCCGCAGCGCGCGCGCGATCACTCTCCGCCGCCCGTCAGACGGAATGTTGCGCGAAACAATACGAAGAAGCTTCGCCACCCGGTGCGCGCCGTTGCCGGTGGATACGTGTGAGAAATTGACCCCATCTCGATATGAGCCCATGATTTTCTGCGCTCAATCAAACCCGATTAAGTCCCCGTGGGGCGGACGCCACCGACTTTTGCAAAAAAGCGCTCGTCTATTGCCCCTTCCAGCCCAGGATCGCGTTATCCTCGCATTTGAATGGCATAAGTCCGACGCTTGGCTGCCAGTCCCTGCACATCTTCACGGCCGCTGATCTTCCATCCCTACCTCGTATGGCGCCGCGGAATCGCATGGCTACACTCTCCGTCGTACACAGCCAGCGCGGTTCAATCCCTCAGCAGCCCCTCGGGCGCCGCTGATCGCACTGTAGGCGCCAGGTGCGCAAGGAGGCGGCCGTAGTAGCGTGACGTTGCCGGCTGACGCACTCCAGGAGGCGCCGGCGGCGGCCACCAGTTTGCTTTTGCACCCGCTTGGAACTTCGCCAATGCTTCGGCCCTCCGTGCCGCTAGCCGTGTGCCGCCCTCGCACGCTATCTAAGAGGCATGATAGGATGCCAGGAGGCTTCCAATGGCGCCTAAAGTAGCGCTCCCTTGGGAATGTGGCTGCCTCTACTCCTAGACACTACACTGCACTACCTCGTCCCGCACTGCGTCGCTCGTGCCAGTCAGTGCGCCATTCCTGCTACCTGCGCCTGCTCGTGCCCTCTCTACAATGCAGATATGCACGCAAATGAAGTGTTTCTTATACCTCTCTAAATTTTCCATGCTCTTTCGCTTCTACTTCATTTTCATTGCCAATGCTGCGATCTTCTACGTCCATGACTTCCCAATAAGTTTGCACAGCCTCAAGCCACCAACCTACTCGCGCGCGTCAGTCCACTATAGTGTAAAAGCAGTTGTCCTATGATATTCGCAAGTCTATGGAACCCGTCTGGCGTCGGGTGTTCCCCTTTCGCACTTCCGCCGTTTCAGCCATCCTGATCTGCCTCTGAAACGTGAGCCCAAACTATTCCTGGTCTCCCGTCCGCTCGCAAGCAACGACAACATCAACGCGGTCAGGTGAAGATGGTTGTATTGTTCAGTTATATCCGAAACTCCGACAACCACTTCCGAGTTGTACGGTGAGCATTGTGTTGGAGTTCTTTGTTCACCGGTCGTCCTGGGCTGGGCAACCCGCCTTGTTCCGCGCCTGGTATGACTTGCCAGACGATAACGCAATCAAACTTGAATTAGCAGGAACGCCCACATATTAAATCCAACCCACAATGGAAACCAAAACCGATGTCTAAAAAGAGCATTCTTCAAGTGTCACAGCACGCGTGTACACCGACGTCGCTGAGCTGCCGTCCGTTGTCTCGTAGGTCCCGTCGAGCAGTAGTCCAATCCCGCAGCCTCCAGCTTCGCCATTGTAGAAAGACCACATTCCATGAAATGAACCCACCAAAGCCCTACTGTAGAGCCGAGTCTTCACAAAGCACTCTCCCATTCCCCAACGATTCCAACGTCGCCTCTTGCTCAAAGCGGCCGTTGGGGTGCCGAATCCTGCATGACATACTCGTCGTACGTGACGACGTAGTCGCCCACGGGCTCGCACATCCCCTCATCCATCTCCACACTCGAGTGCCCGATAATGTATCCCCTCTCCCTCGCCTCCCGCAAGACAGGCAAATGCAGCTTGGCCCGCTTCCTGCGCCAGCGCCGCCTCGCCCAGTCGCCGTGATGCAGCACGACCGCGACCTCCAGCTGCGGCAGCGCCGCGCGCAGCCTCTCCAGGCACGCCCAGACGTAAGCGTTGCGATGGCGGCGGCAGTGTTCCTGGTCCGCCAGCTCCTCCTCGCTGCACTCCGCGCCGGAGCAAACTGCGCCGTTGTCGTTCTCCTCGCCGTCATCGTCGACGACGACGGGGGTGTAATAGCTTTCCCCGTACGGCTGCCACTCGATCTTGACGACGAGCTCGAGCTTGCACAGCGCGCCCGCCGCCGCCTCCAGCAGCCGACAGACGCTGCGGAACGTCGCCTCGCGCGCGACGTGGTCGGGGCGCCATCCGCTGCCATCAACGTGACCCTCGACCGTGCGCCAGCCGCTGCGCTCAGCCGGCGTGACGGCCATCTGGCGCTTCATCGCCGCGGTGCCGAGCAGCGCGGGCAGCAACCCGGGCGCGGCGGCCCTGACGCCGTCCTTGAGCTTGCCGAGCAGCAGCGGGTCCCAGAAGCGTTCGCCGTCACAGCGCAGCGGCGCGTCGACGTGCAGGCGGCGCAGAAAGCGGCAATGGCGCGGGCCGATGGTGTTGAGGAAGGCGTGCAGGACGAGCCACTGCGCGCGCGGCGGGTCGGGCTTGGTGAAGCGGAACTCATTGCGGCTGTAGAAGACGGACGCGATTTCGGCGTGGAGAGCGCGGTTGAGGCGCATCCACGCGAGGTAAGGGCGGAGGGAGCGGTATTGGTGTGGGGGGCTGGGCGTGTCGGCGGAGAGGATGTCGATCGGGTGGGAGAGGAGGAGGAAGTGCTCCCAGATCATGATGCGCACGTCCGGGTCAACGTCCATGAAGCTGATGCGCATTCGGGGGGTCTGGGAGGGGTGTAGTCAATGGGCTTGGTTGGGGCGTCGAGGTGAGGTCGTTTTGGGTTGTCCGATGGGATAGTATGGAGGGAACGTACAGTGTACTTGGCTAGCTTGCGCTCGAGGTAGAGCATCGGGTAATCCTTGTAAGGCTGTAGTTCTGCCTCCGTCCACGGAGCTGGAAAGCTGCCCATTCTGTCAGGAACTGATGTGGTGTTGGCTGTCGCGGGCACTGGAAGCTCGTGTCTGAGTCGATGCGGGTCAGATCCGTCGCACTGTGTTGGAATGGTGCGGCGTTGAGGCGATTGACTATGACACAGCTAATACGCGCATATGGTGATTGTGAGGAAGAAGTTGCGACAAGGCGTTGAAGCTGTGGTGGACGGTCGTGCGAACTGGACCTTGTGTGGAGCAGTCTGTCCGGATGGTCGATAGTCGTGGTGCGTCAGGAAAGAGTGGAGGGGTGACAGACCTGCAAAGAAATAGATAGAAAGGGAAGAAGAGTGAGCACCCGTCCCTGGTGGTGCCTCCGCCTTTCGCGCTCCTACTCCAACCGGGCACGGGAGTAGTGAAGGACCATATTCTCCACCGACTCGTCGAAAGCAAACGAGCACCGCCTTTGTGGCTGCGCACTTCTCGCACAGGTATGCACAACCTCCTCCTAAATCTACAAAGACGGCCCATGCTTGACAGTGAGGCGATTTTCCTCTGTCGCATGTATCCGCTCCCTCAGGCAGTCTCAGCAGCGACCCAAAGCGCAGCAGTTTCGCATATCATCGCGTAGACAGAAAAGCTATAACACCAGAGCATGTCAGCCAGCCAACAATAACCCGAAGGGCTGTGATGAGGACAACTGATTCATTCGCACCCTAGGCTCCTCTCAGCCAGTCGCTCCATGATCCGCAGCTTTCCACAGTTACTGAGTGAGTCAGACAGGCTCGCGGTTTTGATGAAGATGTCTCAGTACCATGTCGCACGGTTGCGTATTCTGTGGATATAGCATACCCAAAACTCGATGCAGTGTGCGATACAAACGTAGGAGCTGCTGGATTCGCGACTCATTTCGAGCGAGGCCCACAAAGACGCGGACTCGGCGAACTTATATCAATATGTCAGAACTGGTGAACTATAAATAGGGTCGAACAGTTTTGGACTAAGCGCTCTCAGGACGAAAGAGTTCATCGGCAGTCTTGCAGTGCGCTTAGGATACTGTGGACTTCGTTTGCGCAACGGACGACACAGTATTTGCTACGTACTGGAAAGCGCTCTACATATCTAAATAGCGACGGTATGCGCTGATGCTAAAACAGGCTCGACGCAATCCCGTCAATGATCTGCCCGCCGGCGTGGTCCCTGCAACTTTGTGATAACCCTGCACAACAACGAGACTTTAATCCAAATATCACAGCGTCACTTCTACAGCCTCCATATTCTTTGCAAACGCTCATATCCAAGCTGGTAGCCTTATTCGTAGTATGGGGCCCTGCGGCTACGCTTCCGTGTGGTGAAGTGGCGAGACGCTTTGGCACGATCAGCAGCCCAGAGCGTCGTTGCGATCGGCACCTACCAGCCTGGCACAAAGGGTCTAGGGGCGTTGCCACCCGCTGATCGCATTATGCATCAGGACACTTCTGCGCAAGTCATTCGCACCCGCATGTCCAATCCCGGAAACGCTTTCCCTGCCCAAAAAACCACCTCTCATCAAACCGTCAATGCGATACGCGGGAAAATCGGGACCGTGCAACTCTTCCATGACTCGGCGCAGCCACGGCGCACTAATCAAGCCTCGTGCAGACCGGCAATTCCGGAGTTCATGCGCCTGGGTTTTTTTGTGAGTCGTTTCTTCGCTGCGTGGTGCTGCGGTGGAATCGTTAGCGTTGCGATGGTAGATCTCAGGGGAGCGGAGTTGGCGGATGCTACCACCTAATGGTGGGACGAGCAATCTAACGAGTAATATATCGATTTGTCTTTGAATGTGACTTATACAAGGGCATTTACCCGATTCATCTAAAATGATATTTGCCTAGAGCTTATGGAAAATTCCGTTGCCTGTCTTTGCTTAATATATGAAGCATGCTTATCCTTAAAACCGTTCCTTTTTTAGTATAACACCACCTGATTGACACCTTCGTTTATGGCAGCTCCTTATCGGAAAGAAACTTTCTACGTTCACATGACATCGTGACGTGGGAGGGGAACATGGCCCTATTGCTGGCGTTCAACTCGTTACAAAGCCCCTTGCTCCGCATAAGAAAGCACTATTACTGCGCGTTAGAGAGTTCTTTTCTAGACGTAGAAGGCAAGCTGTAAAAGCATATCCCATCATCTGTGCAAATCCAGACAGGCTTGACGAAGGAGGTGTCATAAAAGTGGAGATTACTTTATCATCAGTGTACATCGTCAGAATCACAGATCACGCAAATAGATTTAGATCAAAGTCTTTTAATTTTGATCTTTCATGGGCAAGTCCGCTTTGGCTCTTCAACGATTCTCCTACATTGAGATCAGTTGATTATAGCGATGGGGACTACCAAATACGTAGGCAATGTAAAATCTGATACGTTACATCCGCTAAATAATCAATTTTGTATCAATTTACAAACATCTAGACAGCAAACATTGCGCGAATCCTGACTGGTCTAATCGTACCAATGAAACGTTTCGCCGTCGTAGTCCTGACCACCCCAACCTGTCTTTTCGTAATGCCCTCCGCCTTCGTAGTCCTGATCACTCCAACCTGTCTCTTCGTAATGTCCTCCAAAGTTTCCGCGGTTGCGATGCTCAAATTTGCTTGAAGTACCGGTGAGTTTGAGTGTCCGCATACACTCGCCACAGGCTGTTTCTGCACAATTGGGACACTTGAAAGCAAATTTGTTAAAGGTACGGCTGCAATGCCGACAGTAATGCCGACCGTTAACCTTGAGCCAGAAGGACTTGTGCGTGCACGATGACGAATCTCGGGGCTGATGTGGCTTGTACTGGGTTTTCTTGGGGGGTTTTCTCCGTGTGGTTTCGCGCGCAGCCGCTCTGTTCCTTTCTTCTCTCTCTCGTGCTTCTCGTGCTTCTCTCTCGCGCGCTTCTCGTGCAGCTCTCTCTCGTGCTTCTTTCTCTCGTGCAGCTCTCTCTCGTGCTTCTTTCTCTCGTGCTTCTTTCTCTCGTGCTGCTCGTGCTTCTTTTCCTCGTGTTGCTCGCGCTTCTCTTTCTCGTGCTTCCCAAGCTTCCCAGGCTTCCTGCGCTTCCCGTGCCCGTGCCTCCCGTGCTTCTCGTGCTTCTCGTGCTTCTCGTGCCTTCCGTACTGCTTCTGCTTCTCGCTCCTTCCTCGCTCTTTCTTCTTGTTCACGTTGCTTCTTCAGAATTTCTTCAAAAGCTCTGCGCTGTTCTGCTTCTTCCCTCTCTTTAGCTTCCTTTTCCTTTTTCCTTCTCTGAATCTCTTCAAACCTCAAGCGAGCATTCTCTGCAGCTTCCTTCCCCTCCTTCTCAATTACCATCTCTTCGAGTAACGCAGCTATTTTCTCAAGGCGTGTCTGTTTGATCCTCCTGGTAGCAAGCCTCTGAAGTTTTTCAACTTCCATATTCTGTATGTCCTTATCCGTGAGAACCGTTCGTGACCAGAACAACCAAGAATTGGCAGCTCGAAGTTTTTGCTCATGCTCACGGTCAAGCTTGTCAAGCTGTTCTATCTCTGACCTCAACTTCTCGACTTTTCTCTTGGTGTCGGCTATCTTCCGATTCATCGCCTCCACCCAGTTCAGCCAAGCACGCCTTTTCTCTGCGCTTGCCTCTTTCTCGCGCTGATCTTTCTTGGCGTTGTCTTCGGGCTTCGGTCTTGGTTTTGGCTCTGGCTTTGGATTTGGATCTGTCTGCTGCTGTTTTTGAGTATTCCCTGCCGGTCGGCTGCGTGCAAGTTTGGCGTCGTAAATGCGCCTCTTCGATTCATCTGAGAGAGTTTCCCATGCTGCTGCTATCTACACAACAAAACTTCCAATTTAATGACTTTCGCTTGGAAATGACGAAGAAAACTCAAATCTTGCTTACTTTTTGAAACTTCGCTGTAGCAGCTTTTTTGTTTGGATTCTTGTCTGGGTGATGAAGAAGTGCTTGCGCGCGGTAGGCACGTTTAATATCTGCTAATAGAGCTGTTGAAGAGATCCCCAGGGTCGCATAATGGTCAGGCAGAGAGCTGTAGTCCATCGCGATTTTGCAGCCAGGAGCTGCCGATGAGAGTTCTCTTGAGTAGTAGTGAACTGCATACACGAAATGGTCAATATGTTGAGTCTCTGATCTAAGCGAGGTTGCTGGTACCGTATTTAACTCCCTACTAAAAGTAAGGGTGGCATAATGGCATGACCTGCCACAAACGCGTACAACATTCCACAGATATACTCGCAGATGGGTGAGATAGGGCATCGCAGTCTATTGGTTAAATGCAGACACGTGTCAGAATCCAGACCGCCATTGAAGGCGGGGCTGTGGTGCCAGACCTTTGGGAACACCACGGATGGATTTGCATTGAACAGTCCACATAGAATCAAAGCAATGCTACCTTTCCAGTGCGATCAGTCTTATGTGTATCTTTATTCGTATCTTTGCCCGCGATGCGGAATCAAAGGTTGCTACGGTCTCGGCCGGGTATCTGTGCCCAGCTGTGCATTCGTACTGCTTTAAATTAGCTTACTAAGACTAGGAAAAACCTGCATAAAGGCCTTCGACTACGGTTGGGACACATCAATCTTACATCGTTACACAACACGGAAAATCACTCAGTAGCAGCCACCAGTCAACCATTCGTCCCATTGCGAATGCCAACCGCCCACGAAATAAGAAGCATGGCAGCTTGGCGTATATTTAGCCAATACATTTTGCTGAAATGTAGGGTGGGACTTTTTTTTAGCGTCGACTCATGCATTACTATAGAAAGGAGTCAAAAGTCTTGCAGCGACTTTGAGACTCAGATCTATGATCAGATGAAGAAAGTCGTAGTAGATACCACCAGAGCCTTTAAGGTGAGTTTGGAAATGAAGCAGTTACAGTAAGAGTGTTACAAGCGAACAGGCTTTAGGATGAACCATTCAGCCGCTAAATAAGAGCATAGAGTCGCTAATAGATTAAGAGAGAATCGACTGTACTTATGCGAACGACGAAACGCGCAAACTTGCGAAACGTTGGAAGACACGCTAGGTTCGAACGACTGGACAAGTAGCCAATTACTAATCCTGCGGGGATGGCATACCTTCTCCCACTTTGTCAAGCACAACGTTCCGCCCAGCAGCAGTAAACTCAAAGTATCTTAAGGTTTCCCTTGGAGTTGCCGGAACATTGGTCGGCTCGGCTTTTCTATTTAATTGTACACGTTCCTTCTCCAACCTTAGGCAGCCCAAATTATGATTCGGAAGTCGCCCCCATAAACACAGACCAGAAAATCATATCCGTCTAGAGATCTTTTGTTAAGTTCCCATTCTATGTGACCAATAATTGAGCTCGAAGAATACTGGGCCCAGTTCGGCATCTGAAGACGGACATCCACTGGCTGATACGACTCAAACATGCTAGAACGGTATCCTAAGTCCCTATCGCGATCAATATTCTCGCTATTGCCGTGTCTTTTGGATGCCTTCAACATCGCTTAGTCTCCCATCTAGACACTCAAACATCGGCGTCACAGTGTCCCTATTCTTGATATCGATTTACCATTCAATAATGTAATTTCACGACAGCTAGCGGACTTGTTGGCTTTGATTTTGCGTGACTATATGGCAAGGGCGCCGCGACGAGATTGGCGCTGAGAAACACTGCGATTGGCACCATCTAGAGACATTCGCCACCACAGTGGCGCATATCACATCATGCACAAAGACACTGCTGCACGGCAAGTTCGTACCCAACAATGCATAGATTAGAGAGCCTCTCTGCTTTATTCTGCTTCTTTCATAGCATGCCTTACCCTCTGCGTCGCCGAGAATACGTTTCCAACGTTAGACGTGGCGTCATGCATTAAACTCCCCCGCCTTGACACAAACACTGGCGACAATCTTTGCGCACAAACGCAACGGCGAGCTAAAAACGACAGAGTATACCCGCTGCCGAGCTCCAGGATGCTGGCAGAGTCGGAGAAATGTATCAGAAATACCAATTCCCACAAAACGAGGTTTACGATCCGATAGCTCAGCCAGGAGCTTAAGATCTTGTTCAGTCTGCAACAGCCGGGCGGTTTCACCAGAGGTGATCCTTTGCAATAATCTTCTCGAGGAACAGCACTTCACGTACGTAGTAGTCGAAGCTAAGGTCTGGAATTTTCCGTATAATTATGGATTCCACATCTACGTCCGAACGGTTGCTTCAACTACACTTAACACGAGCTTAGGTGTTTGAGAGATTGAGTCATCGTGGCTCAACTTTTATGGCGCCAACTATAGTAGTGGCAGTACTACATGAATATTTTCTTCGTATCCTAGATAAGCCCCGCACTATATTTGCGCCGCCCTCACTTATCTGACTCGTGCGAGACTGAGGACACATTACCCACTTTATCCGCTTATCTTTTCGCGAGCCATTTTTTTGCGCCAAGCTTCCATTGAAGTGATCTAACCTGCATCTAGAAACTCGTAAAAATCAAAAGGGCAAGGATAGACCGGAGAAGAACACAACCACACGCAATGGAATAAGTACAAAGGAGAGTAGCAATCGTAGACATCGAATAACAATCCAAAAGATTGCTTTACATGGATTTTCATTCCTCAAGGCCTTCTTGAGGCTTTCTTCTTCTTCTCCCTCCATAAGCCGTTCACCGACAATATTTCGTCCACCAAGCTAAGGAAGCCATTCACTGGAATGCCGTCAGAGTTCAAAAGAAGCAGGGCGGTAGTGTAGATCGTTCATTAAGAGTTTTGATAAGTGGGAACTCAATGTCGGATCGCGATCTCCACGGCGTGATTTGTTCTTTCGCTTTGACCACTCGTTTGTGAATAGTACGCAATGGTCATGTACCAGGTGCAACGCCCAATCCTAAGAAGACTCTTCATCAGAATTTAGAGGTAGCTATACGAGGGAAATCCGTTATCTGAACTCTCAGAGTTCCCCGTCCGCGGCAGGATCGTCTTCAAGTGTCTATCTACACCTTGCTCGGCTCAATCCTCGAGGCCCTTGACAGGCAGGATTTCTTTTATGGAATTGCACGACGTTATTAACAGGAAATCGAGAACTCGTTGCTGGCGGGCTCTTTTTCCCATAAGCTTTGGAGAGTGAGTCACCTATTTTGTGAAATCCGAATTTAGCGAACTCGCTCCTCACATAGACGCTGTCTAAGGGGGCTCCAGATACTTTCCTCAGGCACAGTCCGATCATTCATAAGGACAATTGTCACGAGCACACGGTATATTAACTGAATACGCCGGACGACATACCAATTACAGGACCTACGTGGCATCGTGGCGTGATGAGCAAGTGCGGGCCTTGCAACAGGCCGGTTAGTTGCATCATCTGAAATGGTCATTTTAGGAAGTTATAATCTGATCAAGCTACGTTGCGGCCGGCTTGGACCTATAGACACAAGTGACTGTGGGAGAGTTATCTGAGTCATGGCCTTGTAAGTACTTCATAATAATCACTACGGCTTGGGGAGAATTACCTTCTTCGTCGTTGTGAGGAGAGGAAGTCGGAGGGGATGGAGATGATATCCGGTTGGGTTGAGTCGAGGGCGAGCACGTCCTGCTGCTCCGCATATTGGTGCGGCTCTCTTTAGCCTCAGGTGCGGGCGCGGTGACTTTCCACGGTGTTGGCGGGGTCTACCTCGGAAGTCCGATTCGTAAACGCGTAGACGAAGCGCTCTGCTCCCTTCTTAGTGACCAGGATGTGTGACAGAAAATACAAGACGGATTCCGTTTTCAAAGCTGGATGGTGTCCATCCGAGGGTCTTTATTAACAACGCGCTGGAAGGGGCTGACAAACTCCACTCAACGGAAGAGGTAAGTGTAAACTGCGCAAGCGGTGAATTCAATCGCAGCTATTTCTTTAAACATCTTTCGCTTAAGCTCTGTAATTCAGGAATTACAAGAACGCTGGAATAGAAGGAGGAGCGGGAAGGGGCACCAGCTCGATGTCTCCTGGCGCTTCGCTACAAGGCCTGCGTACGACAGGCTCATATTGTTGCTCGGGACGGGCGGTTGTCCTTCCCATATTCTCGTTGCCGTAACTACGGCACCGGCCAAGCATGATAATATCCATCCGTAAATTCATGTTGCCTGCCCGCTTAAAGGGGCTAACGAATTCCGATTGGCGCCTACGGCGCGTACGAGCGGCACGACTGGCCCGTTCAATAGTGGCGATTTCATGAAGCATTTTCTGCTCTATGTTAGCATCGCCAACGACGTACGTAATGAATTCAGTGGTTATACCACTCTTGCTGAAGGACGTAGTAGTCCGGTGAATTTTCATGTTGCGAAAAAGCAGTATGAAAGACTGCATACCGCGTCCTTGGCCCCAAAAAGAGACGACTGCCAGGGCCTAAGCCTACACTTGCGATCCCGGGCAGCAAGCCTTGCTCTTAGCCTCCATAGCTGTTAGTGGTGCTGAAGGTATATATCTGTCTTCCTCCAGCGAGTCATGACAGTCAGGTAAGCTGGCACATCTGTTGTTCTGCTGAGTTTCAAGTTTCGAACAAATGGAGAGTGTCATCTACCTTTCGAGCAGTAGCTTGCGCCCACGATACCGCTTTGGATGTTTGGTGATGTATTGGCGCGAGCGAGGAACCGGTGATGCAAAAGGCCGAAGAATAGCATCCCTACTAAAGGCAATAATGAGCGCCACACTCGTAAGTTTGGTGAATCTGGCTTGCTCACCAGGCCTGGGTGAGTGAATGGCGAACTTTACAGTTGGTGGACACCGAAAGAAATTCGGGAAGGGCGATCAGACTTAGCTTACTTCCGACCAAAGTGCTTGCATTTCCTGAAGAAGCCCTTCAATCCGAGATTGTCGAAGCGTGGATCTTAGCAGCAGAAAGTCGACAGTTGTGACTATGGATTCTTTGGACTTTGAGCAGCTTGTGCTGATTCCGCGTGGAATCCGCATTCACAATGATCATGATCGGAACCAACGACCTCAAGACCCATACAAGCACTTTAAGACCGAGAACAACAAGCCGAAAGATTATCGCCATATCAAGTTCTACAACGCAATCAAGGGCCTTCAGAAATCGACAATATGGCTAGATCCGTCCCCAGAGTTCCAGGAGCTCATAGTTGAAGGCTACAACGCCATGGCGAAGTGGGAGGCTTCTTATTCAGGGAGATTTACACGAGCCCATGGGGAGTGTGATTTTATTCAGCAGTGTCCCAGAAGGCCAGGAAACCGGAGGAATACAATCATTTGCTTTCTCATCGTACGGCGACTTCGGTAGTCTAGAGCTTAAAGCGTAGTATTGGGTATGTGGCGTTCGCTTCTGACTGGCAGGGTCGGTCATGAAGTTGCTCGTGAGCTAAGTGCGGTGCATCTCTAGGCCTTTAGAAGGGTACACAGGACCCGGCAGAGAGATCACCGTCCAGGAGACATCCTTGTGGGGGCGCCGGACTTCTCCTTGTCATCGGGATCCTTGGGGCCACCAGTGCGCTCATTGCTTGCCGGATCCTTCATGTAGTTCATTATGAACTGAACTGGGAGCGGAGCATCTCCAGGACCGAGGCAGTGTCTCCCTCGCACGGCGAAGGGACCACCGCCCAAGACACATCCCCACGGGAAGTCCCCCGGGCCAGATTCTTCTGGCCGGCATCCTCAGCGCGCCTGTTGACCTGGTACTTGAGCATACGCTCGCCAGTGTCCAGTGTCTTTTCCCAGTCCCATCTTCCGTTGTAAACTTGATTGTTATTTTTCGGATTCTGCGGCGGAAAAGCGCAGTCGTCGAGAGTCGCGGTTTTCTGAAAGATTTTGACGACCTTGGGCGGCGAGCCCCGAGCGACGCCAGCGAGTATGCGGTGTCCGGAGGTCTGCGTCGGAGGTGGTACGTACTGCGATCCCGACGGAGGTGGAGGAGGTTGACTGTACGGCTGCGGTGGTGGTTGGGCCGGCGGGTATTGGGGAGGTTGGGCAGCTTGGTGGTAACCACCCCCACCGCCTTGCCTTTGGTGCGATGTTGGCGGTACTTGAGACGACAATTGGATCCTGCTGAACGCTTCCACCATCGAAGGCATAAGGCGAGATAGCGCCTCCTCTGCACATGATCCTCCTCGCTCGGAGCTGGCAGCGGTCGCCACGGGTTGCATCATGTACAGGTCCTCGACCTTCTCGTCAGCCCACTCGATGGCTGCTTCAACCGCCTGGTCCAGAAGCAGAGGCTGATCCCCAGATGCCTTCTTCATCATGATCAGCGGTCAAGACCCTTGACGAACTCGGACATGTCGGCGGGCGCGAGGAGAGACCGAAGCGCTTAGAAACAAGGGTGGGAAAGGAGAACGACGTCTGCCGCCGAGCGGGCGAGGAGCAGCGGTAGCCAGGCAAGAGCAGAAGCCCAGCAAGATAGTCTGTGAAGGTGAGCGGCTGCCTGTCGCGTTAGAGGTGAGCCTTCCCATTTCGGAAGGAGCGAATAAGGCAAGCGCATGTTCCGAGACTTTGCGAACGCCAGCATGAAGCTACTTCCCGAGCGCCGGGCGGCGCGACGGGACCAGTCCTGCTGTGTCGCTGCCGACCGAGTCGAGGAGGGTAGGCAGGTTGCGTGGATAGAGCGACGGACGTCTTCATGGATGGCGCTGCGCACAGTGAGCGTAAGCCAGAAAAGAAAATAAGCATACAGGAAAAGGCGAAAGAAAAAAAGGATGCCCCCGCCCAGGAGTTGAACCTGGGTCCTTCACCCAGCCGCACTCGAACCAGACGGATCCCAATATCCCGGATTTTCTCGAGCCGCCAAGAGTCGCTCTACCAACTGAGCTAGCGGGAACAATGGGAAGGCTGGTTTGAACCATTTATATCACGATTAGGGGCTTACTATGTGTCATAGGTGGCATGAGATGAGATCACGGCACGCTAACCATCGCTCGATACCTTCCATCCTCCTCTCTAGCTCCAAAAAGCGATGGCACACCCCTAATTCTGGACATTCTGACCAAGCTGCCCGCCGTCTTGGTCGTTCCAGTACACATCTTAGCCTTCTCACCTGGGGTCCCTCTCACCTCTCCACGACATCTCAGCACATGTTATAGAACATCAGTAAGTTTTTGTTTTTTCAAATGACTGTTAATGCGATATAGATCATCTAATTCTACTACATATTCCATAATCCGTATGACCCCTTTGCCTCCACCCAAGTTCTCAGCTCTTTGTCTCCTTTGCCCGGACTATCCTACATATCTGGCGATCGCACATCCGCCATGACTGTCGCTGAGGCTTCTCTTCTCTTTGGAGGCATTCTTCGTGGGTGTGTGCCTGATGCATCTTCGTCGCCTCCCTCCTGATTCTGACTGTAAACAAGAGAGCAGAGAATAGTAGCTTTCTTTCATTCTGTTGAGACTGTGGGTACATATTCTGTTGCCTCCGCTCCGGTTTGATAGTTAGGAACCAAAGGTGGGTGGGTGTTGCTGTGACAAGAAGCAAGCAACATTGTGAAGTTGTCCAATATCTCAAATGCTCGTTACCTTCACTGAGATCTTCGCCACCCTTGCCTTCTCCATGTCTCCCTTGTTCTTGTTGTGGAGTTTGAGCTTGGTGGGGATGTGGATGCGACTCGATCCGTCATCAGCTCGGAAGATTGGGAGGATAGCGTCGATGCTTGGAATGAACGCCCTCGATTGGCCTTTCGAATGGTCAACCGCTGTCTCGAAGAAACCCCAACACACCCTCAGTTATTTTGCGAAGCAGCTCCCCAGAAAGCCCAACAACACGGCTGTCGGGCTCGCGGTTCCTGGCTGAACTGCGTCATCCATAACAAGCCGCTTCAATCTCCCCAGGACCCGCTGGATGCCCGCAACGAGGTTTTGTAACATTTTTATATACATAGTGAGATCAGCTCCCCCCGCAAAGGATGGCAAGATCGTGATGCACTTGCGACAGAAGGCACGAATGGAGGCAGGCGCGACGCTGGGCGAGTAATCCTCGGAGCTTGGTCTATGGAATGGGTCCACGCAGATGGGACAGTGCGTTTGCTGGTTTGATAGCTGCACGGATGATAGCGTCTGGGAAGTGCTTGTGGAGGAGACCCTCCGTTGCACTCACAATCGACGCATTAGACTCGCTGCTCTTCAGGCTGATGTTGGAACGGGACCTTCCGCGATAAGCTGGCAGCGAGACGACCTTCCGAGATTCTTTCTTCTGGAGTTTCCTCTTGCAATGGTAGTAGTCTGGCGCGGGGAGCAGTCTCGACGAGCCAGAGCAGGGCCGAGGTTGACTTTGGGGTGCGCAAAAGGCCCGGCGAATGGGAGCGCTAGGTATTTCATCCTGAAAACTCTTCTGATTGGGTTCTTTGAAGAGCTATATTGGAACACCGAACGACAACTTCCGATGCTGAAGGGTGTCGTATTTCGGGATAGTGGTTCTTGCCAAGTACCAGCATCCAGGACCCTATACCGTCCGTGATCGTCGTCGAGGCGGTGGACTTCTTTGAGGGACCAACCCATGTCCAAGTGTCTTGGTACTCGAGCTTGATCGCTAGGCCGAACTGGACGTTGCACTTCCCGATACTCCCAGCCAGTCGGACTGCATCAGCCTCTTCCAGGTATGCGTAATCAGGATCCTCGCCAATGCTGGGGTAGTCCTTCCTGACGCCGTGCGTTTCTTTAGCCAAGAAGTGAATGGCAAAGAGTGCGATGTTGATGGTCAGGACGCGGAGGGCCGTGTTGACAATTGCGTACGTCTTCGAGCAGACATGGCAACGATGCCCAGAAGAAGCTGTAGGAATGATTTGCTGATTGGCTCCATCGGTGCTCTCGGCAACTTCATCCTGTAGGGGCTCTTCGCTGTGCGAGTGTGTTGCCTCCGTCAAGGATAAGGTGGTGATCTGGAGAGTTGTCGGCGAAGCTGGTTCACTCTTGGCCTGCTTCGTGCTGGGCGACTCGAAGTCTTGGGCAGATCGCTTCTTGCTTGGTATACTCTTGCTGCTTCGTGTTGGGCAACTCGCAGCCTGTCTGGCGCAGCTAAGCTGGATGAGGACGAAGTCGAGCGTAATTCTACACGGGAGGTTAGCTATGGCTCAGGCGGATGGAAAAGGGGGTTTTGGTTAGTACCTGAAAAATATATATAGAGTGGTATCATGCTGGTGACATTCTGTGCACGCAGATTCGTTCATCTCGCTAAAGCTGGTCAGTTGGAATACCGTTGAATCATGCTTTGAAGCTGGTCTCCAGAGATAATCTCAGTTGCGTACGACTGAGCATAATGGAAGAGCTCGTCGTGAATGGCGCAACCACACCAGTAGCCTACGATGGAGTCATTAGTAATAGAAACACTGAGAGGAACGGAGATCATACTCTTCCCTGTCCGTATGATACCAGCGGAAAAGTCATAAGGCATAATCCAGTAGCCTTCGGAGGTAAATCACCTTTCCCGGTCTGGCCTATTTGGCCAACTGGTCCGCCATAATATTCCCCATCACTGCCCACTTAAGATCCTCCTTCTCCTTATGGGCCTTAACCCATCGTAGCGTTACTTTTATTCCCAGGGCCATCAGTGCCCTTGTATAGTCGTGGATATGTTGGGTGTATCTGACAAGCGGATCGGTATGAGTGACCAGGCGGTCGTCAGCAGAATGCCAATCAACCCGCTTCAGAATAGCCCTGGAGTCCGTGAATATGTTGATGTGAGTGATATTGATATTCATGGACTGCATCCACAAGGCGACACGAAGCGACCCTTCGGAAGAGTCTATGTCAGATAATTGCAATTGCTCAATGGAGAACCTTTAGAATCCGTGTCGGATGATTGTAAATGTACTTCGGACTTCTCGTTCGTGAAATTGCTTGAGTCTATGGCGACTAGAGCTTTCAGCTCTTCCAGGAACTGCGCTTGGTCACCCTCAAGTCGATGCCAGAAGGTTTCGACTTTTACTCTTTGCGCGCTGACTACATCTTGCGTGGCTACCTGGCAACTCCAGGTGGCGCGTATAAAGATGCGATCGAGAGTTGACAGTCTTCCCTCGTTGACCAGCTTGGTCAGCCAGGTGTGTGCATTCAGCGATGAGCCTGGGTATTGTGCGAGTTTCCAGCCGGCAGCAGAGAGGTATATACGAGCCCGAGGAGGTTCTCCAGTCGGTGGCGATCGAAGTGCGTCACGGCAGACACCGACGAGTGGCTGAGACGGCTTCGAAGCTCCTGTGGTGTCTGCCATTGCGAGATCTGGAGGAGTTTCCAACGGACGGAGCGTCATGGCGCCGAGTTGGGTCGGCAGCGGCCAGACGAGAGTGATCTCAGCTCTTCAGCCTTGCTTGATCGTACCTGACCCAGGCTGTTCTTGCGTTATATAGTGTCCAAGAGCTGAACAAGAATAGATGGTTTTCTCCATCTCAAGAAAGGGTTCATTGTCGGGCAGCTTCTCGTGTGCAGCCATGATGGCGAAGACGATTCAAAGCGCTTGTCCTGATGACGGCTCTCACGAGATCGAGCAGCCTGTCAACCACATTTCTCTGAGCATTTGAGAATTTCCTCAGCCCAGCTGGGGAAACGTCGACGCCCAGGCGATTCAGGGCGGCGGCGAACTCTTCGTCGATCTGCGGAGGGACGCTCTTCCTTGGGAAATACTTCGGCGGTACCAAGCGTAGTCCAGGCTGTCACGCAACAGAATGCCGGGGAAGCCTGGATCGTCAAGCTCGGTTTGCTCCTCCTCGAATCCCTCCTGCCGGTCCATTGGATCGGGGTGGAAAGCTTTTGCGACGTGGCGGATGTCGCCGTAAGGAGTTGACTGCGCAGCACTTCCTTGAGACAGGGCCTCCCGCATCCTCCCCGCCTGCCCCCGGCCCACCGGGCAGCCCAAATTATCGGCTTCAGGCGGAGCCATCGTTTCTGCATTGGTGTTGGGCAGTGATGAGGAGTCCTCACCCTTCAGCCGTTCCGGCTTGAATGGGGAAGTTGCAATGGCGAAGAGGTAGAGAAGGATGTATATACATATATCTGCGCTGACTTGTGCTCGCCTAGCAGATGATGGAACGTTGTGAAGAGGATTGAACAGATGCGCCGTATTGTTTTCTTGGGCACTTGCAACATTGCTGGTAACATCATCGTGAGAGACTATCCTGAATGAGAGCTTGACCTGTAGAGGGGAATTCTTACCAATATAGACTATGACGGCTGACTGTACCATGGGGTTGAGCAGCTGCTGATCGTTTGTGGATGCTCAGCGAGAAGGTCGTAAGATATGTGCAAGCTGCACAGCATCAGTGGCAGCAACGCAAACGCAGCACACATTGAATGATTCGATAGTGCTTTTCCGAAACTGGATATCTTCATAGAAGATCAAAGCTGCTTCATGTGTCGGCCGGCTCCCAAGAAAAAGTCTCTTACAGACTTGAGAACTGATTCCTTGAGCAGCCTCCGGCCAGGTGCTTGCTTAACCTGAGCACATGGAGGGTGGACTTGAATCATACATAGCAGCGTTGCAGTCTAGTAGATGCAACAGTTTGTAGAAGGTCTAGATGGAGGATTAGTCTTTTGGTATTGCAGAATGCGGGCAGAATCCTTCATACCTTGCGCTAATGGGGAAGTGTTTGTCGAAGCGCCAATTTTGAAAGGAGGAATCGTGCACGGTACAGGATATTCGCAGACATTTTGGTCGAGAAGTTAGCTAAAATAAAAGACGTCTGTAAATATCATAAAAAGAGACGCATCTGTAATTGAATACTTTGTGCGCTTTGCAATATGGATGCTGGATGCAAGGGCTGGTACTGCAACGCCATCAAGGCGAGCCCTTGTGCTGGAGGCTATCTTTCTGGGTAGCAGAGATCTCTTTATAGTCGGTGGGGATATAGCCAAACGCTGTAATATGTTGTGAGTAGGTCAACAAGCGGATTGATTCTCAAGCGCACGTACAAACAGAGGATGGTTTCCCTTTTCAAGGTCACGCCTAAGGGATCGTTGTCACAAACACCTGCGAGTTTGACCGGAGAAATCCGAATTGGACTTTTTTCTAGTATCTTGCATGCCACTTTTCATTCACTCCTGGAGTATGGTCTAGATAATGGCCATTAGATACTACTTGATTCTCTTACGGATACGGCCGCCCGATTTCAAACATATTTGACTGTCACACAAGACGCCGTGACACACCATAGTTACATTGAAGGCCAAAATTCACTGCTAGGGAAACTACCCCAAGAGAACGGGAGTTCCGGTGCTCCGCCCAAAACCTAAAATCCGGGAGTGGCTCTTGCCAGGAATTTTCTGCGATTGTTTGTTGTGTGATTGCTCACCAGGCCGCAACTTCTGGTGCCTCTGCACCTTATGTCACTCTTGTTTGCTTCCACGCAGAATCGCCCAAATATACAGTATTTGCGAAATATCAGTAGTCCATTATTCTGCAGTACCTCCAAATCTACTCTCACTTAGTTGGTGCTCCTATAAGCAGGCAATGGTTATCAAGCAGCAATTTACCCCACGGCTAAGCACAATATAATACGTCATGTACAAACCACCAGAATAGTGCGATCGGAGTGAGGAGATTTTGATTTTCGCAATCCTGAATGTCATGAGATGATGTCAACCATCAGATGTCCATTATTGTGCTTGTAATGTTGTCTTAGCCGTATTCAATGTGAAGGCGTTTGGTTTTGACACGATGCAATTTGCAAATCTGCTTCCAAACCCGTAAACTTGACTGCAATCATGCAGTGTAGTGAGCGTTCTGGACATTCTTTTGTCATCCGGTCTTACGCGAGGGAGAAACCAGTCTCCCAAGCTCGCCACAAATTGATCATCCTAAATGTGCGGAGTCTGAGTGACTGAGGTCCATATGGTCGCATCATGTATGTAGGATTGAAAACGAGCGTGTCAGTGATGTAATCGAGTGAGCCGTCCAGAGCGAAAGAGACTGGGAGTAGAAGTAGCCACAGCCTCTTCCGAAGTTGGAGCCGTCCCAAGTACCAGCAAACATTGTAGAAAGCAAGGGCTTTGGTGATCCGATCGCCTTGGCTGACTTCGCCGTACATGCGTTATTGCGGCCAAGTTTTCCCTTGATATGGATCCATGCACCCCTTTTTTCTCTCTCTGTACCTCCGAATTCAAATGGGTTAATAACGGAAGCGGGCCAGTCTCCACGGCAAATTGAGGCAAAAGCATCTGCGTAATCAATTCTTTAATCAATTGAGTATTCTTTCCGCCAATAGTAACAAGGAATAAGCATTCGCTGGTTCTGATAATCGCTGAAGAAGAGGTTTTTGAAACTTTGTGAGACTGGTGTTAGCCGCTGATCTGAACTTGATGCAGTAAGTCTCTTTATACCGCCGCCTTTTGCTTGACATCACATTGCATCTTCGGGCTCTGAGTGACTGTAAGAGCAGTTGGATAAATGAACAACAATGAGCACAAAAGGTAATCAGAACGAATCACTGAAGAGCTGATCCGTCTGGATTAATGCATTGTTCATATAAATCTACTTGAGCTATGAACGTAACTCAGATTCGTGATTAGGGACTTCAAATTGTGTTCAAGCGAATGAGGCCATCATGGAGTGTCATTGGGAGCTAGTAAGCAGACATGAGGTGAACCACGACAGCAGCTGCGGCTTATGCATACATGAAGTGGCGAGGAGTTTCTCTGCGGCTTAAAATATTTTCAAGGCATACAGACTCACTGACGCTTTTGCCGAACAAGCTTAGCACAGATTGGATGGACCACTATGTCATGATTATGCGTTAGCAAGGTCTTCCTGAGAAGTTAGCCCTGGTAGATTTGGCCGAAGCGCTGGTGCCCCTCGGGAGCCCAGCGCACACAGGCTCCGAGCACATGCCCTGCTCCGAAGAAAACAATAACCAAAGCTCTATGGAACCCTAAACCTTTTCACAGCTTCGGTGCGCTCAAGAACGTACTCGGGCCTGAACTGCCGGACGATACCTAGGATTTGTCTTGTGATCCATGCAGTGAGGCTATTTCGATCTATACAAGCGCGATAATTTCATCAATAGGCAAATCCAGTATGATTTTGTCCATTCTCTACTTCAAGCTATGTGAATCGTGCCTGAACCATCCCTCGAAATCCACTGCCTGAAAGTTGAAACCCGCAAACACATACACACACCCGGCCTGACAGCCTTAGCCCCTCAATCCGCACCAGAGTCCGGGCCCGGCTCCGAAACAGTCCAGCCCGTGACCGTGTCGTCCACGATGGAGCCAGCGTCCACGACCTGATATCCACCATGTTCGTCGTCGAGGCCGTAGCATTCGCGAAGGGACCAGTCCATGTCGGTCGCGACGTTCAAGAGCCAGGCACGGTCGGCCCTACCGGACCGGCATTGGTCCTGGATGGGCGTACCATCGTAAGCGAAATCATCCGCGTGTCCGTAAACTTGCTTCATCTTCCTGAAGAATCCATGGTGGTAAAGGACTAGAGAGATACGTAGATCCTTGTTGGAGCCCTTCAGACAATTGACGTCGCGACACAACCTCTCGTTCTCATGCTCTTGGTCTCTGAAATAGTACAACGTACAAGGGACGATGAGCTGCAGCTCTTTGAGGGCGATACCGACGTCGTCTTTTGCAAGTCGATGCAACGTCTTGATGATGCTGTCGACGGCGTCAAGCGAGTCGCTGAAGCATATGTTTTGGTATGGGCGAATCATGCCACAACGTTCGATCCTGCGGGAGATGTCCCTTTCATCATCCACTCCCCATGATGCGCATTCCGCTCCCAAAATAGCAAGAATGGGGAGCGTCAGTTTGCGCAAGAAGCGCACGTTGCTATCACCGATCGTCATGAAGAATGACTTGCACACAAGGTACGCGCTAGTGCCGCTGAAACGAAACTCGTTCTCGCCGTAGAATACCGGTGCGGCTTCGCTGTGGATCTTCTTGCTCAAGCGGAGTACAGGCAGAACGATCCTAAAGCTGGAATAGTGACTCCACGTAGCGTCAGCTTCGTAGAGTCCGGGCCAGAGCTCGAAGGGCCTTTCCGATCGGAGGTATTGGTACACGATCAGGCGGACTTCCGCGGGAAGCTCCATGAAACCCAAGGTTTGACGCACCTGCAACTGTATCATTTGAGAGGTATGGTGTTGGTTTCCGTCGGTAGGCTGAACGAAGCTTGGTCAGAAGGTGTGTCGGAGATTAAGTGTACTAGAGGCAGTCGGCTGAAGTAGGCACGAAGGGTTAGTTGACAGGAGCATTGTTTTGTGACAGAGCGGACCACCCGGTGAGCGAACAACCTGGGATGACACTAGTAAGCAACCAAAGAGCAAGTGTTAAGCGGTTGAAATGGCTCTTCATTCACTGAACACTAATGAGCGGAAGATAGCTGGCGAACAATGGAGACATCAGGCGAGGAAGGATGAGCGAAAAGTATGAGCATTGTTAAGCCACACCATGAGGACCAAAGAAAAGCACACAAATGCATAACAAATCTTCGATTTTCATCAGATCTGAGCAGCAACTTATCCATCCCTACCTCCCCAGCAGTGGCCTCTTCCATCGCTGCTCCAACCGCCCAAGGTGTTATACAAGGTTACCAACCCTGACAGCGACCAATTGCCAGGCAGGCTGCACCACACACTCCCACAATCCGACCGACTCCATATCATTTCAATCCGCCGATGACAGCTCTCTCCAACATCCTTCACCATCACCTCGAGCATGACAGGTAGTCGGCGCAACTGCCCCGCGAACCGCCGACACGCCGGGCACGGACCACCCCATCGGCATTTCCCCGGGGTGCCCGTCAATCCTCTCGAGTATCGCAGCAGCAGTTCGCCGCAAACCTCCGCCCCAACCCGCAGCGTCAAGCCCCGCCGCCCAAAGCCCATCATCATGGCGAAGAAACGTACGTCAAACCGCGCCCCGCTCTCGTCCTCCGTTGTCGCCGCGTCGCGCCGCGCCGCCAACCATCCGTCCCGCAATGGCCCCAAGAACACGCAGAATCCACCCACGCACCATCCTCCGTCCTGCCCACGCACTACAGCTCGCGCGACGCCGCTGCGCTCGCGAAACCCTCATACACACCCCAATACCTCCCCAACGATCCCGAAAAGCAAAGGCTAGAACACGGCGACGAAAGAGCGGAGTAGGAAAAGGAAAGAAAGACGAACACGTCGCTGACCATTGTCCTCCCTCCGAAACAGAGAAATCCCGCACCATCGCCGTCCGCCTCATCTCCATGGCCATGACGGGCTACTACAAGACGTTCGTGCGCCCGCGCCAGCACCGCCCGCTGAGCATGCTCAAGTACGACCCAGTCGGTACGTTTTTTGTCTCCAAACTTTTCCCTTGTTGGAGGACAGCAGGAAGGACAGCAGGAAGAAGGATTTGGGGGAGGGAAAGAAGGATTGGTTAGGGGAGAGCGTGCGCGCGTGGGAGTGTGCAGGAGGGAACTGTTGAATCTGGGCTGCGATTGAAGGGAGAGAGGGACGTCAGGATCGGTGTGCATGTGGAGAAAGACAGAGGAGGGGCGGAGGATTCTTCAATCAAGAAAAAGAGAAAAAAAGGCCAGACGGAACGCTGACACCAGCTGTGTTGTAGTGCGGAAGCAAGTCCTCTTCCTCGAGCAGAAGCGCGGAAAATGAGCGGTCGGAACTGCAGAACCACGGAGCTTCCTTGCGCGCTGAACTGGGGGTGATTCCCAACCCAATCCGAACGAGACATCCGCGCTAGATAATGGAGAAATCCATTGGGAAGTTGGGGTGCCGGGAAACTTCACCATCGCTATAGACTTTCAAGCGAATTGAAGAGGACAGCTGGCGAAGAAACATGATATCACGGCGTTGGTGGGAACAGCTTAAGAGCAAACGAGCCTATTTGATTCAGCAAATATTTGTACGATACACTTCTCCGCGAAAAGATGCTGAAACTATGTAGAAAACCTACATACGCTGGGCTAAAAGGACAAAGAGTAAAGACTGTCTAGCCACATTACCCCTCTCACAGACTTACACAAATACTGCCTTGCCCTTAGCCACATTACTCATCATGCGAAATCTCTCCATAGGCCAGCAAAAGCTTAAAGAGCAAGACTCAAAAATGTACCCAGAAACTAATGCTGAATGTAGAGTATTGCTGGCGCAAGTTGACGAAACGAATTGAAGTCATCTGGAAGCGTGGAGTAGCTCGTTGGAAGTCCGCTCATCGCGAGCTCTTGATCTCTTGATCAAAGCGACCGCCAATCTCCTCTGTCTTACGCCTTCGTCCACCCTTCGGGGGAGAGTTGCGGACGGCATTGGAAGAAGACGCCTCGGAAGTTCTCATGCGAGAAACAGACGGAGCACGCGCAGACTGTTGTTGAGACTGAGGCTGCAAGGGCTTCTGCGGGGTTTCTTGAGGCTGAGACTCCACATCTACCGCAGCCTCGCCGGATTCCTCGGGAAAACGAACATGAAGATCCTGGGATTGGCTCTCTGGCACTTGCGAATGTGAGACAGCTCCTCGAGAGACTGCTCTGGTCATGATCGGACTCGACCTGTAGTTGGTAGGGCCACCCTTGACCCGCTTGCTGGAATATGTCTCGTCCTGTCCGGAGGCCCGACGCTTACTAGCACCTGAAGGGGTGCTATAGATGCTCTGTGAGACGTGCGTCGGCTGGGTTGTACGATGGTGACTGTACGTGACCTGGTTTCTGGCATTGGGCGGGTCCATGAATAACGGGCTGTCCCGCTGGCTTGACTGAGCCCTCGCAGTGCCACGAGAGTTGAAAGGCGTTCGTGGTAGGCTCTCATCCACAACTGCGGAGTCAGGTTGGTGAGATCCCTGGCGCAACTGGTAGGATGATTCCATTCGCTTGCCCGTGTTTGCTCGAGATACCGGGCGCTCTTCTTCAAAGAAGGGGTTCTCTATCGATGGATTGGTCTGCCTTGCTGTAGAGTCCCTATCGCGGAGTCGTGACGTCGGAGACGAGGTCGCAACATCGTCTTGATCCAGCTGAGGTGGGAACAGACTCTCTGGTATTTCCAGATCAGTGGATGGAACGCTACTCAAACCGCTGCTAGAGCTACGCTCTTCATGAGAATCATGTTCTTTGTCAAATTGTGAGAACCTTTTTGGCGTGCGTAGAAGATCTTGGATAGTCTCAAGATTCTCCGCCACTTCCTGTCTGTGAGGCGGAAGACTCATCACACCCTGTTCCGTCAGCCTCTCTTGCTTTCCCAGCTCTTGGGAGACCCAGAAGTCTTCACCGAAGGAGCTTCCATCTGATGAGGGTTGAGTAGCGCGGATGTGGGAGCGTTCAGGGCCTGGTTGAGAATCGCCTTGAAAGCTTGGAGGATTGCGGAGTAGAAGAGATTTTTCCGGTTGTGTCTCGTCAATAGTTTGGTCGGTAGATTTGTTGGAACGACGCAGTTTCCTTCGCGGTTTTCGGACGGATCCAGAGTTTGCTGCTGGTATCATGACCTCTGGAGCGGGGGATCTCAAGGTGTTCGCAGAAGTGGCGGTTGGTGGCCTGACTACATTCCCAGTCTGAAGGGCCAAGTGCTCGTCCATATCGATTTGTCGTTCAGACTTGGTGTTCTCCCGCAGACGCCGATAGTTGCGAAGCTGCTCTTCATACTCTTCGAACCTGAGCTGGGTACTGGCCTCGTTTTCTTGCATTTGAGAATTTGCAGCTTCAAGTTGACTCCGTATGCCCTCGGCTTCAGCAGCCCATTGCTCCTCTCGCAGGTGCAACCACTCCTCCGCATCACTTTTCTGTTTTTCAGCCTCTTGGTCATACTCTTTGACAAGGTTTCGGGCCGCCTCAAGCTGCTGCTGCAGCTCAGCGAACTTATTGTTAGACGCTTGTAGGTGCCCTTGTACAGTGGCGTTGTTTTCCTCTGCTTGCTTGCATCTGAGATCACTCTCCCGCTTCTGAACTTGCAGATCGTTTAGCCGCACTTGGATCTCATTCAGCTCCCTATCGCTCTGGATTTGCATAGAAATCCGAATTTCCGTATTCTCTGTCCTCGCAGCATCCAGTTGACGCTGAAGGTCGTCGACCGTAGCACTGCCTACGGGACTGGATTCCCCCAGGCTCTGAAGCTCCAAGTCCTTCTGCCGAATCTGCTCTTTCAGTGATGCGATCTGGGCGGATTGAGATCTCAGACTTTCGTTGGCTTGACGAGTTTTCTCTTGCTCGGTGTGCAGTTCATTCGCGTGTTTCGCCTGGTTCTGTTGCACGACATCTCTGGAATGCTTCGAGTAATACAGGCGGGCATTCTCCCGCTCAGCCTCAATCAGTTGAGAAATCTAAATGAAAATTAGTGAGATTTACTAAGGAAATCCAAAGAATGCTACTCACATCCGTGCTATCTTGGCTGTTGTTTGAATGCGCCTTGGAAATGGTCTCTTTGGCGTTGATCAATTGTTCCTGGGCATTGATTAGCGGCTGAAGCGCCACAATTTTGCAAGTGGTGACTCAAAGTAAAAGAGGGTACTAACCTTCAGTCCCACAACTTCTTGGCGGAGAGCCAGCTGAGTCTCAGAAAGAGAACGGAACTTCCGCTCCTCTGCATCAATTCTGATCAGAGCGTTGCGCAGCTCTTGGTCAACCACCGCCTTGCTGGCTTCGAGTTGCTGTAGCCGAGTGGAGTCAACTGATGTGAGGCTGTCCCTCAGCCGGGACAGCTCAGTCAGCACTTCGGTGTGGTTTCTTTGCGTAGCCTCCTTAGTGCTTGCTGCTTCATCCAGCCTCTTCCGCATTTCAGTGACGCTCTCTTGGAGAAGAGCACAGCGTTCTTCAAGAGCCGCATTCTCCTTCCGGGCCTCAACCAAGTCTTCTTGTGACGGTGCATACGTCTTGAATTCTTCATGGAACCGATCAAAGAGGCGTTGTTCAAAGACACCATTGTTCCTACGGGACAGCTCCTCAGACTCTTTGAGACCATCAAGCTTACTTTGAACCCTAGAATCCTGTCAGCACGAAACATTGATACAGAGATACGACAGACTTACGAGTCATTCAAATACTGAACAACACCACGTAGGGCTCCGACTTCGTTGTTCTGGCCTGAAAGTACGGAGTGAATAGTCCTCACGTTTTCCAGTATGCCATCAACTGAATCTTTCGTTGCTTGCCCCTCAAGAATTCTGCCAGTTGACTGAGTTATCCCTGCAAGAGTCTCGCTCAATGAGCTGCCTAAGTTGTTGATGATTTCTTCGATGATGCTGTACTTGGATAGCGTGTCCTGCTTGTCCTTTACGAACTCGGCCATGCGGTCTTTCTGCTCTGCAAGATCACCAACTTTCTGACTCAAGTCCTTCTCGAGCATCTTTATCACCTGCTTTGCGTTCTTGAAATCTTTCTGGGTCTCTGAAAGTTCGAGTTCGAGTTCTGCAACCTTCTGCGATGCTTGCTGTTGATCCGCATCTTTCGAAACCGCCTTCTCGGCTTCGAGCAACGCTATCCTCTTCTCTGTCTTTGCATACGCTTTGGCCGCAGTCTTCTTATCATGCTGAAGCTCCTTGACTTCTTGGGATGCACTCGTCAAAGATGCTTCAAGCTCTTGAATTCTTGCACCCAACTCTTGATTGGCATTCTGGAGTTGTTGAAGCTTCGTTGACGCGGTCAGTCTGGCCTTCTTCGCAGCCTTGAGGGCCGAATCGTGCTCTTGTTCTGCAAGACGCAGCCTGGCGAGCTCTGCTTCGCAATTCTCACGCCTCGCTACTTCTCTGGCAGTCAATTGTTTCTGTTCTTGCTCAAACAACTTCTGCCAAATGCCAAGGACATGACTCGAGTGGATTTCAGATCCCATTCTCGGAGGATTGGCAGGCTCGCCTGCACGACCGTTGTTTTTTGCTATTTTGGTTGAACCTTGTGCACGTTTTGCTCCCACCCCAGTCTTGGTAACTTTGGTAGGCGCCGCCCGGCTGTTGAGATTGTGCAGCTGTTCCTGGCTCTTGGGTTCCGATTCTGGGAGTCTGGGGCCTCGGAAAGCACGGCCAGCTGATGGCGCTTTGTGAGAAGTCTGTTGCTTGACATCAGGTGATCTCTGAAGATGCTCTCCGACTTTATCTCTTTGCTCAGGATTGGCTTGATGTTCAACCTGGAGGTATGCATCCGTGTTTTGCTCTTCTCCCTCGTTGCCTTCCTGGCGAGCATTTCCGTCCACCATCGTATTGTCATCTTGTCGGGTGTGTCGATCCACTCGATTATGCGGTGATTGAGGATGCACCTGCGAGATGCCGCTTCCGCTGGTAGTTGGGGGGCCCGGGATATTATCACCCTCTGCCAATGGTGAGGCTCGCAGAGAGCCTGCCAAGTGGTGCTCTTCGCGAAATGTCCTCTTTGCCTTCTTGTTTCCGATTCTCGAGATTGGAGGCGCGGGATCCAGAGTGCCACAGGCAGACAAGGGCTTGTCCTGATCAGGCTTCGCAGAATTGTCTGCGGTAGGTGGCCTGGCACGCTTTGTGCCCTGCTCCTCTGTCGAGATTCCACCAAAAGGTGCCGAATATGAGATTGGCTTTGAGGAGACATGGGGGTCCTGCTGCGATTCCGTTTGGTTGGGGTGTGTGTTGTAAAGGTCGGTTTGTGCGGCATTAAATGGCAATTTGACCGTGTGATCTGGCTGCAGAGGCAATTCCTCCCTGTTACGAATGTAAGATGACCGCCGTACGAAGAAAGCAGAGCGTGAAAAAAAGGCTTGTGAAACCAAATCAAAGAGTATTGACGTACAATTGGACCTTTTGAATGCCCGAAAAACTGTTGATGGGCTCCTGGAGCTCAGAGGCATTGGGCTGTTCTCTGCCTCCTTCTTTGCGGACCAAAGGCTCTTGTCCGTTCTCGTTCTTGCCTGTATCACTGAGAAGTGGTGATCCTGTTTCATGCATGTCAAAATCATTTCGCTGTCAAACCAGGGATAGTGCAAACGGGAGTCGTGGTCGACTTCAAGCACGGGAGGTAGCTTACCGGTGTGCCCTTGCTTCTTTGTAGTGCGAGGCTCAGGAATCTCGCTAGCCTGAGTCTTTGAGCTCCTCTTCCTCGTCATATCCAGCTGTCGCCCTGTGGCCTTGACGAACTTAAATCCTTGGGAAGGCGGCTCGCCAGATGAACGAGGCCTTTTGATTATGGCACTTGGGGCATCATCGGATTTGAGCGGTACGGTCATGATCCGGGAGCTTTCATGGACCTCGCCACTCACAGGGCGCTGGGGGTGTTGCTGGCTGTGAGTGGAGGGTGAGGTGTCTTGGCTGAACTTCCTGGCCATTTCCGCAGCGAACGTGAAATCAAGATCGAAGATGGCATCATCAAACTCATTGGATGACACTACCTTGAAGCCTTCGGCGTCGTTTCCCTCACCAGCCTCAGGTGAAGGCATGGCGGGCGAGCCGATGGCCGGAGCGACGTCAAGGAATGACGTTGAATGAGGTCAAATGGATGTGCAAGCTTCAGAAGGCGGGTGAGAGGTTTGCTCGCGACTGAGTGAAGGGTAAGCGTGGTGATTGAGGTGAAAAGAGGGGATTGAAGTTGTTGTGACTCGGATGGAAGGTTGGTGCCTGCCCAACCCGAACGTGATAGGAAGTCGCGGGCTGCTGCGTCAGCCCCACCGCCCACCTCCAAGTAGAGAGACGTCACTGGTCAAAGAACAAGTGGGGAGGATTTACGAAGCCAGAAAAATTAGAGGTAGAGAGATATGAGCGTGATTTTTGCGATGGACGCAACCTCCTCACCATCGCCGTGGAAGAGCTTCGTCGCCGTGTCATGGGTGCTTCGCGCGCGGGAACGGCGGCGACGGCGGCGGTATATTCGAAGCGGCAAGCTTAGCTGAAAATATATGTGACCATCAATTGTGCACACTAGACTGTCTGAGTAGAGCATGTGAGTGGAGCATTGTCTCACCTTCAACCAACGACCACCGCATTTCTTCACGCATTAACACTAAAGCGGCTTCATATTCTCTCACTTTGGGGTGGAAATCATGAGTTGTAGCAGAATCGGGATGGTTTGAACATCTTTCACACCCTCCTCTGACGCACCCTGTAGGCGTACCGGATCAGCGAAGTTATCACCACCCCTCCCCCTCGCATGACCCTGGCTCTCAATGCCTCTCATATTTCACGTGCAATGACGGTGATACCTTTCACGTCCATCAGTAAGCAACCGCATACCAGACATGTATCAGTAGCCAAAAGAGGAGGCAAGGGGTTGGCGACGACGGGAATTGCAACCCATACGGCTGCCCATCTACCTAGGGTCTCACCAGACGTCTTACCCACTCTCCGCTCAATTCACCGCGACTGTCAACGCACAGAAAAAATTAAACAGCAATTTCGTCATGTGTACGGCTTGCGGGCAAGTCAAGGGGGGATGACTCAAGCACGCGATAGTGAGCAACCACGGCACGGAAATTCGCTACCATCATCATCACCCACACCCAGCATGAACAAAAGAGATTCGAAACTCGGAAAGTGAAGAACGTAGACAGACGATTTATAGATGAAAGAAAGAAGGAAATCGAAAAATAAAAATAAAAAAGCGGTAGACTGGGGAGCAAAACTACACGCTCCTCCAGGTGTCCCCGGAGCGTGCAGAAATCCGTCTACGGGTCCTGTCCGTTGGACCCTCGGGATTTTTTGCGATTCGATTCCCCTGCGTGGATTGGGGCTTGAACTCGGGCACTTGGCAAGTAGCACGAGTATCGCCGGCGTCTAACACATGGGCTATGCCAACGTGTAGACGCCGGCGATGGAAGGATAGTTGCGGGACTGACCTATATACTCACATACTTTCCAACAGCATCTAACACGGAACTCAACACGGCAAGCCGCCTAAGGCATCAACCGGCTGAACAGGTGACCGTAGGGTGCATTTGTGCAACGAACTGACTGTGTGTCGACAACAAATGATGATCGCAACGGCTGATCAGCTTTGGTATTCGAAATTCTCCGCAAAGACGTGAATGCCGCTCATCGATCGTCTGTGGAAAGTAAGTGTGGCATGATTCATCTGCACATCTTATTGAATTTGCTCAAAGCTTACGTCCATATGAAATAAGGGAGAAGCACACAACCTAACCTTCTGCCTTCCGTCGAAGGTTCTTCAAGTGATGACGACCATCATCTTGCCACATTCGAGATGTGTTCAGTTATCCGATCGCGTGCACGTGGAATCTGCTTTGAAGTAGTCAACTCTTCTGCTACCGCGCTGTGCATGTGCACCGGGTCGCTGGACGGTTACGGGATTGAAATATTGCGAAGGTATCCGATTGTAGCCAGAACCAGCCCATCCATGCTAGCCCAGGACTCTGCCAAACCAAGCACCGATAGCCCCAATCTCTTTCTCCCAATTTGGACCACGGAACGGACCGCTCCATAGTCCCGCGCCCGGTCTTAATCTCAGGCCAACTCTTCTATTCGCCTCATCTTCGCTGTCGAAGTCCCTGCTCATACTCCTCTTCATCAACCGCACGAATTCTTCAGCCTGATCTAACAGCACCGACTCTTCCCCAACGCTGACGCTGAGCAGCGGTAGTCTTAGCGCCAAGCCCGTTGGCGGATAAATGCGATGTGATCTGCGTCGCTCCTCAAGCACAGGCTCAACGCTGTCCATAATGTTGAATTCGGTGGGGACTTCGGATGCCAGATCATCCTCAGTCTTGACGGGCACTACGTAGTTGATGCCTGGAGTCCGAAAGAAGTGGATGGGCGACGCGAAGCGATCAAAGTAGGCGTCGGGGTTGGGGAAGAGCTCGCTGCGCGCATGCGCGATTGCCGAGCTGGGGAGCGCGGGGTTGTGAGCATAACTGTCCCAGGAAGAGGGCTGGGTTGCAGGGTTCTTCTTGAGCTTATTCTCACGGGGAACGCTCCCGCCGCCCATGGAAAGTGCCAGGTCTTCCAGCCAGGCTGAGACATTTTCTGACTCGGCATCGTCGTGCTGCAGCTCCTGCAAATCCGAGGGGAAGATCCAGTCGACGACAGGGTTGTTCACGGCGGCAGCGACGATGCGATGCGAAGCCAACTGGCACTCGGTCAAGGCCAGCATGGTCGCCAGACTGCCACCGATGAGCTCGCCGCAGACGCCGATGCGGGCGAGGTGCGGGCGGTTGGGGCTGCAGTGCTGGGGTTGCGAGGCCAGGTGCTCCAACACCCAGTCGTAAGCGGTGAGCACATCGTGGACGGGAGTGGGGTAGCGATGCTCGGGGCCCAGCCTATAGTCGATGGAAATTACCGTGGCGCCCGACGCCTGCTGGAGCTGGTGGAGAATGTCCTCTTGGTCGAGCGGCGAGTGGCCTGAGAGGAGGGGGCCTGGGGGGAGGTACAAAAGGATGGGCGAGGGCTGCTGTTGGCGTTGCAGGATGCTGTTCGATGCGTGTCAGCAACAGGCGCAGGCGCGGCTGTGCCCCAGCACAACGGCTTACCGCAGTGGCACATGGCCGTTCGATCGGCATTCCACCTGCACGGTGTGCCTGGCTGTGGAGTAGCTATGACGCCGGCGAGCCTCACGCACCGCCGTACTCGTTTCGCCGTGTCCGCATCGCGATACGCACGGGACGGCGAGGCAGCGGCGCGCGGACAGCACCAGGCGGGAGGAGCGGAGCATGAATCCTTAGATTGAGGGCGGGCTTATCGCGCGGCGCTGAGGGCTTTGGGCGGCGCTCCGTTTGTATCCAGGCACCCAAAGGGGTTTCGCTCGTCAATCGAGGTAAATTATTGTCCGCGCTACCGTTGGGGCCGGGCAGGCCGCAACCTGTGCGCCCGCTAGGTTCTGGCCGCCGCAGCGCGACGAGAAGGGAACCCTGCGGAGGAGGCGACGCCCCCGTTCAAGTTAGCCACCAACAAGAGGTCAACCCGCCGGCTCGCTCTCCTATCCATTTCCTGTCACGCTTCCTCGCCCGGCTGTGTCTGTCGTCCCCCGGTCTGCGCTGCGCTTATGGTCCAGTCCGCCGCTTAAAATTAATTCGAGAGGCCCGTGTCAGCCAAGTCCGCTCCGCCTTTTCACTGCCCCAGCCAGCCCTGCGCGAAGCCCGCGACCCGCGACTGTCACTCCTTTGACCGCTCCCCTCGCCCGCCAATTTTTACACCAAGCCCGAGCCCCGCGCAGCTTTCCTCGCTCTGTTCGCTGCTTCCTAATTGCCCCCCAGGCTGCGATCGCCGTTGTCTTGTCTGCGATTCGCGACGCTTCACGACCGAGCCCACGACTGAGCACAGCCTCACTGCGTAATCGATACCTTCCCCGCGTCAGAAGCCCACCTGCGCCGCACACCCTCGTCGGTCGCGGAGACGTCAGCTTTATACCGCCGTCGCCCGGACGTCCTGGCGCCCCACGACATTCCACACGTCAGGAACATGGCTGAGGGTAGTCGGTTACGGGGCTTCTGCACCCTTCTGCGGAACCTCCTCCTCGCCGCGTTGCTGTACACTTGTATCCTCAGTATAATCAACCTCGCTAAGAACCCTTCCTCGCGACCCACGGGCAAGCTTGGCATCCCAGCCTTCCTAGGAAAGTCGGGTCCGGTTGACTTCATCAAGCCGACCAAGTCTGGCGTCAAGGTCAAGTTCGCCGGCTCGCCCTCCAGCATCACCATCAACCCGCACGCAAACGTCTTCAATCGCCCCGACAGCGCCGTCGCTCCCAAGGACGACTTCCTCGGACCGAGACCCCATGTCGACACCGAGGCAGACCTGAAGATGCTGGTGGAGGAGTGCAGGGGAACATACTTGGGCATTGAGAAGATGCGGAATGTTTTTGACTGCTTGCAGTTCTTCGCCAACGAGGAGAGCCGCTACTACCAGCTTCCTCCGGATGGGCAGCGCGCCAGCCAGAAGAACCCCCAGGAGGCCGAGTACAACGACTCCGATGGCTACGGAAATACCATGGCTAGTTACACGCCCATTTCTAACGCCACCCAGCCTTCCAAGAGCTCCATTGGAACCTGCCCGGGCCCGATTGTGCCTTACCACACCTACTGGACTGGACCTGCGACTTGGAGAGTGGAGGTCTTCATCAAGAGTTATCTGTACACCCAGAACTTGGCCTGCTCGCGCCTCTACATCTGGTTGGACGCTGACAGGAACCCGAATGCCGTCGACGACATGCTCAAGCGCGACCCTCTCTTCGCTCGCTTCCTTCCTCTTGTGGAGCGTGGCGACATCAAGGTCATGGGCTGGAAATTCCCCTCTCGCATCCCTCTCCCGAGCAACGTCGACCACACGGACGGAAACGGTTTCTCGCGCAGCAAGCCGAACGCGAAGGGCGAGGTCACCGTTGCGGAGGGCGTGATGGAGGATAAGACTGGCCAGCAGTGGCTGGTTCTGACGCCGAAGCAGATGACGTTCCTGCCCGTCGCCGTCTCGGACGCCGTGCGCTTCGTCATCCTGCACATCTACGGCGGCGCCTACTTCGACATGGATGTGCTCATGCTCAGGGATATGCGCCCCATGCTCATTCCGCAGAACCACTCCTTTGCCGAGCGCTGGGCCGCGCACCCGCACCCCGGCGACTACAACACGGCCATCATGTCGCTCACCGCGAACTCGTCCCTGTCCTCCTACCTGCTCCGTGGCGGTGTGCGTATGGGTGTCAACTTCCACCCCCGCGTCATCGGCCGCATGGCGTGGAAGGACGGTCGCGACCAGGAATTCCTCATGCTCGAGACGGCCGCTTTCGACCCGATCTGGACCGAGTTCAACTGGGACCGCGAGGGAAGGTGCACGGTGCCGTGCTTCACGGACTACAGCCAAGCCTTCAAGGGCAAAGCCGGCGCGATCAAGGATGAGTGGCAGAGTTATGACGGCGCCCAGCTCGCGCACGTGGATCTGTCTCAGCAGAAGCCCAGGACCAGGATCGAGGCCCAGAGCGTCGTCGAGGGCCGCACCTCGAGCGGAGAGGGTAGCAGGCTGGAGACCGAAGTTCCGACCTCGTCTGCCGCTCAGCAGAAGCCTGATTCTGATTCGCATGAATCGTTCTCCGCGACTAGTGCCGAGGAGAAGCAGCTGAGGGAGAAGGGCGTGGTTGCCGAATACGTGCTCGAGGAAGACAAATTCCCGCCGAATAACCGTACGCTGGAGAACTTCTTCAAGGGCGCTTGGACCTATCATATCCACAACCAGGTTAGTCAAGCCACACGAATCAAACTGAAACAGAGGACTGACGTTGCAATCTAGTGGCTGAAGCATCCCGAGCCGTCTTCCTGGATCAACATCATGGAAATCGCTCACGACGGCTTCTTCGCCGGCATGCGCCAAAACCCGTACGGCGAATCCTGGAACGGCCCGGACCTGATGCCGTACAACTACTGGCCAGAATACGTGTGATCGGCAAGCAGTAACACCACCGATTGTCCGACCTCCGAGAAAAAGAAAAGAAATAAACGACCACACACGACCTGTACAAACGACCAAACCCACCCCACATTTGAACAAATCTTGAACCTTTCTCATTCTTCAGTCGCATAGCCTGTAATGCGGCCAGCATCGTTCAACCCAATGTTCAAGCGAATAAGCTACCAACCCCGGCGCGATTAGAGGAGTTTTTGTTTGGATTAGGCATTTTGCAAGCATGGCCGCCCCCGCTACCACCACGTTTCCCCGCATCGCCAGCGCCTGTCCTCGACGTCCCCGCCATTTTCTCCATTGCTACACACACGCCATTACAACATCAATCAGTGCGCAGAGGTGAAAAAAAGGAGGATTCGGTGGGTGGTGAAAGAAAGCTCATCATGAGTGTCATTTTGTCACTTATTTTCTCTTGTCCTTAAGAGCCTTCTGTTTTAAAGGCGGCGTTCACGCAAATCCCTAACCGGGATCCGGATATCAGGGAGGGTGTTTTGAAAATCCAAATTCTTTTTTGATTCCAACTTTCCCATCATCTTGCGCGTCTATTGCCTTTTGAATATCGGGGGTGTTGTTGTTGTTGTCTGTTTCTGTGCGTTGTACGCTTTGTTTTGATATTCCCGTTTTTCTCCCCCTTCCTTGCCTTTCTTCAGCGAGCTGCCGTTTTCTGCGTGTCTTCTTCTCTCTTCTCCCATCCCAGCAACGCTTATTTCGATCAATCCGGCTTCTTACCTTCTTCTCCATTTCTCTTCCTTGCCGGATTCGACAAGTTACCTTCTGCATGGCGAAAGAACGTCCGTTCGCTTTTTCGCCCTTCTTTTCTCATCCGCCCTCTTCACGTGAACACCACGCGCAGAGATTCGCAACTTCCATCAATCGCTTTTATTAGTTTTACTCTTTTCTCAACACGCGTTACTAGACGGCGCTGTAAAAGACCTTTATATCCCCCTTTACTCTTCTTCTACTTCTCTCGCTTTTCTTTTTGTAACCCCCCGCGCAAGAACCTTGCGCGCTTTTTTATCCTTCTTGTACAGCCGCACGTCTATTCATCGTTTACCGCGCGGATTCAGGCATTACAAGTTTTTTTGTGATCGCGGCTCTTGTGCAGAGCAAGAGCCGTCGATTCTTTTCTTTCTCCTTCTTTCGTTGTCTTCTCGCCCACGGCGAGTAAGAAGAGCAAGAGGGCACGGCAGGCAAAGCAAGCAAGCAATGAAGCAAACAGACGGCTGAAAATTTTTTTTTGGCGAGTTGGCGTGTCTTCGATGTTGGAAAAACGGAAGATAGATGACACGATAAGAGAAACGATATACACAAATACGTTCGATCGATTTCACTAGCATTGCGTGTGAGGTGATGAGATACGATGATGCTTTGATTGGTTCGGAGCGATGAAAAACGTGCGAGGCACGCTATGTCAATGCTACTCGGTTCTTTTTAAAAGGGAGAAAGTCCAGCGCCGAATGAACTACATACATTACATGACCGCATCAAACGATTGTCGCCAGAAACCTTGAAAACATGCCAATGCGTGAGGGGGAATCATTCCCAATCTCCCTTCAAGGAAAACAAAAGTGAACAATGAGACCACCTGTACAAGGGTACATGCAATTACTTTCCCATTTTCTGCGGTAATAGAGGACACGACTGGGGGGTGGTGATGATGGTGACGGGGGTAATTGTGGGGGTGATATCCATACAAAGCCAAAATGCGGGGGAATTTCCATGACATCATGGGAAGAAAAGGGTAGGGGGCGAAGTAGAGGAAGCGATCGCCGCCAGAAGTGCCATTCCTCCGGTCTAAACATCCCAATGCCTCAATTACTATTGGTAGTTCAGCATCTTCCTCCTTTCTTCTTTCCCATAAAGTTTCCTCCCATTACAACTCAATCAACGCCTCCTCCTTAGGTACCTGCGGTTGGTGTTGCGGGGCGCTCGGGAAAGCGTCTGCCGCATAACCGCCTGCGGTCTGTTGCGGTGGGTATCCGTACTGCTGCGGCGGCGGTGCCTGTTGCTGCTGTTGCCAGTACGGGACTTGCTGAGGTGGAGCAGCCTGCTGTTGCGGGGGAGGCTGCTGCCAGTACTGTTGCTGTGGGGGCTGTTGTTGCGCTTGCGGGGGTGGGGCTTGGGCATCCTGAGGCGGCTGCTGTTGCTGAGGAGGTTGCTGATGGTACAGTTGTGGTGAAGAGGGCTGCGGGGGCTGCTGTTGTTGCTGAGGGGGGGCAGTGGGGGGCGCACTTGGCTGCTGCTCGTTGCCGTAATAGTAAGCAGCATTCGGGTCGTCTGCAATCGGCGGCTGTGATGGAGCATAATGACCAGCCGGCGGAGCGGACGGCTGTTGGTTCGAAGAACGGCGCTGGAGTTGAGGAGAACCCTGACCCTCGGAAGGCGGGGCTTGCGGATAAGGAGCACTTGGTTGACCCTGTTGCTGTTGCGGGGGTTGTTGGGCACCGTAATACTGCTGCTGCTGATGTTGCGGATCTTGGTGTTGAGGGAAACCTTGCGGTGGCATTGAGTTCCGGTTCGGCACGTATGGTTGTTGCTGCGGCTGCGCGTATTGGTTGTACGCAGACTGTGGGGGAGCGTAAGGATCATTGTTTCCAGAGTAGAAGCTTTCTGCTCCAGACGGGGCGTCCGGAGCGCCAGACGAAATGCTGGGGTAGAGATTCGAAGCCGGACGTGCCATACTTGGCTGGAAACCGTAGCCGGCGTGGCTGTACGTATTCGACAGGCGCTCTTCAAGCATGCGGTCATAGTAGCGAACGACGGTTGAAAGCTTCGCGTGGAGATCCAGAAGTGTATCGTGCTTGCTCATAGTTTCACCATATGTCCTTGCCAGCTTCGGGCGTAGCTTTCCTATGCTCTCATAGAGCTCTTGAATTTGCGGTTCCCGGAGAATGGTCCCAGGAGGTTGGTGCTGAAGGCGTTCCACCAACGTAGCGAAGAGACTGATGTTCTCGGCCTCAGAAGGGCTAAGCTCGTAGTCGTTTCGCGGTGGTATCGCTACCGCAGTGCCGTTTGAAGATGACGTCTGCTGCTTGAGCTGGGCCGCATGCTTCTTCTTTTGCTCCTCCATATCAGCCAGAGATGCCGCGATGGCAGCCTTCAAGTCCGCATCCTCTTCCTCCTCATTCTGAGTACCGTTGGCCGGTTTCGACTGGACTTGCGACTGAGGGACATAGCCTGCTGCGGTGTTTGCCTTGACCTCCTCCAGACTCATTTCCAGCGCTCTCTTGAGATCTGCGTCGAAGCTGTCCTCTATCCTTGCGCTCCTAGGCTCGAGTGAGCCTTGATACAACGTCTTGGCCGGCTTCGCAGCGTCAAAGCCTCTGGGCACGGGAGTTCCCCGGTTCTTGTCGGTGAGTTTGGTGTAGCATCCGTCATCCACGCGCACAGGTTGCATTATTCCGAGGTGGGTAAGAGCAAGGTTCTTGCTGGAGCATGAGCCGCAGAAGACACCTCCGCAGTTGCGGCAGTGGTGCTTTCGGTTGGTAAAGGTAAAGGCGGTGCGGCATCGCAGGCAGACGTCGGAATCAGTCCACTCGGGGGGCTGCCAAGAGTCTCGTTAGTAGGAGCATCGCGCATGGAGAACAGATATCTTACCGCGCTGCTGTCAAACATACTGCTAAGCACCTCCTGGCGCGGCGGAAAATGGAAGCCTTCGCGCTGCAGCGACCTGTAGACCTCAGGAATGTAGACCAGCTGGGGGCGACCTTCGGCAGCGATAGCCCAGACTTGTATCAGCTCCAGTATCTTCTCCTTGACGTCCTTGTTGACTTCAGCAGCGCCGTATGCCTTGAGTAGCGAGACGAGGTTGTCCATAAACTCGCGCGACGCGATCTCAATGATGAAGTGGTCACCGCCGTTTTTGACGCACGTGTCGGTAAGCTGCAGGGCTAACAGTCAGCAATCGGATGCCGGCAATAGGCAGAAGAATTCCATACGTTGAGAGCGGCTAGCTGCACGTTCGGATTCTTGTTGCCTATCCGCTTCTTGATCGACCGCATGGCCTCCTTCGGCTGCACCGTCTTGGACCGAATTATGTCAGAGATCTCTAGGTTGAGCGCGATGTCTTCTCTGCAGCGGGGTCAGCAGGTAGCGCCCGACTCGGGCCAAGGAGTCGTACAAGCTCGAAGAGGTGGCGCGCTCAACCTGCTCGTCAAGAGCGGAGTTGGACGACGCGAACCAGCCCGCCATGGCGCCGGTAGAGCTTGCGGGGCGGAAGCAGAGGGTCGGAATGCGTTGAGGGTGGCGGCGAGCTCAGGCTTGGAGCAGTGGAGGGGTGCACGGCGTTGGGAGCTCTTGGGCGCGATGTTGACGAGCATGTGGTTGGAGAGAGGTACTCTACTAAGGCGCGGCGGTGCAGGCCGCCGCCGCCGCCCGAAGCGTCATCGCTGCCACCACGGTCCAGCCCCAGCTCCAGCTGAGCCCGACGCTGCTCCCCACGCACCACGCCGCTGACACCCAAGGCTCCAATAATTCTCGCCTTGCACCACTCAGACAGCCGCGGGCCATCGCCTTTAAGCGGGCGGCTGCACGCGCGTCCAGAGCGCTGGTGCCGCCGCGTGCACATGGACTCGGGCCTGCGCCTCGTCACCGCTGTGGCGCCGGCATCGTCATCTGGAAGCTCAACCACCGCCCGCAGCCCATCTCCACGTCCGGTAACCAAAGACCCGACGGCACCTAAGTTACCCACTACCCACTTGCACCGCACCACCTCTCGGCTCCCGCCCGCTCTGCCGCTCTCTTGCGCTCTGCTTTCCTGTCACCGTGCTCTCGCCTGATCGTGCACTTCCGCCCGAAGCTCACCGCGGAATCGTCGTGGCCTGTATTCGTATCCTCCGGACGCTGGGGACCGCGAAGATCGCCACAACGAACACCACCCAGCCCTCGGCCTCACCTGCGCCCTATTTCTGCTTTCCTGAACATGTCAAGCCGTGCGACCTTATAAGCCGCCGAGTTTCGCCCCCCGCCTGCCCATGCGCCCCGGCTCAACCCCACCATGAACGGTTACAGGCCAACCTCCAGCGGACTGGCTTCTCAGAATGGCGCTGCCAGTCCTACACCGCGGGCCATGCCGCATATCAATGATCTCAAGGCCCGCGCCGAGGACAGGCTGCGAAGCGCCCCGCTGACAGTAAGTCAACAGCCACGCGTTCAAGCCAAGACTGACTGACGATTGGCGCAGGTTGATCGCATGCTCGAAATGGCCGAGCAGTCCACCATGCAAATAGACTCCCTTCTTGACTTTCGTCGCCCGGACCTGGCATACCTCGAGTACATCGTCGCCTCCGAGCTCGTCTTCAACCGCATTCCCACTTCGCGCGATGCCCCGCTGGTGCGAGAAGATAGAGGTACGAGATACCAGAGGCACAAAGGTCTTGTGAAGGTAGGTTGTGCCTTCTCGGTAGCCACAATCCCGTGTAGTTCTGACTGGGGGGTAGTATTTGTCGGATAGAGCAGACCGCTTGGCGAACATCAAGGAGATCATAATCAACGACAACAAGCGGAGCGGAGTTCAGCCTGCTAGCCATACCAATGGATCCGCCGAAACGCATGCGCGCCATGCCAGCGTCCCTTCTACGTCCAATCCCCCCGAACCGAGCGCAATCCCGAACCCCCGATTCTCCATGCGCGACGAGCTTTTCCTTGAAACCGGCACAAGCACCTCTGGCTATTCTCCTCGGGGCTCTATCGACACCGGCTCAGAAGGCCTCTCAGGGCGTTCCACGCCCCTCAGCTCTGTCGAGTCTCCTCGGACTCGTCCGCCGGTGAATCTGAAGCCGCAGAACATGCATGGACGCGCGCTTCATGCAAATGGATCCCCCTCTGGTTTGAACAGTCAGGGTGATGCATTGAGCGAGCGCTTTGCGCGTTTGCGTGCTTCAGGAAACGGATCAGCTCCTCGGCCTGGTTCAATACAAATGCCTTCTCCGTTGGATTTTAATGGCATGATTCCCGGGGCGCCTCCAAAGCCTCAAGGCCCGCGCGCTATGCCAGCCAGCCCCTCAGCACCCGATCGCCCACCTAAACTTCCTCTTGATACCCGAATGACTGCCTTTCTGCCGAAAGAGCCGAGCCCAGCGTACAGTCCGGCGCGTAACATGCAAACTCCAGCCAACGTGGACCCGCCCCGAACAACAGCTAGGAGTTTGGTCCGCACAAATTCCATTCCCACGTCGAGCCTCTCGGCGCAAGCACCCAACGGGGATGGAAATTCCGAATCCTATTTCCCCAGACCTCCAAGTCAGCAGGGTGTGATTCGAAGAAAATCACTGCACGCGCCACGGGAGTGGCAGATCGGCGCCGAAAAGCTCTTTGATTACTTGAAACCTTACAATGTGTTGGTCATTGACGTTCGGAATAGAGAAGACTACGACGACGGCCATATTTACGTTAATTCCATAATGTGTATCGAGCCCACAGCGCTAAGACCCAACATGTCTGCCGATCAACTTCAAGAAGCTCTCGTTCTTTCTCCGGATATCGAGCAGGAGATGTTCGACCGCCGGAACGAATTCGATCTGGTTGTCTATTACGATCAATCAACACCATCCGCGGATTTTCTCACCAAGTCCCCCCGAACGCCGCAGGAATCCGTACTGAAGTACCTTTACGATGCGCTTTACGAGTTCAATGCGGACAAGCCCCTTCAGCGGCCACCAATTCTGTTGATGGGTGGTCTTGATGCATGGTCAGATCTACTTGGTCAGGGTGCATTGAAGACTTCGAACACCGCAGCAATTGTCACCGACCAACAGAATGGAAAGATTGCGCGGCCAATACGCAGGGTGCCGGTGGCCAGCAACGGATCACGCCTATATCTCCAGAAGAAGAGGATGCGCGACTACAATCCGCTGGATCCAGATGAAGAGCGGAAATGGCTAGAAAAAGCCAGGGGCGAACGACCCCCGACTGTGCCACCACAAGAAGCAGAAGAAGACGGCGCTGCAGATGAGGAAATACCATACTATCACAGCACGGAGGAGTTCATGCGACGTTTCCCGGATGCAGCTGCAATTGGTCCACAGTCGATGACATCGGCTGGACCGAGACTACCAGCACAAGCACCTCCATCCCGACCACCCTCACGCCCACCTCCGACACAGCCCGAATATCCTGGGACAGCCATGCCATCGATACCTTCAAGACCGCCGCCTGCGGCGGCTCGCGTCAACTACAGCGGTGCGCACGACAGAGCCCATCCTCAAAACCATGTCGCTATGGCACGATCATCACAACTTCCCGCATACTTCCCGCCTAGTCAACTACCGCAGAACATTCGGTTGCCCAGAACTGGCCTGATCAACTTTGGAGTCACATGCTACATGAACGCCACCATTCAATGCTTGAATGCGACGCTTCCTTTGACAAGAATCTACAGGGATGGCAGCTTTGTGAAGTACATACAGAAGTCGAACTGGCGTGGCTCAGGAGGCATCATGTCTGAAAACTACGCCACCCTTATCCAGAACTTGTGGGTGGAGGGCGGCGGACCCTGCCGCCCGAAAACGTTGAGGGTAAGCTAACCATGGCACTTGCATTGAGATGTTGGCTCGTTTCGAGACTAATAGGTGTCCAGGAACTATGCGCTCGCATGAACCGCGAGTGGGGCCTTGACCGTCAGCAAGATGCCAAAGAATTCTTCGACTTCCTGGTCGACATTCTCCACGAGGACATGAACGTCAATTGGTCGCATCCACCAGCACAAGCATTGACCGACAAAGAGGAAGCCCGACGGGAGAGCCTACCCAAATCCTACGTGGCACGCATCGAATGGATGCGCTGGTCCATGCGCGAGCGGTCGATCATCAGCGAGCTCTTCGGCGGCCAGCACATGTCGCGCCTGCGCTGCACTACCTGCGGCTTCACATCGACCACCTTCGAGACCTTCTACAGCATCAGCGTCGAGATCCCGCGCGACCGCCCCGCCGACATCCGCGACTGCCTGCGCTCCTACTGCTCCGAAGAACGCCTCGCCGGCGACGAGGTGTGGCGCTGCCCGCGCTGCAAGAAAGAGCGCGAGGCCAGCAAGAAGATCACCATCACCCGCGCGCCCCACTACCTCGTCATCCACTTCAAGCGCTTCTCGGCCTCCCACACCGAGCGCGCCCGCAAGGTCCGCACGCCCATCGAGTTCCCCCTCAACAACCTCGACCTCGCCCCCTTCATGCTGCCGCCCATCACGCCCGACGAGGAGACGGGCCTGCTCCAGCAGCGGCCCTCGGACGGCGCCGAGCAGCTCCGCGCCATCAAGTCGGACGAGCGCATGATGCCGCCGTACAAGTACAACGCGTACGCCGTCATGCGCCACCTCGGCGCGACGCTGACGAGCGGCCATTACGTGGCGATGCTGAAGGATGCCGCGAGGGGCTGCTGGTGGCAGTTCAACGACCACCGTGTCACCGAGTTCCAGCCTGAGGCGCTGAGGGGCGATGAGAGGTTGCAGAATGAGCAGGCTTACATCGTGTTTTATGAACGGGAGAGGTTGTTTGGGCGGTGAGTTGAGTGTGTCGGGTTTGAATGGAGGTGGGAGTGGATGCGGAAGTCCGTCTCCGTCTCTCCCTTCTTTCTAGGCTTTCGTGGCGTTTTGTCTTTTCTTTCGGGTATTTCCTGAATTTCGATGGCGTTGCATGATACCTCTTTGTGGTGTTGGGGGTCCTCGACCTCTTTCGTTTATTTTCTCTGTACCTCTCATCACACACACACCCTGGATGCAATCCCTGAAAGAATCGGACGCTCGGTTTGGTAGTCGGCGGCTTTTTCTTTTTCTTGTAGCATTTCTGGGACCTCTTACTCTTGTCTTTCCCTCAACGGTTTGCATTGGGAGGCGGAATAGCTGTGGACGCGGAAAAAGAGAGGAGGCAAAAAAAGCATATATGACGACATTGATTAATTTGATACGATTGTGATGAGTGTCAAGTGTTTGTTCGGTTGTCGTGGTCGTTCTGGACATCGTCTAGTGGGGAATACATGCCGGTAGCGGTGTTTGAATTCCCTCGTCTTCTTGTTCTGCATCAACCGCCACTGCATTAGGAACATGGAAGAATAGTGGGTAGATGCAACATTGCATGCGGCTAGAGCGCGAGCACTAGCGAAGACTAGAGACGCAGATAAGACTGTACCTGCAACGATGCAGCGGAGTGCTGGCGAAGGCACATTGGACGAACGACGACAGTCGAACTTCTGTTTGACACGTACTTGATAGCAAACCCCAGAACAGACAGAGCAGGAATGCCAGCATGCAGTCATGTGCATGTATGTACAACAAACACTTACGAGACCGCTGGCATCTATCGGCAGGTATTCTGGATATTGGAGCTGCAAGGCCGTATCGCGAGCGACGCCAAACATCTCCTAGCACCTACGGTCATGCGCATCAAACGGAAGTTGGGGAACCGCAACATTCCATAGTCTTTTCGAGCACATGAGCTACCAACACACGTGGGTGCTTGCTTCAACTGCCCACCTAGGAAGGGGGTTGCATCTTGAGCAAGGCATGAATGTCATGCAATTCATTTTGATGGCTGTAGAGGTTTGGGAACAAGGTACGCGGTGAAGCTGGATTATTCGAGCCTTTACTACTTTCATGCTGTGCCTTGGGTGTCTAAAGACTAGCTTTCTGGGTCTAGTGACTAGAATAACGTTTTTAGAACGTAATACGTGAGTCTAGCGTTGAACATCTTCACTAATGAGCGCTGATTGCAACACTGAATAGAGTATTTTCTATTTTTAATATGCAACTGTGTGCAAAGTTAGAATGTAGAGTAGCGCGGCACTTGCTTTCAGTGTCTTCGCAGTCGGCCTTGTTGATGAAGAGGGGGCGCAAGAAGGGACTTCTTCCAAGTAGTGACGAACACCCCATTATTAAGCCAGCAGGGGCTTTCGGTAGTCGGTTCGCACGGGAGAACGGGAGCGTGAAGCGTTGCGCTCGACCGCCAAGTTAACCCAAAACGTCACAATACTCAGGCACGATTCTGGCCTTGCGCAATAATGCTGCGGGGAATTGCGGTAGATCAGAAATAGCAAGGTGAAGTTGCTGGCCGGAGATGGGGATGTTGAGTTGCCGCGGAAGATCGCTCCACATACTCCATTTGTCCGCAGCCGAAGCTTCCCCCAGTGACGTCACGGCTGATAATTATTAAAGAGCATCCCCCAGACCACAACTTGGAATTTTTCTACACAGCCCTCCTGCAAGCAAGACACATCAAACACTCTACGAACACTACTATCCTAAAACCGCATTCCGCTCCAACCGAAAGATATAAAAAGAAAAACCAACCCTCCAGCGCCTACCGAAACACATCCGCAACCACCACCACCAACACCCCACCACACACCACACCACACAACCAACCATGTCGACCACCAAAACCGCCACAACAACACTCACCCGCCTCCGCGCCTCCACCCTCATCACCGTCATCGCGCCCTCCGCCCGCCCAATCACCCGCCACGCGTCAGCACGCTCTTTCTCCGCTGGCCCGCGGCTACTCCTAAAAGAAGACGCGCTGCACCACGAGCGCAGCGGTGAGGAGGCGGAAGCAGCGAAACAGGCGCAGATCCAAAAACAGAGAGACGGCAAGGGCCACTGGCACGAGGAGCTGGCGTCGAATAGCGAGGTCAACGTCAAGGCGGACCAGGAGGCCGGCGGCGTGGCGGACCACGGGCGGCATATGCAGGAGTTGCAGATATTGGGGAAGGAGAAGGGGGAGAGGGGGGAGTTGTGAGGGGAGGAGGAGAGAGAGAGAGAGCGATGTTTCGGCGGATGTTTTGCTTCGCGCTATACCTTGGCTGCCTCGGACTTTTCGGGGGGGAAGAGATGATGGGGATGGGGATGGGGATTCGGAGCGCTTGTAGATAACTTGGGAGACGGGGTAGATGGAGAAAAGTAATGCCTCGCGCGGCAAGAGAGTGTGCGCGCGCGCAGGTATGATTGGACTTGAGAGAGAGAGAGAAAAGGATACTAGACGCCAACGTGGGGGATATCTATCTGTTCAGAAGAAGAAAAATGCAAGAGAAACCGAATATACCACAAAAATGCACCTCAAGTCCTGCTTTGAATGAGACATGGCTTCGTAAGAGAATGGAACAACCCCACAACCCAAGCCTCTCCCTCTTCCGGCAAACACCCCCTCCCTCCTCCTCTTCCTCTCCCACCTTTTCATTTTCCCCCTATTAGTAGTCGACGTCGACGGGTATCATAAGACCGAGCTTCATCCCTTGTAACCAAACACCTTGTCCTTCCAGCTCTTGACAACCGGCGTCTCGACCGAGAAGGCGCTCATGGTCGGCTTCCCGTTTCTCCCGACAGACGGCTTGCCACTGCGACCGCCTTCGCCCTTCTCGAGGTCGCGGTTCTTGGCCCCCGGCGGCGACTGCACGCGCACCGCCGTCCGCCGGTTCTCCTTAGCGGCGGGAGCGGTGCTGCGCCCCGTCAGGCGGCGAGAGACGCGCTTCAGCGACTTGCGGACTTCCCATTGGCGCTTCTTGGCGATGAAGAAGAGGGCGGTGGAGATGACTGTTTTGAGATGATGTTAGTCGCTGTTTTTTAAGAGAATTTTGGGAAGGGGAAAGCAATAAGGATTGAGACTTACTTCCACCAACAGCGACAACAACCACGACGATGATTATAGCAATCATGCCGCCTTTGGAGAGCTTGAACGATCCTGAATCCGGGCCTTCGGCGCCGGCGGCGCTGTCGGCGGCGCTGGAACCGCTATCATCATCGCTGCTGGATGAAGACGACGAAGAGTCGGTTGCTTGGGTGGCCGGATCCACGATGTAATTGCTGCTGCTGCTGCTGGAATCCTGGGCGGCTGCTAAGACGGCGAAGAGCGCAAGGAGCGCGAGGAGGAAGAGGCGGCGCATCATCGCTACAGTATATCCTTCTTTTCCTTTTCTTTTTTCCCCTTCTCTTTGATGGAGCGAGCGGCTCTCTACTCCCCAAAAGCGGTTAAGATGGCGTAGTCCAGGCCAGAAAGTGGTAGCAGGCCTGGTGGAATCCCGAAAGGCGTCGCGCGCGGGAAAAAAAAGTTAAAAGCGGTAACCCAGGCTCCCAGGCGAGAGGGACAGGCGAAGGCGGCACAGGTCATACCTTTGTACTCCCCTCCCATACGAGGCCTTCTCCCAGTCACAGCGGCGACACATGGCTCAGGGCGTGCCAGTGGCTCCGGCGGCTATCAGGGCGTGCAGCCTGTCACAAGCCATAGCAGCGCTCTTGGCACGGCTCCCGACGCAGGAACGCTGGCGGCAACGCGGGGCTGTGGCGGCGAACGATTGGCTGTGGTGCGGGCGGCTACAGAGCAGATGCGCGGGCGTTGATGTGCGGCAGGCCGCCGATGCGCGCGCTGATTGGCCGGAGTGATGCTTATTTTTCCGCCCGTGCGTGCGCTGTCACACCCCCGGCCCGCCGCCGCGACACCAGCTGCACACACACACAACCCGTCCGTAAGGTCCTTTTCCCACCCCCGCTGCTTATGTATAGCTGCACCGCCTTCCTGCATGGGGGGCTGGCCACTCAAGTAGGCCGGCGACAGGCATGTCGTGCGTGCTTGCTGCAGTCTTGTCGCAGATGCCATTTCACATCACTCTCCCTTCTGCGTCTGGAACCCGTCTGAAGTTCAGCTTCATTATCGTTTCTGCCCTGCCGCGCGGGATCAGCACCTGGGCTCAATATCGATTGCTCAGCCCCATTCTTTCTCCGAAGAGTCACAAGATTGAAAAATCTACCTATCGGCGGAGGAGAGCCGACAGGTGGGCTCATGAAAGCACATGTCTAGGGAAAGATCTGCATGAACGACCTCTTCTTCGCTTACACAACCCGAGTGGTGGATATGAGCCAAGCACTCTTAATGCCGATCTCTTCATTATTGTTGGGCTCACTGGGCCGCGATAGCTGAAGAAGTTGGAAAACACTACGGCCACATACTGGCAAAGCTGAAGAACGCATCGCTGGCCCTCATGGAGAACCGCATCATCGCTGAAAAGGTTTGGATGATGAGTGATTCAAACGCGGCGTGCGGAATAGCCTGATGGTCATCGTCGCTAAACAATACTACGGATTGTACGACCTACTGCAGTCACGACTTTGGACAAATACTTTGAGGCTTGACTTGATTGGTTCCATGTCTCTGTCAGCCTCGTCGCAACAGTAGGCAACATCAGCCTCGCACTTATTTTCTACTTTCAACATCTTTCCTGGTGCATGAGAATACCTGAACTTTCTAATCTCCAGTTTGCACTTTGTTTTTTCACGGACGGCCTTGATAAAGCTACAACACAAGTCAATCAGCAACATGTGCTCAAACGATGACCCTTCAGACTTTTCCACCTGCGCTCCATTTACCAATGAAGAACCAGAAAGTCCCCTGCAGAGCCAGATTGCCTCTTCTGCGAACAAGGGTATCTCGGCTCGTGTAACGAGAGTCGCGTACTGTCAAGATGCGGCCTGCTCCTTTACCGGCCTCTCCCCGCATCTCTCCGTCGAGATCGACGATGTGCCCTTGAAATCGAAAAACGCCACAGCCATCTCATACGCTTGGGGAGAATTCCACCGAGAGAAAACATCCATCGGCCACATGAGTGACGATGCTTCAGCGCATGTCCAGTTGGAGCTTGGAAAAGAGTGGGTCATCGGAGACTTTATCGATCGGCTGGCCGAGCTATCGAAAGATGCCCCAATTTGGATTGACCAGATATGCATACCGCAGAAAGAGGAGGCAATACGCCAAGTTTTGGCGAACATTCCATCAATCTTTCGGACTTTTGACGTTGCTGCGCTGATGCCGGGCCATCCATGCAAATGTTTGGACGACATCCTCGAAAACCGCCTGCCCCGCATTCTCGCAGCGGAAGATAAAACAGTTAGCGAAAAAAGCCAGGAGTTAAGTACGCCCACGGAGTATCAGTGTCTAAGCAGTCTAGCCCCATCTTCCTGGTTTAAAAGAATCTGGACCAGGCAGGAATTGATGTACTCTCGTCAAATTCGTTGCGTGTGGGCCTCTTCTCGTAGAGCGAAGTGCGTGTCTCGGGATGCTCTTGAAAGAAACGATCTTGAACCTTACATGGCACTATCATTTGAGCAGCTCAAGGATGATGGCTTTGCCGAAAAATCAATACCTGACCAGCTTCAGAGTCTTCAGGTAGGGTGGCTCGAGGGAGCTTCTTATGACTTAGCGGTTTACCTGAGGCGCCGTGACCAAACGGATCCTATCATCGCCAGTGCACTTCGGTTCTATGGAGGAGAGATCTTTCGAAATGGCCAAGCAACTGCAGACACAACAGTCAAAACCCGGATTGAAATTTTCGCCATTGAACTCCGCTGGATTGGCACCTGTAGCTCGGGAGTCGTCCATCGCAGAGCAACTCGCTCATGTGACTACGTTGTGTCTGTATGGGTAGACTGTCCTGGCTACACAGTTCCTCAAGGGTACAGAATGATGGATGCGCCAGAGCTGTTGAATAATGCTACGACGCAGCTGATGCACAATCACGGACTGGCGCTCCTCACCAACGCACCCCGGGGACTTTTTGACTCCGAGACTTCTGGGTCAGCCCTATTCGATGCGGCCACGTATTTCTCCGGGACGCCTGTTGATCACGTTGCCGAGCTATACGGACATCTATCTAAAGAAAGATCCTCTACCTTTCTTGTCGATCAAACAGGAGCTGTCCCAATACTTCTCTCGGCTCGACATCCTGTTGCTCTCTCCCACTACGCAGAAGAGTATACGACACTTCGCGAACGGTTCAACGAGGGGAAAGAGTCAACTTTGATCTCCCTTTTCCGGAATGTATTGAGCTTTTGCTCGTACATGTGTGCGATGAAATCTCTCAACTACATGGAGACTTTATTTCACCTTCTTTCAAAAGAATCTGACAAGAATGAACACGAAGGAAAGCCACCGCTTGAGGAAATTTTGCATGTCGGACGCTCAGTGACACTTCTTGAAAAGCTCGCCTGCAGGGATGAGTTCGCTCGCCAGAAGTTTTCTCAATTCTCGCTCGGGATGGGTCATTTGAATGCTGCTTTATTTGGTGAAATATTCGACGATCGCTGGGAGACCGTAATGTACGATTTTATGGCCTTCAGTTTGGGTATCAACTGCAAAGTTTGCAGGGCTGCTGGAGTGGCCATAATGGTCGATCCAGGAGATGCTTCGGTGGCCAGACAACCGAGGATTGGCTTCTTTCGCGGTGACGTTGACTTGAAGAAGCTGGGGCGTAGGGCGATTACTGTTTGCATGGACACAATTTCCGAACAGCGTGATTTCACCTCCGGAAAGATGGGTGAGGCTGCGCCACTTTTCGAGGCTTATCAAGTTGAAGGACTTGGCTCTGGGGACGTGCCAAAGTACAGGGTCTTTGGAGTATGGATTCCAACAGCAGTCACAAAATCGGAAGAGTACGGTGCTTCTTTGGGGTCGTTGAAAGAGGGCGGGGCAGATGCTTTTCTCATTTAATTGTGGGGGCTGCAGAGGTAATAATCAGCAACATCCGACGCTGTGGAGCATGTTGATGTATGATTCAATATGTGTCACCACGGACACGGTTCTCTGCTTGGTCAAATCCCTTCCCGTCAGCTTATTTGCGATTTTCCCCGCTCTTTGCGGTCACCAAATCAGGAAACACAGGCGAGAATCCAGCATTTGGGAAACCATGTCACCGACATCACAGAATACAAATAACCGCTTGAATACCATTGAACTGTTGAACCAGAGGCAGCAACTTTCCAATTCGAAAATGCAGAAGCTCATACTCTTTGCACTCCACAGCTGTGCCGCCTGGGCCTCGTACAACTTTGGCCCAGACAAAGCAGAATCCTGGCTCACGGTATTATGCCCATCTCGCTCTCAAAGCCGCCAACATGCTAACCAAGTGCTTGCAGCCAAACGTACCCACACTATACGACCTCACAGCCTCCCAATTCCAGAGCGCCCCCATCTCCTCCTACTACGCCGGCTCCTTCCTCACCACAACAAACGGCAACCAATACTTCGTCGTCTCCCACCTCCTCCTGCTAACCCAGCAACCGCAATCCAACATCCGCCACTCCATCCTCGACATCACCAACCCATCCACCTATCTGACCTCCTCCTCCTTCGTCCCGACGCCCCCGCAACCCCCTGCCAACACCACCGCTGGCCCCTGGTCCCACGCCTTCCCCAACTACACCTTCTCCTCGCCATCCTCCGACTCCGCCTCCCGCATGCACACGCGTGCCACCTCCGAGAAATACTCTTTCGACCTCAGCTTCGCCGCCACCTCTTCCGCCCTGCACAACCTCGGCGCCGGCACCTTCGCATTCGGCACGGGGAACAACTCGCAGTGGTCGCTCCCCGCCTGCCGCACGTACGGCACACTCACCATCGACGAAGAGGAACTAACCGCCGACCCCGACCGCTCGCTCACCTGGTACGACCGGCAATGGGGCTACGTCAGCGCGCCACCGGCGTTCACGTGGATGGGCCTGCGTTTTCCCGACGCGGACATCAGCATGAGTGTTTGGGCGATCGATTACCACGACTCCTCCTCGTCGTCGTCGAATGACACACGGCAGTGGCGCTTCGCGACGGTGCAGACGCCGCAAGGCAACTTGATTCTGGACGTCGCGGTCAGGCCGGACGAGGGGTCGGTGTGGACGTCGCCGGCGACGGGGAAGGCGTATGCGGCGCGGTGGCGGCTGGAGTTCCAGAATGGGGATGTGGTGAACGTCACGGCTGTGCGGCCGGATCAGGAGTTGGGGACGGGGATATCGGCGTTTGTGAGGGTCGAGGGGAGGTTCATGGGGACTGATCAGGGGGGTTTTGGGGTGGTGGATGTGCTGGGGTGATGGGGGGTCGCGGATGTGCATAGCCAAGGGGCTTTTGGTGGAAGAGTATGGAGACAAAGAAAGAGCTTGCATTGTAGGTATTAAGGTGATGATGAACTGCTGCGGGAAACAGCTTGAGCGTGATGGAAACCATGCTTCAGAAAACCGAGACGGAACATATTTGGAATATAGAGCCATCTCCGGTAAAATTCATGCAAGAAACATCACAACAAAATTTCTCTTCATCAATTTAAAAGAGCAGTTATACAATACTTGCACAGTGTCGAGCATTAGCAGGTAAATTAAGGTTCAAAATGCCCTATCAAATCCAATTATCAATACTTCTCCATGCCAAAGTTGGTAAGAGCCGTCAAAATTGTAGTCAAAGGAAACCGCACTTCAGCAGTGAACCTGAGCCCCACTCAAGTCCAATCGCTCTAGTTATTCCGAGGCTCATCTTTGTTCCCACCATATGCAGCTTCAGGAAATCGGCCGTCTTGATCGGGCAGGATTGCGAAACGCCCGCCTCCGTTGCCGCCGCCGCCGCCACCGCCGCCGCCATGACCACCACCACCACCAGGGGGACCACCATGATGACCGCCAGGAGGTGGACCGCCGTGACCACCGCCATGATGGCCACCATGAGCATGATGCCAACCACCACCATGATGCCAGCCATCTGCACCTGCATGGTGCCAACCACCACCTTCATGATGCCAGCCACCACCACCACCATGACCGCCATGATGACCACCACCACCGCCAGCCACACCGCCGCCGGCACCGCCACCACCCTGCGGCGCATTCAGCGCATTCGGAGCACTATTACGGCGCCTCAGACCACCGCCACCATGCTGCCCCCCGCCGCCGAACATAGCGTCTGGGGGGAGAAGCCAAGCAGGAGGCGGAGTACGTCCACCACCACGACGCTCGACAACCCAAGGCGGCGGCGGACCACCACCGTGAAAAGCCCAAGGAGGAGGATGACCACCGCCGTGAAAACCCCACGGTGGAGGTGGAGGGCCGACGTAATCCCACTGCGGAGGTGGTGGAGCTGGGCCGTGGAAACCCCACGGGCCGGCAGCAGGAGGAGGAAAGCCGGGGTGAGGCCTGTCCCAAGGCGGGGGGAGATACCCGCGGGAAGCGTCGTCGCCGCCGCCGCCTTCATGGAAGACCCAGGGTGAGGTCCAGGACCAGAATGGCATGGTTGTGAGGATGAGGTGTAGGTGTGGGAGAGTTGTATTTGTGGGGGTTTTGTTGAGGGTTGGATGTCGGGTTGCTTGGGGATGCTGTGTTTGGGAGTAGGAGTTGGAGCGCTTTCTTCTGCTTTTGAAGAGGGAGGTGTTTTAGTGGCCGGCAGAGAAATATATGCTTTGAGTGAGACATATATTTTCAGAACGAGTACGTGATTCAGTCGTGTTTCGGCACGAGAACGCAAGTGTTTGGTGGCATGATATACACTGGCTGCCAGCACTGCCAAGTATATACAGATCGATGTGCAAGCCAACATGATCAGAAAAGATCTTGTTTACTACTGCCACCTGTAGCAGCTTCCATATTACGTAATCGGGTCTGATGCACGCCTTTTTGTATGTACATACACGTGTCTACACGTCACTATAGTGTACTACTAATACCGAAGTAGATTGAATATCTACGTCTTTTGTAGTACAAAAAGGTTGAACTTAGTGGTGAAGATGCATTACACTATCGCATTTCATGGAATACAAGTATCTTTAGCTTAAGCGCTTATATTTTAAAGATTTTCTTGAAAACGATAATTAATCGAAGATGAGAAATCGTAATGATCCCAGACAAGCATTCCAGATCAAGCCAGAGTATTATGGTAGCGCTATGAAAGCGAAGAGGAGCTGTTATTACAGATACACAGGGCTACTACATAACACAGCATCCACTACTTTTCTTTTTCTTTTTCTTCTTCTTTTTGTCCTTTTGCTCTCCGCCTTCATTACCATTGTGACCGCTTCCACCGCTCATAAACACAGTTCTCTCGCCCATGGAAAATGATGGGGGCGGAGGCGGACCAAAAAATGGGGGAGGTGGTCCAGGAAAAGGTGGCGGTGGCCCAGGAAAAGGAGGCGGTGGTCCTTCGAAGAAGGGAGGAGGGAACGGCAGTTCATGAGGGCAACCAGGACATGCACCTGGACCCTGAAATGGAAACATTCTGTTCTGGGGATACGCTTTGGTAGAAACAATATCGTGGTATGATGCTTTAGCCAGTATGGTCGTTACTTCTCGGAGACTTGGTTAGTGAGTGGTAAAGTAGCAATATCCGCGAGGCAGGGTTTTAAAGACATCTTTTGTAGACCCCATTGTCAGCCGATGCTTGAACTCGTGCAAATGGCACCATATATATGCCGCTTGGTGGTCGTCATCATTTTCTGAAAGAAATGTGGTGCTGGCATCATGTTTCTCATTCCTACGTAGCAAATTCAATGGGCTACAGTTTCTGACATGTCACTACGACGTTGATACATGCTGACCAGAATATAGAAATAGCTTTGTGAGGCTCAAGACTCCTGGGTACTATCTTCTAGAGTCATGTCAATGACCAGTTTCCCTCCCTGCCCTCTATGATACTCTTCAACGAGGTCGTTCAACCGCGACAAAGGGAACGTCTTGACCTTCGCCTTTATTTGATGCTGTGCCGCGAAGTCCAGCATCTCCCTCAGAGTCTTGTTACTCCCCACCAAACTCCCCACAACAGAAATATCCCTAAAAACAAGGTCCCTGGCAGACACATGAAACCCAGCTTCCGGAAAAGACACAACCACGCACCTCCCATGATTCCTCAACAGCGCCATCCCATAATCAAACGCCTTCTGACTCTCCGGCAAAATAATCACCGCATCAAGCCCCATATCCCCCGCATCCACCCTCCCATCCTCCCTCCCCATCTCCTCCACCGCGCTCCTGGCCTCCACCTCCCTCGCATCCACCACCCTCACCGCCGCGCTCCCCAACCCCGACCCCACCTCCCTCGCCACCCCCAACGGCCCATCCTTACTCTCCACCCCCAAAACCCTATACCCCATCTTCGCCGCAAACCTCATCCCCAAATGCCCCAACCCACCACCACACCCTATAATCCCGACCCGCCCGCCAGCCGCCACCCCACACCGCTTCAGCGCCCCCCACACCGTCACCCCCGCGCACATCAGCGGCGCCGCCTCGACCGCGGCCATGCCATCCGGCAACGGCGCCACCTGCCGCGCGTCGACGACGGCGTACTCGGCAAACCCCCCAGCGCGGCTGATCCCGCAGTTCTCGGCCGCAGTGCAGTAGACGGAATAGCCGGCGTCGTCGTCGTCTTGCGCATTCCCGGCGGTTTTGCGGCACTCGCAGCACGTGCCGCAGGGGCGGAAGGCGCGGCCGGGGACGCCGATGCGAGTGCCGGGGGGGAAGGAGGAGGTGGCGAGGGGTGATGGGGAAGAAGAAGAAGGGGCGCAGTGAGAGACGACGACGCCGGCGAATTCGTGCGAGCCGATGTGCGGGAAGGAGGCGGGGAGGCCGGGCATCTGGCCGGCGGCGAGGACGGCGTCGGTGTGGCAGTAGGACGCGGCGGTGACGCGGATGAGGAGGTCGTTGGGGTGGGTCGGGGTGGGGAGCGGGAGGGTGGAGGAGAGGGTGTAGGGGGTGTTGTAGGCGTGGAGTTGTTGGGCGCGCATGGTTTGGGGGAGGGGTGGTGGTGGGGTGGGCATTGTTTTTTTTTTGGTGGTTTGGTTGTGTTTGGTTGATTGGTTTTTTGGTGAAAAGAGAGGCTTGTGTGAAAGGTGATTGAGGGTTGGATGTGATATGCTGAGAGACTGGTGGAATATGGCGTGGAAGTGCTTTGGAGCAAGATGCAAGACTGGACGAAATCAGGTATACACTCGGAACTTACTTGCCGTACAATGCCATAATCCTTGTCTAATTATTGCGGGACGGGAGGAACGGGAGATGCTCGTCCCCGCGGCGAAGATGAGGGGAAAGATATCAACCCCACCGCCGATCTCCTCCACCCAACCCCAGACATTCTCTCCAACACCTGCAGCAAACAGTGCGGGGCGCCACACCAACACCACCAGAATAATGCTTAGACCGATCATAATGCCTCTCCTACCTCTAACAACAATACCACCACCAACTCCATCATCACCACAACCACAACCACCAAAATGCCCACCCCACCCACAACCGTAACCCTCTCCGCCCTCGACGCCGGCCACCTTACCCTCCCAGAAAACCTCTTCATCAACCCCCCCACCACCACACCCCCCCTCCGCACCACCGTCCCCTCCCTCTCCTTCCTCCTCCACCACGCCCCCACCAGCACGCACCTCCTCTTCGACCTCGGCCTCAAACGCGACGTTGCTGCCTACACCCCCGCGCAACAACACCACATCGCACAGCGCCAGCCGCTTATCACATCCCCCGACTGCGCCGCCAGCCTGCGCGCGGGCGGCCTCGATCCCGCAACCGACGTGGATGAAGTCATTCTGAGCCACGTGCATTGGGACCACGTCGGCACGTCGGCGGATTTTCCGCAAGCAAGGTTTGTGGTCGGCGCCGGGACGCTGGATGTGCTGGCGCGGGGCGCGGGGCACCTGTATCCGCGGGAATTGTTCAACGCGGATGAGGTGCCGAGGGGGCAGACGGTGGAGTTGCCGCCGGTGCCGGGGGGAGTGGTGGTGGACTGCGACAGGCGGGATGGGGGAGAGGGGGGGCAGAAGGGGGAGGGGGAAGAGGAACAGGAGGAGGTGAGGGTGCGCGCGGCGCCGGCGGAGAAGCGGACGAAGCATGTGTGGGAGCGGTTGGCCGGGTTGGGGGCGGCGGTGGATTATTTTGGGGACGGGAGCGTGTGGGTGGTTGATGCGCCGGGGCATATGTATGGCCATGTCAATCTGCTAGCGAGGGTTGGGGAGCGGAAGTGGGTGTATCTGGGTGGGGACTGCTGCCATGATCCGAGGATTCTGAGCGGCGAGAAGGGGATCGCGATGTATGATGATGGGAGGGGTGGGATGAGGAGTGTGCATGTGGATACGGAGGCGGCGAGGGGCACGCTAGATCGGATACAGGAGTTCTTGAGAGAGAAGAAAGTTAATGGGGAAGAGGCTGAGGTGGAGGTGGTGGTTGCGCATGATAAGGAGTGGAGGGAGAAGAATAGGCACAAGTTCTTTCCTGGAACATTTTGAGCGAAGGCTAAGACTCGGTCTTGCATAGCAACTTCAAATGGCATACCATCTAGGGTTCCCTGTCCAGATAATTGGAAGTGTAAACAGCGTAAACCCCGCCTTGACTGATGCGGGGTAATGCACCTCGCCACATGCGAGTTCTTACGAATACAAACTTGATAAATAGCCATGAAAGAACGGCTCTGTCCTGGTCTTGAAATATTTCTCGAGCCACGGATTCTTGAGGGGTACGCGGTGTATATCTCTCCCAATTTAACTGCGAAATATTGAGACAGCTGCACAACATGACTTCTCCGAAGAATACTGTAGCGTTCATTGGTATGCACATATTCAATTCTGAATTAAACACAAATGCTAACTTCAGATACAGGCCTCGGGGTGATGGGTTATCCAATGGCCAAGAATTTGAGAAAAGGCCTTGGTTCTGACCAAAACCTCGTCATCTGTGACATCGACAAGGACACCATCGCCCGCTTCCAAGAAGAGACGGCAGAATACGGACCGGTAGGGGTAGTAGCAAACGGCTTCGAGGCCGCGAAAACGGCAGTGCGTATACAGCTCTCAAGCCCCGTCACAACTCCACAGACACACACCCTCACCCCCTTCCCAGGACGCAGTCATAACAATGCTCCCCGACTCCTCCGCCGTCGAAGCCGTCTACCTCGACCCAACCACCGGCATCGTCGCCGGCATCTCCGCCGCCGCGACCACCTCGACTCACGGCCAACACAAGCTAATCATGGAATGCGGCACCATCGAAACCGCCACCATCGCCGCCGTCTCTGCCGCCGTCGACAAACTCCAAGCCACGGTCCGCGCTTCGCTCCCGCCCACCCTCCCACCCCGCCTCCCCGCCGTCCTCCCCACCAAGCTCCCCTCCCCCCACAACACCCTCACCATCTCCTTCGTCGACGCCCCCGTCTCGGGCGGGCCGATGGGCGCCCACGCCGGCACCCTCGCCTTCATGGTCGGCGCCGCCACCCCTTCAGACTTCTCCCACGCCCGGGACACCTACCTCACGCACATGGGCAGCGCATCGTCCATCTTCCACTGCGGGCCCGTCGGCGCGGGGACCGCGTTCAAAATCATCAACAACTACCTGTCAGCCATCACCTCGCTCGCGGCGTCGGAAGCGCTCAACATCGGCGTCAAGGCCGGCTTGGATCCGAAACTGCTGACCGACGTCATCAACGCGAGCGGCGGGCAGTGCTGGGTGACGAGCTGCGCTAACCCGGTCCCGGGGGTGCAGGAGGGGGTGCCGAGTTCGCGCGGGTACGAGGGGGGGTTCAGGTTGGAGTTGTGTGCGAAGGTGTTGGGGATGGGGAGGAGGCTTGCGGAGGAGGTGGGGGCGAGGACGGTGCTGGATGGGGTGACGGCGGAGGCGTTTGCGGAGGCCGGGGCGGATGAGAGGTATAGGGGGAGGGATGCGAGGGTGGTGTATAAGTGGTTGAGTGAGAGTGAGAGGAGGTGATTAGGTTGCCAGAATTTATATTGATGTTCTTTTTTTTTTTTTTTTCGCCCTTTCGGTTGAACATCGTCCCTTGATGGGTATAATACATCATCCCAGCTCCAGCATATCCGCATATATATTCAACGAGCTCCCAATAACATCGACCAACGCCCACGTCTGCGCGCCCCTAAAAATCGTCGCCCACACCCTCAACACGCCCGCATTCAACCTCCTCGTCATCTCCGCACTCCCCATCTCGCACCCCGCCGTCACCGGCACCGCGAACTCCGTCTCATCCAGCAGCATCTTCACCAGCGCCACTATCCTCCTCTCATCATCCGAGATCGGCGGCTGGTCCCCCTCCCCCCCAGCACCACCTCCCGCCGTCGCCGTGGCCGCAGCAGCCGCATCCGCAATCGCCTCCAACCACTTACTCAGCAGAAAAGCACACTCGAGCGAACACAAACTATGCTGAATACTCCACACAAACGTCTGCGTCCGCGCAACCAACCTTATCCCAATCTTGACCGGTATGCTCAGCGCGTGCGCCGAATGCAGCACCGCGCGCACCAGCTTCGGCGAGCGCCGCAACCGCCGCGGAGACCACTCGCGCAGCGCCCGCGCCACCGCGATCGGGTCCCGCGTGTCCAGCGCCCGCCCGGGACCCGTGTCCATGTTCAGGCGGATGTACGCGAGACGTAAGAGGGCGGTGCTGTTGAAGGCGACGGGCCCGTTGGGGGAGAGCGGGTCGAGCGAGGATTCGGGGTTGCGCTGCCAGCCGTGTTGCCAGTTGCGGAGGGCGTGCTCGAGGGAGGTTACGTCGGAGGGGGTGAGTTCGCCCGAGGGGGGAGAGGAGGAGGAGGGGGGGTGGGAAGAGGGGGTGGGGGAGAAGCGGCACCGCGCGGTTTGGCGGACGAAGAAGATGTGTTGGATTAGTGCGTGGATGAGGATGTAGTTGCCGAGCGACGAGTTGAGCTCGGTGACGTCGCGGCCGCCGCGCGAGAAGAGGCGGCGGAGGGCGTCTTGGAAGTCTAGGGTCGTTGTGTTCGTCGTCGTCGTGTTGTTGTTGTGGACTCTTCTGCTGCGGGCCTCGTGCCACTCCGCCGCCGACGCGGCCTTGAACTCGGCGGCGCTGGATGGCAGACGCATCTTGAGCTCCGAGTTGAGGATCAGCGGCGGGATGTTGTAGACGATGCAGTGCAGGTTGAAGAAGCAGAAGACGATGAACTTGGTGCGCGTGCGCGACTCGCGCGCCGTCCACTCCTCCCAACTGATGTCGAACGGGTAAGGCGAGCTGCTGCTCAGGCCGTCGTCGCGGACCAGCGTGGCCAGGATGCTTTGGATGGCGAGGGCTTCGCGCAGGATTTCTTTGTGCTTGGCCCACGTTGCCATGGCCATCAGGATCAGGAGAGCCTGCGCCGTTTGGATGAGGTCCTCTTTGGGCTCCGATACCAGCCCTAGTGTTGCTCGCGCTGTCGATGACCAGAGTGAGCCTTCGGAGTTCGGATATGCGAAGCTAGCGTCTCGCTTTCGAATGCGTTGAGATGCAATGGCCCGAGCAGTGTGGAACAGTTCGACCCCTTTCTCTCCTTCAAAGCAGTATTGAGCTCCAACTGCTGCAAGAGCCAAGAGAAGTTCCACACAAGTATTCTCGACTGTCATTGTCGGGATATGGAGAAAGGGCAGGTGCTCGTGAAAGCCGTTGATGTAAGCGCCGATGTATCGGGATAATGCAAGTCGAGAGGGCAATCGAAAATCAGCCGGAATAATGGAGGAGAATTCTGCCATTCTGCTCAGAATGTCTTGTCTATCCAGGTTTGAGATGTTAGAAATTGGTTTGGGTCCTGAAGGTTGGCGACGTTGTTCCGACGGCTGCTCTTCCGGTTGAAGCGAGGGCAGACGAGATCCAAACCGTGAGAATGAGGTTGGCTCGTCGATATTGCTGAACATCGGATGGGGATGTGGGCCATTTTGCGTTTCATTCTCCGTCGAATTCAAGATAGACTCGGGAGAGAAGAATGGCACTGGCTGTTCTGCAGTGATGGTCGACGAGAAGCGGTACGATGACAATGGCTCGTTTTCCAGAAAAGCAGCCAGACTATCCAGCGTCTCCGAAAAGTCCGGATCCACTGGTGGCGCTGCAGTATTTACAGATGTTGGAAGCGCATCAACTTGGGCCAGGGGCTCCAAGTGTTCTGAGTTCATGCCAGGAGTGGCTCCAAACGTCTGCGGCGACGACGCAGCCAAGGCATCTTGGAAGGCGCTTTGCTCTGCGGCGAACGATAGTGCTGCCAATGGAGAATGGAAGCTTGTATCCATGGACAAGGTTGGCATGGGATACGACAGATTTACATTTGGCGAATTGGAGCGGTCGTCACTTGTTGCTTCTTGGCTATCTCCGTCTCTGAGAGAGGCAATCCGCACCCGCTTCTCATTTTTCTGAGATTGATTGACATCATCCGAGGAATCAGCCTTGTCTCTCGCAAACTTCCGTTTCGGGGCATTTTTGTTATGTGAAAGCCGCTCGTGGCGAATCAGAAGATCACTGTACGACGTCAGTCAGCCAGAGCTTATCAACAACCCGATTGGGGATTTACCTCCTAGTGAAACGAGAGTCACATTTATCACAGAGAAACGGCTTCTCCTGTGTATCTGCGGGGATTGGTAAGAGATGAGTCAAGGGCTTGTCAGATGCTGCTTACGGGTCCGTTCGTGGCGCTGCAAGTGTTCCAGCCGCGCAAACAGCCTCTGACACCGCCGACACTGGAACCGCTTCGGCTTCTTCGGCGTCGGCCGAGCCTCCTCATCTCCGGCCGTCGTCCCCTCAAGAAGGTCCGATGGGGCCATGATCGAGACTTCGGCTCACAAGCGTCGTGAGAGAATAGGCTTGAGGCTGTGTCGTTGGAGAGAGAATGCGGAGATGCGGGGAACCCATAAGTAAAGTAGACGAGGGCTCGGGGGGAGTCATTTGCCCCTCCCCCGCCTCGGCAACGGCCAATATCCAATGTGGCCCACCAAAGCCGGAGTGCCTGCACGTGTAGAATTCTGTTCCAACTTTGCCAATTGATCTACAGAAAACAGCTCGGCGTTTCCAAAAATTCCCACTCAGCCCGAGGAGGGCGGATATCAACAAGTGTGTGTGCGTGTGTGCGTATCTACACCTTCTTTCCCAACTCCCTCGGCATCTCGCCCTTCTCCGCCATCTCATCCAGCACGCGCTCCGCCGTCTTCATCGCATCCACGCCCGCCGGCACACCGCAATACGTCGTGCAGTGCAGGATCGCCTCGCGGATCTCCAGCTCCGACAGGCCGTTGTTGCGCGCGCCGCGGATGTGCACGGCGAGTTCGGGCGCGCGGTTGAGCGCCATCAGCATGCCGATGTTGAGCAGGCTGCGCTGCTTGCGCTCCAGCCCCGGCCGCGTCCACGCGTACCCCCAGCACCACTCGGTCGTGAGTTCCTGCCCCGGTTTGGAGAATTCCGTCGACCCGTTGGCGAGTGCTCGGTCGACGTACGTGTCGCCGACGACGCTGCGCCGCATTTTGAGGCCTTCTTCGAAGAGTTGTTTGTGGAGGGCGTCGAGTTTCGGGTCTGTGCTCATGGTGGTGGTGGTTGTAGTTGCGGATTGGGAAAGGTCTTTGGTGGGTGTTATTCAGAAAATTTAACTGAAGTTCGCTTTGAGGAAGTGAATTGACGTGAATATTAAGAAGTCTTCGAATTCAATTGAGAGTAGCAATTCGAAATTGCTCTTTGACTGATCGAAGCGTGCGGGATCGGCCGTTGACGCGGGGTGCCAGGGCTGCGGGGTTACCCCAACCCCCACCTTCAGCTATGACGACAGGCACTACCCTGCTTTTCCAACGCCTTCATTTTGCGGCAGCATGTGAAAATGGATCTGGCTATGTGCTACACCTAAGGCTCGTAGGTCGATGTTTTTGGGTTGGGATATCGTAAGTGTCTGTTTGTGTACTGATTGTGAATTTCACAGCGTCTCTGGTCGAGTGGCATTGGGGAACATCGTTGTTGGAGACACTGAATTAAATAGACTCTCCAAATGCTCCCTTTTAGGCTTCATGCTTCGAAGTGGGTCTCATCAGTCGATGGGGAACATGCGAAACAATCTTGCGGGGGATTGCGGGGTACATTTCCAAGGTGGGGGACTACGACTACAACATCTTACCATTGTTTTCGAGCAAAATATCACTCGGCAATCTGTACATCGTTTGTACTTCTACCGTTAAGCACCTTTCGATAATTCACGATGGCATCGTCCTCGAACGTTCGATCGGACTTGGAAGAACAATTTGTAAGGGAGCTCGGAAAAGATGCGCTGGACGAGGGCTGGCAGGATGTCTTCCGGGCAAGCCCAGAGCTTTTCAAAGCCAGTCTCGCACTCAGATCTGTGCCGAGAAAGAAGAGACATCTCCCGCTCAAGGTGCAGCACCTCATATCAATAGCGGTCGACAGCTCATCGACCCACTTGTACATGCCAGGGATCCAAGCACACATCAGAGAAGCCTTCAAGGAGGGTGCAACAATGGCCGAGATCGTGGAAGTGATTGAACTGACGAGTACGCTGGGAATTCATGCTTGCAACATCGGTGTGCCGCTGCTGGTCGAAGTCATGAAAGAAGAAGGCATCTACGATTCGCACCCAACAGCTGGGAAGCCGTTTGACGAACACCGTAAAAAGTTGAGAGAGGAATTTACACTCAAGCGCGGTTATTGGCATCAGTTCTGGGAAGACTTTTTGAAGCTTGACCCAGAGTTCTTCGAGGCCTATGTGGACTTCTCATCCATTCCGTGGACAAAATCTGTCGATGGATCTGAGAATGGAGTGCTGGAGCCGAAGGTGATCTTGATCTATCCTTCCCCTTAACTCCTCATACTCACACTGTATTAGATCAAGGAGTTGGTCTATTGTGCCTTCGATGCAGCAGCAACGCATCTATACCAACCGGGCTTGAAACTTCACATGAAGAACGCGATTGGATACGGTGCAACGCCAGAAGAGATTATCGAGGTTCTTGAGATCGCAAGTCTTTTGAGTCTGCACACGGCGCACGCAGCTATTCCGCCTCTGCATGAGATACGCCGGCAGATATGATCCAAGTAGTCATGGAAGTACGCGCAAGCTATTAGTACGAGATGACAGGCAGGCGAATTGGAATGAGTCAACAACGGTCAAGCACCTGCAGTAATGGTGCAAAATGGATCAATTTCTCTCTCCCCTAAATGATATACCTGAAATCTGGTGCTCGGTCAGTGTACTGCTCCAGCGGAACAGTGATCCCTTCTGCCAATGCCTTATCTTTCCATGCTTCTCTCCGCTTGTAGATGTGCCTTACTACCCACCACATGCACCAGGCGAACACCAGACAGCCAAGTGACCAGCCATGACCAAGGAAGAAACGTGGTGCGGCGGTTGTCTGATAGATTTGCCCTGCCACAACACCGCCAATATTTGTGAGCGTAAGTAGAATCCCAAGACTCGCTGCTCGCTTTCCATCAGGAGCACAGTTTCCAGATAGCCAGGCACTGCTTGAAATCAGTGAAATGTTCTTCTGGGGATTGTGACACTAGATACTTACATGTTTCCACCGGTACATAGGAAGCATGCGGTAGCAATCAGATATGTGGCGAAATACTGGACGCCAGCTGAGACTGGTGCAAGGCAGATGGCGTATCCTGCGATGCCGAACGGTGCGCAAATAATTAGAGGCCAGAAGCGTGTCTGGTATCTGTCGCTGAGAAACGCTCCGACTGCGTACACTATAGCGCCCCAAAGGTTGACTGTAAAGGTCTCAGACAATGAATGCGGATTTGGCATTAATGTTTGGTCTTACCGGGTATTACCAGGTATTGTGCCTGAACAGTGGAGTAGTGGAAGCCGTTCTTAATGATAATAGGGAGGAACGTTCCGAAGCCTTTCAATGAGTCAATATCCCAGCAAGTTCATCTCTATTGTTACCACAAACCATAGAGTATAGTCACCACGCCGATCTGTATCACACCGTGGATCCAGCTCTTGATATCATGTGCTGCCTCTTTGATGTCCTTTTTCCCGTAGTGTCCGGAGCCACCACTGTATGCCTCCATGTGATCTGCGCGCTGCTTCATGAGGGCTTTGTCTTCGTCATTGAGGAAGTATGCTGTCTCGTAGCTTTTTGGGACCACGAAGATGCATACCGCTGCCCACACGACTGTGATAATGCCCTCAATTATGTACAGCCTACTACCTGTCAAATGGATTCTTATATTCGGAATGGCCCAAGGAACTTACCATCGCCAACCCGGGTATCCGGACACGCCGTCCATGTATAATATTGCCCAAGCCAAGAGTCCGCCGAAGGCACCAGAGAGAGCCGAGGCAACTATAGAGCTATTATTAATAGGAACAGCCGTAACCTTGATTTTCGATGACTTACTGAAGAGGTATGATACCCGTACGGCCAGCTCCTCCCGTTTGTACCAGTTACAGAGGAACAAGGTCATGGCTGGGAAGAGGCACCCTTCGAAAAATCCCAGAAGTATGCGCGTCACGACGAGGGAAGCGAAACTATGAATAAACCCGGTGCAGAGACAGACTATCCCCCAGCAAAAGGTGATTGTTGGGATGACACGATTGAACTGAAGCCTCTTGACCAGAATGGATGTTGGGAACTCGGCAAGGATGTAGAATATGTAAAATACTGAGACAGCTGTCTAAACCATAGTCAGCGAAGTAGCCATCAAGAAGATCTCGGGAGACATCTGCTTACGTTCAACTCCGTGCCCTTAAGTCCAATATCTTCGGTCATGCCTTGGGTTGCAGCAAAACCAATGTTACCTCGATCCAGGTAGCTGATCAGCATCAGTAGCATCATCACAGGCGCGATGAAGCAATCCAACTTCCGCACCAGAGCCGCTTCTGTTTTCTTGTGTAACGCCACCTGCACAGACTCATCGTTGACGTACTCCTGGAACTCGGCTCCATGCTTCTCATCATCAGCGGAGGAGGCCATGATTGTGAGGTGTTGTAAGAAACAGCAGGAGATGAGTCCGGGCGACGCAGAAGGACAGGTGTCGGGACTGGTCAACTTATGGGCAATCTTACGCCTCAATACTCCCACTGTCCGGGGTGATTGGTTTCTTCTACCTGGATGAAATACCTAAACCGCGGGGAAAGGGTGGCGATCCAGTTTCTTGGGGAGGTGCAGGTCCCCGGGAGTCGTGAGACCCCAGAATGCGGGGAAGTGCGCCAACCATGCACCCCGCTCATCCAATCCGCTTGTGGCGATAATTGAGACACCTCCGATAATACTGATAATAGATAGCGGAATGTTTCAATATGTACAGTTTCCTTGGAGGTGAGGATATTTCCATAATTGTGGGGAAGTCTTCGGTGTTCGTGTTCGCTGCATCTCAAGATTAGTGGTTCTAATTTCTTCCGAGTGTATCCCAAGTAGTGGCATTCCATTTCAATATGAATGCTGTCCGAGCAAGATAAACAGTTGCTTTAGTATATCGCAAATACTGTTGAATAAATCAGCGCTTCTACTCACGCGATATGTATCATGCTGTACGATCAACCGCGTCACTTGCCTTTTATGCCTTTCATTTCAGATGGCCAGTCAGGTCATTGGACCTGAATATTTTGAACTATAAGAAGGATTATATTCTCAGCCATATAATGATGTACCGCATAAACAGGGATTTGACTTTATACGATACATAAGATTTAAAGACACTCCAAGGCGGCAATACTCTGGACTCACTCTGTATAGCAAGTGTTAACTTCTTGAGAGTCCTATTACTGATAAACAACACCGCAGAATGCTTCCCATAGATAACAGATGGCCTGCGAAATCTGTGGAGAATAGGTATCTTACTAATAATTTCATTTCAGCGGTCTCGTCCTCACATGTTATTCCGGAACCCGGAGGCGTCTCCTTCATCGCCGAAACCGACCATAGCCTTGAAATAGCGACCACCATCAGATGTTTTGCAGCTGCGATGGTTCCACAGAATAATCCAGAGCTCCACCCTGATTTGCATATTTCTGCCCGAAGAAGAAGAGTGGGGTAGTAAACGGATCTGGCAAACCGGGATGACTGGTCCTTCATCGATACAAGCAGGCGAATGCAACTGCGAGAAGATCATACCACCTCCTTCGCTACTACCTTAACTCGGAGCTGCCGATGTTGCACAGAATCGTCTTTTCTCCTCGCTTAGAATGTTTCCTTTTCCGGGTCACGCCCCGGTTTTCATTCAACACGCGGGAAAGGGAGGCTTAGACCATCACCTCGGTTACGCCGCATGTGAAAGAAGCCTACAAAGGATCCATTTCGCAGGGATGGGCTAACAGGAGACCATGGGTGGAACCGAATATTCAGATGATCAGTGGGGTGACGGGAAGATCAGGCGCGAAGGTGATCGTGGGGTACACTGCAGATCTCCTCGAGCACAAGAATGTCCCGGGCCATCGTACGTAACCAGGAATCCAGGTACCGGACCCGGTAGTCAACTGAAGAATGGCCATAGCGTAGCGAGTTTCTGCTCAGGGTCAATACGGGCTCTTCTTACGCTTTCAAGTATTATCTCGGATCTGTAGCATGACATCCAGGACCGCGGGTCTGCGCTCTCCCTGCCTAGAATTCGAAGACAGACGTCATTGCAGATTCCTCCCACACTTCAGCCACCAAATTTGCAGAAGCAAACTTTATTTCGATGTTGTACAAAGGAGGGGCCGGTCAAGCACCATAGGAATGCGCTACCGTGAACAGGAACGTCGCCCTTTGTGTCACCACGTCAGACTGCCACGAATGATTCAAGAAGCTGAAACACCCTCGTTGGTTGATGAGCTCTTACCCATTTCCAAGAATACACGTCAGCATAGCGAACGATGCATGTCTTCAATGTCGTTGCCGTAGCCCTGGCTCTCAATTGCCGCTCCATTCATGCCAGACTTTTTTCTCGGGATAATTTCCCCAATGAATCACACATAGGGATGAGAGTGTTGACCTCGCCACAAGGTGTAAACGTCTCATACCAGCAGCCTGGAAAGGCGGGTATCTGCGAGACCACAGAAGGCGTCGAAGACTATTCAGGATATGTTACCTTGGACAACAAAACACATATGTTCTTCTGGTATGTGTCAAGCTATCTTAAATTCATGCTCGGCCTGACCACAGTGAAGGTATTTTGCCGCTCGAGATGACCCGGAGAACAAGCCGATGACGCTGTAAGCACGCTCAATCCCAACGTATCGGTTAATTACTGACATTCGAAACAGTTGGCTCAACGGAGGCCCGGGCAGCGATTCACTTATTGGACTGTTCCTGGAGAACGGGCCGTGTAACGTCACTGAAGATGTCGTCACGCAGTTGAACCCTTACTCTTGGAATGAGGCTTCCAACATGCTCTATCTCTCTCAGCCTCTCGGAGTCGGTTTTTCGTACGAAGGTTATGGAGATGGTACACACGAGGACGGCAGTCCAGTGATTGGTCCAATGTCCAATACCAGTGTTGATGGACGCTGGGCAGTAGTTGATCCTGACCGTACAAACACCACCGAAGCAGCAGCGATTGGTGCTTGGCAGATCATCCAAGTTCTTCTTGGAGTAGCCGAGGACACAAAAGACACAAGACTTTCCAACAGGACATTCAATCTGTGGACTCAGCAGTACGGCGGTCACTGTGTGTAATCCCACGTTTTCAGCGAAATTCTCCCGCTGGACTAACCTGATTTTCAGATGGCCCGACCTTTTACAGATACTTCAGCGACCAGAACGAAGCCATCCGGAATGGCTCCATCTCGGGCTATTCGATGACGATGGATACGCTCGGCATAATCAGCGGCCTCATAGACGAACAGATCCAGACGCCGTACTACCCCGAGTTTGCGGTGAACAATACATACGGCATCAAAGCGATCAACGACAGCATTTACAGCTTCATGAAGCAAGCATACGAGACGCCTGGCGGATGCAGTTACCAACTCCAACTTTGCGCAGACGGCCTCGACGTCGACCCAACCAACAAAGACACACTCCGCTACTGCTCGACCGCCGCCAGCTCCTGCTACAGCTTCGTCGAACAACCCTACTACGACTACAGCGAGCGAGCTGCTCAGGACATCCGCTCCTTGGAAGAAGACTTCCATCTACCAAGTGCGTTCCCCTCCCCAGACCCGCCCCCCACTCTTCACCGTTCCCACTAACCAAGCCGTGCGCAACGGCGCCGTGCTGCAGCCTACTGGCTCGACTACCTCGCCTCCACCTACTTCTCCGACGAAATCGGCGCCAACGTCAACTACAGCTTCGCCAACGCAAACGTCAGCCTGGGCTTCGACCGGACCGGCGACGCGGCGTACCCGTTCTTCAAGCGCGACCTCGAGTGGGTGCTGGACCGCGGCGTGCGCGTCGCGCTCGTGCACGGCGATGCCGACTACATCGCCAACTGGTTCGGCGGCGAGGCCGTGTCGCTCGCGCTGAACCACTCGCACGCCGCGCACTTCCGCGCCGCCAGCTACGCGCCGTTCGTCGTCGACGGCGAGGAGTACGGCGTTGTGAGGGAGTACGGGAATCTGAGTTTTACGCGCGTGTACGAGGCGGGGCATTTGGTGCCGTTTCACCAGCCGAAGGCGAGTTTGGAGTTGTTTAGGAGGGCGGTGAATGGGTTGGATATTGCGAGGGGGGAGACGGTGGTGTCGGAGGGCTTTGAGACGAATGGGATGGCGCTGGCGACGCATACTGAGGCTTATCCTGGGAAGTAGGGTTGCAGTCGGAGACTGGAAGGCAAGCTTAGGGTAGGGATCTTTCATTTTAGAAATTGCATGTTCTTGGCTTAGGTTTGAAGCCGATTGTTCTGAGAAGTGTATCTTCATTGAATAAGATGGAACTTGGTTTGCTGGATCACTACCACTTCCAGGAAAGAGCCATTCAGACCAGAACCGCGTCATATTTCTCTCGATTTTCTGACGGATGCAAAACAGCCATTCCAAAGTCCTTCATATCATTGGCCTCGAATTCGAGCGGAACCCAGACGCCAAAGACCCTGTACTCAGGGGTATTGCTACGCGAACCAACCCTCTCAACTTCGAAAAGCATCGGTGGATGCTCTCCCGAAAACATCTTCACAGTCAGCACATCGGTCTTCCCAGAAGCAATCTTCAGGACGTCGACATCTCTACGACATAGCCCCACCCTTTTCGTTCTTCCCGAGGGATGCTCAGAGGCGGAGAATATCAGCTTCACCTGTCCATCTCGGAAATATCCGTAATCAATCCCTAGCGCAAGGCAAACCAAGAGGCCCATAGTAGAATGCAGTTTCTCCATTTTGCTTTGCGAAGGTTCACCATTGCCCTCCGGTTGCTGTGTTGCAGAATACTGAAGATCCTCGTCATGCCTGTTGAAGAGATCGAGCAAGATTGTCCACATCTCCTCAATGGCCCGTCCATCGCCAATATTAAAGTCCCAGGAGAACAGCCTTTGGTTGACCCTGCTTACTCTATCCTCAGACCAGTTGTCGACCAATCCATGGAACATACGGGTAAACGCTGAGATGACTGAAGCTTCTTGCGAAGTATCATCTCCCGGGCTGAGTTCTGAGCGGTTTATTCGGCCGCTGGCTTGCAATGCCGTCTCGGCGTGTCTTCCGAGCAGCTCATCTATCAGCGCATGGCCATCCTTTGCTCCAATTGAGAGAGGGACTGCCTCGAGGTTTGTTCGGTTGCGCACAAGCGGGACAGACTTATCCCTCAGAACAGGAATGACATGTATCTCGGCGGCAATCGTGCGATAGTAGTCGACCACACCGGAGCTCTCGACCTTCGTGAGATACTCCGATGGCTTCCAAATAGCGGATCCTGCCAGATCACCACTGAACAATCCTTGGGGCGCGGTGCTTCCGAAGACAAGTCCTTCTTTGTCGAACATTTGGTCTATCGCGTCCTGCATCAAGCTCGAGGCTTCCATGGTGTTGTAGTTGTGAGGAATAACGTACTTATCCCAATCCGTCCAAATCGAAACGACGTAGTCGCGGGGTTTACTTGCCTGGCGGTTGGGAGTCCAGAGGTAAGCGGATCCGTATTCCTCCAGCACATGGAGCACGAAGGCGTACACATTTTTCTTCTCAAGACCCTGTGCTTGGTTCTCCAGAGTTTCGCCATCAAGGAAGCGATAAAGAGGATCCGTGTGATTAGGGTTGTGCGCATAGCGGACAAGGTCGGATCTACCTTCCTTTTCGAGATCATCAAAGTAGATTAGTATCTCTTCCAGCGCATCCTGATGGTTGAACCCTTTCACAGTTGTAAACTGGCTATACAGTCTGGCAGCGAAGGGACCGAGGTTTTGCAGATTGGCGGTGCCGTCGCCGACCAGGAAGCACCGAGATCTCTCCCTTGCAGACCAAACGCAACGAATCCGTCGAGAATAATGCAGCTCTTGACGTGGCCACAGTCGGCGGAACCATGAAGAAATACCCGTTGCATTCAAGCATTCGTCCGTGCGAGAAATGCGGTACGGATCTTCAGGATCGGGCGGCAAGCCATTTACTTCACGCACGATGCGCGGCAGGCATCGGCAAGGCCTTCCTGGCATGAGCACCGTGACGTCAAAGGAACGGTAGATGGATGGAATGTCAGCCAGGACTTTTCGAATCGCTTGGTCATTCTGCTCGATGCAGAGCTGGTCGATCCATATTGGCTTCGCATCTTTTTCTGCCGTCTCGGCGAGACAAGCGATGAAGTCTTCGATGACCCATTCTGAGCCAAGCTTCACGCTGATAATTTTCTGAGAATGGCCAGCGTGATGTCCGATGGGTATTGGCTCCTTGCGGCGGAATTGGCCCCAAACGTAAGAAATGGCTGTCGCGTTACTGCGATTTAATGGGACCTCGGTGAAATTTACAACGAGATGTCGAATGGAATGCTCAGAGGAGAAGGAACATGTACCGTCATGACAGATCGACGGCCATGCGACACGTGCCAAAATGGTTGCCGTGCCAGGTACAGGCTTTGAGCATGCTTCAAGAGGCTTTCCGGGTACCTTTTCAGTGTTTGACTCCGACATCATGCAGGGTTTGGTGTCGCGGAATCGGTGTTCATGAGAGAGGGTCGGAGGCGAGAGGGTGTGAGAAGACTCGGCTACGCGACATGACCACCACGGCCAGCTCTATTCCAGGTCTTGAAAATCTCTGGTAGTTGCCAGTGAGACTCTTGAAATTGCGGAAGTTGAGCTGACACGTCTACACTCTGCGTTTTGGGGGCCGAGAAGACCCTCATCAATTGGCTGAACGAGCTGTACTGAGGCACAACCCTGCATGTAACATGTGGGTCGAAGGGCCCAGGGGATTCTTCGTCATAGGTCCCTTCTTATGTTTTAACGAGTTTGCATGCATTAATTAAAAAAGAAACGGGCTCTACATTTTTAAACCTAAATCAAACTCGATGTCCAGCCAATACTTACCACCATAAAACATATTGATTGTTATAACGAGCACTACCGCGATATTCAAAGACATGACCGTCCAAAATAGATATATCTCTAAACAATACTCCCTGCCAAAATTCTCCTCAGAATCGTATATCGACGACGATATCTACACCTTCGGCGGAGCACAGCTGTTATCCAGACTATCGCGGTTCCGTTTCGGCCTCGTCTACCGAGGATTGATAAGCCTCTGGCCACGATCAGCCACACCGAAGGGATGGTTACACCACCCCTTCCTACATAACCCCCCACCATCACCAATCCCTTGTCTCCATTCCTTACCTGCCCAGAAGATCCTCCATTCCATCCCGCCCTGCAAATCTGCACCATGTTCCACCACTACCTCGCCTCATTAATCACAACACCCCTGCTCTTCTGCAGCCTCGCTTCGGCCGCGGACCCGGTCGGCGTCAACAGGCAAGACGTCATCGCCAAGCCGCAGCTGTCCATCAACGGCATCCCCTTCAGCACGCGCGCACACTGGATGCGGCGCGCGAACGCGGCCCTGGCAGATCTCGGCTCGCCGTGTCCGTTCGCTGCGTTTGGCACGGCTATCGTCAATCACACGGCGACGACGGAAGACGGGCTGGGCGAGCTCGTTTGCATTGGCGCAAATGCGAATAGCAAGACGGGGAATCCTACGATGCATGGGTAATAAACGTCATTGTTGGCTAGAGGTAGAGAGCAGTTTGCTGATGTTTTCTTTTCTTTGTTTTTTTCAAGCGAGATGGCTGCGATAAGTAACTGCACGGCTGTCTTGACGGATCCGAATGGACCGTACAAGCTGAATGCGAGCGAGGCGCAGGATGCCTTCTCCCAGCTGAGTCTCTACACCAATGCTGAGAGCTGCCCGATGGTATGTCGACGTTCCTACATTGAGAAAAGTATCACAGACTCAGCTAGTATCAGTGTGCGTCCGCCATCCGGTGGGCAGGCTTCAAAGAATACATCTACGGCACCAGCATCGAAACCTTGATAGAGCAAGGGTGGGGGCAGATCCGGATACCCTCTATTGAAATATTTCGGCAGTCGTTCGACCTCCCATCCCAATCGAGGTTAATTGGAGAAGTTCTGACAAATGAGACGGACCCCTACTTTTTGTGGCAGTACAATCCCGACTACCCGTGCCCTGCGGGCTGCTCGAGATCGGGGAGTACCTGCACTGCAGATGAGCAATAGTCAACGTCAAAGCAAACTGTCTATAATCCTGCAGAATGCGGAATCAAGCATAGTGTACTCGCAGTTTCTTTCTTTTTTGATTAAGTTGTGTAATATAGAAATGTTCTAGACATGACAGATCATGCATTTCTGCGAAGAGTTGGAACTGCATAGCGGTGCATAGGATTAGCGAAAGGGGAAAAGACAATGGGAGACAATTATCATTAATCTGCTATTACTGTATTATTGAAAGCTGTCATGACGATCAACATCAGCCTAAATTTTTATTGCATGGATAGTCAACGCTTCGAAGGGTGTCCACCCAGTATATCGTCGGGTAATCTCTCCGCAGCTGTCATCGCGGGGCCGCCCGAAACCCGAGAGCTTCGGCCGGGACACCCGAAGCGCTATCGGGTCTCTTTAATTCAACAAACCTCGACATGTCAGACTCTATCAATGGTCGATTGCAAGCTGAGTGCTTCTAGCAGTATTGTAGGAGCCATTCAGGCCCAGCGACTGCCGCCTTGTGGCTGTTGCATGCTTGAGACGTCCGCGCGATGAGTACCCCCGGCCGCAAGCGACTGGCGTGTGACGAATGCACGAGGAAAAAGGTAAAGTGCGACAAAATTGTTCCCTGCTCCAACTGCATCAAGAGGTGAGTCTGAGTCTTGTTGGCTTGCCATCGAAGAACAAGAAGGGCAATTCACATTGATAACAACCCCAGGGGCCTCCAAGATGTGTGTTCGCGGAACGGAGAGTCAGATGCCTTAGCCATTCCAACATCTGTCGAGGATGGAACCAGCACGCATCCACAGCTACCAGAACCGAGCAGCCAAGCTGCCTTGATTGCTTCCCTGTCAGCAAGACTGGCTGAGTTGGAGAACGCCATAAGAGAAATCAGAGATACGCCTGGCCAACTTGAGCACACTCCGGCTCGGCCGACGGCTCCGTTTCAGCTCCCAGGCGCTTTTCCAGCTTCCAGTCTACCTCCAGACGCGAATTCTGCATCCACAGTGCACGATATCGAATTCGCCCCATCGGAAACAATTCAGGGCCAAAATTCTGTAAACAATGCAATGACGGCAGATTCCGAAGCCGCCTCTATTCTGGAATTTCTTGCATGGGGCCGGAGAAAACCAGACGGCCATATTGCTGCAACAACAGTCCGGGACGGGAATACCCAAGCGACTCCGGATGAAGTTGACGATCATGAGCACGATCAGTTTCTCGAAGATGACATATTTGGACATGGCTCTCAAATTGCTGCTGTTCAGTTGCTTCTTCCCAGCCGCCAGCAGATCGAGCAATTGGTCACCTACCACGAAGAGTGTATTCTCTGGTACCACGGCTCTTTCTTTCCCCCAGAGTTCCAGAAACAGCTCGATGGCTTCTTTGATGTCCATGACGGCAATGTCGATAGCCGAGGAGTTAATCTGCTGTGGTTGGCTCTACTGTTCGCAGTCCTTGCTGGTAGTATGTGCTGCGCTCCTCGCTGCCGGGTCAGAAGCTGGGGATTTCGAGACGGAGAAAGGGTTACTCTGTCCAAGCGATGGCACAGAGCAGTTACCATTTGCCTTAACGCTGGCGACTTTATGTCTCGTCACCAGCTGTACAGCTGCGAAGCGATTGCCACGTTGACCGTCTCTTCACACCTTCTTGGCCATTCCGACAGCCAATCTATTCTCCTTGCATCAGCCGTTAGAATAGCTCAAAGTCTCGGCTTGCATCGCTTGACGGATAGTGCCAAGGGTCCTATGGCTGAGCGCGGGCGACGGGTCTGGTGCCAGCTTTGCACCCAAGACTGGTTCGGAACGCCTTTTTCGGAGTCTTACAGCATCAATCCGCTCAACTCAGAATCCAGGAAACCAACAAACTGCCATGATCATGACTTGGCCGCACTTCCAGATACAGTACCAACCCTTGTTGGGTACCCGCGGTTTCTACTTGACATTGCCCGCCTCATGCCGCAGCTCCAGGATGGCATCGCCTCCTCCAACACACTGTACACCAAATACGAGCAAGTCCTGAAATACGACAGACAAATGAGAGAGCTGGCAACTAAGCATCGGCCGGTTTTTCTCTCCAGCGGCCAAATCGACCCGGCGTGGCCTCGCTGGGTGCCTTGGGCAAGACAGAGTCTGACCATCAGCTCGTCTCACAAGATCATCATGATACACAGACAGTTTCTTGGACTCAGCTTTACAAACAGTCTGTTCAGTTTCACGCGTCGGACGTGTATTGCAGCAGCAAAGACAATTCTCAAGGAGCAAAGGCAGATGGGAGACCCGGACGCGCCACATTTGTGGATCCATGATGCCTTCAACGTCGCAGCATGCGTAAGTACACAGCACTTTGCTTACTCGGATCGCTAGTCTCGGCCTTCCTACATTACTTTTCATCCCTGGGTGCACGGTTGGCTTCCATGCATATGAGTGTGTCGGAGTTGATGCGTGGCAACCGCACTATTCACTTGGATGTTTACTAACAAAATACAGATAATCCTCTGCCTAGATCTGTTTTATAGAGACCCCAGCGACCTTGAGTTCATTGAGCACTGTCAAATGGTGAAAGAAGCCCTGGATGTTCTCCGAAACACCGAAGGCAGCATGATCGCTCAACGAGGGGTTCGCCTCATATCGTTACTGCTTGCAGAGCAACGAAAGGCCCCTCGTGATGACTCTGGAAAGTCGAATAAACGCAAGGCATCTGAAATTGTCTCTACTGGCAGAGCTACAAAGCAGCGGCGTTTCGACATGGACGCGTTTGTGAAGACCTTCTATGGAGGCACCCAGGAACCAACCGGTTTATCTCCAGGGCCAGAGTCTACTACAAGCGTCGAAACCACTCCGCAGATTCCAGCCCAGCAAAGTGACGTTCGATCAACTGAGAAACCTTCAGAAGTCGAAGAGTCCTACACGCACCGACTTTTGAGAGAAGCCGAAGATCGTGGCCGTCCAAGGACCCGCACCTCCGATGACATGCTATCCCCTCGCGGCAACTTTGAGAACGTCAGTTCGTTTGAGAACCTGCTTTTCCTTGCGCAAACATATAATTTCTGAGTTAAATCGTTCTACACAACGCCGAATTTCGCTTTTCATCACGGGTCGTAACTAAGGTGGCAATCCTCGCTCACGCGGTCTTCGCCTCAAACTTCAGCAAATCCCCCGCGATAATCTCGTCCTTCTTCGCAAGCAGCTCATCCGGATCCCAATTCGCGCTGACCAGCCTGCCATTCAACCACTGAAACCTCCCAGGCTCCCTCGTCAACCAGACGAGAAAGTGACCACACAACTCCGGATCGTCCACGAGATCTGCCAGACCGTCAGAATCCACTCCGCCGACAAAGAAAAAAAAAACTATGAAGGGAGGGGGAGAGAGGGGAGACGAAAAAAAAAAAACACTCACACTTCTTGAACTCCTCGGGCGCCGTCTCCATGGCCATCGTCGTCTCCACCGCCCCCGGATGCACCGCAACCGCCAGCAACCCCTTCCCACCAAACTGCTCCGCCACGTGCTCCACGATCCGCACCTGCGCCATCTTGCTGATGCAGTACTTGCTATTCGCAATGATGCCCCGCCGAATACACCCCGCGATACTGCCCACCACGCAGAACGCGCCGCCGCCCTGCGCGCCGCCCCCGCCGCGCAACAGCAGCGGCACGAAGTAATGCGCCGCGTGATACGTCCCCAGCGCATTCACCGCAAACGCCTGCGCCCACTCGCCCCCGTCTTCAGCAGCGGCGTCCCCGTCCGTCACCTCCAGCTCCACGTGCCCCGAGTACCCCGCGTTCAGCACCAGCACGTCCAGCGCTTTTTTCTTCTTCCCTTCTCCTGTTGTTCCCCCTCCTGCTTTTGTTCCCCCTTCTCCTTCCGTGCTGTCGTCGCCGCCCAGTGCTTCATCCCCAACAAACCGCGCCAACGCCCGCACGCTCGTCGGACTCGCCACATCGCACGCCCGCACGCACACCGCGCAGTGCGGATTGACCTCGCGCACGCGCGCGGCGACGGTGCCCAGTTGCGTCGTGTTGCGCGCGGCGAGGATGAGGGTCGTCGCGCCGGCGCGGGCGTAGGAGAGGGCGATGCCGGCGCCGATGCCGCGGGAGGCGCCGAGGATGGCGACGGTGAAGGATGTCCTAGGGAAGGAGAGCGAGGCGCGGAGGGTGCTGTTGGGGGTGGAGTGCGTGGTGTGGGTGAAGTTGTCGATGGCGGAGACGCGGGGGTCGGAAGGGGGGTGAGGAGGAGGGGGAGGGTGCGAGTGGAGGGGGGTGGCGGGTTGGATGCCGGGGGAGAGGGGGGTGGTTATTGCGGTCATGGTGAGTGAGTGGGTTTGGTGGTGGTGGTGTGGGGTTGTAATGAGTTTATCGTTGTAGTACGTAGTGATAGAATGAGTGAACAATTCGATGAGGTTGTGATTGATGATGAGCGGTTGTGTGCTTGGCGAAATGTGATTTCTCGTTGAGGTAGTTGGGCTGTGCCTTATATGGCCAAGAAAGAGTTAGTATGCGTGATTTAAGAGTAAGCTGGGTAGCAGAGCTGAGACAGTGGTACTGCATGCACACGCCAAGGCGACCCGAAGTTCTGGTGAGAAGCTAAGACAACGCGCAAGCTCTTCTTATAAGTGATAGAGTGCAATCCTGGAACGAATAGGAGTGGTGAAGAAATATAGACTTTTTTGCTCGATGTATCTGTAGCGGGGTCATCATCCAGCCCCTACCTGCCCGGTTAAGTTTAGCGGCAGTGTGGCATCAGGATGAGCCATCACCATTCATGAGATAGACTGCATGCCACCAGCGTGCAATGGTTCTCTACGCATTTCTGATCCGCATATCCCCTCGGTTGATCTCGGCCTCCTGCATCAGTCAGTATTCTATGAGGCCAGTCGCTGCGACTCGACAATGCGTCCGCCCCACTTTCATCGACGACCAAACTCCCCAATCAGGACATGGGATCACATCAATTCGGTAGCAACTTCTCACGACTGCTGCATCAGGAAAAGGCTGATCATTTCAGGCCACGCAGCTAGCTGCGCTCTGAAACTCAACCTTCTTCGGCAATGCACCCCGTGTGGACGCCTCAATCGAGCGTCTCATTTCTTGGCTTGACTCGTCGCAAAATTCAAAGAAGCTTATTCGAAACGTACAATGCCGTTGCGGTTCCAAAAGCTGCCGGCCTATAAAAAAGAAATCTTAGCAGACATGACCGGTCGCAGTTAGCTCCTTGTCTGGTGCGACGGCAATGCAGCCAGCTCGATTCTTAGTCAGCGGCAATATTAGAGGTGTCGTCGCCAGGCCAGGCATATTAGCGCATGAAAGACGTTCGGAAACTTATCAGATACACAGTAGCGAGGTCGACGCGGGGAGGAGTGCGGAGAAAGAGTCGTGTTTCCGAAGAAACTAGCCCTGAATAGGGATGCCGATATCGGCTCACCCTTTCAGGGTCCAACATGCGAGTAATCGAAAGGCCATAAGGCTGACGGGACGAGTCAGTCGAGAATCATTGTGAATGTCTTCTGTCATAACAACGGATGTGGCGCCCATGCTGTTCCTGAGGCTCTTGGATAGTCTGTCAGGCATTTGTGCGGGGCACCAACCTGGTGCAAACGTATGTTGAAATTTTGCTCTCTGATGTCGAGCTTGTTCAACCGTGGGAACCGATTGCCGTAGCGCCACCACTCGGGCGAACTCGGCAGCCGCGGGCACTGGTCTTCGAGACTTGCGATGAAGGAGCAGTCCTGCTACGAGCAGCACGAATCTCGGCGACTTTGCATCTGAACTCTGCATCTTCCCGACAAGGCTTGCGGGGCGGCGCAGACAGCGGCATCGTCGGCATCTGAGCTGAGTCATCACCGCCGGACCGAGACACGCCGAGAAAGGCGGCAACGCTTTCGGGGTTTTGTCGAGCACGCCATCGACACCTATCCGTTTACGGTATTCTCACCTTCGACGAGCCCGACTTTTCCACCAGCCATGGCGCGCCATGAACTGCTGACCGGGCCCATTCGCCCATGCCGGCCCATTGATTGCTCAGCGATACCGGGCCTGGATTCTACTTTTTCTCCCCGCCACGTCCGTCTCCACCCACCCGCCGTGGCACTTTCTTTCTTTCTTTACGCGCCCCAAACAAGACCGCAGCGGACTCACCTTTCGCAGCAGCAGGGCGCGCCGCTTGTCTTCGTGTACAGCGCGTCGCAATTCCTTTGTTCCTTGAGATACCACCAAAAAGTTTCTGTTTTCGCCGCCCCGCTGCCAAACCATGCGTCTCCAGCTGCCCGAGTCCGCCGGCCCTCAGGCTGAGGCCCAGCAAACTGCCCTCAAGCAGTTCGCCCAGAAGTCCTCGAGCCTGCCCTTCGGCCAGCATGTCCCGCTGTCCTCCATCTCCGGCCCTACCTACCTGACCGCCCAGACCCTCGTCCAGCAGGTCGCCTACGCCCTCTCCGACAAGGTCTTCGCATACTCGCCTGAGACGTACGACCTGGACGTTGCTTTGAAGGAGTGGCAGTCGCAGGGCGAGCACAATGCCTTTGGATACAAGACTGGCGTCTCTGCCCTTGAGACCAGGACTGGCGCCGGCAACGTTGCTCTGGGATACATTTTCTCCAAGGACTTTGACCTGTCCAAGAGGCACATTCCTCAGGCCATCGTTGCCTCGTCCTCCACCCTGCAGCAGCTGAGGCCTGCTTTGGACCAACTTTCGCTGCTCTACTCTGTCGCGAACCCTCTGGTTGCCCATGTCGCTGCCGTCGACTACGCTGCTGGCTCCTCGTCCGGCCTGGTCACCGACTACTCCACCAGCTTCACTCTTGCCGAGGAGCTTGGCCTCGGTCTTGTCTCCAGCGCCTCTGCCTACGAGATCCAGCACATGTCTCTCTTTGCTACCCTTCTCGCCAGTGTTCTGCCCACCATTCACACCTATGATGGAATTACCGTTGGTCGTGAGACCACTCGTGTCGTTGATGTCATGGATAAGTCTGGTCTGCTCAACAACTACAACGCCATTCTGAAGGCTACCTCCAGCGTCGAGGGCAAGCACTCCGACAACGAGGGCCGTGCCGTTCGTCTCCTCAAGGCCTTCAACGACGAGTTCGGTTTTGACTACAAGCTGTTCGAGTACCACGGCCACGAGGCGCCTGAGACCGTCATTGTTGCTTTCGGCACTGTTGAGGCTTCCCTGGGCGCCCAGGTTGCCCAATCCCTTGCTTCCAACGGTGTCAAGGTTGGCCTGATCAACGTCCGTGTCTACCGTCCCTTCGTTGAGGAGGTCTTCCTCGAGACCCTGCCCAAGTCTGTTCAGACCATCGCTGTTCTTGGCCAGGTCCACGATGCTGCTGCTGTCTCCGACGAGAGCGTCCACTCCGCGCTTTACAGCGATGTCCTTGCCGCTGTCAGCTTTTCTGCTGCCAGCGCCGCCTCTGTCGTCGACGTCAAGTACGCTCGCGAGGAGGTTTGGACGCCCGCGAAGGTCGCCAACCTCTTTGCGAAGTTCAGCACCGAGGCTGCTCAGGCTGCCCTCTCCATCTCTGATGCTTCTGCCCAGCAGTTCACTTTCTGGAACATTGACGAGTCCGTCGCTGTTGGTGCCCCCGTTGTCCTCGGCCAGCTGTACTCCAAGGACTCGGCTTCCAACGTAACCGTTCGCACTGGCCACGACAACCTGGTCCAGGGTGGTGTCGTTCGCACCGATATCCGCAAGTCCAGCAAGTCCCTTGAGGCCGCTTACTCTGTTGATGCTGCCGACGTTGCTTTCGTTGGTGACGAGAAGCTCCTCCACGAGTTTGACATTCTGAACAGCCTGAAGACTGGCGGAACCCTTATTGCCAAGATTCCTGGTGCTAAGGACGACGAGCTCGAGAAGCATTTCCCCGTTGGCGCCCGCAAGGGTCTCTTCGGCAAGAAGGTCAACCTCTTCGTTCTTGACCCCACTGCTTCCGAGAATGTCTCCGAGGACGCTGCTCTTGAGGCCTACCTTGTTCAGCTTTCCTTCCTGAAGGTTGCAGAGGCTGGCAGGTTCGAGACTCTGGCCCACAAGCTCGCTACCTTGAGCGGCGGCTCCCTCGACAGCATCGTCAAGGATGTTGAGAAGTCCCTTCGCCAGGTCCAGATTCCCGAGTCCTGGGCCACCATTGAGCCCGAGGTTGAGAGCATCTCCCTGCCCACCGACATCAAGGTCAACAGCTTCGCCTCTTTCCAGAAGGTTGACCCCGAGCCCCCGACTCTTCTCAAGAGCTGGGTCGAGGCCGCCAAGGGTCTTGCCTTCAAGGAGGCGTACGGCACCAAGACTGCCCTTCGTCCCGACCTTGGCGTCAAGACGGCCATTGTCCACATCAAGGAGCGCCGCCGTCTCACTCCTCTCGACTACGACCGCAACATCTTCCACATCGAGTTCGACCTCGGCGACTCCGGCGTCAAGTACGACATCGGCGAGGCTCTCGGCATCCATGCTGAGAACGACCCGAAGATGGTCGATGAGTTCATCCAGTGGTACGGCCTCAACCCCGACGAGATCGTCGAGGTTCCCACGCGCGAGGACCCCAACGTTCTCGAGAACCGCACCGTCTACCAGGCACTGCTCCAGAACGTCGACATCTTCGGCCGCCCCCCGAAGCGCTTCTACGAGGCTCTCGCCGAGTTCGCGACGGACGAGAAGGAGAAGACGGCGCTGCTGGCGCTGGTTACTCCCGACGGCGCCGTCGAGTTCAAGCGCCGCGCCGAGGTCGACACGGTCACCTTCGCCGACATCCTGCTCGAGTTCAAGTCTGCGCACCCGTCCTTCAACGACATCGTGCGCATCGTCAGCCCGATGAAGCGCCGCGAGTACTCGATCGCGTCGTCGCAGAAGGTCACGCCCAACTCGGTCTCCCTCCTCATCGTCACGGTCGGCTGGGTCGACGCGCAGGGCCGCGACCGCTTCGGCCAGGCCACGCGCTACCTCAACTCGCTCTCGGTCGGCGACCCCGTCACCGTGTCGGTCAAGCCGTCGGTCATGAAGCTGCCGCCCAAGACGACCGCGCCCATCATCATGGCCGGTCTGGGAACCGGTCTCGCGCCTTTCCGCGCTTTCGTCCAGGAGCGCGCGCGCCAGAAGCAGGAGGGCCACGAGATCGGCGCCGTCATGCTGTACATGGGCGCGCGCCACCAGCGCGAGGAGTACCTGTACGGCGAGGAGTGGGAGGCCTACCAGGACGCCGGCATCATCACCCTGCTCGGCCGCGCCTTCTCGCGCGACCAGCCCGAGAAGATTTACATCCAGGACCGCATGCGTCAGACCATCGAGGACATCCGCAAGGCGTATCTCTCGGAGGAGGGCAGCTTCTACCTCTGCGGTCCCACCTGGCCCGTGCCGGATGTTACTGCCGTGCTGGAGGAGGCGATTCAGGAGGAGGCCAAGGCTGCTGGCAAGAAGGTGGATAGCAGGAGGGTGATTGAGGAGTTTAAGGAGGAGGGCAGGTATGTGCTGGAGGTTTACTAAAAAGGGGGACGGGAGGAGATGCAGAGAGCGTTGTGCGGGGGCTTTTTTTTGGGTCTTCCCCGTTTGATATCCTTGTCATGATTGCGCTACGTAGATGTGTCTGAACGAACGTAATTCTGTGTTGATAGAATTGATACGATCTCATTGTTGCGTCAAAATACGCGCATGGAAACAATTGTTTAGTATGTTTGATGTGAATGTGATTTGATTAAGTGTACTTAGTACCAGTGAAGTACTACCTATCCGATATGGATTTAATGTGATTGATATTTGGTATGCTGCAGTAAAGTATATCCGCATATGAATACCATCCACGTATGATGCAATCCCGCTAAAGTCCTATCTATTCGGGAAACCAAAATATGTATCAAAACCCAACATGACCGCCACAACAAAATATCTCAGGCAACCTCGCCGACCAGCTATGGCATTCAGAATCCAATCTGCGTCCTGCTTCAAGAAATCCCTTCATCAAAAACGCCCATCTGGCTTGCGGTAGGGATCGCACGAACTGTACGAAGACCCCTTCCACTCGATGCGACGGACCGTAGCGGGCTTGTCGTCATCATCGACACCCGCTTCTTCGACCTCAGGCACCACACTTCTCTCGTGACGGACGTGCGTGGACAACTGCTTCGAAGTCGTATTGGCAGAGCGGTGGCTACTTTTCTTCGGTTTGTCCTCTTTGCCCTTGTGGGGGCGTGCGAAGCCGCGCTCTCCGTTGCGCATTGGCTGGATCTTCTTGTTGTTGCTGAGCTCGATCCGCGAAGCCATTTTAACTTTGTCGGTCCTGTCAGCGCCGAAGGCAACCTTTCGTACTTCCGGCATGACTGCTGTGTGAGGCCGCTTGGGTTGTGGGTCGCTGGAGTTGGCTTCTCGAGTATGCAAGTGTGCTGAAGTTGTTGAATCGGAGGCTCGGACTGGGTTGTTCTGCGAGGGTCTCTCTGTTGTGGTAGTGCTTTTAAGTTGAAATATTTTGCAATGTGGATGTCATCAGCATGTGGCTTGAGGGAATATTCTTTAAACTTAGAACAGGTATCACGTATTCCACATAATCACAAGGCTCTCTTTGACAACAACGTCTATTGTTGAATGAATATTTTAATGAAGCAAAGTTTATTCACATAAGTCACACTGCCTAAAGTCACCTGTCCGTTTGACAAAAGGAAAGGAGAGAGAAATAAAGGAAATAGAACTCGATTGCTACAGTAAAAGGTATTTGGAACCTACCAAGCCGTGGCCTCACCACCACGTTTCAGGTCCTGCATAATGACTAGCCTCCCTTCTCGAATCTAGTGTACGAGTGATTGGGGCCGTTCCCAGTAGTATCGCCACCCTCGCGGCGGCGCGAGGACAAGGGCGCATGATCATCGCAATTACTCCTTGGAGTCAGTCTCGTACAAGTCATCATCAACGCGCGCCTCGTACTTCTTGTCATAGTAGATGTGGCCGTGAGCCTCCTTCTCAGCAGGGCGGCTGTCGCCAGTCTTCTTGTTCTTGTCGCCCTTCTTCTTGTTGTTGTTGTGGTGGCGGACCCAGCAGTAGCGTCCGTTCATCTTCTCAACCTGAATGGGGCCCTTCTTGTTCTTCTTGTTGCCAAAGAGTGCCATTGCGACGTAGATGTAGATGCGGTTTGACGTAGATGCTGTTTGATGTGGATGTTGCTCGGTGTGGATGCTGTTCGACGCGGATGTTGCTCGTTACTTAGTTTTTACTTCACTATCGAGGTCTTAAATATGAGCGTATGCTGGAGTTGTTCAATATCAGTTACGTTGTTTTGCAAAGGATCCTCAAAAGTGTTGTTTATTGTAAAAAAAAAAAAAACAAAGACTTGTACAGTGCTAATTCTTTGAGCATGTGTCTCGAGCAGATCTTCTTGGAACTTGGAGCAACTAAATTCAACATCTACTCTACGCACATCGGGACCTGAGTTGAGCAGCTGCCAATCAAATCAACTTCGAGAGTGCCCAGCTAAAAGTTCTCGGCCCGTTCGTCTCCAATAATTTTCCTGCACACCGGACAAGCAATTTTGTTGTCATTGTTCGTATCCCAGAATTTCTCCAAGCATTCACGGCAAGCTACCTGTCGGCAGGACGAACAGCGCACGACCGCCGTATTCTCGCTGAGTGGGAGAGGTGTGGTATGTGGAGGTATCTCATCCATGCATATGACGCAAATTTCTCGCGGTGTGTGCTCCTCTTCACCCTTCTGTGCCTCGTCGCTGGCTGTGACATTCTCCGCAGGCGTATCTGAAGCGAAAAGAAGGTCCAAATACGACTCGACATCAGAATCCGCATACAGATACTCGGCCTCGCTCAGAGCGGTTTGCAACGTTTCCAGTTCCTCGGAGTATCTTTCATGGCAGTCCTGCAGGCGTTGAAGCTCTTGCACGTTGTGTACCTGCGCCCTCACATTGTCCTGTAGCATCTCGGCTACTTCTTGTTTCAATGAAGTTAGCCTCTCCCACCTCTCGTCATGGTCTGTAGAGAGAGCTTGCTGTTGTTTTTCTTGACAGAGTCTTTCGTATGCCTCGATCAACTGAGAGGCTTTTTCACATGCTCGTGCGGCCTCATTGCAGAATTGAGCAAATTCTACGTATTGAATTTGCCAGGCAGCAAACTGGTCCGCCGATGCCACCTTCAAAACTTTCTCCGCCATTGAAGAGGAGCTAGAGACTTTGAAGCTTTCAGAGAAATGCTGTGTTAAGTCCTTTGCGGCTATTGTGATAGCCAAAGTGGTTTTATGCTGTGTACGCTTTTGCAGTCGTGTTGCTGGGTTCGAATTGCGAACGGGGGTGTGAATTTGTAAACTAAAGGGAAGCTACGGTCAATCATTAGGAAATATTGTGTAGAAAGTCACACGATTCAGTGGTTGTGCACATGCTAAGGTGTTTGTTTCGGCGAATCACATGTGGTAGTAAATATTCCTTTGACTCCGAAATGTAACAAAGAGGCCCCGGAAATCGTACAAATGTCTAAGCGACGCTGGAAATAACGATGAGAAGCCCTGGTTTATCTCATTAAAGCCATCTAGATATCTTTAAAGATGGGGCTGGTCCGTCCGTCGACTTCAGGTGTGGACTCCTCCTTTACCATGTGATTCCGCGGCACCGCCAAGTTCTCAGAAGGCGCTTTCCCTTCCTTTGTAGATGCTTCCCGACGAGATTTGGGACTGTCTGAACTGGGCGAGCTGTACGGATCAGCAGGAATAGGTGTCTCTTCCTCCATAGTGTCAACCGGGTGCCAGAAGTTCTGCTCAGCCTTGGGTGGGCTTGGGGTATCTACATGGGTAGTAGCTCTGCGCATCCATGCTGGAAGCGGTACACGTGCACCACCTGCCAGACGTCGTTTGCGCACCAAGCGGCTGTCATGTTTGCCCACAACGCGGATAGCTTCTACAGGTTCGGCGTCGCCTCTCTTCACGGTAGTCTTACAGGTTTTGCCCCCGGGCATGCAGTTGATGCGGTAGGCGAGGTAGACCTCGCGGCATCTGCGGCGGAAGTCATTTTTGGTTTCTCCCATGCTACTGCAATTGTCGTTGCAGTTGATGATGATGCACATGTCTGCAGGGTTGTTTGTATGCGTACCAAGTATACTAGTGTTTTGTTACACATGGGAAGATGAAGAGGGCATGTTCTGGTTGAACTGCAGGCACTTTAAAGATTGAAATGTTTTCAGGAAACCTGATGAGCGGGCACTTGCCTGTCGAAAGTTATTTGGCGTGACTCCTGTTGTCTTTGTCGTCATTTTCCTTTTGTTTCAATCAAGCAGGCACACTTGTTACTAAGGTAGACGGGCAGTATCGCTCTTTTGAGCTGCCGAGTGGCTGCTCTTTATTGAATGTGCATCCGCCATTAGAAGCCTTCATATTGCCACAAACAACATCTTGCACACATTATTTCTGAATTTTGGAAGGAGCTTGATGCCTGGAGAGTTGAATAAGGCTTCCAGGCCTCTCGATTACATTAATGAATCCCCAAGTTCCATATTCCGACATCTCAATTTGCCACCCATATACAATTTTGACCAGGTATTCCGTTCGCCATTCACAAAAAGATAGAATACAAGACGCTCCACACACGGCAGCTCAAGCAGCACGTTATTCTTTCGGTTCCGTCATGCCCTCATCAGCACTGCTATGTCTGCGAAACACGTGTGTGGCAGCCCGCCAAATCGAGTCTCTCCGCGAGCTGGGCGATGACGATGTCGACCACACGCTACTTCGACGGCGCTCACGCACGGGCTCTGTAATACGGGGAGCATGTCGTCAGTGAGCATTCAAACAGCCTAGCAGCCCCACTCCACTAATACGAACGTACCTTCGTCTTTGTTTTGCACAAGCACCGTCTGTGCGGCCCGAACGTCCGAAAGGCGGCCTACGTCACGAAGAAAGGTAAGCAAGAACCCTTTTCGACGTCCCTCAGAAGAGGAGTGACGATGTAAATGCAAAAGGCTTACGTAGGTTCCCAGCGCCACCGCGACCGTAAGACGTGTAGCGTTCGATTTCCACGACCATGTTCTCTGTCACACGAGTCTTCCGTATTCTCTCGTATATCGAAAAGTCAAAAGGGGAGTCTGAGCAATGACCATGAATCGTATCCCACGATCGAAGGACGAGAGTAAGAGAATAAAGGGCTTCCTCAATCCCACAGGTGAGCGTCACCCCATATGATAAAGCTCCGTCCCCACATGTTTCTTCTCCTCGCCTACTTGCCCTATCCGGTCCTGCCGGTCGTGGTCTGCAACCAATCACCAGCAAAACACCTATCTCCCACCCGCACATGACGTACGTAGGGCTGGTACGAAAGAGTCCCCTGCCAAGTCAGCGCTATCAACCACACAAGCTTTTCCGTCGATCTCCCCACATCCCGCATCATCGATCGGAGCCCGCGACCCACTCAGAATCGTCATGCTTATCTAGAGCAAGGAAACGGAACAACGGTACGCTAGCGTTTCGAACTCCTTCCTCGCCTTTTCGACGACCGTGGTATTTTTGGGGATTGAGTGACCATGTTGCCCGTGTGAGCTTTTACCATCTAGGACGATGTCAGGTATGCTCGTGAGAGGTGGCTTGAGCTAATGGTGGTGATTTCGACTTTTTTTTTCCTCTTTCCTTCTTTCCCTCCTTTACGCCCTCTCTTTCTGGCACAACTGCATTTGTGGCGCCGAAAGCCCATTCGACCCACAGAGAACCTCTACAAATAAGTTTGCGCCTCTTCCGAGAATTCCGGTGACGTGTGCGGGCTGATGAGGCGGGAAAAAAAACGTCGGCGGGTGGCGTTGGTACTGGGCGTTCCGAGGCTGAGCTGAACCACCACATCCACCCAGCTCGTATTTTCATCTTTTTCCCCAGGTCCTGGCGTCGCGGGTGAGGCTTGGGCCAAGCGAACACTTGGTGATCCGCGACCCCGTGTCTAAGAATGCGGGGAATGTGGGTCTCTCTGATGAGACTACATATTTCGAGGATTTTCATGAAATTTGGTCTTGGGGATCTTCGCGAAGGGACAGGAACGTGGACTATGTGGCTGTGTTGCTGCTGCTGCTGCTGCTGCTGCCGCCGTGCGGCTGTGGAATGTGAGACCTCTTTGTAAGACCCCTTTGTCTCATATGTGAGTCTTCTTTGTCTCAATGCTTGTGGCGCGCTGAGCCTCTCTGCATTCCATCGACGGCGTTTCCGAGCTGCGGACGGATAAGAATCTGGCCATGGCGTGTCCGGATGGCGGTGCTCTGATCTCCCATGAATACGAGATTCTGGGCAATGGGCGTTGCACTGACGAGATGAGGGACAACACGGGAGGAAACTTCATACAAACCGGTCAAACATGAACACTAACCCTTTGGTGAATGCTTTGTCTTCAAAAATTACAGCAAAAGGGAAACAAAACCCATTGTTCATGACATTGTAGAACAGTGTGGGTGATAGACGAGGAACTGACGTAGGCGAGTGCGAGCCATGGAATGTAGTACCCCCCGTGGCAACATGAGACAATCGACCACCAGTGTCCCTCGTCTGGCATGTGACGGTGAAGAGTAGGTTCAGGAAAGACAAGAGTTAAAAGTAAGGTTATTTGCGCACGTCCTATCTCCCCTATTGAATGATGTCACAGGGTCGAGCAAGTCTGGGAAAACGGAAGCGATACGATTGGATAGATTTTAGAGTAGTGATAAGGCGAGCAAGCCAAATGAATTATTGGAAAAGTGAAAGGAACCCGGCACTCGCTTACCAGAAGCAGGGTCAACACCAGCCCGGCGCAATCACCAGGAAGCGAGGATCAGCATTATTGATAGAGAACAGTACAAGTGGGGTGAAAGTGATATTGTTGTATACGCCATCCATGCCGTACGTACCACCCTTACGCGTCTGCGCTCTTGGCAAAAACCCCCATCTCTGGGCATCGGGACACACAGACGCTGCGCGCAAATTCCTCGTTGCCGAACGCTTGCTCTCTCTCGCGCCGAAGAACGGAACATACCCTGGTCACCCGATCAATCAAAGTCGTTGCAATTTCCCCTCGGTCAAGCCAATCAAGAGCACGATCACTGTAGGCGTGAGCTAAGCGAGTCATCGACACTCGCCTGGTTCGAGCGGCCCGCCCCCGAAAGGAAATAAAGAGCCGCAAAAGAGTGCAAGCGCCGGCGTGAAGAGAGACAGAGAGGGAAGGACAAGGTTTCCTAATCAATCCTTCGCGCAGCAAGCGGACGGGGGTGGCGCGCCAGCATCGCACGTGTTGGAAAAACGCACGCACACGATGATGGTCCCCGAACGAAGGAAGCTCCCGGGGCAAAAAGACTCAAATTCAATCAGCCAAACAAGCGAGGCGGAAAAGCGGGCGTTGGGTCGGGTGCCGGCAATCTCCTTCGGCCCAGCTTTCCCACGCTCCTCGCTCGCTCGCTCGGCAGGAAGAATTTAGCCGCACCTCTGCCATTCTCTGTTTGCCTTTTCGCTCCGACTGCCGAGCAGGCCACCCGTAGCGAACCTCCGCTTTTTTCGTCGTTCTCTTCCGAAGAAACGACAGGCAGGATCCTTGTCAGTTCGGGATCTCGTAGGCGAAAAACGACAAACCCGGGGTTGCTCAGCGAACTACAGACCTCAACATCAGAAATTTCTCTCTCCCCTCTTCCTTCCAGCTGCCCGAACGCAATGACAATGCACAAACGTCGCACATCGGATCAGCAATTCAAGCTCTTTTGCGCCTTGGTGCTTTTGCCAAGCACTCACCAAGCCCCTGGTCTTGCCCGTAAACGAGCACAAGACCGGGTCCGCACTCCAGGCTAAGCGGGCGGCCGAAGCCGCTCTGTTGTCACCATTTCGTTCCTTCCTTCCTTGTGGCCGTGATAGAAAAAACGGAGAGGAGGAGAGAAAAGGGACGGCTGCGGGCTTGTGCACCGCGGGGCGTGGCGTCTGAACAGGAAAGAGCCGGGGGGGCCATGTGAAACGATAGTTCCTGTCGAGAGGAGGCAGGCCCTCGCCACCACGGCCGGAAATCTAGTTAAAGCTTGAGCGGGCACGCACGGGGACGAAGGTTTGTGCTCTCTGTCACAGCCGATGTGCAAGCGCAGGGACGGCAAGACGGACAAAAGCTTGGGTTAGCTGGGCAGAGAGAAAGGAATTGATGAAGGGGGAGGGCGCGTTGAAACGAGTAAGTGTTTGATGCCTCAGGCTAGGAGAAGGAGGAGGAGGAGGTGGTGGTAGATCGTGAGCAGTGGTACGTAGGCATGCCTCAGGCTAGTGTTTTGGCGAAGGAGGCTCTGTGGTGTTTCGAGTAAGCGAATGGAGATCGCTTGCCGTGCTTGGCGGGGGTTGAAACGTTAATGGGCAGTTTTATCGGGGTGTGTTGCGGTGAGGTGTTATTGTAGGAGCGAAAGGGAGGAGTGAGTTCGCGGATTGTTTGAGCAGTGGTGATCTTGCACATCAGCGGAGCCGATGTTCACACCTAGACCGGGCGATAGTCTCCACTCTTTGTCCGATGGTCAAGACTCTTTTTTTAGGTGTTGTTTGGATTCCTGCGTGCCACGACTGTCTACTTGGCGTGCTGCGTGTTTTACGAGGGTTGGCTGGCCGGTTGGTTGGCGGCGCATCGGTGTCCAAACATGATGTGTCACGTCAATCGCGCGGCAGAGGGCGAGATCAAGCCAAGAGGATCTAACGTAAATCGTCGCCAGGATGAGCGGATTTTCCTTCCGCTTCCCCGTGCTCCGAATTTTCAGATTGCTGTCTGTACCCACCACTGCTAGCAGCTACGGTATTCACGATTAGGAAATAAGAGTCAAGGAAAAAGGTAGTCAATGTCAAGGATAGAAAAATCTCCTCCAAGCTTGTAGCTCTCCGGAAAGTTTAGATGCATCTTGCGTAAATTTGTGAAAGAACACTAGTAAATTTGGGTATCTCCAAGCCGTCCCAGACGCGCCTCCATATGCTATACGGGAAGGGTGGGGGGTTGTTTGTCGCTCGTTCGCTTGCGAGATGAGTCGAAGTAATTTCCTCGTAGAGGAAAGAGTTGGGGTAAAAAAGGTGAAGTAATAAGGACAGTAAAGTTTGTTGTGAGGGAAGGGCAACAGACATTAAGCATCGTATGGAGTACAGCTTTCCGGGGTGTAGGGTGGATCGGGGGTATAGAAAACGTAACTCGTCAATGGAGAGAAAATAGGTATGATTTTGTAGCAAGACCTTCCCGCAAGACAGCTCAGACGACTCCAATCCGATGCAGAAATGGTGAGACTCCAATCCGTCAGGGGGTACGAAGAATAAAGTAGTTGAAGAAGGCTAACGCTCCGTGACCAGCAAGCGTGCGATGGGCTTTGCGCCGATCACAGGAGGAGGTAGCCCGCACCGGCAACGACGGCGGCGACGGCGGCATCGATCCTGAGGGACGAGGCGGCGCCGGTGGCCGGGGTCGACGAGGGCGACGAGGAGCCGGAGGCGGAGGCAGCGGCAGAGCCGGTAGCCTTTGCGCTGCTGGTGAAGCCGCCAGTGCCGATGGGAGTGCTCGAGTTGCCGGCCGAGTAGACGATGGGAGTGGTCACGGGCGTGTTGGTGGCACTGGTGGCGACGACCGGGGTGGGGATCAGCTCGGTCGAGGTCTCGATCTCGGTGCTGGAGTAGTGCGTCTCGGTGACGACGTGCAGCACGGTGCGGGTGCTGGTGAGGGTCGAGACGGACGTCGTCTTGTCGTCGGCGGCAGCGAGGCCGGAGAGGAGGGCCATGGAGGCGGCGATGAGGCTGAAGGTCTTCATTTTGATTTTCTGTTCCGATTGGCGGGGATCCGGAAGATGCGGCTTGACTGTTGTCCTGGAGAGGAGCGGTTGTTGTTTGTTGTTGTTGGTTGAAGGAGTGACTGGCGCGAGCGCTGCTCAGAGCAGAAGTTTGGTCTGAATGAGCGACGAAGCTTGGTGAGCAATCGGTGAGAGAGAGCGACGCAACGAACAGCAAGAGGGCGTGGTGTTGAGGGGACAGGGCAGCATTTTAACAAGCGGCGGGCGAAATTGGGGCCAAGACACCACGACAGGCGCACGTCCCGGGTCGGCATAGCGCGGTTGTTTAAGGTGGATCTGTGCAGTTTCATTCGCCGCCCAGCTGGCGGATTGTGGGGGGAGCAGAGGCTTGAGCGGTTGTGCCCGCCGGCGCCTGCGTCCGAGAGAGGGCTGATGTGCGCCCGGGAAATTGCACGCCGCTTCCTGGCGGCTCTTGCTCTCAGCTTCTTCAATCTCACGCCAGCGCATTAATCGCCCCGGCAATCGCCCGCTAGCCCGCCCAAGATGACGGCCAATATTGTGCGAATTGCATTGAAACGACATTGCGACACTCGCAGTGCCAGCGAGCAGCCTGGACGGGTCGGCCGTGGGCGGTGTCACATTGATTGCGCCGTTTCTCTTCTCGTGCCGACTGTCCCAGACGGGCAGGCTGCGACTTCCCAACGCGTGCTACGCTCGCGCACGACCTCATTTCCTTTGTGCCGCCGCCGCGAGTCTCGTGGCTCCCCGGTCTCCATCCAGCTGTGGTCCGCCGCTATCGTCATCCGCGCCGGCAGTGAGCCTGTGCCCCGGTTGCCGGGCTCTTGCACAAAAACTTGATGCCGCCCATGACGGCCATGCTGTGCCCCTATCCAACCCCCGAGTGGACATCGTCAGCGTCTTGGCAGCAGGCTCCGTGCCTTTGACCGCGCCAGCGGGCGGTGAAAACAATGCATCAAGCGCAAGCGACCAACATGGGGGCCGAGCGCGGGCGACGGTGGTGAGTGGTCCCCTTCTCCAGCTCCGTGCAGCAGCAGAAAACCCACCCAATTTCGCCGAGCGAATGCCCGTCCTTGCCTGTTCCTGTCACGAGTCCCAAGCATCAGCTTACCTGTCCGTGAGGATGACCGCCACTCCCCTATTCACCCCAAGCGCGCGCGAGGGCCCAGCGCCGCAGCGCGCCGCATTACCGCGCTGACGGTGTTGCTGTAGGCATCATCTCAAACCTAATCTCGTGGATAACGACTATGACACGAGTGGCGCCGCCCGTCCGCGTTCCTGTGCTTCTCGCAAGCAAAGTGAGACATGGCTGCCGCTGAGGGTCCATTTGTCAGACCTCTCGGAGATCCCCCACAAGCCGAGGCCTATTTTACTCTTATTTGCCTCATTGACGCTCGCCGGAGCCAAGTGTTGGTGGTGTTGCGCCGTGCCACCACATGCAGGTACGCCGCGCTGTCTGTACATCCGTACATCCCGCACATCTGCATATCTTTCTCCTTGCGTTTGCCCGCCAGAACAGATCGTCGCTTTCTAGAATAGCAAGAGCACCGGGAATAGTAAAAGGCCAATAGGGGACGCCAGACGGTGCCCGGCTTGCGCTGACAGACTGTACATCTCCTCCCCATATGGTAAGCCCGAGTATACAATGAATCAGTTTTTCAGCCGGCCTGTCACACCGCCTACGGCATCCGCAATCCTGTTGCCTGTACCTGATAGGCATGAAAAATTGCTCTTCGCATAGGATTTGCAAATTGCGTCTTCGGGCGAACAGACCACATCAACGTCCATCCCCGGTTCCAGAACTGTCTGAATGAAAAGGCTAGCCACGCTTTAGTTTCTTCCTTTTTCCTATAGTCGAGGTGGGGACTGCTACCGATGATCTCTATATCGCTCGTCCCGCCTATCACTCGCCCCCTCCAATGAATCGAATACGACCCGTTCGCCAGGCCGCAAGCTAGCGGGGAACGTTGGGGCGGTAACGTAGAACCGCCGAAGAATACCGACAACCCAACGTCCGCGTTAACCGCTCTTTCGTTTTCCCGACTACTGCTGTCCAAACCACATGTTTTTTTTTTGCCACCCACCCTCACCGTATGAGCTCTGTAAGGCCACCATCCGTGCCGCTTTGGCCGCTTAGCAGGCGCGCGGTACGATGGATCAGCCAAAAACGGCAACATTGTTGTACAGCCAGCGCACACCAACACCAGCACACGCCGCCAACAAAGCCAGGCCAGCCGGATGGACAACCGCCGCACGCTCTCGGCGCCAACCAGCCAGCTCAGCCCCCCAGCCCAGCCAAGTCCAGCCCAGTCCGATGTACCTACAGTAACCGCTGGCGCGTGGCCCTGCGGCACGGGAATACGAAAGCAGGCAGCCGAGACTGGCGGTTGACGTTGTCTCACCCACGGGGCGGTGATGCATGGCGACCCAAAAAGAGAAAAAGAGATGAATGTACTACGTCAAACTCATTCCTCAAAGGGATCCATCCGATAGTGCGGTGTTCAGCGTGTGCACGCACTTGCTCGCAGAAAAAACATACGTCGTCTTTGAGCACGCGTATCTGACGACAGTCCATGCGATAAGAACCCCGCGGCCAAAGCGTGAGACATGAGGAGACAAAAAGAAAGAACGAGAAGGCTTGAACGCTAGGCGAAACGTCATCGTGCATGGTCCCTCCTTCGAGTAACGGTCGATGGCGTCTATGCGCTCGATGAAACGTCTCTCGCAAAAGGGGGAGGGGGGACGGGAGACGGGAGAGAGAGGGAGGAGGGATAACTAAAAAAAGATAAAGGTATGCAGAGCACGCCAGGAGTTGGCCTCCGGTGAAGAAAGTCCTGCCCCCATCGCCTACTTACTCAACACCCCGTTACCGCCACCCCCCAAGCGCCCGGTCCGTTATCCATCTCTTGCGTGAAGTCTAAAAAAGGAAAAGAGCTGGAAGAGCAGGAACAGGCACCCACTTGCGGTCAAGAGGTCGCCTGCTTCCCACAGACGCCAAAGATCGATCGATGCTTCTCGAGCCGTCACGCAGGACTGACTGACAGGTTCAACTGAAACGCTTACTTGCGTGCCGCCGTGCCTATGTGTTACCGCTCCGACATCTGCAGCTCACGGCTTGAGTTGAGGAGTTGAGGAGGGGAAGGGGGCCTTGCAGCATGTCAAGCAGACGCAACGCTATGCATGCATGCATATGCATATGCATCCATGCAGCAACGTGCATAAGTATGTACACATGAGTACTACAAACAAAAGGTCACCCCGTCATGGTCTGATATGATGTTTGTCTTCCTTTCTTGCCCTTCTTACCCTCCTCATCTTCGTCCTGATGGCGTGATGTAGGAGCGTTACACATACAGGAAACCCATGGCAGTTCTAGCCTCTGCGGGCATCAGAGTAGACATGGGAGATGGAGATCCAGGTTGAATAACCGTGTACACAAGACATCTATTTGAATAGAGGAGCAAAGAACTGCAATGGTATAAGAAAAAAAAAAAGCAAATCTGGAAAGAAATGTGTATCCAGTCTGTCTGCTCTAACCTCCAAAGCGGGGAGAAAAAAAAAGGTATAATCGAAGTAACCAGACAAGACCCAAACCACCTCAGGATAGCCAGTCATCACGGCCGATCAACTACTGCCGAAACCACCACCTCAGTACAACATCACTAGAACACACGAATCTTGAGCACAACAAACTACAAGACACGCACACACGTAGCACATCACCTCGTCAACTTCCACGTATCACAAACCGGAACTCAAGTGCCAACCGATGATGCTCGTTCATTCTTATACTTTCCGTCACAACTCTACAAATTCCCTTCAAACTTCTGGATACTGCTACTCGTCGACTTGACGCCAATTTCCCCCTCCTCCTCCTCCTTCGCCCCTCCATGTCCTCGTCGCAGGTCCGCTCAAACCGGTATCTACTCTCATTTTAGTGATATGTATACACGAAGGAGACGACCCATTCGCAGCAATGGAGAGTGCAAGAAGAAGAGGAAGAAAGAAGGAAGAAGAAAAGGCCGGAAAAGTTGTCGTTTCCACGCTGAAATTCTTGTGATTAACTCATTCCAGGCAGTGTCAACCACTGACCAAAAGCCGAAGGCGCCCAGGAACAAATGACAGAAGACCGCCAACTCCTCAACGAAGCCGAAGAAGAGAGGAGCAGGAGCATTAACGGGAGGAAGAAGAAGAAGAAAGAAGAAAAAGACTATTTGAAGAGGAAGCAGAAGAAGACCGAAAGGCACACCGACGACAGTGATCATGAATTTCAGCCAACCACAGACCAAGTCATCAACGAAGAAGAAGAAGAAGGTCCATAGGTAAAAAAGAATCCCAACCGGTCTAACGGAGGTAGTAATAATAAAAGAGAAGTACCCATCAAAAGCCCGGGAAGTCATTAAATAACTCCAGCAGCTCCCATGCCCCAAAAGCAAACAAAAACCAAAACACGAACGACGCAAAAAAAACGTACGTATGTTGGTTGGAAAGCCCACGCCGCCAAGAAAGAAAGCCAAAACCCGCCGCGCCGTATTGCTGCTGTGATGATGATAAAAACACAAAAAGCCCACTAATTACTCCCTTCCCCATGATTCCCACGAGTCGATTAGGCCGTATCGGAACAGTTATCGATTGCAATAAGCCGGGGGAAGACAGCAGATTGCAAAAGGTGATAATTCCCGCTTCTCCACCTCACCAAAAAAAGCCCGTATCGCCGCTGCCGCCCTCGCCTCACTTTCCCCAGCTCTCTCTCTGCCTGTGAAAGTGCAGGTGGGTCCCACTCTCCGGACGAACGCACGAGCATCTCTCGATAAGGGAAAATCCAATGCAATACGGACGACGATCCGCGCAACATCCGTGCTCAGAGAGAGTGAGAGTGAGTGAGTGAGCGATGAGAGAGATAAAATCGGCGAGAGAGAGAGAGATGATCTTCTCAGTGAACGCGTCGCCCGCCCATCAATGTGCCCCAAATCCAGTCCACCTCCCGCTCGTCCTGTTCCCTGCCCCTGAACGTCCCTTCCTGAACCCCCCATATCCACTAGATTTTTCTTTTTATATTTTTTCCTTCCCGCACATTCCTCTCCACAATCCAAGTCGTCCTCTCCTCCTCCTCGTCCATATATCTCCAGTGTCATCTCGTTGTCGATCTGTCGTCGTCGATCCTCTCAGAAAGAAGGCCCCAACCCCCACGGTTCCGTCATGGCCCGACCCCTGAAAGAAAGATAAGGGGTAGGTTGCCTGAATGTGTTTATAGAGTCAGGGCACAAAAGTCGGATAGTAGGGGAGCGAAGGGGCAACGCAAGCAATATCGCAGGGCAGAAAAAAAAGTTAAGAACTAGAAGCGAGGGAGCCGATTGTAGCCGAGGGTGGTAGTAGCCGGAGGGGACAGTGGGATGCTGAAACTGTTCGAGCTTTCTTTTGCTTTTTTTGCTTTGGCCGTGTGCTGCTGATTCTTTCTCCTCCTTGGCATGGTAGAAAAAATGCGTACGTCATGCACAATCCGCGCAATCTCGACTCTCTTCTCTTTTCGATCCCTTGCAATCAGTCCATTCCCATCACCCTCCTCCTACTGACGCACTCACTCTCCCTCTGGCAGCTCGTTCCGTTCCCAAATCCTTCGACATATTTCCTCGATCTCGTCCTTCTCTGCCGCGGCGCGGTCCTGCGGCGAATCGTCACCGCGGCCAGGCAGGTCGAAGCTGACGCGCGCCCTCCGCGCCGCCGCCACCGCTTCCGTGACGCTCGTCGGGGTGCCGCGCTCGCGGTCCATGCCCTCGCCGGCGCTCGACGCCCGGAGGCTGTGCTGGCGGACCAGGCCGCCGACGCCCGTGTCCGGTCCAGGCCCGGCGTTCGTGCTCGGCCGCTGTTGTGCAGCATTGCCGGACTTGACCGACACGGCATTGCGGTTCTTGCGCAGGCTCGTCGGGGTGTCGGCGAGGCGGGCGATGGCGTCGGCAACGGGGTTTCGGAACCGGCGCACGACCTTGTATTCGGAAGCGGCCTCGTCGAAGCGGCGGAGCAATTCTCGGTCGACGACGACCTCGCCCGATGGCGTGTACGTCACGCCCGCCGGGTACAGCTGCGAGGCCGAATGGCCGTTGCGCGGCAGGTATTCTTTTTGTTGGGGCTCGATGTTGGAGCTGGCGCGCTGAAGCCAGAGCTTTTGCTGGGTCCGGGACGGGTGCAGGTCGGTCGGCGTAGCGGTGCCGGAAGACGATACGTGGCGGCGGTGCGTGGACGACGTTTCTCGGTCGGTCATGTTGGGGGCGGACTTGTTGCGCTTGCCTGGCGTGAGCTCACCGCCGGAGCCCTTGGGGTGGTGCGGCAGGATGCTGCTATCCCGAGGGGTGCCGGACGAGCCGTCGCCGTCAATGAAGCGTGATACAGCTTCCTTGTTGCCGCCTGGTGTGTCTATCATTGTAGAGCCGGTGGAATGGCTGAGTGAGCGCGCGTCGTGCGAGTCGGAGACGACGGTGGCGGAAACGTCCGAGACCTGGGGCCGCAAGCTGTGCGTGGCACTGCGCTGGAGGATGCGCGAGGTTATCATGTCGGCATCGGGGAGGTTGGGCTGGTGGTATGAGCTCGCTCCGTTGATCTGGTTGCTGCTATAAGTCACCCGGTCCGCGTCCCGACGGCTGCTGGGCGAAGCCGGCTGCGAGGTTGAGCGCGACTGCGGCTGCGACTGCACGCGGCGTTTGGGGGCGTCGGTCTCGGTCGACTCGGAGGTTTCGTTGTCGCTTTGGCTCTGGTGTTGGTCGTGCTGCTTCTTGGTGAAGACGTGCTTGTGCGGCTCGAGGATGACCGAGTTCTGGCGGGTATTGGATCGAGTAGTGGCAGGCGACTGCGAGGCACTTTCCTCAGTCCATTCATTGTCCTCGTCGCCGTCGTCGTCGCCCAGGTCGAAGCGCACGGCGGGGTGGTCGGGCTCGGGCGAGACCTGGCGGCTGCGCTGTTGCTTCTGGGCGCGCTTCAATGTCTCGAGGTCGCTGCTGTTGCGGTGCTTTTGCATGCTCTTGGTGGACATGGCGCGCGGCAGGTGGCCGCTGGAGTGGTTCTTCTTCAGCACGGCGTGCGACGTGTTGCGCGGGACGACGGCGGCAGAGGCATTGCGCTTTAAGCCTGGGCGGACGGCCTGCGCCTCTGCTGGAGCCGGGGTGGAGCTACCCGACAGGGTGCGCTGGTGATGTCTCGTGCTGCCATCGCCCGTAGTCGGGCGCTGGGCACCGGCCTTGTTCAGATTCTTGCCATAGGAGGGGTTGCGCGGGCCCATGCGGCCGTGGCCAACGACATGGCGCTGGGCTTTGTGCTGCTGCTTGGGGTGCTGCTGGACGTGGTGCTGGCCGTCGGACGGGGATTGGGAGACTTGCGACTGCGACGACTGGTTGCGCCGCAGGCCTGCAGGGCGCCTCGGCGGCTGGTCCGGGGACGGCATTCTTGCTTTTGCTCTCGCTGTCTGCGGCTAAAGCGCTCGCTGACGCGCACCCTCGGGGTTAGGGTCGAGGCGAAGGGAGGCGGGCGGGCAGGCTCTGACGGCGCTGGTTTGCGGGGCGAGTCGACTGAGGCCCGGGGCTGGAGCTGCTTCTGATGGCGGCGCAGCGGGCCATACGCGTCAATTGGTGAGAAGGAGAGGGGCCTCGGCGGCCGGCTCGCGAGTGGAGGAGGAGGTTCGCTGGCAGCCGGTCGTGCAGGCGGTCAGGCCCGTCAGAATCGAAGCTGGCTGAGCTGTTGCGAGTGCCGTCATTGGACCGTGGCCAACACCAAGGGCCGCTACCAGAGAACCGTCGTCTCCTCGCGCGCTCCCTTCTCTCAACATGCCGCCGCCAAAGGTACCGGCCGGCCACCCACGCGCACCCCGGCTGTGCGCCCGCCCTCCGCATTTAGCCTCGCGCGCATGAATGGCGGGCGCGTCGGAACGTTGCAGCCTCGGCGCGACCACGCTGCAGTCAGCATCATTCCACCCGACATTGCAACTTATTTCATTCCGTGCCCCCGCCCGCTATCTACGTCTGCATCCCTCGCGCCCTCGTCTCGTAAACCCTAGGCAAATATCGTACTGTACAAAACTCTCCATCTTCCATGACATGTGATTCTCGGATGCGAAATGCCGTGCCTACCGAACCAGGATATTCCAGCAAAAAGAGGGACCTGAGCCTTGTAATATGTACACCATTAGTGGATAGACGCCTGCACGTCCGTTAAACGGCCCACGCGATCTGAGCCGTAGAGCCGGAACTTGTGTCCCGCAATCAACCCACAAGGCCTGCGCGTGTATCCACCCGCGAGCGCTGTGGCCTCGTGGAACCGCATGCTCTGCGTTTCGAGTCATGCTCCACTCTTCAGTACGGCATCATGCAAGCCGTGTCGCTCTCCATATACGGTCTGGTCTGCCTCACGGGTACTTCAAAACGGCTGACAATCCTCTTTAGAGTGTGCCTTTTTGGCTTGTTCCCGGCCAAACTGCTTCCTTTGGACGAGATGGATGGGTTGAGAAGGTTGACGTCGTCGCCAGCTTCTTCCGGGTCGACATCCTCCGCTACGGGTCCCTCAAGAACGACACTGGCTCCCTTCACCACGTTATCCATACCTCCGTCGAACTGTCCCTTATTGGGATCCTGTTCAATAGCGGGCCGCCGCATGCCGTCAACGCAACCGAAGGAAGTCCACGACGAATCGGAATCGGAATCGGCATCATTGCTGTAGAAACGACGATGAAGGCCGGTGAAGACCGAGCGGTAGCTTGGGGGAGTGTTCGGAGTAGGAAGAGCGCGCTGCGAGCCATCAGAAAGACGGAGCATACGGTTACGGCTAGATGATGACCAGCGGCGGTCGGCTAGAGCTGCCTGCTCCTCTTCGTGGGGCTCAGTAGCTTGTGAGATGGACCGGGATCGAGATGCAGATCCCTGCACTGACGGAGACCTGAGCCAGGTCATGAGGTCGGAGGGTGATCTCACAAGCTTCTTTCCCAAGGCCGATGAGAACGACGAACTCTTCATGCGCTGCGCTGGCTCGCCTCCGCGATTCATCCGGGCTTCGGAAGAGGTGGCCATCTGCTCAAATGCCGGCCAGTCGCCTGGGGACTCGGGAGCTGAACAACGATGGGAGTTCTTCGCCGGGACGTCGAGCGGTGTGTGGGCTGAGAGGCTGTACATGGCCTGAGCCTGAGCGTGCAGAGAGTCTTCGACCCAGGCCTCTACGTCCTTCAAACGCATGGTTGAAGGCCTGACTGTGGCGTCGAGGTAAGCTTGGGCGCCTTGAAGCGCTGCGGATGTTGGTCTTGGTGGTCTCGGAGGGTGACTGCGCCTCTTGAGCGCCGATATCTCAGTTGCTGAATGGCGTGGGCTCGGTTCCCCCAAGCTTCCCGGCGGAAGAGCGTCTTGTCTGTCGTAGCGCCTCTCGTGAGATTGGAAGATGAGGCCGAAGGTGGCCTCGAGCGACGGTTCAGGGTGAGCAAGAGCTGAGCGGACCGGCTGGGCTGGTGCTGCCTCTAGACTGCTGGTGCCTGGAGATGACCGAGGCCGCCGCGGTGGCGGTGAAGCGCTGAAGCGGACGGCGGGCATGATGGGCAATTAGGAAAGTACTACTAGGATGAGGTTGTCAGTGAGTGGCTAGGCGGGTCTCATGACAATGAGGTTCGGCCGATGTGTAGGCACCGAGGTGGTGAATATGGATAGAGTCAAGGAAGGAGCGAAAGCGAATGCGGTTCAGCACGCGAAGATGAGCGGCGCACGCGACGCGTTGTTGCCGAAAGGGAAAGTCGCACAAGCTGCAGATGAGGAAAGAGCAGACCCGCTCACAGATCTTGAGAAACACCTCCCCACTACCACCAGCCTCTCCACTGCCGCAAAATCTGCATCGGAAACTCTTCGCCAGCGGCCTCTGGACCTTATCCCACTTTGCGAAAGGCTTGCACCGTCAGCATAGCATAAACTCCGGGTGCGCGCCTTGCCGCACGCCTTCATTGACGCCACCGGCGACCAGATTCTAGATCTGTGCAACACGTGTCTAAAAACAGAATCTATTCTCCACCTGCACATAGCAGGGTCTGTAGGGCTTGTCTGCTTTCTTTTTCGTCATTCTTCCAGGCTTGGCTGTCTTACTCGTGTAGCCGCACACTGCTCCCATTGAGTCGCGTTCACCGGCTCCTGAGTATTCACAAAATCTCATTTTAGAGTATGGGATAATCTTGAGCTACCCAGCAAAGTTTCCACATACAATCAAAGAAGTTACACATCTCAAAGCCCGATAATGGAGATCTCACTTCACCAAAGCTGTCTGGTGTTCCCCAATAATAAGCTACTGTATATTATCATTACATACTATGCAGCTTTGGCATTAGCAGCAAATACTGAGAAGTCTCCGGCATACTTCTAGCGGGCTTCCCGTAACAAAAGATACTGGCATGTCGAGCATCCTGAATGTGACTCCTCACAGTCCTTAAGTGTCTTTATTTCACCGCTAAGCTCGAGGGAATCACTGGCCAATTGGTCCAGGCAAGGCACCATTGCAAGATTCACAGGATTAACCCCTCTAATTTGCTTCGCCTAAACCTGAATTTGTAGAAGAAAAAGAAAACAGTTGTTTCCTTTGGTGCTAGAAGTACATGGAAATCCTACTTGCAAATAGATACAAGAAATGAAATCTCACAGAACATTGAATGATGTGAACTAATCAAAGTGCGGAGTACCTCAATCAAATGCTCACTGTGTCATGGCTGAAGTCCAAGCCAAGACTGAGACTAAGTTCAAGATGATTTGCGGATTTTGCGCGTGACAGTCTTCTCAGAGATATCCCATGTAGGCAGAGCGCTTGGAGTGAAATTCCGATACTGAGGAGGCGAGAAGTCATATATCAAGGGAAGTTGGTAATGGAAAAAGTTGTGAGGTCGAAGTAAAATGATCATTTTGAACTTGTCGTGTAGTTCCGATCCAGCCTTTTTACCCCGCAAGGACTTCGGAACCTCTATCCTACCGTGGATTGGCTCAATGCTTTCATTTGGTCTGACCTGTAATCCAGGCTCCAAGCCGCTTGGAACAATGGTGTTCACACTGTATTCGGGTGTCAGATTAAGAATCGTTATCCATACAGTATTTTGTGACCGATTATTAAACTTCATGGTCAATTTGGCCAGTATGTTGGGGTTATCTCCAGGCTCTTCTTCCAGAATTTGCAACTCGTGCTTCGTATCCAGCTTGTTGGGGGGTTGCAATTTGTCCACATTCATGTACAGGTGCAAATGGCGCAACATTGCGCAAAGTCGTTTGGTAGTTTCGATCCGGCCATCTGCCGCCAACGTGGGAGTGTTTTCCAGAGCTTTCCCGTTTCCAAGGGAAACCTCGATTTTGGAGTCGCCGTTAATGGAGAGCAGAAAGTCTGCTCCCTCAGAGTTGCCATCGAAGCGGAACTCCAATGGATTTGCGTCATCGATACAGTCTCGCCAATCCCTTTTCAGGTTCTTGATAGCTTGATGCGCTTCGGCCAGTGGAATCACAGTTACTCGGACTGGAGTGATCCTTCCACACCTCTTAGCATACCAAAACTCCTTGGCGTCGATCTCGTCGGTCGGCGTTATTGGCTTTGTTCGACAGCTGAAGTCATCTATGTCTTCAACACTGACTTCCAGACCATCAAGGTCGTTTTTGACGCTAGTAATGAGATATTGATCCGCCCACCTGACTCCATCGGCCCTTCCGCGGTTGAGAGAGATCTCAGACCCATCAACCCTTTCCACTATTGCAGTAGTGGAGAAATCTGTTGCTCGAGCGAGGCCGTCATCGAAACCGAATATTATCCTGTCGACTGGCCCGAATCCGAGGGGAGATTGGAAGCCACCCGATTCTACCCGGCACCTCACCTGCAGAATTTCCATCAAAGTTCGGTAGTTTGTCGTTAAGACATCCGACCCGAGAGCTGCGAGGGATTCTCTGAGGGAATACGTCAAGATGCCACGAAAATTGTAGTCGGCATCAGGCATCTCTTTGGCTCGCTCATCCGGCTGGCACGCTGCTATGAGGTTGAAGGACCTGTCTTTGTAAAACCAATGTTGATCCATCGTTGAGGTCGCCGATTTCATCTGCTCCTTTAGAGATTTTGGTTCCAGCCACTTTGTAACCTCAGGTATGACGACTGTTTCTCGGTAACGGGTGTTCATTTCATCACCGGTTCGTAAGGCACCACCAGAGTGACAGCAGTCGAGCACCGTTAGTACAGTCCTGTTGTTCTCCGCGAGCTTATCGAGAAGAATGCCCAATTCAATGTCGCGTATGATGGATCCGTCTGCGCACAGCAACGCTTCGTCTAGCTTCGACCCTTGTTTCTCGTAGACCGTGGGCACCTGAGTCCCATGACCGGAGAAATGGATGTAGACAAAATCACCATGCGGGACATCCTTTGCAAGGGATTCCATGGCACCAATGATGTCTTTCCTTGATGGGGAGGTTGGTTGTGATACTTTTGACGTGTCACCGCCAGGAGTGTGCCCAAGGATGGTGCGGATGTTGGAAGCGGGCACATTAATTGTCGTGAGCAAGATCATTCCCATTTCCATGGCATCTCGAACAGCTCCACTCAGGTTCCCGGTTCCGTAGTGATCTATCCCAACCAGAAGGGCCCATTTCTGCGGTTGCGCTCTGCGTGGAAGTCCCGAGGTAGTGTCATCGACAGACATTCTGCTGGCTGGAAGGAAGGGAGGGGATGGCGCGGTTCTGAAGTGGATAGTGGAAAAAAGCAGGCTATTAGATCCTGGCAGAGTATCTGGTATTTCATGATGTTTGCCTCTCTTAGTTTGTTGTTTATTCTTTGCTATTTGCTGTTTGCTAATTGCCAATTAGCTTCCAGCAGCGTATATACTATGCTGCCTGCAGATATTCTATAAATTATCTTGCGAACCATCTTCTAATGCAAAATCAGCCCTTCCATCCTTTTCCGTAACAATATCTGTTGCTTTACACCTGGTCTGACTTTGCCCTTGCTATTTTGCTACCGTCTGCGAACGCCGGTTTTGTTTCCGAATCCCTAAGATCTCTCCGCTCATACTTGCATGACGAACAAGCTGGCCAGCGTTCTCATTGACCAACCAAACCAGAATAGCCAAGTAATTATGCAAGACGAATCCAGGGGCGTGACAGTGGGAGATGATGGGTCTCCCAGACTTCCAAACTCGTATCCCCTCAAAAGACTTGCATTTGATGAAGACCTGGTCAAGGTGAAAAGCATACACCTACTTGCAGCAATGGTAGATTGGGCAGAAGCTCCCAGTAGGCTTCCAAAGAAGGCCCCAGAAAAAGAGCCATGGCTGGAGAGGCTCACTTCCGCATTCGCAAACCAAGATATGAATTTGATAGATCCGAAGGCATTGGACACAGTCATCATCATTTCTGAACGAGCTTTCTGTCCGTCAGAAGACGCTTCCGAGAATGCTTTATCCCGTATACGCCACTTCATGCTACTCCTCTCTCGGTACGAGCACCGGGGTATCTCAGACGGTTTAGAACGAGGATTCGATACAGCAAGACAGGCCGTTGAATGCTTACCATCAGACGATATCATCCGGGGAATTTATCGAACCATGGAAGTGAAGAAATCTTGGGCCCACTTCAAACGGACTAGTAACATTGGGGACCTTGATAGGACAATTGCTGCCATACAAGAAGCTCTCTCTTCATGTGAGCTAGAGAAGCTGGACAGATGCATTTGGACAAGTCGACTAGCTACCTTCCTCGCTCATCGATTCAAGGTGACTCGTAACTCTTCCGACATAGAAGAAGCAATTTCCAATGCTCAGCAGGCTATAGCGACTCACTCGGATGGTTCAATACCGATTCCACAATTACACCTACTGCTTGGCATGGTTTGTGAAATCAAGTCTCGGCACACAGGGAGCATCGAGGACCTCGGGAAGTCCATCCGGGCAATGGAAAAGGCCATAGAGCTTATTTCCGACCAAGAACCGAAAATAATCGTACTGGCCTATCTGTCCCTCATATCTTGTCTCCAGCAGCGATTTGATGTCACCGAAAACCTAGAGGATTTGAAGAGGGCCATCAATAACTTCGAACATGTACTTTCTCTCGGAACAGAGCTAGAGGCTCTTCTTACGGATTTTGCATGCATGAAGCTACGACTCTTCCGGAGGACTTCGCAGCCAAATGACCTAAAGCAGGCCATCGAGGCCTTTTCTTCCGCGGAATCAAAATTACCGCAAGGACACCCTGAACGGCCTAGAGCGTTAACAAATATGGCCCTGGCATTCAACGCAACAGGTACAATTGAAGGCATCAACACGGCTATTGAAAAGGCCCAAGAGGCAGTAGAAGCAATACCAGAAAATCACGCAGATCTCAGTGCACAACTGAACACCGTGGGACTATGTTTTGCCCATCAGTACTGTATGACTCAGGTTGAAGGCTATCTCGACAAAGCGATCCAATTTTTCAAACAGGCAAACTCCAATGCGATAGGCGATAGCCACGTGGTCGTCCAGGAAGCTATATATTCCGCGAACCTTGGAATTTGTCTTGACTTCAAGTATGAGACGTCAAGGGACACAAAATACCGCGATGAGGCTCTTCAATGCTTCACGAGCTTGATAAAAAACACCTTGGCTCCTCACTGGCGACGTATTCATGCAGCCCGGGCAGCCCTAAGGTCTCTTGCGAGAGAGAGAGACTGGGCCCAAGCCGAAGAAATTCTCAACATCGCACTTGAGCTTTTACCGCATGCCTGCAACCGGCATATGAGCCGCGAGGATCAGCAGTATAGCGTTCAACTCGCTTCTGGACTTGCTGCGGATGCTTGCTCGCTTTCACTTCAGCACGGCAAGGTAGAAGAAGCGATACAACGTGCGGAAATGGGCCGTGGGATCATTTTGAGTCACTTGATGGACAACCGAGCCGACCTATCTCTGCTGAGGAAACTCCACTGCGGTCTTGCCAAGGAATACGAAGATGTTAGAAATATGGCTTTCCAGTCTGTTGAAAGCGAAGACTTCGTTGTGAGAGAAGGACTTTTCAGAAAGCGGGAGAAAGCTCGTGAGCGTATGAGACACCTTGAAACAGAAATTCGGAAAAAGCCTGAACTCAGGTTTTTCTTACAATCACCACCAGTGAAAGTCATCCAACAAAATGCATCCGAAGGGCCAATAGTCATCGTCAATGTAACAGATATCAGCTCGGATGCGATAATCATCACGGATAGTACTATCAGCACAGTCAACTTAAGTGCCATGACGTCGCAGCCACCAAAAATTTTCGCCCAGGACCTCAGGAACTACAGAAGCGAGGGCAAGCATGATTTTGGGCATCGCAATTTTGTCCACGAGCATCTCCAGGACAACGATTCAATGCAATGGCTCTGGTCCACGTGTGTTAAGCCCGTGCTCGACAACCTCCCCTCATCGAACGACTTAACTCGAATATGGTGGATTGGGTCCGGCGTTGCCAGCTCTTTGCCTTTTCACGCAGCGGGCGACTACAGCAGCGAGAGTAAGTCCGAAAATTGTCTGGCCAGAACTATCCCGTCCTATGCGCCGACAGTCAAAGCACTCATAAACGCAAGGTCCAACGCCTCCAGTCATAGAAAAGTCGACGTAAGCAAGCTCCAAGCTCTCGTGATTTCAATGCCGAGTACGCCAGGGGCGAAGGACTTAAAGGGAGTAAAAGAAGAGCAAGATGCTATTCAAGAAGCGGTTAAGGACATCATATCTTTCAGGTCGTTGCAGAGGCCTACTGCTTCGACGGTGCTTACTGAGATCAAGCACAGCAACATTGCGCATTTCGCCTGTCATGGGTTTGCTCATCCCATAGACCCCTCAAACAGTCATCTCCTTCTTCAAAAGAAAGATGACACAGGGAGATTGGTAAATGAGGTGGATAGGTTAACCGTCTCCGCTCTTCTAGAGACACATGGTGGAAAGGATAGGTGGATCGCTTACCTGTCTGCTTGCTCAACTGCACAAATCAGCGAGAGAGAGATTGCCGACGAGGGACTCCACCTTGCCAGTGCTTTTCAAGCTGCTGGTTATTCGCACGTCATCGGTTCGTTATGGCCTACGAGAGATGATGTCTGCGTGAGCATGGCTCGGCTGTTCTACACGAATCTCGTCAAGAATCGGGAAGCGTCTGACTTGAACAGAGCCGTTGCCTCGGCGCTGCGGGATGCGACAATTCAGTTGCGTTCATCCAATGTTTATGACTTTGGTGGATGGGCTCCGTATATCCATTGGGGAGTGTAAAGTTTGTAATAACGGGGAGTAGTCTAGCAGTCAAAAGGTTATTTGATCCAATTTTCTTTTCTTTTTCTTTTTTCTTTTTCGGCGTAGTTTCAGTCTTCTATTTAACTTACGAAGTGTTGAAGCTAGTTCATGTCTGCGATCTTAGTACTGTGATGCTCAATACTATCACCGATGGAGGAAATGGAGTGCAAGGACCTTTGGGTAGCTATCACGAGCGTTAATGGCAGCAAAGCTTTGATTTACATTAACTCTGACCTCAGAAGCCAGCCCATGCTTAATGGGCAAATGGTTTCTCACGGTCAGGGTTTGTATTTGCTTTCTCGTGCAATATACAGATCGACGCTATTCGTACTGCTCGTGGATATACTGGTGGATTGCGATAGCTAAAAAGAAAGAAAAAAGGACGAATGTGCGCTCATTCCTCAGCGCACAGGGTCCAGATCGCTGACGCAACTGCACCCCGGATTTCCTCCGGGTCGCCGCAAACCTCCGCCCCACCACTTTCTTTCTCACACACCACCGACTGCTGCCTACGAGCAAGCGGACAAACAGGCACAAAAAGCACCACCCAGCATATCTGCCCGCAAACAACCCGACATTGCCTCCGTCCCCGCCACCAAGACCTCGCAAAGCAAAGCCGCATCTCCCACAGACGGCCAAAGCGGCCGCGCGCACCTACCTCACACCTCGAACCACCACCACCGCCGCCACCAAGCCTCACCACCCACCCCACCACCCGCCAGCCAGCCAGCCAGCCGGCCAGCCGGCCGCTAGCTTCCACCGCCCAACATGCAAGGCTTCAACATGGGGCGCTACTACGCGCCGTCGACCGAGCACGCGCCGACCTTCAACACGTCCTCGCACCCCCTCGGCGCGCGCGCCCGCAAGCTGCGCAGCGAGGGCGTGCTGGTGGTGCGCTTCGAGATGCCGTTCGCCGTCTGGTGCGACACGTGCGCGCCGCCGACCATCATCGGCCAGGGCGTGCGGTTCAACGCCGAGAAGAAGCGCGTCGGCGCCTACCACTCGACGCCCATCTGGGAGTTCGCGCTCAAGCACGCGGCGTGCGGCGGGCGCATTGTCGTGCGGACGGATCCGCGGAGGGCAGAGTATGTGGTCGAGAGTGGTGGGAGGAGGAGGGATTACGGAGAGGCGAGGAGGGTGGAGGAGGGTGCGGAGGAGGTGGAGGGGGAGTATTATGAGGGGCTGTTGGAGGGGGGTGAAAGGGAGATTTTGACACCTGAGGAGCGGGCGAGGAGGAAGGGCGATGCGATGGCCGCGCTCGAGGGGCGCAAGGGCGAGAAGGAGAAGAAGGCGTGGGAGGAGAATCGCGTCGAGGAGCTGCGCCGGCTGCGCGAGAAGGACTGGGCGGACCCGTATGCCGCGAACAAGAAGCTCCGGAAGCCTTTCAGGGAGCAGCGCAAAGAGCGGCAGAAGGAGGAGGGCGTCAAGGAGGAGCTGCAGGACAGGTTCGGACTCGGCTTGGAGATCGTCGACGAGAGGGAGGAGGACCGCCAGAGGGCGAAACTCATCGACTTTGGTGGCGATTCGACAGATGGAGATGTCGACGCCGCTACATTGAAGGCCGCATCAAGGCCGCTGTTTGGAGAGGACGCACCGAGTAACGCCTTGTCGACGCAGAGCACTAAGGGCAAGACGAAGGCTGAGCGAGCCGCGGAAATAAGCAAGCAGGCGCTACAGCAGAAGCTCAAAGGGAACACCAGAGCCGCAATGGACCCGTTTTCAGCCGAGAAGACACGCATTGGACCGCCCACCATCGCCGGACTCAAGAGGAAGCGCGCCGTTGCTATGGAGGATGATGCTAAAGACAGCGTCAGCCGCGATACGACTCCAGAGGAGCCACCGCTTCGGGAAAGCAAGACTCCCTCTGAAAAGAGGACATTGGCACTGGTTGCTTACGACTCGGATGACGAGTGATGAATCAAGGCCAGGTCAACCGATGTGAGGCTCCCTGGATTCGGTTTGGTGCAGGTTGCTGGGACCTACCAACGGCAGCTGCTGTTAAGGATCTGTGAATACTACTGGATGGGGAAAAAATCCCCTACTGCTCAAAAGGCCGTGTTGCCAGCTCAGGCCTCGGCGAGGCTGGCTGAGGGAGGCGCACAATACACCGTTTATTAGATACCCCGCGCTCAATCGCGCATGTTTTTGGCGCGCAGGCTTAGACCGGCGCCTTGCTCCTTTATTTACACGAATTCAAACCATCTACTAAGAGCATGCCGCTCCTAAACCATTTCATCTGGCCATGCCTTCATATTTTCATTGCATATTGCTATTGCTATTTACTCTAATGGTATCTTTGAACAATAAAGAAAAAATAATGCCTCCATTACCACCACTACTACTATTGCTCAAACAGCAACCCCGCCGCCATCTCCACGTTCCCATCCGTCGCATTCAAAGCAGCCACGGCATTCGGCCTCGCGAATCCCAGCTCCATCAGCTGCTTGACCTGCTCCGGCCAGGGCACCGGCGGCTCCGCCCCCGCCCCCGCTCCCGCCAGCCCACTCCCGCTCTGCGCGCCCCAAGGTTCAACCGTGGACGATCTCGCCGCACGCCCAATCCGCTTCGCCCATTCCCACGGCTTAAACCCATCAGTGCCCCCGGCATTGAAGTACTCCCACCCCATCACGCCGGCAAACGTCCTATTCGCGCCGCTGCCCACCCCCTGCGGCGTCGCGGCCGCCGGCGGGGGATACTTCGCGCGCAGCTCCCTCACCACGGCCTCCAGCACGCCCGTCGCGACGTAGCCGCTGCCACCATTACCCTGGTTCGTCAGCACGCCGAGCACGAGCTTGCGCGGGGCCCAGCCGGCGGCGGCGATGGCCTCCCACAGCGCCGGGTTGCTGGCGTCGCCCCAGCCGTTGTAGAACTGCGTGTTGTACCACGAGACCAGCCCGCCGTGGCCAGCCTCGAGGGCGAAGTGGTTGAAGCCGCTGAGGTGCGGCAGGCTGCGGGGGATGGTGAGCGGCGGGGCGCCGGCCGTGGGCGCGCCGGTCGAGGGATCGAGCGGCACGTACTCGAACGGCGGCAGCTGCATGTCCGGGATCAGCGCCGTCGAGACGGGCGCCAGCGTCGTGATGAAGGAGGGGCCGAAGTCGGCGCGCAGTCGCGTGAGCAGCCGCAGGATGGTCGGCAGCTCGATGGCTTCTTCGACGTCGAGGTCGAGTCCGTCGAGGTGGTGGTGGCGGACCAGGTCGCGGAGCGGGGTGTAGTAGGCCTCGAACTAGAATTGTAGCGGGTCCCCGTCAGCCGAATGTCCATAGTGTTGTTGCGTATCTGAGAGAACGAGAGAGACACACCTCTTCCGCACTCCCTTGCAGCCGCCAGTAGCTCCCCTTCGCTGCGCCGCCCAGCATGCCCATGACCTTCACGCCCGCATCCTGCAGCTGCCGCACCTCGGCCCACAGCGTGTCGAACCGACTGTGGTCGGGCCGGTGGTCGTTCAGTGTAATGTTGCCCGGCCCGTCGTTCAGGTGGATCGCCGCGATGATGATGTGTGTGACGCCCGTGCAGTGCGTGAGTAGCGGCAGCAGCGAGACCGGCTCCTGCGGCTCCGGGCCGGGCTTGTGGTGCGTCTGCGCATAGAGAATGAAACGTGGAAGCGGGTGGGTGGCGGAGTCGAGGAGCTCCTGCTGCTGCTCCTGCAGGTCGGCGGGCGGTGGAGGTGGGGGTGGTGTTGGCGGCATTGGAGGGAAACTGGATGGAGGCAAGGGGGATTAAGGTAAGGGTGGAATTTGGAGGCGAAAGAGGGAGGCAAGTTGTTCAAACGGCGGGGTAGGCTGGAGGGGGAGGTGCGGCTGAGTGTCGGAAAAAGCGGCACGGCGGCTCAGCCTGCGGCCGGCACACAGCCTGCGGAGCGGCGCGCTGCAGGTGCGGAGACGCGTCCCGGAGGATCAACGCAAGGTGCGGGGTACAACCGCGGGTCTGCCAAGTTCCACAGGGTCTCGGGTGCGTGCTAGTGCATTAAACATGCAAGGACATCGTGACGCGATGCGGGCCGGGATTACTTGCATGTTAGAGATTGAAACCGATGCGTGGAAACATTATGCTCATCTATCGTCTACGCCAAGTGTTTACCAGCTTCACTAAACATACAGAGGGGTGTTCTTTTATTTTTTCCACAATGAAAAAGAACATGTATGGGTAGTTGAATTAAAACATCCGGACGATAGCTTCAATGACCCATGGTATGAGCGAAAATTATATTCACGCTAGCTGTCGCTGAAATACCCCCTGTATCTACGCGAGTGAAGATCATGTAGTATTACTCTACGAAATAGCCAGAAAAACGGCACGCTTGCTGAGATGGAAAAAGGTCTCTCAAAAGCTTGCAGTAATCAGTGTAGGGCTGATATTCCAAAAGCGCTTCATAAAGGCGGCATTACATAAAAATGTTTCTTCGAAGTCGAATCCAACAGTAAAAATAGGTTCATGAAAAATCCAATGGCTTCCCAACCGAAATCAAGCCTTCTTCTCGACCGCACTAGCGGTCTCGCTGGTCGGCGCGCTAGCCACGGCTGGGCTCTCGACGGTGTCCCCGCCGGTGATGCCCTGCGTCTGCAGAGGCGAGGGACCCTTCTCATCCGGGGTGGTAGGGCTGGTGGTGACATTGGTGCTAGACACCCTGCTGCCGGCGGGGGTGTTGGGCGAGTCGTTGGTAGTCGTGCCGATGCACGAGCGGATCGTCTCGTACCACTTCTCGGCATCCGACGCCGTGTGGGCCTTGAAGGCCAACTCGTGCGTCATGGAGAAGGCGTTGCCGACCTTGCCCTTGGACACATCCTTGCCCTTGACGTTGAACTTGTTGCCGTCGATGGCGCCGATGACGCAGTCGGGCAGGTACAGTGACATCTCGGGCTCCGGGTCCTCGCCGAAGTCGTCGTCCGTCTTGAATTCGTGCAGGAACTTGGACGGCGTGACGGCGTAGTAAGCCGTGGCGTACCGGCGCAGCATCTTGCCGCGGCGCTCCAGCGAGCCGGCCATCAGCGGTTGCGTTGCGCGGTGGCCCTGGTTGGGGAAGGAGATGTTCGAAACAGAGCGCGGCGGAGCATTGGGGTCGATGAGGATGTGGGTGTTGCGCTGGATGAAGCCTGGAATCGCCTTTGAGTTAGAACCACCCCATACTCATTCTACCTCGTCGTTTACGCACCTTGCCACTCATAATCCAGCGGGATGCACTGGGCGGTGCCCACGATGTCGTTGTACATGGCCTTGGTCTGCTCCTGCTGGCCCGTCAAGATCTTCATCATGGCCTCCAGACCCTGCTGCATCGTCTGGATGACGTGCGCCTCGAACTGCGAGAAGTTGCCCTGCACGGCCAGGAGGTCCTGCCGGTTGTTGTTCTCCTCGATGACCTGCTTGTTCAGGCGGTGCATGACCTGGCGCTGCAGCACGTACGGGTCCTCCGTCGCCGTCATCTTGCCACCCTGCGAGTCGAATGACGCCGCATGCTGGCCCAGCAACTCGATGTGCTTCTGCGTCACCGCGCGCGCCTTGTCTACAACCTTGCCCTGCTTGCCCGCGCCCTTGGTGAGCTCCTTGTTCTTGTTCTTGATCTCGGCGTGCAGGCGCTCGAACGACGGCAGCACCTGGCCCTTCAGCGCCTTGGCCGTCTCGTTGTGCGAGTTGGAGATTCCCTAACAACACCCCCCGGAGTCAGCCGATTGTCGCTCCACCTCCTTTTCCTTGCACAATGGGAATTCTGTCCTTACCTGAGTGTTCGAACGGATGTTGTCGAACATTCCCGCGATTCCGCCCAGGTTCTGGTCGAAGTGGTGCGCTTCCCTCAGGGGGTTGGAGACGGTCTATTTGCGACGAGTGAGCTCATTGCGCCCGCGCGCTTCCGGCGGCGGGTTGTCGCGCACCTTCAAAACCTTCTCATACTCCTTCGCCTGACTGATCTGCAGCTTCTCGGTCGCGGTGATGTACTCCTCGAGGTAGCCGCACGCGTGTTTCCATGCTTGGAGGCGCTCCTGGAAGAGCTTCGTCACCTGTTTGCGCCGGCAAAAAAAGGTGGAGTGTTAGCGACCCAAGCTTTTTTTCTCATGCGAATTCTGGAAGCACAAACCTCGCTTGTATCTTCGTCGCCGATCACGCCCTCCTCACCCATCGTGGTGGTGGTCGTGGCGCGCGTGGGCAGCGTGCTTTCGGTCGGGCTGGCCATTGTGGTGTCGTGACGTAGTGTAGAAATATCAGCGGGGTGGGAAAGGCGCGAGAGTTCGCGAGCGAAGGGAAGAGGGACGGAGCGCAATATATGCAGGTGTGGGGTGGGGAAATTGGAAGATTAGAGGGTGGTGGTCAATAGTAAATAGCAGGCCGCTCAAGGGGGGTGGTGTCTTGGCCGAGCGGACCGCGTAAGAGGCGGCCAGGGGTTATCAAATGCGACTACGGGCGACTGCGATGGAACAACTGGGTCATTGTGTGAGAGCGCCGGCGCGAAGTATGAAGTCACTCTCTAGCGCCTAGACCCTGAAAGCTTGTGATTTTCATTCCTCCGATCCCGCATGTGCCAGTCTGGAGCGGCGGAGATGCTTGGGATCTTAGCAGGGAATCCCAGGACGTCATCGTGCAGATCACCTGCTATCGCTCTTTCAAGCCACCACGCTAAACATCGCCACCTTCCTCATACGCATCATGGGAACACAAATGGGCTTCATTAGCCTTGTTTCATTAAGGGATACTAAAGCTACTACTGTATCGTGCTCAAAACCAAAGCAGTATGTATTAGTTTTGTATGTAATAGCCAACGCCGAAACCATGCTGACATCCGGAGGTGGGTATCATCCGCGCCAGTGTCCTATCTATAACGAAGAAACACCAATAAAAATCATCCAGCGAAATTCAAAAACAAATGGGCGTATCAATGGCTGACATGGGCAGCCTCGGGGCGCAGAGCGCGATTAAATGCCGTATTCCTCTCCGTTTCTTCTGTAAGCGTGGCAAGACTACCGGTCGGAGACGGCGTCGTGTCCCTGCTGCCACGTAAGTGTACTTGCCCAGGTCGTGGCGGTTCATGCACAGGACTTGCTGGTCTGCTCGTCGCTACAGCATATGTCGGGAGATCCTCGCTGACTGGTGTGCGCAGCGGGGTGCGTAGCGCCGTGTTGTAACTGGGAATGCGCGCCAGAGCTTCCATGTCGTACGAAAGGCTATCTGCGGGTGGAAAGTAGCTCGCACTGTCACGCGGGCGGTGCATGCTGTTGTGCGATTGGCGGCCGCTGTTGTTTCCGGAGTTACTCGAATCGTTCCCCGCCGGGCTAATAGGAGCCGAGCTCTCGTAGCCGTTGTGCGGCGTGCTGGTGCCGGAAGAATGCCGCGAATAGCTGTTGTTCCGCGACATATGGCTACTATAGCTGTTGTTCTGCGAGATGCTGAGTCTTGTCAAGCGCGAGTGCAGTTGACTTGCAGAGGCGCCGTTCCCGCCCGTAACAGTGTCCATCGAGGGCAAATCTTCAACAGAGTTTCTCCGGCTCTGCGCGTAGTACGGTGTAACGTAACCACTCTGGTTAGGAGAGCCGTGCCATCCACCAGGGGTTCTGAATCCACTCGGATCAATGTCTCTGTACATCTGATCCAGTTGGTGCTCAGCGTAGGTCGGAGGTGCAGCCTGAGTAGCCTCTGCATGCATGGCCGCTTCAACTGCAGACCCCGAGATAGCGGCCAGAACCTGCTGGTCCTCGCCAATCGGAAGGTTTGGTGAAATGAAGAGAACACAGTTGTTCTTGACGAGAAGCTGTATCGATGTTAGCAAAGGGGATGGAGACGAGAGTACACGAAATATCCCTACCTGACTGGTGTGACCCTCCGGGTTGTGCAGGTTTACGTAGAGCTTGATCTTGTGGTCTATTCTGATGAAGTCCGTTTCCACGTTTTGCCTGCACTTTTTCAGAGACTTGGGAAATTGGAGTGCCAATTTGAACTTGAAGGATTCGTCGAATGGGTGGTCGTCGTCCTCTTCGGTCATCCTTTGCTCGGCGTCGTTGGGCATGTCGTACTCCTCTTTTGCAACGATAGCGTCCCACGAATGCGGAATGTTTCGGTCGCCCTGGATGGCGTTCAGGACGACGTGCTCGTGAAGTTCCATCTTGATCTTTCCAATCGTAACACCCTTCTTCAGGGGAATCAACTGGAAGTCCGCGACGGCCTGCGTTCCGTAGATGAAATTCGTTTGAGGGATCGTGATCTTGTAGCACAGCTTGTCGGCCCACACATCTTCGTTGGTCTGGATTCACATGTTAGCCAATCGGACCCTCAGTGATGTCAGAGATGGCGGGACAGAGTGGGGACGCCAGTACGCAAACCAGCCGAACCCCAGCCACAACCATCCCATTAAGGTTTCATGTACCTGCTCCATGGCAGCGTCGGACAGAATCTCCGACGCCAGCGTACGGATAATCCTCAAATGCTTGTCCGCGTATAGCGTTTTTGCCATCATGCCGCGGTCCATTGTCGCGTGGAGGTTGTAGACAATGTAGCTTCCTGCGAGGCCCTCGACGCTCTCGGGCAACGAGCCCCTCAGCGTGAACTTGAAGTTCCACTCATGGACGCCCGGGCCCATGTGGTGCACCGTCTTCTTCACGGTGAGATCCGTGGGGTAGATCTGCACATGCTCCCGGAGAAATTCATCTTTGTAGACGATCTGCTGCGGATTGACGGCATTTGTGAGCCATCTGCAACGGGCCGTTGTTAGCAGGCGAATTTCCCCGTGAGTTGCACATGACGGCACTTACGAGACTTTCCGTGTGCCGATGAGAGACAGTTTGATAGAGCGGACGGGAATCGAGTCCTGGTTGGTCAGGACTAGCTTTCCGGTAAGAGTGACGGGCTCGGCGTGGTGTGCATCGCCCTGGAAAACAATGAAGGGCGAGTCCGGTCTGGAGAAAGGCCGTCAGTCATCGGCTGCTGAACAAAAGATGGGCAGCGGCGGAGGTGGATAGTTCAGGAAGGACAATGCGGCGTGGTGCAGGGCAAAGGCTCCAGAACACGGCGCGGACAAGTGAAGCAGACGTTTCTCTCCCCAGGAATGCGACTGTGGCCAGTCCCTTGAAAGTTGCGCAAAAACTCGTACCTGATTTCCAGCACCGGCTTGGACTTGCCACCGCCAAAGACCTTGGGGGTCGCAACCATGTTTGCGGACGAAGGATTACCAGCGCGGGCTGGCGGAGGATTGTTGGCTCAGATAAGGACGAAGCTGTGGCGGGAACGGGAGGCGTGTGCAACGGCTCCAGTTGGTGTGAGGATAATTAAGTAGGCGTGCAGGTGGAAGTCCGTGAGGCGGATCGTCGAAATCATGCGACTCTCTCTGATACTGCAGGAGCTCGCTGCAGCTCTGGGTGCAGCAGGCCAGACAGGCGCCCCTTCTGTTGGTAGCGGATGGGGGGGTGGGTGCAATATGACAGGACAGGACGTGGTGGGTATGGGAGCTCTCTCCGAGACAAAGCAGGTATGCCGATAGCGGTCACACACAGCCTCGTTGGGCGGGTGACGTGATATGTCAGGTCAATCGAGCGGCGGGATCAACGCGCGATGCGCGGGAGGTGCAGGCCGACAGGGCTGGCGCGGCGTGGGACTGCAGGAGGACGCAGGCTGCGCGGGATGCAGAGCTTCTTCAACGCAGTGGCGGCCACGGGCGTCCCGAAAGCACACGAGAATAAAGTGGCTCCGCGGCGGCGCTTGATTGCGCGGATGGGCCCCGAGGCCGCTCCATCAAAGCCGGCGATAGAGCGATGACGTTTTTGCAGAGAGAAAAACTTATCTCCCGCCACAGCCAGCCGCCTGTGCAGCCCGCCCGGAGCGCAAGATAGGCTGAAATGGCGCCGACATTTCGCGAAGCCTCCGCCGGACCCGCTTGCGGCAAGCTCAGGGTGCGGAAAAGGGCTCACTCATGTGAAGACACAAAGGGCTGTGCGTCCTCCCTATTGCGGCTCCAGGCCTGGCGCGCCCACCACCAAGGGCGGAGCCCAGCACGGGCACTGCCGCGCTGGCACGCTCCCGGCGCGCGAACGCTGCCTGCTGCGCGTCCCAAGTCACCATTCTGCTCGTAATCAAATATCGCGCATGCAGGTGAAGCGAAACGTTTCACGCTGTTTTTTCTGCGAGTTGGCCCTGCCCGCCAACATTCCCGCGCCCCAATGCCGCGTCGTGCGGTCGAACCATCGAATGACACTGACGAAAGTATCATGCCCTCGCAGCAGCGCAACGCCCGCGCCCATGCACCCGTCCGCCTCTGGCAGAGATCACCTATATACATATCAAAGCACAGCCAGCAATGCCGGCTCACCTGCCCGCTTCCGCCGCCGACTGCCGGGCCATGTTTCGCCGGCCTCTTTCGCCGCGGCGCCTGCTCATGTGCTGTCTGTCGTCGACGGCGCCGAATCGCTTCCTTCGGCGCCTTCCTTGGGCCTGTCCCACGTGCGGATATGCCCTGGATATATGGATGGCTGGTCAGCATCTAGATCTACACTCGGCAGCGCAGCCGCTACGGGCGGGTTCCTGCACGCCGAGTGGGCCGTATCGGCCCAACGACGCTAGGCAGAGATAAGCGCGAAGAAATCTTTGTCTCACCGTTCTCGCAGGAGGTCAGGATGCAATCTTCCTCAAACCCAAGCCAGCAAAGTGGGTGCTCGTCAACAGATTTTGCCTGCGCACACGGTTGCGTTAGCTCCGGCAGTTTTCGTTAGGCGCGGGACGAAGGCCTTGCTCACCATGACCGGCGGTAACATGGCCGTTCGGGCCCGAGGCTCAACAGGGTGCACCACCTGCTCGCCGCCGCCGTCTGCGCTGCCCGTTGTCAGATTCGAGTCCGACCGCAGCCGGGTTGTCGAGCTGTCCGGTCGGGTTCGCGGCTGCGGCATGTGCGAGGAGATACTGCCTCTTGCGCGGACCGATGCCTGTGACTCGCAGCACCCTGTTAGCAAGACTCCACCGAAACCTGTCTCGAATATGTGGATCTGCACGGGGCCATACCGCTCGCGGCCTGTGCAGCATTCCGACGCTGAAGTCCCACAGCAGCAGCCTGGCATCCTCGCCGACACTGCCAAATCGGTAGTTGCGATCGTCGCACCGCCACGGGTCGAAGGCTACACCCGAGACCCACGAGTTGTGGCCTTGGCATCGTGCAACCAGCATGCTGTCCTCCTTTGACCATATCGACACGAGGTCATCCTGCCCTCCGGTCACGATGTATCTCCCGTCCGGTGACCAGCACACGCAAATCAGCCCCCCGTAGTAGCTGCTGAAGACGTCGAGGAGCCTGCGAGCACATTAGCGGATGCAGGACCCACGCAGGGGCGGTGTCCGTACTGCTCCTTCAGGTAATCGATGATGCGTAACGAGCCGTCCTCCGACACGATCGCCAGATGCCTGTTATCCGGCGAAAATGCAAACGCGTTGATCTTCGTGCTCGAGACCTTCCAGACCGCCACCGGGTTGCTTTTCTGGTTCCTTGATTGGACCGACTTTTTGATATGGAGTGACGTGCTCTGACCCTTGTCGCTCGGAGGCTTCTCGTTTTGTACGCCCATTTCCTCAGGAACGAATGGAGCGTCCTCCTTCTCCTTGTCGTATACGACCATTGTCCCATCCATGTGGGCCGCGAGAAACAGGTTATCCGAGTTTGGCAGCCAGCGTATCTCTGACACCGCGCTTCCATTAATAGCTCCCTACAGCGAGTCAGTGCATCTCCTTTCCTTTATCTCTGATCAACGGGAGGCCTCCTCTCCGACTTTCAGACAACACGCTCCGTCGGACACGCAAGTTGCAAAAAGCTTAGCAGTCAATCCTGTAGACGAGCCCCTGATGTTCTCCTCCGCCGACTTCGGCTCTTCCGCACTTTGCGTTGTCCTTCAAAGCAGTGGCCACTGGCCGCGAGAGGAGGCCGCGAGAAGAGGCCGTGCTAGGAGTGGTTCTTACGTTCTTGTTGATGCGGGCATACTTCTGCGACATCGGCTCGTACCATATTATGTCGCCCGTCGAGAACCCCATGACAATATCAATATGGTTGCTTGTTTTTGTGACCTTATTTATGTCATGGCACAGTGCATGCGCTTTGGTGAACAGGATCTTGGTCAAATGTTCGTCCTGTTTTCATGTGAGCTTTCCATGCACAGGCGACTGCATCATCCCCGACCAACCTTATTAGCAGCAGAAAGGTCTAGCCACTGCAACGCTCGGTTCACATTTGCGAATGCCATTAACCCATCCGCAGCCCGTTCTTGCAAGCGCTTTTGTAGGGCCTCGTGTGGAATAACCCGAGATACAAATGACGAATTGCTTTTAATAATATTGTTTTTGGGTTTCCTCCGCTTCAGCGGATCCTTGGATTCCTTGCCGTTCGTCATAACGAGAGCTGGGTTACCCTCTCCAAAGGAAGGTACCGACCCAAATCCATTGCTCCTCGTATATGGCGAGCTGAAGTCACTGCCAGCACTATGAGACTCGTGTGGGCTTTCTGCGATGCTTGGGGGTACACCGGACAGGGCGCTAGTCGTCGTGTCGGAGCGTTGAAGCCGGGGAAATTGGCTCGGCCGCGGGGAAAGTATCGTCAAGGAAAGCTTGGTCCCTGCGGAAGGGGGCGACGGCGTGGTCGCCAGCGGGTTCGGGTTGTGGACGGGCGCTTCGGAAGGATGGGGCGGCGGGGTCGCGAGGTGAAGGCTGTCTTTCAAGACGTAGGTACCTGGCATGATAGAAGGATGAGGACGCAGCCGGGGCGCATGGGCTGTGGGGAGCGCGCATTACCTTCGCCGACAACAAGCTGATGCTCAGGGCCCGTGGGGTGACTGAGAACGTTGTTCGTCTCGATGACTGGCTGCCCGGGCATTCCCAAGCCATACTGGCTGCTCGGGAAGCGCGGAGGAGGGGGCAGCACGAACATGTTGCCGTCTTCTGCGCGATTCCCTCCCTTATCAGTTGATGCCCAGCGCCAATGGGAGACGTGCGATCCGTTGCGGTAACACTGCGACGCTCACACGTTCAGCAACGTGCATAAGCTTTGGGGGTGGTGACGCGCGTGGCGGAAAGGTGGTTGCGGGAGGTAGAGTTCACACCCTGGGCGGGATGGTCGCATATGAATCAGGACGGACGGGCGGCAGCGATGATGTAGGAACACGATCTCGGCGTGTGGGAGTGTGGGGAGGCTTGCGCACGCGCCGCAATGTCCGGGCCGTCAGCTGGAGAAGCGGCTAAATGCGCAAAGCGAGCGGCGTGGATGTGTCGCAAAGGTGAGCGAGGTACTGTATGGGGAGGAACGAGCCTATGCGAGACCAGTAGTAAGCAAGCTCGCGCAATATCACCGCGGAGCTCGGGGCTGAAAGCGAAGGCTCCCAAGATGCTTGGCCCGAGTCGCGGCCCTGGCATTGGAGTTGATGAGCAGCAAGGCCCACGCGCCCGGTACGCTAAAAAATGACCGACGCTTCTGCCGAACCCGAAGCTCCAGCTGCGGCTCTCCGGTAGCTTCTCCCCGCCATCAATTATGCTATCCCAACATGGCTACTGTTCGCATTTGTGTCTGCGGTGACGAGGCCACCGGTATACACCTCCGTTTCCTTGCGCTAAGCTGCAGCTTGCTAACAACAACGCGTAGGGAAGAGCTCCCTCATCACCTCCCTCGTTAAGGACGTCTTTGTCCCGAAGATCCAGAGCGTCCTCCCACCAGTGACGCTTCCGCCCACGCTGGGCACCCCCGAGAATGTTACCACTACCGTCGTCGACACCTCCGCCCTGCCGCAGGAGCGCGACAAGCTTCGCAAGGAGCTCCGCAAGTCCAACGTCATCCTTCTCGTCTACTCAGACCACTACAGCTATGAGCGTGTTGCGCTCTTTTGGATGCCCTACTTCCGCTCTCTTGGTGTGAACGTGCCGGTGGTTCTCTGTGCCAACAAGTCCGATTTGCAGACAAATGGAAGCACGTCGCAGGTGGTGGCCGACGAGATGTTGCCGGTGATGAACGAGTTCAAGGAAATCGATTCATGCATCCGTACAAGTGCTAAGGAGCACCATAACATAAACGAGGTCTTCTTCCTCTGTCAAAAAGCGGTTACGCATCCGATTGCCCCGCTCTACGACTCGAAGGAAGCGAACCTGAAGCCAGCTGCGGTAGCAGCTTTGCGGCGGATATTCTATCTGTGTGACAGGGATCAGGATGGCTACCTCAACGACGCAGAAATGCACGCTTTCCAGTTGAAGTGCTTCGAAAAGCCGTTGTCTGAAGATGACCTGTCCAACATCAAGCGCTCAATACAAAAAATGTCCCCGCAATCTGCAAATGAGAAGGGTATTGACGAGAAAGGATTCTTGCTGCTGCACAAAATCTTCGCTGAGAAAGGGCGCCATGAGACAATATGGATTATTTTGCGGAAATACCACTACACTGACAGTCTCAGTCTCAAAGACACATTCCTTCACCCCAAGTTCGATGTGCCCCAGTATTCCTCTGCGGAGCTCAGCCCCGCGGGCTACCGTTTCTTCGTCGACCTTTTCCTCCTTCACGACAAAGACAATGACGGTGGCCTGAACGATGCTGAACTGGCAACCTTATTCCTACCCACGCCTGGTCTACCTCCATCCTGGGTAGACTCGGCGTTCCCGTCGTGTACAGTACGCAACGAAGCCGGACACATTACACTTCAAGGTTGGCTTGCACAGTGGAGCATGACAACTTTTGAGGAACCGAAGACGACTCTCGAGTATCTCGCTTACCTTGGTTTCGAGAGCTCGGATCGTGGTGGTACTACCGCCGCACTCAAAGTGTCGAAGGCACGCAAGAGGCGCAACCGCCCCGGTAGAGTCGAGCGGAACGTGGTACTTTGCTACGTACTCGGTGCAAGCGGTAGTGGCAAGAGCTCGCTGCTCAATGCGTTCCTCAACCGCCCCTTCAGTCCGATGCACCACCCTACAATCAAGCCACACTCGGCGGTGAACAGTGTGGAACTTCAAGGAGGAAAGCAATGCTACTTGATCCTGGAGGAGCTCGGGGAACTTGAGCCAGCAATTTTGGAGAACCAAGCAAAGCTGGACGCCTGCGACCTGCTCTGCTATACGTACGACTCGAGCGACCCGGAGAGCTTCGACTATATCGTGCAGCTCCGAAAAAGATATCCGCACCTCGACGCGCTGCCGGCCGTCTACACCGCACTGAAGGCCGACCAGGACAAGGCCATGCAGCGGACCGAGATGCAACCGGACGAGTACACGAGCGCTTTGAACATGGCAGCACCGCTCCACGTATCCGTGACGTGGAACACCATCTCCGAATTCTTCGTACATGTGAGTATTATGCCCTGTTGGTGCCAAGTTTAGAGTGAAACAGATCACTGAAACACCAGAACGCCAGCTTGCCGAATGCGCTACGCATCCCTCTACCGCATTTCCCAAGTCGGACGAGGAGCCGGTCGACAACACCAGTCTGTACCTGGCCCTGGGCGCAACGGTCTGCGCGACGGCCGCATTCGTGTTCATTTGGAGGAAAAACTCCACGGTTGCGTGAAGTAAAACAGAGATGATGCACGGGACGGCGTTGGAGTGGGCCTTTTTGCTGGCCGTGAGGCTCCGAGGACGAGGAGCTCGGACGGCGCATGACGACTTGCCTCCCCCTGTCATTTTGCGGCTTACAGAACTCTCCTCTTTTATGAAGCTGAGCTGCAGGCTATAAATAAAGTCTTTCTTGAAAGCGTTAGATGGACCTGGCGGTACACAAGTAATTTCAGTAGCTCAGCCGTGGATGGCATACGCGAGAGCCCTTCCAATGACGTGCCGCGCCCAGCAACGAGGCGGCTGCACGCGGAAGTATGCGGCTATTCCAGAAGGCGGAAGGGGGCTTGACGCCAGCCCGTTGGGAGGCGGAGACGGGGCACGCATCGTCACCGCGTGGTCGTTTTGGAGTGATGTTTGGCTCGGCTCGAGCAGGGCGCCTGACAGCGTGCCAGGGAGCTGTGGTGATAAGGTTGGCGTGCGGCGGATCGGTCCCGCGACGAACCAAGCGCGAGCTGCGCCTCCAGGCGCGTGGGCCGCTGGCCGTTTTTGCAGCAGCGATCAGGCTGCAAATTGCAGGCGGCAGCCGCTCTCCTCAGCTCAGGGTTCTGCGGGGAGGGTGTGCTGTGGGGGCGCTGATCCAATCCGGTTCTTTGCGAGTTAAGCGCTAGCGGCTGTCTCGCAGCCACGGTGGACGTGGGATAGCGAGGCGCCTGGAGGGGGCTTGTCGTGTGAGGCCGTTCTCTGTCTCCGTGCTGTCGGGCATGAGAGAATAAGCGATGGTAGTCACTAGCGACGCGCCAGCGGCATGGACGGACATCGGGGCCTGAGCTGTCACCCCCGATCTAAAGTCTCGCAGCAGGAACTTGTTGTAAGCAACTTCGCAGCAGCCCGAGCAAGTCGCCCTCCAAGCTGCTCCTCGCCGCGCCAGATCATGCTCATCAGCCTGAGCTCCTGCCGCTCTCTCGATCGATGAACACCGCCCGCGCACCCCACCGCCGCCCCCTGTGAACCCGTCGCCGCCGAGGCCTCGTTGCGACGAGGATCTGCATTCCTCGAGTAGCTATGCAGGTTGGTCCTCCCGCTGCCCGTTGCCCGCGCTCCCAATGCAGGACCCAGATTACACAGCAGCAGCAGCACGCCTCCGCCCCGACTGCGAGCGCGCTGGGCCGCCACATCCTCCTCTCGCCGCTCCCTGTCCTCGCGACCTTATGCTAACCACCCAGTACCTCGACCCCCAGACCCCCGAATCACCGCCCTCGTCGAGAGCGGCCGAGCTGGAGCGCTTGTACCAGGCTCGCCGAGGCCATGCTCCGCAAATCTCCATCAGCGACGAAAGCCACCACATCACCGAAGCAATTGGAGACATGTACGGCGAGAATGAATACAGCCGGAACGAGTCACGGCCCTTGAGCTTCATCAGTTCGCCCACCAGCGAGACTTTTGACATCAGTCCCTCCTTTCCCTCCTCGCCCAACCCGCTCGAGCGCTCCTCCTCCAACGAGTACAAGCACCACGCAAATGGCCAGGCCACCTCGCCGAAGATGCTGTCGCCCCGCAGCGACTCCTTCGACCGCTCTTCCGTCTCCCCGCCGCGCTTGAACCGCCAGAGCTCCGACACTGCGAGTCAGGCCTTTGAGTTCCAAGACATCGACTCCCAATCCAGCCCGGCCGCCCTGGCCCAGGAGCTGAGCAACCTACAAGCAATACGGCGCATGTCCATGGACGTCCATGGTTCCGACCCCGACCTGCCGTCGTTCGGCGACAGGCCGCCCATGCCCTCTGCCGCGCCCACGCACGAAGCCGACGAAGACGACCCATCGCGCATGTTCTGGGTCCCTGCCCGAGTGCACCCGGAGTTGGCGCCGAAGGAGTTCAAAACATTCATCGAAGAGAAAGTCCAGAGACACCGGCGGAGGTCAGGGGATTCTGAAGCCTTTCTTTCGGCGGATGGACTGAGCCCGGAAGGCTCGGGCGGAGGACTGCGGAGGAAGAAGTCGATGCTGTCTAAGCAGGTCGACGGACCCCATGGCTACAAAGACGGTGCTGAGCGCTTGGAAAGAAAGAGATCGCAGACTGGCGACCACACTCACATGCCTACTCTGCACCAGCTCGAAAGCGTGGAGGAGGATGATGATCCGGCACAATTGATACGGCGCATGAGTCTACGCGACTCCATAGACTCTGGGGTTGCTGGTGTCGAGAGCGCTGGAGAAGACGACGTGCCCATACTTCCTGTCAAGCCCGCTGGCATTCTGAAACGCTCCACGCGGACCAATTACAGACGTGGCAGTATACGCAAAGGGGAAAGGGTTCCTTTCAACCGTAGGATGGGAAATAAACAGGGCGACACTGACACTGACGAATCTCCCGCCTCGCCGCCTCAGGAACCAGAAGTGAAAAGGGGAATTCAAAGAGTCCAGACTGAGCCCATGCCCACGAAAGCTGATCAGCCAGAGAACTTCTCGCGCCCAACCCGGCCACGCCCGCCCCAAGGTCCCAACCCCAATGCACCACAAGCTGAACCTACACGGCCCCGATCCGCGGAAGAAGCGCCCTCTAGCCCGCCCGAGCACCAAGGCCCGCAATCACCCCCGCAACAGGGACAACGAAAAACTTACCACTCCCGCATTGCATCAAACGGCCGTACGACTGCACTCCTTCCCGGTTATAATGTTCCTATCGACTCACCTGTCATCTCTTCCACAGCTTCCCCGGTTCCTCAGATTGTTGAAACTCCTCCTGCGTCCTCCGACACTCCGCCTCCGATACCAGCCCAACACCCGGAACGCAAATCCTCCAAAGTTACAGTTGACCATACGGCTTCACAGAACCATGCTCCCGTCAAAGTTCCCCCGCAACCGGTCAGAGGCCTTCCTCCAGGACGACAGAGTCTGCGCGAGAAAGCAGAGAAAGCTCAAGCCAACAAAATTCCAAGTCAGTCTCTTGATGAAATGGCATCACACCCCACCGCTATCCCTGGTCACACTAGCGCGACAAGATCCGACTCACTTGCAATTATTCCAACCTACGCAGATGACAAGAAATCGGACAAGGGCGACAAGAAGTCCCAGAAAGTCGACGATGACGATGACGACATGGAGTCTGGCGGAAGGAAAACGAGCTGGGGCTGGTTCTCGCGTAAGAATAAGGAAAAGGAAGAAGAGGAAGAGCACAAAAAGAAGGACAAGGAGGAGAAGGAACACAAGAAGACCAAGTCAAAGCTCACCAAATCCGCTGACAAGTCACACGACAAACACGACAAGCACGATAACACGCGTTTGGACGTATTGCAGTCTTCGATCGATGAAGGACGCGGACGAGAAAGCCTTGTCCTCGACCGCAGCAGCGTCAAGCTTGACGAGGAGCGCCAGAAGACGAGCAGCCGGAAAACTTCGAGCGAAAAGAAGGAGAAGGAAGGCCTCTTCTCCTCCATCTTTGGAGGAAAGGCGAAGAAGGGCGAAAAGGAGCCTCACGGAAGCAAGAAGACAATGGCAGCCCGTGGCCTATCTCCCGACCCCCCGCCGCGCATCCTTCGTCCCGACATTGACTACAACTGGACCCGGTTTTCCATCCTCGAGGAGCGTGCCATTTACCGCATGGCCCATATCAAGCTCGCCAACCCCCGCCGAGAGCTCTATTCGCAGGTACTTCTCAGCAACTTCATGTACTCATATCTCGCCAAGGTTCAGCAGATGCATCCGCACATTCAAATCGGCCAGTCGGCAGCTCAGAAGCAGCAACAACGGTTAGCCCAGGAGCAAAAGAAGCGGGAAGAAGAACAGCGCCGTCAGCAGCAGCAGCAACAGCCGGAAGAGTTCAAGCAATATCAGATGTATCAAGATGTGAGTGATCCCGTGAAGATTAAGCGAGGATTGGTTATTGACCTGATGAATAGCAACAAGCACGAGCGGAGGCCAATGAAGGGACGTCTGAAGGTACGACTTATCATCAATATGGAGACACTCAATACGCCAACGACTCCTCACACGCATCACAACACACACAGTATAATAGAACGAACGGCAACGGATACAGTGTTTCGAGCGGGTCCAGTTACCTTGGCCAACCTGGAGGACAGGTCCAGCAGCCGTACTACGAACAGCAGTACGACGATGACGATGGGCGAAATGATATGTGGTAGGGGAAGCATGAGCATTGACCGTTTAACCGCAGCAGAGGTTACGGGATGGCGTTCTGGGGGAATGGATCATCACAGCGAGAATTTGTGTTTTGTTGATGGTCATTTGTGCAATGCATAGCGACTGGGATCATTCACCCACCGCCGATGGGATGATGAAGAGGAGCCGTGGGATCATTGTTTCTTGTTGCTACTGCATTCGTCTTTTTCCAGTTGCTATCTCTCGCTCGCTGCTCTCCCTCCCGTCGTTCCTCTCCTGCTTTTTTCCGCCGATCGCATTCGACCCTCTGCCGTTTCGTCCGCTCCTACCTTTTTCCGATTCGAGATTGTCGCCATCGTTTCCGTCGAGAGGGTCTTTGTACTGTCGTGAAGTGGGGTCGAGTATCTTGGTCTTTTGCATCCCAAACGTACTCTGGTTGGTGAAGCCTTTTTCCTGAATCTGTACGATAGCCTGTTGTTTCCTGTTGTCATTTTCCTGCTCTTTCTTGCGTTTTCACCGTGGTGCTAAAAACAAAATCGGATCAGGGGAAGTCAAAGTCCGCCGAAGCTGTGAAATAAGTTTGCCCTTTTTCTCTTCTTCCACTCTTTTGGCTCCTCATTTAGTCAGTTCTTTTTTTCCCTCATGTTTTATTTCCTCTTGCACATCTCCCCAATGGTTCTTTTCCGACAAAGCGGGCGAAGGGATTATTTTTGTTTGAAGGCATGATGATGGAAATGGTTTTTCAGGATCATGGGAAACATTAGCGCGGGTGTTTGATAGAGTGTGTCAGAGAGATTGGAGCATAGGTCGTGCGTTGAGTGCCCTTACTACTATACGTTTCTCTCCGATTTGATCTGACTTGTTCTGGTGGTTGGGGAAAATGCCTTTAAGATGAAGCAAATGGTAATGTGTTTAGACAATTTTTTTTCTTCTTCCCTAGGTACGAGGCCGTGTCTGGGGACCGAGCCCATGTTCTTTGTGGCTTGGAAAATTCATTGTGGGGCGAGGTTGACATGTTTGAGAAGGGTTGGTGATGATGCGGAGTTGAAGTCTCCATCACAAGTGCGGAAACGCTACAATGAGCTCTGCTTCTACTGCATTCAAAGGGGTCCAGTTCTTTTTTCTTTCAATGAAAAAGAACAGTTATGGGTAGTTGAAGCTATCATCTGGATGTAAATGGAATGAATAATTATACATTCACGTCCGGACGATAGCTGCAGCTACCCATGATCTGAGTGAAAAATAAATTCACGCTAGCCGTCGGCTGCAATACTCCCCTGTGTTGAGAGTGAACATTGCGATTGGATTGGAAGAAAGTGTGGTGAGAAACCAGTCAGCATCGTTGCACTGGCTGCAGAGGCCTGAACGCACCATCACCATGACCTCAACCTACAACACCTGGCTCCAATAACAAATGCGACACACAAAAATTACTTTTGCTCTCTTTCGTAGAGATGCAGTTGACGATGGCAGTGTTGCTCTCTCGGCGAAACCAACACGTGCGACTTGCATATCTTATCTCACGTCATCCCAACTTCATTTTCCCTGTGTGTACAAGGACCTCTCTCTTTTCCCCGCCCGCGTGTGTAACGGTACAGGGAAGCGGGACGGACGCTACCTAAATTCCGCCCTGCTTATTTCCTCCCACCCCCTTCCATCTCTCCGACAGTCTGCTCTCCCCCCTCCGATTCGGCCCTGCAGGATTGTGCTAAGAAGAGCTGGATAAGACCAACAAAAAAAAATAAAAGTAATTCAACCACCCAATCGAACAAAATCAGAAAATCTGCTACGCGCGCCCCACCACCACCCACCAACACCAACCGACTACTGAACCAACCACCATGTCGGTCGTCGACCCCGCACTCGCGAACCCCATCCGCCCCGCCTTCGCCATCCCGGGCGAGGCCATCAAGGCTGGCGGAACGCCCGAGCCCGGGGCCGTCGTGCCACAGGAGCCGGCGGGATCGCGCGCCGTCATCGCGGCGCTCAAGATGATCAAGCATCCGGAGGTATGTACGTTGTTGTGCGTTTTTTGCCTCAGGTTTTTTTTTTCTTCTCTCTTTCGAGGAGGTTTGGGTGTCTTTTTCTTTCGTGCGGCTGTGGGCTTGGGGATGGGTAGCAATGCGAGAAGAAGGGGGGGGAAAAAAAAAGGAAAAAGAGCAAAGGCCGGATAACCTCCTCTGCTCGACTTTCTGTATCCCCATCTCTATAATCTATCACGCCCAACAAACCCACCAAAAAATGGAGACTTACTCTCCTGTTTTCCAGGGCGGCTACTTCGTCGAGACAGACCGCGACCAGCGGCGCGTGGCCAACCCTTTCCACGCGTCCTACGACAGCGGCATGACGGCCGTGTCGACGAAGCAATGCTTCGCCGAGACGACGGCAGAGGAAACCGACGGCAAGGGCGGCAACGAGAAACTCTGGACCGACCTCACGCGCAGCGCCAGCACCAGCATCTACTACCTCCTGACGCAGGGCCGCAGCTTCGGGCGGTTCCATCGGAATAAGGGGAGGTGAGTACTACTCCTTCTCTCCTTACCTCTCTTTTATTTTTATTTTTTGTTGCTTTGAGGGACGGGTGTGGTTGGGTGAGTGCTGATGGGAATAGGACGGTCCACACGCTGCACAAGGGCCGCGCGCGCTACGTCATTATCCATGCTGATGAGGTGGTCAATGGCGTTCGCCCTGCGGGTCAGGCCCGCATCGAGACGTACGTCGTTGGCCAGGACGTGGCGGCTGGCGAGCGCCTGCAGTGGGTCGTTGAGGGGGGCAAGTACAAGGCTAGCTTCTTGCTGCCGGATGAGGACGGCGCTGGTGCTGCTTCTGCGAGCAAGGACGGGTGTTTGATTAGTGAGGTGAGTTTTTTCCGTTGTGTTGGCTGGTGGGCGATGTTGATATCTGTGACAGACTGTTATCCCCGGCTTTGAGTTTGCGGACCATGACTTCTTGAAGCCGGAGGGCTTGGTGGAGCTCGTGGGCGAGGAGCGCGCGGCTGAGCTCGCGTGGTTGCTGACCAAGAGCTCGGAGTGAATGGGGACGGGTTGTACGGGCATGCAGGTAATGAGCTGATGAGCAGGGTGTTTTAACTCAAACAGATGGGTTCATCGAGGCAACTACAATCGAAACAATTTCATCCCGGGGTGTTGAGAGAGCTAATAGCCAACAGCCTGTCTGCACGACGCTCCATTTATTGTTTTGAACATTGCATTTGGAGAAGCAGACTAACGTGGCGCACCGTTATACCACATAAATTTCCGCATGAGGATGCAAGGTGACCCAATGTGCATGGAGGTTAATCCCCGATGCCAACGCTGAGTCAAGGTAACAAGCAAGTCAGTGGAAACACACACTAATTTGATGCTATTTTTAGTCTCTTTCCTCTTCTGATTCAGTATTTCTTCAGGAGACATGATTTCTAGGTTGTGTGGCTTCCCGAGCGCAATTTTGAGAAGCAATAAAACAGCGGTAAAGGCAAGCATGGTTGTGCAACTGACCATGGTCATTCTAGATTTTTCGCTCAACGGTTGTGGAACACATGGCACATTGTTTCAACGTGCGGACCTGAGTCAAGCTATTTACTATGGTGGACCAAATTTCGAGGAACAAAGTTTGCCGAGAAAAGAAGGATGGTCGATTTGGCTCGGCTCAACCGGGACGCCTCATCTGGAGAGAACGGGGAGACAAGCAACAAAAGCGAGAGTTTCCGGCTTGGCGTGCAGCGGGGGCGGCGTCAAGATCGACGGAGTTGCAGCAACCATCGGTGAGCACGATAACTATCTCCTCCGCCCCGATGCTCCCTCCTCACCTCCCAGGCCGCCCTTACTGGGTTTAGTGTATTCCTAATTGAGAATGTCTGGGAATTCCTAGCCAATAGATAAGTTCCGATAATTGCTAGGAGCAGTGGGCTGGGAGGTGAGGAGGGAGCACAGGGGCGGAGGAGATAGCAGACGGCGGGGTTTTAAACACGGACGGAGCGGTGCGAGCGAAATAGGCAGGCCCTAGCAGTCATGGGGTCACGGCTGCTGATGGAACTGGACCATATACAGATAAGCTTTCGGACGGGGCGTGTGGCGTGGGCGGCAGTGGCTCCATGCGGTGTTCGGGCGTCTGGGGTGGCATGCGGCAACGCTAAGGGAGGGGGATCCATGGGGGTAGCAGGACCCACGCGAAATTAACACGCCCCTCTCTCGACGTTGTCCTCCAATTGAGTGGTTTTCCCAGGATCTAAGAGGCCCCAAAGCAAGCTCAAGGCGGAAACGGGCGGAGATGAAGACCGGCAAGCGGGCCAATGTGCGGAGAAGCATGCATGGCTGCACGAATCCTCTGGTGGGGAGGCAAGCTTCCATGGGAACGCGTTACCGGCTGCAAGGTATAATACAGTATGAGCCGCCTGCGCATCGGGGCCCCATGGCCATGTCACGTCGTCCGTGCTCCACCATGCGGGCGACATTTAAACTGACCGTCCTTCCCGGTGGCTTGATCATGGGCTGGTGCTGCTCTCAGCTTGCCTTTTTCTCCTCTTACACCGCTCGCTCTGTAGGCCCGTAGACTCGTCGCTCGTAGAAGCGCCGTCCTCTCGTTCGTTTGTCCCAACCATGGGTCTCAAGTCTGTCGTCGCTCTTTCGCTAGCCTGCCTCAGCGCCGTCCCGGTGTGCGCCCAGTCGGATGTTCTGCAGTACGTCGATCAGTTGATTGGAAGTAGCAATGGAGGTTAGTTTTCGAAGACACCAAAAATCAGAACGTCCCATTGACGATGCTCAGGAAATGTGTTCCCCGGTGCCACGCGGCCGTACGGAATGGTAGGTAGTCATTGGAGCCCCGTCTATGTAGCAAACGGGTGCTGAGTAACGTCCAAAGGCCAAAGCAGTCGCCGACACGGATTCGGGCAGCAACCAGGGCGGCTTCACCACCGACGGCGCCAACATCACCGGCTTCAGCCAGATGCATGACAGCGGGACCGGGGGCAGTCCATCTTTAGGCCTGTTCGCCCTTTTCCCCTACACCAACTGCCGGGGCGACGAGATCGACAACTGCGTCTTCCCCAAGAAGGCCAGACGGACGCCGTACCAGAACGGCTCCCTCCAGGCCAGCCCGGGCTATTTCTCCTTGACCCTGAACAGCGGCGTCCAAGTCGAAATGACTTCCGCCGCGCACACGAACCTGTTCCGCTTTTCCTTCCCCTCGACCGGCACCGACGGCAACGCTCCGAGCCCGCTGATCCTCCTGGACCTGACGGATCTGTCTGATTCCCGCCAGGACAACGCGACCATCGCCGTCGACGCCGCCACGGGCCGGATGACGGGCAACGCGCGGTTCCTCCCCAGCTTCGGGCAGGGCAACTACGTGGCGTACTTCTGCGCCGACTTCCAGGGCGCCGCCGTCCGCGACAACGGCATCTTCGCCAACAGCCGGGCGAGTGCGGACGTCAAGAACCTGACCATCTCGCGCTCCATCAACGGCTACCCGCTGCCGGGAGGCGGCTTCGTGCGCTTCGCGAATCCGGGGGGCAACGCGGTGGTGGCGCGCGTGGGCGTCAGCCTGATCAGCGAGCAGCAGGCGTGCAGCAATGCGGAGTCGGAGATTCCGGATTATGATTTCGAGGGCACGCGCAGCGCGGCCGTCGACGAGTGGCGGCAGAAGCTCAGTCCCGTGCGCGTGTCGACGGAGAATGTTGACCGCGATTTCCTGGTTAATTTTTACAGCGGCATTTATCGGACTATGGTCAACCCGCAGGACTACACGGGCGAAAACCCGCTGTGGAAGAGCGACGAGCCGTATTTCGATTCGTTTTATTGTATTTGGGATTTGTTTCGTTCGCAGCTGCCGTTCTTGACTATCGTCGATCCGGACCAGGTCGCACGCATGGTCCGCTCGCTGATCGATACGTATAGGCACGTCGGCTGGCTGCCTGATTGCCGGTGAGTATACAGCAGGGCTGGGTCATGATTCCGGATCTTGGAGCTAACATGGTGCAGAATGAGTCTGAACAAGGGCTACACGCAGGGCGGGTCGAACGCGGACGTCGTCCTCGCCGACACGTACCTCAAGGGGCTGCGCGACGGCATCAACTGGGAAGACGGGTACGCGGCCGTCGTCAAAGACGCAGAAGTCGAGCCGTACGACTGGTGCTGCCAGGGGCGCGGCGGGCTGGACAGCTGGAAGGCGCTGGGCTACATCCCCGTCGAAGACTTCGACTACAAGGGCTTCGGCACCATGACGCGCAGCATCTCCCGACACCTCGAATACTGCTACAACGACTTCACCATCGCCGAGCTGGCCAACCGCCTCGGCGGCGACCGCGCCGCCGACGTCGCGAAATACCAGGACCGCAGCGCCAACTGGAAGAACCTCTTCCGCGCCGACCAGACGTCATTCCTCAACGGCACCGACACGGGTTTCGTCGGCTTCTTCCAGCCGCGCTACCTGAACGGCACGTGGGGCTTCCAGGACCCGCTGCGCTGCAGCAACATCGACCCCTTCACCGACAGCGTGTGCAGCCTGCAGAACACGGCCGTCGAGACGTTCGAGTCGTCCGTGTGGGAATACGGCTTCTACGTCCCGCACGACATGGCGGCGCTCATCACCGCCTTCGGCGGGCCCCGCGAATTCGTCCGGCGCCTGGAGTACCTGCACGACCGCAACATCACCTACATCGGCAACGAGCCATCGTTCCTGACGGTGTTCCAGTACCACTACGCGGGCCGCCCGGCGCTGTCGGCGCGCCGCAGCCACTACTACATCCCGGGCTTCTTCAAGACGACCAACGACGGCCTGCCGGGCAATGACGACAGCGGCACGATGGGCGCGTACGTCGCGTTCAGCATGATGGGCCTGTTTCCGTGCCCGGGCCAGGACGTGTACTTCATCACGCCGCCCTTCTTCGAGAGCGTCAACGTCACGCACCCGCTGACCGGCCGCACCGCCACCGTCAGGAACGTCGGCTTCGATCCGAGCTACCAGGCCATTTATATCCAGAGCGCGACGCTGGATGGCGTGCCGTACACGAAGAATTGGATCGATCATAGCTTTTTTACTGAGGGGAAGGAGCTCGTGCTCACGCTGGGCAGGAACGAGAGTGCGTGGGGGACGAGGGTTGAGGATCTGCCGCCGAGTTTGAGCGAGTATCGTGGGTTTAATGAGTCGTCGTCGGCGAAGGGGAGGAGGTGGGCGCCGCCGCCGGCGCCGGTGGTCAAGCCGAGGCAGTTGATGGTGCCGGGCGTTTGGCCGCCGGATGGGAAATTGGGGGGGATGTAGAGACTGGTTTTTGTGTCATTACATTGATCAGCAGTGAGAAAACACCATGCTGATTGTACTTGGGATGAAAGTAAATGAATACTATGTTTTTGCTGTACTGCGTGGCCTACTTTGTTGTGTGATGGCTACAATCTCGGAACCTAATACCAAATGATGGTTTCGTCGGTTGGTGGTTCTATTGGGAAAGGTCGGGCTGACGAGAGAACAAGTGCAGAAAAAACCGCAACGGGGGAAGAGCAAAATCTGTGTAGGGCTGACTGTTCGATGCAGTTTCGAACCGTTCGACAGTGCTGCTCCGGCTGATGGCAGTAAGCACTTTTGCTCCATGCGGCCGCACTTGTTTCTGACTCTTCCTCATCCTACCCAGTGTTTCCCTCTATGGACGTATCATGTCCTCCTAGACAACGAGTGTGGCTCTGTTCGTGTTGGTGCGTCTATTTCGGCGTTGATTGGCAGAGAAGTGTCATGGATGTGGGATTGCGATTGAGCGCGGTTGCCGCAGGCTTCGTGTACATCTTCCATCGAGGTTCGCGAATATGCTTTCTTCGTTTCGTTTCTGGAGGTGTGCTGTTTTCTGATTCGATGCGAAGACCGGTGTGTATTGGCGATGACTGGATGATGGAACAATGACTGGTTGACGGCCAGAGTGGGCGGAACGCCGAAACAACTTTTGTGGAAAATGAACTTGGGCGAATTCTGAATAGAGTCAATCGAGTAGGAGAACAAGTCTGGTAAAAGATCTTTGTGACTCACATATCAAGAAGTACCTGACTAGACTTCGGCTAGCTGAGCCGACTTTCTGCCCAGTGTCGAAGAACAATGCGAAATGGGCGAGTTTGCGATTTGTCAAGAGCGACACCGGCCTGGACATACGAACTACGCTGGCCAGAGTCGAGTGCCCCTTAAGTAGTCGGGACAGCGTCGAGGTCTTGTCGACATCAGCACAGCGCGAGTGTAATCCGGATGCCCGACTATTGGTGGCGTGGGTGTTACGACTACAGACGCCCCTCCACGGGGCGCGCGCGTGGCCCATGGGGCACTTGTCAAGTCTTACATGTCACCGGTAGGGCGGAGGATGGCTGGCGCCATTGGACTAAACCAAAGACAGAACTGTCCGAACTGTCCGATTTGACCGAGTAAAAAACGTCAGCGCATGGCAGGAAGCCATTCGTCAAGGAAAAGCCGGCGCCAGATAGCGGTGTGGCATTGAAAATTGAATTCTGTCACGGCTGAGCACTTTGTACCGTGTATGTTAAGTATAGACGGATTTAGAATTGCGGAATCCACTACGCAAGCGAGTTTCCCCTAACGTTAAGCGGAAGCGGGATCTACGGAGGTGCCGGCCTTGGCAGAAGTCCCGAACCATGTCATGTCCGCCGGGCGAAGTTGCCTGATAAATACCCCGCAGGAAGCACCTCTGCTCGAAGAGTTTGTCACACCACTTTACTTTTGCCCTGGCAGCTGCCCTGAATGTCTATCATTCCCAGACTCCTCCAAACCTCCAACAAAATGTTGGATATTTCGATCAACCTCAAGAGCGCAGGCAGTGGCTTGAGTCACGAACTGTATACCACCAATGACGAAATAGTCGGAGAAGTTGTCATCATTGCTACCGACGACATCCACGTAGACGACCTGGACATATCTTTCATCGGTAAGTGACAAAAACATATCTGACACCCTTCAACACAGAACACTGACAACTCGACCGCCAGGAAACACCCAAACCCGCTTCGACAACTTCGGCGCCGCCCCAGTAGCGCCACACATATCGTACACGGACAAACGCTTCCTCCACCTCCAACAGCCCTTCGAAAAGCCCCCGAGCGGCATGATCCTCAAAGCCGCCCACCCCCACTCCTTCCCTTTCAACTTCATCGTCCCGGACCGCCTCCTCCCCAGCTCCTGCCCCTGCCTCCACTCCGACGAACACCTCCTCCCTCCCCCCACCATGGGCGGCGCCCACCGCTGGCACCACGGCCAAACCACCCTCGACGACCCCACGCCCGTCATGGCCCAGGTCGCCTACACCATCACCGCCAAAGTCCTCTACAACAAGCCCGGCGGCACTCACGGCCGTCGCTCCGTCCAGCTCGCAGACTTCTCCCGCCCCGTCTGCGTCGTCCCCGACTTCCCTGAATCACCCCCGATCTTCCTACAGCAACCCAGCAGCCGCGACGCGCCACCATCCGAATACCGCCTCCGCCAAGAAAAAACCATCTCCAACGGCCTCTTCTCCCGCGGCCGCGCCGGCTGCCTCGTCGTCGAAGCGCAGCAGCCATCCGCGCTGAAGGGCGGCCTGCGCAAGAAAGGATCACCCGCCTCGACGACGCTGTTGCTCAGGTTCGATCCTGCGTCCGATGATGATAGCTGCGGGCCCCCTCCACAGCTCGAAGACGTCAAGCGCAAGATCCAGGCGACGACGGTCTTCCGCGCGGGGCAGATGGAGGCAGATCCGGCGTACGGAGGGTTGGTGAGCGCGGCCGGACCCCACCAGCAGCAAGGGCAGCAGCGGTCGTACACGGAAGCCGTCGCGCTGCCGTCGCTGTGCGTGTCGGGGGCGCGGTGGGTGCGGTGCGGAGCGAGTTGGGCGCATGAGCGGTTGTTTGAAGAAGGCGGGGGTGATGGGATCAGGGGGTTGGAGACGATGGTGGCGCCGTCGAGCGCGTACAGGGGTGGCCCGTATTATTTGCTCAAGTTGGTGATCCCCGTCGAGTATCCGCCCGACAAGGCGCTTGTGCCGAGTTTTCGGTCGTGTTTGGTGGATAGGATGTATAGGCTGGATGTCACGGTTACGCTGGGGTCGTTTTCGTCGGTTGCGGTGAGGGTGCCGATTCAGCTTTGTACATAGGTACGTACATAGAGTGGAAGGAAGGGCTGGTGGGAGTGACGGTCGGAGCATTAGGTAATTTTTGGATTGTAATAAGCTATTGCTGGGTGCTCCGGAGAGTAGGGATCGAGAAGTGAGGGAGCATCGAGAGTAACAAAGTAATGAGTAATAAAAGTATAATATGAGAGACTATCTCACTCTCTCAACTTTGCTTGAGCTTCGGCCGACAAAGAACACAGTCATAATCCGGATTCTCATCCCGCCATTTCGTCAAGCATTCTTGATGGTAGAAGTACCCGCAGCTCGGACAAGGAGCAATCTCTTTCTTTAGCTGACCCTCCATGTCTTTTTGTGGTCCTAGTTCAAAGCACACCATGCAACACGGGTCATCATTTGAATCTACAGAGGGGTCGGACATGGCTGTGACCATAGGCGGGATACAGTTCGCCACGAGCCGTTTCAAAATCATCTCTTCCAGAAGGGTATTGGTGGAATGCTGTTGTTGATCCAGGTACGCGATAAACTCTTCTTCATGGCCTTGTAATGCACGAAGGTCTTTAATGTTGCGTATTTGGCAGTCCAAATTGTGTCGCAAGTAACCTACAGTTCTTTGTTGCCGCTGTTCAACGTGCGAGAGATTGCGTTCTTTACGCTCTTGAGCTCGTTGACTTAGCTTTGATAGCCCAGCATCCTCACGGTATGTCAGAACATCAAAGAGAGCATCTTGTTCGCTTCGAATATCGTCGACGAAGCCGTAAAGTAGATTGTCTCTTTCTTCCCGCAGGTCCATGGCTTCCTGACATAGCTTTGTCATTTCTTCGAAGTGTTCTTTCCACTCGGCAAAGTATTCTGAGCGATAACCCAATTGCCTACGCCATGTACTGCCCGCGATAAATGGATTGCGGAGCCGTTCACCAGTCTCGGAATCGGTGTAGTACTCGTCATCTTGGCAACCCTGGGTGAATATTTCTTCTACCTCCTGCGCATTGTTCTGGGGAACTTCATCGTCAGCTCGTTCCTTTGCCTCCTGCGCATTGTCATCGACAATTTGTTCCTTTGCTTCTTGCGCATTATCATCGACAACTTCATCCTCAGCTTGTTCCTTGGCTTTTTCTTGGGTCATAGTCGCGGCGGCCGCTGGAAGTGAGTGGAAGGGTAGTGTTAACAGTGTAAGGAGACACAGTGCTGGATCGCTGAAGTTGTTGGGCAGGTCTGTCCTAGAAATAAGCTCAAGAAGCAATTTCAAGCTTCATTGATGAAATTGTCACAAGAACTGGACCCACTTGATACATGGTTGGGTCCACCTCGAAGTGTTTGTTCAGCAGAGCACCGTTACATAAAGAGAGGTAAATACCAACTGTCGCTGGCAAAACCTAAGTCTTAGACCGTGCGGGTCAACATTCTCTTTTATAAAATTAACTTTTTACTATAGTAGATATCTGTAGACTTAGCCATCACTACAGCAATGAGAAATAACTTGGATTTTAATTTCGTTGAAATTATACTGTAGCTAAAAGATGGTGGATTTTGGTGGGGAGTTGGATTTGACCGGCGGTAGTTGGGTTTCGCCGGCGATGACTGTAAGGAATTGGTCCAACCCACCACACCACGCCTTCAGTGTGGGCCCTTCCGAGGGAAAATGAGTTATTGAAATGAACGTGATGAGCGATGATTCAAGCGTAGTCAGTTAATAAACTATGTCGGGAACGCATATTCATATTGACACCTACATGACAGCGGTGTATGGTTCACGAATCCAGAAGATGTCATCACATGAAGATTTATTTTCTTTTCAGGAAAAGAGAGCGAAATCATTCAGGAAGAGCAAATCCAAAAACAAGTGCATGGCACCCATGTTTGGATTCTTTTTCATTTTTTATTTTTTGCGAGAACAGCCACAACGAGCTATCAAGAATTTAGTCTCTCTCATCATACAGGTCATCATCCAAGAGCACATCTTCCTCATCGTGAAGGTGCTTCGCAGACTTCTTGGCAGACTGATGCTTCTTGTTCCTCCTGTAAGCGCTCTGCTTTACCCAGCAGTAGCTTCCGTCAACCTTGACCCGGACGGGGCCCTTGTCATTCTTGTTGTTCTTGTTACCGTGAGCCATTGCGATGCTGGTAGCTGCTGCGGCAGGATAGTCGGATATCGGTTCCTGCTTTCTTAAATATAAACATGTACTGAAGTTGTTCAATCAAAGTCTTTGTTTGCGTTGTTTTGTAAAGTTGTTTCGTTACTGAACAAAGTCTTGTGCAGTGTATCATTTCAGCGCGTGCCTTAGGGAAGTTTTCTTTGATGTCAAAGTAGCCAAGGTCCGCCTATCTTACATGATTAGGAGCATCCCTCCAATGATGACGTCTATGGATGACGCGAGACCACTCAATTTATATTGTACAAAGCCGTTCCGATGATTTATTCTGTAGGCAATCGAAAAGCTAAAAAGAAACCCCTGATTAACAGTGATAATACTTTGCCTGCTCTTAAAATTAGAATCTCCTTCACTAGTACGGCAAATCTCTTGTATTCCGCCCTATTGGGAGATCTCTGATTTACATCATCAGTTTAGTACCTTTCATGAAACCATCGGACCCATCCCGAAAGATCTTTGGTAACCACATTTCTACCATTTACAGCATGCATCATTAGTAGCTGCAATTCTAGTGCTTGTCGCGGTGCCTGTGACGCTCGTTTCAGTAATCAGCCCTGCAATACTTCCGATGTTTGTGGGGATACCAGTTCTGGTGGGAGTGGTGAGAGCGCCGGAACCTATGCTCCAAGTGGATGATGCAATGGGCTCCCATATTGTGAAGCCTCTATGGGGCTTCGCATCGGAAGACCCCAGCAGACGGTTCCGTTTTGTTCTTGGTAAGAGTTGCTCTTCACATGGTTCGTTTTTGTCTGTCGGGCTATGACCCCCGTCAGTTAGACGTAAATAAATGAAAAAAAAAAAAAAAGTAAGTTATGGTGTGGACTCACGCTCATTATGATCATCAAACTCCGCCCAGCCTTGTATTTTGGTTACTCACATGATGGGAAATATGAGAATCCCTCATTGAAGCATTTGATTTAGATACGTAGAATGAGTAAAATATATATTCTCCAGCTGCAACATTGTTGAAGAATGCGTGCCGAAAATAATCTGGTATCATAGAAGGTTGAGCCAGTTTCCTGTGGCTAAAATTTGACCAGTAGAGAGTGAAAGTTGTAGCAGGCTCACTCAGCGTTTCTGACGAAGTGTTCGGCGAGGCGCTTGGACTTGCTACCTTTGGCAATTCAGAAACCTATCTTTCACAGAAGAAGCCCGTTATTGCGTGTGCAGGGGTACGGGATAAGCCGGATCGCTATGCAGCTTCCAAGCGAATCACGCTCTATCGCCTGCTTGCATACTGCTGCCTTGGAGGTCAAACCGCCTGGCTGCGCTGTTTCAAGTAAGCGAACTTATTTATTCCATACATTATATGCTAGTGATGCTACACAGGCAGCCTCGTGTGACGTGTCTTCCATTCATCGACTGCGCCACAACCGATTATAATCGCCTGCATCTGCGCCTACCTCTTTCTGTGATTGCTCTTCGATTCCGCTGACTGCGCCTCTAGCTTATGGGGCCCTCGTTTATAAAGGCGCTGTCAGCGCTGTTTCTTGTCGTGGGTCGTGAACTTCCCCACACAGCTGGCCCTTTGGGGCTGTAACGAGCCATGGCCGACCCACTATCGATCGCGAGCGGTGCTGTCGGGTTTGTTACACTCGGTTTGACCGCCTGCAAGAGCATCGCCTCCTTTTACGAGACCTACAAGGACCAGGACGAGGAAACCAACAGTCTTGTTCGCAAATCCGAAGAACTTCGCGTCGTGCTCGAGTCAATCGAATGCCATCTACCACAGCTCCAGCATAGCCATCAGAAACTGGCCGAGAGCGTCGCAGCATCTATAGGGGAGCTGGTCAAGTCACTAGATTCGCTCGACCCGGCTGTTGCGAAAAGTCGCAAGGCTAAGGACTCGAAAGACTTCAAGGAAAAGCTGCGCACAGTCTTTAGTCGGGCAGCATATCCGCTTCGGCGTGAAACCATTCTTGACTTGAATCGCCGTGTTAATGACTGCAGAGAAAGCCTGTCCTTCGCTCTCACAGCTGTGGAAATGTAATTGGCTCCCCTTTCCTCTCTTTGCTAAACGAATGGAGTTGACTGGTAATCAGGGTCAGGAGTGGTTCTGCTTTCACAGAGCTCTCTACGCAGCTGAAATATCTGCAGGCATCTATGGCCAAGCTTCAGGGTTCCATGGATTTGGTTACTCCAAATTCCTCACAGCCAAATCACATTGTTTCCAGGTCAAACCCCACCATTGATCAGCTGGCATTGAAGATCTCCGATAGTACAGCAACAGCCGCTTTGGTAGTTTCGAGACAGCACTACACAACAAGGTTGTGCCTTTGCCGACCGCAACGATCGGGCCAAAAGGCTGTCTGGCAGATTGGCCCATTCGCCCTTTTCAGTCATGCTACCAGGTCAAGCAAGCATTTTCCAGACTGCCCTTATCACATTCGTTGGGAGAATACTCAGCGATACGGCGTTGAATTCATGCTGCCGACTTGGGGTGGGAAGCATTTTGTGCAAGCGTTTCTGAATTGGAGGGTGGCCGGAGGGGCCTTGCCACTAAGTCCAGGCCTTCAGGTCCGACAAGTTGTCTCCGACGAAAATCCCGCATTTCAAGCTCTTCACTCCATCAGTTCATGGTCCCCGCACATGAATCAATTCCAATTCCATGAGAAATTGATACTGCAGTCTTGTTGGTTCGGGAATCATTCCAAAAACGACAGGCGTCTCCAATGGTCATAAATAGTATAGGCCGCAATTTACTCATGGTAAGTGGGCAACATAATCTATTCTATATACTGACTCCTTACAAACAAGGCTGCATTTCTCGCCTTGTCAATTCGTTGGGAGATGTACCTCAAGTCTCCTGTCGCTATTCAATCATTCATTGACTCCTTTCGAAAACTTATTTTCGCCTTGAAGGAATATGGGGTCCCTTTTGATGAACATGCCGATAGTGGATTGTGAGTAGTATCTCCTAAAGAAGGAAAATGGCAGTTAATCGATTGATTTAGAACCCCGGGGTCTCTTCTGTTATCAACTATCATGCATAGGGCATTTGCATCTGGTGATGACCCATCCGATCACTTGTTTTGGTCAGAAATGATTAAGCTGCTTCGCGAAATCATAGTGTCATATGATCTCAAATTCGACAAGAGCACTCTCGGGATTTGCGATAGTCTGTATTCTCACAATTCTGCCGAAGAAAACAATGTCCTTCTTGTTGGGCTACTGCATGTAGAGATTTCTTGGTTAGATGGTACGTGGAGGTGATCTTCATGAAGAGTAAAGCTAATCTTCTACATAGATTTTGGCTGTTCCACCTTGGGAGAAGCGATATTGAGGCGATCAAGAATCGAAATGGGGCAGCTTATCAAGCAAGACCCCGACAAACTTTACAACAAGACGGCATTCGGCCATAGTGTCATACATCTGGCCGTTGGCTGGCCTGAAGGTCTTGAGCTACTTTTAGACCTTGGAGGGAAAGCATTGATCAACGACGTTGACGCCAAAGGTGGATCTCCCCTAGCGTATTCGTGTGTACGACACCATTTCGACTCTGCAAGAATATTAATGAGCAATGGTTGCCGCATCGATGCAGACTTGCTCTTTCTTGCAATCAGTAAACACGACCTGGGCCACTCAAAGATTCTTCACTTCATTCTCCCAGAGCTCATACGAAGACGGCAGCAACTGGTTCAGTTTGCCGCTTGCCATCTTGGAAAAAGCTTCGTCGACTCTTTGAGAATTCCTCCTAACGCTGTTCCTGACCAGTGGGCGGTGTTCAAAATCCAAGATGCTTGTCACAAGAGCAAAATTCCCGTCCCGGAAAATATGCGCCACTCAACCGACGGCCTCCCAGAGAATCAGCGTTCTGCAGTATGGAACTCGGTATTCGTCTTCTCAAGATCACACCCCTCGGAATTTGGCTTCCCAGGATCACACTGCCTATCAACTCTGGACTCCCTATGGTCAGCCGGATTTAGAGTTGGGCCAGACCGGTTGCCTTGGACATTCGGCTGGAATATTGACCCAATTAAAGACGTTCTAGACAAAATTGATTGGTTCATCAGCCGCGGTTTCGATATCCACAGTCGATTTGCTCATGATGCTGCAAGTTTTATGGCATATGGAACAATAGGACACAATAATGCCCCAGTCGGTTGGGATCTGGAAAAGTCAACGAAGAAACGCGCTGAAACTTTTGAGAAGATTTATTTTTCCAGCTACAGCATCGATCATCATTGTCCTTGTTCCGTCGAAGGATGTACCGCAGCGACAGCTTTTCTTGTGCGAGATGTGCCAGACTGTACTGTGGACGGATTACTTTGGTCTGTGTTTTCCATCGAATCAACAATCCAATTCAGCCCAGAGGAAGCCGAAAGCGGAATACCCGACACTGCTGGCTTCTCAACTTGCCACGTATCCGCGAATTATGCATGGGCGGGTAGGCCGTGCTGGTATTGTCGAGGCAGGGCACAACGCACTGTTTGGCAGAAGGAAAGGTGGATTCCATTGGCCTCAAAACTCCTGAGAGCATATTTGTTCCAGTACCTTCGTCTTACTCATTCACTGTCGTGCTGTAAGGCAGGTCTTAACAAGAAAGGAAAGCCAAATACCTGGAGATCTTTCGTCTGCGTACACGACGAAGACACCAGCAGAAAAAGACAAGAAGAAGAGAGAACCCGTGTAGTAGATTTGAACACTCTTGTTCGAGAATTGGTCGATGAGTTCAAGAGCGAGTCAATGAAACTAAGCATGTCGACGTTCATTGAAGAAGTCGCGAAACCACGAGCTGAAAAGCTGATGCAAGGATGGAATGACAATGGGCCAGAGAGTGGAGTTATCTGGGATATTGAGAGCGATGACTCTGCGGGTAATGTGTTGTCGACGATCCTCAAGGATTGCGAGACAGAGCCATCTTCTTAGGCTTAGACCATGAATGGATTGCTGCTCAATGATGAGTGTCACTGTTCGATTACTAATTATATTCTGAAAGTCACTGCATAATAATTTTTAGAAAGTATATTACATTCATCAGACTTCTATCCATCCCACAGTACTCATGCTTCTACTAATCTTCACTGACGTGTCCAGAAGGACCCTGGGTCGCATAATCCGTGGTAACAAAAGCTCTATCAACTTCTCCCAGCGCTGCAAAGCATCAGCATTCATCTCCTTATACCATCGGAACCAGAGGGTGAACATACCTTCACAGCAGTACTGCAGGGTCTCGGCAATATCATGCGCCTTCCTCAACGGAGTCTTCTCATCCAGCAGCACATCCATCTCCACCCACACGCCATCGCCTGCATGGTACGCGGTGACACGCTTCAGACCAGACACGACGGGGGAGAAACGATAAGCCAGATACAGCATCTTGCGCTGGATGCGGTCGTCGGCCGCGGAGCCAGTGAGCCTAGTCACGTTCTCGAGCGATGTCTCGGCCCAGTCGTAGATGATGAAGAGGGAGAGGAGGGCGGCGCCGAGGGGATCGAGCCACCAGAGGTCGGCTTTGGCGCCGATGACGGGGAACAGGAGGGAGAGAGTGTTGAAATAGACGTCGGTCTTGCAGTCTGCGTGATGTGTGGTCAATTCTCGGGCTGTCTCGAAACTCACATGGCAAGTAGCTTACCTTGGGCGAGAGCCTGAACTTGAGTTGTCTTGATGGGGATACAGCCAAACCAAATGAGACCTTTCAAGCCGATGGTTGCGGCCATGGCTGCAATTGCTATGATGGGGAGCTCCTCAGCCTTGCCGGTGCCGGGGATGAGCTTCCCGATGGACTCCTGCAGAACCTGTACAAATGATACGATCATGATCTAAACAGAGTCAGTTGAGAATTAATTCTCCAACGCCAAGACTTGTACTCACGATAGAGAAGACCAAGATACCCAATGGCTCCAGACGCCTTCTACCCACGGGAAACTTCGCCTTCAGCTTGCTCAACCTCCACGCCACCAGCTTGTTCGTCGTCCAAACAATTAGCGTGCACAGCAGGTCCAACGCCGAATCGACCAATGACGCAATCAGCGAAAGCGAGGACGAGAAGTACGCCGCAATGCACTTGGCTCCAAGCAGCAGGATATTCGCGATGACGTTAATCTGCAAAGCAACCACCGTCAGCACTTCATTATCACCACGTCGCACGAAAAAAACAATCCGAAACAAAAGAACGCCACTCACATTAATCGCCCACCTCGCATTCCTCCTCGCCTTCCTCCTCTTCTCCCTCTCATCCTCCGGCAACAGAGGCTCCACACTCTCACTCGTGGCCTGCAGCGCACCACCCGCCTCCGCAATGCCATCGTGATCGAAGTCCCGGGGATTCATGCTATCCAGCACATCATCCGCCATGGCCATGACCAGCGCATCGACCTCGAGCCAATCATCCAGCCTCTCATTCTGCTCCTTGTAAAAGGCCCGCACCTTCTTATTCTTAATCGCCTTCAGCTCCTCCTCGCTGAGCCGAAACTTCTCGAGCGAGCTCCGCCTCGGGTCCTGGATGCCGTCCCGTAGCGCCTTCTTGACCCGGTCGACGTCCTGCATGTCGCGCGCGGTGACGACGGCGTCGCGGAAGCGGAAGCGCGGCGGGAGAGGGTTGGGGTTGCCCGTGGTGGTGGAGCTGCGGCGGCGGCGCGCGCCCGTCGCGCGGCCGGATTCGAGGTCGTTGGATGCATGGTATTTGTACGTGTCGCGGTAGAGCGAGTCGTGGCCGTTAGAGTGGCCGATGGGGCGGTTGTGGCGGGAGGAGACCATGTTCTGGGGGTCTTGTTTGTTTGCTTGCTTGTTTGTTTTTTTCTCGGAAGAAGGGGGGTTGTGTCGTCAAGGTGGTCGGTACAAGTTGTGATAGTGGATTAGGCTATTTATGTTGAGATGGTGGGAGCAGTGGTAGAAGGTAGGCAGGTGGTAAGCTCTCCACAGGCCGCGGGGGAAGCTGCGCGTAAGTAGTAGCAGTGGAGCAGAAAGTAAGCAATAGACCGGAGGAGGATGCGAGCTCCCGTAGCTTTATTAGAGCCCGGTGGAATACGAGAGCAAGGCAAGAGGAAGCAAAATCAGGAATGCAGCAGTAACAAGACGCTTACACGTCGGCAGGCCGGTGTAGAGAGAGGGTGAGAGGGCGCGCGGCGCATATATTTACACCTGCACGCAAACGCGCAATAACGCGCGCCGACATCATTGCGCGAGGAACCCACAGGTCGAAAGAGGACAAGCTAACGGACAAGACGGCAGCGCCTTACGCGTTTCGGTAGTCAAGGGATCAGGCATTTGGCCTGAAACTTGGCAGGGCTGGACAGGTTCTGCGGAGCGGGAAGCGGATCGATGACGTATGAGGAGATGAACGGATTGCGCAAAATGGCGGGAGGGGCGCCGACACGTCCCGGCAAGCACATGCCGTGCCGGAGCCGGGAGATCTCCCACAACACCTCATCATATGTATGCAAACGCCGCGGCTTTTTCCAGCCACGGAAATCTCTCCGACCAGACCGTTCCTTGGTTTTCCGTAGGTCTAGAAACACCTTTCTGTGAGCTTCGATACCGAAATGCACATGCATACAATTGCTAAAACACCAACCCCAACTCCAATACAACTACGTCTACATTATAATGAACCAAAGCAACATCCGTCAGTTCCGAACACCGGTTCTTAGCATGCGTCTTCAGCGAAAGGAAATACGTATACATATCTAGTAGTAGATGCCACGACCCACCTTTCTTCACTTGGATCTATGCAATAGCGATCTGAACCGAGAGAGAGAAGTGTCGACTAATTTACATATCTTCCGAATCATAATCCTCGTCTGCGTAAAGCGCAGGATGGTATCCGCGTCTGCCACGAAGGTCCTGCTCGAGCCCACCGTCGGACTCCGAATCCATGTAGCCTACATTAAGTTAAATGTTAGCCATCACTGCATGATCGAAAGGGGGATGAAGAAATAAATGGCTTGTTAAAACTCACCTCTCCCACCAAACAAGCTGAGCGCCGCCGGCAAAAACACCAACGCATGCAGCGCGGCCCAGATGACGAGCGCGAGCCAGACGCGGAAGTAGTAGATCTCGAAGATCTTGCTACGGGTGAACGCCAGGACGGCGACGCCCAAGAACTTGGTCACCGTGATGCCGCTGAAGACGCTGCCACCGACGTTGGTCAGCGCGACCCAGGCGCGGGCGTCCTTGCCCCTGAAGCGCGCCTTCGGCGCCGCGCGCTCGAGTAGCGACTGCGACGGGTACGTGAAGGCGCGTGCGATGTGCGCGCAGAACTCGACCGCGATGCCCACGCAGATGATCAGGTTGACGAGCGACACGGCGTTGAGAGAGACGCCGGCCAGCGCCATGGTGCCCGCGATGTCGACGACCGTCATGACGACCGTCACCGTGACCACGAGACCAGTGCGCAGGCTGCCCAGGAGCGTCGAGGTGACGACCAAGATCAAAGCCAGCGCTGAGCCGACGAGGGCGCAGGTGAGCCGGACGATGGAGGCGTATTGGTCGAAGAAGATGTAGAACTTGGAGTATGGGAAGACCGAGATACCGGTGCGGTCGCTGATCTCAGAGGCAATCCGCCTGGCCGATGCGTAGGCTGCGATGAAGTCCTTCTGGCTGCGCAGCGGTGTGTGCGAGGTTCTGAAGTGAGAAGCCGGAATTGTTAGGCGCTTCGAATCGATAACCAAGGCATTTCCGTAGGCAGCCTTGCCAGCGAGCGGGCATTCGGCAGTAGTTGGAGATTCGATCCAGCGCTTGAGGTACTCGATGAACTCCTCGCCTTCAGGCATGCCCTTCAAAGTAGGGTTCCACGGAGGGCTGCGGTCAGCAAAGCAAGCCTTCTTGTCATCACCCCACGGGTCGTTGCCCTCATCGTAGCAGCAGCTATCGAGAGACGGGTTAAGCCAAAGGAAGTAGTCATCGATCCAGCTGGCTGCGGCATCCGCGATGTAAGACGTATCGGGCCTCTTCCTCTCTTGCTCAAGCGTATTCGCTAGCGAGAGCTCGCCACAAGTAGAGAAGCGTCCGCATAGCTCTTGCTGATGCCCACGTTGAGTGGCATTCAAGTCGCGCGTAACGAAGTAGACCGGAGGGCCAGCGCCAAAATAATCGTAGAGGTCGTTGAAGTAGTCGATGAGGTACGAGTCACTAGGAATGGCAATCCGCTGGTCGAGGCCAAGCTCAATCTTAGGCAGCAGTGCCAGACCTGCTGTGAAAAGCCCCAGGAAGATAGTGATGATCAACGTCTTCGTCTTCTTGCCCAACAGCGTCGGAGCGTAAGTCTTGCGAATGAAGCGCTGCAAAGCGCCTTCCTCGTCGCCACCGAAAACGACACCGGTGCTGATACCGCCTGGATCAGCACGTGTGACGCGAAGGCACGGGAAGCAATCGGCGCGGCTGGCTTCGACCCTACGCTGGTTAAGGGCGAGTACAGAGATAAACATGGTTACCTGCAGAAGGGCATTGATGAAGACAGCGCCCGCGGCATAAGCTGCAAAGTTCCGTACGGCAGGCATGCCAACAGCCGCACCTAGAGCGAAAGCCGCCGTCTCAGTTGTGGCAGAGAGCAGGATACTGGGGCCCATCCTGCCAAGAGCCTTTGCAACTCGTTCCGATACGGTTCCTTCGGCGTGACTGATGTTGACACGCTCGAATTCATGGACAATCAGGAAAATGTTGTCGACGCCGACAGCGAGAACAAGGAAGGGAATGACCTCAGCAATGATGAGGGTGACCTTAATGCCAACCGCAGAGAACAGGCCGACAGATGCCGAGACGGACATCAGGACGATGACGATACCAACCACACCCAACATGAACTTGGATTGAACAAGGGCGTTGGCCGGATTCTGCAAGATGGCTCTCACAGATAGCGTCGTAGATCCCAAGGCTAGCGAAGCGTAGATGAACATGATGATGTAGCTGATGACAACGATCTTGGCGTCGGTGTTGGTGGACTTGTTCAACTCTTGTTCCAAGCTGATCTCCGTGTTGAATGAAAGGCGAAGGCCACGTTCGGCAGCTTCATCCTGTACAGCACGCAAGAGGCTCTTGAGACCGTTCTCCCACTTCATGGCTGTCTCGAGCTCTTCAGTACCGTCTTGGTGATTGTTGACGACCCACGTGACAATTAGAGCCCTGGCATCAATGACGTTGTCTTCCCATCCACCCAAAAGCATCGAGGGGTTTAGAGGCTGTTGGAAGTCCGGTAGGCAATCCACTGGAGAATCCGCACAGGCCCGAAGATCCTTCTCCCAGGTCTTGGGGTTGATGTTGGAGAAATCCCCGCCAAAGTAGCCGGTGACGGACTGGACCACGCAGGCATCACCGGTAGGCTTGAAGCAAACGTCGTCGAAGGTGATTCCGTCAACCATCAGCCTATTCACCCGGTGTTCGACATCAAACCACCAACGCAAAGTCTCATAACTCAAAACAGGACCTGGCCCGGAGGAGTCGACATCATTGACCAAGAAGGCCTGTTCGGCACGGTAAAAGGGACCGAAGTTCTTGTCGAAGAAATTCTTCTCTTCAGCAGCAGCAGAGTCAGGCGCCACCCAGAGTCGGACCGGGTCTGTCTCCACGGTGAACCTAAGCCAACCCAAACTCAGCAGGACGACAACGACCACACTTGAGAATATGGTAATGGCAGGGAATTCGGCACATGTGTATCCCAGGCGACTGAAAACCTTATCACACCAGTCGTTCAGCTTATACTTCCTCGTGGGAGTTTCAAGGATACCAGCGGCGGCCACGATATCACCCTCATCTTCATCGTCACTTGGCTCCAGGTCCTGAAGAAGGCGCAGACGCTCCTGTTTGTGTTGGTAATGCTTTTGGTACGCAACATGGCCAGAGATGGCGACGGTGAGTAACAGGATGAACACAGAGTAGATGATGATGACCGCGAAGGACAGGCATGGCAGTACACCGACGTGGCACTGTTTGTTCTCCTCAACCTCGGGAAGCTCCGGGCAGACCGACGGACAGTCAACACAAGCACACCGGTACCGCTCATCCGGATCATTGCAAGCCCTGGCGCCCTTGGTCTGAGGCTTCAGACCGGGGTACAAACTGGGATCGGGGAAGTTCATCTGGAACGGGCTGCCAAGGAACTTCTTGTCGCCGAGGAACTTGAGGAACTGGGTGTAGTTCTTCGCACCACCTCCGATGAGATCCATGGCATTGCCGTTGGTAGCGCCGACCTTGACATCCTTGCAGCTGTCATAGAAAATTGAGCCGTAGTCGTTTGAGACCAGATGCGTCAGCTCCGTGACGACGAGCTTGCCACTCTTCGGCTTTGTATCCGTCACATTGACGAAAAGGGACTGGTCGGGCGAGCAGGTAAAGGTGCAGAACAGGTTGAAGAAGTTCTCCTTGCAAGCCGGGCAGGATGCGATGAGTGACTCGGCACGCTTCAAGTTGGACTGCAGAGCATCGATCTGTGGCCAAGACATTAGCAGTGGGCCGTTTCAGCACGGATGTCAGCTGGACGCACCTGTTCCTCTTCACAGCAGACATCAGTGTCGGTCCATTTGTCACCACAGATGTTCACAAGCTTCTCGCGAACATCCGCTTCCGGAGTCTTCGCCAGTCCGTTGTCGGGACAAGGCAGCTGCGGACCAAAGAAACCCTCGCTGCCGCAGTGCCCGCGGATGGCACATCGGCCCTTCTCGTGCTTCTGCGTCAACCCGTCATCTGCAGCAAGGCCTGTTGCGATGAGCAGGGCCAACAGCAGCGCGGTAACCAGCCGCGTGCCTCCCCAGCTTCCCCCCATGTCGAGGTCGTCGGGTATCGTTTGCGGGTAGGCGTGGGACGATGGTGATGCTGAGGCGCGGATGAGACTGTCGCGGAGGGCTCGGAGGCAGTTGAAGTGGCGATAGGCGGGGTATCAGGTGTCGTGGAGACGCGCGCAGCGCGGGTGGCGGGATGTCGTGTTGATGGTCTGGTGTTGATCAGCTAGGCGCAGCGGTGCTCGGTACGTAGGAACCCGCTGTTGCGACGCACGCACGTCACAGCCAAGCGTTTGGCTTGCCCGAGCTCTCCAAGCTGGCACCTGGCACTGGCCCGCTCCGCATTGCTCAGGCACATGCAAGCCCCACAGCTCTGTTGACCCCATCCACTTCGTGTGCTGCTGCTTCGCCGATCGGCGCGCTATCCACGACTCCAACAAACCTTGGCCAGCGCGCTAATTGTTCCTTCTTCGATCGATCGCGGAGGATCGCTGTCGCGTGCTCGACTTCACTGCAGCTGTCATGTTCGCACAAATCAGCCTTGTAGGGCTGAAACTGCTCAGCCTCCGCTCTGTCACGCAATTAATCAAATCACGACTTTTCCCATTACTCGCTACGTAACGTACAGGGGAATAATCTTTTTCGGGAAATACACACAGTGACGCTAATGTCTGCTCGCCCAGCACGTCTACAACTCGACGAAATGTGAAGCGATAAGAGAAAAAAGCCAAAGGAGAGCTCCTCCGAGTTAAGATCAGCCTGTGCCTGAAAGCTCGGAGAGCCGTATCCTGAACCTGCCTCTCCTTTCTCCTGCCTTGAAAAAACAACCCGTGCTCCATCCGTCCACCCGCTACTCCCTAGCTAGCCAGTACAGGTAGAATCGAATGTAAACCCAGAGAAGTCGGAAACTGCACAAGCATTGTCAATGCCGTGGATTAGTCGTTCACGAATCGCCGCCGCCGGGTGCGCCACCCTCCTTGAATCCGCCACGGCCACGACCGCGGCCTCTCTCGCCTCCCCTGCCACCACGTCCGCCGCGGAATCCGCCACGGCCACGGCCACCTTCGCTGTCGCTGGCTCCGCCGCTGCGGTATCCGCTGCCCTGTGCACCACCGCGAGTGCTTCCCCAGCCAAGTCCGCCACGGGGCTTGTAAACCCTAACGTACGGCTTGCCTTGCTTACCACTGGTGTACTCAGGATCCATCCTGTTCAGGATCGCCTGGAGGTCTTCGGCGGGGTCGAAGTGAGCCGTCATGCCACCAGCGGGGTTCTTGCCCTTGTCAATGCGCTGAATCTTGTCCTTGTCCTCCGCGGCAAACAAGGCCTTTGCGTCGTCTTCGGATCCAGCGTTAGTGATGAAAAGACCATGGATCTGAGGGCGCGCATTTCCGGCGTCCGGCTTGGGTCCAGCCAGCTCAGTAGGCTTGTCTTGGCCAGAGGTTCCGTTGGGCTTGGTCTCGGCAGGCTTCTCCGCATTGCCAACGGCCGGAGTACCGGCAGCGCTGGGAGTGGCGGCAGGCTTCGGGGTAGCGGGCTTGATTGGCATATTCGGTACAGCCGGAGCAGGCGAGCGAGTGGGCTGGGGTGCAGGCTTAGGCTGTTGCGATTGCGCCGGAGTGCCAGCAGCCGGACGAGACTGCTGAGGACCAGTGGGAGCCTGAGCGGGTGCGGCATTTGCGCCAGCCGCCTGTGCCTGCGGCGGAACCTTTCCACCGCGGTGAGCGAAGTTGAAGCCCTGGGCGCGCATTTCGGTACCGATCCTTCCCTGGTCAATGTCCAGAACCAACCAACCGTAAGCAGCGTCCGCCAGGTTGAAGTTCCACATGTTCTTGAATGCGCTCTCGTCGATTTGGCCCGTCGCGGGTCCGACATGGCCTCCGAATGGGTTTCCGCCGTTGGCGATGGTGGGCATCTTCTCAACAATGTCCAGAGCCAGCTTCAGTAGCTGCTGCTGGCTTTGGTTCTCCGCAACGGCCGGCTCCACCTCGGTCTTGACAGTCTCCCAGACATCGTTGAACGACGCACGGGAGGCCGCAAGCTTGCCGCGGTAGTGGTCCAAGGTCGGGTTCACGCTGAACTCGTTGTAAGAGCTACCGTAACGGAAGTGCAGGCCGGCGGAGATGGAGAAGTCCGCCTTCAAAGTCACGGAAAGCTGGTTGAGAAGACCCTCGCGAGCGGGTGAGGCGTGCGTGACGAAAATGCGGGTTTCCGTGGGGTCGTAGACGCGGTTGGCCGTGTCGACCAGCTCACCCATCTGCAACAATGTCGTCCACATGGTGCCTTGGCCTCCGGCAATGGTCGTCCTTCCCTCACCATTGTCAAACAGCTTATGCATGACAACCGCACCACCCAGACCAAGCAGGCGAAGCTTGATACCGCCGGCCTCAACCAGACGGGAGTGTGCTTCATCGATGATGTGAAGGTTGTTGATCTTGTACTCTCCCGAGCGTAGCTTCTCCAAAACCTGAACATCCTCGCATGCACCCCAGACCGTGTAGACGGGCACCTTCAGGTTGTAGGTGCCGTTGAGGAAGTCCGGAAGTTCCGAGAGCTTCAGGCCTTCGCGGACGTAACGTTCCCTAAGAGGCGGTTGCGGGGGTGCTTGCGCGATCGAGTTCTTCACGGCTTGCGAGAGGAGCGGCGAGTACTGGGCGACATGGCGGAGCGTCCTGATGAAGTGTCAGCTGCCGTTCAACCTTGCGTGGTACATGTGTACATACTTCTCGGCAATGCGATCTAGCGAGCGGTCGTCGTAGAATCCGAAGTCGCCAGTGTGGATGATAGCGTCAGCTCTCGCCTGGTCGGCGAGCTCGTTCAGAGATCTTAAGTTGCCTGGCAAATTGTCAGCCTCGGATGACGCAATTGACAGCGATCAGAGCGCGCAAACTTGCCTCGGACATCAGCAATGCAGAGGATCCTCGAGCTCTGAGCTTGGATGATGCGGCCTTGGTTGGGGAGCAGCGGCTGGGCACCAGGCGTAGGGCCGGCGGCTGGGCCACCGTTCGGCAGGAAAGGAGCGTTGTACGCGCGCGGCTGGTTGGGTGCTTGCTGTTACCAATTAGCATATGCAGCAAGGCAAGCGACGGCATCGCGTGCGCGCGCGCGATACGTACAGTAGCCATGAGTGCGGAGCTCGATGCGGCGAAAGCAAGAGGTATCGGGGGTGAGGTGTTCCGTCAAGCGCGTCCCGGAGCTTGAGCGGAGGATTCTGGGGTGCTTGGACCGCAGAAATTCGCGTGGAGATGGCGGGGAGCAAGGCCGGAGGATGGGAGCCAAGATGACGAGGGACGGCGGAGGGGTGATCCAAGGTCGTTTGCCGTAAAGCAGCGACAGAGCATCTTTGGCTTTGGAAGGCACGACCGCCCATATGCGCGCTAACCACATACGGAATAGTCCAGCCACGCCAGCTCGAACAGCTCAGCTGCATTGCCTGAGGCAACAATCCGATCGCTCGCCGCCAGTGACCTGTGGTCATGTTGTGCACCTGACTCACATGTGCTTTCATGGGGCCCGGCCAGACCAGAGCTCACTGAGAAGCTGCAGTGCATCCGTAGCGCAGTGGGTGGTGGAATTGCTACCTACCGAATGATCGGCGGCTCCTGTGAATCTCGGAGTAGTCTCCTAGAGCGAATCTGCCGTGCACGCATAGCCCGAGTTTGAGCAGTTGAATCGAGAGTGTCTTCAACATACTAAGACACTGAACAGGACAGAATGCACGTCTCGCAATGCGTGTGCAAAATCGAGAACTGGAAGCCACAGAAGAGGGGGGATTATCAAATAGCGCGGGCCTAGTCAGTCAGTTGCGTCAAAATAGACATACTGAAGCCAAATTAAACAACCATACATGGGCTATAGACTCTAAAGATTAGCTCGCCTCGGAGAATTAAGCCCTGCCAAGAGTAGATCGATGCTTCGCTGTGGTGTTTACGAGTCACACTCGTACTCAACATTTCTGCTGGTACAGATGTGCATTGCAGCTGAAGGCTATTTTTGTTATGCTATGGGTGGCTGAAACAATTGTCCGAACGTAAATATAAATTTAGCGGTTATACATTTGGGACTAGACAATAGCATTACTGCCTACAAGTGTTGCTCCTCATAAAGGAAATACAGAGGTAGAGTTTCAAGGTCCTCCTTCGCGTTAGCCTCCGGCTGCAATATTCCTGTTTTTAGCTGATAGTCTGAATCGAACCGACTTCGGGAGGCGCATATAGACTTTGTGGAGCACAGATCAATTAATGTTTGACTCCGTTCACCTGTTCAAGATGAAGTCCCAGCTCGAGAGAGAATCGCAAGCCCTACAGCTCCTACGTTCAAGAATGTTGCTAATCGCATTATGTAAGGCGATGCATGTAATTTTGGAGTTTCGCCAAGTGACCGGGAGCATAGAAGAATGATTAATAATTAAATTGCCGTGCCTTCGCGGTGGTGAGTGGAAACTTCGCTGTGACGTGAAACTACTAGCCCAGAACATTCGCGTGTAAACAACGCGTCCCGACGCGCCACGAGGCAACTACCGAAAATCACACCACACTAGACTACACTGGGGACTGCTGCCTTTCGAGCCCACGAGGTAAGATGCCGGCAAGATGTGCAAGGCCACGCAACTGTTGAGATATGGATGTTGCACGCCGACACGCTCGAGTGCGCGCATTGACCTGCAGAGCGGCGTCCCGCAGCGGCGACGGGATGATCTCATAGGCGTCCTGGCTCGGGCTTGAAAATTCTGGTCGCGGTCGCCACAAAACCGCAACTTTGCTTCGAATCGAAAAAGGAAAAAGAAAACAAAGAGCTGGCACCAGACGCGTCGTGCATAGCCAATTAGAAGTTAGAAGGCCAGCGCGTCTCGTCGGCGCAGAAAATTTTGGCAGCCAGTGAAGATCAGTCGTGAGGGCAGATCAGCCCCGACAGGGTTCGCCGAGACCCTTCGCGTGGCGGTGAGCCCCGGCGTCTGGCAGAATTTCCGCCTCAAAAAAATAATCAACCCCCCACCGCCGTCTTCTTCTCAAGCGTCCGCACTTTCCCTTTACTTTTTGATACCCCTTCTTTTGCTGGCCGTGTCGCTTGCTCAGTCGCCCGCCATGGACCAGCAACAGTTCGTTGGGCTCCTCCAGAGCCTCATGCAGCGTGAGTAAACGCCCCTTCCCCCCGCGCCGGCTCCCGCTCACACAGCACAACAGCCGACACGGATCGTGTCAAGGCCGCGACCGCGACGCTGAACAAGGACTACTACAAGTCCCCTGAGGCGCTCACCACTCTCCTCCAGATCCTCGTCTCCCATGAGGATCAGGCTCTGCGCCAGCTTGCCGCCGTTGAGGCGAGGAAGCTGGTCGGCAAGCACTGGGCCAGCCTCCCTGATCAGCAGAAGCCCGAGATCCGCAACCAACTGCTTCAGTCGACCATGAACCAGGAGGTCACCCTCGTCCGCCACTCCTCTGCCCGCGTTGTCGCTGCGATCGCCAAGAACGACTTGGAAGACGGACAGTGGGCCGACCTGCCGCAGACTCTGCACCAGGCTGCCGGCAGCGATGTCGCGAGGCACCGTGAGGTCGCAGTCTTCATGATCTACACCCTCATCGAGACCATGGGCGACTTGTTCTCCGAGAACTTCGCAGAGCTGTTCAACCTCCTCGGCAAGACCATCAACGACCCCGCCAGCCTTGAGGTCCGTGTCAACACCATGATGGCTCTGAGCCGTGTGGCCATGCTGCTCGACCCTGAGGAGGACGAGCACTCGCTTGAGCTCTTCAACAGCATCCTCCCCAGCATGGTCAAGGTCCTCGAGGACAGCATCGCGTCTGGTGATGAGGACAAGTCCATGCAGGCTTTCGAGGTCTTCCAGACCCTGCTTGGTTGCGAGTCGGCTCTGCTGAACAAGCACTTTGAGGATCTCGTCAACTTCATGAACAACATTGCTTCCAAGCCCGAGATCGATGACGATGCCCGTTCGCAAGCCCTCGCCTTCCTCATGCAGTGCGTGCGTTACCGCAAGCTCAAGGTCCAGGCGAAGAAGCTTGGCGAGAAGCTCACCATCAGCGCGCTCCACATCGTCACCGAGCTGGGTGACCTGTCGAGCGAGGACGAGGAGGTCACTCCGGCCCGCTCCGCCCTTGGCCTGCTCGATATTCTTTCCCAGAGCCTTCCTCCCAACCAGGTCATTGTTCCTCTACTCCACGCCATGGGCAGCTACGTCAACAGCGAGAACCCTGACTACAGGCGTGCCGGTATCCTTGCCCTTGGCATGTGTGTTGAGGGTGCCCCTGACTTCATTGCTACCCAGCTTGGTGAGATCCTGCCCCTGGCTCTTCGTCTTCTCGAGGACCCTGAGGTCAAGGTCCGCGCTGCGGCCCTGAATGGTGTGGCCAGGCTCGCCGATGACTTGGCCGAGGAGATGGCCAAGGAGCATGGCAGGCTCATTCCTGCCCTCGTCAAGAACCTCGATATGGCTGTCGAGGCTTCCCAGGGTCCTCAGGCTGAGCGCGCGCTGGAGATCCTCCGTGGCAGCTGCAACGCCATTGACTCGCTGATCGAGGGCCTGGACGAGGAGGATGCCGCCAAGTACGTTGGCGAGCTCGTCCCCAGGTTCAACAACCTGTTCAACTCCAACGACTTCAAGACCAAGATCGCCTCTGTCGGCGCTGTTGGCTCTGTCGCTGCTGCCTCGGGTGGAGCCTTCCTGCCCTTCTTCCAGGCCACTATGCAGGCTCTTGGTCCCTTCGTCCAGCTCAAGGAGAGCCAGGATGACCTTGATCTGCGTGGTGTTGTCTGCGACTCCATGGGCAAGATTGCTGGTGCGGTCGGCCCTGCTCCGTTCAGGGACTACGTCCAGGATCTTATGCGGGCGTCTGAGGAGGCGCTCAACCTTGACCACCCCCGCCTTCGCGAGACCAGCTACATTCTGTGGAGCACCATGGCCAAGGTTTACGAGGAGGATTTCGAATCCTTCCTTCCTGGTGTTGTTGAGGGTCTTCTCAAGTGCCTGTCGCAGGATGAGACTGACCTTGAGGTTGCTCTTGGTGAGGAGGCCAAGGATCTGATTGGCCAGGAGGTCACTGTTGCTGGCAAGAAGATCAAGGTCGCCGACGCCACCGACGATGACGATGACGACGGCATCATTGACCTGGACGACGAGGATGATGACGATGACTGGGATGACCTCAATGCTGTCACCGCCGTCGCCATGGAGAAGGAGATCGCTGTCGAGGTTATTGGCGATGTCATTTCCTCGACTCGTCACCGCTATGTGCCGTACCTGGCTAAGACCATCGACACTGTCTTGAAGATGGTCCACCACGCTTACGAGGGCGTCCGCAAGTCTGCCATTGGCACTCTCTGGCGCTCGTACGCCACCCTCTGGGGCATGGCTGAGGGCGAGGGCATGGCCAAGTGGAAGCCTGGCCTTCCCCTCCAGATTCAGCCTTCTGACGATCTCGCTAAGCTTGCTCAGGAGGCTATGAACGCCACTCTCGAGATCCTCGAGGATGAGATGGACCGGTAAGTGAAAGACTTTCTTTCTGCAAGAATCATCGCCTCGAAAAGATGACAACACATTCGTTATTACCCAGCTCACTCTGACGCACAAGTTGCGGTTGAAGTGAAAGCGATTCTGTTTCTGATCACATGAACATCACTCCTATTCTCTAGCGTTTTGTTTTGAAAGAGAAAGGCTGACATAATGTTTAGTGGCACCGTCACCGATATCTGCCGTGACCTTGGCGCAACGCTCAAGCTCACTGGCCCGGCCATCTTGGTCAACCAGAACGGCACGGTCATTCCGCAGCTCACCAACCACCTCATCGCTATCCTCACCAAGCGCCACCCCTGCCAGCAGGACCTCGGTGACGAGCTCGATGAGGCTCTTGATGAGTCGTCGGAGTACGACTGGCTCGTCATTGAGGTTGCTCTTGACTGCGTGACCTGCCTGTCGGCTGCCCTTGGTGAGAGCTTCGCCGAGCTCTGGAAGATCTTCGAGAAGCCGATCATGAAGTACGCCAGCGGCCAGGAGTCTGTCGAGCGCAGCAACTCGGTTGGATCCATGGCGGACTGCATTGGCAACATGGGCGCTGCCGTTACCCCTTTCACGACTACCCTCATGAAGCTGTTGGTCCACCGTCTGTCGGACGAGGATCCGGAGACCAGGTCCAACGCCGCTTACGCTGTCGGTATGCTTTGCGAGAAGTCGAACGATGTTCAGGAGATTCTCAAGAACTTCCCGACCATCTTCACCAAGCTCGAGCCGATGCTGCACGAGCAGCAGCAGGCTCGCATGCTTGACAACGCTGCTGGCTGCATTAGCCGCATGATCATGAGGCACCCGGAGCACGTCCCTCTCCAGCAGGTCCTTCCTCGCCTGGTTGAGCTCCTTCCTCTCCGCGAGGACTTTGACGAGAACCAGCCTGTGTACACCATGCTGATGAAGCTTTGTAAGTGCAATATGCGCTCTGATCCAGTTGATGAATTTGCTAACAGGGACACAGACGGCGTTCAGGAGCCCCAGATCCAGCAGCTCATGCAGCAGCTGACTCCCCAGCTGATGCAGGTCTTCGAGAAGGTGCTTGGCCCGCCTGAGGACCAGCTCGAGGATGAGACCAAGCAGCACCTGATCAGCCTTGTTCAGCGCCTGCGCGGTTAAACGAAAAAAGCATGGATATGACGGCTTCTTCTTTTCTGATTTGTTGATACCACTATCGCTGTCTACGGATGGGATGAAAAAGAATGGGTAATGAGTTTGGACAAAAAGGGTTCCGGGGTGTTGTTTGGATGCGATAGATCGCAGTATGAAATAGAGATGACATATACAATATTTCAGAAATCTAGCTGTGCGAAAAGACCGGTGAAGCCACGTTCCATGTTACTGATGGTTCGGAGAAGCATTAGAGATCCGGGCCCGAGGCGGTCAAGGTTCTGCAGGGATGGAGCGCTACCTACGTAAGTGTCGCCTCACCGCCTGCCGGAAGCAGTTGGGGCTTCCGTGCAGGAGCTCGGAGCCTCGAGGGCCGTGCGCCCAAATCAATCTCCAGGCTATCAACATCACAACATTGATCCAACCCGCCTCTTCTCCCCCGCAAAACTCTGACGCCACGAATTTTTCCCCACACCATCGTGAGATCGATCAGTCATTTTCCCATTGATTTATTCTTCCAGCGAAGCTCAAGAAATTTTTAAATTCCTCTCCCGACAGCAAACGCCATGCTCGCTTCTCGCTGGGCCGCCGCATCTGAGCAGCAGAACTCAGCCGCATCGCCGCCGCCACCACCGCCGCAAACGCAATCCCCGCCCGCGAAGGCCGACGACAGCGCATTACCCACGTCCGCGCACCAAGAGACCTCCTCCACGAACGGCGACAACAATGTTTCCACCACCGCGCCGCCGCAAACGGTCGACGTCACCACCGCCACGCCGGACACGGGCTTGTACAGCCCCGACCCCATGATCGACGAGTTCGCGCAGACGCGCGAGGACGACGACCTCTTCGATGACGACTTCACTCCCGTCGCCGGCGAGCCTGTCGTCGAGGTCATCGTGCCCGCCGACCACCACCATAGCGACGAGGACGACCCGGTGGGGCTGCCGCCGCAACAACCTGCTGCTGCGGCTGCTGACGAGCCTGCTGCGGCGCTGCCGCATGATGACGATGCGGTGGCGCCTGAGGTTGTCGCGGCTGCTATTGCGGCGGTGGTCGAGCAGCAGCAGCAGCAGCCGGTGTCGGCGCCGGCGCCGGCGCCGGCGCAGAAGGCGCAGCAGGGGGGCGCGCAGCCGCAGCAGCAGCAACAGGCGCGGGCACAACAACATCAGCAGGGCGGTGGAAGGGGTAATGCGAGGGGTGGGCGCGGCGGTGGTGGTGGTGGACGTGGCGGTGGGCACAGGAACAGAGGCGGGTTGCTGGGCGCATCGCAGCATGCGCCGGATAGCAGGAAGTCTTCAGCGGCATCGGCGGCGGCGGCGCAGCAGCAGCAGCAGCAGCAGCAGCAGCAGCAGCAACAGAAGGAGGCGAATGGGGAGGCGGTGACGAAGAATGAGGCTGAGGATGGCGATGCGGAGGCAGGGTTGGAGAAGCAGCCGCCGAAGGGGCCGAAGAAGGAGGGTTCTGTGCGAGGCGATAGGAGTGCTACGGGCGGTATCAGGAAGGTGAGTTTGTTTGTTTGCTGCGCTATTCTTTCTCGCGCTTCTTTTCCCCCCAACACGACGACAACGATGCGCTGTATCAGCGATGCATAATGCAACCCCCAGTCTGCCCCCACTCCCTCCCCCCACACCAACATCACAACCACCAATAAAAAGAACCCGCCCTTTGTCTAACCCCAGCACGAATGAAACAGGCCAAGCTCACCGAAGAAGAGCTCGAAGAGCGCATGTCGGCCATCAAGCTCAAAAACGCATCTCTGACGGCTGCACACGCTCGCGCCGAGGCCGACCAGGCGCGTTTTGAAGAACGCGAGGCCGAAGCCGCGGCGAAGGCGCGTGCCCGCCAGAAGCAGGAGCGCCAGAACCGCCAGCAGATGATGGGCGAGCGCGAGCGCAACCGCCAGCGCAAGCTCAACGCCGTCCAGGGCCGCGAGTGGGACGCTGACAAGGACGAAGGCTTCGGCGGCACGGGCGACCGCAGCGGTGGCCGCGGCGCCAGGCGTGGCGCGCACGGCGGCGTGACCGGTCTCTCCCCTGCCGCTGCTGCTGCCCGATCCCCGTCGGCGAGGAGGGGCGGAGCGGAGGGCGAGGGCAGTGAGGGCGGGGCGGGAGGCTTCGCGGATGACTGGGGTGACGCATCCGCCACCGCTCCTTCAGGCGGCAGGGGTGGCGAGCGGCGCAGCCGTAGCAGGCGGGGCGGCGGAAGGAGGGGTGGCGGCGGCCGTGGCGGAGGTGGAGCTGGTGACCAGCATCATGGGGGACGCAAGGCCTCGTCATCGTCTCACGCGCCGGGAGATCATCACCACCATCAGAAACACCAGGGCCCGCCTCCCACGGCCGCGGACTTCCCCGAACTGCCGGGCTCGTCCTCGTCCAATAACGTCCCCGCGGCAGCAGCAGCAGCGGGTGGAGACGAAACGGCCGCGGCCGCTGCCCCGCAGTTGTCCTTCCCCAATGCTAGTAAGAAGACCATGGCTGCGGCCGCGGCGGCCGCCGCCGAGCCCGTGGGCTCGGGTACTGCAACTAACGGCGCGGCTGGTGAGACCGGTGCCACTACTGCTGCTGAGAGCGACAAGGATAGGCCTGAGCCGCCCAAGCGCGTGGAGAGCTTCGGTCTCAGCGCCGTACTGGGCCCGCAGACGGGCGAGAAGAAGTCGTGGGCTGATCAGATCGATGACTGAAGGGATGGGATGTAAATGATCCGAAAAAAGGGAGGCGATGGTGTGGGACTTTTGGGTTTTTTTTTGCTTCGCGTTCAAGCTTTGGAGGGGCTCATTGCTACGTGTCGTGTCTAGTCTATGTTTCATCACCTGTTCAGAGCATTGTTGCTGTTGTTGTTGGAAAAAAAGAGAAAAGAACCCGGGGCGGTTTACTTGGTTTACCCATTTTCTCCTTTCCTCGTGGTGTTTTTTTTTTTTTTTTTTGGCTCTCCTACAGTAACCGCGGTCTTGCATGGTGTTTCATTCGGACGAGAGAAAACTCCTTTCTCTTTTCCCTGTCTCTCTCATTTCTGTTTTTTCTGTCTCATTGATACTGTTCAGATACCAGATTGGATAACTCACGATGGGTCGTGCTGGGAGAAGAGTTTGTATGAAAACATTTGCGTCTTTGTCATCACCACGAGACGCAATTTCACTGGGAAGGAGGATAGCATGGTGTTGGAGGCCACAGAAAGTTGTGTTTGTGAAGTCATTACGCGCTGTTTTGTCTCAATTCTTTCATCGTTTTTCGAGTCGTTGATCTTTGGTGTTGAGAAGCATGGCGGGAGTCAGATGTGCACATAAGAATGCATGGGACCTGCTTTCTCGGAAAGAATACAGGCTCTCACTAGTGCAGCGCAAGAATATTGCGTGGAAGAAAAAGTAAGAAGAATGTGCACTTGTATGGATCTATCCTCTAGTAATTACTCGAGATATTAACTTAGCAGTTATCCTTCCATCTCTTCCTCTAGTGACAAGGCGTCGCGGCCTTCTCTCTGTATCTCTTTCTCTCTAGTCAGGTCTTCCTTCAAAACAACAAATGAAACGAACACCGAAACCGGGCGTTCGTTGGTATATGTACACATTACTCATCAAGCGAGTGGTATTTTTCTTCAAAAGTGTGAGAGGAACACTCGTGAAGAGGGGGGTTTCATGTCATGCAGTAAAAATTCGTAACGTTATAAAAAATGCGGAAAAGGGAAACGGACACGAACGGCTCTCTACGCTCATTTGTTGTTGAGCAGCAGCAGCGCGAACGTGCCGCCCATGACCGGACGTGCGACGAAGGTGATGCCGCTCGGGTAGCTGTAGGTGCACATGGTCAGCGGGATATTCATACGGAAAGCGACGAAAATGCGCTGTAGGGAGAAAAGGGAAACTCACTTTCCGGTCTCCGTCTCGTAGAGATCGGTCAGGGCGCGGTTGGTAGGCGACTCGTTGATCCACTTGGCAATGTCGGAGTGGAACATGTCGCGCGTCTCCTGCGAGGCGATGGCGGCGACGAACATCTCCCAGTCGGTCTTGGTGTAGCTGTTACGCGTGTCAAGCGGCACGCCGTAGGTGCGCTCGACCGTCGGGTAGAAGGCGCTCTGCTGGTCGTAGATCACTTGCGGCACCAGGTTCAAGCTGAGCTCGCTGTCGGCGTACAGGTTGTACAGCAGGCCTAGGATTTCGCATTGCATTAGTTCAGATGTCTCGGCTTTCATAATTATCGTGGCTGGCGTGTGCTTTTTCTTGTGCGAGGGTCTCGGATACGAGCCGCTCGGGTGACTTGCATTCCGTGCGGCTGGCGTAGCGCCTGCCGCGCGGAAGGCTTGCATTGGTGGCTGGGTGGCTTCAAAGGGTTAAACGTACCGTGCGAACCCGCATCGTTGTATGCAAGGTTGGTGTGCGCGGGCGTGTTGCCGTCCTGGGGCACGACGGCGAGCTTCTGCCACTGGTCGATGTAGCTGGTCGCAGTGTCGTGGTCCGTGGAAGACTCGTCGGAGTGGCCGGTCAAGTCGGCGATCTTGGACATGGCCTCGATGCCGATGATGCCCTTGAGTGCCAGGTTCGTCTGGTTGCTAAATTCAAATTGCGCGATTAGTTTTCTTCTTGGCGATGCATTGGATTTCAAGGGGAAACTCACGCAAGCGTGCCGGCAAAGTCGTCGGTTGAGAGCTGGTTGTTGGGGTACAGGGCCTCATCAACCAGGAAAGTGGTCCACTGACGAAGGATGTCGTAGTGCGTGTTCAGGTAGTCGAGATCCTGAGTGCGCTGGTAGTATGCAAGGACCATGATGAGCATGTTGCCGCACTCCTCGAGAGGCATGGGCTCATCGTTGCCGTCCGGATGACCAGTAGCGTTCGGGTAGTGCGCGCCGAGGTCGTGGATCGCGTAGTCATTGGGGTACTGGCCGGATTCCTGGTTCTCAAACAGGGGCGCCATGACCAGCTTCAACAGCTCGGGGTTGGTGTAGAGGAACAGCGGGTGGGCGGGGAAGATGACATCCACGGTGTTCATGTTACCGTTGGAAGAGATCTCCTTGAGGAACGCCCAGTGCTTGTCCTTAGTACCGACGAGCTGGATAGACGCAAACACCTGGCGAACAGACAGCGAGGTGATGGTGAGGTAGTCCTGACCGGCGGCACCAATGGCGTCGCTGGAAATCTTGTTGTCCAGCTCGGTAGACTTGTCAGAGGAAGTGCTGTAGTCCTTGTGGAAGAAACTGAGAGCAGCGACATCATCACTGAAGTAGTCTAGCCAAAGAGATTGACGGGGAAGGTAGCCATCGGAGCCAGCGAATTGAATAGCGTCTTGCTGGCAAAGACCAATGGTGAACAGCGTGTTGACGGCGTTGGTGTTGACGGAGCCGAGGTCAACGGCGAAACCCATCACAGGCCAGTCGTTGTTCACAGCACGGAAGTTGGTGTCCTTGGTATTCGACAGCTTGCCGTTGCTTACGAACTGCGAACGAACATCGTCATCGGAGCCAGACTGGAAAGTAAGGCCGTCGACAGCATCAGTGGCGTAGTACCAGTTGCCCCATTCAGCTTGGTCAGCATTCTCAGAGAAGGCCTGCTGAGTCTGCCTGTACACCTTGTGGTACGCCAGATCACCAGAGGTATCGTACTCCCACTGAGCAACCTGGCTACGGTCACCCGTGACCCATTCTGTAAAGCGAGGGTTAGCGGGATGGGTGATTTGTTGAGAGCGCAGGAGTTGGATGCTTACCGGCGGAGATATCGGAGTAGAGCTGCACATCGTGCTCAGAGCCGTCAATTGACGAGACCTCAACGTTAAGGTAGGCGAAGACCAAAGACTGGCGCTGGAAATCATCCGGGGTGATGGGAGAGAGGAAGGTGATGTTCATGGCAACCTTGCCGCCGACGTTCATGTTGAAGATACTCCTGGTAGAGGTGTACTCGTAGGAGTTCTGATCAACGACGGCAGGGCCATTCGCGCCGAGAGGGTCACCCATCCACTTGTAAGCGGTGCCGTCAACCCTAATCATACCGCCCCAACCGGTAATCTGGTTGCTGTATGGAGAGTGAGCGCCGAGCTACAGCTGTCATAGAATATGTTCAACGTACCTCCAGTGTACCGGCCATTGACCGGCAAGATAGCCTCCATTGCCGCCGTCACTGCCGGCATTAAGCCAGGCGTTAAGGTAGGGGGACTTGACGGCTAGGGGAATGGCCGGCGGACGGGCAGGATTGAAGGAAGAAGTGGACTGTCCTTGCACAGACACAAGGCCTGCGAGGCAGGTTGCCAGAAAATAGAAGGAGACCATGGTGCCTGCGTCCGAGCCGGGGAAGGTAAGTGATGGACAGGTGGGTGCTGATTTTCACAGGGCGAAAGGCAGTTTTATACGAAGGGGGTAGGCGGCGGAGATTGCATGGGTAAGCATGGTTCTCCACACAACGGGTATTGGGGCCAGCGAACGGACCCAGGGGACCACAACACATGATGTCAGGGTCCTGGTGTGCAGGCAGTCAATGGCATCTAGTCTCATGGCCTTGACTTAGGCCCTTCACGAGGGCGCCACGCTGCTAGCACATGGCCCGGGAACTGCCCAAAAGGACAAGCTCGCGGGGACAACGCCAAAGCCGAGCACTCCGCGCTTGGCAAAGGAATAGCGGCTCTGGGGTGGGACGGGGGCCACATGAGCAGTGAGGTTGTATGCAAGAATGAAAGCTCACCGGTGTGGCGGAGACGGCACCCTACGCCGGCGGACGGTCGGGGAGAGCAGCGGTGAACAAGATACAACGACGGACAGCGGGCAGGGCAAGGACGGAGACTTGGCAGCAGGCGGGCCGCCAGCGGCGGGATAGGGGCGATGCTCGGTCAGGAATCCCTACAGGCAGACATGGAACAGCCATGGCAGCATCCCCTGCGGGTCGGAACGGGTGTAACGCTGGGGTATTAGGGAGCCTGTGTGACGGCGCGCATGCTCGCACAAAGTGATCAGGACTCGGCGCGTCTGACACGTTGATCGGGCCGCGTGATGGGCGGGCGATCTGGTAGGGCGCCGCGTCTGGTGACCAGCAACAGCGTCGTCCATAGTGGTTCCGACGGGCGGGGGGAAAGAAGTCCGATCCTGCGTGGAAATGGGTCTCGAAGCAAACAAATGACTAGCATGCGACAGGGATTTTAGATGGCTATAGGCAACCCTGAGCAACGAAAGCTGAGATCTCCACCTGGATGCAACAGCAGGGTTCTGCTGCGTCAGCCAGTCGGGGCCGCTTGCAGCGCCATGACCGAAGCGCATGGGGTAGCGCACAGCTGGTCGGGCGAAGTCGGCGGCGGCAAAGGCAGTGCTGTATTTTGTCTTGAGGCGTTCGGGGTGCCTTACGCGGGGGGAATGGAAGCGTCAGATGTGCGGAGCTTAGTGGGAGATCACAGCGCTAGGCCCCGCAGTCTCTCAGGTGGCGCACGTGAGCAAAAGACGTTTGCGGCGCGTGCTGCAGTGTCCCTGCAAGCGGACAATATCGCGGTACGCGGCAATAACAGCGCACGCGGCTGTGGGCGCAGGGCGCGTGGCGGAGTGGCGGAGTTTGACGTGTGTTCGAGAGGACGCCATGTTGGACGAAAGGCTGTTGAGCATGCTGATTCGTTGCCGGGGAGCATGCGCTCGGATGCACTCGTCGCACGGCCCAGGGCTGCACCGGCTCCCATGATCCGGGTCCGCAGGGAGATCGTGCTGCCAGTAATCCTTCTGTACAATAGAAAACAATGGGAAATTGCATTGTCCTAAGCTTGGGCGAATCGTCAGAGGCGCGTGCTCGCAAGCGCCTGCCGCAGCCACCGCGCGCATTGTCTTCAAGCCTTCCGCCCCCGGCCAAGGAGCGCTTACTGTAAGCCTCATCGCAGATCGTCGAATCCTGCAGGACATTGGGCTTCGGCGCCGCCAGGGTCCGCGTCGCTGTCAGAACTTCTGCTCAGGTACCACGGTCGAGACGCCTCTCCATGGCCCCGCTCTTGCAGGTGCAGCCGAGACCGGTCAATAATGATGCTATGGATGAACTGGCGTGCTGCTGCCGGCTCCATTGCGGGCCTTCCGAGCGCCCTTGCATCATGCAACGGGCTGCGCATAATCATGGCGCAGTCCCGCCCGAATGAGAATTTTTATGTGCCTGACTGCTGCCAATTTGCGTGCTGACGGCGGCTGTTGGTCCCCCTGGTCCGTGCCTGAAGAGCCGGGCGAATGAAGTTGTCGACGAAAGTTGTCCGATAAAGCGTATTACGAATTTAGAAACAGCCCCTACAATACGACTTGCATGCCGTCAAACTCTCTGAAATTGGCCTTTTCCCGGGTCCGCAAGGTAGGCGCCATTCCATCCAAGGTCGACGGCGACGCGTTGAGAAAAAAAGTGGATCAAGAGCCGATAGGTGGGCGAGCATTGTGGCGACATCCGGCGTCCGATCCAATGATGACGGCCAAGAGTCATGAGCGGCTCCTCCTCATGCAAGGGCGCGCGGAACCACGTAAAAACAATGCATGGTGATGGCGAAAATGTAAACGGCCGTCAGAAGTTGCTCGGAAGCCATGATGACTTCCGGCCGTTTTTCCGAGCCGCGCCTGCTGAATTGGAAGCGGCACGTGCGTGCCTGCCTTTCCATCGCATCCGCACCCAACTTCCTGTTCGGTGTGGCGACGCTGCCCCCAATGCACCGTCTTCGCCGTGGCTTGGTCTCTAGGATCGTCCTCATCAATCCACCACGCTCCGCCACTAGACTTCCGATGCGCCAGTTTCATCCCGGGGCACCGAGGCGGATGACCTCTGACACTGGTCCAGCTGAGATGTCCACCCGGCAGCCTTCTTCCAAAAAGGCAGCGGAGGAGACTCCGCGCCCGGCCAAGCGGTCGAGATACGAGAGGAAACAAGACCAGATGCATCCAGCAACACTTTCTCTTCTGCGCCAATATCTTGGACTCGAGGACAAGACTAATTCAGTCTTCAACTCCGCCACGCCGCTCGATCCGGTCTTTATTGCCATAGATGTTGAAGCGTTCGAGTATGCAACGCAAAAAGTCACCGAAGTTGGCATCGCCGTACTCGATACACGCGAATTGCCTGCCTTTCCCAATGCTTCGGCTTCGGAATGGGCTGAAAAGATCCGCACCCACCACCATATCATCCAGGAACATAGGCATCTTCGTAACAAGAGATTTGTCAAAGGCTGCCCCGAAAACTTTATGTTCGGTGAAAGTAACGTCACGCCGTTGATAAAGATGAGGGACATCCTGAAACTAGCCTTCACCCCTGCGGATCCGAGTGCCGGCGAAAATTGTCTCCGCAACGTCGTTCTAGTCGGTCATGACGTACGGGGAGATCTCAATTGGATTGCCAAGCTTGGTTACTCTATCCGCACAACGAATCCGCCCATCGGCCTTGTTGATAGCCAAAAGATTGCGAAAGCTCTCAAACTGCCAGAGGGTCTGGCGACTCTGGTGAATGCCCTCGGAGAGCACCCCGAGTTTCTTCACAACGCCGGTAATGATGCGTACTGGACCATGCAGTCGGTACTCCTCTTGGCTTTGTATGGCTCGGTACTCCCGGAACCGCCCAGCATGGAAAACGCTCGCCAAATCCGAGAGAAGCAGATCCAAGCCGCGAAAGAGAAGAGCGACAGGCTTAATGCAGAGGCTAAAAGGGTAAGGGAAGAGAAGGAAGCCAAGGAGAAGGAAGCGAAGGAAGCGCTGGACCGCCAAGGCGAGGGGCTTCACGACGTCAGTACCAAAGACCTGCCAAAAGTCAAGGCGGCTCAACCCCGGCAGGTCAAAGGAAGAAAATCAGAAGAAGCCAAGAAGCCTAGATCTGTTCCGGGAGAAGGAGCCGAGCCCAGTAGCTCCGGGACCAAGAAGACTAGACGTCGGAGTCGCAAAGCCAAGATATCTACTAAAGACTTGAACTACACTGGTAGTCATTAAGAGAACCATTGAACAAAAAGGCTCTCTAATTATCATTGGTAATGGTTTGAAAATTCTCCGTGGCCACCCTTGAGCTTACTCCAATTCAGATTCAGCAGAGAATGGTGATATTGCACAGTGAGGACGGAGTGTCGATACTATCTCGGCATTTACAGAAAGGTCAAGGCCTCCAAGCGGGAGCGGCTCGTACTCCCGGTCCACAGCGGGCCGCTCGTATCTTCTCCAGATAACATCTCCCGCTTAGGGAGATCCCCGATGTCGCAAGTCCCGCTCTGTCTAGACCTTTTTTTCTTACTGGTGGCTACGGCAGCATTTTTTCAATCCATGTGACCCGACTAAAGAGATGCAGTTGCGGATGATGGACGGTAGGCGCTTCCTTGGTATACATGTTGCAACCGGCCGTCAGTGACCCCGCCATTACCGCAGCTCTGCAGGGCCGAAAGGAGCAAGCGTCGAATGTTTTAGGTAATGGACGAATGCAGCCGAGGTCATTTGACCGAGCCGAAATCTGGGGCCGGGGCAACGCCGCGTGGGGAGCGGTGCAACAAAAAGTCGGGGGCGGCGAAAAAAAACCCTGATCAGCCCGAGGCGGCGTGACTATGAGGAAAGCCGAGCCAGACAATGTTCGGTACATGGGATTGCACGTAGGTGGACGCATGACCAGCACATTGCGCCTGGGAATCGCGCCGCGTACCAGAGATCATCGCTTTGATGGTTCACCGCACCTGTCGGTCTTGCCTCATTCGGTAGGTAGCCACGCTTGGCTACCGTAACATCGTCGGTATGACAGACCCTGGCAAAATTTTCGATGCGACTCCGCATGGTGAGGGGCCGAGGAGCAATTGAGCTGCTTGTGAATGAGGAATGCGGGGCCGAGCGAGTTCAGCTCAACAGCAGACATCGTTCCTCCAGAGCAAACATAGAATGGCCTTTGACTGTTTGCTTTGCTTCTTACCATACAATCTTTTCTTCCTGCTGCACTACATGCACCTCCATTCCTCACATGAAATCAGATTCCCAGCTCAAGCTTCACTCCAACGTGATAGTGATTTGGTTTGGGGTTCTAACTGTCTGAGACTCGGACAATTGCAGGAACGGGTCAACCACACCGTTGTTCTTTCCTTCTGCAGTGGGCAATGGCTGCAGGTTAAACTCCAATATTCCCCGGCAAAATTACCTTGAAGGAGAACCCACGAAAAAACGAATGCCGACAACTCTACGGAGATTCTTTTAGTCTTGCGAAAGTGAGGGCTGAGTGCGCATCTAACGGACTCAGAGAGCAATGGATTATTTCAGTACTTAAAAACCATCCGAGCAAAAGCTTAATTGTATGGTATCTCAATAGTGAGCGAATCAAAGTTGTGGTGATTTGAAGCCTTATCGATAAGCTCGCCAAGCAAATTGGATGGATGACGATGACTGCGCCCCACCACGCTCGTACCTGTTCAAGCCCAAGCCCCGCGCTGTTTAACTTTTGACTGCGAGACACGCGCAATATATGAGCCCGCCTGCGACTCTAACTCCCCTCGTACAACTTGACTACCGACACAGCCGCGAACATGTCGCACCGCAGAGTGAAAGACATCGCCTACGACGATGAAGACATCTACGACGAAGACGATTACGACGAGGGCGAAGAAGGTTTGGCGGCACACCACATTCAGACTTTGGTCGGCCTATGCTGACCACCGACTCCTGTAGAGTTGACCGAGGAGGACAAAGGTTTGCGATCCCGCCCCCCGCCTGCGACGCGTCGCGACTGATGCGCCGCCCGCCAGAACAAATGCGCCAGGGCACCATAAAAGTCAGAGAAGCGCTGGGTGCCGAGTACTCCAATATATCGAACAAGCAGATAGAGGAGGCTCTGTGGAACTACTACTACGATATTGGGAAGTCGGTCACGTATCTGAAGAGTGAGATGTCCTTCGGCGCATTTCTGGCTGCTTGTGGCTGACGCGCGCGTAGACGCCCACAAGCCCGCGCAGCCCAAGAAAGCGAAGCAGCCTTCTCGGTTCGACCAGGCAGCAGCAGCGGGAGCGGCTGCCGCGAAACCGCAGCCCAAGAAAACAGCTGGTGAGTGCACTTTCTCTCGCGTACCTCCCCCCCTTCCCGCCCAGAGCTGTCCTCCACTGGCCGTCATGTAAATATCTCGGATATACCTACCATGTAAGGCCCAAACAGCATCCCATACTTTTCAACAATATTCTCTAAGAGGTTACGCAAAACAGACCCCTCCGTGGCCTTTCCGCTCCCAATGTTCCTTCCGACTATGCGCACAGGTCGGGCGTCTACGGACTTCTTTGCCGATACCCCTTGGCTCAATGTTCCCGCCCACCGTCTCGGGAAGCTTGCAGAAGTTCACACGGCACCGCGGGGCTATCTTCTCGGTGGTTCTTCCAAGCCTTCGAAGCTAGCTGCTCTGGCTGCTGCCAGGAAGAAGAAGCAGGAAGAGGCCAAAGCCAGCGCCCCCGTCTCGTCCGCCGATGCCGGAGAGCCAGCTCAGGACAAGGCCATTGCCCTCTTGGACAGGCTCAAGACCAAAACCGAGACACCGCCCAAGGACCCGTCGCCAGGACCGAGCGTACTTTCTGAGAAGACAAACGTAGAGGAAGAGGAAGCAAAAGCGCAAGCAAAGCCCCGCGCGTACCCCATCCGCAGGAAAAAGAGCCCCAGCCTTGTTCGTGAGGAGCCAGTCGTTGAGCCAGAACCCCTGCCAGAACCGGAGGAACAACCAGCCACCAAAAGGGTCAAACTCGAGGACGTTTTGGGCACGCCATCCACCTTTGCTACTTCTATGTTTGGTCCCAGGCCTGGAGGACAGCTCGATCATTCCATGTTTCCGTTGCCGTACACGTCTTACCCGGAGTATGCTAAAGCCAAACCTTTTGCAGGTCCAAGCCCAGATGACGTTGTGCTGAACGCGCAGGCCAAAGGTGCGATCCGCGCATGATTTCCTAGGACCTGACCGGATACTAATGTGACCAGGTGCCAAAAAGAAGCAGAGTCAAGCGAAGGACGCCAAGGCCAAGGATGAGGCCAGCGGCATCAGTGAAGGTGTAGAGGGGATCAAGATCGACGACGCTCCGCGGGTCAAGAGCAAGAACTTGAACGTTCTCGAGGAGTACGAGAAGTCAAACATGAAGAAGTCGGCGAACTTTGTAGTCATTGGTAAGTGAAAGAGTGATACAATGGTGCCCTGCCACTATTGAGAAGTGGCAGGGTACGTGATGCAGATCGGGGTTGCTGAAACAATGATTTAGGTCACGTCGACCACGGAAAGAGTACCCTTATGGGTCGTTTACTCTATGATCTCAAGGTCGTCGACCAACGTTCTGTGGACAAGCTCCGGAAAGAGGCACAAAATATTGGCAAGTCCTCATTCGCTCTCGCCTGGGTCATGGACGAAACCTCCGAAGAACGGTCTCGAGGCGTTACCGTTGATATTGCAACCAACACTTTCGAGACGGAGAAGACGAAGTTCACGATCCTCGATGCACCAGGCCACAAGGACTTCGTGCCGAACATGATCGCAGGAGCAAGTCAGGCAGACTTCGCAGTGCTCGTCATCGACGCCAGCACCAACAGCTTCGAATCCGGCCTGAGAGGCCAGACCAAGGAGCACGCCCTCCTCGCCCGCAGCATCGGCGTCCAGCGCCTCATCGTCGCCGTCAACAAGATGGACACCATCTCGTGGTCAAAAGACCGCTTCGACGAAATATCGCAGCAGATGTCGGCCTTCCTCACCACGGCCGGCTTCCAGAGCAAAAACATCGCCTTCGTCCCCTGCGCCGGCCTCACCGGCGACAACATCGTCCAGCCCCCACCCACAGAAGCCGCGTCCTGGTACACCGGTCCCACACTTGTCGCCGAGCTCGAGGCGTCGGAGCCTAGTAAGCGCGCCATCGACAAGCCGCTGCGCCTCACCATCGGCGACGTCTTCCGCGGCGGCATCACCAACCCGCTCTCCGTCTCGGGCCGCATCGACGCCGGCGCCCTGCAGGTCGGCGACCACCTCGTCGTCATGCCGTCGGGCGAGTCGGCCTACATTAAAGGCATCGAGGTCGACAACACGGGCGAGCCCGCCGACTGGGCCGTCGCCGGCCAGATCGTCACGCTGCACCTCGCCGAGATCGACCCCCAGCACCTGCGTATCGGCGACATCGTGTGCCACGCCTCCGCGCCCATCAAGAACATCAAGATTTTCACGGCGAAGATCCTCGCGTTTGAACACGTCACGCCGATGTACGTCGATGTGCTGAAGGGCCGCCTGAACGTGCCTGCCCGCATCAGCCAGCTTGTTGCGGTGCTGGATAAGGCGAGCGGCGAGCCGACGAAGAAGAAGCCGAGGATCGTGCAGCCCGGCGCTGTTGCGAGGGTCGTCGTCGAGTTGACGCAGGCCGTGCCGCTCGAGCCGCCGTCGAGGGTCGTGTTGAGGAGTGAGGGGAGCACGGTTGCGGCGGGGTTGTTGGAGGAGGCGTCGTGAGGGGGGTGGGGAATCTGTGGTGGTGGTGGTGATTTTGGTTATGATAGAGGTGAATGAAATGAAATAACTTTTCGGATTTGAACGGTTGTGTGGTTTGTTGTGACTTGTGAATGTGAGGTGAATGTTTTTGGTGGATTTTGGGCTGAAAGTATTGATCACAGTGGTGAGAAAAGTGCCCTAAAGGTAAAGGTGGGTCTGTGGAACGATGCCGTTTGTGGTCAGTATGATTTAACCGTAAGATGACGTGATCTTGGTCTTTAAAGTGTGTTTTACTGTTGTTTAACACAGCAGTGCCATTCACCCACCCCAGTTGGAATGGATCCTTGGGCCCTAGCAATCTTTGTGGGGAACAAACTCGATCAATGTAAGCAGTGGAAGATACTGTCCGAACGTGGAAGCGTGAAGATTATTTCTAAATTTATGCCCAGGCAATTGCCTCAACTACCCACGACACGGCGATGACAGAAGTCTGGAAAATAAAGCCTTTTGTTTGTGATACCTCGTTTTAATGGCTGGCCGCAGCGATTATCTTAGCAAGCAAGCTAGCTGCAGCAAACAATGCGGGCGCTTTTCTAAATGAAGTAGAACTGCTGAAAATCCTTCCACCTTGGCAATTGAAGGATCACCAGGCAAACGCATAACAAGCTGTTCCAGTGTCTTATTAAATATCCGTCAATTCCAGAGAAAGGCTCCTCTGCTACTCTCTAACCTCTCCATCTTCGAAGACCTTCCGTGGGGCAAGAAGTGTATGGCATTTTGAATTGGCTTTGTCCGTCGCTTTGTCATTACACTGTCACTAAATTACCTGTCGCACTCGCATTGGAGCTTGAACGACGAAGAAAAAACATCAGAGCGATACCGCAGATCTCTCAGCCCCGGCCGGCTCGAAATCCTGGACCACAGACGATACTAAGAGACAGGCGAGTACGGAGACAGACACCGACGACGACGCCTCTCGGGTGTCCACATCTGGTTCCCCGTCCAACCACCCGAAAGATCCGCTCAGCACCTCTTCAAAGGATCTCCCGAAGCTCAACGGAAACCAAAGCGAACGTAGTAAATCGAAGATGAGCATGCTGAAAGAGTGGTGGGTTTTAGCGGGCCTCTCCCTCAGTATCAACTGTCTGATCGGGGTTGTCATGCTCGCGCTCGCGCTCGAGCTTGAATTTATTCCGATCTCCGCCTGGAACTTTCCAATGGCACCCGGCACAGTCATATCCACTCTTATGACAATCGCCCAGGTCTCAATGTTCCCGCTCATGGCAGAAGGCTTAAGCTTTGCATCGAGATACAGGCTCAGTGCTCGACTTGCCTTCATATCATTTGGAGTTTTCTTCGGCGTTGCAGCGCTTGCAACTTTTCAATTTGCTCAGCAGATACTATCATTCGATCTCTGTGACAACGTTCGGACTAAACCACCCGGTACAGCTGCGACCATTACGGTTACCGACACTTACTATCCCCGAGACTCCTGTGTAAGCGACCAAGAGATACTCACAGCCTGGGCTGCTAGTGGGTATGGCGATGATGTAAGCGACTTGGAACAATCTCTACAGTCCAAGTGCATCGACGCAAGCATAAGGAACGCTTTCCACACCGGCCTCTTTGACCTCAACGCTAGCTTCGAGAACTATTGTCCAGGGATGATCTGTACCTGGCCTGACTTCACTACGCTCGGTATCTGCAGCGAGTGTGCAGATGTGACGAGGTTTACTCAAGTTTGGTCAGCCGTCAAGGGAATGTGGGACGGCAGTGTACTTCTCACTACGCCCAAGGGACCGGGGTTGTTGATCCTCGACGCACCTGGCGGAACCAAAGATCCTATGGGAAGGTTAGGGAGCGAGGTAGCAGTGTCTGCGAGAAAGGATATCGACAAAGATGCTGCCGTGATTCTTGACTTCGCCTACGCGCAAGAAATCCCGGAGGCCGTATTCACCGGAGGAGAAACACCTTACGTTGTCACCGAATGTCAACTGAAATGGTGTGCCAAGGTATTCAGAGATGTCAAGAGTGTAAGTCCATTTTCCTACGTTTCCATCCGCCTTCTCTTCCGATAGCGCTGGACAATCCGCCAACACCTCTGTTCTCATCGTCTTTCTCAGGTGAATCGCTCGATGCAGTACAACGTCACAGACCTCCAGCTTCAAACAGTCGACCCTCCAGACTATGGCTGTGATGTCACACACTGCCTCTCGCCGAACACCACCACCACCACCATACCACCATTTCCTTATCCCCACAGCCTCCCCGATATAACCTTCCACGTCCGCGACTCCGACAGCCGCACTCTCGCCTCAGTCCTCATTAATGAGATGCACAATGACGATGCCGGCAACAGTAATAGGATGCTGCTGTACCACCCGACTAACGTCTCCGCCGCCGCTGGCCGCATTGCCGCTGCGCTGACTGACATTGTCCGCCGCAACGGTGATCTGGTCATTGGGGAATACTCCTATGGGGGCGACTGCGTTGTGGTGGGGTGGTACTGGGTGTGGTTGGTGGATGGGTTCGTCTTGCTGCAGCTGCTGATGCTGCTCTGTGCGTTGTGGCGACGGTGATGGTGGTTAGTGCTGCGGTATTTGGCGGTACGGGATGCGGGAGGTCTTCGTTCTTGTTATTCTTACTGCGCGGATTGGGAGGGCTCAGGGCGGAAGGGAATGGTGGTGGCGAGTTGAGGGAAGAGTTGTTGTGTAACACTGGTGTGTTTCTCCTGTATAACAGTCGTGAATCATCGTTCTTGGACACACCTTTGAATTCGACACTTGAGAACAGCGCTAAGACCAGTATCTATCGAAAGCCCTCAATTCCCATTTGACATAGCCCATAGAGACCAGAAATAATCAGTCCATACCAATAGCAATCTTGAAAGCCGCTACAATTTCCTCTCGCGAAACGTCCCTTGTGTTCATCATGGTGCCAAGCTCGGAAAGGACCCCAATCAACCTTTCGGACGGGATACTCGGGATCTCCCCAGCACGCAACGGAAACGCTGTGATTGTGATATTTGTTCGTACGTTTTTTAAGGGTTCCAGATGGCGCTGCGGGCTTAAGGTCAAGACGAGCCGGTTATGTTGTCGAGCCCGCATATTGTGCTCACTTATCTGTGAGCAAGAATTCCAGATCGATCGGACATTTTTACATACAGTGTGCTGTCGTTCGTCATGTGATCAAGAACGTCTTGTTCGATGTCTCACTTCAGAGCCCGCAGCTCGATCGCCACATCGTCTCGTAGCTGTGTTTGAAAATTCGGGGTTGAGCCCGAAGGTATGATCTCCTCACATACCAATCACAATCGCAATTGGCGCAGTTTTCCTCTTTCCCGCTCACTGGCGGAAAGTCCCCTCTCGCAGCCGATGGCTAGCGTGGATTTGGTTTTTTTGTTCATGTCATGGGTGGTTGAAGCTATCGTCCGGACGAGAATGTTGAATTAAAAATTCTACATATACGTCCTGACGATAGATTCAACTACCCACATATGTTGTTTTTCTGAGAAAGAGTTGGGGCGTAGCTCTTTGAATTTGTCATGTTGGCCATTCATAGGTAGCGGCCAGAGTATTGCTGTGGAGTCGCTGCAATCAAGAAAGCCGACAGACGATGGAGGTGGCGCTGTCTTGCGGAAGATCCCAAAAGGGTGTGTTGTATGGTGAAAGGTGAAACAGGTATTTCGGAGTGCGATCGAATGCCATTGAATTTTTTAACCCTTCGGATATTATATCCGCTCTATTTCTTCCCGCCAAACAGCAGCAGTCCTTGCTCGCCCAAATCCTCCTCATCACTGTCTCTCTCCTCCGCCTCTTCCTCTGCCAAGGCATTGCGCTGGCCGAACAAGCTGCTAAACAGCTCATCAGCCTGGCGATCCTGCCAGGCATTGCGGTCCTCTGGGGCCATGTAGTTCTGAAGCTTCTCGTGCACAGTGTACCGCAGTTTACGGCCCTTGCTAGCGCGGACGTCAACGTTGGCGCGATGCGTCTTCGCCTCACGGGCGGCCTGCCAATGGCTGGTGATGGGCACGTTGAAGCTCATGCCGGCCAGGGCGCCCGTCTGGTTCTCCTCGCTGCGCCGCTCCAACAGCTCCTTCAGCAACAGCCCGTAGAAATCCGCGTCGTCGAAAATGTCGGCGCTCTCGGTGCCTGCTTGCAGCGGCGCGCACGACCGAGCGGTGCGAGTCTTTTGCACCAGTCTGGTCGAGTCTGCTAGTTGGGATGACAGCACGTCGACGATGGTTTGCTGGGCGGTGTTTGTGAGGCGGCCCTTGGCTGGCATGGCGGAGACGCCGCGGGCCTTTGTGGACCACTTTTCCAGCACGCTCTGCCGGTGGGGCAAAGTTTCGGACTCGTAAGACTGCATGTAGCTCCAGATCTCATCCGAGGGGGTAGAAGTGCTGATCTCGATGCGCTTGCGCTTCTCGCCGGTGCGAGTGGTGTGCAGGCTCTCGCGGAGGTCGTTGAGCGAGTTCCAGAGGTTACAGGCAGCCTCCTCGGCGGCGCGGACGGGATCGGTCAGGCTCTTTGCATCATCGGGGACCTCGACCTTGGGCGAAGAGAACGAGTTTGTCGAGATGATGGCCTTCTGGAGCCTGATCCTGGTGTTGAGGAGCGCATCGAAAGTCTTCCGCTGGGCTTTGACAGCGCGACCCTTCTCCGCGTCGGCCTTGGCTGCCTCCGAAATGGTTGCAGCGACGGTCTTCTGCTCCTCGCTCATGATCTTGCGCAGCTCGGCACGATCGACGCCTCCGCTCTTTGGTGCAGCGTCCTCCATATCCTCATCGTCATCCTCGTCGTCCTCGTCGCTAAGGTCGGTTGCTGAAGTGCCGTCTTCGTCATCTTCAGACCCGCTGCCTTCAATGCCGTCCATTTCGTCCTCCTCCGAGGCGCCGCTTTCGTCTTCGCCCATTTCTTCGTCCTCATCCTCCTCGTCACTGCTGTCCTCGTCGAAGCCTTTGCTGAACGGGTCGTCGCTGTCTTCTTCCTCGACGGCATCACGGCCAACACGAGAGCCCTCGTACTTGGGACCTAGCGGAACAGTTTCGCGCTTGCGCAGCTTGCTCTTTCTGCGATAATGTCAATCCAAATGATCTAGTAGTAGTATGCCTGGCGCAACATACCCAACTTCGACATAGTGTTCCCGTCCGTCATGCGCATTCTCCTCATCGCTTCCCGAGTCGTCGCTCTCGCTGTCGAAATTGTCCGGCTCTTCAGGGTCGAAATCTACGCAGCGCAACAGGCGTTAGCAAACTGATTTTCCCATAATAACTCGCGGATAATCGGACCTTTGGGCGCAGGACCGTCAAGGTCCGCGAGCTGCTCAGCCAGCGTCTTCGCGCGGTTTCCCTTGGCCATGTCGAAAGATTGGTTGTCTTTTTTGCGTGTTTTCGGCGGAGAGTTGCGCGGCGAAAACGCGACTGGAGAGAGCTCACAAAATTTCTGGTCGGCGTTTCGCAATCGCCGACGGGACAGGGGGGGCCAACGCCCGGCCCCGGTCCGGCCGCCGCATGCTCGACGACGTCACGCTTCAAAGAAAAGACGATGCCGCTATGAGGTCGCGCTTATTCTCGACGCTGCGCGCATTGCAGCATGAGAACCCTTTGGTAAGGAGACACAACTTTCTCGCTTGAACAAAATTGATTGACTGGATGCATAGGGTCTCCCGCGCTCCGGTGCGCCGCCGCAGATCCCGCGCATGCAGCGCGGTCTACCGCAGAAGCGCAATATCAGAGATGTAAATAAAGTCGTCGCTGTTTCATCCGCAAAGGGCGGAGTTGGCAAGTCGACAATAGCCGGTAAGCGGCCATGATCGAAATTTGTTTTCAAAATTCCAATCTGACTTTCACCAAGTCAATCTCGCTCTTTCCTTTGCTCGCCGCGGTCTGCGAGCCGGCATCCTCGACACCGACATCTTCGGCCCCTCCATCCCCACCCTTCTCAATCTCTCCGGAGAACCAAGGCTATCAGCCAGTTAGTGATCCATTCTCAATTGCCCCCTCTCTGACCACAGCAAACTGATCTCAACCCCCCAGACAACCAACTCGTCCCCCTCTCCAACTACGGCGTCAAATCCATGTCGATGGGCTACCTCGTCGGCGAAGACGCTCCCGTCGTCTGGCGCGGGCTCATGGTCATGAAAGCGCTGCAGCAACTCCTCCACGAAGTCGACTGGGGCGGACTGGACGTCCTGGTCCTCGACCTGCCGCCGGGGACCGGCGACGTGCAGCTGACCATCACGCAGCAGATCGTGCTGGACGGCGCCGTCATCGTCTCGACGCCGCAGGACATCGCCCTCAAGGACGCCGTCAAGGGCGTCAACATGTTCCGCAAGGTCTCGGTGCCGCTGCTCGGCGTCGTCGAGAACATGGCGACTTTCCACTGCCCGCACTGCCACGCTGAGACGCCCATCTTCACGTCCGCGTCGGCCGGCACCGATCACTCGTTCCATTCGCGCTTCAAGGAGCTCGGCGTGCCGCTGCTGGGTGAGATCCCGCTGCACCCGCGCATCTGTGCCGATGCGGACCGCGGCAAGCCCAGCGTCGTGGCCGAGCCAGCTGACAGCCCCAACGTACGCGCCTTCGAGGGCGTGGCGGCGAAGGTGGCGGAGAAGATTGGGTTGGTTTGAAGGAGAAGGATAAAGAGGGAGGGAGCGGAGTTAGGTAGGGCTGAGATTTGGATGTGTGTGTGTGTGTGTGTGGGCTTCAACTCTGTAGCCGTCAAAAAAAGAAACTAAGCAAGTCAACCTTGATCCTTGATCGATAACATTCGAGAAGTTCAGCCCTCATTCCTACCGGAAGAATTAGACAGGTTTTATTGTTTACTGTGTGCTTTAAAAAAAAGGAATAGTGTCAAGAATACATCTAGCATGACCAATCTTACACCAACCACCTCACCTCTCACCTTCGCACACATTATTTATAGACCATTGATACAGATAAAACCTACATACAACGAGACTTCGACCAGACGAGTGCGCCCCCGATTAATCCGCCGCCGGAGTATTCGCCACCTGATATCATGCAAAGCTCATACATAGGGCAAAACGGCCGTTTCTTGAGAGAGAAAAAAAAGTAGAAAAGGGGGAGGACAACTTAAAGGAAGCAGCAGCAAAAGATACTTCATGCATTTCGATGGTGATGATGATGTTTCCGTTGATTCATGCCCGACTCCAATTTTCGCGCATTCCGCCCCAATTTGTTGTTTAAAAGGAGACTCATGATCGAAGGGGTGTAACTGAAAAAAAAGGAAAAAAAAAAGGAATACCAAATGTACAAATGTGCCCCCCATCCAGTTTCCCCACTATCCTATCCTGCTTCCTCCATTTCGAGGTCGTCTTGGAATCTTACTTGTTCGGGTGGATATCAATCGTCGCCTTCAGGTTGTTGCGCTGGCTGTGAAGTTGCAAGTTGGCTGCGCCCGGAGCGTCGAAGCTGAGGAATCGCGACCATTGCGGGAACCCATCCACGTAGCCGTTGCCCTTCTCTAGAAGGCGATGATACGTGCCTTATCCAAGCCAACCTCCTCCTCCACCATCACCCCTCTACCACACTCACAAATTAACGATAAAACCCATCCGCATCATCCCGCACTCCTCCACCTGCCATGGCTGCTGGCTGCTGTCCCCACCTTTGCGCAGGCGCGCCGGCGTTCGGGTTGTACGCCTGGTAGCCGCCAGCGCCTGCTGAGGGGGGTCCACCGGGAGCAGTACCAGCCGGCGGCAGCGTCATCGTGCTCTGGTTGAAGGCCATGTACGGGCTCTGGCCCGGCGGCGGCGTGTTACCAGAAGGAGGGTACGCGCCAGGCACCGACTGCTGGTGCTGGTGCTGGGGCTGCGGCGCTTGTTGGGCGTACGGGTCGGACGGTCCCTGCGGAGGCTGGCCCGGGTAGGCTGAAGATGGCGAGTCGTACGAGGATTGGCGGTTAGGCTGGGGCTGGGGCGGGTAGCCTGATGCGGGAGCCTGGTCTGTAGGGATGCCGGGAGGGGCTTGGCTGGGTTGGGGAGGATAGGCGGCATAGCCCTGCTGGGGAGGCGGCCTGGAGTCGACAGGACTGTTGGCAGCCATTTCCTGGGGGAAGGCCATGGATTGTGGTCGTCCACCCACAGGCACGCGCTGCGGCACGTAGGAGAGGTCGCCATTGGCTGGCTTGGGGCTAGTCATCTGTGCGGAAGGAGGTGCTTGTCCGGGAGGGGCCATCGTAAAGGGCTGGGGTCCGTTCTGAGGAGGATATCCGTAACCTTGCTCTGCTGCTGGAACGGGTGAGTAATACCGATCCTGAGGAGGTCCTTGCGGAGGGTAGCCTCCGTATGGAGTGCTCTGAGGCGGCGGTGCGCCTGCGCCGTAGCCATAAGGTTGGCGACCGTAACCGGGCTGTGCTGCTTGCGACATAGAAGCCTCAAGGAGGGACTCGTAATCGCGGCGTGCCTTGATGAACTTCTCGTTCAACTGCGTGAAGTCGTCTGGAACACAATCAGTCATTGATAAACCATCCGGTGCAACAACCTCAACTCACCCTTCTTCTGCGAGTACTTGCCAATGAGCTCGATCAACTTCGGCCGTATCGACACAGTCTTGTGGTACAGCGAAGTGATCTCCTCATTTTCCCTCGCATCAGCACTCGAACTAGTGCTCAACAAGGCCAACAGCTTCTCCACGTTCTTGATCTCGGCAAAGACCTCTGCTTCCATCTGAGCTTCCCTCTCCAGCTCCTCCTTGGTCGGGTCCTGCAGCTTCTCGACATAGTTGAGGGGAAAGATGCCAGTCTGTCCCCGCAGCGAGCCCTTCCACCAATCCTTGTACACAGACTCGAGCACCGCAATAATGTCACCCTTGCGGAAGGCCAACTCGCCGGGTTCCGAGGGCGTGAAGTCGTAGAGAGCACGAACGCGGGAAACGGTCGCTGCTGTGGTTCCAGATGCAATAGGTTGGTGCTGCTCTTGTTCCTGGGCAGGCTGTTGTTGTGTGTTTGCTTGCGGCTGGTTGGACCTGGCGGCGGACGGCTGAGTTCCGTTTTCCTTGATGGAAAGGGCCAGAGCCATCTGTAGCTCGTCCTCCTCTTTCTGGCGGTCGGCATCGGTGATCTGGGTCTTCTGAGGCTTCGACGGAGGTCGTAGGTTCGGGTCTAGGAAATATCAATCAGCAAGTGCCCGACAAAAGAGGGCTTATCCCGCGCACTTTGTGTCTTGAGCCTCATGTAGGCCTGCTCCATGATGCCAAGGTCAGCGTCCTTGGAGAACATCTCCGTCCACTCGCCCATCCGCTCCAGGATCTTCGCCTTGACCTGCTGGTGCGTGTTCCGGTCGTTTGCCAAGCGTAGCAGGGCATCGGTAAAGCTCCGCGAGGCCAGCTCCTTGTGAATCTTCAAGCCGCAGTTCTGCGACAATGCGTTCGCCAGCTAAACCACACACGTAATCCCAGCGTCAGCATCATTCTGACGCGCATGTATCGAGTGTGGCATGTGAAAGGAAGGGCCACCAACCTCAAGGGTGTAGAGCTGGACATTGGCGTTGCGATGCGCCAGGCGCTTGATTAAGGCAGCAACGACGTCCTTCGCCCTGCAGCCTCCCAACCACAAGTTAGCCTTGCCCTCACCAGGGACATCCTGCGAAGGTGAGGAAGATCGTACCCGCTATCGCTGGCGCCAACTTTGTCGCAAACATCCTGCACAGGTTGTCTCAGTACTCGGTCACGCGTGTGTGCGGGCGCGGGGTCGCGGGCGTACGAGTATGAATTCCCAGTTCTCGCTCGTGAGGTTCTCGTCCGTAGCTCGCACTGCAGCACGCAAGCTCCACCGTCAGCAAATCCATTCATCGATCGAGGGGGCGTGGGCGGGCGGGCAGGAGGAGGCGCGCCGTCGTTCGGTCTCCCGCTCGCCGCGGCGGCGGTGCCCGGGAAGCTGCCGCGACACACTCACCGACTACGTCGTCGAACTGGTTCGCCTGCGCGCGGAACATGGTTGACCGGAGCGCAAGTCGCTGTCGGAAAGCTGAGTGCGCGGGGTATCGAGGGGTGAAAGTTGCTCCAAGGTTCGCGGTTGGGGTTCGGAGGGGTTTGTTGGACTGGTGGTGTTGAAGCCTAAAGCAGGTGCTCTGGGGGCTCTCTAGTGCGAGACGTCACCGAAGGGTGGCGCCCTACCGTACTCGTACAACACGGACAACCCTGCATGACGCGCACAAGCCTGCTTCGACCCCATCAGCAAAGCCTCCACAGCTGCGACATGTAAAAGCGCGCAGTGACTTCCTTCGAGCTCCGCGCCCGCAGCCTCTAACATTGCACTGCCATTGTGAACGCGTAACGTACAGTGGTGGCCTAATCACGAATTGCTTGTCTCCGCCTCGGCATGGCTTTTACAAATAACTGCTGCCTCGTGCACTGCATTTTAAGATCGTCGAGTACGTATTCGTGTACATGCTCAAATTCGCATTGACTGCAAAACCGAGGCACACAACAGGTTCGGATACTCAGCCAAAATCCACATGAAGAATGCCTGACGAAGCATGTCGAAGGCAGAAGAGAGTTCCATTACATTCAGCCGCTCTGCTCGTTTCCGTGCTCGTCGATCCGCATAACCGGTCCCAATTTCCCTTTCCACCAAACCGTGAAAGAAAAATTGGACGAACATGGAGAACTGGGGGGCGATTTGTGGATATTAAAAGAGAAAACCCTGATTTCGTCGGGGATGATGATAGTGTGGCACCAGGGTTGTATCTACAGAGATGATGATGGGGTTGGGGGAATGACTACGCATAATGAAAAAGATGTAAAAAAGACTTGGAATCCCGAGAAGATGCACGCCTTGAAGCCAAACGCCCTCCCTCGGTCCTGATATTCCCCCCTCTCTTCCCTTTCCATCCGTCCAAGAAAAATTAGTAAGAAAAGATTTTAGCCGCCGTAGTTCCACCCCCCACGTAACGGTCCCTAATAGCAACTCCAGAACGCAATGACAAAGGCGTGAATCTCGCCAAATCAATTGCACTGCAAGACATCCCCTCCCAAACCAGCGCAGCACCCTAAAAGGTCGTCTAGGCCTCGACGGAAACCTCAGCAGACGCGCCAGCCGATAGGTGAGACGAATCGTTATCCTCAGCACCGGCCTCGGCATCGCTGATGTTGTCGTTGCCGTTATTACTGCTCTCATCACCCGTGTTCTCGGCATCCCGAGAATCATGCTCTTCTCCCTGCTCTGAACCAGGACTTCCGTTCTCGGCGCTGTTCTCAGTCATGAGGGTTTGCTGGCTTCCAGCTTGTGCATCGTCCATGAGAACCGGCGAGGCTCTGGCGGTGGTCGGAACTGCAACCTCCGGTTCCTGCGCTCCGAGGATAGCTTCCACGAGCGCCTTGCCGTCCATGGCATCGCCGGCAGCGGCGCCCATTGCCGAGCTCTCGGCACGAGGTCCTTCCTCGGGGAACAAGTTCGGATACTGGTCCTGCGGATGGGTCAAAGAAGGCGTCGATAAAGGCGCTGGGGCAGCGACTTCGATATGACGAACGCCTTCGCCCTCAAATTCAGACGTTGCTGCATCTTCGACCAGGAACTCGTTCTGTTCGAAAAGAGCCCCGCCGACGTCGAGGAAATCCCGGAAGAACTCTCCCACAGCCAGTGCCATTTCATCAGCTCTAACGAGAGCTTCGGCTTCTTTAGCCCGACGTTCGGCTTCCGCCAACTCCTTGAGACGGGCAGCTTGGCGCTCAGCGTCGCGGCGGCACAGCGTCTGAACACGAGGCTTCATCGAACAGACCGGGCAATGGTAGTGGGTGGAGCAATACGCGCATGGGCAGGGAGGGTTGACGTTCAAACAGCCCTGGAGAACGGGTTAGCTCAAATGTTAAAAGAGGGAAAGAAGAGTATGAACTCACATCGCAGACCAAGACGCCACAGTCGCCGCACTCCCTCATACCAGCGTTGCAACGCGGTCGACAGTCACCGACCGGCCGAAGCTGCTGGCAGAAGTAAGCGCCGCACCCTCGCCATTGCACCGGGTGGCGTGGGGTGCCTGGCAAAGGAAGCCTCATGCGCGCTCGTTCCATTTCCGCAATCCTCTTGCTCAAAGCGTACTGCTGAGCATCGTTGGGCGCCTTACCCTTAGCCCACGGGGACAATGAACGTGGCGAGCGGTTTTCGGAAGCGCTGAGCGCACGAGGACGCGAAGAGAATGGAACACCCGAAGATCCTTCGACCAAGTTCTTCAAAGCCGGGATAGAGTTTGACATGTCCGATTCTTCTTCATTGGGATTAGAGGTGAAGAGGAACGACTTCGTTATACTCCGAAGGTCCGGATTGGAAGAAGAGTGAGAATCCGTTGAATCCTGGGTTTCCATCGCGCTGGACTGCTCTGCACGCTGGGTCGGCGGCACATATGCAGGTATGTGCAAATCAGGATACGACACGGGTAATGTTGTTGGAGTATGCGCCCTCAAGTATTCCCGCTCAAGGTGCAGCTCTCGGTAACCGCACTTACGTACCTTCAGACCTCGGAAGTCATGCTCCTTACACAGCGGCTTCTTGCACGCCTTGCAGGCGACCTTCCACCGGAACGTGCGGTAACAGTCCTGGCATAAGCTGCGTGGACATGTCGCTGCCTGGAGGTCTAAGTGATCTTGCTGGAGATACGGCACGATGTCTACGTGCTCGCCCAACACATGTTCGTAGAGAGTGGCGTTCTTGAGCTCCCGTATCAATTCTGGTGACCGCAGAACTGACATGAAATCCGCATCCTCGAATTGCTGGCCCTTTGGCAGCGGCGTGGCGCGTATCCTGTCAGCTCCTCTGCCACCGACGCCGGGTCCCAATACTACTATTCCTCCGCCGCCGGAAAATACCGGTTCCACGCAGCACCAGTTCATATTGAGCTTGGGCGGAGTCGATACGTTCATGACAGCTAGCGGATTCCCTCCATGAAGCGGTCCAGGCTCATCAGAATCGGAAGCATCATCGTCCGAGGCTAGTTCAGTCATTAAGTTCGGGGATCTTGTCGCACCTGGTGCCCACCAGAAACGATTACTTATCTTCCTCTCTTCTTCCTCCGCGGCGGTCTGCTGGGAATTGGACTGCACATTACTCGCCGCGATCACTCCAAGATTGGTCAGGGTTCCAAAGGCCTGGCTGGTGAAGGCACGATTTGTCCGTCTCCTCTTCCGCGGAATTGGCCTGTTGAACGCGCAGCTCGCACACAACGTCTTCCTACAACCCATGCAGTGCATCCGGATGCTGCATTGCTCGCACCTCTCCAGGATGGCATCCCCGCATTGATCGCACTTGATGTCGTCCACGAAAATCCGATGGCTCCTCCGGAGGTGTGCAGGCATGTCCTTTCCTTCTCCCCTGTGCGGCCATCCAGTGCTCGTGCCGAGCGGCTCCCCATCGTGTCCACTCTCCGCATCCTCCCACATCCTTCCGTCAGAATGAGCGGGCGGGTTATCCGAGTCCGGCGGTCCTATCCTGTTCCCCGAGCGCCACAACCTGTCGAAAGGCACCCACACCTCGTTCGTCCCGGGAGCCGCACGGCCGGAGTAGTAGTCCTTCCTCCTGAAGCAACGGCCGCCCGGGGTCGTGCACCACATGGTATCCGTCCAGATGCCGAGCTGGTGGCAGATCTCGATGAGCTGGTGGGTGGGCTCCGAGTCCGAGTCGCGCCTCATGAGGGACGAGGGCAGGTAGGGCCGGCGGCGGTGGTGGCGGCAGCGGTAGGTGTACAGGCTCCGCAGGGCCAGCTCGCTCGTCTTGGCCCACGGGCTGCCCGGGTGCACGTACGGCTCCAGGAAGGGCACCAGGTGGTACTTGATGGAGACGTTCTTGCAGCCGCGCACGCTGAGGTGCTGCAGCGTGTGCACGCGCGGCTCCAGCACACGCGACACCAGCCGCACACCGGACACGGCCGTGTTGCAGAGATCCAGGCTCGTCAGCCGTGTGCCGAACGGCACCACCACCTGTATCAGCAGCGCGTCCAGGGCGTACTGCTTGGCGTTTCGCGCCGGCCCATCAAGTGCATCGCCGTCCGGGTTGTTGACGCCCAGGGCAGGCTGGGGCGCGCGGAAACTCAGAGTCCGCCATGCCAGCGGGTATTCGGCCAGGAAGCATCGCAGGTGGCGCGAGGTGTGGAACAGGTCGATGAGCGAGCGCGTGGGCAGCGAGGCCAGGAGGCTTTCGGCGATAGTCGGATGCGTCGTCAGGATGCTCTCGAAACGGCTCTTGGGGGCCGGCTTGCGGGGCGTGGATGGCGGGACCGTGGCTGAAGACATGACGGCCACGGCACTCGGGGTTTGGTCGTGTGAGGGCGCGCCGAAGAGGTTTGACGGTGAGGCGACGGGAAGTGTGAGAGCCTCCATGTCGGCGGCGAACTGCACGGCGTCAGGCGGGCGGAAAGGGTCCTCTCGTCGCAGAGGCGGCGGCGGAGTGCAGGTGCTCAGGCGGGCATGTAGGCGGAAAGGGCGTGGGCGAGTTGACTCCTTGTGGGCGGTGGTGCTGCAGGTCGGCGTGTTCTGTGGTGATTTGCGTCGTCGCACGCGCCCTATGGTTCTACCAAGGCTCCCCGGCCCGCATCCAGACTTAGAAAGACTGAGAGCACACTCCAAGGGGCACCGACGCCGCACGGCATACAAGACATTCACCAACTTCTACCTGCTATAGTAGCCCAATCCAGCAGCGAGGACCAGAGCCGCATCCGCGCAACGGCCGGTCTCTCGCTTTCGCCGCCGGCAGCCTCACCTAATCTCCGCACCGTCCCCAACAACGTATCCCCTCGCCAGTCCGCCTCTGCCCTCCTCAACCCGCGCGCCCCTTTGCGCCCCCTCTTCCTCCGCCTCATCGGCTGCCTGCGTATCGAAGTCGCTGCCGAGCCCCTGCCACGTCCTCTGGCTCCGCAGGAATTCGGCGCCCGGCGACGCCACGCCACCAATTTGCGCGACGTCGCCGTTTGCACGCTTGATAAGGGAGTGCCCGGCCTTGCTGGCCCCGTTGATCTGCGCAGCGCCCTGCCGCTCGCTCGCCGTCGATGCCGCCGCTGTCGCACGCATTGGCCGCGCATGTGAGACATAGCGGCCGGTGCGGAGGTCGAACTCTGGCGGCGCCGATTCCTCTTCAGAATCCCACCCCTCTCCCGTTGCGTCGCCCGCCGCATCGCCCTGCCCCTCATCCGCCTGCGTCTCAGCATCTGCCTTCGCCTCTGCCTTCGCCTTGAGCACTGCCTGGAAATCGCCCGTCCATTCCCCCGTCCACACGCGCTCTGAGTCATCCTGTAGAGTGAGCTGCAGCTCGAATGGTGTGATGATGGGTTTCCAAAAATCCTTGCTCTCGATCAAACTACTCTCCCAACACCCAATGACGACCCAACCGCCGACTTCGGAGAAGTTGGCCACCTTGGCCGCATTGATCTTGCCAACTACAAACGTGTAGCTCTTCTTGCCCGCCGCCGCAATCATTTCCTTGACGTGATCCACAATGTGCAGGTAGTTCTTGACCGACAGAGTGTTGATCAAGATACCAAACACAGGCTCCACACTGAGACGTGTCAGGAGGGCGTAACGGCGACGCAGGGTCTGCGCTGACGAAGCGAGCAGTGCTTCTGTCGGCTTAGATGCGTCCGTGGGGTATATATGTATGGCACCGACGCGGGACGAGAGCGTCAGGAGCAGCGAAGTTGGCGGGTCGGAAACATGGAAGAGCTGATAGTCTCTGAGTGCCGATTGATCCTCCTTGACCTCGTCCGGCACACTTCTGTTCGGCAACGGAGAGGACGGGTCGTGGACGATCTCTGTAAGGAAGAGCGCGGTGTAGCCCTCGCTCTGTAGTCTTTCGAGTAGCGGCGAGAGATGATGCGAGTAAGGTATATCTGCCATCAGCACAATCTTCTGGTCCTTCTCCGGGTACGTCTGCTTAAAGACGTCCACCACCGGATCCAGCTCCAACGGCCTCGTCGTGAACACATAGATGACCGGCAGCCTCGCCGTCGGCGACAGGCAAGACCTGCCGTAGTGCACCACGACATCCGCATCCACATGCTCCGCCGCAACCTCGTCCACGCAGCAAGCGCCGTACGACGTGTCCCCCAAGATATACAGCTGCTCCTCCTCCTCCTCCGCCGCAGCAGCGTCCCCGCCATTCACATCCACCTCGGCCAGCCTCTCCGCCGCACCGTCCACCTCATCCTCCTTCGCCTCCGCACTCGCTTGTTCCCTTCTCGCAGATGATGCCGCGTCTTCCTTCCGCGCCCGCGCCAAGCCCCTGCTCAGCGCGGCGTACACGCGCGGCGCGTCCACCAGCATGTGATCCGGAAACTGCAGCGCGATGCGCCGCCACCGGCCCGCGCGGATCTCCCTGACGGTGCGCTCGACCTCGTACGTGATGGCGAGCTGCGCGTCCGAGACCTTGCGTACGCTGGCCGGGTCGACGGGGGGCGTCGGGTCCTCGAAGATGTGCGTCTCGGGCGTCGAGAGGACGGGCGCGACCTCGAGGGTTGGTGGCGCGGTCATGGTTGGGGATTTCTCGTGGTGATGGCGGCTGCTGTTCGTAGAGAGGATTCGCAGAGCGGAATGGGAAGGGAAGGGAAGGGAAGACGCGGATAGGTAATTGGGAGGTTTGGGTGGCGTTACTTTTTTCTGCCTAAGGAAAAATATCGTGCGGGTTGCGATGGGCAGCGGCGGGGCAGAAGCAAGAGAAAATTCACGCGAGTCATGTTGCTTATTGCCCGCGGCGAATCTCGGACGTCACTCGTCTTCAGCAAGGGAGATCTGCTAGTGATTTGAAGGCATTGTTATTTCTTATGGCTTTCAGTTTGGATTTGGTGGTAGAAGAGAGCCACGCTAACATCCGACACGACATTACTTTTTTTCGTAACCAGACGAACGGGAGGTGTTGCATGCAGGCACATGTCTCGCTTCGACCTTACCCGACGGGAGAGCGATCAAATCATCACCGTCCAGTAGTATGAATTGTATAGTAATGCTAATGATATCATTCATGTTCCTAGAATAAAATACACCGGCCTCCGCAAGCTCATGAGAACTCATTGGGTTTCCAAGATACAGAATTTCCAACCCAAGAAAAGTTCATCCAGCTTTGAAAATTCCCAACGCCAAATAATGCCTCGTCGTATCTCATTATGCCCGCTTCTTACGCATTACCAAAACTGCCATGTATTAGAAAAATTTCATCAAGCTGTTACTCGCTTTAGAGCATGAGGGCTACACCGGCAACAACAGCTGCCAGGAAAGAGTAGAAGCTCGGCATGGTGGTGACTGCAGCGCTGGTAGTTTTCAGCTCCTCCAACTTCATCTCCGGAATATACGTCGTGGCCGTGGAGTTGCGGTCGCCGTTCCAGCAGTACTTGTTGAAGCATTCAGTACAAACATCTGGTACGGTGGTGCCAGTCCTGTTCCAGCTGCGGGACATGATAGCACAACCAACGCACGTCGGCCACTGCGAATCGAGCGTGCCGTTGCCCATGGTCGCGACATCGTATCCGTTCTCGATCATGGCGTTGCGTTGGCTGATGCTGTACTCGCGAGTGAAGGTGGAGATGTTGGAGTTGAAGACGTAAGGAGCGTTGGGAAGGTATACGATCAGAGGCGTGGTGCTGGAGAAGTTACCAGCATCGCAGCCGAACATGGTCGGTCTGTTGTTCAGACCGAGGTTGATGAAGGTGTTCTGATCAGGAATAGATGGGAAAATGGTGCCGTTGGCCTGCGTCACGTTGAGAGAGCGCTCGTAGGTTGCAACCATGGCGGTACCGTTGGGCCATCCGGGAGCTTCATCGGACACAGTGTCTGCGGAAGAGTCGATGGCAAAGATGACATCGACATTGCGCAGAGGCTGAATGAGTGGGTTGAGAGGAATATTCTGCAGATCTTCGCCTCCATCCACAAGTGTCAGCCGCTTGCTAGAAGCACCCTGGTTGGTTTCGTTGTTCCAGTGGTAGAAAGGGTTAGGGGACCAGTCCGCAATGTCGTTGTTGCTCTCTCCAAAGTTCTCAAGAGCACTGGTCAAGACGCCCTTCAGGCTATCCGGCACGCCCTCCGTGTCGTTGATCTGGAGGAGGAACTGGTTGAACAGCGAGCTAGAGGTTCCAAAAACAAAGCTGAGCGAATCATAGCCACGAACACAGCGCTCACTGCTCGGAAGCTGTCCGCCGCTGAAGTTAGATCCCACATAACGGAGAGGGGCAAAGCCAAAGACAGTCGGATCGAAGGAGCCCATTTCCCACGGGTTGAATTCAAAGTTGGTCGTGTTGCTGGCTATGACAAGCTGGCCTGGCTCCCTGCCATCCGCGACCAGAATGGGTAGGGGCGCGTCGCCCTTCTTGAAGTAGTCGTCATCTTGGATGGATGAATAAGTGTATCCGGGACCGCCGTCGCTGGCATTGAGAAGCTGGAAGGAAAGAGCGCGGCCCCAATAGTCGGTGATTGATGTATCGAAGCCAGCATCAACCTTGCCGTTGACCTGATCGTAGATGGTCGAGTAGTAGTCGGCTGTATTCAGGATCTGGATGCCTCCCTGTTCAGGACCTGACAGAATTGAGTTTTGAAACTGCCAGAGATCACCGGATTGGTCGGTATTCGCATTGATGATGTCATACACCGAGGTAAAATTGTTACCGTAAAGCGACGACACCAGCCAACCACCGCCAGACAAGCCTGCGAAGTACGTGGAAGACTGCAACAGGCCGCCAATGTGACCACTTTCGGTCGAATTTGGCGTCCGGCTGTCGAATGCTGCAACGGCACCAGCGCCATTCAGCAACGCACGGTAACCTCCACCGGACACGGCAATGCCAATGTTGGGCAGAGCAGAAATATTTTTGGCGGCGCTGTCAATGTACGAGTTGGAGTCAAAACCGGAGATATTCAGTCTGCCCAAAAGGTCCCGCATTGCAGACACGGTGTTGTTGCGCCTCGTCTCGAGCCATGACGTCTCACTGGAGGAGAGAGAGGCAGCCTGTCTGATTGAAGGTCTGGTAGAGGGGCAATCGACTTCCTCAGGTGTATATCCATTGGGCGCCTGAGGGCTGGCCCGCTTGAATGCAGCGAGCGCAACTGCAGCAGCCTGTTCTGGCGTTGAATCACGCGGGACTGCGATTACATTCGCTACAAAAAAGAGTTAGCGAAATCTCTAGTTCAGGTAAAACCATTTCGCGAGAGCCGCATAGTGTGTTTCGGTCGCACAGGTGCCATTGGTCTTGTTTGTTGTGTGTAGTGCTAGCCTGAGCGAACGCTCGGGCTCTCTGTACGAACTGAAGGCGACTCGCGGCAACTTGGACAACAGAGTAAGGTTGGGCTCGTGCTTACCGGAAGCTGCAGAGAGCAGCAGAGACGCACTGACGGCGGTATCAAGTTTCATGACTCTGTAAGGCTGGGAAAGGAAGGGTGGAGTCGGGAGCTGAGCATGCGACAGCAGATCGCGCAGCTTTGTAGGTTTGCAGTGGGCTCAGCTTAGGCGCCATGTGCTGCAAGGCAGCGCCCTCAGCATAGCGCTAACGACGGGTAGACCGGATGCGGCGCACGGAAATTGGGGGCTATGACATCGCTCAATACCCTGAGATCTGCACGGGGGTTTGCAGTGCCTTCGTGTGCCGAGGGGGATTGGCACCCGCCCTGCAGTTCTCCAGACACGCAGCTACAAGGGGCAGAGCAGGAATTCGCGCTGTAGCAGTACCTAATGCTAGCAGCGCATATTCTTTAGCCCGCTCCTATAGCCTTAGGACCAAGCTACGTCAGACGGTGCTGCATAGCGGGATGATCCTAGCGCTGGGCACCTTACGGCCCTACCACCGCCACAAACCATGACGCAGATCCCCTGAGACAGCACAGAACAATGTTGTCCCGGAACTCGGCAGTGGCAGCCTTCCAGCCAATGCAATCAATAACCAGTCTTCCGGCAATCTCCAGCCACCCTTTTCTATTCTTCGCAACGGCTGCCACTTTGCACAAGCGCATTCCACTGCTGCTCAGCCACGCGTCAGCCGCCATCGCGCAGCATTCCAACACCGGGTAGTGGTTGCTCAGCCTCAGATCCCTACCTTGGGTCAACTCCCCACTTGCTAAATTCAGCGAAAACTGATCACGGGAACTCGGCGCAGGATACGATTTACATACGAATGCGAACACGCGTATAGTTGGATCTTACTCATATTACAATCCTCTGCTTCCCTTTCTCGGTACCTTCGTGCGAACAGGATGCGGGCACACTTCCGGCCCTTACGGATCTTCAGAGTCGTTGACATTGGCTGACCTGAATCCACGTCACATACTTGGCGGGCACCGCGGGCACCGCGGGGGCGGACAAACGCACAATTCGGACCGCTGCACTTCCGGACAGCTCACCAAAATCCACTTCCCACCTAACGCAATTCACAAAGTGATGGCTCAAGTCAAACTTCTGTTGGTGTGGAATTCCGGTCCACATTTGTGGCAGAGTACTCTATAAATAGCGCTACACACTGACGCTCCAGATCTCCACCCAAGAATCTGACAGAACTCATTCAACGCTCAACGAAAACATTTGAGAAACATTTCCAGCGAAAAATAATCTTCATAGAGATCCATCACAGCCAAGATGTCGAGGCGACGCATCTCTCTACGGATTTGTAGGAATATGCGCAGTTGCAGCCCGATCCGCCCGCACCCGGTGGTTTGACATGAGTATGAAGCCTTACCGGAAAACGACTGCTCCCGTACTCCGGTATTGTTATCAACAGACAAGAGCACTGCATAAGGTTGAAACACTCCATTGTTCTGCCTGCATGTCTTGTCCCACAGGCACGATTCCCCATCCGCATGGCCATACCTCATGCGTCACGGACGCGTACCTGCCGATCCCGCCTGTGCAGCCAAATCGCTTCGCACATCACGATAAATATCACCGAATTCGCCTGATTGTCCACTAAAATGTCAACGGTTTCCGACTCTGAGAGAATGTCTGCACTGAGTTAGCAAATCGGCACGAGATGAACAATGGGTTTACTTGCGTTTCTGTAGGACATTTGCGAGCACACGATTGCAAAATTTGGCCATGATTGCCCGACCCCGGTCCGAACAGCACATGCGAGACAAGCTTCGTCGGTAAGGAACACCGGCAACCAGCAACCTTGAGCGACCACAAATGCCGTAACTAAATCTCCTCGGAAGATGGTGATCTCAGATCTACCATGAGAAAAGGACTTGAAGCCTTCCTGGGGTGAGCCGAAAGGAAGCAGCTTCTCAAGCTCTTCTGTGATGGTATCATGATCATCACACCTACATTGCCGACTGGGGGCCAATCCGGTGCCGCGGGTGATATTCTCGATGATCCTGCCCGGACCAAGAAGATCGATGCCATCTTTCAAAGGCAGCCGGAAACCCACCTCCAGCCAAGGGCTTCGCTCGTTTACGAGCTGTTCCTCCACCACCAAGTCCAAGTCAGCCTGGCGGGGTATTGCGGTTTTTTCCTTGACCCTATCCGGTACGCATCTCTGTGGTCTGGTGACTGTTCTCCAAGGAGCAGTGTCCTGGTACTGGTGAGATCCCAGATCCGCGATTCCTTCGTAAGTCTGCTTTCTGTACTCAATACTCCCTGGCACAACCCAGACTTTTGATACTTCGTCAGCTCCCCGCAGCTCACTCTGCTCTAGTATGTTGAAGAAGCAACAAATGCCATGGATGGCAATGGCGGAAGTTTGCGGCTGGATATTTTTATCCAGTTGACGCCCAGAAAACAGAGTATGGGCTACCGCGAGTGGAGAATACTCCGGTGCTTCCTTGTCGCTTTTGACACGTTCAACGACTCGATACAGAAACAGCTCGTCTTTAACCACGTCTTTCGCTCCTTTACGCTGCACCATAAGCCTGTCATGCTGTTGATTGTAAAAGCACTCAAGGCCCGACCTATTCAAGAACATCTCTCTCTCCGTCCGTGTGCCTCTCTCGTTGACGATGTCGATCTTGGTCTCAATACCAGAGAGCACTCGAATAAGCCTGATAATAGCGCAAGAGAGCGCGATAAGGCAGTAGTTTCCATCAGGCTCCTTCTCGTTGGTCGTTGCTGCAGCAGTACGCTTTGGGGTTGGCCTTCCGTTAAAGCAGCAATACTTGCAGTGGCATTGCTCGGCGATCAGAAACATCGATTTCTCAAATTCCCGCTCGGCTTCGTCGAATGTTTTCAAGGCCGCAAATTTCCGCATATCCTCCTCCATGTTCCACTTCTTCAACTCTGGAAATCGGTCGAGAGCAAACAAGACATAGTCTATTCCAAAGCTCGACTTGTAGTACGTCTGGCATGCAGTACGCCATTCCAACGGTACGTCGTCGTCTCCCTCGGTCAACGCTTGGAAGACACGGGCAGCACAGCCTATTGCGGGCCCGAAGTTCGAGTGCAACCCCTTCAACCGCTGGAGGCTGGCTTTGAACGTGGTTGAAAGGGCACTGTTCCAGTAAACCCTTCCAGATATCTTGTTATCGGTGCTAACTTCCTTGCCCCTAATCACGTTTTTCAAGGGAGGTAGATAGATCAACCGACCCTGGACTAGCGTTCCTTCATAGGTGGCCTCCTGTGACAACACGACAACGACTCGAGACTCCAGGTTTGGTCCGTGGCTTGTAGCGACTTCTTGCAATGCTTCATCCTCCAGCTTGCGGAACGAGACCGGCAAGTCGGCGAGCCAGAAGCCGACCGCAGCTACCGCGACTGCGTCCGCGCCTCCAACAAGTGCGACTTTTAGGGACTTGTTTCTCGAGAGCTGGCAAATTTCATAGAGGGCGTCGGCTATCTTTTCCGGACTCGCGATCCCTCGAGATCTCGGGATCCTGCTGGAGTTCGACTTGGGTCGGCAGTATCCGGTAACCATGTCATGGCCATCGTGCGACATGAACTCTTCGACCCTGACCCCGAAATCCGATGTGGCGAACAGACCGGAAAACCGTTCGACCACTGTTTTGATGCTTTGTAAAGAGGGAGGGTATATGTCTTGCAGTGATGGATTATTTGGATTCTCGTCGAGGATCTTCTTGATCAGTTGAAGGATGATCTTCGCGGACCATTCTACCGAATAGCACTCGCAAAGGCAAGCGCACAGCGCGGCAAAGCACTGACCGTCGTCTTTGTCGTGAAGGAGGGTCTTGATCTCCGCAACGTCGATCCCGAACTTCAGCAGATAGTTGATCGAAGGCATTAGACCGTTAGTTTCTGACAGAGCCTTGTCCAAGCGATCTCGACCACTGTTGCTCCACTGCAGAGCCTGCCCGACGATCAGTGCCACGCTGTAAGCGTGAACATCGATTCGCTTTTGGACCAAGCATCTAAGCAATGGTCTAGAAATGTTGTACACCAGCTGTCCTGCAGTTGCAACGTCCAGCGTGGTCTGGAAGGAAGATGATCCGTTGTTGCGAACGACGGCACGTGAGGATCCATCATCATCTGGAGGTGTTGTAGGTGGCATTTTGGCGATATGAGAAGAAATGAATATCACCTTTGACGATGGTAGGGCGATGGTGGGGAAATAATCTCATGAACAAAGTGTGTCGCTCTGTCGTTCGTTGTGAACGCTCCTGGCCTTTGGTGAGAGCGCGTGATACGGCTGCTTACTGTGCGTGAAACGACAGGCGAGGGGATCACCAATCATTCCCTCATCACACTAATGGAGTAGTACCTAGGATCATTCAGCCTTGCTTGTGACATCACAATTGCGTATACACTGCACATCATGAATCCCAAGACAGTCACCGGGAGGAACTCATAGGACAAGGCTGTCTCTTGAGAACCAATGGAAATACCAAGCGATAGCTGATAACATCTGATCCGTGTCTTAACGATCAAGGTTTCGACTCTTAGGCTTATTAATCGAACTTACTCAAAGCATACCCTGCGGAACTTCACCCACCTCCATATACCGATTCACCCTTAGCAAGTCTTTGATGTCCACCTAAGCCACATCATGATAGATAGCACTCAAGAACGTATACGAATGCGAACACCCCAAGGTATAGTAAAAAGCAAATTCGTGGCAACGGACAACGGCATTTGAGTATGCAAGCTGCCGTTGCAATACCGTTTCAGCCTTGTGGGCGCACATGAATACGAGGAGCTGAACCGATAACATCCCGCATGATGACTGAGCATCGCTAACATCAGACGAGGCAGGATTGTGGCTATATAACCACATCCAATTCCATGTTTCCCCGCATAATAACGGTAGTTGGTTGGATGCCAAGATGAGGCAGCGGAGCCGTGAAGCGAAGCCTTGCGGCAACTGTGAGAATTGCCTTACAGTGGCTTGAGCTGAACTTTCCACGCAAGCCATATGCAGGTGAGTGAAAATAGACGTCGGTTACAGATAGGCCAGCCCTTTTCGCCAAGGGCTCCGTGGGCGTGTAGGGTGATCTACGGGACGGGGCTGTATTGTGCTGCGGGGCGGGCCGGGAGCCTCGTGCTTGACTGGCTCAATATCATGGATTGTTATCTTTCAGCCTTGTCTGCTGCCTGACCAATCATTAACATCTTCTTTCTTTCTTTGCCATAATCTACTCGCTCATGCATCCAGAGACCCCTCAAATGAATATAGATATATGGCTAAGTCAATTAATTGGACAGCCTGAGGGGAGGGCATGCGCTGGAGTCGTGAGTACTTATCAGTGGCGAGGTACTAAAATCTGTTGGCTAAAAGGGCAGTAAGCTTACTCTTTGGCTTTGGGGTCTAAAGCCCCTTCGTTTGTGAATTTGAAGTAGACGTTAAAACTGGATTCCGAACAAAGAATCCATCGTTGAAATTACTGAACAGAAGGCTTAGTCTGAATTACCATGCATAAGAGTATATTTACAAAGCTAACAGCAGACACAAGCCAACGGGTCGTCCTCTATTAGTCCAAATCCACGCCAAATAGCCACAAGGGCTGTGAAAAATGCTGAAATTTTACAGTCATATTCCAGTCGTTCGACTTTCAGGCATGGCTTCAGCTGGACCAATCCTAAATGTACGCCATGTACATATGTGCATGTGCTATCACTGCGCAGGATTGAACTCAGCCGCCACAATAGCAGCAAGGCTCGAAGTCACATTACTATATATATTTTTCCTCTCACGCCTCCTGTAGGAGGAGCATGTCGGCCGAACGCCACCATAACAGCCTGCATGGGAATTCTGCGGTCATTTCTCTAAGGGTCATTCCCGGCTGGTCGAATAATATTATTCCCTCTGAAAGCCGGATACATATATTAAGGAGCATAATTGTGAATCGCATTTGCCAGATTCACCAGTTACATTCAGCTCCTGATACTCACCATTCAAATCAAACCACCATGTTGATATTCAATTGTATTTCCGCCCTCCTCTTTGTTTTCGGAGAACTCTGCTCTGCCGCCAGTCTTGAATACGATGTGAGCTCTCAACAGCATGCAAAGAGAGAGACTGGCGCCATAGAGGCACGGATGGTAGCCGCGTCCAGGATTTCGAAGCTGAAGAAGCGCGCTGATCATCTCGGACTCTACAACTCATTTGATCTGGAGTATATTGAAGGTGGTTTTCCTGGTGGTGCGATTATTTACTTGAGAAAAACTAACGGTCAAAAGAGACGCATCACGGCAGCGCGGATATTATTGCTACGACTATTCACGTAGAGTCAAGCAAATCTGTGCTTCTTCTGGAAGACCACGAGCATTTGATGCACAGGATTGAGTGTTCGCAGGACAAGATTTCCCTTTCTTTCTCGGGTTACTCTGATCTGAGCACCGACTTCTTGGATGAGCTGGAGGGTGGGTTCCTCATCAGTTCCCATGCCGGCTGTAATGACCAGGGAGTTAGGAGTGTGTTCAGGTATACTCCCTTCAAGTGTTTTTCTTAATAGCGAACTGACATATGATCCTAGCGTGGAGGGATACGAGCTTTTGCAAGAAGGCATAGTTGCATCGCTGTCAGTGCATCGCGTCGCTTGGAAGGCCGCTTTTCCCAACATGACCATCAAGATGGGCCAAGTAGAAAGCAAGCTCGACTACCAGCCACGGGAGGAACTTCTGCGCCGACAAGATACACCAACTCCCACAAGCTCGACTTCTGCAGCCACGACCACAGCCACTGACCTTTCTCTCGCAACACAGATAGTCAACAAGGACCTTGACTTCGAGTTTGTCGACGCAGGATGTACGAACTGCACAACCACAGGATCATTGGGATTTGATGCAACATTCGACCTTGATGACTACAGTGGTGAAGCGACCATTGTGCTTAATGGCTTCTCAGCATACATGGCTTTACACGTCAACGTTCCCGATAGTAATAAGTACGAAATACCACTTCCGTTCGAAAGAAATGTCACGGTTAACGTAAGTCCATTAAAAGTAACACAGCATCCGTGCCTTACCATTTCGCTAACTACATCGATAGCTTGGGTTGATCGGGTCTGCAAGTTTTGTCTGGGCTCCTTCTATTATTGTCGGTTATTCCTTGAATGGTAGTCTTGGTTTTGAGTTTGGATTTGACGTTCAAGTTTGTGCAATACCCCCTTTGCGACTGGCAAATACTTATACTCTCTAGGCCCCTGATACGGTTCAATTAACCCTTGACCTCGATCAACCCAGTAATTCTAACCAAACAGGCTTGTAAGCTATCTCACAGCGAGCTATGATCTTGTAAGCACTCTCTGACTAAGGCCCTAGTGATGACTGGCAATCTACAGCCCTCCCTTTCAGTGCGGAAGTGGAAGTGCATGACGTAAACATTACCCTTGGGCTCCGTAATAGTTTTATGGTCGAGTGGCGTGACAGCGATGACGGGGATGACGACAAAACGCAGAATAGGACTGCAAGCGACCCAGATGCTTATGCCGGATTATATCTCGATCTCCCGGTACTCTCAACTAAAATCACTGCACTCGAGTCCGTCGACGCGGATTGCAACCCACTCGATAATACTAACTTGGACGCAACCAACAAAAGTTCGATATTAAAAGCTCTCAATAAGCCGTATAGCATCGAGCCGTTCGCCAAGATGGAATTCGGAGTCAAGGTAGCCGTACGTAAAATCAGATTGTTACTTATGAATTATTCAAAAGACGAGCAGAGACTAACAGCGAACCTAGGGCCTCGAAATCGTTGACGATATAGACGGCCCGCTATTCCCACCTAAGGAGCTGCCACTTCCAAAAACTTGTCTGAACTTCGACTCGGACAGCAAATCATACTTGCCAGCAGCCGAGGTCGTCAAAAATATCGAGGGCACGTCCGATGCTATGCACGGAATGATTAACCCGTTAGCAAGGCCCCTTGCCTCGACTTTACTGGTCCTGTCGATTTTTGCCGCTCTGGCTTAGCTAGATCGTTCGCTCTTAGCCTCGCTGACTGAGAAATGGGAATGAATGGTTACGCGTTATGCCTGGCATAGTCAAGAGTGTTGCAGTCCATACGAACCATAAAACACTGGTCACTCATTTCGGACTATGGTTTGATCACTCATTGTTATTCCTTACGCAATTTCTTTATCCTCCTATAACACATTCTTTCATCTCATATGTGGAACGTAGTTAAATAGTACGTCGCTACCAATCATTGAGAGCATCCTTATCCTGCTAGAGCAGAGGCAACCTTAAATGCTTAGATCTACGATGAAGTACTCGCCTTAAACTGAACCATAAGAGGAGGCTGCGTTGTTATAAAAGCATCCAATACCCTCTCTCATCACGAAATACGTCTCTCTCCCCAGGTGTAAACACCTTGTTCAAGTTCTGTGCAATATAGCGCATTGTTCCACATAGCAACAGCGGTTAGAGGCTGAAAACGGAGAAGATTACATAAGCATTGGCCAAATATTCTGCTCGACCTTAACCCCGCAATGGCCGTGTACCTGTCGATCCCGCCTACGCAGGCAAGTCTTTTCGCACACAGGCCCAGTACATTGAAGGACATCTAGGGTCGACATGGCCATACGTCTGGACAAGCTTATACACGTCGCCGTACCTGCCATCGGACCGTGACGCCCGACAACCTAACCGTCTCACCTTCCATCCGACTGACTGCAGCTGTGCCAGCATTCCCCCGCGCCAATTCAAGCGTCCTTCCGCGCCACGTGCCGCGGGCCGTCGAATCGCCACAGTTTCCCATCGATCGGCAAAGATGCAGCGTCGGCCTTATCCGCCGGGCATGCAGCGCCGATCGCTCTGGACCGATGGAAATTTCTAAGGAACCCGAAGCCCAGCGGCCGAATATGACGCACGAGGGGCAAGCCGCCCGCCGGAGCCTGTTGTCCGCCGAGGGGTGACAGAAACCCTGTCCGTGCCCTTGACTCATGGTGGGGTTCAAATAGAAGACGATGGAGTCATCACGCAACAATCGAGCAATTCGCATTGAAATTGCTCACCGGCCACTGGACCTATATATCCCTCTGGATCCGATCGACTGCCCGCCTCTGAAACTGTTCAGATAAGCCACAAGCACACAACAGCGCGCCACCTACGCCACCACCAACAACAACAAACACCATCTCCACCATGGCACCCGCCCGCCTCCACTGCGTCCGCCACGCCCAAGGCTACCACAACCTCACAACCGACAACCACAAGCTCCCCGACCCGGCCCTCACCGACCTCGGCAAGCAGCAATGCGCCGACCTGCAACGCGCCTTCCCTTACCACGACCGCATCACGCACGTCGTCGCCTCGCCCATCAAGCGCACGCTCTGGACGGCTTTGCTCGCCTTCGCGCCCGCCATCGCCGCCAAGAACCTGAAGGTCATCGCGCTGCCCGAGATACAGGAAACGAGCGACCTCCCGTGCGACACGGGCTCCGACCGCGCCGAGCTGGAGCGCGAGTTCGCCGGGCAGCCGGTCGACTTGTCGCGCGTCGAGGACGGGTGGAATAGTAAGAAGGGCAGGTGGGCGGCGACGCCGGAGGCGGTGGCGGAGCGCGCGAGGGTGGCGAGGGTGTTTTTGAGGGAGTTGGCGGGGGAGGATGGGGAGGTCGTTGTTGTGACGCATGGTGGGTTGTTGCACACGTTTACGCAGGATTGGAGTGGGTTTGGGAAATTCTGCGGTATGGACTGGAGCTTATCCACAATTGGGAGAACACTGCTAACGTGTATTGAAAACTTGCAGGAACCGGCTGGGCCAATACTGAGTACCGCACCTACACTTTTGTCCCCAATTCTGGCGATGAGGCCCGCATCATTGAGACCCCCGAGTCCCGCGCCAAGCGTGGCGCATCGCCTTTCTCGGAGGAGGAGAACCGAAGGCTGAAGGAGATGGCTGAGAGGGAATGGCTGACACAAGAATTTGAGAACCAGACGAAGGATCCGGCGACTGGTCCGGCGATCCAAGAAGTAGGTGCTGAAGCCGTAAAGGCCCAGGGTTAGAAAGAGCCATCTTAGAAAGAAGGGGTTAGACTTTTATAGAGGCATAGAGAAGTATACGGCTCCACTGGCTTGGGAATTAGAGAAGGAAAAGAGTACTAATAAGCATGGTCCGGCTTTGGGCATAGAAACTCAGTTAGAAAGAAGAGATATTATTGTATTTGAATCAAATGAGAAACTACAGACACTCTTGATAGCTGACCGGCATGGGTCCATTTGGATGTTCTTAGACCCGTCCACTAGTCTTCTACGTGAGTAGCTAAAGTAGATATTCGAGCGTATGGGAATTTTCGGACTTAAACCAACACAGTTTGGCCACCAAATTCAACTGCCTATGTAAGCAGAGCGCGACATGTGTAGTCGGAAATTTTCAGGAAAAGTCCGGGCCTCCGTCGCCCGCTGTACTGTCATCTCTCGCAGGGCAACCAAGATAACGCGATTAGATATCTGATAAGGGTCTTGGCGAGGAACCAACGACGCCGATCAGAAAAAAGTTATGGGTGTCAGCCGGAGAGTGGTTGGGCATGAAGATCTAGATAAGACTTCTTGAAAGGTACAAGAAATAAGCTTCAGGTGAATGATGAATGATCATTATAAGAAGGATATGGTAGGCAGAAAGGGAAAAAAAGGTCTCGAGCGCTAAGCCAGGTACAGTATAGCTATACTACGTACTTAGAAGCATGGCCTTACCATATACGGATCAGGATTTGGCGCGTAATTCGAAAGGAACCACTACCATCAGGTTCATGGGAGCGTCGTTCACATGGGCGCCGCGGCTATGGACGAAAATTATTCGGCGCTTCCGAGCCGGGGTGGCCCACTCGAGCTGAACTTCACCGCGGGGCTGAAGGCAGGCGACGGAGTTTAGCAAGCCGGATAACGACGGCAGTGCTTGGGTAAGCGCTTGGTGGGGAAGAAAAGCTGTGGAGATCGGGAGAGGAAGCTGCAAAGATTCCCTGCCTTGGGTTTCGTGTTCGACACACCGCTCTGGGACAAGAGTCAGGGTCCTCAAGAAGCACAGGCCCCGACAGGCGTCACCACTCAGCCAGAGGAATCGGAGACGTCCAGACAGGCAGCAACCTTGGGAACGTGGATGTTGGGCTGGGCCGGAGGACGTCTCATCGCACAGGACGTGCCGCATCCTGCCTAGCGCGCATTGATTGCGACATCCCGACCCCTGCTCCAGCGGCGCGTCCTCTCTTGAATCCGAGTCGAGCTTACACCTTAATGACCCCAGGTTCCGCCCACCATGTGTGCGCTTAGCAATTCCACCTCCGGTCTCCGGCCGGTACTCCAATTGGCTCCTCCTGTGTATATATTTCGGTCCCGCCGCGTGTTGAAAAGCCCCGAACTCCGCGTCTTCGCGTCATCCAAGCCGGCACCGCAATCTTAACAATCGCATCATCGCGACCTGCCCCACCAAACCTTTTCCGCGCCAAAAGATAGTAGATATTACGCGCCGCGAAGTACGCGAGTTCCGACAACACTGCTTTCCCTCCCAGACAATGAGCGCCACCTCGCTGCTCGAGCCCTACGGCTCTCCCAAATCCACCAACAGCGACGAGAGCACCTTCGACGAGGCCGCCAGCACCGCCGGTTCCAGCACAACATGCGCCGACGACACCTCGGCGTCGTCCGTGACTCCCACCGCGTCCGAATGTGACAATGACAGCAACCCTCTCAAGCGCAAACGCGGCCTTTCCTCCGCCCTCACGCCCCCGCTCTCCGCCTCAGACGAAGACCGCCGCTGCGACGCAACCCCCACCACGCTCTCGCGCGCGCTACACGTCCTAGCCACCGAAGCCGCAGCCCTCGCACACGCGACGCGGCTGTACTCGACGTCCGCCTCGGCGCGGGCAGCGCTGGTCAGCGCCGTCTCGATCGTCGAGCGCGCGCACGCCGGCGGCGGGAAGGTGGTCGTGTGCGGGGTGGGCAAGAGCGGGCTGGTCGGGCGCAAGACGGTGGCGACGATGAAGTCGCTGGGCTTGGGCGCGTCGTTCCTGCACGCGGCCGAAGCCGTGCACGGCGACCTCGGCGACGTGCGCCCCGGCGACGCCGTCCTCTTCATCAGCTTCTCCGGCCGCACCGCTGAGCTGCTCAACGTCCTGCAGCACCTGCCCGCCGACACCCCCGTCGTCGCCCTGACGGCGTATCCGGACGCGGAGACTTGCCCACTGCTGGCGGGGAGGAGGGGGGATGCCGCGGTCTTGCTGCCGGCTCCGATTCATGAGAGCGAGGAGGCTAGCTTCGGCGTCTCGGCCCCGACGACGAGCACGACCGTGGCCATGGCTGTGGGAGATATGCTGGCGCTGACGGCGGCGGAGAGGATACATGAGGAGGATAAGGGCCGCGTCTTCAAGCGGAATCATCCCGGCGGCGCTATCGGCGCGCGGACGCTGGCGGAGGAGGTGACGACGGTCGTGAAGACCAAGAAGGTCTGCCTCACCAGCGTGGTTGAGGCTTGAAAGGCCCTACATCTCGGAGAGACCAAAAATAAACAACCCTCGTTTTGGATACCCGGTGGCTTGAGATAACCGACGGGAGATCGACGCCGTTCGGTCCGTGGATAGGATGCCCGGATGTACGCACCTTGTACTTGTCATCGAGGAGTCTTTGACCACCGGCCACTCGCTTGCACTGCCCTCATGGCGCAGTTGTTACACGAAAGAAGGAGAACGAAGAACGACGCCCGACTCCTGAGTCGATCTCCTCAGGGGCCATCATACCGCCGTCCCCCCCGCCGTCCGAGCCTCCAACCGTGCGTCACGATTCCTCGGTTATACACGATTCGATAAATACATCACCAAATGGCAGAATTTAGAAAGATCAGTAAGCAGGAGCTTACTGCGAGCGCCATCCTGCCGAATATTTCTTCTTTCTTTGCTTCCTGTACGAATGCGGCTCAAGAATCGCAATTTCATGTTATGTTGTAAACAAAAACCATGGAGTGGTTTGTCTGCTTAAAGCGATAACGAACGAGACCTTACTTGAAAGGAACACAGTGGCGTCCTGGTAGTCGTAGGTAAGATACCAGTATAACGGCGCACTACAGATAAAAGAAACGCACTTGTGATTGGTTTGTTTCACGTCAATTTGTTTGGCTATAAGGAGATATGACATGTGCGACATGTTAGATAGATGTATGTACTTATGTCTCTAGAAGATGCAGAATCGTGTTTTGAGCACAAAAATCTCACTGGCGTTGACTGGCGGATATGATGGCTCTGCGCTGGAGCCTTGGGAATTGACGACTGCGAATAGCCAACATAGTGTTACTGTACTACACGAGCTGCATGTTCATCCAGCAGCAGTCAGCTCGATGGAAAAGCACTCGAAAGCATTTCAACATCGTCTGCTCTGCCCGAGACGCGTCAGTTTCCCTTTCCCCCCCCCCTCCGTGCCCTCAATACCGCAATTGAAAGCGTGGAGAATAACCGTCACGCAAAGCCATGACTTCACGGCGTGAAACCTTGATCAAGATCTAGGCCCCGTTATAGCGATTCCCGTGTCAGTAAACAGTATTCCGCTGTGTATCCCAAAGTTAGCACTTCCTGAGCACCTGCTGATTCGGACTTTCAGGCCAGGCTGACCCGAAAATCCGGTTGAAAGACATTGCCGCTATGATTGGCTGAGTGCCGCCAACGGCTTTGCAATACGATAACTTGACCCACTAACCCTAACGGATGGGCGCTGATTGGCTGAGCAGCGCCAACAGGCCAATATCCCGTTACACGGCAAGCATATTCAATCCCGTTCTACACCATAAGTTCTTAAATAGCTGCCCCGTCCCAAGTCAAGAGCCAGCTCGACATGATCAGAAAAGTTCTTCGACGATATATCTATTCTCTTCAACTTCAAGAAACTTTCAACGCTGACTTCGCCTCCTTACTTTCGTGATCTACACCTACATCTTGAGAGCAACCACCCACCTCTGACCCTCATATTTTGAAGCGGCTTTCCGTATCCCCATCGTCCACCTTTCCAAGCCTGAGGCTAACAGGGTGTCAACCCCATCCTCAATCCCGTCATCCTCGAGATCTCTCGCAAGCTTCCTCAGTCTCGTGGTAGTGGTAACCAGCACACCTCTATCGCCGCTACCACCCGTAACGGTTTCATGGCAGCCCAGGGATACGGTATCCATGGTATCAAGGGTACTCGTCTCATCCCCAACGACCTGGTTGTTTACCTCTCTCTTCTGCTCATGATCCGCTGCGTATCCGCTACTCCAACTGGTACAGCGTCCGACGACAGCAACATCTCGCCAACTGTCATTGTTGCTATAGTCGTAGCCTGTCTGGCGGTACCCTCAGCAATATGGACGGTGCTACAGATTTGGCAATGGTTCAGCGGAGACAACTCTGGTTCTCCATCCGGTTGTATGGGAAACCAGGTACTTCCTGCTTTGCAATCAAACAGCGGAACCATTGGAAACATATACGGCGGCAACTGGTCACAGAATGAGGACCCTTCAAGGCTTGGAAATCGACGTCGTGGCCTCTCACCGTCGCAGGAAGGGTCCGAGGAGAGAGATGCATTACTCGGAACGCGCGACCAGTCGCCTTCTACACGCAGTAGCGACGGGGAAGGCCTAGAGCTTCATGAGCTAAACGGTCGCACAGCCTTGCCGTACCGTGATCAACAGCAAGCCGCATGTGCCTCCGTCAGCGTGACCGTTGACGGCACTACAGATCCTAACGCGAGTCGAACGCGTATGAATCTACCTGCCGACGAGGATGAGGATGAAGGGCTGATTCTGCAGCAAGGTGCTTAGGCACGCGCCGAGGGATAGTATGCGGCAGGACAAGAAGTTTGGCGCTGTCAGGGTTGATGTAGTAGATGGGAAGGTGGCGAGAAGGAACATCACCGGGTAAGGGAAACAGTGTACTTAGACTGTATATGAATGTATGAATGCTCCACATTTTCTACATCTGACTTTGATTATGGGGGTGATTATGTGCGCCGCGCCTTAGTAGTAGTCCAGAATTCGTTCTCATCGTTTAACATGTTGCCAAGTAGTTGGTAAACATTACAGACCTTGTATCCCCGGATACAAGAGATGCATAGACCCCGAGAGGAGAACTGCATATTGTTTTGCATTGGTTTAAGGGCTGGGTGACGTTCATTTCCGGCATGTCGCTTACGTCCCCTGCAACCTGTAAGAAGCATCCTACAGGATTCGTCTCAGCCTTATCCCATGGAAGCTGAGCGCCCACATCCCAAGGCTCCGCTGAACCTCGACCCAGACTATCAACTCACACCGATAAACACTCCTCCAACAAAAGTACCAGCTCTCATTCACAATGCCGGAAAAGGCCATCGACCCAGCGCCTTGCTTTCATAGCCCCGACCAAGGCAACGACCACCCCAAGACCCTCCAGCAGGCCGACGCCCGACACTGGATGCTCCCTCCCACAACTCTGCCCCAACCACCCCTCGCCGCCTCGGACACGCGCACGGTGCAGAGCTGCCCCCACTGCGTCCTCATCCGCACAGGCGTCAAGAGCAACCGCGATCGCCTCGCCAGCAAGGAATGCCATCGCTTCTTTCATCCATGCTCCCCATGCGCATGTGACGCTGTTGCAGCAGAAGATCTGAACGGAAATATGACTCAGCCGCCGCTCTGCGATTTCTGCATGCACCTGCGCCTTAGGCACCTGTTCGCCTGCTCGGAGGCGGCAGGTGGAGAGTATGGAAGTCTGGCGGTCTTGTGTATGGGCGTGGGGGATCGTATCAGAGAGCGGGCGGTGGACGGATGTGTTTTCTGCGCTTTCATGTTGGCGTTGGGAAAGGGGTTGGTGGCGGAAGAAAGGGTAGGAGGGGTTTGGTTTGATGGCGAGGTGCTGCAAAGAGATGGTGAAAGGATCTTAGAGTTGGTGCTGAGGGACGACACGGGCGACGAGTCTCCATGGGATCGGCCGAGAATGGCAGTGAGCGTTCAGGATGTCGCCGGCGCGGATGTCGTTGAAGCTGGGTATGGTAATGGGCCTCTGGAAGTCCATTACGATGAGAACGATCACCCGATATATGGACCGACACCAGGAGGGGCTACAATCATTCCGCCGCTTGTTCGGACGAGGGTTGACTGGTCTCGCGTTGGAGGCTGGGTTCAGAAGTGTTGCTCCGACCATCCGCAGTGCAAGCCGAGGGATGACTTAAGCTTCCCGCCCAACTTTCGACTCATCGACGTGGAAGAGAGACGAGTAGTCAGGTCGAAGAACCCACCACCGCGTTTCCTTGCTCTCAGCTACGTCTGGGGTAGAGCTCCGAATCAGAAAGCGACGCGCGCGAATATAAACCAGCTTTATCTCACCAGGGCCCTGGATGCATTCGATCTACCCCCGGCTATACGAGATGCCATGTCAGCTTGTAGGGGACTTAGAGAGAGGTACCTTTGGGTTGATCTATTGTGCATCATACAAGATGATCCAGGAGACAAGCAAGAACAGATCGCGTCAATGGCCGCTATCTACTCGGCAGCCGCATATGCTCTGGTTATTGCGTCCGGGGAAAGTATGGCCGATGAAATAGCTGGAATCTCACGCGCGCGAGCAGAACAGCCCCGTATCACAACTCAACATCTCATGTTCACTCAAGCCGGAGGTGCTTCCCCAGATGATGAGTTGTTGAAAAGTAAGTGGGCTACTCGGGGCTGGACCTTTCAGGAGTGGATCCTCCCAAGTCGGAAGCTCTACATCATGGACCGTGAGGTGTGGTTCGAATGCAATATCCATGCTGTGCGAGAGAACGCCAGCAGCTCATCCTAGGGAGAAGTCAGGAACAAGCGCAGCCTATCTTGGAATGGTGGCTTACTTAACGCACGCCGACGTGGTTCGGGTTTGACCTGGACGATGTATTGTGAGCATCTGGAGAGCTACTCGCGCCGCCAACTGACAAATTTTGGAGATACCTATGATGCTTTCGAAGGCATCATGCAGGGGCTCTATGGGGATAAAGGATGCTCGTTCTTCGGGCTTCCAATCGTGAGTTTTGACTCCGCACTTTTGTGGTCTCCACATAAGGAAAAAGGCCCAGTGTTTACAAATGAGGATGACAGCGGTTTCCCAACCTGGTCTTGGGGATCATCCCGATCCGAGATCACCATGGAATGGCTGCCCAGAGAGGTCAACCCGTTGGTATTATGGTATCGATACAGCAAAAATACCGGGAAGCTTGAAGAGATACCTTACGAGTGTTCAGCCAGAGACGAATCGGAAGAGTATTTGTTTTATCGAAGAAGCTACAGTCGCACCTGTTATATCAGTCTAGCGTGGCAGCTCGGATGCCTGGAACAAGCCTTTCCCTTTTCAAAGGAAGTCACAACCACTATCGAAGATTTGGACAAAGCATCTACATCTAGATGGCCAACGTATGGCGATTGCCTGGAGGAAGCGCTGAGAGATCCAAATTGCTCCGCTTCAGTTCATGAATTGCTCAAGAAAGCTTACTGCAGTAGATCTGCAGTGCGGGAACCAGTTGGAGTGCTCTTCACAAGAGCTCAGTCGGCCTTTTTCAAAGTGAAGGCGATGCCAATCCCAACACAATTCAACCTCGGTATCTGGACTTCAGAGGGTCAGATTGCTGGTTTCCTCCAGCGCCCTGATAACACGCAGGTACTTGAAAGGTTTTGCCAGAAGAATCAAGATGGAGACCTGGTTTGTGAGTTCATTGCGATATCGATGTCTTGCATGAACCTTAACAATGGTTCAAACGTTACGGAGCTCGTTTCTCCGGCTACAAGAGACGCAAAGACCCCGAGAGGGGACCTGCATACTATAGACTGGCAGATGCAGCTGATAGCGACTAGGGAGTACGACTTGACCTTCTTTGACGGCAAAGGATCCGCGCTCAATCCAATTCCAATTGTGAACGTCCTTTTGATCGGCTCGGATACAGATGGTTTTACATTCCGCATCGGTTTGGGCTGGATTACGTTGACTAAGTGGGTGAAGTCGAGGAGGACTTTTAAAGACATCGCCTTGCGATAATACTGAAGATATTGGTTTCAGATATGCTCATTGTCGAAATGTTTTTATTTACACTTTTTGAATTGGAACTCTCGTTTTCAAATTTGGACTTTGTCGTTATTGACATATGACAGATCAACTCGCTGGGCATCTAGTCTACCTTCTCAGTTATGGGACTCTCCTCTATTTTCCCAACCACCGAAGCCCACGTCAGAGGTAACCACAACAGCGTCCACAAAATCAAAGCTATGATTACTGAATAGCTGTGGGGCTAGCCGATGATCGGTCATGTTCATAGTAGAGACACTTCCACAAATTTCCAAACCCTTTTCGATATACGTCGACTACCTGCTTCAAGCTGAATCACTCGGTGTCGATTTATGGTCATGTATTATGATTTTCTGCTGGGTCTAATGCTGAGACAAAATGCTACACGGAATTGGTCGCTCGCAGATGCAAGAGGAATTTACACTTGTTTACTTCCTTTTCTTCTCCAGTCCCTCAATCCCGCCCTCGAACTCGGTCAGATCATACTCGCTCTCGTACTTCTTCAACAGCCTCTTCGTCTCCTGGATCTGAGCCTCAGCCTCCTCCGTCACCTCCTCATACACGCCGTCCCACAGATTCCGCAGCGCAGGTCTCTTCTCCTTCTCGGCACGGGCGAAAGCGGCGAGGACTTGCTTGCGGACTCGGCTACGCTCAGCCTTCTCCTTCTCCTCGTCCCACAGGCCACGGCCCTCCATCCACTTGCGAAGGCGGGTGATGGGGTTATCGCGGCGCTTCCAATCCTCGACCTCGACGCGGGCGCGGTAGGCAAAGCTATCATCACTGGTACTGTGGTGCGAGACGCGGTAGCTCATGGCCTCGACGAGGACGGGCTTGCCGCCGTTCTCGAGGGCGCGGCGGCGGGCCTGCTGGGTGACCTCGTAGACGGCGAGGATGTCGTTGCCGTCGACGCGCACCGTGTCGATGCCGTAGCCGAGGCCGCGCGACGCGATGCCGTCGCCGCGGTACTGCTCCAGCGTCGGCGTCGAGATGGCGTAGCCGTTGTTGCGGCAGAAGAAGACGACCGGGCACGACCGCGTCGCCGCGATGTTGAGCGCCGCGTGGAAGTCGCCCTCGCTGGCCGCGCCCTCGCCGAAGTAGCACGCTACCACGCGTGGGTCCTCATTCGGGTTCTGCAGCGCTTGCATCTTGAGCGCGTACGCTGCGCCTGCCGCGTGCGGGATCTGCGTTGCTAGCGGCGAGGAGATGGTGTGGATGCGCAGCGCAGAAGAGCCGTAGTGCACCGGCATGTTGCGGCCCAGCCCTGGATCATGCCGGTTGGCGAAGAGTTGGTTCATGAAGTCGTCGAGCGTGAAACCACGCTGTGCGAAGACGCCCGTCTCGCGATACTGTGCGAATATGACATCCTTGGGGTGCAGCGCTGCGGCCGAACCTACTGCGATGCCCTCCTCGCCCGCCGACACCATGTAGAAGGAGAGACGCCCTTGCCGCTGCGCCTCGAACATGATCAGGTCCATGATGCTGACCGACAGCATGTTCTTATACCATTCTAAGACTTGCTCGTCCGAAACCTTGGGTAGAGTGCGGTCTTTGTCCACCACGACACCATCTTGGTCCAGGATGCGGTATGTGGGCATGGCGGGCTTGTCTGCGGGCTGGTCGAAGGACAAGGTCGTGGTAAACTTGCTATTAACAGCACCGGGAAAATGAACACTGAAAGAACAGTTAGCACTACGTCTCTCGAGTCAATCTGGACGCAATGGTCTTCTTGGACTCACCGATCTGAGCCGGGCCGCTGAGAGACGGAACTCCATCTGACCCTTGGGGCTGCCGGGTGTCTTTGTTGTGGCCATGGCTGAAGGCAAGATTTGGGTGAACTCTGCGAGATTCTAGCGCATTTCGAGGAGAAGCCTCTGGGGAGACTGTGGCGGAGAGACATGCTGGCGTAGAGGCATGGTAAACAATCGAGAGGGAGGAGGGATTGCGGAGGGAGTGCGGAGGTGTGGGGAAGGACGGCTACCTTCGGCCTATGGTACAGACCCTACCCGGCGATCAGCCTCATCCTCAGCCCTACGCACAGGCGCACAGGCCACATCCGCGGCGCAGAAAGTCATTCCGCACCTCCAGAAAGTCGTCCCATCTTGTCGACAGCTTCCACCCCAGCCACGATGCGTCCCTCCGCCCCCGTTTTCCGCCGCCAATTGCTGCGCGAGCTGCGCGCCAGACCCGTTCGCGAGCCCTACCGCTGCTTTTCGTGCGCCGCACGTCTCGCCCAGCAGCCAGGAAACAATGAGAAGACCACCCACTTCGGCTTCGAGACGATCGCCGAGTCGTTAAAGGAGGCCAAGGGTATGCAATTGAACACGGTCCCAACCTACAATGCCTCACTAAGAATGCCTTCCCAGTCCGCGGCGTCTTTTCCTCGGTTGCGAGCTCGTACGACACGATGAACGACCTCATGTCTCTCGGCATCCACCGCCTCTGGAAAGACCACTTCGTGCGCAACCTGAACCCGGGTACCAACCCTCTGACCTCGCCGCGCGACGCATCGACCCCGCAGGGCTGGAACATCCTGGACGTGGCGGGCGGCACAGGTGACATCGCTTTCCGCCACCTCGATCACGCCAGCAACATCAACCACGACCCCCACACGCACGTCACCGTCGCCGACATCAACCCGGAGATGCTGGCCGAGGGCCGCAAGCGCGCGCTGGAGACGCCCTACGCGCGCACGGGACGCCTGGCCTTCGTCGAGGCCAACGCCGAGCACCTCGACATGATTCCGGACAACAGCATCGACTTGTACACGGTCGCCTTCGGCATCCGCAACTTCACCGACAAGGACCGCGCCCTGCGCGAAGCCTTCCGCGTCCTCCGCCCCGGCGGCGTCTTCGCCTGCCTCGAGTTCAGCAAGGTCCACAACTCGATCTTCAATCAGGTCTACAAGCAGTGGAGCTTCGGCGCCATCCCCCTCATCGGCCAGCTGGTCGCCGGCGACAGGGACAGCTACCAATACCTCGTTGAGAGCATCGAGCGCTTCCCTAGCCAGGAAGAGTTTAGGGATATGATCAAGGCCGCTGGTTTCATCGTTCCCGGCAAGGGCTGGGAGGACCTTACGAACGGCATCGCCGCGATCCACAAGGGTGTCAAGCCGGTGACGTCTTCATGAGATGTTTCATTGTAGAATCATTGTAATATAGGCTTATGGTGTTGGGTACTGGGCGTAGCAATGTGAAAAATCGGAGGCACAGGGACTTGAAAAATGATCATTCGGTTCCACCTATCTTCTTCGACTTTGATACTAATAAAACAGTGTTTGAACCCTTCATGGCTAGCCTTCACAGGTACCAGAACTTTCTTGAATATCAAACGGTTCATTTTTCTCCCATGGGACTGGTGGGCCCTGGTAGTATTTAGCGTTGTGTGAATCTGGTACACAGATGAGGGTCGCCATGGTAATGTGAGGCTATGCACACGAATTGCAAACCCACACACGTATAAAGGCCAGAATCACCCCCTATCTCGGTTGTTCCAAATCTCTGATCTTTCCTGGACCACTTTCATCGCCATGCAGCCCCACCAAGAGGTTCGATTACAACCGGCTGCTCCAATGTTCCCGTTCGAACTTCCAGAATTTTTGGGTTGGGATATGCCATCCATATCCACACGCCTCCCCGACAAGTTGTCCCAGAGGGCAATCATCTCACAAGGCTTCGCAAGGGTCCAGGCTGAAATGTATCGAGTAAAAGAGTGCATCGACGACAACCTCCGCTCAGCACATCACCGTCGAATGAGCACAATGTAAGTGATGATGCCCGGTCGGTCTAGAGTTATCACTAACAGATATTACAAGAGAATACAACACGCTGGCCCGCCAGCATAATCGATACGTAGCAGCGTTCGACCTCGATCGCGACCTCATACCGCTAAAAAAACATACGCACGAGCATTGACATCTGGCCATTCCCTCTGCGTATCGAAAACATATCGAAACATAGGTCGGAAATGCTCGCTGGAGTGCTGCGCGAGCTAGGAATTGATATAAATACCAAGAACGCTATCAGGCAGTACATCATCTACTTATTCAAGAAGATTATTGGTGTGGAGGTGATGGGCACTTAGGTAGATATCCTAGATAATCGTTCGAAGAGTGCTACTATCGAGGACTTCATTCAATTCCAGCCGAGTAAATATGTGCCAACAAGCCGATTAATACCACTGAAGTTGCGGAACGGACATTAATCCTCGAAAGACTTAAAGCAGTGCCTTAGAACAGAGGGTGACTATGGCCCTGTACCACGATAGGTCTCAGCAAAAATGATCACTTAAGTTGGCAGTTGAAGCTATTGTCCGGGCGCGGATGTATAAAGTTTCATTCGACGTTTACATCCGGATGGTAGCTGAAGCTACCCGTGATATGAGCGAAAAACAACATTCACGGTAGCCTTCAGCTGCAGCATTCGCTCTTTCCATCTGGTGCGAACAGACATAAATCCACTATGTTGCGTTTCAGAAACATGGTAGCTCATCATGGCTCCTTGCAGTTGTGGATGTCGAGACCATGGAATGCGTATAGCCATTCGTACCAAAGTTGACCGAGAGATCTTAGAAAATACTCCAACAGTTTTTCTTGGAGTATTCAGTGCTCAAGTGATTGTATTGCTATCAGCTCAAGTAGCTATCTTAAACATGAACTGGGAATTAGGACCTGTTTCTGGGTTCCAGAGGATGACATTGCTTCCTTCATGTGATTTTCTCCCGGCAACGTTGAGATAGTAGTCCATGTTCGCGCTGGTGATGCTGGGTAAATGATTAGCTTACTTATTGGCCGAACGGACTGACTGGTTACTTACTAATGCGAGCCGTTCCTGGCAGGGAGGATCTTCCAGCGGCAATTGATTTTGTCAGGCCCAGTGACATCGCCAAAGATTTTTTTCCTAATGCCGAGACCCTCTGCGTAACGATAGTGAGCTGAGGCGACACGGTAGATGCAGCCGTTTATACTTACCAGCGCAGAGGTAAAGTCCGGAGTTGACACTCACAATATGGTGTTCGCCACGCCCAGCATCGACGATCTCCCACAAAGAGTTGGCTCTAAGGGGTTTTCTGGGGCTAAAATGGTCTCAGCGATGGGTGTAAGATGAAACTAGAAATACATCACTTACTAGAGCCTCACCGGCGTCCCAGGTTGATGAGAGCCTCCCCAGAGGTTAAGATTCATTCCTTGAGCATTCATTGGGACGATCTCATAATGTTCTCCTTCCGGCCACTTATTGCTTTGTATGTCATCGTTGCCTGTGTGCGTGCAAACAGGCAAGGGGCTAGAATCCTTAGTGCTCCCCGTGAATGTGCAGGAACTGGTCTCGTCCTCCAGGCTAAAGTGAATCCACCCATTGTCATTGTGCATTTCAAGATGGCCGTACGTCTGGTCTGGCCTGTTCCCTTGCGGGCGCAGAGGAGCGTCAGGAGCACCGTCACGGAAACCCTCGGGCAGACGAAACCGGATATCCTCGCCGTCCGAAGTGTAGACCCTCTGAGCGGTCCTAGCCCTGTTGACCAATTAACTTCTTTCTTCTAGTTGCTGATAAAACGGGAAGGGAACTACAATTCGATGGCTGTCATAGCAACCGAAAGGCTGTCTCTGCATTCATTCACGCGGCGATTAAGATCAAGAATGGTTTCACGCCTAAGAGGATCAGCTGCTCGACTGAAGAGCGTTCGCAGCTTTCCCTTAAAGTCTTCCGAGTCCTTAGCCTTGCCCACACTATTTGCAACCGTGGGGTTGAGCGAATATAGTGATTTCACTAGTTCGCCTATAAAAGATGCTGCGACACTTTCAGCCAATTTCTGGTGACTGTGCTGAAGCTTTGGTATATGGCGCCCAATCGCTTCGAGCACAACTCGAAGTTCCTCAGAGTTGCGGACAAGATGTCCGGTTTCCTCATCTCGGTCTTTGTGGGTGCCATAGAATGAGATGATACTCTTACAGGCAGTTAAACCGAATAAAACCAATTCGATGGCACCACTCGCGGTCGATAATGTGTCGTTTAGAGTTCCTGAAGCGGGTTGTGAGATGGCATGGCATGCAGTTCTGACCAACTGCGAGATTTTTCCTTGGACTCGGGAGTATAATTCATCATATGGGTGGGTGAACTTAACCAACTCTGAATGATTCCGATCGAAAGGGTGCTGATCCGTACTGCCAAAAGTAGCAGATACGGGATCGACTAAGATATCAGACGGCCCGCTGAGTTCCCACTTTTCTTCGTTCTGGTGAAACATTAGCAATGGCCCTTAGAAACATTTTAAAGAAATCCATGTACTAACTTTGATTGCGGTGGGTGACGTTATGGTCTCGAAATATGAAACCACCTTAGGGACCTCCGTACCAAATGCCCGATCAAAATCTCTTTGTAGGCGTTTAAGGAGATCCGAGTTCCTACCGAGAGACTCAAGGAGAGCCCGATTCGGTTGATCTCCCATCAATGGAACGAGTGAACCAACCGCCATACCCTGGTGTGGTACACCAAAGAAAATAAATGCAGTAATGGATTGAAGCGTCGATACATCTTGGTCATATCTGTCCTCGCTCATTTTTGCTATTGCCTGCATTGACAGCGTCAGATCTGCCGGTTTCACTTGTTTGGAGAACTTACTTGCTTGATGACCAAGCCGCCTAGACTGTGCCCGATGAAGATTATTGGACGGTAGGGTTCCGATATCTAAGAACAGGTAAGCTTTCCTCGGCTAGATTTGGCGTTCTTAAAAATTACGCTGACCTCTCTGATATCTGTCTGCAACGCTCTGCCTAAGTCGGACAAGTTCTGGAACGAAGAACTTTGGACCGTTGTTGTGTCATATCCGTATATTAAAATCCTCGCAGTAGGAATGTCGCCTGGTAGGGCATCTCGAAGCCACATAAAGGGTCCATTCTTCTGTTTGAAAGAGCCAAACGCATGACCTCCAAGGCCAGAGAGCGCGATCAAGCTGGGATGCATCTCAGCGCCGTACGCCAAAGTGCGAGGCTTTCAGTGACTTACTCAATCTTACAGTCTTCTTGTTTGGTGCTTTGAAGTGGTGTGAAACCGCCGAAATGAGTATCGAAAACAAGAGGCTTCCTCCAACCGTCCGTGTCGTCCGAGTACCAGTCACCCTGCGGGTCGAGAACCCATTCTTTCTTTGAGCGGTCGGATAAAGGGGTTGGTATGGCTTGGAAGGATATTGTTGCAACTCTGCTCGTTGGTTCAAGAGGGTTGGCGGCAACAGAATGGATGTCGAAACGTGTCTCGGGGTGGATGGAAAGAGCTCTTCCGACGAGATCTTGAACGGCGTTCTTTGTCGAGTATTGGCTCGGAATTCCCCGTAACCTGAAAGTTACATTGCTATCTGCCACCATTTTTCAGTAACGCCAGAAGCATCATTGTCGACCTGTTAGAGAGCAAACCCAAGATGAGAGTGTAGATTGAGGCCCAACTGACGCGACGGAAGCTGAAAGTCTCGTGCAAAGTCGCCAAGCCGTATCCCTGCCACAATATGCCAGCTCACAAGCCCTCTGACCTTCCCTTCTCCGGGTTTGAGTTTTCACAATTACAGTTGGTTGCCCTAAGTTTCCGTGGTTTTTCCGCAACATTAGGAATACGCGCGCGCGTCTCCCACCCTCCCCCAAAAACACACGAAAATTCCAACACAACGTACTCCACTGAAGGAGATCTTTCCAAATCAATTTCCAGAGATGGAAATCTCACCTTACCATTGCAGAATCTTAGTATTAGTAGTCGTCCGTGAGTCCAAAACTACCTATATTGCGAAGGCCACCAATGTTCCATACCTACATGAAAGTCTGGGGTGTATTTGTAGCTATGGTTTTGCGGCTGTAGACGTGGTTCTTAGCGAATCATTGTGGTACTGAGAAAAGTTAACAGACTAGTACTTGAGAAGCTCTGGCAGTTATTTAACTGATACATTGCCGAGTAGCGCGTTTGTCAATTCAAATCCCCAAGATTACCTGTTGCGGAGGTAGGTACTCTTTCCGCTGGGGATTGCCCGGGGGTTCCCTGCATTGCCCCGTTTTGTGCAGCGGGGAGTTCCCGGTTCCCGCTGCGGGCCCATGGCGTCTCCGGAGATAAGTTCGGCAATAATCGTAGAAACGTCATCTCTGTCGATATCACACTAGTTGATGCAGGATGAAAAGCTGTGAAACCTTCTTTGAGCCCAGTTCAACGTCAGGTCCGTACCCAAGTTTTCACTGAGCTTAGGAATACAGCAAGTATCAGGGATGAGTGACCTGCATTGAGGGCTCTACCAAGCTATTCCAGTGGAGATTCCTACGAGCCAGAACTACCTTCTTCGCCGTCTCGTAGAAGATTATGGTGTTATTATCAAAAGCGAAAAATCTCATAAGCGTACACTGGTATCAAAATCCAAGATCCGGCAATTTCTCCCCGTCTTTGAACAAATCAATATAATCCGTCTCTCCATAAACCAGCTTCGGAAAGTTAAGCCTTGTACTCCATCTGATATTCCTCGTAAACGCCTGCTCATTGTAATCGGTTCCATGATCCGAAATGTCACTAAAAGCACTCTTTGCGCCGACCGGACGATGATGCTGGAATAGCTGTGGCTGGACGGTCAAGCAGGTGCTGATCGGGCGGCCATCGACGCCGTCGCACATGGAGCGGAACATCATATCATTCGTGCCGGTTATCTTGCGGATCCCGAGTTCGTAGAGCAGGCGCCGCGCGCCACGCTGGGTGAGAGCGTATCCCAGCGTACACGTGTTTACCCGCGCACGGGATACGACCCGCGTATGCACCGGATACTGCTAAACCAGCTCATCGTTGCCGAACTGCATTTGTATGTGCTGCTTCTCAGGTACGGTCTCGTCATTTGGGATAACGACGCGTCCGAGCGGTGCATTTTTGTCGCTGAGCTTCGGAAAGCGCGTGCCGCAGTGCCCCAGCCACAGCATATCCCATCGGTCTACATCGCCGTAGGGGGAAGTGGTCGGCTCGGATGTCGTCTCCTTGTCGACTTCGAAGTTCTGTGGCGACTGTCCGAGTTGAGGCTCTGGGTAGCTGGGATCGAGAAAGCTGTCGGTTGTGCCGGGGAGAGGCTGAACAAGCAGTCGAGACGCTCTGGCGAAGTCTCGCATCTGCTGCTTGATTCTAATGTCCCAGTCAACGTCACCTTCAAGGACGAGTGCTGAACTGAGGTTTTGCTCGACGATCCTACGACTATAAGCAAACGTGTAGGCTATTTGATCGAGGGATTCTCACATTCTGGCGGCATTCATGTGAGCACGCCAGGCGTATAAACTTCCCGGGTTGAGATTCACCTCCTTGGCACCAGGAGGCAGCGTTTTCTCCTCGACGCTTGTAACGCCATCTATGAACTCGACCTCTAAATCTGACAAGGCAGCAGCTAATGCCATAGAGTCCCGATAGTCTGTGCGCGATGGCAGATTGATGACGAGTATCTTCTGGAACTCGAAAGATGTCAACAGTGACGCCGTGTATCAATGGGATTCACTTACACCAAGTGTTCGGTTGAAGACATGGTTGAGAAGATCCGAGTCATTTACATCTGAAGGGCGCTCTGAAGGGCGCTCTGAAAAGTGTAGAGGTGATGAAGCGTCGTTGTCGTAATTGTATAGCAGGCAGAGCACTACCAGGGAAAGGACGCATGCCCCGATTAACGCGCTGCGGGTGTGAGACGAGGATAGAGACATGCTGCCGTAGACTTTTGGAAGCACAGCGCCCCGCGCACTTTTAAAGAGGTGACTCGGGGAGTCCGGGCCAAATAACGATATACAGAGGCCAAGTCCGTGCACAACAACTGCGCCGCACATGCGTGCGATTCATTTTGCCCAATGGTAATGCTGGACTAAGCGCGGCACCTAAATCGGATGCACGTAAGCTCCACTTAAACGCATTCCACATATGTGAAGTTCTTTCTTCTTTCGTCAGAGCTGGCGCCTGAAATAAGCCAGTGCCGTGTTTGCTCAACGACCGCGCCGCAATGGGACGCAGGAGAAGGGCATGCGAGGCCAATGGCACAACCCAAAACACCAACATGCGTTTCATCTAACGCGCGAGAGCCGCCGACACCGCTGGCATTTGGTTAGCGTCGTGTTTGCTGTCAATTGCATGATTCTCCGCGGCTAACGTTCAGCCGCACACGCGCCTATCGTCCATAAGTCGCTTCTTCCTTGCATGGACTAGTCCTTGCGAGTTGCCTTTGCAAGGTCTTTTCGAACCTCGTTTATTGCAAATGGCCTCATGGAATGTTTTCCATCTAGGCCTCATTCTGTTCAGTCTGGTATTTGCTGTCCTTGCCGATGATGACAATCTCTGGATCTATCCAACCGAGCCCGGCCCCTCGAACAACTTTGTGGCCAACCCGACTTTCACACTTGGCTCGAAGCAGACTATCGAATGGACCACTACCCTCAATTCCTACTCTATCGCGCTATTCCAACAGCAGATAGACCTTGAGTCCGGGATTGAAATTGAGACAATTTACCGTGGGTTTCCGCACACACGACGTAGGGTATACGCGAGGCTGACAGCAACCAGAGAGTAGCCGCAACGGCTCAGGAGACAAGTCCTTCAAATGGACAGTTCAGACGTACGACGCAAATCGGACACTATCGCCCGTTTACTTCTTCTGGATCAACCCGGGCAGCTCCGCTGGTTTCACCTCTCACTATTTCAATATCACCAAAGATGACACTGCAAACGCTGTAGCCTTGTCTTCGGTAGCCACTTCGTCGTCAACAACCTCTCAACCCACTACTTCCAGCCCCAGCACCACAACACCAAGCAGCGCAAGCAGCGCAAGCAGCACAAGCAGCACAAGCATCACCCCCACCAGCACATTTATCACGTCCGCGAGACCAGCAGCAACAACAACAACCCCTGCTTCCACCATCATCCCAGCTATCTTCAACAAATCCACATCCGACTACCCCGACGCCTCGGTCATAAAAGTTGCCTTGGGCGTAGGGCTCGGGCTGGGCATCCCACTGGTGCTCATCGCCGGCATCTGGATCGGGCTCAAAGCCGTGCAGCAGCGACGAGCAGCGTCGTTGTCGTTATCGTCGCGCAACAGTGACCACCCCAACGACCGTGAAGCCATCAATCCGCAGCAGCGAGGCTGGCAAATGAACCCGCTACCTGGAGGAGGACGAACGGACCAGAAGAGGATAACGCCGGTCGTCGAGGCACCGTACTTTCAGCGCGTGGCTGAGGTGGACGGCCCCTGGTTGGCGCATGGGAGAGTGTATGGGAGGATGCATGAGGCGCCTGGTGACTTGCCGCCGCGCGTTGAGCTGGACGCCGGGCATCACAGGTGGATATGATGATTATGATTATGATGTAATGTCCGTTTTGAAATTATGATTGATAAGTGTGTGTTTTTAGTGTTGGGGTGGGCAAGTTTTCTCAAAAGGGGTCTCAGTCGTGTGCTTGAATGCTGAGCGAGGTATCTTCTACGTGTAATATAGATGAGTGCAGATCAGCATCTACTAAAGGAGAACGTGGCTTGAGGATGGTGAGGGCGGTGAATTTGACTGACCAGCCTGGCTTGGGCATCGATCAAGCATAGGAAAGACATCTGCATAGAATTGATTCCCCGTGCGTGCCGCCCCACCACGCATGTATGCAGAATGCTTCGACGGTCTTAGCGGCGATTTCAGCTATCATTCGTTCTACTTTCACTCTTCCAGCACTACAATTCAAAGCCATGCCAGTTGCTGGTTATAATTGATGCAATAAAAACGGACTTTCCTGTCTTTCAATTGGTCAGGTTGGGTTTCCTGGAGCTTTGAAGAAGAGGAAGCGTAAATGACCATCGTAAACTCGCCTGGCAATTTGGAGCCAGAATACGGTACCACTACTTCTTTCACTTCCATCCGTTTGATCATCGATACGCTCTGTTTTATCTTTTGACAATTCGAAGGTAAGAACATTCTGACTCACTTTCAAGTCCTGCTCACGTTCCTGAGTTAGCTTGTAACATTTCCGTACGATAGATCCTACTGCTACGTCAGCTTGCTCGCCTATTCTACTACTTCACTCACTCACCCGCGCGCCTAGATCTTTCCATCACATGCCACCTGTGCAGCCCACCGACGCACGGACCTGCTGGCGCATATGAATGCTTCGCCTACCCATTACGCTTCTTTCCTCTACATCATCGTCGCACATACGCCGCGCGCCTACAATCTCTCACAGCGCGTCACCTCTAGCCGGAAATATGCAGGCGTCTCCATTCTTTCTATCTAACATCAGAATTGTTAGGACTTCAACCGCTGTTTTCGACACCGAGATCACGGTCTCATGCGACGGTCCAGTTCACGGTTTTTGGTGGCACATGAACTTGGATCTCGTGGAAGACATCCTATTTCACTCTGATGCTGACCGGCGCCATGATCTCGGGATCGACGGTGAACTCTGGCGCTATGACAACGGCGAACGCGTCTCTATAAGCGCAGTTCTACGAGCGGCCGTTGCAGACATGACGGACCGTAGTCAAGGACTGCAGCCCACATTTATTGTGGGTACGAGCCGCGAGATTGAAGGTAAATAGAGTTGTTTCTTCTCTCTATTGGATGCGTACTAATTTCTATCTATAGAGCTACGACGTCGCCCGCTTCGAGACCTTGCCGACCTCCGCCCTAACGAGACGGTGCTCCTCGACGTCTCCTCACCTACAACTCAGCCACAACAACCTGAGACAAGCCTTCCACCCCGTGAACACACGACTCCAATCTCACCGAAGCATGAGCGGACGCCTACGCCTGACCCATCCCAACCGGACCCACCCGCGCAGCTTGACCCACTCCCGAAGCTTGAGCAGATTGACAGCGCGAGCGCCGAAACAATTGTCATAAAAAAGGAGAGAGACAGCAACCCGCTGAAGGACGACCCAGACTCAGGCTTCATCGACGACCCGAAGGTGACGGTCGATGCCGGAAAATCGTGGCTCAAGGTAGAAAAGTCAGAGGAGGACGATTCAGACGCATAAATGGCCGTGTGCTCGAAGGAGAAGTACATGTCTATTTCTTGCGAGAGGAATTCGAAATGTTCCTCGGAAAGACGAGTGCGAGCCTTTCGGCTATTGAGTCCCTCAGGTGCGAAAAAGGTAACAGTGATCTGATGATTATTCCCTCAGAGGTTAGCCATGAGCTGATCCTTTCATACTATAGCGGAGAACAGCAGAAGCTCATCAGAAAAAGGAGCCTCCCTTTACGGTCTCAAAATTCCCGGACCACACGTGCGAGACCTACACGATAAGCTTAGGCGCACATAGGCTGGTTCTCATATCCGCATGCGAACAAGACACTATCGATTGACTCACACTTTCAACGGTTAGAGCGAGCAGACAGCGACCACTACAACTGCAGAGAAGTAGAATAAGTACCAGGGTCTCTGCTGTGATTTCCAACATTCAAGAAAGTACATTACCAGCTCGAACAAGCAACAGAGAACAAAGTAGACAACCTGCTGGCGATGCTGGGGGGAGATCATCAGGGGAAACAAAATTGCTAAGTCCGCGTGCGGGCCCTGAAATTCTCGGTAAGGTAGGAGGTTTCGGAACAGAAGCAATATCCACGAACAAACTGGATTAGTGCCGTGGTAGTAGCTGGGCTGCCGCAGTCTACATCACTCTCAGTATTCTCTATACAATCATTCCACAGCTTAACAGCCAATACTGAATCTTCCACCATGCTTACCTGCCTGCTTGTTTTCTGTGCCCTGGTCTTCTGAATCAGAGTCAAACAACTCCTACCACTCCTACTATCTTCCTCCCTTTTCGTTTAGTTTCTCCCCCTATATTGTGACTCTCTCTTCTCTTTCGTTGTCCTTTTTCTTTCTAGTGGATGTTTCCCCCCCAAGGACCTACAAAGCTCATCAGCGCTATAAGTACGGGCCAGGATGACGCCGTTGGTATTTTCATGTTCCAGTATTTGGCATTTGGCTTGAGCCAAGTGCGTTGGCTTGGGCCAAGAAGGCTTGATCAAACCGCATCGAACCGCATCCGAATTGAGCGACCACTGAGGATGCACACAGCCTACAACAAGCTAGGAAACTGAACTGATGTGTTTATTCGTATAATCTGATGTCGAGCGACGTCGTGAACTGACTTGATCTGAATCGCGCTTCGTTCTGGGATGTAAAGTTGGTGGTTCCTTGAAGTCGGGTGACATCGCTGCTGGTGTTTCTGTCTCTAATGTAAGCGAAGTGGTATAGCATGATGAAAGTCCATGTTGAGAATCATCTGAAGCGCCTTTCGGCTTAACGGAACATAGGTCCTACTGCAGTTGTCTGGATGTTGAGGGCGATGGTCGTTTCGGCCCAACTCTGAACCGCGGTTAATCCATGAGCCGAACTTGCCTTTGAATTTCACGACAATAGCGGCCGCGCGGCGAGACGGGTCAAATTTCAGCCGCAAAAGTTGAGCCGGCGAGCGCTCGCCCAGCCCAAGTCCCATAGAAGTGGCGGCCTGACTTTCTACATCGGTAAATCATAGAACAGATAGCTCACAGAGGAAGACGGGCGCAGTTGGCGAAACAAAGTTTAGCCAAGCTCAAGAGACCAAGAGGTACTTGAAAAGTAAGCCTTTCCTCTCTACTGAATCCAAGCATTTTCAGTAACGGTATCTTGGGCACTGAAGGCGACTACACTGGTGTGGCCTGACCGGATGTAAAGAGTCATGACTCCGAGATGGTGATGTGGTGGCAAAGTTGGATTCCGCCGTTATCTCGTCTCTCTCATCTCCGTCAAGTGCTTTGTCTTCAGCAGAGACTTGCAAATCTGCTGGAGAATGAACCTTGGGAAACAAGCATGGAATTTTATGCATCGATAGCTTATCACTTCATAAGTTTGCAGTGAAGATGATTGCCTGATCCAGTAAGTCTCACAACGTCAATCGAAACATTGCGGAGAAGTGGGTCATGGGGTATGTATGTACGTACCGACAGGCTACGACCCACCTGAAGAATCTAATGTCTTTCTATAGAGCATCCACAGTGTTCCACATCGTGAAGCGAAGGCTGGAGTCTCTTCCTTCTCTTTCACCAAATGAAGAAAGTACCGCCGATGGCAATCCGCCACCAGGTACTTGGCATCCCAACGGAATAACCCAGAGCGTAGACCGCTTGAACGCCACCAGTCATAACCGATAGTCATGCTCGTACGATAGACCAGCCCATCGTCCTATCATCAGGCCGCTGTTGATGGGTCGCCGAATCCCCCGCTCCCTCTTCCCGGGCATGACTTTTTACCGACACCGTGACCCCGGATTCCGGGCGCGGCATCTGGGGTCATTGGTTCGGCTTCCCCGCAAACAATGCTAGTGTCCTGCGGAGAAATAGCCGTGCGTCCTGGGCACACGGGCCATAAATACCGGCTTCTTCCTCTCCCTCGCCTTCCCTTCAGCTCAAGGCCCTCATCTCTTTGCTCACCTCTCATTGTCTCCTTTCATCCTTGCTCAGAGCAAGATTCTCACTTGGTAAAATGACGGAGAAGGAGAAGACCATGAGCTACCCAGCTGACGAAAAGCTCCACATCGAGGAGCTGGAGAAGGAGAAGGGTGTTGTCGTCGATGGCAAGGAGGACTACTCTGGAGCCGTTGCAAAGACGGATCCGGAGGAGATTGCTCTCGTCAGGAAGCTGGATTGGCGCATCATGCCAACGCTCTGGTGCATGTACTTCCTGAATTACGTGAGTAACTCAGCACTGGGTCTCTGATCTGGAGAGAAACTGACTTTTCCACACAGCTCGACAGGAACGCCATCGCACAAGCCCGCTTAAACGATCTTGAAGATGACCTGGACCTCCACGGCTCCCAATACAACACTGCCATCTCAATCCTCTTCGTTGGGTACGACTTTCCAAGCAGAGTCAGCACTCTCCGCTGCAAATGCTGACGAAGAGTAGATACCTCCTGATGCAAATCCCATCGAACATGTTCATGTCCTCGAAGAAGGTCCGGCCGTCGATTTACATGGGCATCTGCATGGGCGCCTGGGCCGTCGTCTCCGCCTGCACCGCGCTCGTCCACGACTACAAAGGCCTCGTCCTCGTCCGTTTCTTCCTCGGAGTACGTCGTCCTCCATCCCCCCTCCTCCTCCTCTCCCCCAACCAGCCTCGCTGACACCCAACCCCCCATCCCCACAGGTCGCCGAAGCCCCCTTCTACCCGGGCGCGCTCTTCATGCTCTCCCTCTTCTACACCCGCAAAGAAATCGCCACCCGCATCTCGATCCTCTACTCGGGCAACATCCTCGCAACCGCCTTCTCCGGCCTCATCGCCGCCGCCGTCTTCGGCACCGTCGACGGCGCGCACGGCCTGAAAGGCTGGCGCTGGCTCTTCATCATCGAAGGCATCCTCACCTTCTCCGTCTCCCTCCTCTCCCTCTTCACCCTCGCCGACCACCCCCTCAGCACGCGCTGGCTCACCCCGCGCGAACGCGAACTCGCGCACGCGCGCATAGCACGCGATACCGTCTCCGCCGAGAACGACCGCGGCGCCCGCGCAGGCTTCATGCAGGCGGTGCGGGATCCGCGGCTGTACCTGTTCTGCTTCATGCAGAACATGCACCTGTCTGCGTGCGGCTTCAACAACTTCTTCCCCACCGTCGTCGAGACGCTCGGCTTCAACAGCACCATCACGCTGGTCCTGACGTGCCCGCCGTACCTGGTGTCGGGCGCCGTGGGGATCCTGGTGGGGTGGACGTCCGGGCGGTACAACGAGCGGACGTGGCACGTCACGGTGTGCATGGGGGCCGCGGTCGTGGGGTTCGTGATTGCGTGCGCGACGCTGAATACGGCGGCGCGGTATATCGCGTGTTTCCTGTTCGCGAGCGGCGCGTATGCGGTTAATAGTGTGATTCTGGGGTGGGTGTCGGCGACGCTGGGGCAGACGAGCGAGAAGAAGGGCGTCAGTTTGTCGGTGGTGAATGTCGTCGCGAATGCGTCGTATATCTATACGGCGTATCTGTACCCGAAGAGCGACGGGCCGAGGTATGTCATTGGGATGGGGGCGAATGCGGGTTTCGCGTTTGCGACGATCGCGAGTGCGTGGGTGATGAGGGTTTGGTTGATGAGTACGAATAAGAAGATTAGGGACGGCAGGTTGCAGGGTGCTGAGGGCCGGAATATGTATGCTTACTGATGAGGGGAAGGGGCTTTGGGGACTTGTTGTTGAATCAGTATAAGCCTAGCTATCACTCAAGTCCTCTCAATTCTCTCTTTTTAATGTCAATGCAATGAATAGAAGTTCAACATCACTTGTGTTAGCAGGCGAATGCAGTGGATTTGTGGGCGCTTCGTGGTAGCTTAATACAGAATCCATCCACGGTGCTATCTACTTCGAGGCACTCATATTGCGGCTGAGGAAATCGATCAAGGTTTCGTTACTAATGACAAGAAGTATGATTCGTGAGTGTTTAGTGCCGCCCCGGCCCGCTTGCTGGATGATCATCTAAAAATGCACTAGCTTCCCTTATGCTAACCACAGGCCCAGGTGATTCTCCGCTAGTAGTCATTATTCTCATCTGCTGTTGTCAAGTATGGGCTTTTTACCGACTTAGTCTCCCACAGTCCATAGAGCGCATCGTCGTTCCTCCCTGAAAACCGACGCTTTACGCAAGAGTATATAAGGCTTAGGAAAAAGAAAGCAAAGCGGACTGAATAAAGAATCCTGCAAAGCATTTTCCATTAGTGATTGGGACCAAATGAGAGTTACATTAGTATTTGCTTACATGCACAAGATTGCTAGGCCGAACATGAGCTTTCCAAGGGAACAGTAGCTTCGGTCTTTCATGCAAATTACCGAACAGCTTCTCAGCAAATACCAGGGCCGGGCGCTCGGGTGTTTCGGGTCTGTGAAGTCGCCAGACATCTGACCAGCCACACCGTATGTCCACAGGCCAGAGAGGGTGGCATCGTAGAACATGTCGATTCCCGAAGATGACATGTGGAAGTAGAGGAGCGTGGCTTTGACAAACCACACTACAAGGCCGAGAGTTGCAATGGCGAGTAGGGAAATATCCAGTCTATGCGTCGATGAGTATACGGCGCAATCAAAAATGCGAAGGCACATACTCATGGCTCCAGACGACAGGGATTTCTGGTAGCTCTTTATGATTGGCGATGAAGTAGACACGGTGCCGTGGATCCGAGTTCCAACCTCTCTGACCGCCTATGTCCCAAAGAGTGGTTCTTAAGTCTCGAACGTAGGCTGCTATGGTCAGGCACAAGGCACAGATGGAGACGAGAAGCTCGGCCAGGAGAATGAGTGTGGGAAAGTTTTTTGGTCTCTTCATCTCGACTGTTCAAAAGTAGATAGGATGCGCAATCAAATATGAGGGTCGAATTGTCTCTTTAAAAATGCACGTCAGGATGTATTATTGGAGACCCACCGCGGTAATTATAAAACCGCGTGAGGTGCGGCCAGGTGATGTGATACGAAGTTTACAGGGATGGTGCGAGAACGCGCGCAAATCTGCTCACAGCGAGTGATCTCAGACGACTAATCGAGAACATCGTAACATGTATAAAACAATCAGAGGCAAGCCTTGATTAAATAGAAAAGGCCCTCAAAACTATACCCCAGTAAGCTATTCAAGCTCGTGGTGGTAGGTCGATATGTATTATGTCCAGCTCTTGTCTCTTCTTGATGACATGCTCCCAAAATTCTGGATCCCTAGCGTCTATTGTTCTAACTAATCTACTCTTCATATCGTCTTCTGTTTTCTGCTTGACATGGTGGAGCTTGCAGTATTGCTTGCAGGGGCGCAAGTAGCGTTTACTCGCTTCCTCTTTCGAGCATTTTGTGTCGAAGGCGACGTTGATGGTGCGGAATGTGGTCGCTTGCTTCTTAGACGCTTCGACCGCTGTGGCTCCGAAGGCATTATGGATGATCTAACTAAAGACTAGATATATGAAGTCTTAAGCGGACCGGTCGGTAGCAGTTCGTGACGGGTTCGTTGTGGGAAAAGCGCCTGGTTTGGTTAGCGCGTGTAGCTTATAGAGGGGTATTGCAGCCGAAGGCTAGCGCGAAGAATAGCAGTGGGCAACTAAGGCCCCACAGGATAGATGGACTTGAAAAAATTGAATTATGTGGGCAGTTGCAGCTATCGTCCGGACGAGAATGTATAATTATTAATTTAATATTTACGTCTGGACGATAGCTTCAACTCCCCATGACATGAGCGAAAAGTAAAATCACGCTAGTCTTCGGCTATATATCGTGGCCCCTTCCTCGCCAGTCCGCCCATCGCCTTTCCATCATCTTCTTCCTTTCTCATCTCATGCGCTCCATCATCGCTGACTCTCGCATCAGAGGCATTTCCTGGACTGCAACTCTCCAGCGCACATTCGTCCCTGTTGCATTCCAATCGCCACCACTTCAGCCGCATCAGTCGACGAGTGGCAGGCCTGGCCCCCAAATAGCAGCTGTTGTGCGACCTTAATCCTAGCCTTTCGTGACCTCAACCTCACTCCCTGGCGCTCTCTGGCCCCCAAAGCGCGCCTGTCGCCCGCCGAATCACGCATCTGCTGTGTTTCGCAGCCCAAATCGCAGCCGCCTATTCGCTGGAGGCAAACGCCCCGCGGCTTTGGTGCATCCGCATCCTTCGGCCGGGGTCTGACAGCCTCGCACAGTGGTTACACGCCCCTGTCAACGCCTCAATTCCTACAAAGCAATGGCTTTACTTTGATTCACTCTGCTGTAGCAGACAGCCGGAGCGTCCGAGTCGCTCACTTTCGATGCACAAACTCGAGGCCCTATCGCCGCCCGGTAGCCGGAAAATGTGATGAAAAAGAGCTGTGGATTGGGCAGGCTGGAGCCTTCAGCCTTGCGATTGATGGTTTGATGTAGTACTGACCCCAGCAAGAGTGATAGCGCCTGCATCTATCCATGTTCTCGGCTGCCAGCGAACCCAGTGTCGGGGAAGTAATGCAGGTGCGGCCAGTCACCTCACGAGCAGTCGGCCCCTATCTCATGGCTGCGGCACCGTGAAGGCTGTAAGACTTGGCTCTGTGAGACTTGCTCGGTCGAGAAGGCATCGCCGGGCCGGACGTGACCCTGTGCATTCCCGTCTGTAACGCGGCTCTCCGCCCTTCATACCCTCTTTGTTTCTTCTGTTTCTTTCGCTGCTCTTTTCTTCAACTTGTCGGAAGGGTCCCTCCCCCGTTTCGCCAACGTTCGAGGCCAAGCATATCGAAGGACTGTCCAATAGCCTCGCCGATTTGCAGCAAACATCAATTGGGCGACAAGATGACGACATCAGATGCAGAACCAGACCACGACAACACGCCGCCAGCCGGGGCGCTGACGACGGTGTTCACAATGCCGGCCTCTTGCTCAACACTTACAGAAAATTACGCTGACTTCGATTGCATGCCTCCGTCGTTTTCCAAGAGTTATTGGTACGGCTATGCTGGCTACTACTCACCAGCCATCTGCCCGGGAAACTATACGTCGGCATGCGAGCGGCCAAAAAGCGCCAGTGGAGGGACTCCTTTCGGCCCTCCGATAGCTGAGGGCGAGAACGCGATAATCTGCTGTCCGACGTACGTCCTTCCTTCCTCGTGCATTGCGCCACCGCCAAACATATCTGACTAACTCGCACACACCAGGGGCTACGAGTGCCTGACCGGCTCCGAAAGCTGGTGCATGTCCACCGAGCCGACCACCAGCGTCTGGACATACACTTACTACGAGAGCTATTCCGACACACCCATCACCTCCAAAACCACCGACGTCTCGATACCCAGCGGCTACGCCATCCAAGTCCGCTGGCGGGAACAAGACCTGGTCAGCCTCGAAACCGACCCCCTCACCCCCGGCGCATCTGCCACTCCTCCTCCCGCCTCCACCTCCCGACACTCCACAGCCCTCTCCTCAGCCCTCCCTACCACATCAACACCTGCGAACACCACGACCGACGGCGGCGGCATGTCAACCAGCAGCAAAGTCGGCGTCGGCGTCGGCGTGCCTCTCGGCATCCTCGCCATCGCCGGCCTGCTCTTCACCTTCTGCTTCCTCCGCCGTCGCCGACGCCACCCCAGCCTCGACCGCAGCAGCGACTCTGGCAAGGACCTACCAGAGGTGCACTACACATCACTACCGCACAACAAGGGCGGGCCGATGGTCGGCGTCAACACGGTCAGCAGCTTGCCGTCCATGGCAGGGAGTGGCGCAGGCGTCTACAACAGCTATAACAACAACAACTACAACCACCCTGAACACCACCCCAGCGCCAGCGGCAGCATCGTCATGAGCCCTTCTTCGACGATCGTCGGCCCACGCGCCTCGTCTTTCTCCTCGCCGCAGCCGGCGGCGACGGCGCAGTATAGCCCGGCCCCCATGGCGCAGCCGGAATACATACCGCCCAAACCTGGCGGCGGCAGCGTCCCGATGATGATGATGAACCACGCCTACAACAACAGCACATCGCACCTCTCCTCCCCCTCCATCACCAGCCCACCCGCTGCAATCGTCGGTGGCAGCGGTAGCGGCGCCGCTTTCGCTCCCGCCCCCGCGTCTGCGTCCTCGCCGCCTCCGCTCGCCATGTTCGCGTCGCTCAGCTCGCTGCACAGCCACGACTACAGCAACGACAGCAGGAGTATCCATGAGGCGCCTGGTAGCAACGGCTGGCAGCAGCAGGGCGGCGGCCACCACCACAACAGCTTCCACCACGATTACCTCCCCGGCGTACCGCCTTCGCTCGACGGCGCGGGCCATCTGGATGTGCCGGGCATTAGTAGTAGTCTGCGGTCGGATGATGATGATTCTGCAACGATCGCTACGCCGCCGTCGTACCCACCGGCGGCGGGAAGTGGAGCTGCAGCGTTTGCGCCGCGGGGAGGCTTTGGTGGTGGTGGTAGTAGTAGTGAGGCGGGGGATCGGGTGTCGTCGGAGCATGGTGGAGGCAGCAGTAGCAACAGTGGGAAAGGAGGGTTGGCGCCGCCGCATGGTGATGATACGGATGAGATTGTGCGGCTGAGGCGGGAGGCGCAGAGGTTGCAGGAGAGGAGGCAGCGGTTGACGGAGATGCAGCAGTTGGATGAGGAGGAGGAGAGGGTCATGGGGCGGTTGAGGGAGTTGGAGGGGAGGAGGGTGGTGTATTGAGGTGAGAGGGTGGTAATGGTTGTGTGGATGGTGGTTTTTGCCTTGTGTGTGGTATATATAAGGTCGTCGATTGGAAATATCAGTTCGCTATTGTGCAGATGATTTAGGCGTCGATCCTCCAGAGTCAATTAAATGTATTTTTCCGCAGGGATACTTGTACTCATCATCACTCACCCAATGACAGCGCTTCAATTCTTCTCCCTATAATGCTTAGAGATGAATTGGTAGATGTCCGCTAATGAGTTAGTCCCAATGTTCTGCATGTATCTGCAGCTCGTGTCTCCTGCATCCGCCACCCTTGCCACAGTTCTTATCAGCCAGTAGATCTCGGCTGCACGTCTCATCAATCCTGACATGTGGAGCTGACTTCCGCCAGACTCCCTGACAGCGAGCTTCTCGTCCGCTATGACCTGGCAATCCTCAGTAATATTTTGCTCGTCTAGAAGAAAAGGCTCTCTGACCGCCTCCGCGGCGAATGTCTGCCGGATCTCTTAAAGAGCCGGGTGACTTGTCTCTAGTTACTACAGGAAGCATCGCAGGCAAGCAGTCCTCCGCAAATTGTCGAGGCCCTACTCTTCTACGCGTAGTACAACACTGTCGAGCCTTAACCTTCTTTAGCGTTGTTACTTTAGAAGAAAGACGCGCAGTTCTGTCTGCAATGGCCTCCGAGTTCAGTAGTACCGGTCATTGGTATTGCTGCGAGAACTGACATCCATTCATGATCGGAGATTGTGGCATGCCAATGCAAGAGACAACGGAGCTGCGGCCGGCGGGAGGAACCACCAGCTTGCGTTAGGTGTGCAGAGGGCGGATAATCTGGAGAGGGAGCTAAGGGAATTTAGTTTGTAGTCCATGAGTTACTCCTTTTTTTGGTGCATGTCAAGCCCTTTGCATGAATGTACGATTGCTCAACTCCGCGCTTATGGTGCTTCTTTTTGGGAAGTTAAGCTTTTCGAATTCTAAAGCCCACCACGGTAATTGGAAATTGATTCCGTGTTCTTCAAAGAAATAGGAGCGGTAAAGCTGCCAAATAACTACAAGCTGAAGCCAATCTAAACCCGTCACAATCCATTTGAAGGACTGGATAAGATTTCCGGGAATGAAAGAATTGATCATGTGATTATACACGTGATAAGAACATGATTGCCAAGAAAGCTAGTGCACGATAACTCCGCATTAAAAACGTAGCAAAATTTTTGCGATTTGGGTTCAATGCGACACTGTAAGCAGCCGCCTTCGGGCAGCACTGACACTCGCAGTACGACGATTAATATGCTCAGATACACTGTATGTCAATGCACCTCTAGATCCACACGCTTCTCTGCTCCTCTCTACTGACTGCTAGAGGATTAACTGTATCCGCTAATATATCGCTATACTCTCAAGGCAGCTATGCTTATATTATACACGTCATAACCATTCTTAAATTCCGACATTTTTCGGCAATTACCGTGAAAGACCGTTACCAAAATGGCGTTTAGATCAGACTACTTCTATACAAAATCATACGTAACCTAAGTTACAATGGAAAACGTTCGTCATGACTCTAGAACCGATTTTCCTTTTTCCAATTAACATAAACGCTAGGTTTTTTTTTTAAAAAAAATAGGATCGGGAAAAAGAAAAATATATATGAAAAAAAGAGCATCTTTATAGCAAAAGGCTTTAGGTACGACTGTCCATCGCATTTAGCTTACTATTTTTGGAGCAAAAGCTTAGACAGTCCCAGAAGAAAAAAAGAAAGAAACAACAAAAATGAAAGCCCATAAACGCTACTAATTTACTCGGGCTTCGACAAAATCAAACGAGTGGAACAGTCCCCTTCATTTCACATACAGCGGTTCGCTCACCGGACTGTATATGAATTCTCTTGTGGTTGATATAGGAATGTGAGTCGTTTTGATTTTACAGAGTGAATCTTGCATCCGGCTGCGATGGGGTGCACCATTCACCGAGGCGACCTTCATCGCGAAAAGCTTGGCTTAAGGGTTCACACTCTATAAGTTCAAACGGGGTTGAGAATCCGATAGCGTTTGAGCGAGGTTGGTCTACCTCCTCATCAATCGTACCGGGGCCGGAGAAACCAAAAGTTGAATTGATGTCGAGATGTGGATGTTCCCCTTGAAGATCTAGGGAACTCTCGACATTGGTAGCGGGGAACGTTACATCTTCCATAAAATCAATGTTCGCGGTGTCCCACGTCGGGGAAACCTCATCCGCATCTAGTCATAGTCCGTCAGCTCCAAAACTAAATTTACAAGGAAAACTTCCGACTTGCCGTGGCTTTGTGAAAAGCTGGCGGGTGTCAACATGTCAAAAGGCGTGACAGAACTGTAATTTCCATGCAGAGAGCCAGAACTGCCGGCATTAGACGACATTTGTCGGTTCAAGTCTTGCGAATGGGCATGCCTGGTTTGAGATGATGGATTTGGGTTCCATTGATCGATGCAGGAGCCATCATTACAGCTAGAACTGGTTTGAGGACTCGGTGGGGGGCATGACGGTTGTGTGATATCAGCTTGCTCATGCTGCTCCTCGACTGACGTTGTCTGTGCAGGAGTACTGGGGCATGTGGTGGAAGCATCATCACCCCCGGAAAGTCCAGATCGTGGACACCCATCTGTCGAAGAAAGGCGACAATTTTCCATGCAGACGCGCTTCGCCGAGTGAGTGGGGGGGTGGTTGAGCCTTGCTTTGTGGGTATTGTCGGGATTGGGAAGAATTTTTCCATGCTGCAGGTTCTCAAAGTCCACGTGTTTGCGTAGGAGTCTTGTTAGACTTGTTTGTATGCCAGCGAGCTCTACTCTGCTCGTTCCACAGCTCTCCAAAACCTCAATAATGAGGCTCGCAGTCGAGACGTCCCAATTACATCTTCTTGCATGCTCTTGTGGACCAAGGTTCATGGACAGCTCCACGCAGATCTCGTGGATGTCCTCTTTGTTGAGCTGATTTTCCCACCTATATACAAGTCTCATCATCAGCACAGTTCTCTGAGCTCCGCCAGACCAAGTATCATTAATTCTCACCGGCTCAAACAGTCGCCTCTCAGTTCAAGGAGACGGCCCATACCGGTTCCTTCGGCAAGCTGGAAGTACATATTTGCGCCATGGATGATGCGTCTAAGGTCGTGGACAGTCTCGCCCGTAATCGTTGAGAGTTCTCGCAGTGCATAAGTTCGAGCCCCGCATCCCGTCTCTTTCTTCGCGCATATTTGCGGTGTTTGCTGCAAGTAATCCGCACAATGCGAGAGGAGCAGGTAAGTGATGCGGCTGACACATGCGATTGCATATTTATCTTCCTTGTTTTTCTTGTAGATCCTGCCGACCACCTGTACCACCTGTGACACCGGGATTCCTATGCATTCAGCATTGTAGGCTGTCTCGGGATGTTGCGGTGCTTCGAGATAGCGAGAAATGATTTCTCTGAGCTCTTGAATGGGCGGCTCCGGGTTGAAGGAAACACCTCGAAAACTCTCGAGGCCTTCCTTCACTCTCTTGCGGTTTACTTTGCCTCTCGATCTTTCGTGCCCCAGCGGCTGGCTTGGAGAATTGCCTCCATCAGAAGGGGCTCTACCATCACTCCCTATAAATGTATTAGTTTTGCAGTGGCAAAATAGTGATGGGATAGAGACCACTCTGGATCAGCGGTGATAGAGGTGGGTTCTCTGGAGGAACCATCCACGAGATGAACCGCAACGGTCCGTGGCACAGCTTTGTTTTTGCAGGCTCATCTCTGTCTTCGCTACGCTGAGGCGTGATTGGGAATGAGCTGGCTTGGCGTATATCCACCAAGAATGAGAGAAGGGAAGGGCCACGATAGTCAGGAGAATCTGATGTGGAACACAGGAACTGCTCAACAATTTCGTGTCCCAAGAACGTTTGGCAAACATTTTCAAGTTGCTTGCGGATAGTTATTAGTTTCTATGATCACCATTCGATAGAAGAGCTGCTCAACTTACTGGATCCTCCGAGACCATACGAGGATAGATGGTGCGAAGTTTTCCAAACGCTGTTTCCAAATCCGCTGCTACAGCCATGACGCAAGGTCACTTTTTGTGATGGCTGTAGGTGAGTTCGGCAGCCATCAGGAATAGGACGCCTGCTGTCCGCCTTGGAACGTTTTGCTGCAGAGACATAGGTGTGTAGTTGGTTGAATTAAAACAAGGATGTTCCTGACAGACGCCGTGGAAAGACTAAACCCCTTCGAGACAGAGCTTCGCTCCATTATTTGAAATGAAACCTGGAGTATGCAATTCATGGTAATGATATGGAGATAATCGTTTAGGCCTGGAGAAACTGGACGCTCAGCTCCGAGCTTGTTTTGCTTTCTTCCCCCGCCTAGCATTTCCCTGACGCTGGCGATCGTATTCTGAGCCGTGTGACGGGATACAAAAAACGTGATTCTTCTCTCATTAACCGCGGATTTGGTCGCTAAAACTGAAAGTGTCTATGACGAACCCTACTCTCTGTTCCAGACTCGTCAGTCTCCCTGGTAAAACTTTGAAGTCAATGGTTTGCCTCTCCAGCACCTTGGAGAACTCATAACTAAACTCTTCCCACTCTTCGGTCCTTCCATACTTCAGTCTCACATCATTATCGTTTAGCCATTCTTCATTGCCAGGCGTGCAAAGGATAACCGTCGACCTCCGCATCCATTCCCGCAAGCAAACCCACTCCGGTGATGATAGGAGCTTCTCTGCTGAATGATTGCCCAAATAAACTTGTGCATACACGATAGGATCGATCCCGCTACGATCGGATATGTACCAGCGATCGCGTAGGGTTTCCTCGGCCTTGTATTGGGCCATCAGTATGCTTTTCTGAAGCTCGAAGCCCCTCTCTGGATCCGTGACGTCTGCCGAGTTGAAACCGTTGTTGTGCATGACTTGTGTGGCTGCCTCTCGGATGAAGGCGGGTGCGTCGGTATAGCAGGGGCTCTCATCCCGTTCCTTGGCGTTCGAAAAGTATTCTTCTAGCGCCTCAAGCAGTGTTGTTTTTCCGGTACACTGCGCCCCGACAAGGTAGATGTTTGAAGGTTTCATGTATGCTTCGCTGGGGATGGCGTTTAGGTGTTTTGAGTGCTCCAGACTTCCTCGCGTCCTCTTCATGAGATAAAGCATGATCTCAATGCGGGTTTATATAGACAATTGTTTACCAACAGGAACGGTAGAGATTAAAGATGAGTCCACCCCACTCCTATCCAGACGTACTCATGTGATAGTTCAACGCAAGCTTGTACGCCGAGCCTGCTCAAAAAATGCAGTCAACTTTCCTTTGGGAATTTCTTTGCAAAAAGCCCACGAGTAACGATCCATGAACTGGATGATTTTGCTGTCCATCTCCTTCATCTCTGCTTCTTTCAATTGAGTGATGGCCGAAGGAGCACCAGGCTCAAACTGAATGGAACGCTGCAGCTCAACCTCGCCAACAGTGTGGCCGAAATCTGTTTGATCAAGAACGATGCGGAACTCATCGTCTGCCAACCAGCTTTGTCGAAAGGTTGTAAGAGTAGCTAGCTCTTTGAGGCCGAAACAGTCGACTTGGTTCCCCTCTCCGCCTGCAAGTGCCCGGACATATCGCGCGATCTCGAATGGGTCCGTAATTTCCTCAAATTTTGAGTTGCTGAAATCCCCTCCCTGCCTGACTTTCGCTTGCCAAAGACCGTCGCGTCGCCTTATCCAAATGCCGTTGGTTGACAAGATATTTGATTTGTCGTAGTATACATCCGTGAATTTTCGAGGACGTAGACGTTGCAAAGTTCGAAATGGTGGATTTCCGGCATGTGAAGTGAGATCTTTGACCGCAATATTGCTGAATTTTCGCTCGACCTCTAGAATCGTACGGATGAGAGAGGATCCCACCATATTCTTCCCCTTTTTCCACAGATGAACTGGATAGCGATAATTGATTCAGTCAAATCGAACCGTACTTCGAGAAAGAGGAAGTTTTGGATACGAATGGAATTTTCCGAGCTAATTCGTCGTTGCAGGGAAGCCCGATTTACATATGCAAAAGCGGGGTTGATCTCCCACAATCTTTTTTCAGGGATAATCCAATGCTACTTAACCTTAATTCGGAAATTCATTTGTACTTGCCGAGAAACAACACCCCACCTCCCTTTCTATCCTCCCTCACTCTCTTCTCGGGAGCGCGCGCCTCGCAGAGGAGGTTCGCTTTACCTTTTTCTAGACTTGCTTGGCAAAATGAGCCTCCAGAGCATCGAGTACTTTAGTGACTACCATGCAAGTATATTCGCATGGCTTATTTCCACACACTAGTTACATCTCCGTATGTTTAAGAAGTTGGGGGAAAGTGCATGTATGCTTTGGAGCGCGTACTATGTAACTCACCAAAGCCTCAATAGCGATCGTCTGATCTATCCTTCCACGGAAATCATCCAAAATAAACTTATGATTTCCTTGACTTCTAAATTCTTCTACGGCTTTCATCACGATCGGCTGCAGTTGATAGAAGTTCGTTCTTCCGGACGCTGTCGATGGTAGCTTGGTCCATAGCTGCGTGATAATTGGGTATAGTTTTTCTAAGCAGATCCCCGATCGACAAGTGGACGAAGCCGTGATCTTGGCCAGCCTTTTGCACAACGTCCCCTTGCCAGAGGCCGGTGTACCTGTGTCCGATGAATTAAAGACGGAAAATCTAGAAAATTAACTTACCTATGACATACACGAACGTACACCAATTGCTTTCATTCGTCATTGAAACTGTTGATGAAGTGGTGTGGCGATTTGTAAGTTGGGTGTTAGAACAGGGAATACGAGCAAGCAGACTGATATATATACACACAACGCAACATAATCTTCATCTTCACATCATTCCGATGTCTGATCTGTTACCTCTTGATAGCCATGGCTCTTGTTCTCTCACTTATTTTCTCGTTGGCAGCCTTGCTCGCTGTTGTGCTACGGAAACTGGTGTCCAACCATCGCCGCAAGCATCCCATATCCGTTAACTACCACTTCACACGTCGATGCAACAAGTCGTGTGGATTTTGCTTCCATACAGCTACGACTTCATACAAAGAAAGCGCAGAACGCGCCAAAGAGGGCCTTCGCTTGCTTCAGATGTCCGGGATGCGAAAGCTCAACTTTGCGGGCGGCGAGCCCTTTCTGTACCAGAAATTTCTGGGCGAAATGGTCAAATTCTGCAAAGAGGAGCTCAAGCTTGAGTCTGTATCGATTGTCACGAACGGCAGCCTCGTCACGGAGCGTTTTCTCGCAAAGTTTGGACGACACATCGACATCCTAGCTGTCTCTTGCGATTCGTTCAAGGAATCAACGAACATTGAGATCGGCCGCGGCTCTGGGAATCAAGTAGACCAGCTTTACCGAATCCGAAACTGGTGTTCCCGGTACAACGTCAAGTTCAAGATCAACACGGTGGTGTGCAAGCTCAACTACACCGAAGACATGAACCGTCACATCGAGAAACTGAGCCCGTTCCGGTGGAAATGCTTCCAGGTTCTCTTGGTGTCGGGAGAGAACGAATCAGCCGAAAGACTTCGCGACGTACGACGCTTCTTGATCACTGATGAGGAATATCGGGTGTTTTGCGAGAGGCACAAATGTCAAAAATGCTTTGTACCGGAATCAAACCAAGTCATGGCTAAATCGTATCTCATTCTGGACGAGTATCTCAGATTTTTGGACCGCGACGGCCGACAACCTTCTGCGTCTATCTTGGAGGTGGGTGTTGAGAAAGCGCTCGCTAGCGTCTACTGGGATGAGGAGAGTTTTCACGCACGAGGCGGGGTGTATGACTGGAGTAGGGAGTTGCAGCCGGCCTCACAGTCTGTAACGGCGATGGATTGGTAGCGGCTTAGTTCCGAGCAGATAAAGGCGGCCGTGACTGGCCTTTTCTTTGAAATAGCAAATACACATCTTCTCCATCAATGTATATCAGCCTATAAAATAATGATGACTACTTACAAACCATCCGCATGCGGCTAATTCGTGTTGAAAATCGTGAAGTAGTGCTCGCTTAGATATTTCAGAAGGCGTTTACCAATCCGGGGCAGCTGAACCCCACTTTCTGAGAATGCCTTGCTCTTAGATAATTGTATCAGACCGGGCTATATCAATGGCAAGACTGAGATGTCATTAGAGCGAATCCATATATTCCGATATCTGAAGCAAGATTTTGCCTTCTCGATGCGGGTTTGATGAAATCATGAAACCGAGAATCGGGATGAGTAGCCTGTAGTGAAGAATTGGACGCTGTTGTCTCATTTTAGAATATAATTCTTCATCATTTTCTTGCTCGACCATTCAGAGATACTCAGGGCCAAGACTTCTGGATTACATTAGGTTAAACCCCTCTTTTTCTTCCTTTCCCCACGGCTCGTCCCCCACTCTACTCATGCCTCCAAGGATACGGCCGCATCTCCGCCTTGCCCACACTCTCCCTCTTCCTCAACGCCCTCCCATCCTGCACGAGCGGCGCCAGCTTATGCTGAACGCTCGTCGTGTTCTTACCAATGGGAGCATCATAGTCGACAGTGAAGACGCTGACGGCGCTGCGGCAGCTCTTGCCGTCGACGACTTCGGTCTCGCCGGGCAGACTGCAGTCGCCGTTGATGCAGATGTTGACGCCGGGGCCGACAATGTCACCGTAGCGGAAGAGCTTGGTGGTTTCGTTGTAGACGGCGATGTCGGAGAGGGCGCCGCCAGTCAGGCGGGTGAGGATGAAGGGCGGGTCGACGCATGAGTCGTTGGTGAAGGAGGTGATGGTGGGGAAGTTGACGCTGTGAGGAGGTCTGTTAGTGCTTGAAGCCTCCACCAAAAAGGAAAGAAAGAAAGGGATCCACATACTTAAGCCCATACCCCAACGGCAACACCCTCTCTCCCTTCTTCGTCCCCTTCACCAACTGCTCCACCAACTTCACCGTCAACTCGGCATGCACCGTCGCCGGATCCGCATACCCACTCGCCGTCGTCTCATTAATCCACTCGTAACTCCTCTGCCCGCCCACGCTGCTCGCCGAGATGGCTATCGCCGGCACGCCGCGGCCGACGGCGGCGTACGTCGCACCCATGGTGCCCGAAAGCGTGTACAGGAAGGACCCCAGGTTCTGCCCCACGTTGGGCCCGGCGACGAGCAGGTCCGGCAACGTCACGTTGGGCCACACGCGCGGCATGACGTAGTCGAGCGCGACGAAGGTGCAGGCGGCCGGCGTGCCGTTGTAGTACCAGATGTGCGAGTCGGCCGGGTCGGAGCCCAGCGCGGGCGCGCCGGCGGCGACGGACGAGAATTCGCCGTCGGTGACGAGGGTGGCCGACGAGGAGAAGACAGCCCTGCCTCCTTGGCCCGAGTTGTCGACGACAGGCGCGACCATCAGGACGTTGTGGCCGGCTTCTTTGAGCAGGCGGTACGTCTCGCGGATGTTGGCGCTGGCCCAGCCATCGTCGTTGTTCAGCAGGATGTTTAGGGCCTGCGCCGACGGCGAGGAGGAGAGCGCCGCAAGCACTGCGGGAACGAGTGTCGAGAAGCGCATGATGGCTGCGGTCGAGGTCGAGGAAGGCAAGAGACGCCCGGCAGGTGAAGCGAAAGAAAAAGCGGAAGCAGTGACGACCAAAGAAGGCAGTGTTAGGCAGTCCACAAATTTATAACTGCGAGCTGAGGATAAAAGCCGGTCCCTGCATGTCACCCTTGTCAGGACCGGGGGATATCAAGGCAGGATCTGGAGTGAAAATAGCATCAATGCCGTCCAGAAACTGCCATTGAGCCAATGGGAGTCTTTTGGATCCGCTCGGAGCTTGCAATTCATGTCCTTTTGTTCACACTCGGCTCCTCGAAAGCCTGGGATGGTCAGCAATAGCCGCATGAAACGAACGTGCTGTGGCGTAGATAGGCTGCGGAGATAGTGCAGCAAATCCAGGTACGCGGCATTGCTCTCCCGAACCACCTCCCATTCTGAGCCATAGTGGGCGGGAACGAGCGCTCAGCCGTCATGCTGGCCCACCAATTAGTGTTGCGACCAGCACGATCGGCGCAGGGGGTGCAGAGATAGGCTGGACACGCTGCGGGGAGATGGCGAAGGGCTGAGGCCTGCGAACAGCGGTGTCGGCGGCTGCCGACTATCAGCCTTGTGTCTGTTATCGCCCGAAATTTATAAGTGTTAAGGAACACGAGGTAGGAGAAGCGAGCTGTGCCGCTTGAAAGTGTTGGAATCGGGACTGATAAGCGCGGGAAGCGGGAGATGGCCCTCGCGTTGCCGAAATCGGCGGGCTATAATTCTGACCAATCACTGAAAGAGACAATCAATCATTGGCGTACTGAATCGAGATTACCCAATCGAACAACGCAATGCGTATTCGGCCAAGACACGCATGTCCGTTTTCTCTATGTCGCAAGATATATTCCCGAGCTTTGCCCATCAATGGGCTATGAGTGGGAAGATGGTTGCTGCGAATCAAACACTACTTGTTGTTAACACTCGGACTGAGGAGCGGCTCTGCGTTTAGGAGCTATCGCTGCGGCTTATGGAGGCATTCCTCGCTTCCATGATCTTGGCAAGTATAGTCTTGAGCTTCTCGCGAGACCTCCCAGCCGAGCATATACCTACGTCACTTCTCTCTCATGCATCAACAGCTTCCATTGCGTCCTTGACTTTTGAATCCATTGGCACCGATGGAAAACGTCGACCAAACTCTTCCAGATCAAGGTCCTCCTGAGTTCTTGAATTCAGCACCAGCTCATTGCTGGGGGGTGCATCGTCTGGCTCCATCGTTGATCCTTCCTACGAGGTGGAGTCAAATGTTTGGAACGCCGCTATGATACGGACTGGAGAATTTTTTCATCTCAAGCGAAAAATTAAGACTTCGGTGTCAATGAGAATGCCCCGCGCTTGAAGTTGCAAACTCAGTATTGGTGAGGGGGGTGGAGTTCATGATCATTGAGGCAAGGCTGACGTTCATTTTCTGTCTACCCCGCCCGCCTGCTGACAGAGACAAGTGATATGCAAGGCAGTCTGCCATGTAAGCAAGTCGAACACGTGTTATGAAGGAAAAGGAATCTCTTACACGACCATGAGCGTCATAGGTCGGCTGTTTGTGCTCTGATAGATCGCACCGGCTTGGAGCATCGCTACACACATGAAACTCTCCTGCGATGAATCATCGGTTACAGTGGTATTTGTAGACTTATACTCTTGTTCTCTGCTTATGAATCTATGACTTATGTCATGACTCGTTTTGAGCGGCGCGCGTGCCATTGACACGACAAATAATTTTAAAGCGCCATAAACTTAATTCATTTGCACCTTGTGATGTGTTCATGCCAACGCTCAAGACATTTCGCTTTCAAATCAATGCACCAAATTCTCTTCATCATTCTCCACAGTGTTGTTTTAATACTAATTCCCGTGTGCTGAAGCAAGGCTGAGGCAGGTGATTAACTCCACCGAGAAGCTTGTTTGGATTCTTTTCAGTGGTGTTTCGTGTAGCAGATCAAAGCCCAGGCTAAATTACAAGTTAAGCTATCCCCGTGATACATACTACCTTCGGCCACAACTTTGAGGCAACCTCAAGGCTATAAGTTCTTCAAGGAAGAATTTACGAAGTTTCTCATCGAAAAATCGAACACAACGATAACATACCAAGCACTTGAAACGCAGCGGCATCCACAGCATATTTCAAGATTCAACATGCCAATCCCTAAAAATCCCACCAATAGGTACAATTTGGTCCGCGCCATTCGCCATACAGGTGATCGGGAATGCGGCGTGTACGTTGTGAAAAAGGAAGCCGATGGAAGAATGTATGTCAAGAAAACAGCCTTTGGAGAAGAAGCAGTGGCAAGCATTTGCAGAGAGTATCGAGCACTGAGGGTACTCGATCACCCAAATATTATCAAAATGGTCGAGTCGTTCGCAAACATGGATACCATGATGGGGGCTATCATAGTAGAGTACCACATGGCGGGCGACCTGTCGCAACTCATCACAGAGTGGGTTCTCCTGTCTACCTGCGCTCCTTGTTGGATACTTCACCTATGAACATTTTCTGAGGGTCGGACACAGTCATCTTTACAGATCCCAAAAGGAAATCGGCACCGAAGCCGTGAAGAACATCTTCAAGGACCTCGCTGCCGCCCTTGCCTACTGCCATTACGGCATCCGCGCCCCCGACAGCCCTCTCCCCAACTGGGATGCCGTCATCCACAAAGACATAAGGCTCGAGAACATCTTCCTCAGCCCTGACAACAACGCACCGGGCGGCCTTATCTCGATTCTCGGAGATTTCGGTAAGTGGGATCTCACCTTCCTTGCATTACCCAACCCCCCACCAACCCTCTCCCTGTATCCACTATTCACACTTTGCCTTCTCCTTTTCCTTCCCAACGTGCCAAACTAGCCTTTCCGCATTCACTACCCAATCCCACCGCTAACCCACCACCACCAGGTTCATCCACCAACGAAGCCGCCGAGGCGCAGCTGCGCCGGCAGCCACGGGGCGCCATCCGCCCCGGGGGCGACCCAGACTGGCTACCGCCAGAGGCGCCGCGCCTCACCGCGAAGAGCGACGTCTGGGGGCTGGCGACCGTCATGGCGTGCGTGTGCCAGCGCGTCGCGCAGCCGCGAGAGCTTCGGAAAACGCTCGGGAACTACCACGTCGGCGGCGACGACGGCCGTTCCCACTATGAGATCCATGCGCGGTACGGTCGGCGGTTTGGAGAGATCGTGAGGGAGATGGAGAGGGAGGATGTGGGGCGGAGGTGGGATAGCAGGAAGGTGTTTCAGGAGGTTGAGGTTGGCGTGGTGTATACGCCGTGGCAGGAGCCGGGGTATTAGTTGTGCGGTCTCTGTGCCTCGCGCTATTTGGATTCGAACATGGGTGCTTGCTTTTGGGTAAGGGTACACCACTGGAGCTGTTGCAATTTTAGTAAACCGACCTCACAGTCGCGTCGCGGTCCGTGACCGGAGACGGCTTTGTAAATTATAATCAATCTTTATTGAGGTACCGATCCGAACCCGAGAATGTATTGGAGTAAATATCACCATGTCTATGTCTCCTACTTAAGGTGGGATTCAAATTCTTTGTTGAGCCTTATCGTCTCATTTGTCATGGTTCTCATCCGATCTTCCTCAAAGTATATCCTCAGTCTCCGTTGCTCGATTTTTCGCACCAGTGGCGTGAGGACCTCTCTCTTTCTCAACATGTCATCCATCTCCGCATCATGCTTCATCACTACGGTCAGTGCCTCCACGATATTTTTAGATGGCACCATCTCATCTCTTATTACATTGTCCTGACCAGACATACTCCTTTGCCTTACTTCCACCGCCTTCTCTTTCAACATTGCAGTAATCATCTCGAGTTAATCGTCTCTCCTGAAAGTACTTGGAGTAGCCGAAGGGTTTTGCTGAATGTTTACATGGTCAAAAGAATGGTCAAAAGGGTTCGTCCTTGAGTTTTGACGTAGACCCTTCAAACTTCCGCCATGAAGGTATTCCATCAACCATAGGACAAGTATGATGGGACCAAAGAATACCAAAACAAATGCCGAAAGCAAAATTGGAGAGAGTTTTCTTTGTCGAGCTCGGTGGGCTTCCAGTCTTTTCTCAAAAATCTCGGTGTTGTGATCGCTGCGAAGCCATGATTTGGAAGCCAAGTCGGCAACAATTTCGGCATGGCCTGATTTGATGGCAAACTTCTCTACTAAGCTAATGCTGAATGGTATTCCAGGATATCTTTTTTGTCGAACATGCCAAAGCCCGCAGACCCAGTCGACGCAAGTGTCGTTTAAGAGTGCCCACATCTGGCGGCAGATAGCCGTTGGACCATGCTGTAGCGATACCAGGAATGCCACTGTTGCAAGCGCATATGCTTGTGCACCTCTTCGCTGAGCAAGGTAAGTTGATCTATCATCTTTTGGGAACCATAAATTGACCAGGATGGATGCTGCATTTGGCAAACCATTGATGCAGGCCTGGTGAGTAAGCTCTCCAAATATAAGCTCCAGCAGATATTTTTCTTCCCAGCGTGGTTTTCCTGATAATTTGACGTATATTGGCGATGTACCAAGTCTGATGGATCGGTTCTGAATCAGTGTTGCAAAAAATCCACCAACATCTTCTGCATCCGATGGATCTAATCGCTCCAACAAAGATTTCCTCAGAAATGTGTCCGCAGTAGTCCATGGAAAAGAATCTAGCATGTCTATCTCGAGATTGAGTGGCGATAGCCGAGCGAGTATGTAATGAGCACATTGAGAAAATGTGTCCGGATTGAGTTTGTCGGATTGGAAGAGGAAGGTGAAGAGCATACGCCTCTCGAAAAAATTGAGGATGTCATCGATGGCTTTCCTGCGCGTCTCAAGATATGTTCCAAGGCCTTCATATTGCATGGTATGTTCGAAACCGCGTTCCAGGATGGATAGGTAGCTCGCTTTATCCTCGCCTACGGCTGCAGTCGCCATCTCGTCTGTGAAGTAAACTGGGCCTGCAGTCTCTGGATTAGCCAAGAAGTCTTTTACTGTCCGGTGTAGAAGCTGGGTTGTATTGCCGGGATGGTAATTCTTTCGGAAGAACTTTGGATGGTTGCGTGATTCGGCCGTAATTACATCCAGGAAAGGACCACACCTCAGCCGTAGTCTCCTGCGGAAGGCGTACCAGTTGCCGACCTGCATCTTGTCCCGAAATATAGGATCCGGATCGTCTCCAAGATTCGTCGTCTCCAACGAGGATATTGAAATTGCCTCATACAATGCACCCAATGGAAGCCGGCCCAGTAGACTCCCTCTGCTGACCCACATCAATGTTCTTCGAGTCCCCAAAACCTCCTCAGAAGATAATCTCGTACAAAGATCATCTACAATTTGCTTGTATAGCTCGCTCAAATCCTTTGGCAGACTGCGAAGTTTTTTCTCAAGTTTTGCAAAGCTGTCCTCGCCATTCTCAATCAGAGATGTTAGCGTTTTAATGATGACTGTTACCCATAAGATCACTCCATCCGCATTGTCGACCAAGTATGATCGAATTATTCTGAATTTTTCAGAATCTGCGGGATCATTTGAGATCCATGAAGACGAACTCTTCTGAATAGTTTGTTCTCTTCCGGAAAATATTTCCATTCGTTCTTGGAGAGATGCGATGCCTGAATCGATAATTTTTGATATAGCACCAAAGTTGTTCTCTTGCATCTTGATTCTGCAGACAAACTTTTGCCATTCAGGTTTCAAGAATTGATCTTCAATCTCTGTAGAGGGCCGAGAGAGTATTATGAATCTTGCTTTCGAATTTGGAACCTCAGCAACCATCTCGAGGAAACTCCGGACAACATTCTGTCTTTGAATGTCGGGATCTTGCCCATGGTCGGATTCATCCATGGCATCAACCACGGATAAAATCGGGGCTCCTTACTCCACGATCTTTTTGATGATCCTCTTCAAGGAATTTATACTGATCCAAGATTCCGAAAGCGGCTCCTTTTGCCGATATTCGGAAACGAAAAGTGGAAATATTGCAGGATTTTGTTGTAGCCATTGGAAGAGTATGGATTGGAACAAGAACCTGTGATTCCGCGCGGTGGCGTTGCTTCGAATGCTGTAGTAACAGTCAGAGAAGAGCATGAGACTGTTCCCTGATAGAGAATGCTCCTCTCCATCCCGGCGTCTCCGGTCACGTTCCGACCCCAGCATCACCTTGTGCTTGTTACTTACACTCTTGGCAAGCACTGACTTCCCACTTCCTGGCTTTCCTTCGATCCATAGGATGCCTTGAGGCATGGTTTCCCAGGATTTATAGGATTGGTGATTCCATATCCAATCCGCCGTTCCTGGTTCGGCATTACATATGTCCTCTCGACGCTTGTTCTCCTGAGGTTTTCTACCGAGAACATCAAGGCACTCTACAAATAAATGTCAACATTCAGATAGTCAACGTAATTGAGAGGAGGGGATAGACCAACCGAGATATTCAAGATCATTCCACACACAAGACACCGATATTCCCTCAAATGGTACCTCATGAGGATTGGTAATGCTTACAACGAATTTGGTAGGTACACCCAAATCTTGGCATCGGTGTGCGAGTTCCCAAATGAGATGCATACCGCAGTCTCCTTCGACGTCGTCAACATTGTCAACTGCAATTATGGAGGGCACGGATAGAGTTCTGAGGTAGGAAATGAAGTGTCGCTTCTTTGTCTCAAGGTCGACAGAGATAGGTGTGCCTTGTAAAGCCGTCCTACCCTCGGTAATGCTTAGGAACCTAGCGCGAAATATTTGGTCTCCTTCGGCCAAAGCCTGCAATTTCAATGAATTCAGAATATCGGTGGGACTCGTGGGATTCTCGGTGGGAGAAGCGACCTCTTTTCCCGGGCCACGCCTTGTTCTTGATTGTGGCTGGCAGTTGAAATAGTAAACTCGTGGCACCCGACCGCTCCATGGGTCTCCGTCATCGATCAGACCCGCAGCAATGTATGCAGCAGACTTTCGATTGTGTTCCGCTTTCAAGCCAGAATTGCCTTTGTCGTAAGCGGGGACCGCGCCCTCCCGACTCCAAGACTGATATTTGGAGGTATGAAAGTAGGATGAGAAAAGGTCGAAGGCAATTGGCGTCAGCTCGAGCTGGCTGGAAACCCGCAAAGAATGATTTCGAGCAATGTTCATTATCTTGGAGATCCCTAGTGAAATTAAACAACAGTCAGAGTCTAGACATTCAATATGCTTCCTCGTTTGAAAAGTCTTCAGACAGATGTGGATTCTGAACAACTGTAATCAAATATTAAACATAAATAGACGTACACCCTCGGTCCTTTAGTTGCTGGACACAATGTCCCAAAGCAATGTAGACAGTTTCCTTACTGAGATACTTCCTTGTCACCGCCTTGACATTGTCAATCTCATTGGTCTCCTCCAGTCCGACTTCTTCCAGTCCCTGATCCACGTTGAAACGGAAGGCATAGTTCTTCTGGAAGAGATCCGTATGGATCTTGTGGAAATGATTCGCGGTCTTTTTGGTCTCCGTGAGGATACCTTGGAGCGACTTCAACATCTTGAGGCCCTTTAAGGTCTCATGGAAAAGTTCCAGGGCAAGTTTGCCGGTTCCGACCGATACCAGACATCGTACGTTTGCCTCGAAGTTCCAGGTCGGGTCTCTTCTCCCCCACACATCTCTTGCCTCTTCTTCAAGTTCTTGCACGGGGTTGTTTGCTCCAAGGCCTCCGTCACCAAATTTCTCACCACTGATTGTGATGGGGTCAAAGAAGCTCGGGGCAGCCGATGTGGCGCGAGCAACCTCCCATATTTTGGCAGTGTTCCACAACTCACTATCCCGCCGATCGGAGTAATAGTTCGATAGGATGGCTACGCCTCGGTGCACGTAGCTGGTTGCACATACAAACCTATTATCAGTCAGTGGTGATGTCATTACATGGATAAGAGTTTCAAACATACACCTTGCAGGGAGGGTCCGCCTGTTCTTCTCTGAACAAAGCATCTTCACTGAAACCATACCTGACCAACATGCTTTGAATGCCTCGTTCGAATGCTTCATGATCGAATCGGCCCTGAACTGAAGCATCGAACCTTAGGCGATGCTTCGTTTTGACGAAGATGAGCGGCGAGAGTTTCAAGTATTCGTCGATGTATTCCTGCACAAGCATGATAGCAATGAGTCCACCGGCGGAGGTGCCGCATATCATGTCGAAGTGCTCATAGGGTTTCGGTGGGCTTGTCGGGTTGATGTTCTCCATCAGCCTTCTCAAAATGAGCAAGGAGGATAGCCCTTTGATGCCGCCGCCGTCAAGAGAGAGGAGGCATAGCTCTCTGCTTGCTGGAGTGTCCCCTCTGACTTGCGCCATGCTTTCGAGCTGTCTTACCCCTGTCATGGGGTTGTGGGTTCACATAGGTCTGAGAACGATGAGGAGGAGAGTGGGCGAGGATTCGCTATTGCTGAGCCTTGCGATGAAGTTTCTGAGGGGTAGAACACAGCCATCATGCAAGTCGCCCGACTTGCGTGTGCTCTACAGTCCCCTCGTGCAGCCGATGGCTAGCGTGGATTTTTGCTCATGTCGTGGGTAGTTGAAGCTATCGTCCGGATGAGAATGTCGAATTTAAAATTCTACAGACACGTCCGGACGACAGCTTCAACTACCCACATATGCCATTTTTCTAAGAAAAGAGCCGGGGCATAGTCGTGCCTGGGGCTTTACTATTCTTCACGCTAGCCTTCGGCTGCGAGACCCCCTGTATCAGCCGCTGTAAGCCACAAAGTTGATGCGGAGAATGATTCGTTCAGCATGGCCTGGTATTTGCTACATAGTGTGCTTCAGCAGCCATTCACATACGAGAAGTCGCATGCTGACAACACGTGTCTGTGTAGCAGTAAGTACGAATAGTATGGACAGAAAATCACCCCAAGCCAGCAACATGATGGTATTTAGACACGTAAATATAGCAAACATGAATTTTCCAACACGCAGTATATCCTAGACGAAAGAAAATACCCGGATCCGAGCTTGAGTGCATCATATTCACTCATCCCAGCATCCGAGCGAAGTCTTCAAACAAGCCGCGCGCAAAGGCAAGCTTGCAGAAGATACCAAGCAAATGGCTAGGCCGATGAAAGATCGCTAGATATCCTCAACACAATAACCATAGCGATCGATCCGCAAATTAAAACCAGCAAGTAGGCGCGGCCTACCGGGCTCCCAATCGCTGATGATAGTTTAAGCGCTCTCCAAACTCACCTTGAGCTTCCATTCAACATTCGTGGAGGAAGAACAGCGCAACACTCCTCATCACTTCTCCTCCCACTTACCGTACACTTCTAGGCCTCCCCTCTAAACTCTCCCACTCCTTAGCTCTTTGCTCCGCCACACAGCGTCGTACGTACCTACCCTTCCAGGAGACCGTCACCTCCTGGCTCCCGAGAAAGCTCCACCGCGGAGAAAGCCTGCAGGATGCCAACTCAGCAGCACGTCCATCTCACCTCCTTCATGCTCTTTCCTCTTCTCGGCCGGGGGACAGCGGTATTCGGTCGGGGAAAGCATGCCGACGGTCGGCGATGCATCGCAAACAAACAGGTGGCGGCGCGGCCCAACGCTAACGCAGGAACGCAAAACGTTCGGTGAAGCCTGAAAAGAGGAGACGCGGCCGAAGTGGAGGGTGGAGAGTGCCAGAAAGAAGGCGGTCGGGGTCGGTCGGTCAGTCATGCAAGAACGAACGAACCGCGCACGCCTTCGCGCCTTTCTTTCTCGCTAAAAGACAAAGGCATTCCAGAAAGTCTCCACAGCAAGTTGGCGGTCAAGCAAGGCGCTCCATCACCAGGAGGCTCTGTGCCCTCTCCCCATCCCCACTGAAGAAGCCTCTTTTCCCCACCTGTTCCTGGCCCGTCCGCAGAGCCGCGCCTTTCCCTAACCCCACCTGAACTGAACCGCCCACGCCCACATCCTCCACCGCCTTCTTCACACCCTTCCCGTCCGTGTTCGAGACCCCCGCCGGCCGAACGCCAGCGAGCCAAACGCACGACCTACCAACTGCGCACACCACACCCTGCTCGCAAGCCAACGACGCTCAGGCACGCTCAGGTACCGTCGCGGCTCTTCTCTCGAGAGTCGCCACGATGATCTGATGGGAGCTGACGTGATAGCACGTACCGCGCCCGCGCCGCCTCGTGCGCGCACGCGCGACGCGCACTGGACGAAAGAAGGAGGCCCGACCGTATCAATGCTCACGGTCTGCACGGAGCCCCCCTTATCCACGCCACCCAGGGGGAAAGGCTCAGGAGAACATCCAAGCACGACCACACACCGTCAGTGCTTCTCCTTATCCCCCAGCCCACCGGGTGAGCGCCGAAGCTTCTTGCATATGCGGTCGAAGCGTTCTCGCTGGGTCGCCAACCCGACCCAAACCCCACTTCTGGACGTGCGTTGACAGCCAGCACATCTTTTTTTCTTGCCGCTCAGCCCGGTGCGAAAAGGGGTTCGTCCGTGAAAACACTCTGCCGGTGTGAGTGTGCGTTTGGTGTGGGGAAGGGAGCAGACCAGGTCCCAAGCCGCACGCATTCAGGGTGCGCAGGGGAAGACGAGCGTGCGAAAGATGCGCCGCGACCGGCCGGCGTGCGCGTTGTGGAGATAAAAAAAAAAACTTGGACTAAAAAGGAAAAAAAGAGAACACTGTGTTCGCATTGAATTGCAATTGAGAAGGAAAGTGAGGCCGAACGCAATAAAGGAGACTCAATGCATATCAATTGCACATGAGTAAGAAGAGAGAAGTAGGAAAGGAGATGCTTAGTAAGGTCAATGGTGAGGCATCGAGGCATCGACGATCCAGGAAGCCAAATCCCGTGACTGCAACCACGACCGCGTAAGCGTAGGTCCGCTCAAGCGCGGAAAGCAGCGGCGTGGGCTGCGCGGTGCTTTTCCGACGGACGCAGCGCCGGTCATCGGCGCATCGGGGGCGTCGGCGGCGGCATCTGGCGGGGGGATGCGTGGGCCGGAGAAGGGAAGTCGGGGTGTGGATTGTGGGAATTGAATATCGAAAGTGGGGGTGGATTCTTTCTGTGTGAGAATTGGCGGCACAGCTGGGCAAGGTTAGCGGCTTGAAAAAAAAAAAAAGCGACTGTCCGGCGGAAGATTGCTTGTCCCGCCGGGCGTCTACAGCGATTGCAATTGCACTTTACGGAAAACGACGCCATTGGTCAGGCAAGGCGAAATGCAGCCGCAACGAGGGCTTGCCGGAGGATCTCCCCAATTGCTCGACGCATCAGGTAAGCCGCCGAGCAACGGGGAAACCACTCGCGTGCCCAGCGTTACTTCGCTCAAGTAATGCCAATGCCTCACCACCAGCCTTCCTTTTCCGTGGATGCTAACGGTGGCAATGGGTAATTGGCACTGCAAACGGCAAGCATCAACGACGTCGTCATCATCGGCCAGTCGAGTCAGGCCCGGGCAGAAGGACAGCGACGTGGTGGTACCCGGGTGGTTGGTGCTTCCTTGCAGCTCAAAGTCCCCACGCACTTTTGCTCCCAGCCGTGCCATGCTTTTCCCACGCGCTCGATGCCGGGCGCGGAGTAAGGGACGCGGGTGCCGCCGCACACGCCCTGCATACGACCAAAAACCGCGCCGGCGGAAGGCAGGCGTCGTCGTGTGCGCAATATGGACAGAGGTTATTACCGTTCGGCGTTGGCGTCCGCTTCAGAAAATCCTCTTTCTCCACCGTGACGTCAGAAGCCGTGCCCGTTGCGCCGCCGCAGGGCAGGCGAGGCGAGCAGCAGCAGGCGGTCGGATAATTGTTTTGGGGGCCACGAGATGCGCGCGATGCACGCGCGGATTCGCCGCCGGCTGCGCACCGCAAGGCGCGCGCTGAGCCGTCCGTCGTGTCGGTCTCCACGCCGTGTCGTCGTTCGCCCTTCCGATTCTTGGCGTAGTTTGGGGTTGCTATGCTGGAGAAGCCCATTTTTTTCAGTGGAAACTCCGGGGCGAATTCGGGGAAGCTGTCTGGCTGGCATGGGGATGGATGCCGTGGGATGAGAGCGAGATGGGCCGCGGCAGAGCTAGCCGGTCGGGCGAGGCGGGCGCTTCCAGAACACCGATGATACGCTGCGATGCGCACGCCGAGCCCGCACATCCACGGCCATCTCCAGAGACACACGTAGAAAGGGAGTGGCGGGATGATGATGCACACATTGCACAAGCAGGATCAGCAGTGTGCTGAAGATGAGGCTGGCGGCTGTCAGAGATGACGGTAACACAGACGCTGGTGGATTTCAGCTTGCTTGGCATCACTCTCAGCGTTTCGTGCGGTTGCCATGGCAGCTTGGCGTTTGGATTGCTAAAGTTTCCTCACATCGCTGAGTCCTAATGTGTCACTGTAGGATGCTGAAACACTACTCTGTACGCCGTCCTACAGAAGCAGGAATTAAACTGGAGAGTCCCGTCTCAGACAAAGTTCATTGCTATAATAGCGACCCGACCAATATCCATCGCAAAGCATCAAGGCTCCCTTGTCTCAATGTCAAGGATCCGTCGTGCAAGTAGCGTCGTATCCCCAGTTTCCCGCAACCATGGTTGTAGGAGGTCGGTCAAGCCCGCCGACCAACGGGCCGGTCATCATCGGTCCAGGAAGATTTTTGCAAGCGTGCACATGATGAACAACGACTTCACCGTCTTGTCTCATTGATTCCCTGTACGCGCGCGACACGGTGTTGCAGGCGGGACGAAGGCCGCCAGCCCGGTTTGCAAGCCCGATCCAACCCGTAGATACGTCCTGATCTTTCTCTGCGTGCATGCCCAGCCGAACGGCGCCTTCGACGCTCCCCAACATCAGGCCAATGAGCCTTCCGTCCTGCAAGCGCACGAAAAGCGCCCCATGGGGGCGGCCTGACTCGCTCCCCACGTCATTGTCGTGTGTCGTGTCGCATTATTGTCGTGAGAAACAGCAAAGAAACGAGATTAGGACGCGTTGCTGAAGGGTTCCTCCGGCGTGATTACTGAAAACCTGTTTTTCCCTTTCGTGCACTTCCCGATCGAGCAACCGCCCACTCTGTCTCCGCCCCAAATTTGCTGGCAGGATTGCCGCCTCGTGGTTCGCCAAGCGGGAAATGAATGAACGACTCTCTTCCCTTGTAAAATCCTCGCCAAACACATCCCGGCCATTATGGATTTTTTTTTTCTGTGCAATCGCCCGATAGTGGTAGTCCCGTTAGTCCGTGAGCCAGGTCCGTCGGATCGGTCCACCCAGCCTCCCCAGCTTACCATCCCTACAACACAACACACAACCACGCCAGTCCAGGCGCCATGGCGCTGCGCCCTTGCCCTGCACAACCCCGTCCCGTTCCAACTCTTACTCTTCCTTGTCCGCCATTGCTAGGCGACCGTCCGGCGTGTCAACGGTGGCCCGAGCTCGTCAGCTGATAGCGATGGGCTGTTCCCAAGGGTGAACTGTGCACCCCAGCTCTTGACCTTGCTTGGACCTGTGCGGCCGCTATCTGCCGAGCCCGATAAACTAGTGGTCCATCTCGTATTATCCCCCATGGGCCGGTGAAATTGCGACCGGCAAAACCGTCTTGGACAATGCGAGCGAGGCGAAGGCGTTGGACCGATGGACGTCGACGTGTTCGTTTGTGAATCCACTCCGTTGGTTGCTCAAGACGGTGTAGTCAGGGGAAACAGTTGATGGGGCCCGGCTTGGCCTTTGCGGGTGGACCGTGTCGGTGACAGACGCCAATCCAGGCCCTCGTGATGTCGAATCCTGACAAGGCTTCCTGGTCTAGTGGGTCGGCTAAAGTCGGGATAGGCAGGTGCGCCGAGGCGGGAGGAAAATCTCAAGTCGAAGTACCTGTGGCAGAGGTAGCAGTACCGTAGAACAAGTAGAGGGAAACACAATAGCTGTAGAAGACAATTTTGAAGAGAATTACCTCAGATTGTTATTAGGTCTATGGGGTCTCTATACTAGGCGAGGCATAAACATGAAAAGGAAATCTTTATCAACACCGTAACTTCATCCAAACTCCTGCGTCCTTCTTCAATCAGTGGATAGAAGGACCGGGAAGAAGGGGAAGACATTTAGTCCTCCTCCTCCTCAGCCACCTTCTGGACGATGGTGTAGCGGCCCCTTCCATCGGGGTCGACCTCGTGCTCCAGAGCAAGCTTGGAGAGGCGGCTGATGATGTTCTCAATGCGCTCGTCCTTGTGGCCACGGTTCTTGCGGCCGAGATCGGCAAGGGCGGGGAGGCGGTTGAGAAGGAAGTAGACAATGGCAATGATGATGGTGACACCAATGGAGTAACACCAAACAACGACAACGGTGACAACGTCAGTCCAGCCATCCTCACGCTCGACGAAAGCGGACTTGGGGGAGGTGGGCTGTGGGTCGCCGGAGAGCCAGCCGAAGATACAGAAGATGGTAGCGAGGGCATCGACACCGAAGATGGCGAAGACGAGCTGCCACGAGGGCCAGGTCTTACCACCACGGGTGACGAAGATCAGCCAGTTCTCAGTGAGCGAGACCTCAAGGAAGAGAATCTCCTGGACGGAACCGAAGTTCTGGACGAAACCACCGGTCTTGAGGAACAGAGCACCACGGATGATCCAGGTACCAGCAGCGAGCATGATACCGAGAACGACGGAGATGATCCAGATCTTGGGCAGCTGCCACTCGACAGGGCGCTCATCAGAGAAGGCGTTGTCGTAGGCGACGGCGACGGTGGCAAGATCGGCGAACAGGGCAATGAAGACAATGAGCTCAGAGCGGATGGTCTCGTTGATGATGATCATCGAGGAGACGAGGTAGATCTCGAGATGCAGGCAAAGAGCGATACGGTACTGGATGTAGGCCTTCATGCGGTTGAAAATCTGGCGAGAGATCTTGATGGCGAGGACGATGGTGGAAAGACCGGGAGCAAGGAAGACAATATCAGCAGCAGCCTGGGCAGCCTCGGTGGAACCCTCGACGGCAATACCGCAGTCAGCCTTCTTGAGAGAGGGAGCATCGTTGACACCGTCACCAGTCATGGCAGTCAAGTGACCACGCTGCTGGAGCATCTCGACGACCTGGTACTTGTGCTCGGGGAAGACCTCAGCGAAACCATCAGCGCGCTCAACGAGATCGTGAGCGGCAGCGCCGGTCAGACCACCGTGGATGAGCTTCTCAGAGTTGTAGACCTTGGTACCAAGAGCAAGCATCTTGCAAGTCTCCTTAGCGATGGCAATAGCGTCACCAGTAAGCATCTTGACGGGGACACCAAGGTTCTGGGCCTCGAGGATGGTCTGGGCAGTGTCCTCACGCGGGGGGTCGAACATGGAGAGCAGACCAAGAAGGATCCAGTCACCATCGTTCTTCTGGTAGGCAACACCGAGCGAACGGAAACCACGGCGAGCGAACTCGGTGGCCTTGTCGCGGTACAGGTCAGCGACCTCCTTGGAGCAGTTGGCGAGGTTGACAATGGCCTTGGGGGCACCCTTGGCGCAGATGTACTTGTCACCGTTGAGCCAGCAGATGGAGGTAATGCGCTTGGAGACGGGGTCGAAGGGAGTGAACTTCTCAGTCCTCCAGGGCTGCTGAAGGATCTCACGGGCCTTGGGGTAGCGCTTGAGCGAGAGAATGGTAACCTTGTCGATGGGGTCGAGCGACTTGATGTTGTGCGACGAAGCGAGAGCAGCGCAAGCCATCATCCAGTTGACGTCCTGGCCCTCAGCGACGTAGGGCTCACGGAGAGAGAGCTGGTTGGCAGTGAGGGTACCAGTCTTGTCAGAGCAGAGAACATCGACACCAGCGAGGGACTCGATGGCAGTGAGCTTCTGGACGATAGCCTTCTCCTCAGCAAGGTAGGCAGCACCGACGGCGAGGGTGGTGGTGGTAACGACGGGAAGACCGACGGGGACACCGACGATGAACAGAATGAGGGCGTAGTGGAGCAGGTTGTTCGAGCTGTCCTCGGGGGTGGCGATCTTGAGCGAACGGAAGAAGCCACCAATCCAGGCGACGAGGATGAAGAAGACGACGAGGACGAGCAGCGAGGTTCCAATGGAGTCCATGATGGCCTTGAAGTGACCAGAGTCCTTGGCGCCAGCAACGAGCGAGGCGGTGCGACCGACGAAAGACTGCTTGGCGGAAGTGAGAGCAACGCCGTACGCCTTGCCACGCTTGCAGCCAGTGGTGTAGTAGCAGACATCGCCCATGAACTTGTCGACAGCGAGCGATTCACCAGTGATGGCGGACTGATCGCAGGCAACGAGGGGCTGACCGAACTTGTGGTTCTTGTCAGACTCATCCTCAGCGTTCTCCTCCTCCTCAGGGTCATCCTCCTTGAACTTGTCGGTGTCGCGGAGCTCCTTGTAGCGCTCGAAGTCCTGGGGGCTGGAGTAGTCGCAGATCAGGCGGATATCACCGGGGACGGTCTGGCCTTCCTCGAGAACGACCTAGATATTGAATTAGCGCTTGTGCGGACGACGCGTTGTGAGGCAATGGCTTACAATGTCACCGGGGACGACCTCGCGGGCGAGGATGTTCTGCTCGCGGCCGTCGCGAACGACGGTGCAGCGCATGGCAATGTCACCCTTCAGGGAAGCGACGACATCGGCAGCCTGCTTCTCCTGGTACCAACCGACGATAGCGTTAAGAACGAGAATACCAATGATGACACCGAAATCGATCCAGTTGCGGAGACCAGCGGCGAGCAGGACAGCGACCTCCATGGCTGCGGCGATTGTTAGCATCACGTGGTCGCCAAATGGTACATTGGACGGGTAACTTACTGTAGAGGACGGGGCCCTGGAAGAAACCAAGGAACTTGAGGAACAGGTTCTCCTTCTCGGTGACGATTTCATTCCAGCCGAACTTCTTGCGGCGGGCCTGGACGTCGCTCTCAGAGATACCGGTCTGGATGTCGGCCTCGAGCCATGCGGGCGGGACGGTCAGGTCGCCGCCGGGACCCGCCTTGGACTTCTTCCAAGGAGCGTACCAGGGCGCCTTCTTCGCCTCGCCCTCCTCGGCCTCCTCCTCGGCGTGAGCGGCCTTGGGGTCGCGGTAGGTGGTGATGAACTTCTGGAGAGCGGCGTACTCGTCCAGACCTTCGTAGTCGTCGTGGTGCTGGGCAGGCTCGTCGCCGCCCTTCTCGATATCCTTCTTGCCCATGGTGGCGGTGGTGAGCGCGGTGGCTCTGGTGCAATTGGCTCAGAGAGTGTTGAGAATGGCCAAGGTAATGAAGGAAGATGTAGTGGAAATTGGTTGCCCGACGCTGCGGAAATTTGCGGTCGGCGAGCCGGGCGCAGCACACACTTGTCGCTCGATCAGGACACGAGGGGACGAACAAGAGTAGAGAGCGAAATGCCTTGGGGTGTGGGAGAGTTTTTATGGATGGTCGGGCAGGCCTTCGCTCGCTCGGCCGGCGGAGGGCCCTGGCCGCAGTAGCGTGCACGGGGACCCCTGGCACGCAGCGAGCTAGCCAGTGACGAAAGAACCGATTCTTCTTAGGTGGTGCGTGCCGTCCTTGCCGCCTCAGTCCTCGGCCGCCAGAGCAGGGCGCTGGGCCGGGAGTCAGCCGCGCGATTTTTCGCGCCTCTGAGACTCATCTCCGAAGCGTACCCCACGGTCTAAGCAGTTACGTCAACCCGATAAGCGACAGCGGCGACTCGGCGCGCGACAAAAGCGGTCGAGCAGACTGGGCCTCATGCAGCCCCCAGCCGACACGCGGTTTCGCCATCCTGCGCCGCGGGAGCTTGGCCGACGAGTGCGACAGGCGCCGCCGCAGGAAAAATTCTGATCGAGGTAGCTTGGGGCTCTGCCGCGGGCGCAGCCGCACCCGGTGTTGCAGCCGCGCTGGAGCAGCCAGATCCATTCCTCGCCGCTGCGGCTCCCCCAGGCCGGCGCTGCCAGAGCTGCTGCGCGCAGGCGGCACGCACTGACAAGCAACGCTTGGCAGGCTAGCGTGCGGTAGCGTGCCGAGTTACGGTGCCGTGCGCGGGCGCACTTATTCCCACCAGAGCTTAACCGCTTTCGCGCTGGTGGGAGCCTGAGCGCCGCGCTGCGCGATTTGACGTCGTATGGGGACCTGGAGTCGCTTCCTGCTCGCCCACCGCACCCGCGGCCGAGATCAGCGCGAGAGCGACAGCGCCGCCGCTTGCCGCGCGCACATCTTTTCCGCCACCTGCTGCCACCCTATGGCGCTCCGCGGTGCCAATCCACCCCGGCGGCATGGCCAAGCCGCGCCCAGCGGCGTCTTCCCTGGCCGGCCGCGACAGCAGACTTCTCCACGTCGCCAACAGCGCGTCGCAGCGTCGCCATCTGGATCTGCAGGGTACTGGGGCCAGTATTGCCCAGCGGTGGACCGCCTGGAGATGAAAATTGTGGAGCTCTGGGCGTTTGGAGCCTCGCGGCACTTGCCCCAAAACCGAAATCAACGCTGGCCGCTCCCGCGCCGTAGTACTGCGGGATGATTGCTGATTGATTCGGCTGATGAGCTTCGCCTTGCAGCTGGTCCAATGCGGCAGGCAGCCGCCGCCCTACCCGGCGGGAAAAATGCCTCGCACAGGCACCCTCAGGCTTCTGACGTTGGACTGGCGGTGACCTGCACCGGGCCTCGCGCGCGCTCTGTGCGAGCTGGTCTCTCCTGGAGGAGCGTGTACCTGCCCCAGCGACCGCTCCTCCAGAGCTCCTTAGCTGGTGGGGAAGCCTGGCCGTGCCGGGTTAGGGAACTGCGAGGGCGGAGCCCGGCCAGCCAGTGACAGCGCGGCCCCGTGCTTCTATGCATGCTTCGATGCAGCGAGATCGCCAACGGCCGACTCGGGATGGCCTCGCGCTAGACAGGGGCCCATGGGCCAGCATCGCGCCCCGGCATCCATATCGCGGCGGGCCGTTGCTGATGTTGACAGCAGCATTGCTGTCTCTTCTTTCCCAGCCCGTGGCAGCTTTTCGGTGCGCTCGGCCGACCGACGCCTGCGACGCACGGCTATAGCATCGTGTGCGCTGCTGCTGCTCCCGTCCGTGCCACGCGACACAAAGCCGACCGGCCAGCTCTGCCGCGGAGCTGGTCGCAGCGTCAAGCCCGTCACCGTCACTCCCAAGCTCCAGCTTCCGCGTCTGGTAGTCCGCGTCCTCCTGCCTTCCATCGCCTGCTGCTACCGCTCCTGCGACACCACGACCGGTCAGACGCTGGGCGGTGATCCATTGCCTGGTAAAAGTTTTGGCGCTGCCGGCATCTAGACCGGCGCGACGCACTATGCGCAAAACACGCCTCCACGGCCAGGGGCAATTTAAACGTTCGCTAGAGCGGTTTCCATAGTGTTTCGCGGATTTACAGTTTTCCCAGAGCGTCGAAGCCGACGACCTCTGGCAGACGCCGTGCCAGTCGGCCCTTCTTGCCCGAGACGGCAGTCTGGCGCGCGGTGAGGCGGGCTGGCGAGCGAGGGCGTGCACGGGGAGATGTGTCTGCAAACGGCGCCCGCGATGCTCTGTCCTCATTTCCCGCCCTCAGCGCTGGCGACTCAAGCCGGCATACGGTCTCATCGTATCTAATCTCGCTGCGGCTCCAGCCTCTCCAGCCTCGTTTGATTGCCTTCCCGTGCCTCCGCGTTTTCCAAGACAGCTCCCCCGGACTGCTCCTGAGCCTTGGCGCTCCTGATTGCTGTGATTGCTGCCCATCCGGGGACCTCACGTGCCTCGGGTTTAACGCCCACCGCCCTGCCCGCCTCGGCCGCTGAGACCTCCTGTTATTAACCTATTCGGGTCGCGGACCCTCTTTTCTTGCATCATGTCTTTCGACAACACCATGATGGAGGTCCGGTATCCGCAGTTACTCAAGCAAGAGTAATCAGTTGCCCAAGGTAATGGAGCACCCGAGGAGCTGTGGAGCTCTGCTCTGGCAGTATAAAGGGAGGAATAGGGGTGGTAGCTGAAGGATTTCTGAGCGATCTACTGCCACATCTGCAAGTTTGTCGAGTATCTTGTCCCCTGCGATAATCTGCTTGGCCTTCCTGCAAGCCGCCCAGCCGCCAATACGATCTCCCAGCCACGCACGTACCCCCCAAGTCATGGACACCGTCAAGCACGCCGCCAGCGCCGTCGCCAGTGCCGTCACGCCTGGCTCCAAGCAGACGATCCTGGTCACTGGTGGCTCAGGCTTCGTTGCCGCCCACGTGCTGAACTCTTTCCTCACGAGGGGATACAACGTGCGGACCACCGTCCGCTCTGAGGCCACTGCGGACAAGGTCCGCAAGACTCACAGCAAGTACACCGAGTCTGGCCAATTGACTTTTGCCATTGTCAAGGACGTCGCGCAGGCGGGCGCCTTCGACGAGGCCGTCAAGGGCGTCGATGGAGTCGTCCACACCGCATCCCCCTTCCAGCTTGCGGTAGAGAACAACGTCAGGGATCTGCTTGATCCGGCCGTCAAGGGCACCACTGAGATTCTCGAGGCGACCCACAAATACAACCCCGGCGTCAAGCGTGTGGTCATCACCTCCTCGTTCGCGTCCATCATCGACCCCTTCCAGGGTCTGCGCCCCGGCCACGTGTACACCGAAGCCGATTGGAACCCGACCTCCTGGGAGGATGCGGCCAGCACCCCCAACGGCGCCATTGCGTATCTGGCGTCCAAGGTTTACGCCGAGAAGGCGGCGTTCAAGTTCGTCGAGGAGAAGAAGCCCAACTTTTCCATCGCCACCATCTGCCCGCCGATGATCTACGGTCCCAACGCGCACCTGGTCGAGGATTTCGCCAAGCTCAACACCTCGTCGGCCGAGATCTACGGCTTCATCAACGGCAGCAAGGCGGAGCCCGGTGACGCAGCCTTCCCAGCCTTCGCTGACGTCCGCGACGTCGCGGAGGCGCACGTCTTGGCGTACGAGAAGGAGGAGGCTGCCGGCCAGCGCTATCTCATTTCGACGGGCAACTACAGCAACCAGCAGTTCTGCGACGTCATCCGCAAGCACTTTCCCGAGCTGAAGGATCGCGTGCCCGAGGGCACCCCCGGCACGCCGCTTGGGGAGATGTACAGCACCGATAACAGCAAGGCTAAGCGCGAGCTGGGCCTCAAGTTCCACACCCTGGAGGAGACGGTGGTCGACAGCGTCAAGAACTTGCTGGAGCTCGAGAAGTCGATTGCCAAGACGGCCTAAATCGACCATCGGAGGTGGATCCTGTGGGGGATTTGCAGGCTTAATTCCCCTTGTGGTCATTCCTCCTGCCTGAGACGGCGGCTGTTCGATCAAAAGACACGGGACGGCTGAGATACCACGAGACGAGAAGCAATTCAAGGCCACGGGCCAAGAACACTTGTATATAGATAAGATGTATAGGAATATAAGACGTACATATCTGCTGCCCAAAGAGGAAGTCTTGCATGGTGATGAAACTCGAATCTGATACGTCGAAACTACTAGTGACGTTGGAACATCTGCCAAGACGTGTCCCGCGTTTCGGGAAAGCCATCCACGGCGGCTAAACACAGGGTTCCTCTGGCGGGAAACACCCCAGACCCCTCGGGGTCCTGGAGCAGCTGGTGTCTGGGAAGTCCAGCCGAAAATGAGGCGTGCTCTTGCTGCCGCGGTCGTCACAGTGCTTCCCCGTCTGAGGTAAGAACCGGCGCCTGATCGATCTTCAGGCATTCGCGTGAACCATTTCTTGTCATACTTTCTCTCTTTACTAGACCCGGCCCGGCCCGCCTCGTCCGGCCGCCCACTTCATCTCCTCAGAATTGTCCGGCCGGGACAATAGTTAGGTCTCGGGGAATGCGGGCGGCTTCCGACGGGGGTGAGGAAGGAGGCGTTGACGCCGGTATGAGGCTAGCCCCGACGCCTCATTTGCCCCAGGATCTGTAATGGTGCCGCGGCGAAATAGGAAGAAAAATTGGTGGCAGGGTCTGGCTCGACGCCCGGGCAAGCCAAGCTCGAGAAAAAAAAATAAAAAAGAAAATGGGTGAAGTGGACAGAAGGCTAGCTCCGGCATCGGCAGATTCTAGAAGGTTTGTGGAAGAAAAATGGCTCACGGTAGGAAGTGCCTATCAGCCGACTTCTGCCGTCATACCGTTGTTGCCACCAGCCTCGATTGGGCGAATGATGTGCAGCGGAAGGGAGGGACGGAAGGGAATGGGAATCACTCGGAGAGGCTTTTCGCCGGTAGGGCTGACGGATTTGAGTGCGGGATGATGACGCGGGTGGCCGGTCGAGGTGAGGGATTTTGTGGTAACCGGCGGCGGCGAGGGTGGACGGGTCCGTCTGGTGGTTGGTCGAAATGCTTGGGACGCTCGGGCGTCTTCGGGTCAGCCCTACCTACCGGCTTCCACCAGCTTGCCACACGCGGGATGCCAGAGCGGCTCGAGCTAGGCGTTCCTGCGTGGAGTTGGCCGAGGAGAGAGCAGCCGAGGCTGGGTGCCTGCAGGGCCGCCGGAAGCTCGTCTGCAGGGCCGGAAGTCCGTCTGATGGAAAAGCCAGCCAGCCGCGGCGCGGCGAGGCAGACGGCGAGGTTGCATCATCCGCCGCCTCTTACTTCGCATTGCTTCTGCTCTGCTGCCTGCCTCCTGCCCGCCTGCCTGCCGCCTGCCTTCTTCGACCGCATGCGCCATGACAATGTCTCAGTGCGACATAAGTGAGGCATTATTCGCACAATCAAGCGCCCACCGACCAGGACAAAAAAACGCAAAAGACGCAACGCGTAGGTACGTACAATTACCGAGTACTCGACGAGCGAGCAGCGGCACATTCAGGGTCTGGAACGACAGGCTTCAGATTGGAGGATGCCGGGCGAGCGACACAGCGCAAAAGGCGCCCCCGACGCGCGCGCGCCAGCCTGTCGACCAGGCGCACGACCCCAGAAACTCAGCATCTCACCGCGGCAGCCATCTCGCATGAGCTGAATGCGAAAGCCGACTGCGAGATACTCGCGACCGAGCTGTGCCGCGGATGCGCGGCGGCGGAGATGCTTCGGATAGCCGCCCCAAAGGAGCCTGTTTCCACTCTCAGCGCGAACTTTAACCCCTTCAGGCTCGCGGATGCCGTCCAGCTTCCCCCATTCTTCGCGTCCTCCGCCCCAACCCTGCCGCGCGAACCAGTATTGTTAATTTCGTGATTAGCTTTATTGTGTCGCATCAGCGCCGTGGGTGTGAAGGACAAGAGCGCGTCGGAAGGATGCTCGCAGGCGCCGTCGATCACTGCGAATCACCACGTCGCGCCTGCCTCCTGCCTAGAAAGTCTATTGCACATGGCCAAGAGACACCTATTTGGCCAAGACAGACGGGCTCGAAGAAACAATTGCACCGCATCTCCTGCACTCCTGCACATCTCTCTTGGCCGCCGAGCAAACCTTGGTGCATTTGCGGTGCATTTGCGACACGCTTGCTGGACGCTGACCGCACGCGGTAGAGCGCGCGTATCCGACACATAATACGATTGCGCGTATCCGCATTGGATTGCCGACGAACGAGAGGCGCGAGACGCGCCCAGAGCCGGCACGCTGCAAGCATCCGCCGCACATGCGCAAAGCCGACACCACGGCGCGGACCCAAAGGGCCACGTAGAATGCTCCCGCGCCGCAAGCCGCACCCTTACAGCCTCCGGTCTGCGATTCTGCGGCACTAGCCGTGGCTACCGTTGCATTCACCACGATCGATTTGCCGACTCGCTGATTGGGCACTGACTTCAACAGGAGGCCGTGCCTCTGTTGCTCTTCGTCGAGCCAACTCATCGCTCCGGCGAAATCGTCATGGCCGAGCGGCTGAGAAAGGCGCGCAACGGGAGAAATTACTTCGCCGTGTCAGCTCGCGAACTCCGTGCGCTGTCTTGGAATGGCAGTTTTTTTCGCCGAAATGAAAGCACGTGATTCGCGATGCGGCGCCCGGCGCGAAGCTTTGGGATCTGTCTTTTTCCCTGATGGACGTCCTCTCCCGTCGGATCTACACCGGGCTTCATGCGACAATTGACTCGGTCCTTGCAGGAAATTGGGAGTTGGAACGCAGTAGGAACTCCGTCGTGCCGCGGAGCTATTGACCATCGGCGAATAACTAGCGGCCGCCCTGCCGAGCCTACACTGGAAGTGATCGCGCTTCCAGGATCAGACCCGAGATGAGCTTCGAAACATGATAGTCAGGTCTAGGTCGCTCCTGACGACCAACAGGACTCCAACGTCAGCACCATCTCGTTCGGCCGAATCACTGACATCGGCCGCCTTCTTAGCGCCGGGATGCTGCCGTTTTGCGCTGGCACCTCGCCTCCAAACAGTGACTATCGCCAACACTATGTCAATCCTGCAATCATCACCTCGTGATGCTCTGCCAAGTTTCCAAGAAGTTCTAACGACCATCTGAACGAACGTCTCAATTTCACCTCCTCGTATGACGTTGCGTCGCTCGTCGGCCCACCTTCTCGACGATGGACTGAATCTCTCGTCAGCTCTACTCCCCTGACTATACTGAACTCGCAATAAGGTAGGATCTTCGCCGCCGCTGCTACTATTGATTTTCCACCTCCTGATGCCACTTTCCAAGACGGCTGGAAGAGCAAAGAACGTCCTTCCGCGTAGAGCCGCGCGCCGTATGATGTTGCTCAGTTAGATCAGCTCACAATAAATGGACCCGTCTGCTGAGAGTCTGTTCAGGAGCGCCGAAGTTCGCAGTTGCTGGCGCGCTAAGGCGCCGTGACTGCAGCTTCACCCCTCGGTTCCGTGCTCCACGATGTTGTGGTAATGTCTTGAGTCATGATGTCCTTGACTCGACTACATGGGATTCAAGCAACCATCTGAACCCATGGGAATCCTACAATGCGCTTATGTGATCTATAGAGTTTAGTTATCTAGAACGGTTGCAATAGCAATAATATACCACCATCTATTTTTGTATCATGTGTTTGAGAATACGCGACCGGTAAACATAATCAAACTTTGTAAATCATCCAGCTCGACGGTAGAAGTCCCATGCTCTCCTTATCGAACAGCTTGGCTTTGGATTCTGTCTCGGGGCTATCATCTCTCGGAACTCGTATTCAACTGCATTCCGTGATGTTGATGTGCCACCTTGAAAAAATAAAAACACACTTCTACCAGTCGAACAACATTCAATCGAGCATACATAGTTAATCTGACCGGCATGCACAAATTAGAGAAAAAAAAGTGTAAGCATAATCTATAAAATGTTTCGAGTCGTTGGGCCGCCGCCAAATAAGGTTGTTCGGTTTTGTGTGTTTTTTTTGTTAAAGTTCATAATTAAAATGTGAAGTTAATTGAGAATTTGCAAATGCCGAGACCAAAACCTGGTCAACGGTACTTTCGGCATTTCGTGAATATACTCTGGGACCGACTTATACCGGAGGTTTGATCGATAAGAAAAATGTCAAAAGTTGTTGTTGTCTTGCGCAACTGCTCTTTGGTTGCCGCATGGCATAATTTAACTGATACACTTCCCGAAAGAACCCAAATGCTTATCTCCATGGCCCAAGAAACCCGCTCAACACCAAGAGAAATGGCGGGTAAGCGGAACTTCTTATCTCACCGCCAAGTCCAGCCCGAAAAATCCTCCGCTGTCCCGCACATTCAGGGTCCCATGCTACTAACCACCCAGACCCTGACACTTCCGGTTCCCTAACGCATCCGGACCCTGAAACTTGCAGACCCTGACGCATCCGGACTCTGAAGCAACCTAGACTCTGAAAGCATCCAGACCCTGCCATTTCCAGACTTTGAAGCAATCCAGACCCTACCGCATCCGGACCCAAACCCTGCCACCTCGTCCCATTCCTCCTTTCCCCCTTTCGTATCCCCTTACCTTACTTCCCAGCCTCAGCCTCAACTATCCCCCGCCACAGCCCCCACGCACTCAGCCTCTCCCGCGGCTCCCACGCCACCGCCCGCTTTACCAGCCGCTGCAGGGCTGGGCCGAGCCTTCCGCCACTGCTGCTACTCGGTGGTACCCCATCGCTGACTTGGCACTCTTCCGGCGACGCCACCAGCCGGCACATGCACGTCACGACGGCGCCCAGCCCCCAGACGTCGCTAGCCATGGTGTACCGCGGGCTCTCGGGCGGCAGCCACCGCGGGTCAGCGGGCGATTGGTAGCTGCTGCCGTCGGTGGGGCGGCGGTAGATGGTGCGCTCGAGGGAGAGGTTGGTTGACCAGTCTAGGGTAGTGGCGCGCACGTGGGTTAGCTAGAAATGGTTTGTGGGGGGTGGGGTCTGGGGAAGAATGGGGTGTGGGGAGGATGGGGTGGCTTACCGAAGTCTCCGAGTATGGCGATGATGTTGCCTGGGGCGGTGGGGTTGCTTTGGAGGAAGATGTTGTCGGTTTTGATGTCGCGGTGGATGATGGCGCTCCAGGTGGGCGGGGGGTTGGCGTCGTCGTGGGGGGAGCGGATGCCGTGGTGGCAGTAGGCGAGGGCGGCGCAGATGTTGGTGAAGATGTTCCATGTGATGTCGTTGGCGATTGGTGTTCCGGACTCTCTGTGGCTGTTGTGATGTTTTAGCGGGCAAATGCAAGGCAGGCATGAAGGGTGTATGTAATAGAGGAAATCAGCATACTTCTTGACATAACCTGTCAGATCCCCCTGATCATAATACGTGAGGTAGATAGCTCCTATCATCTTCTCGGGGTTTATGAAGCTGTCCACCATTTTGGCTATATGCGGGTGGTCGAGGGTGGATAGCGCTCGGTATTCTTTGCCCAGCAAATCTAAATGAAATGGTCCTGTAGCCTTCTTCTGGACGTACACACCACCGTTCTCCCTTTTCACAAGATCTACACCGCCGGATTTATGAGTTGGACCAGTGAGGGTTGTGAATTTCTTGTACGCATATTTTGAGGTTTTGTGAACCATTTCTCAAAGCTTTCCAATGAAAAGCGGCGACGGCGAGTTGAATTACCACACTAGTCTTGAAAGTAGAGCCGATTCTGTATCTTAATGTGGGCGTTGTGAGCAATATTACATCACTAAATTTTTAAATAGAGGCGTTTTGTCCACCGGGAAGGCCCGTTGTCAAAGAAGAAAGAATAAAGAGCTGAGAGAACGTGTCCTGCTGAAGTCATTCTGCCGTGTGATATGCATATGAGAACACCAAATAACCCAATGGGAAGAAGCACATCTAAGAGAGTGAGCTTTCGGTATTCAATGATGGCCACCTGGCTCAGTCTTGTTATCTGCTGCGCACATGGTCACTGACGTATCAAAACAAACCCAACGGAAATAATAGACAGGGACTCATCTTGAAGGGTGAAAATCAAGGCCTCCTGAATTATGCTTACTCAATGTGCATAAAGACGTTTACTTCACAGCCTTTAGTTGGCCAGGAATAATCCAGTTCAATCTCTCCGATGTTCAGCTCCTGTAAAGTTCAACATTTGTTTTCCCGTCACGACTGTTCAAGTGGTCTGAAGTGGCAGGGTCTGGTTTGACAGCCGTCGCTGAATTTGACGTTTATATTCTACTGTAGATAAGATCGCAATACCCTTTCCTTATCCCGAGCAAAACGTGTCAACTGTATCTTGACTTCATTTAGTGTTAGATAGTGTTTGGGTTAATGGGATCGACGTTGTTGAAGTGTAATTAACAAAGAGACCAAGTGAAGCGGCTGAGCGAGCGAGGATTTCAGAACTGCTTCCAAGAATCACCTAGGGAGGCCGCCTGATATGATCTACTGATCCACTATAATCCTGCAAAGCTACGGGTGACTCAACAAGTCCGGCAGAGATTAGCGACGGCTTGCAGGGTGCGGTGTCACTTGAGTGACCAGGGTCGTGCCAGCACTATAACAGCTCTGTCGACGTCTACTCCCCGCCTGAACATCAACCACCCTACCCTCAAGCAACAACAATGGCATCCACCTCCACCACCACCCACAACCTCACCACGTACCTCCGGTCCCTGGTGCAGGCCAAACAGTCAACACTCTGCGTCAGCGCAGACGTGACTTCCGCCACCGAAATGCTCAAGCTAGCCGACACCGTCGGCCCCAGCACCGTCGTCTTCAAAACCCACGCAGACATGCATGCAGGCTGGAACTCCGACCCGGAGCGCGGTACGGGCGCACAGCTCGCATCACTTGCACGCCGCCACCGTTTCTTGATCTTCGAGGATCGAAAGTTCGCCGACATTGGCTTCACCGTGCAGCAACAGTACACGGCCGGTGACTATCGCATATGTGACTGGGCGCACATCGTCAACGCCCATGTGCTGCCCGGTCCCGACATGATACGTGCGCTGGCCCTGGAAGCGGCTGACTGGAAGGACGACCACAACCGCGAGCCGCAGCGGCGGTCCGGGCCCGGCGATGCCAAAACACCACTTCACGATATCCCAGAGCCGCCCCAAGACCGCGCTTTGCTGCTCCTGGCGCAAATGACCTCGGTCGGCAACCTGCTGGACGCGGATTACACCGCAGCGTGCGTGGCCATGGCGCGGCAGCAGCTCGACTTCGTCATGGGCTTCATCGCGCTCAATCCACTAAACTCAGAACCCGATGACGACTTCGTCGTGATGACGCCTGGCTGCGCGCTGTCGCCGGAAGAGTCGCTGGACGGGTCCGAGTTCGCGGGCGGCGATCCGCTGGGCCAGCAGTACGTCACGCCGCAGGAGCTGATGCGGCGAGGGTGCGATATTATTATTGTTGGGCTGGGCATCTGCAACGCGGCGGACCCGGCGGCCAAGGCGGAGCAGTATCGGCAGGTGGCGTGGAAGGCGTATCAGGAGCGGCTGGGCAAGTCAGAGGAGCGATCGTCGTAGGAGTGAGGGCATATAATGGATATCCAGCCACTAGGTGATGACAAGTGAGCATGCCGTGGAAGGGGATCGTAGATTCCTTTTTATTCAGAAGCAGCAGTAATCAGCAAACGTAGACCGCAGTCTTATGTTTTTAGCATCGTCCACATAATGAAATACTCAGACTTGAGACTTCAGTTGACTGACCGGCTTGTATATGCCAAGGCCTTTCCCTTCTACCCGCCTAACAAACATATTAGATCCATTGCGCAGAGTAAAACAGAATTAAGAAAAAGGTAGGTTTTAACGAAACAATCTACACCAAGAAACGAAAACCTCCACACGAAGCACGTTTTAACCAACCACCTAACAGGAAAAAAAGAAAAAAAAAAGAAACCACACAACTACCCACCTCATACGTAAACCAACACTACAAAACAAAAAAAAACGAACAAAATCACAAACACCTCTCAAAAGCCTTCACCCCCCTCACCGCCGCCGCAATATGCCACGGCACCGCGCCGCCCCTGGTGCCCCTCATCCCCTTCAGCCGCGCCAACAACCCCAACCCCCTATACGTGATCAAAAACTCCCTCAACACCGTATCATACGTCGTGCGCGCCTGATTCGCCGCAAAAGGACTACCTCCCACACCGGTCCCACCAACCCCTCCCCCTCCACCTCCTTGCCCCGCACCAGCACCACCAGGCGACGGCAGCGCGCTGCTGACGGCGCTCGGCCCGGCGCTCGCGGCGGCACTGCCGGTGCTGAGGGCAGATCCGCCATTGCCGTTGCTGTTGCCGTTGGCGGAATTGTTGTTGGCGCCGGCTGCGGCGGCGGCGGCTTCGAGGTGCTGGAGGGGGATGCTGATGTTTGGGTTGTGCGGGGTGGGGGTGGCGACGGCGGAGTGGTGGTGATGGTGGTGTTGCTGTTGCTGTTGGGCAGCTGCTGCAGCGGCAGCGGCCGCAGCAGCGGCGGCCTGGGCGGCGGCGGCGGCGCGTTGGGGTTGGTGGCCGCCGGGCGTGCTGCCGATCCAGAGGAGGTTGACGCCGACGGCGATGGGGCCGCGCGGGGAGTCCGGGTGGTCTGATGACCTGCCGATGCCGATGCCGCCGGTGGTGGTGGTGGTGGTGGTGGTGGTGCCCTCGGTGGTGTTGCTGCTGTTGCCGTCGGCGCCGCGTTTGACGAGGTAGCCGCTGGCGAGGGAGGGGCGGAATTCGGTGGTCGAGTTGGAGTTGTGCAGGCGGTGCTGGAGGATGACGCCCCACGACTCGTCCGTGACGTCGACGAGGCGGGCGTCCGGGTCGCTGGACGGGTCGACTGCTGGAGCGCTGGTGTTGCCGTCGGAAGGGGTTGCGGCGGGTGTGAAGCCGTGGGCGTCTGGGGAGACGCCGGGCTGTGGCGTGTTTCCTGGTGTCGATACGCCCGTGTTGCCCGAGTTCTGGTTCATTGTGGATGTGAGAGTAGGTAAGCTGGATGTTATACAGAATGGCGGGTTTGGGTCCACGGAGATCAATGCTGTTCCGATCACAAGCGGACATGGGCTTGTCACGAGTGCCTGCCATGCTGAACAAGATATTAGCATTTCATTCAATCGAGTATAGTTGGGTGTCTTACCATCTTGCTCTTCGCGCTCCATCACCCCGGCCCTTGCAATGCAGAGCCTCCAGGTCACCCGTCGAGCAGACATAATCTCCAACGAAGTCTGGTGGATCTCCCGTGCGACTTCAACAAAAGAGCGGTTATTCAGACAGTACGAGGCTGTAGCTTGGTGCTTTCCGGGATTGTCTGTCCAAGCCGCTGTGAGCCAAGAGCCGTCCACGCTGACAGCGTAGCCCACATGTATGTAGGAATTTTCGTGAAGCAGGTCCGATGGAGGCTCGGCCGTCACTCTGAATGGAATAGACTTTGGCAAAGTTTCCTCAAGTTGAATAGAAGGTGCTGAGTAGATGCTGAGCGCAGTATGGTCAGCGCTAGGCTCTTTCGGAGGACACCTATCATAGACCTCACGGGCGAGTCTCGCCAGAAGACTCGGTTCAAGGACTACGGGGGCCTCAAAAGAAGCTATGCATTTGACAGGGACCAGCTGAAGGACCAACTCGGGCCTCGTTGCATCCAATGCTCTAGAGGACGAGGGAAGGTACGCTTGGAACAAAGCCCAAAAAGCGGAGCAGAGCTGCCAGAGATTGTGCGGGTCAGAGAAGGGATTGACAAGGTAGACAACGATGGCGTCTGGTTGAGAAGAGTCTTCAGGCTTAGTAACCTTCTTGAAGTCTACTCTCGACAAATGCCTCCCCAGGGAAGAGCAAGTGTCGCGGATAGACTGGAGGCAGCTTTGAGTGGTTGGCTTCCAGTTATCGCTCTCGTGAACACTGATCGAGGCAGGCACCAGACCACCGTTGGATATATGTTCGATATCGGGACCGCGGACGTGCGTACCGAACTTGCTGCTCTCGTAGGCCATACTTATGTTATCGAGAAAGCTTGTGATTGGCTCGCTCAGCTGGTCACTGGACGGATACACACAATATGCCATGATATTCTTTGGGCCACTTGTAGGTGATAGGCCGAGAGATTCCCAAAAAGACAGCGCCGGAGGGAGAACGTCCCATGTGTCCTCACCTCGTCGGAGACGGACGTGAGGTGTTGAGATGGGAAAGAACATGTTTGCGTGAGGATCCGCATTGGTGGTTCGCCGTTGTACTGATTTCTGTTGGGCCTGTTTCGCAGCAGCAGACTCGGGCATAACGTCTTGGATAGAAGCGTACTTTAGCATGTCGCACTCGCTGATTTGCTGGAAGAGATCTCTGACAGCATTTTGGACCGTTTGGATCGGGAAAAGCTTGCGGAGGCCACCAGTCTGAGTTCGTGTGCAGACTTGATTCGGTTCCTCATCTTCTGGGATCAAATCCAGCGAGCTGTGAATAATCTGATCTGCCAGCATTTGGGTGATGTTGATGACCTCCTTGAGATTGAGCGGGTGTGGCTCCACAACAGCCTCCGAACGGCCATCTGAAGAAGGTGTTGAAGCAGCTGAAGCGAGTGAGAATGATCCCCTTCGTGACCTGGGATCACCCCCATACCGCCGTCTGACCTTGACAATTGGTGGCGGTAGACTGCCCAGAGACCAGTCCGAAGGAGTCGGCTCGAGGGAGGAAAGTGGCGGTAGCTCAGGTACAAAGCCGTCCGCGTCGCCCAAGAGCATATCTTGACTGCCTGGATCAAGTTGCAGCGTTCCAGGTGTACCAACACCCGGAGTCCCAACGGTCGAAGAACCCAGTTTTCTGTGGCTCGGGACCAGTAAGCCTGATTCCTGTCCAAGCATCGTGGAGCCGGTCTCTTCATCGTACGAGCCTGTGCTGACAGATATGTCGCTATAACTGTCGCTGTCGTCGGAGAGACCATCTTTCATGTACGAGTCGTCGCCAGTGTGTTTCGGTACAACAATACTTCGTATGAGATCAGAAGCTCTCTCCAGAGTGGCAGAATGTGCGGAAGAGGTCGGGCGCGAGAGTTGACCGGATTGTGAACGTGTGCTCGGATCCCGGTCCTTTCCAGAAAAGAAGAACTGGCCACCAGCAGCATACTTGGAATCTGCAAGTTGCATCTTCTGGCTGAAACCAACCGTGTCAAACATTGCTCCTCCATCCGCTTTCGCCTTTGCGAAATCTTTGACATCTGTTTCTGACTCGCCAACGTGTGGCGATCCAAACAGCTTCTGGTTAATCCGTGCTGGACTAAGTGGAGGGCTAGGTTCCCGAACGATCACAGGTTCCTCTGCAACCTCATGTTTCGCTGCATTTAGCTCGGGTTCTTGCTCAGGGGGTGTGTCTTCGGCTTTGGGATGTTCTTCAATCTCAGTCATGTGGACGTCGATCTCAGGTGGAGCAGCAGGTGAGGTAGCAATCTCTGATTTGAGTGTCGAAGGTTCAACTTCGGTCTGCTCCGCATCTGCTACTTGGATCATCGGCGATACGCCTTCGAACCTGGTGTTTGCAGGACTACTGTTCTGCTTCTGCTCTTCGAATGTTGCTGGTTGGGATACGTCCATGAGATCTCCGAATCCGCCGTCTCCATCGTCAAAAAAATTGAAGTCCGCTTCCGTGACATCATTTGCTCCAAACATCTCTTCGTCCATATCCTCAAAAAGATCATCGTTATTGTCAGCTTCAGCAGGCCCACCTGTCGGTGTGTCTGTTTCCCTCGGTGGATCCAAATGCTCTCCAGGTGTTGCTTCGGTCGCTCCTGTGTGTTCTTGCTGTGTGAAATTGTCACCGCTTACACTCATTTGCCCCGGATGGCTTTGAGAATCTTGGGTTGTTGGCCCCATAATTATACCATCCATGGTCGTATGTCCACCAGCACCGGGAGGCAAAACCGCGTCTGGTGGCGTGGGATATACTCCACTGACAGCTTGTAAATCCCCATATGCGGAACCTCGAGAGTAAAGGGGGGATGAAGGATATGTCATGGTAGGCTCAGCTGCTGGTTGGGTATTGTCTTCTTGTGCTTGGCGTGCCTTTTTGCGAGCTTCAATGGCTTTTTCTCTCTCTGGCTTACCTAGGAACCAATTCCATGCTTGCCACAAGGGGTCCGTAAACCCGCTCTTCCCAGGTCCCTGCCACCACATCACACCAGAATCCTGGTCATCCTGATGGCCAGTCGGATGGAGGGCTTCGAGAGATTCCAGGTCCCCCTCACTCCGTCCGGCGCTGTACAAAAAGCACAGAGCGGCAGGCCAAAGACACTCGCGGCAAAGAGATGCAGAGGGATCGTTCAAGTCTTTTGTTGCCTGTGCACTAGGCTGAAGCTGAATTCGCACCCATTTCCCTTCCTCGTTCATGTCTGGAAGGACAAGACCTTTCATACGGAGCCATCTTAAAGTGTCTGCTTTCCACTGCTGGGTTGCTCTCGACCGTCTTGTTGGGCCTGAGCCATGGCGCTCGCTACCGACTGCAGATGTTTCGTGGCCAACGTATCTGGCTATGATGCCGCAAGGAGAAATCCGGACAAGCTCTCCCAGAAAATCGTCGTGCACATCGTACAACGAGAGAATTTTCTCAAGCTGGTAGACACTGTTGGTAGTTGAGACGGAAGTAGAAATTACCAATGTTCCGGCGGTCGACAAATGGGCGTCCAAGGTGGTAAGGAGACAGCTGAGTCCTCCAAGGATGTTTGTATCGTCGTCGTCGTCGTCATCTCTGTCGGCTAGGTTCGTGGCTCTGGAATAGGAAACAAAAGTACGATAGTTCAGGGGTATCATATGATGAAAGCGAGACAAGTTATAGGAAATAGAACCAATGACAGCGGACATGAAAGATTCGTAGACGGAAAGGGCGTCATGCTGGCGAGAGGCATCGGCGCTGTTGGCTGATTGCTGGTTTGCCTGAAAGGCGCGGACGTTGGCAGCTTGGATTGCACGAGCATTAGTGGCAGCAGAGCCGTGCTGCAGCCCCGACTGAGAAGCTGGGAGGCGGCCGGTGAACCTTGCCAGTTCAGCAGCCTTCAAATCACCCTCGGATTGAGCTGCCAAAGAAGTCAGTGAACAGAACACAGAAGTGGGGAGCGAAAGATGGACATACCAGCCAACTGGAGGCCGTTCAGCTGTTGACTCTGCAGAGAGCCATGATCCAGGGCTGGAGGATTGCTGCCAGGCTCGAAAAGCCACAGAAGCTGCTTGAGTCTATCGACATAGACCAGGCGCTTTGCCTCGCGAAGGCGAGCCTCGACGCAGCTTAAGCCATCCAGCTCAGCAGCCTTGGCGTTCGGAGCGTCGACAGATGAAGTAGCAGAAAAGGTGCGGTATGAAACGACGGCATAGCCATTCTTCCTGGAGTTAGCATGTCATACAGTAGGACATGTGGCGGTGGCGCATACGACGGCGGACACACTGGTAGTGCTGCTTTTGATGGAATCCATGGCTAGGGGACGTCGAAAGGGAAGAAGGTCTCAGGATGCACGCAACCCACGGCGAGCCTGGTCTTCATCAACGTCGGGAGAAAGCTGAGACGGGGCGTCGATCATGAGGCGTGGCACGTGAGGAGCCCCGGCGGCCGTCTGCAATCGGGAAAGAGGACAGAATTCGCAGTTGAGGAGAGGCTCCAGGGCGTTATCAGCATTGTTGTCCTTTCCGGGGCGGCAACGCTGGGTCGGGCTCGGCCGGTCGGCGGGGTGGCTAGGGCCGCGAGGCGAGTCAGGACTCCGGATGGAGATGAGGACGCGAGAGATGCGGTTTGGAGACAGGGTCTGGTCTGGGTTGAACACCCAAAGCGGCCCGTGCGCCTCAGCCCTACTTCCTCCGCCTATCGCCGCGACTTTTTTCTATCGCGCGCAAAACCACCGACACGCCTTCGCACCCCCCCGCGACCAGCGCCATGAAGGTCACCAACCACTCCGATGTGCCCGTCTACACCATCTCGGGCTCCGACACCGCCCGCCCGCTGCCCGATTGGCTGGCCCGCAAGCGCAAGCGCAGCCTGAAGCAGGACGCCGAGTACGCCCATCGCATCGAGCTGCTGCAGGACTTCGAGTTCGAGGAGGCCAGCCAGTGCGTGCGCGCCAGCGAGGATGGCGACTGGCTCATGAGCACCGGCACCTACAAGCCGCAGATCCATACCCACTACCTGCCGCACCTGTCGCTGTCCTACGCCCGCCACACCAACACCATCAACCAGACTTTTTTGCTGCTCTCCGAAGACTACACCAAGTCGCTGCACTTGCAGACCGATCGCTTCCTCGAGTTCCACAACCCCGGCGGCCTCCACTATACCACCCGTATACCCCGCTATGGCCGCGATCTCAAGTACGACCGCCGCTCCACCGAGGCTCTCATCCCCGCAGTCGGCGTCAATGAGGATGGCATGGGCGAGGTCTTCCGTCTGAACCTGGAGCTTGGACGCTTTATGAAGCAGTTTGAGATTGACGTCGGTGGCGACGACTACACAAGCATGGGCGGCGGAGCGTTGCAGGGTGGCATCAATACCGGCAGTGTCAATGTTGCAGCAATTGCTGAGGAGTCGCACAATCTTCTGAGCTTCGGCACGTCAATAGGCACAGTCGAGTTCTGGGATCCCAGATCGCGGAGCCGTGTTGGCATACTCTCGCTTCCCCCGGACGCATCGTATGGTGACGAGAAGGTTGGTATCACCGCCCTCGAATTCGACCGCAGCGGCCTCACGCTTGCTTCTGGTACCTCCAACGGCCTGGTCCATCTGTACGATCTGCGTTCTCCCGTGCCTCTCTTGAAGAAAGACCAAGGTTTCGGTCTGCCCATCCAGAACATCATCTTCCTGCAATCGAAGACCCGGTCCGCACAACAAACATCGGAGCCGAAGATCCTCACGTCAGACAAGCGCATCATCAAGATCTGGGATCAAAGAGACGGCAAGCCCTGGACACACGTAGAGCCAGCTGTGGACATGCATCACGTCGAATGGGTCAAGGACAGCGGCATGCTCCTTACCGCCAACGAAGGCAAGCAGCAGCACTGCTTCTTCATCCCCCAGCTTGGCCCGGCACCCAAGTGGTGCGCTTTCCTGGACAACGTCGTCGAAGAAATGGCCGAGGATCCCGACGACCCCAACGCGTTCGGCGGCCACAAGGCTGGCGAGGTCTACGACAACTACAAGTTCCTGACTCTGAAGGAGCTGGAGCAGCTCAACATGGCGCACCTGGTCGGCACGACGAGCCTGCTGCGGCCGTACATGCACGGTTACTTCGTCGCGCAGAAGCTGTACGAGGAAGCCCGCCTCATCAGCCAACCGGAGCTGTGGCAAGAGCAGCGCACCAAGAGCATCCAGGAGCGCATCAACAAAGAGCGCGAGAGCCGCATCCGCGGCAACAAGAAGGTTCAAGTCAAGGTCAACCGCCGGCTGGCAGAGAAGTTACAGGAGCGCGAGGAGAAGAACGAGCGCCGCAAGGCGCGCCGCGTGCTCGAGCGCGGCGGCGACGACGACGCCGACGACGCCAACGCCGTGCAAGCACCATCGAAGCCGGTCGACGAAAACGTCGGGGGCTCGGACGACGACGAGGACGCTGCTGCCGCCGTCGCCAACAACAAGCCCGTCGGCGCCCGCCTGCTCAGCGACCCCCGTTTCGCCCAGCTCTTCCAGGACGAGGACTTCGAGGTCGACGAGGGCAGCCGCGAGTTCCAGTCCATCAACCCCAGCACCAACCCCGCCGCGCGCAAGCCGCAGGGCCTCACCGCGGTCGAGGAAGAGGCGCTCGACGACCGCCGCCGTCACGGCGCGTCGTCGGACGAGGACGACAGCAGCGAAGACGACGAGGACGCTGCGGACCAGCGCCGCAGCCGCGATGCGAAGAAGTGGAACGCCGCGCCTTCTCAGCAACAGGAGAAGGAAAAGGACACGGGCCGCATCTCGTCGTCGACGTACAAGAAGTCGGGCCACCGCCCCATGCCGCAGATGGTCGTGTCGTCGTCCAAGAAGAAGCCGTCGCAGACCAACCGCGACAGGTCGTTCGGCGCCCGCGCCGCAAACCTGAAGGGCAAGCCCAGGACCGGCGGCGCCGCCGCTGCCGGGGGTGCCACCGTCGTCGGCGAGAGGGAGATCACGTTCGCGCCTAAGGGAAGGGAGAAGCCGCAGCGCGGCCCTAGGGAGGGTGGTGATGAGGGGGAGAGTGGCAGGAGTAGGAAGCGGATGGATCGGAGGAGCGCGAGTGGAAACACTTTTAGGAAGATGTAGACAGGGGTGGAGTTTCGCTTTTGTTTGTGTATATGCATGTGTAGGGCGTTTTGTATTGGGTGGCTCAGGGACATGTGTTCTGGGAAGATCAAAAAAGTTTTCTATATACCCGGGTAATGAAGCTTGTGCTTGGTTGAGATTTATTGCGGTGTCGTTGCCATTGTGAGATTGGATGACTACGTTCTGGTTACGAATTGGAGAAATTTTGTTCGAGAGGGAGTGTCTTGGAAATGGGGCTGAGGTTCGGCGATAGGTAAGCCGATAGCGAAGGAAGGCTTATCTCGGGTCACGGATGCATCAGTAAGCGGAGGAAGAGGAGCGCAGATCGGGTTGCGAGTACGTACGCATAATTAATTTTTTTTCGTGTGATGGGCGAGAGCCGATCACGCTCGTGTTGGATCAATTGGACAAGAGGATCGAGTTCGAGTCGTTCCGTTTAGCAGCAATCGGGAACATCGGCAGGGACTCTCAAACCAAGCTTCGCCCAGGCGCGCGAAGAAGCGGGCGAGGCTTGAGCCGCCATCCCGCCGTGGCGCCCAGCTATTCCTTTTCCTCGCTCGCCACTGACGCCGGTGTAGAGACAAGTTGCTGTGCTCTTTGAAGTCGAAGAAAGAGCGAGTAGGTACGAGATCGAGTCAAGGGCCAGGCCTGCACGGATGTTCTCCACGCATCTGACGAAGCGCGGGCAAGCGACTAATGTGAAAGATTTTTGGTCGTTTATCGAAGCAACGGCACGCCGCACCCAGGCTGGCGGTAAGCAGTGCTACGGTAGTCCCCGAACATGTCTCACCCATGGCAACCCCACCGAAGTCGCAAAGCGCGGAACCTGGCGAATTGGCGAGCGCCGGGGCGGCACGCTGTGCGGCTGATACTCCCTCTTTCTGCGCCGTTCTCCAGCCGTGCACAGGCGGGGCGCCTTGCCGGTTCGGGGCAGAGCAAGAGAGACGGCCGTGGCGGGGGCATCGACCGAGGGAGAGATGCAATGCATGCGTGTGATGCGCCGCCTATCGCCGCTGCAACCCTGCAACCCACCCCAAAATCCTCCGCCTAAACCTCTTCCTTCTCTCGCCGGCCTTCCTTCTTTCCCACTTTCTCGCGCTATCACAGCTGTGCCGCAAGCCGAGGCTTGACGTCGCCAAAGACGGCCGCTAATATATCTTCCCATTGATTGCTTCTTGTCTGCCGACGGTTCTGGCTCCGCTCAATCTAAGACCTTGCCTCTCCACCAAACGCGCCACTGCCGTCCAGACCCTAACGGCTGTCCGGTGTTTGTGTCGCGCCTGCCTTTTCTCCCCATCTCCCGCCCTTGCTGTGCCTGCGAGTGCATCTACCGTCCTCTCCAACCATGGAACCCAACGCAGCAAAATCCGGGCCCCAAAGCGACACCAACTTCGATTCAGAGCCCCGACGCAACAGCTATGCCGCCACCGAGAAGGGTCGCTGGGAGAGACTCTGGCCCGTCATTGCCTGCGGAGCAGGTGCGCGCACCCAACCAACTAATTCTGATTGCACCGGCACTGACGTAGCACAGGTCTGTTCAGTGACGGATACCTGAACAACGTGAGCCCAGCCACCACCCCGACGCGTGACCCGATCAGCCCAAGCGCAACCAATCCCTTCCTGAATAGCTGTGAACCAGAACTCTGAATGCTAACTAAACCGCATTTGCTTTTCGGGCGTGGATAGGTTATTGGATCCGTCAACACCATGCTTGCCAAGATCTACCCGACAACTTACGCCAACAGCAGCGCTCAGAACAATGTCTCATCCATCACTTTCGCCGGCACCGTCGTCGGTATGCTCTTCTTCGGCTACACCAGCGACCATTTCTCCCGCAAATGGTCCCTCATGGCTTCCACCTTGATCATCATCCTCTTCGCCATTCTCGGCACTGCTTCCTATGGCGCTGGAGGTAACGTTGGCGGCCTCTTTGCGGCTCTGACTGCTTATCGGTTTTTCCTTGGAATCGGTATTGGTGGGGAGTATCCCGCTGGTAGTGTTGGTTGCGCAGAGAGTACTGGAGAACTGAAGAGTGGGACTCGCAACAGGTGGTTTATTCTGTTCACCAACGTCCAGATCGATATCGGGTGAGTTTGTTTTCTCTCGTCAGAATCTTCCAATGACTGACAATCCCTGTTAGATTCGTTGTTGCTGCCATCGTGCCCCTGATTGTCGTAAGTGATAGTCAACTTCAGGCTTTAATACGGGCGGACCTGAGCACCGCGCATGTAACAAACCGTTTACTAAGCCTCGTACCACCAGGTTCTTATAACAACTGAAGACCACCTCCGCGCCGCATGGCGCATCTGCCTCGGCATCGGCATCATCCCGCCGCTCTCGCTGCTCTGGCTGCGTCTCAAGCTGCAGGAGCCCGAGGCCTACAAGCGCGAGTCGATGCGCGACACGACGACGCCGTACTGGCTAGCCCTCAAATACTACGGCTTCCGGCTCTTCGTCGTCTCGCTGATTTGGTTCATCTACGACTTCTCGGCCTACGCCTTCGGCATCTACAGCTCGACGATCGTGTCGAACCTGCTCGGCAGCGACGAGCGCCTGTGGAAGTCGTTCGCCTGGAACATCCTCATCAACTTCTTCTACATCCCCGGCTGCGTGCTCGGCTCGTTCCTGGCCGACATCCCGTGGCTGGGGCCGAAGCGCACGCTCGCTCTGGGCGTCATCCTGCAGGGCATCGTGGGCTTCGTCATGGCGGGCTGCTACGCGAGTCTCGAGAAGCCCGGGAACATCGCCGCCTTTTGCGTCGTCTACGGGATTTTCCTCAGCTTGGGCGAGATGGGGCCTGGTGACAATATCGGCCTGATGGCAAGCAAGATCAGCGCCACGAGCATACGGTGAGTTCCAGTTTCCCCCCCCCCCCCCCCCCCCCCCCCCCCCCCCC